GTTCCTCCCCTTCGCTCTACCCTTTTCCTTCTTCACTTCTCCGTCACCTCCCATCTACTCTACGTCGCCCAACCGTCTCCCATCTCCTTTCTTCTCCCTCCCATCTCTCTCCGCTTTCCCCGGACCGGCGGCACTCTTCCCATTGCGATCCATTATCTTGCCAACGCATCGCTTCGGACTCTTCTCTAAGAGTGCTTCTCCCGCTCCGTCCTTCTCCTCCTCCTCACCTCCTCAATCGATCGATTCCATCCGTTTCTCTTTGCTTTGCCCAGAGATCCACCGAGTCCTAGTTGACTCATAGTTCCAAGCGGTCATACCGGCTCCACCCGTGACTACATCGAGCTTCACTTGGACCCCCCCAACTATATCTTGTCGTCTTCGTCCGGCCAATCCATCACGAAAGACACTACTTTTGTTTCTGCCCGTCAATCTTCTCAATACCCGCCTGCGAGCATTGATACCTGAGCGACCCCGGGATTGATATCGACTACTACGGGAACCTGGCTTTGAAGCACTCCGACTCTTCCGACCCCTGGATTTGAAAGGTGCTCCTCCAGGATCCCAACAATATCCCATCTCGATTCGAGAATCAAGTGATCCTATCCAGCTTGACGAATTCCCCCTCGTCTCGTCCTCGCTCTTCTGCCAACCGGTCTATACTTCATGACTCACTAATCCCGCCAATTTCCTCTACTTGAGTCACGTCCGTTCTCGACCTTGAACCCGGTGTTCACAGGCTTTTTTTTGTTTACGTCTCTTCTTTGATTTATCTTTGAAACACCTTTTTTTGTTACGATCTTACGCAGCGCAAATCTCTCGTCCTTTTTATTCAACAACATTCGTCCCTCATCAGGCCGACTCTCAACATCAAACAATTCTCTGTCCATTCATTCGACTCTTCCTTTTTGTTTATCACACCCAACCAGGCTCTACGCCACTTCTCAATCACAACGAAAAACAAAAACGACAACCAATCCAATGAGCACATAACGGTCTTTACACATTTTCCTTAAGCGTCCATACAACCCTATCGGGTCTCCTGCCGCAATCTTCTCGCGCCCTCGTCTTCTTTTTTCCTTGTCTATCACCTACTTTCTGCCGATATATTTTTACGAAACCTGGACCCGATTAGGAGTCTTCGCCAACTCTGCTCTCTGATCGTCCCTATATTCACTGTTCTTGGTGGTCCCCTTTCTCGTTGGGATTATAGGCCTGATTGTTTACTCTTCTCCTCTCGACTATTAATCACCACCACCACCCACCATTATTAGCCTGGTTGCTGTTTGACGTCAATTGTTCACGTGCAAAGTGTTTTCTTGAAGCGGTTCATAGATTGTTTCCGATCTTCGTTTGGATCTCGTGACTCAGTTCATTCTCATCCATCTTTGCATCTCACATTCACCTCTCCCCGCCATTCCACTTCCCCCTCTTTCTTCCATCCGGGAACTCACACATCACATCATCATGTCCACATCAACCACCATGGAGTGCCTCAAGGACAACTTCGTCAAGGGTCGCCTTTTGGATGGGCGTTTCCGGACGGTGGCCCCGCTCAACCACGGATCCTTTGGCATGGTGTTCCTCGCAACTGACATCACAACTGGCAATGACGTCGCCATCAAGTGCTTGACCAAGTCGGCATCCACTGACGCGTCTGGTCTCGAAGACCGATTTGAGGAATTGGAGTGCCACCAGCGCTTCGGTTTCCACTCAAACTTGGTCAACTTGATCCACAACTTTGAGACGGAACACCACACCTACCTTGTCCTGGAATACTGTGCAAATGGCGATCTCTACGAAGCTATCCGTCTGAACCGAGGCCCCTTGGAGACTGAGCATGTCCGTGACTTTATGCTCCAGTTGATCAGTGCTGTCGAGTTTATGCATGCCAATGGTATCTATCACCGTGACATCAAGCCAGAGAACATCTTCTTGACCCACGATGGTGATATGAAGCTTGGTGATTTTGGTCTTGCTACTCGAGAGCCCTGGTGCCATGAAGCCTGTGTTGGTAGCGACCGTTACATGGCTCCTGAGCAGTACGAGCCCGGTGCTACTGGCTACTCCCCTGCTCAGGCTGACATCTGGTCTGTGGGTGTTTGTTTGTTGAACATTCTGTTTGCTCGCAACCCCTTCGTTACGCCTACCGAGTCCGATGTGCTTTTTGCAGACTATGTCCGTGACCGACAGTCATTGTTTGACATTTTCCCCAACATGTCTCAGGATACCTTCGAGATCTTGACTCACTGCATGGCCATTGACCCGACCAAGCGCTCGTTGGCCGAGGTCCGCCAGTGCATCTTGCGTGCAATCTCCTTCACTACTGACGATGAGTCACTGGATGAGTTCTGTACCGAGGACCGTGAGGTGGTTACCGCCACTGTCAACCGCGAGCCTCTCCGCACTCCCTCTATCCAAAGCCCCCATATCAACCAGGGCGATTCTTTCCCTTGGGCCAAGGCCTTGCAGTCCAGCCCCCCTCAGGCCATCCGCCAGCTGTCTGCTATCCCGGACAACGAGAGCTATACCGAGGACCTGTTCCCTCCCTCGGAGGTGGCTGGTACCTCGTGGTTCTCTGTCCATGCAGACTCCTCATCGTTGGCCTCCGTGCTGGACTCTACCATGGGCGAGTCCTTCCGCTCGCTCCACATTGGCCGAAAGTACGAATCTCCAAAGCTTCCTCGCTCGGATCCAGTCCCCATTACCGGATCCCTTCCCAGCCATGCTTCCAAGCCCCTTCCATCCCTGTCGATGGTGTTTGGTAAGCATGCGAACGATCAGATTTCCAAGAGCTGGAGTGATCTCTGGGACGAGGAAGAATCGGAGAATGAAGAATCCGCACTCCAGATGCGCCGTGAGCAGAACTCTCGCAGCTGGAGCCAGGAAAGCCAGACCACCCGCCTGCCGGATCCTCTGGCGGGATTGCGCGAGCCGGCCTCCGCTTCCCCTATTGATCAAATTCATATCTCGGATATTCAGCCGACCGCAGCCCGTGCCATTCGTGCCAAGTCCCTCGATGTCAACAGCGATACTGGGACTTCCAGCAGCACCCCTCGTCCATTCCACCAACCGTCGACCCCGCCCAAGAAGGTCTCACCCAACGTTGACAAGTGGGCTGAATTGGGAGACAAGCGCCGCAACTTCAAGACCCGGGAGCTCTTTGGTCCCTCGCGAACCGCCAACAATTGGCGCCGTGATTGGGGTCTTGGGTCCTCCGGATTCGATCATGGATCCCGGACCAAGCGCGAGTCTCCTCAGTCCGAACGTCGCCGTCGTTTCTTCCTTGAAAAGGATTGGCGTCGTGAGAGCGGTGATGCTCACAAGCATTCCCCCAATCATTCGCCCTTGAAGCATGCGGCCTACGACGGTAGTATCGACGAAGACCTCGATCTTGTGGGCGGATGGCACGACCTCCACCTGTAGCACTACTTTTATGCCACTGCTGTGAACCATATTCGATTCTATGTTCAATCCATTACAGCCACGGTGTTCTTCTCTTCTCGCAGTCGTTGCGATGTCCTTTTTTGCGCTTCTTTTTCGAAATTGAGCTGGGAAAAAAAAGTTCAAAAACCCTCACAACCATAAACTAATTACGGTTATTCCTGTGTTTCTTTTCTCATCCTTTTGTCTTTCTTGTTCTTCGATTTTGGACCGTCTGCCGATGCCCTTCTTCGCCTGCTCTCCAACCTTGACCGTGTCACCTCGAGGCACGTCATTTGCCTGCTCACAGCCTGCCTTTTTTTTCACTTCTTCTTCAACATCTTCAACTTTGTACTATATGTGGCTGTGGGCAGCAGAGCTACTGGGCAGAAGGTATCGAGCACCAAAAAGACTAGAAGGCGGAGGGGAATTGTCCTTGGGGAAGGTGTTCTTTTTTATTTTGCCTCTCTTCTCTGTTTTTCCATTTCTTTTCATCATCATTTTTATTTATCACCCCTTTTGCATATGGACTTATAACGACTCGGGGAGAAAAAGAGCATGTGTGGATGTTTTTGGAAGAAGATGGGATCGGATTTGGGAATCTGCGAGGTGGACGGTGGATTTCCTGCATTCTACGGCGTGCTTTTTCCCTCTTTGACAGTGTACTGAACCCTGATTATGTGTGTGTATGTAACTAGCTATGTGGGACCGTCAAAAGGAAAAATTGAACCATCCGTGAAAGAAAGAACTTGTCTTGTGTCTATCGTAAATTGTAAACTCTTGTAAAGTTGAAAAGTTAAAACTTTGTGAAGTCCTGCTGCATGGATGTCCCCGTTGGGCTTAATGTCTCCGGCTGAATGTCGAGTGGGCACGGGCTTAGTGGGTCTCGAATGAGCGGTGGACATTGTGCAGCGTGCAATGCAGTTTCAAGGTTCAAGCTGCCAGTTACATGAGCAATGCAGATCAGGGGTTTTTTATTCTTGTAGCCATATCAAGCATGGAAATTCTTTATAGTCGAATAACATGATTAGCAATAGAATAGATTATCATCTCTACTATACTCTAGAATAGGACTCCAGTAAAGACAAGATCCAAGCGGCGGTGAAGAGGGCGGTGACCCCAGCTGTCAGATGGCCCGAGATGGCCACCGATCCACTTCAATGGCGAGCTCGACTCGCTTGTTGGCGCCTCCAAAAACCGTCCTATTCTCTCTCCAAAACCGCCCCGAAATTCGCTGGCACCATCCCACCGCAACTCTGTGCTAGCACTAATCTAAATGTTACCCCGCGATTGATCTCACCGACGCCTCGATTTTCGATTTTCCATTTCGCCTCGACGAACACGGACTGATCCCGCTCCCGCCCCGAGCTTGAAATTACTCACTCCTGACCACATGACGATGCCTATATCGTAAGGACTCGGAGAGACTGGAGTGAAATAATAGGCTGGCAGAAATCGCTAGAGGGATCTTGTGCTCTCGTCGTGACTGGAAGAGGGTTTTGTTGGGGGCTGGGAAGGATAGGGAGTCATTCGCGCGACTGGTGGTTACACCGACCCTTATCGCCCTCGAAGTGATCAAGATGGTGACTACACGGCGGTCATGGCCGACGTGGTTGCGATATGGATCGGTCATGTTGGCGCTTTCGGCTCCTATATGTGGGAATGGAGTGCAGAATTCTACGCAGGTTGACCGGGCCGTGATATTGGAGACGTCGTGTCCGGTGAAGACTGTGTGGGAGGTTGAAGCAGAGGTATTCCGAGAACCAGTTTGCTTGGAGACTCGATGGGGTCGAGGGAAGGAGGAACAAAGGCAGCAACAACAACCTGCTTCTACGTCGAGTGATGTCGGTGGATATACTACGTCGACGATAGCCTCGACTGCCGCGGTGGGAGCAGGAACACCTGCGGCCGTTGCAGAGCAAGAAGCAGATCACGACGCGGATGCGGACTCTTTGCTTGATAGCTCGAATTTTCTCTCCTTTGAGGATTGGAAGAAACAGAATCTGGCCAAGGTTGGACAATCCGCTGAAAACGTTGGAGGGAGCAGACGTGCTGCGGCGGTTGGCAAGGAAGGCCGACGACAGCCCGGCATTAATAATGCGCTGGACTCTCTTGGAGATGATGGGGAGATTGAATTGGATTTTGGCGGGTTCGGCGCTGAAACGCCCGAGGCTAGTCCCACGGCTTGGGGGACGCCTGTTCCTTCGCAGTATGTTGACCCGTTGGATGGCGAGCAAGGTGGAGATGTTCATACTCAGAGTGCGCCTCAGCCGGATGTTTCTCGGCGCAAGGATGCGGGCACAACTTGCAAAGAGCGGTTTAACTATGCGTCCTTTGACTGTGCGGCAACGGTGTTGAAGACGAATCCCGAGTGTAAGGGGTCTTCGGCAGTGCTTGTCGAGAATAAGGATAGTTATATGTTGAACGAGTGTCGTGCCAACAACAAGTTTCTTATTCTGGAGCTGTGTGACGATATCCTCGTGGACACTGTGGTTCTGGCCAACTACGAATTCTTCAGCTCCATTTTCCACACTGTCCGAGTGAGTGTCTCGGATCGGTATCCCGCGAAGCCGGACCAGTGGAAGGAACTGGGTGTCTTTGAAGCGAGGAATACTCGCGAGGTGCAGGCCTTTGCGGTTGAGAACTCGCTGATTTGGGCTCGATATCTGCGGGTTGAGTTTTTGACGCACTACGGTCATGAGTTTTACTGTCCCGTTAGTCTTATTCGGGTTCATGGTACTACTATGATGGAGGAGTATAAGCATGACGAGAGCGTGAATCGTGCGGAGCCGGAGGTCGTGGAGACTGTTGAGACTGTCAAGGTTTCTGGCCAGGCTGAGGCTCAGCATATTGAGTCTACCATCGAGGAGATTGCAATTGAGAGCAAAGAGTATGAGCAGATCCATGAGATTTGTCCGAATCCTCTTATGGAGGTGGAATCGCTTCTTTTGGGACACTCGCTCTTTGCACCTGAAACTTGTGCTCTTGGTGAACAGACAGCTGGAAATAGGACAGAGAAGACTGTCCCGCCAGCCAAGATCAAGCAACCGTCGGGTATCAACTCGACAGCTATACCGGGAGATGGCGCTTCTGCCTCTCAGTCTGGTTCGGCCGTTCCACCGAAGGTCCCCGAGGATACTCGCAAGACGGGCGATTCGGCCAAACCTGTAGCAGCAACACCCGACACACCAGTCGCCGTGACGGATAGTTCCCAACAGGATTCTACCGTTGAAAGTACGGGGAAGTCCACTACCAATACCAAAGAAGAGCAGCAAAACAGTCCACCACCAGAATCTATTCGACCGACCTCTACCCAACCACCATCTCCCAACCCGACAACCCAAGAATCATTCTTCAAATCCGTTCATAAACGGCTACAAATGCTAGAGTCCAACTCTACGCTATCTCTGCTCTACATCGAAGAGCAATCTCGCATCCTCCGCGATGCATTCAACAAGGTAGAGAAACGTCAACTCGCAAAGACGTCCACCTTCCTCGAGAACCTGAACACCACGGTACTCAGCGAACTCAAAGAATTCCGCGAGCAGTACGATCACGTCTGGAAATCCGTCGCTTTTGAATTCGAGCACCAGCGCATGCGGTACCACCAGGAAGTACATTCCCTCAGTGCACAACTCGGCGTTCTCGCCGATGAGCTGGTCTTCCAGAAGCGAGTCACCATGATCCAAAGTATCATGGTCCTCTGCTGCTTCGCAGTAGTCCTCTTTTCACGAGGATCCGTCGGCACGTACATGGAATTCCCACGCGTCCAACGCATGGTCGCGCGATCCTACAGCTTGCGCTCCTCGTCCCCTCCCTTTGAATCCCCATCGGCCAGCCCGGGTTCTACACGGCCGACATCCTCGTACCAGGAGCGCTCCGCCCATCGCCGGAATCTGTCTGATAGTTCCTCGGGGGATAGCGCCAATAGTCCCGAGGTGACTTATATCCCGCCGACGCCGACGTCCGATGTCTCTCGGGAATTCGAGGAAGAGGAGAAACTTGCTCAACCTCCCTCGCCCGGAGCAATTTCGGTGCCTGCACTGGGTACACCGCAGTTCCGGTCGCATAGTACGCCGCCCGTATTGAATACTCGGTCCTCGGAGTTGGATATGAGTGGACAGGGGGAGGATAATATTCTTCCATCTGCGGCTTCGACCGTATCGGAGGAATCGCCTCAAATATCATGAGGTTGGTTTCCAGTTTCCAAATAGGATCATCAGGCATTGGCCGGCCATGATTCATCATTCCACATGACTGCCGGCGATTGCCGAAGCCTTCCTCCATTGCATCACGTTCCGTTCTTTCCTTTTCGTCCCTTTTTTCCGGGTTCATTCCCATAATGTCTGTTTATGACTTTTTTTTGCATGGCGTTCCGGGCATAGTCTATGATCTGGCGAGTGTACGTTTGTACTGTATGACTGGTCTACGAAATGATTCCCACTGGTTTTGACTTGACTTGTTGCTTTCGTTTTTGAGTTTTGGCCGATTTATTTTCTTGAATACCTCTACTCCTACCAATGCATTTTCGGTCGGATTCTCCAGTCCACGGACCAAAAACAAATAAACCATATCATAACAGTAACTCTCCATAAATAATGACTAGAGTAAACTAAACCCTAATTCTTGGAATGCTCAAAATCCGTGCGTCATATCCGGTCGGCAACGAACTTAACTACAATAGTTACTAATTGAGTCATGGACTGGTTGCCCTGCCAACAATCGAAAATCGGCATTTTTCCTCGCCTGCACTAACAACACGTTTTTCTCTTATCCGATCCACAATCTCCTCCTCACAAGACCTGTTTCTTTCTACCTCCGCATCAATTGCTCTTCATCGTGATACAACGTACTTGTCTTGTTGATTCCGACTTTCCCTTCAACTCTGACCTTATACTCTATACACAACCATCCACATCCACCTACACATTTCACGATGGACTCCACGACACACGCCCAGCCTCTCGCGGACCGCCCGACTAACACGCACCTCGCCAATGCTTCCTCGGGCGACAAGTCGGATCTGAAGGGTGATATTTCCTCGATGGATTACCACCGCCAGGTGCTGCAGGGGAAATTGGAGAGCGGTGAGAAGTAAGTGTACACTCAGTGCTGCAAGCAGCATACAGTTCTGGACTGGATGCAGACTCGAGCCTGAGCCCAGTGGTTTTTGGAGAATTGGGACTAATTGGCTTTGACAGGCAACCTTCTGCTTATGTCTCCCCGTCCGATGACATTATGAGCCCGTGCACGAAGAAGTTGAGCGATATCAAGGGCAAGCGGTTTAAGAAGTAGGTGGTTTCTATCCTGTGGACTGTGGGACTGTGGGCTCGTACAGTTCATGGTCAGAAAGATGAGATGAAGAAAGAGTCTGTGCTAATAATTCCTTTTTTGCAGTGCCGGCAAGCCCCAGTCGCTGTTTGCAAAGCTCGGCAAGAAGAGCTACGAGCAATCTTCATCCGCAGGACAGAACCAGGCGACCGAATAAACGGCGCGAGAGGTTGACTGTTTGACTTCTTTGCCTTGTCGACGTGTCTTCGGTGTTTGGGATGCTACTTGGTCGGCTGGATTCCAGGTTGTCTCGGATGGTTGGGGCGCTGGTTCGTCCTTGCTTGACCGGGGACTCTTTCTTTCTACAGGAAATGTTGGATCATCCCTGTTTCCTGGTAGAAGATTGGATTCGATCGAGAGTGATCTCTTACTTCCTGGACCGTTGCTGCTTTGATTACTGGTGCTCTTTTTATTGTTTCTTTTGTAATGACCCGCAATGCCTTCTTTTGTCCTCTTTTTTTTTTTTTCCTCTCTTGTGTTACTGGTTCTGTGTTGGGGGGTTTTGGACTCTTCTATGTTTTTCATTTTGGCTTTTGGGGGTAATTTGTGCTTAGATATGGTACAATGGGAACGTGGCAAGGATCAATTGGAAACCGGCGATATCCCCCGTTGACTAAATCGAGTAAATGGAGTAGCTACTAATTGTGGCGTGAGTCGTATACATCGGCGAACTGGCCGAGGCTGAGGAGAAGACGATAGCCGGTCGGCTTGGACCCCCTCAATCAGCCCATTTCACAGCCCATTTGACAGTAAAAACCCTCAGGAGATTGATTTCTAATCAGCCCAGAATGACTTCAGATTGGCTGCATTCATATTTTATTGCGTAGTATTCCTAGTGGAGAGCAAATCGAATAGTATATCTTAGGTAGAAGGCACCCTTCCAAGGCTCACTAAGTTAAGCGCTGGGCCGAGGCAAAATCCGCTACGCTCGGCTTTCTCCACAGCGCTTCTCCGCAATTCTCAATGGGCTGACTTTATATTCAGCTTTGCTGGCTCCTTCTTTCATTCCTCCCATCCTCACACACACCCCCCTTATCACACATCATGTCTGCCTCTACTCGTATCCCCCCAATCGCCCAGCCCTTCGTCAGCGATCGGGCTAAGAAGACTCTCGACTTGGTAATGCTGCCCGCCCTCTGACCCCCACGCTGTTATCCCCGATTACCCCATACCTTAACCCAAGGCTCACTGGACTAACACTTCGGTATACAACAGGTTGAGGAGTTCGTTGAGAAGGACTGTATCCCCGCCGATGCCGTCTTCTCCGCCCAGCTGGGCGAGGGCGAGAAGCGATGGCAGACTACACCCGCCGTCATCGAGGAGCTGAAGCTCAAGGCCAAGAAGCTCGGTCTGTGGAACATGTTCCTGCCCAAGAACCACTTCAAGCAGGGTGCTGGCTTCAGCAATGTGGAGTACGGTCTGATGGCTGAGCTGTTGGGCAAGAGCAAGATTGCTTCTGAGGTATGTTCCGCCAGAACCGAAGAAGGGAGAGGAATAGATAGAGAAGCTAACGGTATTGTGCTTGACAGGCTACGAACAATGCTGCCCCCGATACTGGTAACATGGAGGTGCTGGCCAAGTATGGCAATGAGGCGCAGAAGCAGCAGTGGCTCGTTCCCTTGTTGGAGGGCAAGATTCGTTCTGCTTTCCTGATGACCGAGCCCGATGTTGCTTCTAGTGATGCTACCAACATTGAGCTGGAGATTCGCCGTGAGGGTAACGAATATGTTCTGAATGGCTCCGTAAGGCTCCCTCTTCTTCTCATTATATCCGTCCGATCTATGCACCCTTCGAACTCCCTCCTAACACATCCTCTAGAAATGGTGGTCCTCCGGCGCCGGTGACCCCCGCTGCAAGATCTACCTGGTCATGGGCAAGTCTGACCCCAGCAACCGCGATACCTACCGCCAGCAATCCGTCGTCCTCGTCCCCGCCGACACCCCCGGCGTAACCATCCACCGCATGCTCCACGTCTACGGCTACGACGACGCCCCCCACGGCCACGGCCACATCACCTTCAAGAACGTCCGCATCCCCATCTCCAACATGGTCCTCGGCGAAGGCCGCGGCTTTGAAATCATCCAGGGCCGTCTCGGCCCCGGCCGCATCCACCACGCCATGCGCACCATCGGCGCCGCCGAAAAGGCTCTCGAATGGCTGATCGCCCGCGTCAACGACGAGCGCAAGCAGACCTTCGGCAAGCCCCTCTCCGCCCACGGCGTTATCCTCGAGTGGATCGCCAAGTCGCGCATCGAGGTCGACGCCGCTCGTCTCATCGTGCTTAACGCCGCGATTAAGATTGACCAGGGCGATGCCAAGTCTGCGCTGAAGGAGATTGCTCAGGCGAAGGTTCTCGTGCCCCAGACTGCGCTGACGATTATTGATCGGGCTGTGCAGGCGTACGGTGCTGCGGGTGTGTGCCAGGATACTCCTCTTGCGTATCTGTGGGCTGGTATTCGGACACTGCGGATTGCGGATGGTCCTGATGAGGTTCACTTGCAGCAGTTGGGTCGTAGGGAGAACAATGCCCGCAAGGAGGCTGTTACTGCTAAGCTGAAGTGGCAGCAGGAGGAGTCGGATCGGTTGTTGATTGCTTCTGGGTTTAAGGCTAAGAGCCACCTGTAGGATGAAAGAGGAAGTTAACGCATATAGTTTATAGTTGTTTGATACTAAAGACAGAATGAAAATCTAATATTCTGCACTGGCTGCCGAGCTATTACGACTTGATCTTATGTGTAGGAGTGTGGATAGAGTTAATGTGGTATAAGTGCATTGACGATATGCTAGATACTCCCCCAACGCCTGCAAATGTCTATCCAAGATACTCAGTCCATCATAGCATGCATATTCCGTATCGCCATCACCATCATCTCCAGCCAGCTCCTCCGAATATCCAAAGTAGTGACTGGCACATAGTTACAGACAGAAGGAAAAAACGTGGGTCACATAGGAAAACATCTCAAATGGGAATCCGAGGCATAAACCATCCATCCCGACTCGCCGGCCGAGGTAAAACAAAAAGAAAAGAAAGACGCACGCGCAACCCAAAAAAGGAAAAATGTCACTTTTAGTAGAAGTCCTCGGTCTCCTCGCCGTTGTTACGCTTGGCCTTTGCCCGGCGCTTGTTGCCCTTGAAATGCTTCTTGGAACCGGCTGCCGAACCCTTAACCTCGGAAACGTCTACACCACGCTCCAGGGCGATCATCATACGCTCCTTGCGGCCGGTGAGGTTCTGACGGATCTGCTGGCCTTGCTCGGTGTACTTGTGGTTGAATGGCATGTTGAGGCGGCCGGCAGAGGGACCGGTCGCGGTGCCAAAGAAGCCGCTGTCGAGGTTGCGGGACTTCAGGCCTGGTTGGTTGTCGGCAGGCTGGGACACGAAGGAGGAGATATCCGGTTCAGCTCCGGCTTCGGTCTCATCGTCAACACCGGTTTCCACGTCCACGATCGTCTTGGCAAGGAGTGCCTGGCGCTTGGCGGGGAGATGGGCGATGTCGTAGAGCTCGCGGTTGAAGACGTTGGGGTCGGTGGGCTCTTCGCCTTCGGCAACGGGGGGAGGGTGGACGAAGAGCAGCTTGCCGTTCACGTAGTCCTTAAGAACATATCGAGCAGCACGAGACTCGTCGGGCTGACCCAGACCCTGGGTTGAGAAACCACGGGCGCGTGCGTAAGCACGGAGGACCTCGCTGGCGGTGGGGATGCCGGTACCGCCCTCCTCCAGAGGTCGGGTACGGATCTTCACACCGTAGACGTTCTCCAGGAAGTGCTTGGGGATGCGCTGGGCAACGAGGCCGGAAGGACCGGTGAACTCGCGCTGCTGGTCAATGGGCAGGACACCGTTCACGACCAAGTCGGCCTTGGTGGTGGCGAAGTTGGGGAACACCAGACCGGGACAATCGCAGAGCATGATCTCCGGGGAGAGGTACAATGTCTGGAAGTGCTTGGTCTTACCGGGGGTGGCAGAGACGGACACCTTCTTCGCACCGAGGAGGGCGTTGATGGTACTGGACTTACCCACGTTGGGGTAACCGACCAGACCGATGGTGGTCTTGCGCTTAGTAGGGGCATCGGGGTCCTCGCTTTGTAGAGTCTCGGGAGAGTTGGCCAGGAAGAGTTCTTCCAGCTCATCAACGTCAAGAATATGGGGTCCAAGTGATTGATCTGGGTCGACGAGCTTGGCAGCGATATCCTCTGCTTCATCTTCCTCCTGACTCTCCTCTTCATCCTGAACATTCATCTTCTTAGTTGACTCCGCCAGCTCCTCATCCTCCTGGGACTCCTTGAGCATCTCGGCCTCCATCTTTTCCTTGGCCAGGTGGGCTGAGAAGAAACGGAAGTTAATGTTGTTCTGCTCAAAGTACTCAGCCCAGGCCTCTCGTTGCTTCAGAGTCAACATATCGGCCTTGTTGACCAATAGCAAGTTCTTCTTGCGGGAATCAATCTCCTTGACATAGTTCTCCAAATCCTCGGAACGGAATTGAAGCGGGTTACGAGCATCGACAATCTGCACGACGAGATCGGATCGCTCAATGACACGCCACAGCTGGCGCCAGACTTCCAAGTTACGCTCGAAGGGAGTCATGAGCAGATCCTGGTTCTCCTGAAGTTCTGCAAGCCCTCGACGCCAGTCCAACAGACTCTCACGCTCCATCATCTCCAGTTGTTGCGGTGTCGTGGACGAGTCCCACTTTGGACGTCTAGGCACGGTCAAGCGACCCTTATTCTTCTGGTGTTTCTTAACGGCCTTCTTCTCTTCGGAGGCAGACAGGAGGTATGGGTTCTTCTGATCGGAGTGAATGATCTTAACGTTGTTGATTTTTTCGGCGGTAAAGTCGGTACCGGCCAGCTCGGCAGTGCTGAGGAATTCATCGAGCGCGGCCTGTTCAGTGATAGAGCGCATCTTCACCCAGGATGCCTCCTGGGCTTCGTTGGTGATGTAGGTTTCACCCATCATATTCTTGCGCGCAATGGCATTGTTGTGCGACGCCTTCTTCTGGTTCGAGGCTTTGCCCTTGCCGAAACGATCGTTCATGAGGCTGTTACCCAGCCCCACGGAGTTCTTGGATTTAGCCAACACCATGATGACGGTTGTTCCGGTGTTGCTGTGGTGTCTTGATGTTGGAGAAAGAGAGTCCTTTCGACCCCGCCTGAAAATGGGAAATCTTTTGGATTATTCAGACGGATAAGATAACGCTGACTCAGCGGGGCTCGGAGGGGGAAAAATCTCGAATGATCGTAATCCCGACTGAGTTTAGCAGTAAAAGGATTCAGATTGTTGTAAATTGGTAATTTATACCTATTTCATATTTTACTAATGATTTTTTAAAACTAATTCTCGCTAAATTCGTCGCTAATTCAGGCCGCCACTTTATGAGGACCCGAGGGGCTCAGGCATCGATAAGCCCCACGTGACCTCTATCTATCCCACTTTTTTCGCTTTTTTCGAGCGCGAGTTTCTTGACCGACATCAGACGCCAAAATGCCGCCCCGCCAGTGGATGTAAGTCTAGCCGTTTCTCAAGGCTATGCGAGAGCTGAAGCTGACTCCTTCATAGCGACAAGAAAAATGCGAGCACTTTCCAGCTCTTTCACCGTTCCCAAGCGGATCCATTGATCCACGACCCCCAGGCTGAGGACCGAGTCCTGCACCAAGTCAGCGGTCCTGCTCCTCCTTCCTCTTCTGCGTCGACATCCTCGCAGAAGCCCATCCGACACCTCTCCGAACTCCAGTCTGAATTCAAGAGCCAAGCGATCCGCCGCAACGAGGGTGAAGCTGCCAACTATGGCATTTACTACGACGACTCCCGGTATGATTACATGCAGCATTTGCGCGAACTCGGCACCGGTGGTGGCGATGCGCACTTTGTGGAGGCCAAGGTTGAGAAGGCCAAAGGAAAGGGCATGAGATTGGAGGATGCTTTGCGCCAAGTCTCTCTGGACGACTCGCAAAGTGCGTACGGGTCGCAATTCGGCGACTTGCGCTCGACTGCGTCGTCGTACGTTCGCAAGCCGACGTATCAAGATCAGCAGAACGTCCCTGATGCGATCGCTGGTTTCCAGCCAGACATGGACCCTCGTCTGCGAGAGGCCCTGGAGGCTCTGGAAGATGAAGAATATGTTGATGATGGCGACGAGGATCTTTTCGGCGAGTTGACGAAGGGCGGAGAGGAGTTGGAGCAGGGTGATTGGGAAGACACCCTATTTGATCACGACGAGTACGATGAGGGATGGGAGTCGGATGCTACCGAGAAAGCGCCTGTGCAGCCCGACAGGACTGATGCGCAGCGACATACTGAGGAAGCGTCATCAGAACAGGGTTCTAAGGATCTCGAGCCTGGTGAGATGCCGGGGCATGATGAGCCTGCTCCGGATATGCACCCCCAGGATCAAGGATGGATGCAAGAGTTCGCCAAATTCAAGAAGGATGCCAAGTCCGGCAAGACTGCCGCGCCAGCTGCACCCACGATTGCACCCTCCGAGCAACGTACTGTTGCTTCGACTGCGTTCACCGCTGGTGGTACTCCGATTCGCCGCAAGAAGCGCAAGGGTGCTTTGACCAACCCCTCCGCCTACTCCATGACTTCCTCTGCGCTGGCCCGTACCGAGGGCCACCGACTCTTGGATGACCGGTTCGAAAAGGTCGAGGCTCTGTACTCCCTCGACGAGGAGGATGAGTATGATGATGGTATGTCCATGGTCAGTGGTATGACTGGAGCCACCGGTATGACTGGCATGTCCAACGCCTCGTCCATGGCGCCCAGCCTCGTGGACGGCAACGGCGCAGCGGTCTCGCGCAGCGATTTCCACAACGTCATGGATGATTTCCTTGCCGGCTGGGACGACAACACCAGTTCTCAAGCTAAGCGCAAGGGCACCAAGTATAAGCGTGGCAAGAACGGCAACGAAGCCATTGGTATCCGCATGCTTGATGAAGTGCGTTCCGGTCTCGGTCCCGCTCGCTTCTCTGCTAGTGGTAACGGCCGGAAGGTGCCCGGACGAGCTTAGATGGATGCGAGACTGCATGCATGATACGACACTGCAATGGTATTACCCAATCATGATACGGAGTTTGGGCTTGGTTTCGGTCTGTTTTTTCTGGATATCTCAATCCATTTCTTTGCATATGCGCTAGGGTTGATACAAGGACTAAACAAAAGTGATATTGTTTCTTGGTACCTGATCTACGTTTAAATCAGTAGTTCCGTCTATGACTTGTCCCATATAATTTATTAAATCTTTTACTAATCGGGATCGCGCCTTCCTTTGAGCCCTCCCCGACGCCTTTTCCTGTGTGACCAATCGGTGGCAATTAAGGTCAGATTTACCAGCCTAACGAATATTCACGTAGTAGTCAGACTCCGACTTAACAAGAAACATGATTGAGTGATTGAGTGACCGAGTCTGAAACGGGCCGCGGTCTTGACTAATTACTATCAAGGTAACTAACTAATAGAGCTTGCCCTTCATAGGAAGTACGAACTCCAAGTCCGTGACGTATACCGCAAATATTACCAGCAGGCATCGCCTTTGTGTAGACGATTCCCTCTGTCCCACCGTCTTCTAACCATCCCATACTCGAATTTTACCGGCTTTTGAGATGATAGCTTCAGTACAGCCGCATAAGGTTTTCTTGATAACCGAGATCCTGGAAATGATTTTACTCCAGACCGATATACAAACATTACTCGTATCAGTCCAAAGAGTATGCCATCGATGGAAAGATCTAATTCAACATTCGGCCGATCTACAAGCCGCCCTATTCTTTAAACCCGTGAGATATACCCTACCAGGCGGGAAACCAGGTATTCGTAACCCATTATTAGATAAGTCTATATGGCCATGGTTCTGCTCAAAGCAGACACAAAGTTGGGGGGCACCTGAAGTTGAAGAGATCAAGATACCACCGTTTGATCCTCGGGACAACGAACGTTTCCTCCGAAAAGAAGCGAGTTGGACTCGAATGTTGTTTCAGCAACCTCCTCGACCTCGTATCGGGATAGTGGAGAAACATGGAGGGGTAGTACCTGGACCAGCATACACAGAATTGAAAGTTAGGAACGGTGATCATTTACGAATTGGTGATCTGGTTAATCCCCATTTCTCAATTTCTGACTATGTTCACCCGTTACCGGAAGAGGGATTAATCTGGTGGGGGAACGTCCGTACCGATCGAGGCAACGACTGGGACAATTGGTGGGCCCGCCAAGATGCAGCACTGATGTATTCCAAGATCAGCAGGAGCCAAGTAGCTTATGCTACTTCTATATATCAAAGGGATTGTGATATTGTTATTTTCACTCTTCGTTGCGACCGAATTCGAGGAGGTAAACGATATAGGCCACCCTTTCATGATGACAGAATGTGCGTTAATACACTGTTACTGTGGCTGCACCACGACGTTAGGACGCCTCTTGTGCTTGGGCGAACTTCTGTGCCGATGCCTGCGGTATAGGTGCTCTTGACATTTCACACCTTCCTTGGTGTGGCCAACTGATGGAAATTGCTATCAACCTATTCATCAGAACTCATTGGCCTGACTTAGCTTGTGCTACGTGGGATACATTGCGGTGGCCAACAAAGCCACCTTATCTCTTGCTCTCCCGCGAAAAGTTAGCAGAGGGGGAAACGGTCGAAGATGGTCGATAGGATTGTGGTATCTGGACAGTAAGAGACGAGGATTGCTAGAGGCTAAAGGGCTATGGCCTATAGCATATCGTTTATCTGGCTATACTAGCGACTAAAGCTATAATTTGATGCTCTTGAGGCTTACTATAAACTAAGAATAAGGCTTCTGTAAAGGATTTGATGTAGCCTCATGTTCGGAGAATCGATAGCTTGTATTACGTAGACCGAGTTTTCGAGGACAGCGAACCACGTAGATGTCGCAACGGTTTCCATTTAAGCCTTGACTAACCGGATCTACTTCACGAAAGTCTCAAATTACATATACAAAGTTACATGGTAGCCGTATCACAGAGCTCCTCCAACCTTTAGACGTCATCGTCATCATCATTCTTCATACGTTCCAGCCAACACGTGTCTTTACATATACGCTAGGGTTGATACAAGGACTTAGTAGAAGTTATATTGTTTCTTAGTACATGTTCCATGTCTAAACTAGTAATATAGTCTGCAACTGGTCCCAAGAATTGATTCTCAAAGAATTGGGATATCTCAAGTCGCTCTCCTGTTTCTGATCGTATAAGATGGCCAGAATACCCTCTTTCTGCGCTGCGTGCACATCCCGTATCTCATTGTCCCCGAAGTAAGCCATATCCCCGGGCTGAATGTTATACTTCCTCAGAATGGCCCCAAAAAGCCCATCAATCTTTGATTTCCCAACCTTATTGGTTGTTTCAAGAACATCAACATAGGGCCACAGGCCCAATTCCCGAACAGTCCATTCCTGAGCATCAGCCGGGCCCTCGGTGATCACGATTACTTTCTTGTCCAGTCGCTGCAGAGTCTCAAGTAGTTGTAATGCGCCTGCTTTCAGAGCTAAGTTAAATCGCAGCGAAGATTGATAGATCCCAAGTAGACGGTCGATGTCCTGACTTTCATCAATGCCATTGTCTTGCAGGAGCCGTGTAAATCGTTCTCGCCGATATTCAGTCGAGGTCCTTCCGTCTGTGAAAGCATGGGCCGTCGATTCCTTCAGAATTTCTTGATATTTGGTCCTTAGGTGATCGACAGGTTTTCGGTATTTGTCACTGATGGCTTCGAATACACTGAAAGAAGCCTGGCCTGATGCTTTGCGGAATTCATGCAGGGTATCGTCCAGATCGAAGCCAAACCATGTTTTGGAGGATAGGGTTGCTTTTAGATCAAACTCGGACTCGCTCATTTCCAAAGACTATGGGCTCTTCCTGTTTTTCTGCGTTCCAAAACAGATGACTTTGCTAGAAAAATCGTTCAGTTGCTCTGACGATTGCGCCATTTTGTGATGTTATTAGCCATTCTCCTCAAAGTCGAGGCTTTGAGGATTGTGACTCATGAGTGGTGGGGTAAGAACAACTCAAGGCTATCTATCATAAAATAAGTAAAATAGTGGAATATTCGGTTCCCGAGGATTAGTACGAAGTCTAAGGGGAGGGTCTAAGAGTCGACGAATCTCCAATGGGGTTGATTACTCTTACTATTGAGATTGTGCTGAGGTTCAATCAAGTTAGTGCACCACAGAGTTGAGAAGCTAGTGAGAGGTTCATCATGATCTACACTAACTTGATAACATCGTAATATGCTGGAACATCTAGAAATTACTTAGATGTCTATACTCTACATCTAATTATGTCGAAACAATAATAAAGGGAATGGAAGGAGCTTGCTAAAATAATAGACCTAGAAAGCTGAGCTTGACTGTCAATAAAGAAAACATAATGCGTTGTTCACTCAATCTTTTGATCTATGCTAGTTCCATCTTACATCATTATCAGTCAATTTCACTTCCTTTCATCCTTGATATCACGACCCCCAGAAGAACTATTTAAGCTCCCTCTGATTGCTACCTCACAAAGCTCCATCTCATCTTCAAACCCTCGCAAACACAACTAAGACCTACACAAACTTCAGAACCAACTTCTTTACTAACGCTAACCTTGGAATCATCGGAAGCATACTTAACTATACAACTCCATTCCTCCTTTACTTGCCCACTATGGATTCGGAAAATCCCTCCTCTGGTCAAGACCAGCAGCAACGGCTGTACGGCGACTTGCAGAGGATCGGCTTCGAATGGGAAAAAAGATCGAAAATAGCCGGGTTCCATGTCATATCGGCACTGTCCTATTGACCTGGGAGTATTTGGAGGCAGAGAACCAACCGTCGGTCTTGCTACCAAATGAGGAAGCAGGAACCATCTGGTGTCGGTATCAGCTTGGTTGCAAACAACTACAAGAGGCTACAGAGGTTAACCTCCCTCTCGAAACGTATCCCTCAATTGAAGAGTCTCCGTACTACTGCTTCGGATACTGGAGAATTGTCCTTGACCCCCAAGGAAACTACGAAGGCAAGGCCTGCTCTGGAATAGTGGGACCAGGCTCTCTGTGGATTGAGTATGTCGAGAGCTTTACAGACCCCAAAGACTGGTATATCTCTGAGGTACTCGGTGCCGCATACGAGAACAAGTATGGGTTTGCGACCTTGAAGTACATTTTCGTAGACAATATCGTCGAGACTGAAACCAGAGAGTTCTGTCTAACACAACTCCTCACTGAGCGCAATGGTCTTTGTAGGCCACCTCCAGAAAACAAAGTCTTTGTCTGGCGTTACTCCTCTGCTGAATTCCGGGCCTTACTGGGTACGCCAATCGGCAGGGTAGTCGCAGGTCTCGTCCTTTGTGTCATTGCATCGTCGAACACAGACTGAATGAGATTCAATGACAAATGGGACAACACGACAAAAGGATAAAAGGTTGAATACGCATTAGGACAAGAAGGCTAGTATGCGGGATTTATCACATTATCTTACAAGTACAAGCGGGAATAAGCCCACCCTTCGTAGATTTACATATACAAATTACATGGTAGGTATTATAGAGCTCCACCAACCTTCTCGACAATCCACATGGCAAGACGTACGTTCCAGCCAACACGTCTCTCAGTGCGCATCAAGTCTTCTCTTGAAATCTGCTTTGAGTCCTCCTGAAGCCATTGAGTCTCTTTGCCGAGCTTTTGCTTCAAGTCTTGGTCATTTGTGACGACAAGGGCGCCGACTTCGAGGTCCAGGCTATAGCTTCGCTTTGTGTAGTTGCTGCTACCAACGAAGGTAAGACTGGGGTGTTCCTCACGTGGCAGGGTAACCCAAAGACCCTTGGCATGATAGGTCCACCCGTCCGGCGTGCCCACAGTACCACGGCGCCACTCCTTGAGTTGGATGGAGTTAGTGGCCTGGGCGGCCGCTACACGGTCGAGAAAGCGTGCCGAGAGGTGTGTGTATGCGGCAGGAAGCATGCCAGATACACCCGGGGAGCCATAGAATCCGTTAGCCCAAGGAGAAGCGGTCAGGACTGTCCCTTGCGTCGTGGAAGCCTTCTCAGAAGCGGTGGATGTGCTAGAGATCAAGAGTGATGAAAGGACAGGGTGGATGTTGAAATAACCGGCGGTGAAAAGCCAACGAGCTCCTTCAAAAGCAGGCGATTCCGACAAGAGACGCAAGATGCTTGTGACCGCGGGGAATTCGGTGGAAGTGTCTGGTTTCAGGAGTGGAGTAAATTGAGCCACGGGGTATACAAAGGTTTGGCTGGATGATGAAGAGGAAAGAGCTGGCTTGTTTTCGGATGCTTGAATGAGGGGACTGAGTACGTTTGAGGCGTATGAAATGAAATCTTGAGGACTATCCAAGGGCGAGGGAGCACCGTTGGAAGTAGGCCAGTCCAAAAGATAACCCGAGTGATTATGAGGATCGGGCAAGACCTGGAAGCTCAAGCTGCAGACCGCATGATGAATGCGGGCATAGTAGTCTGTCAGGGCCTTGGAGTCGAAGACATGATATCGATCCAGTCGGTTTGTGAAGTAGTCCTCGGAGAGGTTTGCACTGTACCTGTCATCAGCTCCAACGCTCGCGAAGCATGCTTTCAGAGGCACTTACCCCGAAATGATGATCTCATCGTCAACACCGTACAGCTTCATATGTTGCAAGCCCCAGCCTTCGTTGATACGCTTAGGAATCCACTTCTTCTTCAGACCGGTCAAATTGGGGGTGTGGAACATCCGAATCTCAACCCGCTCCGCTCCATATTCTGAGACCAGCGAGCAAAGGAGCGAAGCGCAGGACGGATTGGGGGTTTCTCGGGTTCCTCGCAAAGCATCGGTAAGAATGGATACTTTGAGGTCAGGATTATCGCGCAAGGCGTGGGATATCGTCTCGATGAGCTCGTATTCGGTCTTGCCAATGTACAACGTGGAAAGGTAAATGCGCCGCTTCGCGTTCCGGATTTTGTTCTATGGAGTTGCGAGTCAGTTTCAATTTGGAGCGATCAATGCATTCCTGGCACAAAGCTAACCTTCAAAGCCGAATAGAAATTGGCCGGAGAATCGAGAATTGTAATCTGTGAAGCTGGAATCTCAAATCGGGGCGCAATGCGATCCAGCTCAACGGTGATTCCACCGAGCGGCGAAGGAGCAGATGCAGCAGTGGTATTGACACCAGTCTGCGCAGAAAACCGGCGATCACATAGTTTTCTGCGTGCAATTGGGCGACGAGCAGCGCAACGAAGCGCTTGGCCTCCAACACGACCGAACATGATTTTTGGATGCGCTGGGAGAAGGATTTCTGAATCGGGAAAGTGACCAGAATCCGTGCAAACGTTGCAAACATTCCGACTTCAGACCTCACCTTCCACACGCTCTGCCCTGACCTCATCCTCGCCCATTGCACCGCAAAGATGTCGACCGTTCTGAGGACACTGCGCAATCTGCGCCGAGTTGGCTTGAAGGTTTGTGATACGCTCATTTTTGACCGCAATGACCCGGGTTGCTAACGCGTTTTTTCAGGACTTTGGTCACCAGATGCAGGTATGATTCTCGCCGCGGACACGGGATATGGGGGTAGAGGGTGGACTTTAGTGGCTAACTCTATGGTTTCTTCTGTTCTTTCCACTAGAACATCGGTACGTTATGCTTCTCTTCAATTGACTTAGTGTGGTAGACTAACCCTGTGCGATTGTAGGTGATACCAAGGCCGGAACCCTCATCGGAGTCGACCGCTTCGGCAACAAGTACTACGAGAACATGGAGGAAGAGCTCCCTCGTAAGACAGCCCATACAGCGGAATGAATGCGACAGAAAATCAAGAATACTAAGTGTCTCTTGTGTTTAGTTCGCACACGCTGGGTCGACTACAAGACCAACTGGCCCGAGTTCCAGCCCGACCAGATTGAGCCTGGCTGGTAAGTCTCTCGCGCGGTTGCTATCGGAAACGATACAAGACCACTTCAGATATTGATCTTTCAACTACAGGCACGCCTGGATCTCCTACATGGTTGACGCTCCCCCCACTGTCGACAAGCTCCTCCAGCCCGGCCAGCGCACTTGGGAGATCCCCGAGCACCGCCCCAACCCCACCTTCAGCCGTGCTGCTTTCAAGACCTACTCTACGTACGTGCTCCTGCTTCTTCTCTCTTCATCGTGGCTAACAATTCGTCACAGCACCCGCCCCAAGTTGTCCGCCTGGACCCCCGTCGCTGCCCCGCGGTAAATCAGTTGACATTTGCTACTAGCAAAATGAATCCAACTTATACACTTTGATCTGCTTTGTTTTTTCCCCTTTCCTTTTCCTCTCAATCTCGAACTGCCCCAGTCAGGCTGCTTCGAAAGATGTACATAAAGTTGTGCTACCAGTGGTTTTATGAGAACTTTTAGTTCAGAAACTTCAAAAATTTTCCATTTCCATATCCTTTAATTTCTAACTATAAAAGGTTCTGAACGTGCTAGTAACCCTCGAATCAGGTGGTGAAAAGTGGTATCTCAAGCGAGGGAAGATGAAAGGGGTAGGGCTGAGCACAAGTGTGATCGGTAAAGGGGAAACTCAAAATAGATACAAGAAGATGTTTAAAATCAATCCCCATTTTCTGCTCTTAAGATTTTTCTTTCAAAGAACATACAACCCGGAGCCAATATTGGACCAGTGCCGAATGGGCCGGCGGTCCTCAAGCTCAATGCACCACCACAGAACGTCCTTCAGTTTATCGATCTGATCACCAGCCTCGTAGGCTCGCGATAAAGCATACCAGGCCTCCGAGTTGTCCCATGAACTGCCAAGCTTGGTCAGCGACGAGAGCAGACCGTATGCGCGATCTCGTGCTGCCAGGCGGTGCAGGTGCTTGGGGTCAACATCATGCGGGGATGAGGAAGTCTCGGCCGTAGGCGGAGTCTCGACGTTAGGCCCCTTCAATTCATCGATGGAAATAGCATTTGCCACCTTTGGCTTGGGGAGGTTAGACAATAGTGACAGCCGAGATACATTGAGATCAGCGTCGGCATTCGACGGCTCCAACGGCAGCTTCTGATCCCAGACATCCAAAAGCAGATTCGCCAGCGCAATAGTCGCTGTCGGATGGTCGGGACAGCGAAGAAGGGCATCCTCGAAGTGCTTCATGGCCTGATGAGGGTTTGACTGACTCTGTGCCAACAGTCCTTGTTCAGCACAAACATCAGCCCAAAGCTCTTCCGAACTCTTGGCATTATCCCAGCCACGTTTGCTGAAAGCCCGAGCTGAGGACTCAAAAGAGGCAGCCAGTGTTTCCACGCGCGAGGTTTGTTTCCAGGCTTCCTGGCAGGCCTCTCGGGCGTCGTCGAACAATGATGCTCGGCGGTACAGACCGGCGATAATGAGCCAGATCTTAACAAGCAGACCAAGAGCGTGCTTCTGAGATTGGACGTATGAGAACTTCGTAGTGGCAAGCGTGGGAGAATCGAATCGATGTGGGGGTGGAAGTCGCGTGTCTTGCACAGGTGGATTTTGTTCATGGCCAGCTGGGGCTGGTTGTTGTCTGTGAGAGATATTGTGCGCGATCGGCTGCAATGGCTGTCTACCACTTGTCGTATGAGATGTTGCCTGGGGGGATGAGTTGCCAGAAACCGCAATCCCCACCGTTTCCGGGGACTCTGTCCCGTTAGGCAACGGAGGCTCCTCAATTCGAGGTCTTTCATGCTTATGGAAGCTGCTGCTACGCTTCTTCAGTCTCTTCGAGTCAGACCTTCCGAGTGATGTTGGACTTTGATGACCTTGACGGTCTTCATCCGTAATCTGAATGGCCGGTGCTTCGACTCCGCTGGGTATGCCGTTTGGAAGGGGCGGTACAGCTGGAACGGAGCCTGTGGAGGGATCAGCCCGACGGTCCGGTAGATGAGAGGCTCGACTGCGGCTAAATATGCTGCCGCGGAAGCTTCGAGCTGTGCCAGCGGAGCTCTTTGGTGGTACCAAATGCTCAGTCTTGGGCTTCGTGCCTTCGCTATCGAGATTGAGGTCGCTGAACAGTGTGGCGAAAAGGCTCAGCAATTGCCCACTTTGGTTGACAGCTGCCTCGGGGCCCTCCATCACTTCAACGAACGCAAGTTGCGTGATGCGAGTTTGGAGTATACGCTCCTTCTCCCGACCCTGCAGTCGGCTCACGAGAGATCGCTTGGAGCCGGATTCCCGTTCCTTGGAGTGGGATGAATGTCGTGATGAACGTCTCTCCGATCGTTTGTCGAGGTGACTCTTGCCAAACACCTCTGGGGGGAATTGCTCAAATGCCGCCTCGCAAGACCGTTCGGCGATATCGAACTCGTTCTTCGCACTCAGCAGCAGGGCGAGTAAATGCCACATGGGGACCAGATCCCTTTCCCTTGAAAGATCTTCAGATGAATCAGAGCAGCCATGAGAAGTCAATGCAGATTTGACATAGCCGATCGCAGTGTCTAGATCGCGATTCTCTGCAAGAACAAGAGACAAGGTGTAGAGGGTTGAGTAGCTCATTTGCTTGCCCAGCGAAGGAGATGCACTCTTCAAGAGATAGTTCACAGCTTCTCCGCGAATCTCATCCCGAGCTTCATTTTGAGGTGTAAAGCTTGCCCAATTCGCAAGGCCGACTCCGACTGCCCGGTAAGCAGCGGCCAAAACAGCTGGGGGAATCTCGGATGAATTAGTAGAGCCCAGACCTTGTGTAAGCAGCAGTTTGCCATTGGCCTTCCCATCTGGCACAGTTGCCCCCTGCTTATCGAGATGCTTTCTAATCAATTCGGTCAAATCCTTGGCCTTTTCTGCCTCGTCGAAGGAGCCAAGGCAGCTCAACAAAGTAACGCCTTCGGAAAGAGTTTGTAAGAAGATTTCATCCTTCTCGAGTTCGCCGTATTCAGCGCCCTTTTCAGCTCTCTCCTTGGCGCCCGTAATAATTTCGATATAGGAGTCCAGGGCCTGAAGGGCAAGGTCAAAGTCTGCCAGGGCAGAATGAACATGAAACAGACGCCGCAAAATCAAGTGGGAATGATAAGTTTTGGTTGCCGCACGATATAGGATCTGACGTTTCGGGATTCGTCAGTATATCTATTCAGATGTGTCACGTCAATTGCACTTACATCCAAAACATTGCGTCCCACAGTATTCTGTCCTCCTTCGCCCAGGTCTTGATCATGCCAGTGGGGTCCACAAAGAACCTCCCAGTTGCTGATGACTTGTTCCACCCATTCTTCAACTTCAGAATTGTTGGAGCTGGCAGTCGGGAATTGGACTTCCCGAAAGAGATTGTTCTCACAGATCGCTTCTATGCGACGCAGTTCACTGGCTAATTGGGGGCGCTCCGGCCCATCACTAGGAGCCGTATACACAAGGTCTTCCTGTAGCACGGTCGTGAGGAGTCCATAATAGGCCTTCCATATGGAGGTTCGGGAGAGCGAGGTGGATGCGTCTAGATGGGAAGACTTGGGAGCAGCCAACCCTTGCTTCACCGCGGGGAGAGCAGCCCAAAGCCGGAACAGCCGAAGCGCAATCTCCACATGTCTGGGGTCAGAGTACGGGGAGCTATTGCGCGCCTCCTCGCTGGCCATTATAGCACCTTTACAAAGTAAAGTCTCGGTCCAGCTTAGGAACTGCGCATTGTTCGAGCCCAGCTTCCCACTGCTTAACCAGGGCATCAAGGAAGCAAAAGTCTCCAGCGTCTCGTCAATTCCAGTAACAGTAGCTTGCGCAGCCCCTGTATAATGATCAGCGAACATGTCCCCGCAGCATCGGCGCTGTGCGAATAATACCCTTAATGTAGCATCCTTTCACCAGGCAGACCTCCGTCCAGGCGGATGGAACCTGTCCTCCGGCGGACATTTCATCCACCGTTGTCGCGAAGTCCTTCGGCAGGCGCCCTGCAGCCAGTGCTGGCTCACTCAAGGCCCAATGGATCCATCCTAGACAGACCTGCGCCTGGACAATCTCCTCCGGAGTTCCGTCATTATTCTCAATGGTAGTCAACAGCGCCGGGATCAGTTCGTGGAGGTTAGGTGTCGATACAGTTTCGGAGGACGTCTTTTGCTGGAGGTAGGTTACGACTCGAGATTCGGCTGTCGCAGTCTGAATAGCACCTTTGGTTGCAAGGATATCCGTTAGCGTCATCTTGGAACACGGCACGGTAGTGGCGCGCGCTTACAAGTACGATGCGGTGCATGTTTCGTCACTTTTCGGATCAATTCAGGTACTTCGTCCCATTTGCCTTGGGCCCGCGCCTGGTCCAAGGACGCGATGTATCGCTGTCCCTTCTCAGCGTTGCCTCCCTAGACCGCACGTGTTAGTTGTTGATAGTCGACGCTCAGCAGGCGCAGCAGCTCTAAATGATGCCAACGTCGAAACCAGAAGTTCAGGACACCTACCGCCATAGTTTCCGGAGGGTTGCAAAGGAAGCGCGGAGAGAGTTGAAGGAGGACAGTGAGGCATGCGTAGACCAGCGCAACTTGCTAGGCCCCGAGATGATCGCCCAGGGGTGGAGAGAGGGTTACGTATCGCCGTGACCGTAATTCCCGTAATTTACCGAGGCTTCATGTGGCCCGAGCTTGTTCCCCAGCCAAAAAAAATATTACCGATAACTTAGTTTAAGACCTTTCCTTCTTCTACAACGATCTTCTCCAACGCTTGGAGCCCGTGTCAATTGAGGTCGCCGAGGCCCTTTCCAGTGTTTGCTACGTGCTTGTCGCTATGGCCTCCACTACTTTGCGCGCTGTCACGCATCGCTTAACAACTACCCCGGTTGACCAACTGCCCTCGATTGCTGCATTCCTCGCGGCCTCGCTGAGCGATTGTGCCGAACTCCTCTCGGCGCCACAAGCCCAAAAACCGGGCAAGGGGGACTCCGACCATGCCGTCCAAATTCACAAACTAAAGATTCGTCTGGCCAGTCTGCTGCAGGACCGCAGTGTTGAGGGACGCTGGACTGCCGTGGTTCTAGTCAAGGCCACTGTCGAAGCAGGACAATGGGAGATCTTGCGGGGCTACGAGCCCATCGTTCGCGGCCTGATTGGTATTCTGGCGGTAGGGAGCTCTCTCCGTGCATACTACAGCTGGCAATTAAGATTTTGTCGGCTCAATTGACTAATTCCTCTCTGAATTGTCTAGAAACCCGACCCGGTATCCACCCGAAAGATGTGTATTATCACCTTGACTCGCATTTTCCACCTCACATACCAGTACCCGACACTAGTTCGAGAGATTACCACACCTCATCTGCCAGGCTTCGTTACCGCGGCGCTCAACCTGGTCTCGACCTTGGTGAAGCTTCCCTCTGGTTCGAGTCGGAAGCCGAAGCCAAACACCCCATTCATGGAGATTGTCCTCCATTCCATCCTCGAACTGATTCCTCGTCACCCCACAATTTTCCGTCCCTTTGGAACCCAGCTTTCGTCTCTGCTTGGGGATATTCTTAGCTCATCTTCGCAAGTGTACTATCCCGAGCAAGTGTTGGATGTGGCAGAGCAATTGTTTGCTTCTCTTTACAGATGCGCTCCCAAGGACAAGTCGGGCCATGGTTGGAACGACGAGTGCAAGTCGACTATTTGGTCTGCCCACAGAGCCGCCGACCATGTCTTCCGGGCTATCGCAGAGCAGTGGGAATCGGTGGATCCAACCTTGGTTCACACCAAGCAGCACTACAGCAAAGAGTTAGCGGACCCGAGCGCCGATGCCCTCGGATTCCCGGGCTGGGCTGGAATCCATGCCGGAACCGACAGACTGGTTATACTCCTGCGAATTCTCTCTGAAATAATCTCCCTGCCGTCGGCTGCGACAGTCGCCATCCCTCTCGGCTCGATTCTCGACTTGACTTCTCGACTTACCTCCGTGACTATTCCGCCCAATGGCGAGGCTTCGCAGAATGGAGTCCAATTCAATCCTCAAATCAGCCGGGACGAGCGGGAGCTGTTGTGGGCTGAACTACCTCGCATTCATATTGCCTGCATGGACTTGCTTGCCCATGTTGTCAGTGTGTTGGAGACTAGCACCGCTCCAATCTCGCAGAACATTCTTGAGCAAGTTACCTGGGTTTTCAAGCACGAGAAATTCTGCAGAGAAGTTCGGTCGGCTTCTTATGACTTGCTGTCCTCTGTGTTGAAATTGACTGGACCTGCGATGACAAAACAGAGCGTAGCCTCCGTCGCAAGTGTCCTTCGGGTCACCTGTCATGACCTTCTTCCTCAGTTTGAAGACTCTATTGCAGCAAAGGCGCAGACTGATCCCAAGTCGAAGTCGAAGGGCGGTCAAGGCACAGCAAATGCAGACTCGTTCTTGGACCCTGAGCTTCGGAAGAAACAGCAATTGAAAGCAGGCCCTCAGTTCCCCGAAGTTCAGCAAGCTGCATCGGGGCTTCTGCAAAGTGCTTTGGCGTACATTGCACCTGAGCTTTTGGCACCTTCAATTCGTGCGGAAATCGATCGCACGATTATTCTTACTTCGAACAAGGATGCCATGCTTGCTAGTGTCCTTAACCCGATTCCGGCCGCCAAGGGCCGTGGGGCTGGCTCAAGCCTCATGCCGTTCTTGGTCCGAAGCTACCCCGAACAAATGGAGGTCGAGGCTTTGGTCCGTCCAAGGATGCCGGTCCTGATGAGCGTGCCGGAGCTTGATGCTTACGCCGAGATGGAAGAGGAGGAAGAGGCTGATGAGATGGTCGATGAACCATTCACCAATACCTCTCAAACTACTAGTTTCTTGAAGGAGCCGGCTGTTGCTACTGCGGGGGCTCAGAAGACCGAGCCCTCAGCGGCTTCGGTGGCACCGCTGCAGAAGCGCACTTACTTTGAGGAGACCCCCGCTAAATCGCACTCTTCCCCGGCGTCCGAACAGCAGCCCGTGCAGGCCAAGAAAGCCCGTTTTGAGGAGAAGGCCCAAGCACCTGCTTCTGTTCCCGCATATCAACCTACCAAGGTTGAGGCATCGATGGTTCCCAAACAGGTCCCGGCTGTTTCTCAGGCGCCGGCAGCCCAGGCAACATCGCAACTCACCGCAGGAGCTCCGTTGCCCGTTGATGATAGTGATGACGAGCTGCCCACGTTGAACATCGAGTCTGACACCGAGGATGACGACGAGGATGAGGATGAGGATGTGGCAATGGAAGGCTAAACCTGCCATCCACAAAAAGTTCAACAATTAGACTTCTTTTCATGAATCAATATATAATCCGAAATTTCTATCCGAAAGTCTATCTACATGTATAATGTGTACAGTCTATCACGTTTAGATGACCCGTATCCCGCTGCCCCAGTATGTCCCATCGCTCCAATAATGGAACCACGGCTTGTCCCAGCACCACCATCCTTTATCATATGCAAGCCCTAGCCCACGAATCGGGCTGATAGGCACCGGCTCCATCAGCCACAATCCACCGCGGGCAAAGTCATCTGCAATGAAGGCCCCTGAGTAGAACAGCCAGCAGAACACAAATACTGCGTTTGCAGTCCGGCGTACCCACCGCGGGGTATCTGCAAGGGGCAGTCTGGGGAAGATGACTGTCTTGAAAATATTCTCCAGCATGATCGCAAGGCCTTGAAGGGAAAAGAACAAGAATGGCCCAGATAAAGGATATGTGTTTGCGAACTGCGTGTGGCTGCCAGAGGCATGTATGAATCCGCTGATTGCAAAGGCAACCAGGACATGCGTGATCCGTTTGACTCGAGTGTCGGCCGACCACCTAGTCGGAAGCAAGGACAGAATCCAATGCGCTGTTGCAGTGAAGCCTTGGCGAAAGAGCTGGTGCCACCATCGACCCCAGCATCCGGCTAGCCCGTGATCGAGAACGGAGGTGATGAATGGCCCAAAGCTATCCGCATATAGCCAAGATGCATCAAGTGGCGCTCCTGTCAGCTTGCGAGCGGCATTGGAGAAAGCCATGGACAATCCCAGGAAACATATAGGATTGAGGGACGTGACAAATTCGAGTGCAACATAGACACCCATACAGCTGATAAAGCAATGGTAGAAACGTATGAAGAGTGGAATAGATGCAACGTAAGAAAACGGGAATGGAGGTGGCATCTCATTCGTAAAGATGCCCCGAAAGTATGGATCTCGCATCATGACAACCTTAAGACAGTCTAGCAAAAGGTATCCCTGGAGGAATTTCCAGAGGGCGGCTCGGAGACGGTTCTTTGCAGTGGTGTACGTAGCATCATCGTGCGCCTTGAACCTATCACCTTGAAACCCTGCATGCAATTGCGTGTGAACGGATCGAGGCAGAGGGCCTAGGTGTGGCGCACGCCAATTCCATTCGGGTCCTCTGAGATTGAACAACAGCCCTGCACACCATTCAAAGCGGTGCGTCAGTTTTCGAGGATAAGTTTGCCAGTGGAATTTCTCAAGTCCGTGGTTGTCGGCACAAGCCGTACGGATGGCCTGTCTGTTTGGTATAGGAGAGATCGTGGAGCTGGAAATGACTGGATTGCCTTTTCTGTCGAGTGATTTGCTTTGCGAAGCACCTCCACCGGCTGCATCATCACATATCGATTCACCAGCGAGATCTCCTCGTTCAATGCGTCGAAAGTCATTCTCAATGTCCGAAAACACGAAGAGCACGGCACTCCACAGAAGCCACCACGCCGTCATCAAACCAATCATATACCCATTCCCACCCAGAAACGCTCGACGGCGACTGAGCACCTCGACTGCAATGCCCAAGCTGAGGGCGAATATCCCAGGGCGAACATATCGAGTAGCTCCGCGGCGCGGTATGACCAAGCCAATGAGAGGCAGGATGTTGAAGATCACAATATGGTAGAGAAAAACTGGCTTATAGACACCTTGTTCGAGCAGGGTATCTAGCGCGTCTTCGTAGCTTTGCACAAGGATCTTGTAAGAACCTTGGCGGGGTTCGGCCATAGGATGGGTCAAGCGCCACTAACTCGGGAGCTTGTCTGTCTGGGGCCGCGCTAAGGAACGGGGTTGGGAGCTGATAGTGGGGATTTTCAGCAAGTGCCCCTCCTCAATTATGGCAGGAAAGAGTTGAATATGTGAGTACTGGACCGGGATGGGAGTAATTCTACCGGTGCTTTATTTTGGCTGCGATATCGAGGAAATACGAAGGGCAGTTTCCAAGGAAATCCGGTCTACTGAAGACGTCACGTGATACGCCATTGGGCATCTCATCACGTTTGAAGCAGCAGGATGGAGATTGAATCGGTATTTAAAGACCAGTACAAGTATTTTATTAGACTTGAAAGCAATTCCCGGGTTTTTCTGAGTTGAATCTATTTCAAAACATGCTTCTGGGACACCACCAATTTCAATATATAAATTGGTTTAGCGCTGTGTCGTGAGCACCTCAAGGACGGGACCGCAACCTAATACCCCCCGAGATATTTCCAAACTAGATAGTTCATCCGGTTGAATGCCTAGCAGCTTCACCCCTTTTTTCATCTGAGAAGAACTTAATTTCTACGACAAAAATACAATCGGAATAGTCTCGACTCACAGAAGGTTATCTGTTTGCCCTCACGTGACAACGTGTCAAACGCGCCGCGTGTTTCTTGGCGCTCCTTCCATATCGGGACTAGTGCATGCTGTCATCGGGTTCCCCGTCATTTCGATAGTTGCGATAATTCGCGTTCGTCTTGATCAGTCTGGGAGACTTTTGACGGCAAGAATCGTCAAATTAAGTGCTCAATCGATTTGTCCCTGGAAACTTTGAGCTTTTTGGTCCCTGTTTACTCACCTTCTTTGCTCGGTCCGACGAGGTCCAGCACCATGACTGGGTATTCTGGAAAGCGAAAGTCCGATGCGGGTAGCTCGAGTGCACCTCGCTTTGAGGTCCCAGAGTCCCGCGCCTCGAAGTTGAGAAAACTCATAAAACCAGACCCATCAGCTACCACCACCACTGGCCAGAGATTTGGTGAAACTGTTCAATACATCCCCACCGAGAGTGCCAACATCCCTGCTGAGAGTATCGATCGCATTCCACTGTCTCAGGTAGCTGGCGCAGATGAAGACGATGCTCAGGCCGAAGATCTCATACAGGGAAGCCAAGGTGTGGATGAATCTTCAGCCTCTAGTGCGATACTTTATGGTATGTCTCTCCCTCATTCCTCCCTCAACCTTCTCAAACGCTGGTTGTGGATGAAAGTGTCTGACCCACTATTATAGGAAGGATTGAGGGAAAGATCGTTGGAGTTCGCTACTACAGGGGCTATGCCACTCCTGGTGAACATGTCGTTTTGAAAAGAGAGCCTACAAACCAATACGATCGCAATGCGATTCGTGTCGACAACGTCATGGGCGCTCAAATTGGGCACATTCCACGAAACCTAGCCGCGAAGTTGGCACCTTACATGGTGTGTCCCCCCGAGATATTAAGATTATTATGGCTTCTAATGAACTTACTTCTAGGACTCCCATGATCTGTCAGTGGAAGGTGTTCTAACCGGCAGAATTGGATCGTTCGACTGTCCCGTACAATTGAGATTGTATGGCACGAGCGATCCCTCTTTGAAAGATAACTTGAAGAAGCGAATGCAACAAGATAAGCTGCCAGTGAAAGAGTTCATTGAAGCCGAGCGCGAGCAACGCCGTCAGGAGAAACAGCGTGAGCAAGAACGCAAGGCAGCCGAGAAGAATGCTCGCGCAATGGCTCTCGGAAAAGCTGCCCAACAATGGCAGCAGAATGAGAATCCTGCATATGCCAACCTGTCATCCGCGACTGGGCTCGGCGAAAGCGAGAGCTTGGAAGAACTCCTTCAACAGAGTAGCTCATTCAACCCCCGGGAAATTGGAAAAGTTGTCGAAAGCTTTGGTCAGAAGGAAGCCGAGTTGGAGAAGATGCCTATGACTCCCTCCCCTCCAGGTTTGTCTACGGAGCTACTGCCATACCAACGACAAGGCCTTGCGTGGATGATCAATCGAGAATCTCCTTCCCTCCCAGCCCCGGGCTCCGATGCCATCGTTCAACTGTGGAAGCGCGACGGAGCAAAGTTCACGAACATTGCAACCAATTACTCTACGGCCACCGAGCCGCCGCTGGCGAGTGGTGGTATTCTTGCAGATGACATGGGTCTCGGCAAGACCATTCAGATCATATCATTGATCATGGCCAACCCCACTCCTCGGACTTCCGCCTCTAGCAAGACGACCCTCATTCTTGCCCCTGTTGGTGTTATGAGCAACTGGAGAAATCAAATTCAAGATCACACTCACAGCGAAACTGCGCCGCGGGTCTTGATTTATCATGGTTCCGGTAAGAAAGAGAGTGCTAATCTGGCACAATACGATGTCGTGATCTCGAGTTACGGTGCTCTTGCGATGGAATATCAACCAAATGCAAAGAAGCCCCCTGCGAAAGGAATATTCTCCGTTCACTGGCGCCGTGTGGTGTTGGATGAGGGTCATACCATTCGTAATCCTCGCTCTAAAGGCTCTCTCGCGGCCAGTGCCTTGCGAGCCGATTCTCGCTGGACCTTGACTGGAACGCCAATTATCAACACCCTCAAGGACCTATATTCCCAGGTCCGTTTCCTGCAGATGTCCGGTGGCCTTGAGGACTTGAGTGTGTTTAACAGCGTCCTGATTCGCCCACTTACAAATGGTGACCCCGAGGCTCGCCTGCTCCTTGAGGCCCTCATGGGGACTATCTGTCTACGCCGCAGAAAGGACATGAGCTTTATCAACTTGCGACTACCGGAGATGACCTCTCGGGTTCTTCGTGTCAAATTCCATCCCCACGAGCTGGAGAAGTACAGCGCATTCCAGTATGTCTTTCCCTTCCCAGCTGTATTCTACTACTTCTTACTGACGTGTTCCCAGAAATGAGGCGAAAGGTGCTCTGCTTGAACTCAAGGACAAAGAAGGCAATTACTCTACTCTGTTGGAGGTCATTCTACGCCTTCGCCAAGTTTGCAACCACTGGGCTCTTTGCAAAAACCGCATTGATAAGCTCATGGGAGAACTTGAGAAACACAAAGTCGTGCCTCTTACACCCGAAAACATGAAAGCTCTGCAGGACATGCTGCAGATTCAGATCGAGAGCCAGGAGGCATGTGCCATCTGTCTTGATAACCTTGAATTACCTGTAATCACCGCATGCGCCCATGCCTTTTGCCGTGGTTGTATTGAACAGGTCATCGAGCGGCAACACAAGTGTCCGCTTTGCCGTGCCGGAATCAAGGACAACTCCACTCTCGTCTCCCCCGCAGTTGAAATGGGTGAAGACGCTGAGACAGCTGTTGCTGACCCGAATAACCCGAGTAGCAAGATCGAGGCGCTCATGAAGATTCTCACGGCACAGGGCCAAGCACCTGGCACCAAGACCGTGTTGTTCAGCCAATGGACTTCCTTCCTTGATCTCATCGAGCCCCATCTAGAGCAGCGAGGCATCAAGTTCGTGCGCATCGATGGCAAGATGCAGTCTGTCAAGCGCGACAATTCCATCAATGCGTTCACCAACGAGCCTGATTGCACTGTTCTGCTCGCCAGTCTTAGCGTCTGCAGCGTCGGTCTCAATCTCGTGGCTGCAAATCAGGTTATCCTCTCTGATAGCTGGTGGGCACCTGCCATCGAAGACCAGGCGGTTGACCGTGTCTACCGACTTGGTCAGAAACGCGAGACTACCGTGTGGCGCCTTGTCATGGAGAACAGTATTGAAGAGCGTGTGCTTGATATTCAAGAGCGCAAACGCAAGCTCATGCTCGCTGCATTCCGGGAGACGGCTAAGAAGAAGGCCGAAACCACTGCCACCCGCATGGCCGACTTCGAGACTCTTCTGGGTTAAGCCTGGAGGCGATTCACTGTGGGCCACCTGTGGTCTACTGACTCTTTCAAATTTTCCGTTCTTGTAGATTACCCAATTTCGGTTTGTGACTTATCTTTTACCTTCTGTATGTTTAGACTTGATTCAATCATGTATCAAGATGGGCTTTCTCTTACATTCCTTGAACTGTATGTAAAATACCGTACACAATAATATACCCCAAGAATGCTAGCTCAATCCCGAGCATTCCAGCTGATAATGTGCCTGCACAAACGATGCCAACCGCGATAATACCGCAATCTCCAGCTTCAGCTTGACCGTATAGAAGAAGCACTTGAGCACCGTCTGCGTGATAAAATACCCCGTAAACTCCAAAGTCAATAATGAGATATCCATGATGATAATGATCATGTTGATCGCCAACAGTTGGTACATAATATTCGCCCTCCGAGTGCTCTGTGTTGGATACATGCGCATCAACCGAGTGGTTTGCACAATGAAAAACGACGAAATGATAACCTCTTGCACGAAGAACACCGTAAGCTGGACCTTTTCCCACTTGTTGAAGAAGCTTTGGAAGTGTAGATTGCAGACGTAGACCGCACCGTATGAGGCGATTATTTGGGGGATTTGCATAACAATTGCGTCGAAGATGATCATTCCCAACACGAAATGGAGAATTCTCCTGTCGAAAACCACGAGATGAAGTCGTGAATATAGCACTAGGGACTGGCCGGTCACCATGATTGCCCACCCGGCCGTTGATAGCGTGACGGGAACCCAAATGGGCGCGAGCTCGAAGTACTTCAAGAGCAGCCCGAGCGCGTCGGGAATTACTCCCAGCGAGGCTGACGCCAGCAGACTCCAGAAATAGAGACCACGGTATCTTTTGAATGTCGAGAAGACCAAGATGATCAACTCGATGGCGCTATACAGAGCGCAGCTCAGCAGGCTAGCGATCGAGGCTTGCACGGCAAAGCTGTTGCCCGTGTATGCCCCGACGATGCCTTGGACCGGGGCTTCGCAGACGACCATTTTGCGCCCATATTCCTAGAACAGTCCGAAACGATCCGTGAGTTGCCTTGAAGAAGTGAGTAGACTGAAATGAGGGGGAGAGAAAAAAAGAGTCGACATTGAGTTATTGTGGTGGTGGCATGTGACTTGTCACCCATGGCTCGACGCGGAGGCGGAGTGGAAAGTCTAACTTTATTTGTTCCATGTTCCTTAAATTTGGGCTTCTTTGGTTCCATACAAGATGCGCGATTTAGCAAGACAGAGCGTTCGGTATTGGTGATCTAAAGTGAAACATGCAGAATGAGAAAATTCATGTCTCAGTATAGTATGTTTCTGGCTAGCACGCGATGTATAGTACGAACTTGTCTACAATGAGTCCTTCAGGTCCATCACGGTCACAGTCACCTTGTTAGTGGTTCCTGACAACACGCCGCCACCGTTGACCAGCAGGTATCTTCCGTTGCCCTCAGACAGAACCCGCAATGATCGGGTATAGCTGTGGGCCTCTGGCGATGCGATCTCAGTCCATTCACCCTGGCCTAGAGCCTGGTTGATGAACAAGGTGCTCTGAGTTCCTGAACTGGCGATGATGGTACCGTTCTTGCCACCGTAGGGGGTCCAAACGACGTATGGGGAGGAAGTCGGCTGTGTTCCGCTTGAAACTACCAGCTTGTGGCCCTCGACGGAGGCGAAGTCCTCGGGGTTCGAGGATAGGCGGTAGTAGAGGGGGAAAGAGTAGCTGGAGGTGTTGAAGAAGGATCCATACTCGTAGATATAGATGTATTGACCGTTGGGCAGCTGAGATTTGCAAGTCAGCTCTATTCGGGTGCTTATATTGAGTAGAGCCATGATTTACCTTAGTAACAATGGGCATGCCCGGTCGGTCGGTGTACGTAGGATAGGCACTGGAAGTTTATTAGTATCCCAATCAGTATACCAGATGTGGATGTTAGAAATGGGAGATGACTTACACATCGTCAACAACAGGTCCCCACTTCTTCAGGTCAGTTGAGACCTGGTGCACCAGTTTCTGTCCGTGGGTGGTGTTGGCACGTTGGTCCGAGTAGTAGCAGATCAGCTTGCCATTGCTGTTTGGATATTAGTTAGATCTCCATAAAACCCATGATAGATAAACCTACTGGGCAAGCAAGTAAGGCTCCCACACGGGAGTCAATCCATTGTTAGGCTCAGCCTCTCCACCGGCAGCAATGTGGCTCAAGAATTCCCAAGTCACACCGTTGTCCTGCGACGCATAAAGATCAAGCTGGGTAGTCGACAGATCTGTCGGGATGCTGTTGCCCGCTAGCAGCAGGGTTCCAGCCTTGAACGAGCCAATGCGCTCGGGGAGGTAATACAAGAATGGCTGATAGCGCAAACCAAGGCCATTCGCGGTATCTTGGACTTTAGAGATTTCCGACCATGTCTTTCCGAAATCCTTAGAGCGGTAGATGGGGAAGTACACTAGTGGGGGCTCGGGAGAGTAGTTCTCCCACGTAGCCAGGAGATCACCATTGGGAAGCTGCTCATTGCGGGCATAAAGAGTTCGGGGAATGTTATAATCTGAAGGAGGAGAGAAGATGGTGATATTCGTGAGTGGGGCAGGCGACTTGGCCGCAATACTCGCTGCGGCAGCTGCCCCAGCGAGGGTGAGGAGTTGGGGAACTATGAACTTCATTGTTGATAATGTGTTTGTAATTCCAACAAAAAAAGAAATCGATCTACATAACGTACTGCAGCCATTGTACCTGCTTTTATACTCGCGATGCTCTGGAGCAGTTACAAAGGTTAATTATGCAAAGAGCATTCCCTGCAGCTCATCCCGCCGGAGTTTGTCCTCGTTCTGGTCTTGCGGGGAAATTTCCATCAATCGCGGGGTTCCGCGCCCGCCAGCACTGGTACTCTAAACAGAAACAGGTAAAGTCCCCCTCGAAATTCAGATGAAGAATACTTCCTAGAGACTAGTGTTAAAGCATGATGAAAATGGCACCATCTCGGCTACGTAAACGCCCAGAGACGATATATTACTGCACCCAAAGTACTAACTTCTCGGCAATTATGGCTTTGGCAACATTTATCCGAAGTAGCAGGCAAATGGAGTTGCCGGCTGCTTCTGGCCAAGAAAAGTAGTTTCACCTTAGACATAAGTGCAATTTTGAAAGGACGCTCAAGAGAAAGCCCGTAGCATTCTACAGTACGGAGATAGAAGATAGAAGATTGACAGACCACATACATAATTAGGTCCCAATCATAACAAAAGCCCACTCTAAATTTGAAAAAAAAAAGATTTGAAGTCTACTCACAATGCTGCCTCCGCAGTTTGACTGAAAGCATAAACACTGCCTCTTGCCTGGAAAGCAGAGGTACTTCCAGGGCAGCAAGTGGAGTTTGACTCTGTCTCCTCCGATGGGGAGCCCCAGCCACCACCTCCTGGTCTGAACATCGAATTAGAATTTTCATCTCAATCAATCACAAATCTTCCGAGATAGGCACTTACGTGTGGATAAGAATCCGCTCTCCCGGCTGGACCTCAAGCTCCATCTTGCCGCCAATGTTGATCATTCTTTCCGTACCATCCAATTCCTTCTTCACATACAAATTCAGGCCAGCCTGACCCGAGCCACCTCCTTCCAATCCATAAGGTCGGTAGACTCGTCGCTCACTGAGCATAGAAACGGATAGTGGCATACGGAATTCAAGCTCACGGATGACTCCGTCACCACCATGGAAGCGTCCCACGCCGCCAGATCCCTGACGGATGGAGAACTGACGCAGAATCACGGGGTATCTCAGTTCATAAACCTCTGCATCAGTGATGCGTGTGTTGGTCATATGAACGTGAACGCCCGAAGTGCCATTCCAGGATGCACCAGCGCCTGAGCCGCCACAGATAGTTTCTCCCACGCCGAATCCAGGGAGCTCGACGCCAGTCTTTGGATCGACGCCACCCATACCGAAGGAAATAATGTTGCAACAACCTTGAGAAGCAGCACAGGCTCCGAAAGCACCTAGTACAACATCCGTAATGCGCTGCGATGTGATCGGATTTCCTGCACAGACAGCCGCATGCCCTGATGGGTTGAGAAGTGTTCCCGGTGGAATGATCACGTTGACGGGTGCAAGACAACCTTGGTTAAGAGGGATGTCCACGTCAATCAAGGCGCGCAAGCTATAGATAATAGCTGAATGGGCAATCGCCTTTGGTGCGTTCAGACAATTGAACGTTTCACGGCCAGTCCCAGTGAAGTCGAAATCAGCCGACCCTGTTTCAGCATCAATGCGGATCTCGAGTCTGATCTCAGTACCATCATCCATGAAATCGGAGAATTTCAAGGATTGACCGGGATTCTTGCGACCAATGGACTTCAAAAGCTCCCGGACAGCGACCTCAGCGTTACGCTTGATCGCATCCATATAAAAGTGTACAACTTTCAAGCTGTTCTCGGCCACGAGGCCCTCAAGAAGTTGCGCACCCTTGTGATTCGCCGCGATGGCTGCTTTTAAATCCGAGACATTGTCATTGTATGTGCGTGTCCCGCTGCAGCCAGGGTAAGATGCCGGTTCGTCATAGAGGAATTTGCGAACCACATCTTCGTCAAAGCGGCCCGACGAAACAACCTTGAAGCCCATCGTCATAGCACCTTCTTCGTATAGCATTTTGCTATTTGAAGGCATTGATCCAGGGGCGATTCCGCCAATTTCAGCTACTTCCTGTTAACAAGAGTCAAATGACAGAGAAAAACTTGCTGTTTTACTTACCGTGGTGACCCCGCGAAGCAACGTAGAAAATGATGTTTTTGCCTTCATTATCCCAGACTGGAGTGATGATGGTAATATCAGGAAGATGAGTACCTCCAGCAAGAGGATGGTTTGTCAGAATATGATCTCCAGGCTTCAAGTCACTCCCATATTGCTCGTGCTGGTAACGAACAGCATACTCCATACCTGACTCAAAATTAGTATCCACCGCTGATGCTTGACAGATGTTTGAAATACTTACTTCCCAAGTGTACTGGTACGTTGGGCGCATTTGCAACGAGCTTGCCATCGGGTGAAAAGACTGCGCAAGAAAAGTCCAACCGCTCTTTAATATTTGTTGACACGGACGTCTTCTGGAACATCCGGCTCATCTGATCAGCCACCGACATGAACCGATGACCGAAGATGGAAAGCTTGATCGGGTCCACGACTGTAGCATCATCAACTTGCTTCTTTGAGGACTTCACGTCCAAAATGACATGTCGAGACAAAATCTTGGCGGTCGCATTCGGTTCAACAACAATTGTCTGGGTGTTGTCAATGATCATCGCAGGTCCTTGAATAAAGCTTCCTGGCTGCAGATTGTTCAGGAAGAAAACCGGCGTGTTCATTTGCCCCGCACCAGCAAAGTAGACAGATGATGAATCGTCTTGCTTCTCAGAGCCAACAGGAATGCTTGCTGTTGATTTGAGCTCCTTTTGAGGAGCCTCTGGAGTAAAGGAGGTAGATTTTCCAACTCCGCGGACGCGAATATCCTCTACCAAAATATTGCGGCCAGGGAAAGTAAATGAAAACTCTCGCTGATGCTCCTTGACAAATTCTGCAAGGAACTCGCCATTCTCGGGTTCAAGGACCATGAGGGTGTTGTCAGTGCCCTGATAGCGTAGGTTAAGATAGACTTCGTGCTCAATCTGAGCCTCGTGGATTCCGTCGGAGCTTAACGCAGCAGTCACCTTTGATATTAACGCAGATACGCGTTGGGAGATTGCTTGCATTGATGTTGAGTCCAAAACACCGGAAGCTGGTTCTTGAGCCTCGTGAACCACATCTGCAAGAGCCATGCCGTATGCCGACAAGATTGACGAATATCTGTGTATAATGACTGTTCCAATGGACAGAGATGAGGCAATGGCACAAGCGTGCTGTCCACCCGCACCTCCAAAGCATGCAAGATTATGGGCAGAAGTGTCATATCCTCGAGCCTCTGTCAGGGCTCGAATGGGCTTCGCCATAGATTCGTTGGCGACTTGAATAAAGCCCAGCGCAATCTCTTCGGGCGTCTTGTTCTGGCCAGTCTCTGCATTGATCTGATCTGCCAATTCACTGAACTGTTGCCGAGTGACCTCAACATCAAGGGGCTCGTTCTCATTAGGGCCGAATATCTTGGGGAAGTAGTCTGGCAGAAGGCGTCCCAGGAAGAGATTGGCATCCGTCACCGTCAGCGGTCCACCTTTGCGATAGCAAGCCGGCCCAGGGTGAGCACCCGCGGACTCGGGGCCGACGACAAAGAGCCCGTGGCGCCAAAAGAGGATGCTACCACCACCTGCAGCGACTGTGTTGATATCCAATTGGGGTGCCATTACTGTGACACCAGAGATGGTATTCTCGAAGGTATGCTCCAGCTTTCCGTCATATCGGGAGACATCAGTACTTGTACCACCCATATCGAATCTAGATGTTCCGGTCAGCGCTGTAATTGAGAGCGGCAAGGATGGTACTTCTTACCCAATGACAGGTTTTCGGTCCGTCTCATCAAAGGAGGTTCCTGCGTATCCCACAACGCCGCCAGCAGGGCCCGACAGAATCGCTCTAAGACCGGTAAATCTGTATTCTTTGTTAGTAAATGTACTAGAATAAACTCTTGTTCTTTCAACATACTTTTCAAAATTAGCCAAGCCACCATCACTCTGCATAAACTCGCAGCGTGTGTTTTCTGACCGTAGTCCATCCTTGAATCCAGATCGGAATCCTTCAATATATCGTTGAATGACAGGTGTCAGGTAGGCATCTGCAGTAGCTGAAGCACCTCGCGAGGTCATCTTAATCATAGGGAGCAACTGGCTGGACAACGATATCTGCGTAAATCCAATTTCCTTTGCAATACGTTCAATTGCAAGTTCATGCTCTTGGAATGTATATGAATGGACAAGGCAGACGGCAATAGAGCGATAGCCTTTTTCATACAGCTTTTCCAGGCTTTCTCTTGTGGAGGGCTCGTCAAGCGGCTCCAAGATACGAACCACTTCGCCGCTGACACCGCGTTTCAAACAAGTGTCAGACTCCAAGGCTTTTTGCAGACTTTCCTTGTTGGGTGTAGGGTTTTGCTGGTATTCCTCGATGGTGACTCGCTCTTCAACTTCAACAACATCTTCATACAGCACATCTGGCCTTTGAATGTTCAGAGCAAAAAGCTTAGGACGTGATTGAGTTCCGATAACCAGTGCATCCTTGAAGCCTTTGGTGATTAAGAGGGCATGTCGCTCTCCCTTTCGTTCAAGCAGCGCATTTGTGGCAACTGTCGTTCCCATTCGGATACTGACATTGGAGAAGTCCGCAGTCGTGAGTTGTTGATCACGAGGAAATGTTTTTCCTGTGGCCTGCTCAAGGATACGGCGAATGCCCTCGATGGGAGCATCGGCATAGTTGGCCGGGTCTTGGGAGAGCAGCTTGACAACAATCTCCTCTTCCTGGCCATCGACGATGCCTAGGCAGTCGGTGAAAGTACCACCGCGATCTAAAAGGACAATTAGTTGAGTACATGGAAGGGATTTGAATTATAAGCAAGCCTAAAATGAAGCAGAATTTACTGCAACTTACCGATGGCAATCTTGATACTTGGGCCATCTAGCTTGTGAGGAGACATGATGGGATGTGATTTGGTCTATGCTACCTCAAGAAGCGCGGGCCAAGGCTGCCTTTTATGGTCACTCCTCCAGTATCAGCCAGCAGGTCGGAACGAGACCCAGCAGCCTTCCCAATAAAGTAAGTCTTAATCTGACTGGCTCATCCGGAGTTCCACTCGTTTCCGGGAACCGAAGAGAGGGGAGATGTGGAGAAGGCGCCTTATCTCGTTCTGACCTTCCCTCAGTGCAAACCCTAAATCCGCGATTATCAAGCGGTCGGATTGGCCAGTCGGTCGGCCCCAGATTTTCTATAAGATAATAGGAACAGACATGTTGGTTTGTATCAACAAATTCATCTCCAACTTCTATACTATTTCTCGAAGACTTTCTCCCGTCTTTCACCCCGAGCATCCTGATATGGCGGACGACAAAGGTGCTAGTACGCCGGATGTCCAGCTAGCCCCAGAGCAAGAAAAGGCTGGAGAGATCATTGACTCGCGAGGCCGAGACAGTGGAAAAGATGTTGCTGCGCAGTTCCTCGCCCAATTGGATCCAACTATCGCAGCAGAGCCCATCTCCGAGCATGAAGCCCGACGCGTGCTATGGAAGATCGATCTCATCCTCATCCCCCTCATCATGGTGACGGTAGTCTTGGCTGCCATCGATAAAGTTATCATCTCCAATGCGGCTATCTACGGCATGAAAAAGGATACTCATTTATCGGGAAACCAGTACTCATGGGTTGGTTCGATATTCTATTTCGGCTACCTCGCATTCGAGTACCCTGCCGCGCTTCTCATTCAACGTCTTCCAGTCGCCAAGCTCTACGTGGGAATGGTTGCAGGATGGGCGGTAATGATGCTCTGTACAGCTGCGACACAGAACTTTGCCGGTTTGGCCGCCGTGCGGTTCATAATGGGCATGCTGGAAGCCTCCGTTTTCCCCATCTCGAGTATCTTGACCGTGATGTGGTGGAAGACAAGCGAACAGCCACTCCGAGTCGCTTTCTGGTTTAACCAGCTATCGTCGGTGTTCTCCGGTTTGGTCAGCTATGGTATTGGCCAAACGCACACAACTCTTGCCCCTTGGCGACTCCTGTTCTTGGTACTAGGAGGCTTTTCCCTCATCTGGGCAGTCGTTTTATACATTTTCCTACCCGACTCTCCCGTGCAATGCTGGTACTTCTCTGATCGCGAGAAATTCGTCTGCCTCGAGCGTGTCAAGGACAACAACACTGGAATGGAAGACAAGACCATAAAGTGGTATCAAGTACGCGAGTGTCTCATGGATCCCAAGACATGGTTGCTCGCATTGTTCTCATTGGCACAGAACATTCCGAATGGCGGCTTGGTCACCTTCTCCGCAATTATCGTGACGGGACTGGGATATTCCTCACTTGTCACCACTGTATTGGGTATTCCAACTGGTGTTCTGGCAACGGTCTGGCAAATTATGCTTGGATTTATCGCCGCTAATGTGAAAAACTCTCGATGTGCCATCATTGCCATCGCTGACATTGTCCCCATGATATGTGCCATTCTTATGTGGAAATTGCCGCGCGACAACCAGCATGGACTGTTAGCTGCATACTACGTCTTTTACACATACTGGGCTCCCTATGTGTTGTCTACATCACTTCCAATGGCCAACACTAGCGGCCATTCCAAGAAACTGACTATGAACGCTATCTTTTTCCTGGCTTATTGCACCGGCAACATTATTGGCCCCCAGGTCTTCCGGGCCAATGACGCTCCAACTTATTCGAGAGGGTACGAGGCGTTACTCGCGTGTCTAGTCGTGGCGATTGCCTCAATCGTTGCCTATGGATTCCTTTGTCGGCGGGAGAACCACCGCCGCGATCAGAAGGAGGGTCCACAGTTGGATGCGGAGCCATCTGAGGCAGCTGCGTTTTCGGACTTGACAGATCATGAGAAGCGGGCGTTTAGATATACGTACTAGTTTACATGTTGAAGGTTGTGAGAATGAAGTATAGCGGGTAGGATATTTCTAGTGCTCTTAGCAGATAAGATCTCAATAGAAATTATTTTAACGCAGGTTACAATATCTCTCTTAGTAGCATTGCGTATACACAAGAATTAATCGGCTAAACGGCTTTCAGGACGCTTGGCAGCCTCGTTGAGTTAATCGATTAGCCAGGATTAGTGTATCCCGTCAAATATCCTAGTGGCCCCGTGGCTTATCGGAGGCTAAATGCGGGGAAGCTATACTTTCCCATCGAGGAAGGTCGGAACGAACTCCACCTCGGAGGATTACCGATGGCTTATCTGCATTATCACAAGAAAGCAACAGAAGGTCGGAACGAAGTCACCGCGGAGTTCCAATAATACCCCCGTTCACTGCTCAAGAATGAAGTTGAATATCATCGCAACTCGCTGATCTGTACACAGGGAAGCTCAAAGCGAGATGTGGGCCAACAAGAAACCGCAATAAATAACGAGGGCGTTGGCCCAATAGTCTGAGGAAGAACAGCAAAACGCCGCAACCCAAACTCTCAGATACGACAATGGACAAAGACACGAGAATTCTTATCATCGGTGCCGGCTGTTTCGGCACCTCGACGGCATATCATCTCGCACAGCGTGGCTACACTTCCATTCGTGTATTGGACCGATATCCCCCGCCCTCTTGTGAAGCTGCCGCGACGGATATCAGCAAAATCATCCGCAGCGATTACAATGAGCCCTTGTATGCGCGACTCGGTATTGAGTCCATTTCCGCATGGCGGTCTTGGCCCTTGTTCAGTGGACTCTATCATGTTCCCGGATGGATTCTGAGTGCCGCAAACTTATCAAAGCCCTTTGTCGAGGGCTCTATCGAAACCTGCAAGAAGCTTGGGGTGAAAGGCATTGAGCGACTTACGCCAGATTCAATTCGCTCCCGCTTTCCTGTGGTCACCGGTAAACTAGATGGGTGGAACATCAGCGTCTGGAATCCGAACGCTGGCTGGGCGGCTGCTGGCAAGGCTCTGGAGCGGATGGCCAATGCTGCGCAAGAGAAGGGTGTCCAGTATATCTCCGGAGAGAAGGAGGGGTATGTGCGGCAATTGATATTCGACGAGGCGACCGGTCAGTGCAAAGCAGTCATGACTGCCGATGGCACTAAACATGAGGCCGACTTGGTGATTCTCGCTGCTGGGGCATGGACACCGTCTCTACTAGATATGCAGAGTCAGTTGACCGCCAAGGGTCATGCCGTTGCTCATATCCAACTCACTCCTGCGGAGACCAAGCACTATTCCTCTTTCCCGATTATGGACAATCTTGAGCTGGGCTACTTCTTCCCTCCGCAAGCAGACGGGGTCTTCAAGATGGCCCATAGCCAGTTCATTACCAACACGCGAACGGATAAAAACTCGAATATCACCACTTCAATCCCACACACTTTTGTGCAGGCACCGAAAGACGGCCTCCCACTCGAGATTGAAGCCCAGATGCGCTGTAACTTGCGACGTGTCCTACCAGAGCTGGCGGATCGACCCTTCTGTTATACTCGTCTATGTTGGGATGCTGATACAGCCGACCGGCACTTCCTTGTTACTCCCCATCCGAGCCACAGAGGGCTATTCCTTGCTACGGGCGGGTCTGCACATGGGTTCAAATTCCTCCCGGTTGTTGGGAAGTATGTGGCAGACTTGCTTGAGGGCACACTGGATACAGATATTGTGAGCAAGTGGCAGTGGCGCGCTGGGCAGAAGGTCGAGGCCAAGAATCTCGCTCACATGGACCCTGAGTTGGAATTGGAGGACCTTACGGGGTGGAGAGGACGGCAAGCTCGTGAAACAAGCCATACGTCTAAGCTATGATCTTCCTAAATACACCGGTGAAAGAGACTGGCAAGCCATGTATATCACCAAATCTGTAGTCTCCATTCTTGGCAAGATCAAGTCTCTTGCATTTATGATCGCCGTGAAATAGATTTTCATGTTGTGCAAATTGATCTGTACACATAATTATGTCAAGCTTAGTTTCCAGTCTCCCAGCATCACCATTGCATGCTCCCAGGCAAACCGAGCACCCCGAAGAGGGTCCTTTCGTGGTTGAGAATCGCCTCTCTGTCGCTTGCCCTCGTCTTCGGCCAATAAATCTCGCTGTCGCCACACCATTTCAACCACCTCCTTGGCGGGTGCAATATTCTGTTTGATGGGTTTCTGTTAGCCAGTCACATTATCACCGCGTCAAATTCAGAGGGAAGACTCACCCCGAATCGTCGAATTCCGTTTAGCTCCTCGAAAAGCCGCAGCACAGTCACTCTTTCTTCGTCCCCACGGGCACAACAGCCGGCCAAGAACAAGGGCCACAAAGGCAAGACCGCCGTACGCATCATATTAGCCTTCTTTTCCAAAATGAGATTCAATATCTTGTCCACAAATCGGTTCTTCTCTTCTGGGTCGAATGCCGGAAGGCCAGACTTGCTGGCAGACGCTGTCTTTGGTGAACAGGTCTCATGCAAGAGGAGAAGTGCTCCAAGCCTGTTCGCTTCTGCGATCGACGCACATTCGGTTGTCGGATCAATCTGACCATTTGGGAGTCTTTGCTGGATATCTTCGAGGTTTCTTTTTAGTCGATGCACTGTCGAGGGGGATATGTCGCTCTGATTATCGTCTTTACTCCAGGCAAGCTCGGTGACCTGGTTGATGAGTAGCAAGAGAGATTGGCTGAATCCCATGTATGGATCAATGGTGTCAGGGGATTCAACCAGGGAGTCCGGTGATATTGGTAATTTGTAACTGGGGGTATCGACTCGAAACGCTGTTCGTGCAAGGACAAGATGAAAGGCAAAGTAGCGGTTGAAGAAACCTGATAGTTCCTGGCTGTGAAGAGAGCGGCCTGGTCGTTCTTGTCGTGTACGAATCAAGTCTTGGAATCCACTGAGGTGGGTTACCCATGACGGCCGACTATTATCCGAAATCTGGGACTCGTTAGTATGGCGATTAGAAAATTCAGAGTTTGGAATAATCACATCAAACCAGCAGAGCATCAGAACAAGTCCCAGCATCTCATCCAGCTCTTTCTCTCCCCACGTGTCATGGGTCAATAGCTCTCTGAGATGACTCAATGCACGATGATGGTGTTCCAGCGCGGGTAGCCGATATCGCGAATCAGAAAGGCGCAAGGTGTTGGCTGCAATGGCGAGTGTCGCATGATAAAGACCTTCAGACTCCAGCGCCATAGGCAGTATAAGATATCGATAAGGGTTATAATGCGCATTATCGACTAGTGTGGAACTGCTGCAAATTATATTCTCAAAATATGACATGAGCGCTGGGTCGCAATCTGATCGCTTGCCGCTATTTGGGAATGTGCTCAAGCATGGAGACAAAGATCCATACTCAGCCAGCGTCTTGAAAAGCCTAGCTTGTCGTAGCAATGTGTCGTCAAAATGAATCTCCAGGTCATTGAACGTCGTGTTGAGAAATATCCAGTCACGGTCTGAGCAGGCCATTCGTTGTATTTGTCGCGCGGGTCTGTCTTTTGGGTTCACCCCCTGTCGCGATTTCCCTTTGGCCTGGCCTCGGTCGTTATCGCCTCGCTTCGACCAGACTCCTGCGCGTCCATGGCACACTCCGCGAGCAATTGACTCCTCATGCCATGTTAGACGTATCCCGTATCCACAAGGGCTGTTGTTGCGCGCGCACCGACGGCAAATAGGATGGGTTTCTGTGCACTTCAAGTCAGGAATGTGGGTCAAACAGACTCAGCGCAAGCAAAATGAACAATAAGTACCATCACACTTGATCCGTCGCGAACGACAAGTCCAGCACCCAGTCCGTGCCCTTGATATGGCGGCCATCCCTGAGAGCAACTGAGTAGTAATATCGACGAGAATTACAGTCAGAGCGCTAGACAGAGTGCGAGGCAAAGCCCGAAGAAGATAAGCCGGTGGATTTATTTGCGGGGAAGATAAGTGACTCCACTTGGCTCGTGGATGGAGTGGCCTCAGGCCCGCTTATTGTCGTCTACCTTACAATTCAATTGGACTCAATTGAAAGCTAAGCGATCGAACGCGATTCAACAGGTAACTGATGTTTGACATTCGCTACATACTGAAAATGCTAACTACGTGAGGAAATTGTTGTAGATCCATCGCAGAGGTAAGATCTCGCCCTCATCGATCACGTTAAAAGCAACAAAAATAAATCGCATGTGGGGTATCACTCATACAAATAATAAAACAAAAAAAGCGATAGCTGCATAAGAGAGTGGTTTGACTGGTTCCACGAGTATTACCCGAGCGTCCTGCTAACCACCTATGCGCCGTCGCTGATGTCCATCGCCTCGGATTCGCTGAACATACCCGGAGGTGTGGCGGATGTTTCGAGAGCTGTGTCAACAGCTCCCTTCTTGGACCCGATTGTCTCAAGGTCCATGATGCCATTGTTGCTAGCATCCAAGGGGGTCTCCCGGTCAGCCACTGCAGGACGAGGTTCGGTGACCTGGTCGTGACCGGTTCCCGCGGTATTCTTGTCGATCGGATCGACTGAGCCATCGCCGCCAAGGTCTAGGGTTGCAGTCTGGCTAGGTTCAGTAGCCGCCTGTGGCACTTCCTGCGCAGTCGTTGTCGGCTGGTTGGTATTCGCCTGGGCAACGTCACTTCGTATGTTTGGAGTCGGCGAAGCGGGCGAGATGTCTGCAGCAGGAATTGCTGAGCGATGTGAGGGGTTGGCTGGGCCCTTCACCGGCGTGGAATGAGTTGAATCATCGTCAATAACAATGACCTCATTGCCGGGGGGCACCACATAGGCTAGTTGAGTATCTCCACCGTTGTCTTGTCGCAGTGAAGACGAGCTTGGCGCGTACGTAGACGAGGGCATGGTTTGCTCGGTTGGGGTTGAGGGTACAAACGACGACGAGCTCGGCTGATATGAACGGATCTGCAGTTGATGAGGTGCGACCATCGTAGAGTTGGCCCCAGTCAGGACTGGAGTAGGCTGCGATGCCCCCTTATTATTGACAGACAAGGGTGATTTGCTCGCGACAGGCCTTGGAACCGGGCCACGGTTGAGAGAGGCAAGGTGTTGCGGCTGCATTGTGACAGATTGTTGCTGTCTGGCTTGCTCCATCTGCTGCACGTACGTATTCCAGGTTTTATCGCCATTTAGGCGAGCAACCTGTTGTTGGCGTGCCTTTTCTGCATCATCTCGTCGCTTCATTTCAGCGCTGTACGCCAGCGGATCTGACCGTTTGAGTCGTTCCAATTTGAGTTCGTCTTCAACCTGGCGGGACTCCTCCTCGGTGAGGTGATCGTTCTCATTGTCTTGAATGTGGGACAGTGTTGCCTTCAGAATGATCTCACAGTATTCCCCTCCGAGGAGTTTATCAAGAACCTGAGGATCCCGCCCACGGGCGTCATACTCCTCATCCCTTGCCACGTCTTTCACGTGTGTAAGATATGTTGACGGCTTCCTGGAACTTTCACGTACAACCGTCTTCTTGTCCACCACGCGAACGGCAAGTTGTCTTTTGAAGACTGCGTTGTTAAAGATAAGCTCTTCGAAAGTACCGCCGGCAACAAAGCGATAGACGTAAACTGGCTTCTTTTGACCGAGGCGATATGCGCGTCCGACCGCCTGTTCCTCCCACATAGGATTGAAGAGGAAATCGAAGATGACCACGCGGTTAGCACCAAACATGTTAAGACCGACGCCTCCAGCTCGAGTCGAGATCAAGAGGATGTGTTCTCCGGAATTCTGGTTGAATAACTTTGTCGCAACCTGCCGATCAACGCCGGGAGTGCTGCCATCGATGCGTTGGTACTTTCGTCCGCGTCTTTTCAGCATAAGATCAAGATAGTTCATTGTCGGAATACTCTGGGTGAAGATCAGAATCTTGTCCCCAGCCTTGATGGATAGGTCCAGTATCTTGTCAAGGAGGACGGCACGGTTGGACAGGGCGATGTCTTGCAGATCATAGTACTTGCTAAAAAGAGCCTCCATTTGAGATACCAGTTCGCTTGGAAGACCAGCGTCTTGAATGGATCTTGGCAGAACGGACGGTCCTTCGTTTTCCTCCTGCTGTTTCAAGCGGTCGGCGAGCTTCTCGCGGAACGGGTAAGGGTGGTTGCAACACAGCTGCATGATAGCCAACCATGACCAGAGCTTCAAGCTTGCATCCGCACTTCCAGCTCGAGCACAGTCCACAAAGGTGTCGTAAGCATTTCTCTGCAGTTCCGTCAGAGGTACCGTGAGAACGAACTCGGTTTTGACGGGTAGATCAGCAGCGAGCACCGAGGTATCAGCTCTGAGGACCTTAGGAGCCAGGATGCCGTTGAGAAGCTGCAAGGATACCAAGCTTTCTCTTTGTTCCGACCTGGTACTGTCGATGTAGGATCCAGCCTGAATCGGTTCCATGAATTTTCTCTTGAATGTAGCCGGATCTTCCAGGTAGCCAGGCGCAACCCACTCAACCATTTGGTAGTACTCAGAAAGCTGATTCGACAGCGGTGAGCCAGTCATGGCAATCCGACTGGTCGATTTGAAACGAGAAGCCACTTGCGAGATTGCTGAGTTTGCACTCCTCAGCTTGTGGGCTTCGTCCGCAACAATGATGTTCGATCGCGCCAGGAGACAATGTTGAACGAGTTCGTGTTCCTCTGCGTCGAGTCTAACTGGCTTGTTCACAATGAGGATACGAAGCATCTCGTAGCTCATGATGAGGACGCCGCCATTTCTGTCCCACTCTCGAATTGTCTTCAATCTTTCGGGGAGTTCAAAATTCCTCCCTCGAGGAGTGATCTCCCGGACTGGCCCAAGATGATTTTCGTAGGGTGTCCACATCGCGAACTCATCCATCCAATTCTGCACCACGGAAGAAGGGCATAAAACAAGCGTCTGCGAGCGATGAAAGCGTTCGGGAACTTGTTTACTGATCTCCGGGTTATCCGAGTTGGCCGCAGCGGCAATAGTGACCAAGAGGGAGATACTATTCAATAGTCAGCCACTCGTCCAAAGAATACCAAGACATCGGTCAGGTTGAATTGGAGGGGGGGGGGGGGAACTTACACTTGCATCGACTTGCCCAGCCCCATGACGTGGGCAAGTAAACAGCCTTGTTGGTTGTTTGCTTCAATCAACTCTCGCCACATGAACTGGATGCCTGTCAATTGGTGAGGCTTGACATATCGACCCAATTGAGGATGTAAGTAGATGACCGGATCTTTGAAAGTCACAGCTTGCCCTTCTGGGTCACTGTTGCTCAAGCCCTTGCTTTCACGTTCCTTCCTAAGGCGCTCGCGGGCTTGGTCTTGCTTTGCTTGTCGTTCCTGGGCATCCTTCTGCATGTTGCTCAGCGGCCGCGGCCCCATCGGCTTCGAACGACGTCTTTTCCGGATTTCTTCCTCTCCTTTTCTGCAGGTTGCTGTCAGAACCTGCAGACTCGGAATACGTGCCGTATCCTTCTTTGCGGAACTGTTGTCGTGATAGCCAGACCACATACGAAGTATAGAGCGTCTTCAGCCTATGGAGGAATGGAATGAACATTTTTAACCCTTCGTCATCTTCGAGGGCTTCAAGGGCTCTTTGGAGCGTCTCTTTGCCCATACCCCGGGCAGTCAGCATCTTACAGCTGTGCCAGGATACGAAGAAAGCACCTAGACACATTGCAGATTTGCTCTCGTCATCGGTTCTGCCCTCCAGGTGCCACTGATTTTTGAGCATCGCTTGCAACGCAGCAGTAACTTCTTCCATGTAGACAGGGTCGATGAGTTCTTCCATGTAAGGCCCAAAAGATTTGTTCTCGTCCCGTGGCAAGCATGTCAAGTGTTTGGCTAGGAGCCAGATACGATTTCCTGAGGACTCAACTTCGTGCCAACTCATGTGAACCATCTCGTCGAAAATGTCAATATCGTCCATGTTAGGGCTCGTGATATCTCCGCTTTCTTTCTCGAGAGATACTGATCGTGAAGAAGTCTTCTGGGGCAGAGGGCATAGGGCAGTATTCTTGGCAGCATTCCCAAATGGTGGCTCGGGAGACGATAGAGTCAGCTTGAGCTTCAGGGTTGGCTGTGGCAAGTTGGTCGGATTAAGGGGAGGTGTCTTCACTAGGAAATCATCCTCCATATCGACATCTCGAGGAGAGGAAGCTGGCAAGGTTGGGTTGAGAGGGGGCGTCTCAACCATCATCTCGTCTGCCACGTCAGACTCATGTAGTGCCTGCGGGGATGAGTCAAATTGGAATGCGGTAGAGGGAGACACATGATCCAGGCTGGAAATTGGGCATGGTTCTCGATCTTCGATTCCCGCAAAGGGTCCAACCTGGCTCGGGCTGATATGGTTATTGGCCTCCTCATGGTCTTGACTTCCCATAAGCCGGCGCCTTTTGTTGGCAACAAAGCCTTCCTCGCTCTCATCAGATCCAGGGGCGACCAAGTCTGTTTCTCTCGGAGTGGGTCCCAAGAGAGCTCTCTGGGGTCGGTTTGGAATATCGCCTGGAAATCCCGAGTCGGATTCGTCGGCAGAAGCCTCGTTACCGGAAGCTTCCTCGTCAGCTGAGATTTCTGACTCCGAACCCAAAGACTCTTCGTCCGCATCTTCATCGACTGTACGGCGTTTCCGAGGCCGAGAAACTCTCGGGGGCGGGGGAACGAATGGTGGGCACGTGTCCAACTCGATGGTTTCCAGCCTCCATTTCTCAAAGCAAATTTGATCCAGTGTAGGGTCCATGATCTTGCATCCAGCCAGGAAGGCAGTTTTAGATCTGTATTTGACCTTGATAAGGGCTTTCTTGTGCGTCTCCAGTCGTAAAAGAAATCCAGTTAGACTTCGCAACACACGGGGCTTGTAAGTCTTCCCTGTGCGAGCATTCCGGGCCCCCTGCCACACCACTTGAGCATAGTGCCGGTGCTTTGGCAGTTGATTTTCGTTCCAAGTCGTCTCGTAATTTGCAATGTATTCAGAGATAATGGCATGGCATTCAGCCCATGAAAGTCCAACCATGAAATCCGACTCTTCGTCATCAATCTCTTGCTGAGTCTCTTCGTCGTACTCAACATCCGATTCACCATAGAGAGGAAGTATGTCATCTTCCTTTCCCACTGGCTCTGGGGGGTAATTCTCGAGTAGCTGAGCCAAGAAGTCATAGTCATTCCCACTCAGTTGGTACGATCTGTCTGCGGAAAGGTGCGACTCCAGCGTTGGTGTGCTTGGTGCGACAATTTTGGCACGAGAAGGCTCGGGAACTGAGCCCTCCCCGTTTCCGCCATCACCAGCAACTTCGGTAGAGTAATTCTTGATGCGGTCGAGGACAGGATGTGATGAGAGATCACTTGATTGATTGTCAAGGGACACATCCTCCATTAGGTCAAACCCCTGTCCCACTAGCTGTTCCTTAGGATCAGTCACCAGAGTGGGTGCAATCCGACGTTTTGCTTTCATGCCTGTGGTTTCGGGCGCTGGCATAGTTGCGGGTGGTGCTTGACTAGACGCGTCCACAGGAGTTGTGATAGAACGGGAGTTGCCGCAAGGTGAGAATCGCTCAGTCAAATGGTGCTCAGGTGAATGAGGCCGGATGGAGGAAGAAGAGTTTGGCTTGATGGTCTGCTCTGGCTCAGTCATTCCTGCAACTGCGGGCGCTGGCGTCATTTTGGGAGCAACGGACGCAAAGTGAGGAAACGCATCCACAGAAGTCGCGATGGGTGGAGATTTGACAGGTGATACGATTTCTTCTGTGATAAGAGGTTGGTTGGAAGAAGGGGAGTTCCACTTTGATGTTTGGTACTTGGGAGATCGAACGCGTAGCCAATCAATAGCTCTGAGGACGCTACTGCGGTGACCTAGAGGTTTGATACCCAGGTCATCCCTCAGGGCCTCCCGATCAACGTCATGAAGTAGAGCCTCTCCGTTTATCTGATTATCACGAAGTGCTGTCTCGAGTGCAGTGAGGTTCGGGCGTGAAGAAGTGGCAGAGTTAGCCCACGGAGCTTCTTGCGGGTTGCACAGGAAGTTTACCATTGCGTCTACTCCCCAGTCAACTGGATCTGGACTTTGAGCGTCCATTTTGAGTGGAGGGGGGCCTATCTGCGCGGTCAGGATATTGTTCAACAGGTTAGCGCTGAGCACGGCGTTTATCTTACCAAAAGTATTGGCCCCCGATATGAAACTCGATGTTGTAAACCAGGTTATGCGAGAAACTTTCCACGGGTTATTTTCTTGACTGCTCGAGAATATCAGGATCCAAACAAAGCAGGAGAACAGACGAGACGCGACGACAAACGAGAGTGGTGTTTGGAGAAGAGGTCGCACTTTAATTAGGAAGGTGATAATTTTGCCTCTCAATCACAAAGGCGGTCTCTGTAAAATTAGGCGGTCTGGGAGGCGGTATATTCAGGTGGGGGGGGATGTATATTGGGGATGAGGAGGAAGGGCGGTGCATGTTGGCGGTGAGGCGAGATAGTTCGGCAGTTGAAGGCGGTCGAGTGGGGTGATATTGCTGATAAATCATTCTACGGCGGGGGACCTGTGGAATCATAAAGCCAAGAATAGTGCAATCAATTCCTCTCCCCTCAGGACCTTGCTACATCTTGTCAGGGACCATGGCCGACTCAATCTACACCAATTACCCCCCTACTCTGTCTCCTGCCCAGCAAGAGTACCTGGTCACCACCACTAAAGACTGGGCAATTCAAAATGGTCTCGCAGTCCGGCCAGCTCCAACCGCTCTTCCTGAAGGCGCAGATTCGAATCGAGTGTTAGCGACGAACGCTCCAGTCACGCTCTTTCCCAGTCCTTTCCCGAAAGCTTGCTTTGAAGAAGCTCAAGCGCTGCAGACCGTCTACAATCAACTATATGCGGCGATCACCTGCAACGAGGAATGGCTAGGGAAGGTCATGGAGGAGTAAGAATACTATCCAATGAGTAATCGCGTCGAATCAGCTAAAGTTTTCCTCTCTCTCTGCAGGCTACTTGATGTCGATGACTTTGTTTCAAACCTCTGGAAAACTCATTTGGCAGTTAAGAAGGAAGGATATGTCCAGAATTTGTCCCTGGGCCTTTACCGGTCCGACTACATGGCTGATGTCACACCCAACCGTGCTCCGTCATTGAAGCAAGTCGAGTTTAACACCATCTCCTCGTCGTTTGGAGGTCTATCCGCCCTCGTGAGATCATTACATACGGAGCTTCTTACGTCACCACCGGGTACTCCTATCAGCTATCCGCCTCATCCTCTCCTGCAATCCGGCGTGCCACCCGAAAACACTTCTGTTGAAACTCTGGCTGGAGGTTTGGCTACGGCACACAAGGCTTACGGTCCTTCAAAGTCTACACCTGAACTTCCGTTGTGTGTTATCTTCGTAGTGCAGGACGGAGAACGGAACGTCTTCGATCAGCATGCCCTCTCCAAGCGGCTCACGGGATTCCATAAAGTCCCCGTCTTCCGTGTTCCCAGCAGCAAGATCTTTGATCAAACCTCAGTATCCGACTCCAATCCTTCTCGACCATTGATCTACCGCCCTCCTCACTCTCCATCGTCTGCATTCGAAGTGACCACCGTCTATCTCCGTGCTTACTATTCACCTGATGAATATACATCTAGTCGGGACTGGGATGCCCGAGTGCATCTGGAACGCTCTGCCGCAATCAAGTGTCCCAGCGTGCTGAACCAACTGGCTGGTTGCAAGAAGGTTCAACAGGTCCTCGCGGAGCCGACGGGACCCGATCATCTCTCAAGCTTCCTCCAAGGCACTGACCCTGCAGTGATTGCAAGACTACGAGAGACCTTCGCCCCACAATATGACCTGTCGGCCAATGGGCAGGGTCGGGATCTGGCTCTCAACCCCGAGACAGCCATGAAGCATGTCCTCAAGCCCCAGCGTGAAGGCGGCGGCAACAACATCTATAAAGCGGAGATTCCGGGCTTCCTTCGGTCCATCCCGGAGAGTGATTGGAAGGGATGGGTACTGATGGAGCTCATTAATCCCGCACCGGATGCCGAGAATATCGCTCTGCGAAACGACGGAGAAGTTCTTCGTGGCAACGTGATTTCCGAGCTTGGTGTCTATGGTACTATCCTGTGGGATAATACGGGCAAGGTCCTTCATAATGATCAAGGTGGCTGGTTGCTGAGAACCAAAGGAAAGGAAGTGAATGAGGGTGGTGTGGCTGCCGGGTTCTCCAGCTTGGATAGTGTGCTCCTCTTCTAGTGTGTAGACTTCATAGAGTAATAAAGTCCAGAGAATGTTGAATTCATATTACGATCGGCACTAGTGGATTGAAGTTGCAGATTGTCATTTAGAGATCTTGTGCTACGCTGATTTAGAGTTTTGTGTCCTGAGATCGCAGGGCTTGAAGGGCGTAGACGCTCCCGTCCGGCGTATTTTGGGTGGGTCTAGCCTTGTGGTCCATGTTTTTTCTAAATAATTCTCCTTTGAAGATCTGTTTCGAGGTTTCTATTGCCAGAATATCTCCGAAGGCGATGTATATCAGATGCTACGGTGACTCGATATCCCTATCTTGCTATTTATAACGTGGCTTCAAAGATTCCGCGCTCCCCTTCTTTATTCTATGACTGGACTGTCACTCGCTAGCTATTTCAACTATTCAAGGAGGAAGACTCTTCCATGTCTCCAAACTCTGGAACATCCAATCTTGGAATATCCTCGAATCAGCGCCTGATCACATGTGACATGTCACTCTCTGCTACACAGAGGAGATAACCATGAAGGGATTCCAAACCTGGACAGCGTCATACTCTCGAGGGTGAATCTAGGTTCACGAGGCGTCACATCCCTTGAGAGAGGGGCACTTTGCGCAAGCTTGGGGCTTATACGGCTTGACGCCATTTTCAATCTTTCAGCCGGACTATCCCCTCCTTTCCATGCCGCTTTTTATACTTCGACGTATTCGTGTCTTATTGGCCGGGCCCCCTGCTAACAAGCTCGTATTGGCCCATCCTAGACGCTAAGAGCCTCCATGCAGCAAGCCCAACCAACAAGAAATAAGACCCTTATGCCCGAGAGCTACCACCTTAGGATTGGCGAAGCACTCAGCGGGAATCCTTTCAGGCTTTCACGGGCGCCATCATTTTCCCCGCTCCTCCAATTTGGCTATAAAATAAGCCACACGCTAGTCTCGTCAGATGATCCCATTGCGGGGCACCTCTTTGATGCCTATTGTATATACATCTGACGGGTATACAATGTCCCTTAAGGAGTGGTGCAACGCAACCCTGGTCCCGTCTTCCCTTGGTATCGCTTCTAATGCTGACTGCGTCGACTGGACGTTCTCGCGATCAGCCACCGCACTGGACTTCGTACCGTGTGGACATATGCACAAAGAACTTTTAGTCGAGTTATCTCTTTAGTCTGACCAATTGTTACTAGCTTTGTCACATTCTAGTTTGTAAAACCGAGGGATTTTCGGTGTTGCCGATGAGCTACGTAGCTCTCTAGCTCGTTATCCTTGCAGATGACTTGACTCGTAGTTATAGTGCTGGCTTTTGCTGGAAGTAGTCCTAAAAGTACTTCACACCGACAAAACACGCGATTGCCTTGCTGGTCAGCACACGCCCCGTCAGTTTGCTCCACGGGCTACAGTTGACTTATTTACGACGACGCGTGCCTGCGTTTTCCCTTGTCGCAGTTATTTCTTCATTCACTTACCTTCTCGTCGCTTGCTCTTGATTTCTTCTTTCTCTTCATCCTCTCCAATCCTCAACCTTTGGTCTTTCATCTACTCAAACACTTTCCCCCCACCTACTCTCAGAGAGAGATCACCTTCCCATCGAATTTGAGCACTCCTCTCGCCATCATGGCTTCACGGGCTAACCGCGATGTGGTTGGAGGGTACGTTTTGAAATAAATCATCCAACTTGAACCAAGGCTGACAGAATATGGCCAAACACAGAATGACCGAAAACCTCACCGGAGAGTTCGTAAAACAGCATCAACATCCATGAAAGAAGCTGACCTCGGCCACAGAATTAAAAATCCCCTCGAAGGTCTGACTCACGATGAGCTCATGGCCAGTGTTGAAAGCTATGCCACCGATAATGACTTGACCGACATCCTTCCTTTGTTGAAGAAGGGCGCTCTCGCTGGGCAGAAGCCAGCTGAGACGGGCTCTATCCCCGAACTCGACGAACAGGATCGCCACGTTCTTCGTGAAGAGATCACTCGCCGCTGGCATCATCCTTGGGCCTTGTATTACACGATTATCCTGAACTCGATTGCTGCTGCCATTCAGGGCTGGGATCAGACTGGTATGTTCTATAGAATATTTTCCACTGCTCGATAAGCTGACTGTATTCTACAGGCTCGAACGGCGCCAACTTGACATTTGACAAGCAGTTTGGTATCCCTAACAATTCTCCTGACTGTCCCGACAAGGCTACCTGCGATCGCAACCAGTGGATTGTGGGGTTCATTAATGCTACACCTTACATCACTATCTGCCTCTTGTAAGAGATACTTCTCTCCTCTACCTTTTTATGAAGATTCATTTCTAACTAGACATTTTTTTACAACAGCGCTGGCTGGCTGTCGGACCCGATCAACCACATGATCGGCCGTAAGGGTACCATCTTTCTCGCTGCCATCTTTAGTCTGCTTGCACCTATTGGATCCGCTTTGACCCAAACTTGGGGCCAGCTCGTCGCATGCCGTGTTCTACTGGGAATCGGAATGGGCCTCAAGGAGGTCACTGTTCCTGTCTATTCCGCGGAAAATGCACCTACGAACATCCGTGGCGGATTGGTCATGAGTTGGCAAGTCTGGACAGCTTTTGGAATCTTCCTCGGAACTTGTGCCAACCTAATTGTGGCCAATGTCGGTAATATTGCCTGGCGTCTGCAGCTTGGGTCGGCCTTTATCCCAGCTGTTCCGTTGCTTCTTGGCGTTTACTTCTGCCCCGAGTCTCCACGTTGGTTGATCACCAAGGGTAAGCATCGTAAGGCGTATGAGTCTCTTCTTCGCTTGCGTAATAGTCCTCTACAAGCTGCCCGTGATCTGTACATGATTCATGCTACACTTGTTGAGGAGAAGAATATGCTGGAGGCCTCTGGGTTTGCAAAGACGGACAACATGTTTGTTCGGTTCTTTGAACTTTTTACCGTGCCTCGTCTTCGCCGTGCGACTCAGGCTTCTGGCATTGTTATGATCGCTCAGCAGATGTGTGGAAGTAAGTTCGCCTTTCCTATATTAACCATAAGCCTGAACAAGCTAACCGCCTCTACGCAGTCAACATTATTGCATTCTATTCATCGACGATCTTCTCTTTGGCTGGCGCAGACAATATTCATGCGCTTTTGGCGTCGTTTGGATTCGGGCTTATCAATTTCGTCTTCGCTTGGCCAGCTGTGTGGACCATCGATACCTATGGTCGACGGACCCTCCTGCTCTTCACTTTCCCAAACATGTGTTGGACGCTACTCTGTGCAGGCTTCTGCTTCTGGGTTCCCGGAAAGACAGCTCATCTAGGCTCGATTGCCTTCTTTGTCTATCTCTTCGACGCCTTCTATTCTCCCGGTGAAGGACCCGTTCCTTTCACCTATTCAGCCGAGGTCTTCCCTCTGTCGCATCGTGAGGTCGGCATGGCATGGGCTGTTGCTACCAATAACTTCTGGGCATCAATCCTGTCACTGACATTCCCATACATGCTGCGAGCCTTTACCGCTCAGGGTGCCTTTGGTTTCTATGCTGGTTTGAACTTGATTGCTTTCGTTTTGATCTTCCTGTTCCTCCCGGAGACAAAGCAGCGATCCTTGGAAGAGCTCGACTATGTGTTTGGTGTTCCAACTCGCACTCATGCCAGGTACCAACTCACTCAAGTTCTTCCATGGTGGATCAGACGGTACATTTTTGGCCGAAAGGGTGCTCCCTGTCCTGAGCTGTACAAGATCAGCGAGGCTGTCGAACCACAGACGGACGAAGTCCAGGATCTTGGTGAGGTCTTGAGTGTCACTGCGGCCAAGGAGAAGGACAATGAAGCTGCTTGAAACTACCAAATGAGATGCAGTGCGGTCGGGCTTTTTCTAGTTCTTCCAAGTTTCCCATTTCACGTTTCTCGTGCCCCGTGATCTTTACCATGTCGTGTCCCAGGTCTCCATCTAGGTGAGCACAGGAAGTCGACTTTGATTTTTGCTGATTTTTGAGAATATTTGCTTTTTAACTTTTAATACCTTCATCCATAATGATATGATGTTTATGCTTGTCTCCTCCTTGTAGATTTTTCTCAATCGGCTTATACTGTAGATCTTCTATTCCCCCCGTTTCCTCACAATCGACTTGCCCTTCACAACCACCCCAGAATAATGAGCCACCCCTCTTCAATTCTGCGCTTGGTCGCAAATAGTTCCAAGGCATCTGGCAAAGGATCATACAATCTCCACATCCCCTGCTACGTGAAACCAAACGCGTCTGCCCGACGAACAGGAATCACAGCAGTGGGGACTACCCGAGTTGACGTCTCGGTGGCCGCGGTTGCTCGCAACGGAGCTGCGAATTTGGCCGTTTCGCAGGTCATCGCAGAGGTATGTGGGGTATTCTTCTGTTAAATCGTGCATGATTCTCGAATCTTGACTCTTTGAGTGGCTAGCGTCTCTAATTTGGATTCTTTCTAGATATTTAAAGTCCCCAAATCCACCGTCGCGGTCATCCGCGGAGCTAAGGCCCGCGAAAAGACGCTGTGCATTGCAGATCTAGCCATTGGCGAAGACAGCGAAGAAGTTTTTCTTCAGCGAGCAATGCAAAAACTAATTGATGCGGCTGGAAGTAAATCTGAGACGAAATAAAACTAAAAAGGTAAGTGTGGTTCTCTCGTCGTTATTATGCTGGCTTTGACAGTTCAAGCTCCGAATCCCGTGACGTAAAATTCCACTCTTCGGCAGCTCCGACAGCTCGACAACTTTCTCCTTGATACCTTCTACCTCGACCAGCCATAATCTTCAAAATGGCAGACGTACAACGAAAAGATCCAATGACGGAAGCACCTCCTTCAACAGCACCGAAGCGCAAAGCACCAGACTCCACCCCCACCACTATCAACTTCACATCGCGCAATCCGCCCTGGACCTACCTCAAACTCCAACTGTAAGCTTCCCACCAACCCAACCCAACCAGCCACTCTACAAGATTCTAACAAACCCCCTCCTGACAGCATCCCCCAACCAGACACACCATCTCTACAACCCCTCGACCCCCTCTCCGCCCGCACATACCTCTCCTCCGCACTATCCCAATTCCTCGGGCTAACAGGAACCGCAATTCCAATCGACATCCTCAAGATTGAAAATAAGGGCAGCTCCGCGAACGGCACTACCAAATACGATGCTGTCTGGGTGCGTGTTCCCCGCGATGACGGCGCTGCAGTCGTTGCGGCGATCAGTTCGTGGATTGGGGGGAGTGGGAGCGGGTCTGGTGCTGCGTGGAGAGTCTGCGCGAAGGGGAATTATCTAGGCGCGTTGGTTTCTGGGTCTGGGAGGGACTTGTTCGTTCCTTGATTTGGGGATTGATGTAATGGGTTTTATATTCTTGAGCGAGAAATTCGGTCTAGAGCATCCTTGTTAGGCGGGTTGTCTGTGAGGGGTATCCTAGGTGACCCGGTACAGAGCGGACGAGAGTCGCAATGCTGTGCCTCTCTGAGGTTGGGACAACCCGTGAGGCCGAATTGAATTTGCAGGGGCGCAATGCTCGGATGCGAATCATTACGGACTTGGTGGCCCAAGGCCACCTCCACTCGCCAACGGCGACCATCGTGACAACACACAAGCACACAGAAAGTGCTATGCCAGGTCCGCGATAACTGACCTCGGTCTAAATATGAGCATGCCCCTCTTGTCGATGAGCGACGTCCTTATGGGAAGGCATCTACCATGTACAACACTACCAAGTCCCCGCCCCAAAACCAATCTCAAGTTCTCAAAAGAAATGCAATAATATTCACAAATTCGAAACAAATCAATCTCTAATGCAACCCTCAAATCTCAAATCTTTTTTTTAAAAATCGGGGTTTCTTGTTTTCAAGCAAGGCAGCCCAAATGCAGCAAAAAAAAAAACGCCGTAACTCTCACGCTGCGGAAAGACACAAGTTCAAGTTCCAAATCAATCTGGTTTCGCTCAATCGCTTGCACAAAATGCCCCTATACAACTAACACGCCCCCATTTTGTATAAAAACCAGCCACAAAAGCATATGTGACCAGATTTTCGATGGTTACACCAGTGCTCAAACAGACTGCTTAGTCTGGGCGGCGATACTGGTCACCGTGGTGGATTCATCGGATCCGTCCAAAGCAGGATTGAAACTCGGGTTGGCGGTTACCTTGGCACGGAGCGCGGCGCGGATATCCTCCTTGCTGCGGGCCTTCCACTCGCCGTAGCTGTTCTGGCTCAGAGGGAAGAGGACCAGGTTCTCCGGACGGCTCATGAAGTCGTCGACGTTGGGGGCAGGCGTGGCGGTGATGATGTCCATTTCCACGGCGATTTGGCGACAGTAGGTGTCCAGGGGGAGATCGTTGACGTCGTGGCCGAAGGGGTTCTCGATTTCGCTGCCAATGGTGGCCAGGCCGATGATGATGTAGGCGGCGACCATGGAGGCGGGGATGGTTACCCATTCAAGGGACTTGTAGAGTTGGAAGGGGAGGACTAAGACGTAGATCCAGGCGATTTGGGAGATGGCGATACTGTATGCGGCGGGCAGGGGGTGTCCAGCACCCGCTCTGTTCCGGTCAGGACTTCGTTCATGGTAGCCATCATGGCGACTGGAACGCTTGTTAGCGGGCTTGACTGGTGGGTGCGATCTGGTCTTTTGTGCATGACTTACTAGCTTGGCTTTGGTGCAGGCCGGAGGTCAGAGTGCCGTTCGCCACGATGGAATCAATGTATGCAGACAAGTGGTTGAGAATCTCCAGGGGAAGGTGACCCAGGGGCTTCTTGGACCGCTTGATCAGCTTGCGGGGATTGGACTCGGCGAAGGAAACACCCAGATACTCTCCGGCTGATTTCCAGAGAGACTTGGGGCGAGGGTTGAGGACTTCGCGGTCGTGTGCTTCGCGGGCAAAGGTATCCAGGTGGCCGACGAGACCGGCAATGTCCTCGTAGGCGACATCCGGTTCGAAGCGGAGCTTGTGCTTGAGAGCGACGGCGAATGCAAGGATGAGGTTCATGGCAGCACTGTTTTCATGGTCAGTCTGATGCATTAGATGTTGAACATGGAAATGCATTTCACGTACACTTTACGGAGAAGATCAACCTTGCCATCCTCGCCTTCGCGTTCACCGGTATTGACCCAGATTGTGCGGGCAAGATTACGAGAGGTCTGGATGAGCTGAGCCCAGTACTTGCGACCATCTGCCCATCTGCATTCGAGTCGAGTCAGTTCTTTGCTTCATGCAGTCTGGGAATAACAAAGAAAAAGATTCTCACCTTTCATACGCAGTCGAACTGCGGAACGACAATGCCAAACCCACCACGAAACCCAGCACAGTGAGCAGGATGTTGTTAACACCAACTGTTTAGCCCAACCGGGCGTTCGTCAGCATCGCATTCGGAAGTAGTCGACGAAGAGAAGACACTCACTATTATGACCCCATTTGCAAATGCAAGTAATGGCAGTGGCCCAAGAGCCAACGAGGAAAATGGGCAGGATCATCTTCGGGGTAACGCTGCCATGCATACGCATGAAGATGGGCCATTTCGAGTGCTTGTCCATATTACGGGGACCGTGCTAACGAGCGATGAAGTAAACCAGGTTAGTCTGTTTGCACTCTTCATAGTTTCGTTTAGTCTCCAGCTGCCCACTTACAAAGTAGCGCTCCAATTCACTCGAATCACGGCGATCAAGATGGAATTGGGCATCTCGCGAGCTCGCCAGATTCTCCATGAACGTCGGCCGAGGGGTGAGTCTCTCTGTGGAGTCCTGCTCCTTGAGAGACTGCGGTTGAGGCTGGGCAACATGGTTGTCGGCATGGTGGCGAGTATCGACGGCGACGGGGGCAGCACCAGTGCTGTCGCCAGCAGCAGCAGCCGGTGCGTCGGCAACGGGGGCAGCGTGGCCTTCGGTCATGGTGAAATAAAGAAAGAAAAGAAGCAAATAGAGAGGAAGAAAATGGGATTGAAACGGATGGATACGGGTTAGCCGGGTTCGGTATTCAACGACAGTAGATTAGAAAAGAAAGAAAATAAGGAAATGGAGCGAGAGTTGAAGAGTATGATGAAAAGAAAGAAGAATAGGAAAATAGAAACAGGAAGGAAAAGGAGAGAAGAGAAAAAAAAACTGTGGAGAAAGAAGTCGAAGTCTGGGGGTGTCAGCACGGCGAAAATCTGAAACTTGGCCATGCAGTGGCTCCCCTGGGCGCCGTTTCACCACAATTCCGATGGTCTAGAATACGCATTTTAGGGGTTTGAATGGGCTCCGAAGGGCTTGACTGGGCTTGACTGGGCTTGACTGGGCTTGGATGGGCTCGAATGGGCTTCAACGGGCAGGATGCGCTGTCACCCCAAGTGGGGAATTTTTCTGCAAAGCCACGATGATTGTGGATCCTCCTGTTGGTCGGGATTCGTGAAAGGGGGCGAGTATATTTAGAAAAAGTCTAGTTTTCTTTCTTTTCAGGGGGCCAGTTGAAAGAAAGCAATTGGTCAAGAGAAAGATGATGCAATTCTATATGTTATAGAAGTATATCAAATATACATACAGTCTACATAGGCGTACTGTAGCATACTGTAGCATACTAAAAGTAGGAAGTCCTTCAGGGGAAGTCAAAATCCAGCTTGTCTCCTATTGGATGGAAACTCGTCGTTCGAACTCCGTAGGCCCGGCTCGACCCGCTGCCACCCAATTTTGACTTTTTGGCTTTTTCAACGCTTCTGGATTTCCTCGTCAGCCGCACCTGATGACTCCATGCTCCTTCCTCTTCGCAAGCTGACGGCTTTAGGGCGGGCTGGATGGCTGGCCTGACTTTCCCACCTTTCAACCTTCCAGATTCACGGGGAATCTCTCGCGAATGCGCTGTCCATACCGTGAGAAAATAATCGGGACGGGTATGAAAGCAAGTGCAATGAATCCAAGCAATGAATTGCCCCAGCCCAGACCCAGAGTCGAGAACAGTTTCGATCCAGCCAATGGAAGCACCGCACCAACCAGCGATCGAGTGGCAGTCAAACTCGCGTTGGCCGACGCGGCATACGTCTGGTAACTGTCGATGACGTACGTTGAGATCGGAAGATACACCCCCATCATCCCCACGCCAAACGGCATCATACCGATGATAGGTACAATCCAATGCACGTCTTTGTCCACTGCCCACCCGTACCAGAAGAAACTGATGGGCAGTAAACAGGCGAACATGATCATCGCCGGTAGACGCATCTCCGGCTCATATTTGCCGCCGTTGCGTTGCGTGAGCTTCAAGACGAGACGGTCGTTGGTCACTCCGTACAGAACCAGTCCAACGACGAAGCCGAGTCCAATACCCAGGTAGGCCAGTCCAGAGAGGCCCGTGGAGAACCCATATTGGTTCTCAAAGACACTGGGAATGGTCGTGAAGAAAAGGTAAAGCAGACCGTAGACAACGGCCATATAGAGGGAGAGAAGCAGAACGATGGGCGATTTGACCAACAGGAGAATCGGACGCTTCAAGCCCACTTTCAGGGCAGAGGCAACGGACACCCGTTCCATATTGGGCTCATAAGCGCTACGAAGATCGCTGCGACCCAATTCCTTCGACAGACGTTCGGTCTTGCGGCGAATCAAAACGGCAGCATAAGTCTCACGGTTCAAGATCTCAATACCAAACGAGACCACACCCGCCGCAATCATAACCACCCAAAAGACCCAGCGCCAGCCAATTGTCTCGCCAATGAAGCCTCCCGCAATGGGTCCAGCGACGGGGCCGATCAAGGGACCGCAACTCCACAAGGCAGTGGCCATACCTCGTTGCTCCACGGGGAACAGGTCGGCAATCAGACCTGCGCCGAGGGTTAGACAACCTGCACCGCCCATGCCAGCGAACATGCGGCAAATGATCAGAGTTTCGATATTTGGGGCCAGAGCACAGCCGATCTGCCACACCACGAAGAACCAGTTTGCGCAACTGAGTACGATTCGGCGGCCGTAGATCTCACTCATGGGGGCAAGGACGAGTGGTCCGACCTATGCATATCATTGTCATGGGTTAGTCAACTCTGGAGACAAAGCACAAGAGCAAGAAAAGTGGAAAGAGATTTAGTGGTCAACTTACAGCATAACCGATCAAAAATATACTGACGCTGAACGCGAGAATAGTCTCATTGGTCACATGGAGATCAACACCAACGTAACTCACGGCCGGCGAGAACATGCTCGATGCCAGCGGTGAAACAAACGTAATAGCACTCATCAAAGCCAATAGACCCCATTTCCGACCCATGGCGAAATTCTGGGGGTTCTCAGGGTCATCTTGGCCATCCCAACCGACGATTCCTCGATCTAGATCGGTGACGGGGAAGAGCTTCCTTGTGATGGTTCGCTGTACGTTTGCTTCGACATCGTCTGCGTCAACAGGGGCGGCATGAGTGACATCGATTGACGATCTCAGACTGGTACTTGATGGCACATCAATCGTCTCCTTGGGTTTATCATTCGAGTTTCCCGAGTCGCCCGAAGCAACGGACTCTGCAATAGTCTTTTCCGAGGGGTCTTGATTGGTGGATGCCATAGTCAAATCAAGAAACAATAATGTTAGACCGGGGGGGTCTGGAAAACCTAATATTTGCAGCCCTACAAAACCAGTGGAGGGCAATATTATCTTTTCGAGAAAGAAGGATTAACGAGAGACGAGAATCGAAGAAGGAAAGAAAAGGGAAAAGAGCGACACAGTGAAAGTCAAAGCTATCTTTATGACGAATGGGAAAGAAAAAAAAATCACACTCCTCAGATTACAACCTAGTAACAGAAAAGAATCTAACGCAATCTTTTGCTGGTCATTTCTCGCCAGGGCGTAAATGTTGTTGAGAAAGTGCTTCATAACATGGTTGATTTTGCATAAGCTCCGGGCATAACCGACCATAATTTGTCCATAAGCTAGTCATAACTTACCCGTCGCTGGGTGTAGAGCCATAACCCCAAATTATGCTATGCGGGATAACTAGTGGGTCCTTAGTGCAAGTCATGCACCACGTAATAGTCTCAAGATCCCTAGATCTAATACGAACACGAATTTAGTGTTCGTTCGAGATAGTGGGAAGGCGCGTTCATGGATTTGGTGGGATGGTTTTCACACGAGTGTTGGGCGGGCGGGTATAGATCGTGCCACTTTATTTGCCTTCGAAATGCCGTGTGAATGTCGCCCACTCAGTCCTATTGCCTAGCTGCGGCAGGAAACCTAGAATATCTACCGTGCATTGTTAGATAGATCTCGGTGTTTGCTCCGGTTCGTGTTAGAAGGGGGTAGAAGCATCTCGCTGGGTTAGTGGTCTTTTTTAGGTGAGGCGCCAAAAAAATAATGCATGGATAGCATAAAATTCGATCATTGATTATGACACGATTTGTATCTGATGGCTGGTATGTTATGCGGATGCCTATTCATTTAGATTAGGTTTCGGATTCAAGATTATCCTTTTACCCGCTCTATCTTGAGTCTCTCAACAGCAGTGCCCCCCGAAGTGACAGCGATATAATTCGGGATGGGTATAGAGATATCTTGGTTTTAGTAACAGCTCTTGGTACTATCTTTTCGATGATATCTTTTGGCCAGCTTTAGGGTATATCGATTGATCGACAAACCCATTCGCTGGAATACCATAAGCGCCAGGCCTGGCTGACCGCCCCCTTGACTCATTTAGCCCCTCGGACAAACATCCGGACATACACCTCTTTCAACTAGAATACCTAGTGTTAGAGTCTTATGGAAAGCTCACCGAACAGGAATATCAAGATCTTGAGCATTCTTTATATCTGTCAAGTCTATAACCAGCTAATTTAGCTAACGCGATGAGTCCCAGTACGCGAAGATCTTTCGTGGCCCGGGGATTAAAAGCCACCCGCTAACCCGCCACCCCTACAGGACCTGTCGATCGCAGACCGATCATTATCTCCGGACCATCGGGCGTCGGAAAAGGAACACTAGCCCAAAAGTTAATCGACAAGTATCCCGATACATTCGCACTCACCGTATCTCACACCACCCGAAGCCCACGAGTTAACGAGATAGATGGCAAGAGCTATCATTTCGTCTCGGCGACTACATTCACCACTCTACTCTCCCAGGATGCATTCGTTGAACACACCACGTTCAATAGCCACCAATACGGCACCAGCAAGGCAGCTATCACCGACATAACGGATAAGGGATTAATTGCTGTGCTGGATATCGAGATTGATGGCGTGCAGCAGATCAGAGGGAATTCCAGTATCGATGCGCGCTATGTATTTATCAAGCCGCCTAGTCTGGAGGCTCTTGGTGCGCGATTGAGAAGTCGTGGTACGGAGAGTGAAATTGATGTGCTGTCGAGACTTACGAGGGCTCGTGATGAGATTGAGTTTGCTGAGACGCAAGGTGTTTATGGGAAGATTATTGTGAATGATGATTTGGAGAGAGCGTATGGGGAGTTAGAGGAGTTGATGTTTCGATAGCTTTGCAAGACGCCAATAGGTCATAACTCAGTTATTTTTGTAGGATTGAAATGATATTGCTTAGTTCCTGGGCCAGATAATGTTCAAGTCCGCATCATCAGATACCATTCACTACATGAAGAAATAACGCTCGTTTTTTATAGCGTAAAAGCGACCCATTACTGGAAAGATAGATAGGTCTCTACAGAATACAAATTAACCGTAAACGAATATCCCGTAGCAAGCCCTTCCCCGATAATACTTCGACATACAAGCTCAACAACCGTAGCAAAAAGTGGGTCTTCAAAAAAAGAAATGCACGGCCCGAACCGCGATTCGAACGCGGGGCCTCTCGCAGATGAGTTTTATCCCACTTTTGTTGGGGTTAGTTGATGTTGTGGTGTGAAGATGGATTAAGGGCGTCCTTACAAGCGAGAATCATACTGCTTTACGTTAGTGGACGCCTAACTCGTATCGGACGAAGTGCTACTAACCCACTAGACCATCCGGGCAATTTCGATGACTCTCAGTCCGTCGATGCCGCGACACTCACAACCCGCCAAGTCATGGGTAGTGGGTACTATTATTTTGGCGTAGGCATATTGGAGGTACTGCGTAGACAGCTGTCGTTGGTGGGGATTTCTGATACCAATTACGAGCGTGTTCACGTTGATCGGAGAGGGGGTAGCTGTATACACGTTTACGCGTTTCCTTACTTCACACCTCCGACGCTTAATGGATCATGAGCGCCATCTATAATATAGCTGGCGTGCCACACGTTATTGTTTATGAAGTTGGAAATCCGGGACTCAACATTTTCCCCAAAAAATCACAAAAGCTGCAAATCTGCAAATATGTCCACAGGCTTGACCTTTACAGGCCATTATTTGAATTTACAGACTCTCCTTGCCAAGGATGAGCTCCCACTATTGGTAATTCTTGCCTTTAACTCTTTGGTGTGGGATCTTGTATAGCCAGTACTATCTGACACCACTACACGCAAGCTTCTTGAAGTCAGTCGCTGAAAATTCCAATTCAGGGATACTATGCTGCCTGTCGGGAACTTTTTCTATGCACTCTAGGTAAAAGGTCTCGATTTTGCCGATAAAAAGGCTAGCTGTTTGAGTTATCTTGGGGTTTGTCGCTGTAATTATATCACGCAGCGCGTCCCAGTAGTATACCTCAGAACACTGGCGGGAGTGGCTGTTTAAGAAGCCCCTATATACAGATCGGTTTCACTATCAGCACTATGTAAGGTATGCTTAAAATCTGCAAGAATCTACTATCTCGTAGGATCAATAAACAGCAAGAAGTGCGCTCAGGCAATTTACTCGGCTACGCTAACCCAAGTCACTGTAAGGCGACATTACCTGAAACGCCAGTGCCTCGTGGGCGTTTTATTGGCAATTGCCCCTGTCTGATGTTTTTCTTGGATTTTCTGCTATCGGTCTTTCTTTAGAAGCCATCGTCTCAAAAAATCAGTTTTGTGAAGGTAGATGGGGCATGTTTCGGGGTCGGTTCGAAACTGTTTTTTTATCTTGAAACCATGGGGGCTTCTGCAGCAGAATCCCGGCGATCATGTTCGTCTGAAGACTGATGTGCAGATGAATCTTATCCCTCCTGGAACCAACGGTTTGACATTTAGCAACCAGGATGTCATCTCGGATCCGCCATGGCGTCGGAATAAATTGACCAGGGTTGCGACAGGGTTACGAGTGTCGTCATGCAGGTATCCGTTAGCCCACCTCGTCGGTCTTCTAGAATAATGAATTATCTCTGTGTCTGTCTAGTAATAAATGCGGGATTAGTGGTGCTGATTTTTCTTTACTAGACTGAGTATAGTAGTCGTCGCACGGTAGCTGTCATTCTAATTGAACGAATAAAGTTTTCAACAAATATCTGGACTGTCTGGCCAAATACAAACTTCATCAACAATTGTGAGAGTAAAGAATCGAAATAAATCTCGTTTTGATCATTCAATAGCAATCTTATTGAGATGAGATATTTATTATCAGCAAATTATGGCCCCCAAGATTCTCGGATTGCCGCGTGATGTCACATGCAAACCCAAAGTCAACCCCCCAATGTGTATCCATGGATCCTCGGCATTCCCAAATTTGAGCTTCGAGTTTACTCAGTGAGCTTATTTTAGCTGGAACTGTTTAACCCGCGATTCTTAAACGTCTCAAATTTGTTCAATTGATTAGGGTCAGTGCTCAAGAATGTCATAAATGATATTCGAAATTGAGGTTTCATGACGTTTATACACTCTAACGGCGTACTGTAATAGCCATGTCTGGCTAATCCGGGCGGGAACAAGCACGTGTCCGATAAGCCTATGCACTGCTCAATAGAATAGCGTAGACCAGCTTAGAACAACTTTTTGACACTGTCATTTTCGACGAAACAGCTTCTACGCGCTCAGTTATTACCAGATACCTGGTTTAATTGGTGAAGGCCGAACAAGTTTAGACACCTACACTCTGGGGGCTGTCAATCCCATCAAAGCCATCTACAGTATAATAGCGGTGAACATGATCTGGAATTCAAGTCAAAAACTCACTCGCAAAACTCAATTCATTACTAAAGATCTTGCTTTCTGAATCGATCCAGCCCTAACAAGTGGGGAGAGAAGGTCGATAGCGCATGCAGATCATCGGGCCCTATTTCCAGACATGATTCATGCGCCGATAAAGGAGTGCCTACATAATAATCATACGACATACATGACTATATCTTGATTCTGAAAATTCTGCGGAGATCGGTAGTGGTCTACCAGATAGCCGCCTTCGGTCAGTCGATTCGTTCATGCCAAGGCATCCTGATCGTGGAAGGAAACTACGATCGTCGATCAGCCTCGCTTGAGATCGACACTTTCGAGCGGCTCAGTCGATTCTGGAAAATCTCGAGTTTGGATCAAAGATCTGATTCAGTCCTGCAGTGTTTTGATACGGTCGCAGGTTGAAACCTAGTAGAAAATCTTGGTTCGTAGAGAGGGTTGTCATGAAAGGCACCGGCCGAGTACATGCGGATCTATAAGACTTACTTAGTCGCTAAATTCGTACACCCATTACAACATTCGGAGAGAAGGCTTGGCGGCTGGTGGATAGAAGGGGACAAATACCGCGCTTTTCCCACAAGCGACTCCGCTTGGCTACTCCAAAGTGGACCATGACACAGTGGACAAACAAACTGTACTGGAAAAGAAGAGGCTTGATGAATCAAGATTGAACTGGCAGAGAACGTCATTGACGAATACTCCGTATTGACTTATATCAGTAGATTCATGGGATTTTCCTAAGGACTATCATGTACAGTAAGTAGTAGCTTCTTTGATGCATATTCTTTTGACAACTCAACGCACTTTGTAATTGCCGAGGACCCTGCGTCCTGTCACTGGGTCTATGCCCGTTGAATATCAATTCTATTAATTTTTTCCTTGATAGCATGAGTTCCTGTATCCTCAAGAGGGGTAACCAATTTACAGAGGCTGGAATTACTCCAAAGGGTGGGCTGGGCTGATCCGCGAAGCACGCGACGCCAGGCCTCGGAGTGGTCCAGGCGGGGTGGAGAACGAGACTAAGTGCCCCCGCGCACTTGCTACCCTACGAGGCTTTAGAATGAGCATTGGGTCTTTGTGCTTGAATTTAATCGAGAACTCTCCAACTCTCGAAAAAATTGTTACAGTAGTCTGTAGAACGGGCTTTTGTCGTAACGTGCTAGATTTAGTCCCATGCACGACTAGGGTGGCGTGCGTGCATACTAAAGTCTTCGTATTTTAGTCTTTCTATACTTCGCACTAACAAGTGTACGGAGTACGAATCATACTGTGACTTTGAAGTAGTGCTGCCTCGGCTCCCGCCGTGTAGCGCTTTTCGTCGGGAATTATCATTCTCCGCCACGATCTTATTAGCTCGTTTTACTTGTCTAATGCAGATAATCAACAGGGGCCGGACAACTAAAAGTGTGAAAATATGCAACTACAGGGGTCCTGAGGTGCAATGTCCGTGGCACTGCGTCGAATCAACCAATCACCGTTAACACAACCCGTCCCTGAAGGAAGCCAAAGAGTGGCCAGGGGTATCGGGGGCCTTATTCAGTACCTTTTACTACTCTTTCTTTTTTTTCTCTCTCACAAGCATCAGCCTCTCATAGTCTGTCCAGCGCATCGCATTCAGATCAGTTTCGCTCTCAGTGGATCTCGAGTTGAACTGTGGGGCTCTGGATCTGCCTATCGCGGTCCACCAGTTGCCTTCTCGTCCCCGCTAGCCTTCGGCGCTGATACTCTTTTTGGGCACTCGCATCCAGTCATGGTGGACAAGTGGATATACTTCGCGACGAAGGCCCAGGGCTCATCACCGTCGGATTTATGGGAGCAACCATGGCTGAATGGAGTAGTTGTCTCGTTGTCCACGCTGAATTGTCGGCACTGGCCACCCCAAAACTCTGAACCGCGAATCATCGAGTGTCCCTGTCTGCCTGAAGTTTAATCTATGTCCCACGGTCCCCCCGGTCTGGGCCTATCCTGGACTTGCTTCATTACTTTAAGAGTATAATCGATTTATTAGGTCGCTTCGCTTGCCACGGAACTAGTACGGAGCCCTGCTGTCCATTCCGGCTCGCGTGGACCATCTTCGCCCCCAGCGCCGCTGGTGGAATCAGACAATATAATTATCCATTCCCCGGATTGCTCGCGGGGGTGGCTACTTTGACCGGCTTTTATTTCCCTTCCTTTTTTCCCTTCCTATATACTAGTCTTCTTTTGCCACTCTATTCTGTTGATCAGAAAATGGGCCATTGAAACCAGCTTCTCGAGTCCTACATTCCTTTGCTTATTTCCTCCTCAATATCTACATTTGCCACTGACTTGGCAGGGACATCGCACCGTCCCTTTTCTTGACTCAGAACGAAGACCCTTGCACTATATGCACCATTAACGATCCATGACTCGTGCATCACTACGATCTCCATCCTTACTCGGATATTTCCAGGATTTTCTTCAATAATAATCAACATACATAACTATACGTGCTGACGATACCCTCGCCAACATGCAACTCCCCCCGCTCGCCGTGATGGCGACCTGGCCGACGCCAAACTATGTCGACCCTCCGACTCGCGGCCACGGCGTTCTCATCGTGAATGTCGTCTGTATCTCTTTAGCATTCTTGGTGGTCATGCTCCGTCTATATACTCGATTACGAATTACATGCAGTGCCGGTGTCGACGACGTTCTCATTGTGATCGGTCTTGCTTTTGCTATTGCCATGATAGCTATCACCTCGCTGGCCTCGGAAAATTGGGGCTGGAATCGTCATATTTGGGACGTGCCCGAAACGTGGCTATCGACTCTACAGAAACTCAACATCGTCTTTCAAATTATGTTCTCCTGGTCGTCGAGTATCACCAAGATCTCGCTGCTGTGGTTCTGTCGTCGGCTCCTCGGTGCTGGAAAGGGAAATTTCAGGCAGTTTAACTGGGCGTTTATTGGGTCGATGATCTTTGTCGGACTGTCTTGTCTCATGTTCACATTTATCAGTATCTTCCAGTGCTCGTGAGTCTACCAGATGTTACCGTGAGCCGACCCATATTAACTATCATATACAGACCCGTCAAGGCGTACTGGGATGTCAGCCCTACTTACCCATACAAATGCCTGAACGGAGGAAGCATTGTCTTCTCCGCTAGTGTCATCAACATCTTCACCGATTTTCTGGTCACAGCCCTGCCAATGCCTCTGATCTGGAGTCTCAAGCTTCCCGCCCGCCAGCGTCTTGCCGTCATATCTATCTTCGGTCTGGGAATCATCGTCAACGTCGCGGGCTCCGTTCGCACTGTCTACGTCTGGAAGAGCATGGTCGTCGGCTACGATACAACCTGGCTCGGCTGGCCTGTTCTCATCGCTGCCTCGGTGGAAATCAACCTGGGCCTGGTACGTCTTGAAACCATCAAATAACAGGAGAAAAAATTTTCAAAGGTGAATAAACTAACAAACCCCCACCAGATCTGCTCCTCCGCTCCAGCCCTCCGCCCGCTAATCGCAACATTCCTCCCCCGTCTCCTCAACTCCACCCGCAACTTAACCTACTCCTACAACCAACGCAGTCGATCCCAAAAACTATTCTCATCAACCGGCCGCTCCCGACACTCCCACATGCCTGCAACGCAAAACTCGCGCAAGGGCGACTACGAAAGCGACCGCTTCGAAATTATGCGCACCGTCGAAATGGAGACGTGGACCGAGTCCCGGCTCGAGCACCATGATGCAATCGGTCATACGTATGACATTGGTACTCAGAATCGGGCTTCTTCGCCTGAGAGTATTGGGATGAAGAATGGTGGTGTCGTCTTTTCGTCTGCGGCTAGTGAGAAGTCGTCTAGCTCGTTGACGAGAGATGAAGCTTATTATGGACGGCGATGATTGAATGTGTTCGTTAGTTACATTTTTTTTCCTTTTTTGTTTGTCTATACTTTGACTGTACAGTTTATTAAATGTGTATATACGTTTTGCACCAGGGCTTTCTACTTTACCGGCTTGGTGGTTTGTTTGGCTTGGGTTGGTGTGTATTGTGATGAAAAGCGCCTTGTATAGTTACTCGATGTTCTTGATGATTGGCTTTACGGCTTTGATGCACATGATACCTTATAATTTTCCTTTTTCATTTTTCCAACCTGTACACTAATCTCATTCGTCGCTTCTAATCCTTCATATTAATGCAAAATTACCATTTTATGGAAGCCAATCGATAGAAGTTCTAAAGCGGTCTGACGCATCAGCTTCGAGTCAGCGAGCCATGCAACTTCCACTTCCAGCAGAAGATCACGCCTTGCGGGGTAGGATTGGCGGACTTTATCTTAGTGAACTAGCGTGTGACTTAGTGAAACGTTTCAGCTAACTTGATGTTCGATGTGGTCGAAGAACAATATCTAGGCTTTGGATTGGTCCGGGCGGGAATGTTAGTGCAAGGCCTAGTGAGCAGGCAAGTCCAGTCAAAGGTGCATTCAGACGGGACGGGTAGACGAGATGTGACGAAGACCTGGGGGTTGCGGGCTATTTCATTTGGAGAGAAGCAGCTTATCGAGCAAGCCAAAAGACGAAAAAACAAAAGTAAGTGAATCATTCGGAGTTAGAGATGTACCGGACAGGATAATGACAAAAAAGAAAAGGCAAAAAGAAGTGGTCCCAGAGGGGGTCGAACCCTCGACTTTGGCGTTATTAGCACCACACTCTAACCAACTGAGTTATGGAACCGTTTCTTGTTGAAGTCGCATCCACAATTACAAATTATAGCCCAGCACAACAACACATGAAATTCTGCCATACATCCCCGCCAAAAAATTTCATATTGAACACACACCTATTTACATTCCTCTCCACCACCACGAAGGATAAAAAAAATAACGACAAAAAAGAGCTGGACTCGCGGGGAATCGAACCCCGGACCACTCCCATGCTAAGGGAGTATTATACCACTAAACCACAAGCCCGCTTGTATGGTTGATGGGAAATTTTTGGCTACATCAGACTGGACCATTGGTGTGTGCGGATTCCTTCGGGGACCCACTCGGCGGCTGGGACTCGGCTACGAGAGGTTGGGGTTTTGGGAAGGGCGTTCCGACGGAGTCGGTTGCCATTAGCTTCCAGATTAGGGATGGATTTCCGCTGATATCCTTTAATGTGCTTCCAGAGAGAAAGGAAGGGTCCTGGGAATGGATGTAGTGCCTGATTGGTCGCGACCGTGGAAGTATAGTAGTGGACTCCCCAGATACTGACTCCGCATCATGCTTGGTTATCGATGGAATCTTATCAGGCTGTATTTGTAGTGTTATTCGTTTTGCGTGTTTAGGAATCTCATAGGTATACGTGATAAATAGTAAGATACTTACCCTGATGTCTCAATTTTACCGATGTGATTGGTGAAGTCTACCTGTAGGTGTAGGAAGTGATACCGTTTGTGGAACTCAACTTGGTGGTTGTGGAATATATATCCAGGTCAACGGGGGTACCTAGTACGGACAATTGAACCCAACGTGCAGCCAAATTTAGAAGATGTATAGAATAATACACTTAGTTTTTATCAATACCGAGTCCCTAGAACCATGCACCAGCCACCATTAGAAGATAACACTCATTCCAATTATAGACAATTATCCCTAGTGAAGTATGCAGGATTCAGGCCTGAGGCTTATCGGCAGTGGTAAGCTTATCGCTTATCAGCAAGCCCAGACCGCCGACCGTACCCCACGGGAGTGGACGATGACAAAATCATGATGAGGCTTGAATTGTACCCTAAATCAGCAAGTCGTTGAATAGTTTACCAATCGATTTCCGTAAATATCATGCAAAGACCCCGAGTGAAAGACTAATGAAAATATTCAAGTGGCCACCTGACACATAGTTACTGGAGTGACCCCTCCACGTTTGCCCATCGACTAGAATCCACTTCTGCGTAGACTTTCTTAATTCGTCGACTTCCCTTTCGGGATGCTTCGGCGTTTGGCGGCCCATTGGCAATTTTTATTGGTCCACGCCGCCGAGATCCAATGGTATCGACGCGGGGAACGAAGCTCTCGAGAGCTCCACGGCCGATAACGAAAAAAGTGTCGCCCTGCCTCTGATATAAATCCCTTGCCCCGGAACCGGTTTCAATTCTTCTCTCATATTTCTATCCTACTCCTTGCTCCCTGCCCCATTACCGAGATCCATTCAATCAGGTCCGGGAATCATCTGTGCTCCGAATAGCCCCGTCGCTGTTCTTCCCCGCATTCACCCTTCGTCAATCAATCTCCAACTCGTGTCGGTGAGCTACACTCAAAAATAATCTTCACAATGGCCTCCGTCCTTCGTAGCAGCTCCAAGCTGCGCACTGCGGCTCGCATGCCCGCTGCTCGTGCTCTCTCGACCACTGCCCGTCTTCGTGCGGCCGAGAAGTCCTACTTCCCCAACGAGCCCACTGCTCCCTCCGTCGCCACCGCTATCCCTGGCCCCAAGAACAAGGCCGCCGCTGCCGAACTCGACGAGGTCTTCGATGTTCGCTCTCTGAACATGCTCACCGACTACAATGCCTCCATTGGTAACTAGTACGACTTACCCGCCCCCTTCATAGCATTGACCTAAGAACGATAGCTAACCCGCTTTCTATCTTATAGCATTGCTGATCTCGACGGTAACAAGCTCCTCGATGTGTAAGTTAATAGCCAAATTGATCACCTTTCAGTGCCTTGGAGACCCGAATACTAACATTCATACATAGCTACGCTCAGATTGCCTCCATCCCAGTTGGCTACAACAACCCCCACCTCAAGGAGGTGGCCCAGTCCCCGGAGATGATCACCTCCCTGATCAACCGTCCGGCTCTGGGTAACTTCCCCTCCGCCGACTGGTCCCACATCCTGAAGACCGGTATTCTTCGTGCTGCCCCCAAGGGCCTGAACCAGGTCTTCACTGCCATGGCCGGTTCCGATGCCAATGAGACTGCCTACAAGGCTGCCTTCATGTACTACCGCCAGCTCCAGCGTGGTGGCCCCGATGTCGAGTTCACCGCCGAGGAACTTGAGTCGACCATGAACAACAAGGGCCCCGGCTCTCCCCAGCTCTCCATCCTGTCCTTCAAGTCTGCCTTCCACGGTCGTCTCTTCGGTTCTCTGTCCACCACCCGCTCCAAGGCCATCCACAAGCTGGACATCCCCGCCTTTGACTGGCCCCAGGCTACCTTCCCCCAGCTGAAGTACCCCCTGGAGGAGCACGTCCAGGAGAACGCCGCCGAGGAGAAGCGCTGCCTCGAGGAGGTCGAGCGTCTCATCAAGGAGTTCCACAACCCCGTGGCCGCCGTCATGGTCGAGCCCATCCAGTCCGAGGGTGGTGACAACCACGCCTCGCCCGCCTTCTTCCAGGGCCTGCGTGACATCACCAAGCGTAACAAGGTTCTCTTCATCGTCGACGAGGTGCAGACCGGTGTCGGTGCTACCGGCAAGTTCTGGGCCCACGACCACTGGAACCTGTCCAGCCCCCCCGACATGGTGACCTTCTCCAAGAAGGCCCAGACCGCTGGTTACTACTACGGCAACCCGGCTCTCCGCCCCAACAAGCCCTACCGTCAGTTCAACACCTGGATGGGTGACCCTTCCCGTGCTCTGATCTTCCGCGGTATCATCGAGGAGGTCGAGCGTCTCAACCTCGTTGAGAACACCCGCACCACCGGTGAGTACCTGTACGCCGGTCTCGAGCGCCTGGCTCAGAAGTACCCCGAGCACTTCCAGAACCTGCGTGGCAAGAACCAGGGTACCTTCATTGCCTGGGACACCCCCAAGCGTGACGAGTTCCTTGTCAAGGCCAAGTCCGTTGGTGTGAACATCGGTGGCAGTGGTGCTCAGGCTGTTCGCCTGCGCCCCATGCTGGTCTTCCAGAAGCACCACGCTGATATCCTCCTCGAGAGCCTCGAGAAGATCATCAAGCTGCTTTAGATGGTTGATGGTTGACCGAAAAGACGAAGCACTGGAGGCTATTGATACCTAACGGAATTCGTCTGGGGTCCTTTTCTTTTTTTCACTTGGATTTATATGAGCGACTTTTTTCCTGTTTCTTTTTGACAATTTTCTTTTCCTTGCTACGAGTCATGCCTCCAAAAAATTTGGGACTGTACATCCATAGACACTTTATGTCATTGTCAATTGAATGACTTCATTTTTCACACATTTTCTCCTTGATCTTGAAGTATTCGTATCGACTTATGTTATAATATTGGGTCCGGTAAATTACTAGATATGGTTAGTTTTGCCGTTCTCGGTCTAGCACCATAATACACCGTCTTGTCACCTCCTCCATTGCCCCGACGAGGTCTGCCCTCTTCCTCCTCTATCTTGCACTCATCGCCGCCCCCTTTCTTTCGTATCCGCCCCCACCAGCCACTGCGCCTTGGGTTAAAACTGGCAGAAAATTAGGTAATTATGGGTAATTCAGTTCTAGGGCTCGAATACATTTGAAATTTGACTGCATCTATTGTACGAGGATTATATGGGTTTAGTAATACGCCTGTTCATAGCTTGTTCTAAGATCTTATGTATTTAAGACTGTTGGACAGACAATAATAGATAAACTTGAAATTAAAACCGTAGGTGAATATATCCGCGACTTACAACAGCTGAATATCTGCTACAGTAGTGCGACCGATGTTTCCAAATGGAGCCCATCCACAAAATTAAACGGAATCTATTCAATGGCCCCACTTTCCCCCATAGTTAAGCAATTAGCCTAATTGGAATCCAGTGATTTCCATACCCATAGGATAGAGCAGGCGATGCTGTTCGGGATGATAAAGGATGTTGGGTAGGAACGAGGAGGGCGAGAAGGTCTCGGAGGTCTCAAAGCTGTCTCCTACAAACCCTAGCGTGTCATCTTCGGTTGACGGCCGACATTTACGACTGGAAAAGGTCGCAGACACGTATGCTGGAGGTGATCTAGAGCATTGACCGTCGACACAGGAGCGAGAGCCCAGCTATTCCTTCACACCAAGACTTTTAGACCATCACGACGGCGCCCTTGGCTACCTAGGTATATAGGAATGGTGTTGAGAGGATGTCCAATTTTGATGCTATTTTCGCCAGCCCCATTAATTTCCCACCCCCCGCAGATTACAAGCCTTAGAGCCGGAGGCGTTGCCAATCTAGATATGGTGCGGAGTACAAATGCACTAATTCTAGGAACGGGGTAAGCTAACCACTTGGGCCAACTCTACCCCCACATTCCACCTATGAGATAGCCCTCTACCGATTCAAATAAATAATCTTACTCGTGGCTTTTTTGTACTCCTGAACAACCCTCAAGGGTGCAACCACCCAGGAAATCCTGGGAAGTGGTCGGGTCGGCATTCGCAGTTCTTCTCTCCCCCAGTTCTTCCTCCTCCTTTTGAAGCAATTCGCCACTGCTCCTATGTCCGTTGTCAACGCATGTGTTTGATATGCGGGTCTGACGTTTCACTTTTAATCACTCCCTCGTCCTCTCGAAGGTCCTCCCAAGTTTTCCGGCAGCACCTATGCAATAATGCTAGTACCGTCGCTCGTAATATCCCGCGATAACAGCAGCTCGGATGACACGATGGTGACATTTGTTGATCCGACGAAGGAAGTTAACGCGGGACTATGGTGTCTATTTGGCGGTGCCTCGGTGTTCCTGGGCCTGCGGATTTGGGTGAAGTTCACCAGATTACAGGGGCTCTGGTACGATGATTACATTCTCGTAGCATCATGGGTATCACTTTCCAGTCTCTCGCCCGCCATTCACACTTCAGTCGATGGCTCCGACAACGCACTGCTAACAAGCTTCTCGCACACAGCTGGTCCTCTTAGTAAACGATATCCTGATATGCTGGGAATACGGCAATGGATATGTCAGCCAGACCGGCGAGTGGGACAGACACATGCACATCATCATCAATATCACGTCGTGCGGCACGCTTATCGGGCAGGCATGGTCCAAGACGGCCTTTGGCGTTACACTGCTACGAATAAGCAATAGATGGCAGCAGTACGTCCTGTGGTTTTGCATAGCCACTACCAATATCTTCATGATCCTCAAGTGTATCCTCCAATGGGCGAAGGTCTGCGATGGCACGGGCGACTATCAGGCGTCGTATCGCCTCAATTTCTGCATTTATAAAAACTTCCGGGACAATGTTAAGGAAGGAGGCCAGGGTGCGTGGTCAATCCCTGCTTCGGAGAGGGTACGAGGAACTGTGGCCTGTGAGCTGACAATGTGATATCTAGTTTATAACGCCATTATGGACTTTGCTTTCGCGCTGTTTCCGTGGTTGATCGCGTGGAAACTGAACATGAGGAGGAATGAAAAGATCGCTCTCTGCGCTACGTTGAGCTTAGGAGCTATGTGAGTTCAGACGTCTCGGACTTGCAGCGAAGTCGCTCTCAGTGAAGGATAGTTCACTAAGACCTTTCCAGAATTGCGATTCTTACAGCTGTAAGAACGGCCTGGAAGAACGAATCGAACAGCCACGATGCTTGGTATTACTGTAAGAACAATTCTTGCCGAGTCTCTGTTTCTATTCAACAGCGCTGATAAATTGGCGATATCTCCATACAGGGAATAACGGAATGTCTAACATTTGGTACTCATCCGAAGTGGCCGGGACAATCTTGGTGCAATGCATTCCTATCTTACGGCCCTTCCTCCGCGAGGTACACACTTCAAGGGAACGGGAATACCATGAGAATGGCCAACATGGTATATTTCGAAGCACAGGGTATAGTTGCGAAATATCGGGGAGGCGCCACTCTTATGGCAGCAAAGGCCACGAATTTATCAAGCTACAGAGTGTGCAAGAAGGCTCAGAATTGGAGGCTGGGAAGGGAAGGGGTACCTCTCGAAACCAGGTTGATTAAATGTTTATAAAGAAGCATCGGATTTGAAGAGCTGCAGCCTGCAGATGATTAAAATACGTATAATTATATTGACGGTTCATGAGTTTCGACACCCATACCTGGATTGTATACCTAATATTTTACCTGTTACAAGCCAAAGGTAAACGGTGGAAATCCCGTGTATCAAGCGAAGGTATCGAGACTGGGGTGATGTTTGATATATCCCACGATAATCGAGTGACTCGAGTCGGTCCTCCTATGTACGTCTAGGTCGTCACATTACCCCTTCCTTTAAACACTAGGTCTTGTCACATCGTTTTATCGTTCTCAGGGTGGTGTTATGATATTCTGTCATGAAGCCATTCACAGATTGATGCCTCAGGCCGCAATGCCTCCGGGGCCCGCTAAAGCGATAACCTTTGGGCGGCGTAGCTAAAGGGCAACCAGGTCCTTATATTCTATGCGTAAATCCACCAGATATGGGTTCCAACTCCCCGTGTTCTTTGTTCGTCATCAAATGATCGACAGAAATGAGAAAAATAAAAAGCAGCGCAATGCTTCCAACCCGTAACTCCTAATAACCAGCAGAAATTGTAATTCTCCCATCCAACCCCAAAACCTCTGCCATGAATTTTGTAAGGGGGTATCTGGAATCAAGACCGCTATGAAACAGGCATGATGATGTGTATCGGCGAGGCTGGGGCGGGATAGGAAGGCGTCGGTGCTCGATAATTCTAGGACTCTTCTTCGCCAGTGCTTCCGTCGCGACTAGAATACCGCAGAGATTAGCATGTGAATTGAGAAGGATAGATGGACAAGCTTAGTCCGTGAGAAAAAGTAGAAACGTACGGGACGTATTTGATGCCAGAGTCCTCCAAGCTGCTGATAATATACTCCGGAAGCTGTAGACACAGTCAGACCGATTAGCCCAACGATTATACCCGGTTAGAAAACACAAACGAGTGCACTCACCGATCCAGTCACCTTCGTCGCATATGTCCCTGCGACATAGTTATCCAACCGCTGCCACCGAGCCACCCAGCTGGCCGCCGGGTCGCGAACCGAAATCAGACCCTCAAAGACCTGCGAGGTACATTCTTGGATAGCGTCGTTGTTTCCACGGAGCTGAAGAACGTTTTCGCAATTGGGACAGCCATCGCGCATGAATTTCTGCAGCAAGTCACCAGGTGGTCAGCCTCAGCCTCGGTATAGGGCACCTAACTACCTGGGCAGGTAGTGGGGGATTGGTCAAGCTCTTACAGTGTGTAGCTGAACGACGGAGCAGACCATACAAGCCCGCAAGGAGCGTTGCTGGTTTGGAGGAGTGTAGAAGGACATTTGGGTGTGGCGAATAGAAGAGTTGTTGAAGAAGGAGAAGCGGAGGGAGTCTCGGGGTCCGCGGTCGAGGGTTCTGGAAAGATGCCAAGACCCGGTTGGCGATCGGAGAAAAAAGAGAGAGACCGAAAGAGACATCGTCAGGAACCACCAGAATCCCGTGCCCTTTTTTCCTTTTCTCTTCGCCTCCGTCCTTTTTTCTCCACGCGCTTGCGTTTTCTCCCTGCATTCTTTCTTTAATTTGAAGAATTGGGTCCCCTTTTCCTTTCTGGTTTGGCTATTTCCCCGTTCTAGCGGTTCTTTTCGCCCCGCGGTTTCTAGGAACTTCTCCGATCATCGCGGTCTCGTGCCCCTCGATAACTTCTCCGCTCCCCATGGCTTCAGCGCAAGAAGAGGCCAACGCCCTCAAGGTGCAGGGCAACAAGGCCTTTGCCCAGCATGACTGGCCTACGGCAATCGGCTTCTACAACCAGGCTATCGACAAGTACGACAAGGAACCTTCGTTCTTCTCCAACCGGGCTCAGGTACGTCGGACTCCGACAAGGGCTACATCTCTACCGAGGCGATATGCCATGGCGAGTTTGAAGAACATAGTGGATTGAGGCTAATATTGAGACCTTTGTCTTGTCTTCGTAGGCTCAAATCAAACTCGAGGCATTCGGATTCGCCGTCGCCGACGCTACTGCGGCCTTGGAATTGGACCCGAACTACGTCAAGGTCAGTCACTATCGAGAATAAGGACAAACAGCCTGGATTAGTAGCATGGCGGGAAAGCTGCACATGCATGCTAAACGGGCTTGACGTGTTAGTGAGGTCGATGCTGACATTCACCCCGTTTTTAAGGCATACTGGAGACGCGCCCTCGCCAAAACTGCCATCCTCGATTATAAGGAGCCCTCCGGGACTTCAAGGCCGTGGTCAAGCGTGAACCCGGCAACCAAAATGCGAAGCTTAAGCTGGCGGATTGTGAGAAGCTCGTTCGTCGCATAGAATTCGAGAAGGCCATCGAGGTTTCGGACCCACCATCGGCGTTCGAGGGCTTGGATATCGATGCTATTAAGGTGGAGGATGACTATGATGGTGTGCGCATCGAGAATGAGATGACGCAGGAGTTCATTGATGATATGATCCAACGGTTTAAGGATGGCAAGAAGATCCACCGCAAGTATGTCTTCCAGATCGTCAAGGCTGTGAAGGATATTGTCTACAATGAACCGACTATGGTGGAGATTGGTGTCGATGCGGGCAAGAAGTTGACGGTCTGTGGTGATACTCATGGTATGTTGTCCCTGGAACATTCCTACTTCCACGAAGAGATCTAACAGCGCATAGGCCAATTCTTCGATCTGTTGGAAATCTTCCGCCGAAACGGCAGCCCCTCCGATTCCCACGCCTATCTCTTCAACGGTGACTTTGTCGACCGTGGCTCGTGGTCTTGCGAGATTGCTTTGCTTCTCTACGCCTACAAGTGGTTGCGACCGAACGGGCTGTTCCTCAACCGTGGTAACCACGAGACGGATGACATGAACAAGGTCTACGGTTTTGAGGGCGAGTGCAAGGCCAAGTATTCTGAGCGTGTCTTCAAGGTGTTCTCAGAGTCCTTCTCCGCCCTGCCTCTGGCTACCCTTATTGGCGAGAAGTATCTCGTCCTGCACGGTGGTCTCTTCTCAGATGACAAGATCACATTGAACGATATCCGCAAACTGAACCGTCACAACCAACGGCAGCCCGGCCAACAGGGCTTGATGATGGAGATGCTCTGGACCGACCCCCAGCCCCAGCCTGGTCGTGGACCTAGCAAGCGTGGTGTCGGCTTGCAGTTCGGTCCCGATATTACCAAGCGCTTCTGCGAGAACAACGGCCTCGACGCCATTATTCGATCACACGAGGTCCGTATGGAGGGCTACGAAGTTGAGCATGATGGCCGCTGTATCACCGTTTTCTCGGCGCCCAAGTACTGTGATTCTACGGAGAACAAGGGCGCTTATATCAACATTGGCCCTGATCTCAAGCTCAACTATGAAGTCTTTGAGGCTGTGCCCCACCCTGATATTAAGCCTATGGTAAGTTCTACCAGTGTCGGTATTTAAAAGGGTCTCTCAAACTGACTATTGTATGCAGGCCTACGCGCAGAACTCGATCCTGTCGATGATGTGATGAACCCCAGATGATTTGCAGAGCGGGCGTTGTCTTATAAAGAGCGTAGAACGATATATTGTTGTACTAACGAGCATCCGACTTCTACTTTTACTTGGCTTACGCAGGCGGCTCATTATTGTCCGTTTACAGTCTGGTCTTTCGAAATACAGTGGACGTGCTAAACTAAGAAGATATACAATGAATTGATGGATTATGATATTTTAGTCTCTTAGTGTAATAATAATATCGGTGATGGTAAACCCCTGCCGGTGGGCCTGGGACCCTGCGCAAGTGCGCAGGTCCCTGAGCATCCTGGTCGCTTATCCCAAATTCCCAATGCTTAGTCTGATCGGATCATCGGCATTTGTATCAGGGGTATCACCGTCACGATCTTACTGGCCCGTACTAGCGTAAGTAGTGGGTCGACGCCCGAACCCTTGAAATAGACCCTTCGCAGCATCTCGCTTATACAGTCGCGCCTCATTTCCCCCAATTAGGCAAAGACCTCGTACTAAGTTTGTTTCCCCGGGCCTACTAAAGATAGCCCCTATTCCTGCTTACCCTTCGTTTCTTTGTTTTTCACCATCACGATCATTTCAATCCAACTTTGTCACTCGTTAAACTTTAGCAAAATGGCCTCTGTCACCACAATCTTCCGCCTCTTCGCGCTGTCTGCAGCTTTGGGCCAGGCCTCTGCTAGCTTCAGCCTCAACGTTTCCGGTCCGAGTTGGGACTATACGACCAAGGATCTAGCGGATACAACTTCACAGGCATGCAAGGATGCCTACAGCGCCAGCATCGACTGTGACGAAACACTCCTTAAACTCGTCGCGTCCATGGATCCCGACTTTGATCCGCAAGCTTCGGACTTGCAAGCTATGTGCACCACGACATGCAGCGATTCGTTGACCCAGTATATCAAGAAGGTCAATGCTGCTTGCGACGAAAAGGGCGATCTCGCCGGTGTTGCTAGCGGGAATAAGTATATTTATCAAGCTCCCGTGGCTACGGTGGGCGAGGTTTTCCAGTACAAATATGGTCAAGCTTGTGCTATGGATGGGTAAGTCTAGTACATCGGTACATTGTACCGGTACATCTTAGTTCGCTTAGTGTATATGTACTTACAGTCCTTCCACAGCTCTGATTACTGTTACCTGACCTATCCCGAAAGCGAGGACTGGGCCAGAACCGAATTCCCCTGCAGCGATGGGTGTGCAATCAAGTTCTACCAAAACGCACACGAGCACCCTGGCTCGGCATATTGGTTCGACTACTTTGCGCTTGGTAACCAGTCGTCATACTGGGAGGAAACCTTTGCCGGTGGTTGGGAGACTGTCGTCTCATGTGGCGAGGGTGGAAACGATGTTAGCTCCGTTAGCACGGGGGCAGGTTCGACGAAGACCGATACCGTGGAGGCTTCATCGTCGACTAGCTCGAGCAGCATTAGCTCGACTGGAGCAACCTCTACGGCCTCGACGCACGTTGCTGCAACGACAACTGCCGCCACTGTTTCGTCTACTGCTACCAGTGGTGCTGGAAGGCTTAGAGCTCCCGTCGTTTTCAGACTCTGGGCATGAATACTCATGCTTACGTTTCGTGCGTTTTACTCTTTATCTTAGTCAGGAGTAACGGGGGTCGAGAGAGCTATTTATTCATTATTCGATGATTTCTCATTCTTCAAAAGGTCGATGTCTTGAGTGCCTCTTACGATCTCAGCAGGATCCAATCTGCTCTAGGTCAAGACATCTTGCTTCGTCCAGTTATCATAGCCGAATACATGCAATCAATGATTACTTAATTCAATTCTCTGATAGTTCTAATACATACGACCGTGGCTCGTGACTAGCACGTTTCCCACAGTCTCCAGTCGGGGCAAAGGCCGCTAGGTGGTGAGTCCAGGGTGTCAAGGTCTAGACAATACTATCAGACAAGGTATGAAGGCGGCAGTCTTGCGAAAACTCGTTTTGTACCTCAATATCGTGGAAGATAAGATGCCGGGTTTTTTCGATGAATCACTTTTTGACCAGCGCTAAGAAGAAAATGGATTTCATGGTTGGGTTCTTGCATTCAGCCATGCCGCAGGCGCCACGGGAAAGCTGCATGGCCCAGCAGCCTGCCCCTCTCAGCCTCAAAGCGCCCCCACAGCCTCGCCCTTTAACATGCGGCGGCCCCCTCTCCAGATGTTGGAAATCATCTCCGGTCATATATTTTCGCCAAGTTCGCGATGGGATCGGTTCAGAATGGGGGGGACATTCCCTTGACGTCGACTTCTACGCTAGACGCGGTGCGGGTTGTACTTGAGCAGTGCAGATTGGAGATGACCATGGGAAAACCGGGGTTCGACCCTCAAGTCTTCTCGAGAGAACAGAAGTGGCTCATGCTCAAAGGCGAAGAAGCTCTTTCGACGCTACAGGAGGTTGTGCGCAATCCTGCGATGCGTTTTGACGATTATGAGCACAAAAATACACCGCTGTTCTCATTCAGTGTCATCTATGTAGTCAGCGGTATAAGCCTTCCCCCTCAACCGCCCGAAGACAACTAACAGTGGCTTTAATATCTCTAGGTACATGCCACAAGAAACTCATAGATGTGTTCACGCCTGAAGATGTCTCCCTTCTCGCACACACATGGAGAGCTTATAGGGTAAGCCAGCTGCTTGGGCGAGGGAGAAACAGACTGACAGATAGACAGTGAGATGTCCTTTTCATGATCCAAGTAACCCTAGTCTCATATATCACGACAGGCCATCACAGACGGATGGCGTTAAGTGCTACATCACCTGTTCAAAATTGCCCACACGGGACCCCAATGACTTCGACGTCACCCAGACGCTGCACACCTTGAGGGCCAAAACATTGAAGGTGCCAACTATGCAGGCCCTCTCCGACGCGTCTGCTATCGCATTCTTGTTCCTCATGAAGCTCCGCTACGGATTTGGCGTTGCCGACCTCTGCGCGTTGCTATCGGCGCTGATTCCTCGACCTGGCGACGAGTTTGTTGAAGAAAACATGCTGGCGCCTCCTCCCGAGGGTACGTGCTTTTGTTCTCAGCTCAGTGTTCATGGTGGTGATGATTTTAACTGTGGGATATAGATGAGTGGCGCTCGGCCAAGTCGATGAATCCTGGAAAAATACAGACTTCCACGTCATCGACCAAGGTGATGCTGTTCCCAGGGCCTCACCCAGAGGTTCACACCAAGCATATGTGGATGGAGAGACACAAGCCCCATGGAAAGAGACCTGTGTCGACATCAAAGGTTGCGGTTTGGGGTTCCTGGTCCCAGAACCAGACGGCCTGGTCGTGCTTGATAGCGTTTTCGAACATAGAGACAGCTACTGTATACTCGGATAAACTTTCAGGGGTGCTCTCTGGCAGCGACGCTCAGATGATCGACAAACTGACCAAGCACTGGGTCCGGGCGTGTTACTATATCTGCCGCTTGGGGCTCAACGATGCGTCGCTGCGCTTGGTAGACACCTCAGAAGCCATTGACGACCTGGTAAGTATATGCAGGTTACCTCTCTTGTCTGCTGTCAGCCGTACGCGCCGTCATGCTCACAACAATAACAGCGGTACCTACACGCAGCAGCACCTAAACCTGGAGGCGCCCTTGCGTGCTTGTTGTATATGAATCACCTCGAATACCAGAAGCGACTGGTGGACTTCCTCTCAGCCAGCCTCGGCAAGTTCCCAACGGACTGGGAGGTCACCCAGAAGCCTGGGTGGACCAAGGAGATGGCAAAGAAGTGTCGTCTGTTGAGTTCAAATATCGACAAGGTCCACAAGGAGGCTAGTAAGCAGCGAAACTTGGTATGAAGCCGGGCTCTTTTATCGCGAGTTTGCTCATATTCCTAACGAGCCTCATTGTAGGTTATTGAACACTACGGGCTTGCCCAGTCACGCAATCTCGGGTTCCTCACCATCCTGGCTTCATTCTTCGTCCCCATCACGGCCGTTTCTGTAAGTCCTGGCCCGTAACTCTTATGCTCTTTCTCATGGCTCTCCGCGAAACTGCAGCGCTAACCGCTCACAGGGATTCTTTGGCATGAATACGACCGAGATCAACGGCGGCGCCTGGTCCACCAAGTACTTCGGCATTGTCGCCGGGCCGCTAACTTTCGTATCTGTGCTTTTACCCCTCGTGGCCCTCTCGCTCGTCGATGCCGTGCTGCGCTTCTTGTCGCAGGACATCCTGCGCCAGCTATTCACCAACGCCATACTGCTTGTCGCACTCGCCGCCAACGTCCACTTCGCCATTGCCTATAATGCGGACTGGAGCCAGGGCACCTTGGCATGGTTCACCATCGGCACGCTGCTGATGCCCCTGGGCGCCATCATCGTGTATGTGACCGTCGACCTCGCGCTGCCCATCACGCAGGCGATGCGGGTCCGCCGCCGCGGCGACCGAGACCTGGGGTCGACCGTTGCGGAGGCAATGAAAGTAGTCTTGCGGCAGCAGAAGTGGCGTCTGGCTATGTTCACCGTGCTGACGGTGGTCTATTTCGTTGGGTACTACGTAAATGTGATTGCTTCTATCGTCGCGTTGGGACTGTACTATCTCTACGTTGGAGCGGCGTGGTATTGGCATAGAAGGCGCAGCAAGCGGTCCATGGAGTGATGAGCCATTTCAAAGCGGATGGTTAGAATGTGCATAGCGTTTCGGCGATGTCACGGTTTATTCTGGCATATGAATAAACCCTAGCATGGCGGATAATGTATGTGGTGCAGACAGTCCCGGAACACATGGGCCGACACCAAGGCTTATATATTTCATGGTACAGAATAATTATCATGCTACGCCATTTGCCCACCTTTCTGACGCCTATACCCAGTGTTGTATATGAATGAATGCCTACGCCGCCATCTGGACCTGCTAGACTCCGGGCTCGTGGTGAAGAACTAGATAGCTTTGACAAGCAAGTCTCAGCTCGGCCTGCCTCTTGGAAACGAGTAGACGAATAACATTTTGGTCTATAAGTTCAAGAATGAGGCATGAGAATGGGGAAGAAGAACGAGAGAATAAAGAACTAAATACCAATGACGGGTTCCATCTCGCTATGTCAAGCTTCTCGGACCTGAGAGTTCCGTCCCGCCTTCCATATATGCGCCCATATCTGTCTGTATCCTTGAACCATTAAGTCCGAATTGCGACCTAGCGTTGTGGTGTACTTAAGAAGCATACACATCCAAATTCGAGTAGTATCCAATCATGAGAAATCAATAAACCACTGCGTCCATTCCAGCAATATCAATGGCCCCAGACTTATACAACAGACTCACCGCTTTCGCTGCCCCGCGATTCCCCTCCTTGACAACGTCGGCTTCCCCAACTTTCGCTAACTCCACCAGACAAGATGGAATTCGATCCAAAGACGCGTAAGTTGGACCTGAAAGGTGGAATAAGTATGCCACTGACTCGCCCCAGCTCAATTCCTCACCTCGGACCCGTCGAGCTTCGCCTCGGTCTCGGCCGATGACCGATGGCCTGTCATTATTGTAAGCGTCTTTTTACTCTCAAGTAATCGCCAATGCTGACCACTGCAGACCGGTGCCATTGACGACCTAGCCCGGACTGTGAACACGGTATCCGATGCGGAAAAGGCCAAGGAGGGAAAGGGCATCATTGAGAAGCTTGCGACGTTGAAGTATGAGTTGCAGCATGATCGGCAATTGACGTAAGTAAACCCCGGATGGGGTTCGGATTTTCGAAAGATAGTTGCTAATACCTTGAGTGACTTCTTAGTCCCCTCGATGACGATGGCGAGTCCGATATTGCTTCGTATAACGAGGAGCTCAAGCAGCGCGGTAACCCCAAATGGCACGATGCGGCCTGGCTCTACTCCGAGTGCTACCTTTGTAGGCATCTCCCCGCAACCATTCCACCCCAAATACAGAATGGAGCTAACATGACGATCGCTGACCAGACCGCCGCGTCGAGACCTTCTTCTCCCTATCAAAGCACTGGAAGGGCTACGATGTCTTTGCCCGCCAGAAGATGTCCACCTTCAAGTCTTCCCGCCCAGCCGTGCTAGAGCTCGCCGCGCGGTATCGCGAACTGGCCCACGAAGCCGAGACCGGCAAGGGTGTGGATGGAAAGTCACCGGAACAAGTTGAACAAGCCGAGAAGCTGCTCTTCTCGGAGATGTGCGAGATCTGTCTGTGGGGAAATGCCACCGATCTCTCGCTCCTAACCTCCCTCACCTACGAGGATATCCAAAAGCTGCAGGGTTCGCAGGCGCGCCAGGCATCGCAGAAGAACATCATTGTCAACGACCTCGAGGCCGCGTTCAACGTGATGCAAAAAGCCCGCGTTGAGAAGAAAAATGGCGAGCGCCGCGTCGACATCGTCCTCGATAACTCCGGTTTCGAGCTCTTCGTCGATCTCATTCTGGCCGGATACCTACTCTCAGCGGGTCTGGCGACGACAGTTGTCTTGCACCCGAAGCGTCTGCCCTGGTTCGTGTCCGACGTTACGCCGAGGGACTTCTCGGACCTGCTCAACTCGATGGTTGATCCTCAGGCATTTTACACTGCGCCCGATGACTCGGGCAAGACATACCCCCCGCTCTCGGACAAGGAGGTCGAGGATGTCCAATTCCTGTTCCAGCAGTGGAGCAACTTCCACCAGGATGGTAAGCTCGTCGTGCGCCCGCACTCGTTCTGGACGACTCAGGGCTGCTACTGGCGTATGCCGCACGTTGCGCCGGAACTATTTGAGGACCTGAAGGAGAGCGAGCTCGTTCTGTTCAAGGGCGACTTGAACTACCGTAAGCTCGTCAACGACGTACGTATTCGATTAGCATCACTACTAATTTTCTCATCAATATCTCTTGCTAATAATACTTCCAGGCCCAATGGGACCCCACAACACCATTCACAACCGCCATCGGCTCCATGGGCCCCAAGTCCGGAATCCGCGTTCTGGCCTTCCGCACCTGCAAGGCGGATGTGGTCGTCGGTCTGCCCGCTGGCGAGGACGAGAAGCTTCGCCAGCTTCCTGGTGGTGGAGGTAGTGAGTCGCGGAAGTGGGCGTGGACTGGAAAATGGGCCGTCGTGTCCTTCTCCGACGGCAAGGCTTAAGATCTGAAAAGCGAGATATAAAAAAGATTTTAATGGAAGTGGTTTGGATGGATTTATGAGGGATTGGCTTGGATGATAGTCCATTGCATGGGGCCATAGCTCTCTTGTTCTTAGAAGTAATAGATCGCGAAGTGGTTATAGAATATGGCAAGGTTGCTTGTAGGTACAATAGCATTATTGTTCATAGCACGGCCTATTTCCAACCTGTGCAACAGAAACACAAAGAAAATAGACGTCCTGAATAACAAAAGAGAAATCCAAGATATGTGACTCCATCTTAACCCTATACTCAGTCCCCATACTCGCTCCTCCAAACAACAAGAACCAGTCAAAAGGAAATCCAACACCATCCACACCAGTCTCGCATCCCAATGTAAACCAAATCAGAAATAACAAATCTCAACCTGCTCAGTATGTATGTATGGCAAAGAAACGATGAATGAATCACCTCAATAACTCCCCACCACTATTCTCTTTCCCCAACGCCTTAACCTTCCGACTATCCTGCTTCAACTTCAACCTCGACTTAGCCGCAGCCACACGCTCCGGCGACAAAGTCTCGCCTCTCATATCCGCCAGACCCGTCCGTCGAAGACCGCGCTCCCCGGCGGTAATAGTGGTGTACCCGGCATATGCAGGGCGTGAGGATTGGAGAGGGACAGCGGACATCGAGTCTAGCGCGGACTTGATGTGTGTGCGGGGACGGTGGGTGAGGTTTCCGTAGCGGTTGTCAGAGGTAGTATCTGTAGTTTCGCGTCGGTAAAGAGAGCGGTAGCTTCGCTGCTTTTCGCCCGTGTTGAGGTACTTTTGATGATTGCGGTCGAGGGGTTTCAGGGCTGGAATTTCTGGTGGAGAGGATGGGGGGACTGTGGTTTGATTGGTGCGGTGTGTAGTGTGTGGTTTGGGGAGGATCTCGTTTAGATAGTGCGTGACTTCGTCGTCGTCGGCTGCGATGTTTCGTGCGGTGCGTTTGACGTCGATGGTACCCGTTGTTGCGTTGCGGGTGTGATGGCGTTGTTCTCGGGCCTTGGAGCGTGGGCTGGGGCTTGGGGGTGCGTCGAGGTCTTCTGTGGCCTCTTCGTCTGGTAGTGGGTGATCTTGCATTGCGAAATCGTGCACATGGACACCGTCGTATGCTTTGCGCGGACTGAGGGAATGCCGTTGCTGTGGCCGCAGGGTTGGGATGCTGCGGTCAGATGCAGATGCCCTGATCTTCAATAGATCTATTTGGGTTTGCATGCGGCGACGCTCTTCGTCGAAGCTGGCCCGCAGCTTCTCTTCTGAATCCCGGTGCTCTTGGGTAGTGGTCTTGAGTTGATCGCGATACTCTTGGATACGGGCCTCGAGTTTGGTCTCTCTTTGCTTCAGCCTGGTCTCCTTCTCCTTGCGTCGGCCCTCGTATCGTGACATTTCTTGCTTCACACGCGCCAAGGTTTGTTTGAGAGTGTTATTCTCCTTTTCGAGCTCCTGCGCTTTCTTTTCGGAACTTTGCGCGAGGCTCTGCAGCTTGCTAAGATCTGGGTTCTGGCGCTTCAGCTCTTCAATTTTTGCATTCGCTTGTTTTAGCTCCTCCTGGGCTTTGCGTAGCTCTTCTGAGGAATTTGACGAGCCTTGTTCTGATGGCTCTTCCTTGGTCGAGTCTGTTGTCTTCACCACGCCATCCTTAATCACGCCTTGTTGCTCTAGCGTGTTGCGCAAAGAAGTAACTTGCTGCTTGTATTGCAGTGCCAGGGTGGTCTGCTTGGTCAAGTCTTGGATCAATTGCTCCTTGTCTGCCTTGGATCCTTCACCGACAATTGTGGCCGCAAGGCGTGACACTTGACGCTCCATATCTGCCACTTTCTCTTCCTCTTCTCGAAGTTTATCTGCCAGACGCAACGCCTCTGAATCCTTCTTTCGAGCATAGGACTTGGCGATTGATCGGTAGTGGATGAGCTTTTTGATCTCACGATTGGTTCGCACGCGATAATTGTCGAATTCCGTCTTCCAATATTTGCCAGACTCCGACCGTGGCTCATCTAAATTGATAGTAACATCTTCCACGCCCGGTTCGTCCTTCGATGCAGGGAGTACAGCGGGTTTTGATTCGGACGAATTATCTTGAGTAGATTTGGCCGACTCGGCGTTTTTCGACGCGTTCTCACGAGCGTCAAGAAGAGTCTGCGTAAGTTTGCTTGGTGGCTTCCCATTGGCCGATCCCGACATCCATTGTGCAGTAATTCCATTTGGATTCGGTGGTGTTTTGGGGGCCCGGCTAGATTGACTGTCGCGTTTCCCTTCATTGTCAACCACGCCCTTACCAAAGGAGACTGTTTTGCGACGATTGGCAATGGTGCCGGGCGTGACGAGTATGCTCTTGGTGGGCGAACCCGCGGGGTTGAAGGTAGAATTGATGTCTGTTTTCGGGGGCTCCTTCTCGATAGTGATGGGCTTGGTGGTGTCACTCTTGCTGCGTTGGTGAACCGACGGTTTCGGTTGAGAGGCGCGTTCCTTTTCCTCCACGTTCTCCTTCTCTTCCTCCTCAGCACCGGGCGTGCCGAATAAAGCGCTCTTGAAGGCGCGCATCGCGAACACAGGAGCTGGTGTCTCGGGGGGCTCCAGCACCTTGGAGGTGTCTGAACAAAGGAAGAGTGCTGATTAGTATACGGGATTCAAAACTAATCATAGTGTACCACCTACCTGCAGCCCCAGCCTCGTTCCCCTTCATCCAGTCCAACATTGTTGGGTGCTGAGGTCGGATGGGGATGTGGAGGTTTGTTTACTGACGCGCGGGAGAGCTAAAAGGCTGAGGTCAGCGCTTATCGATTAGTTAGCGGCCCGCCCGGACACCAACACGAGGGAAAAGACCCTCGAAGGATGCTGCCCCGTGGCAGCCTAGCCAAGAAGCAGATCAGTGTATGAGTGTATTGTTTTCAATCGGTGACCAAATAAGTGAGTCAGAAGAAATTGAAAAGGAATAGAGGTTGAAAGTGATATAAAGGCTGGGGGAGGAGGAGATGATCAGATCATGCTTACCTCCTCACATTGCTTCTTCTCTTCGTGACCGCAGTCTGCAACGTGACCTACCCACATAATCTACAAGCATAATCCTCTCTATACCTACCTACTCTACCTACTACCACCAATTCTTCAAAATGCCTCTCTCACAGTCTTCAATCATTCGCATGATGGCCACTGCCCTGGCCACTCTATTCGTCGGCTTCGGTATCAACGCGATTTTCAATCCCGACGGTGCTCTAGCCATCTTCGAGCTCCCAGCTCCACCAGCAGACCGGGTCCTGGTGGACAGCCTGATGGCGGTGTATGGAATTCGAAATGTTTTCATCGGCTTTGCCATCTATGCATCTTCATTCTTGGGCACTGCTCGGTCTTTGGGCTGGACGTTGATCGCAGCTAGCGCCGTGGCATTTGGGGACGGGGCCATTTGCTGGACGCATGGACACGGCCAATGGGGACACTGGCAGTATGCACCCATGTTCACCTTGCTGGGAAGCATGATTCTGGGGGTCTTTGATGGGCCCTGGGCCTTTTTGACGGGGCAGAAATAAGAATTCCGAGTGGAGGTACACTTATTCTTTACGGCTGCAGTGCCAATCGAGTCGAGTTTAGCTGGAGGGACAACGCAGACGGTCCACTCTTGGGCATGTGGTTATGTAATTTGGTTGTTTGCTATGAAGCTCTTGCTTTTCTGGATATTGTATATCATAAAATGTAAGAGTCTTGAATGAATTTTAAAGCAATTGAAAGTATTTATTATCTAGAATTCCCTATGTAAATCAACTGTAAAGTATAGTTCTCTTTGTATCTGTAGAAGTATAAAACTGCAAACGAGACAAACTCAGGTGCTCTCCCCTTATCGCTCTATCGATAAGGCCGATAAGGCACCGTTTGCCCACGCCCTTCGGGGCTGACCGCCTGTTTTTAGTTGCCCGCGAAAAAAGACCCCCTCCTCTACTTTAGTCTCCGACCGATTTCTCTCCTTGACCTTGATTTTACTTTATTACTCCAGATCCCGATTTCTCCATGTCGTACCTCCATTCCCGGATGTAGGGCGACTTCGCGCCACGCCCCGCGATGTCTCCCAAACAAAGGAAGAAAGCTCCCCGCGTGAAAAAGCAAACATCTTCTGCCTCTGATTCCTCTTCCGTTACGTCCCCCGTAATAGCAACAACCAATTACCGTGAAATCCACCTCAACGAGGTCGAGGCCCTTCGTTCCATTTATGGCGATGATTATGAAGAGGTCGAGAACCGCCGCTCAGCATGGCAGGTGGGTGGAATTATTGGCTTGAATCTAGCGCTCGAGCCTCTATCTGATCTGTGATCTCTCTAGCAATCCTCCAACGTAACTTTTAAGCTCCACCTCCGAGCTTCCTCGAATCCAGACGTGTATCTCGTGCTTCTTGTCGAGCTGCCAGCTACATATCCCAAAACAGTCCCCAATCTATCGCTGCAGAAACTCGATGACCTTCGCGAAAATGCCCGTTCTCGGATTACGAAGATTATTCGGGACAAACCGAGGACCCTTCTCGGCAGTGAAATGATCTATGAGCTAGCCGTGTCTATTCAAGATGTTTTGGAAGATGTTGCGCAAGCTCGTGAACAGGATAAAGATTTACCCAGCTTGGAGGAAGAGCGCATGGAACAAAAGGCTGCCGAAATCCACCGCGCAGAACTCGAAAAGCAAGAAGAACTGCGGAAACAAGAGGCTGCGAATGTGGAAGAAGCGCGTGCGCTCCAATTAATGCTCGAGGACAGAGCTCGACAACGAAACAAAGCTCAGATCCTGCGGCGCAAGAGTCGGACCGGTGGAGTCGATTCGAATGACGTTGAAGATCTTGTGGAGAATACCCCGGGCGCAATCACTTTCGACCCGCCTATCTCGGTCAACGATACCGACGAACAACCGTTGTTGTTCCGTGCTGTACATGGCAAGACTTTGCTGCAATGCAAGCAGGGCAAGAAAACGTTCACCGTAAGACCCGTCGTGTCCGAGGGCAGGTGCCACGTACCTCTTCTCGTTCTCAAAGAGATCCTTCTGAATGAGAAAGGCTCCGACACACTCACATTCCGAGAGCAAATGCGATCTAGTGAGGATAGATTAGAGGGTTTGAAACGACTTCGACATCCAAATCTGGTCGATTTTGTGGGGTTCAAGATCATTCGCCCTCTCGGCCACTTTGACCCTCCCGATAATGCCTGGACCGTACTTGCTCTTCTGGAATTTGCAAACAAGGGCTCACTTTCGGAGCTTCTTGATATTGTTGGAACCGTCGCTGCCGAAACTCTCCGAGGCTGGATGATACAACTCCTTGAGGCGTTGGAATTCTATCATCGAAGTGGATTCGTCCATGGAAATATCCACTGTGGTCGAATTATGCTGTGCAGAAACACTTCTGGTGGGACCATCGTCAAGCTTGAAGCCAGCGTTGAAGAAGCCCTACCAGATTCTCCTAGCGGAAAGCGGTCTCTGACTACGTCCAAGTCTCCGCTGTGGTTGCCTCCAGAGTTGACCCAAGAGGGTGCCGCCCCGACCATGAAGACTGATGTCTGGGACCTTGGCATCATCCTGCTACAGATGGCGTTTGGAAAAGATGTCCTTTTGCGGTATACCTCGGCAAATCAATTGATGGTCTCGCTGGGACTCTCCCCTCCGCTGCAAGATCTGCTTCGAGAATTCTTCCGACCAGACCCCAGGAAGCGACCGACTGCCTTTCAACTACAGCCGTCGGAGTTTTTCCGAGTAGACGCGCCTTTGACGATGCGCGATCGGTCTTCGAATTCAGTATCATTGCAACGACGGCCGCGACTCGACTCTTTTGGGGCTATGCCAGCCTTCTCACGGTATCATCAAGACTTTGATGAGGCTGGCCACTTGGGCCGCGGCGGATTTGGACAAGTCGTCAAAGCCAGGAACAAACTGGATGGCCGCTTCTATGCCGTGAAGAAGATTTCTCAGACTTCTGCAGCAGCACTGAAGGATACACTTTCGGAAATTATGCTTCTATCGCGGCTGAATCATCCTTACGTCGTGCGGTACTATACTGCATGGCTGGAAGAAGACTTCAACCACATCGAAGAAGAAGCTATTTCGTCTACCGAGGGTGACCCATTCGCCAGTCAGGACCACCGTGGATTTAGCACTGGTGGGCTGGACTTCATCAGCTCCAGCGGGTATCCAAAGATCGAATTCGCCGCTTCGGACAGTGAGGATGAAAACGAGGGAACAATCTCGAATGGAGTAGGTCATGATACTCCCGAGACCTTTGAGACCGGCAGCGGCACCGAACACAGCGGTGAACTCAGTCACGCACAGTCTGGCTCATACGGTCGACCTATCCTGACTACGCTTTACATTCAGATGGAGTATTGTGAGAAACATGTGAGTTGGAAACTCTGTAGATCAAAATTCAGATGCTGACTTTGTACACAGACACTGCGTGATTTGATCAAAAACGGACTGTACGATGATATAGACCGCTCTTGGCGCCTTTTCCGTCAAATTCTCGATGGCTTGAGCCACATTCACAGCCATGGCATTATTCACAGAGACTTGAAGCCCGATAATATTTTCATCGATGTCGCTAACAATCCCCGCATCGGAGACTTTGGTCTTGCTACGAGCGGCCAGTTCATGACTGCAGTACGCTCGTCCGCAGCAGCAGACTTTGAAGGAGACTTCACTCGCAGTCTGGGCACAACCTACTACGTTGCACCTGAAATGAAGTCAGGACTACCGGGACACTACAACGAGAAAGTCGATGTGAGTATTACTTGCCAGAGCTAAATTTTTCATATGCTGATCCCTATTAGATGTTCTCCCTCGGGGTGATCTTCTTCGAGATGTGCCACCCACTGTCTACTGGTATGGAGCGCGATCAAACCCTACGTGCGATCAGAGAAAGATATCATACTCTGCCATCTACATTCCAACAGTCCGAAAAAGTCGTCCAAGGGCAGATCATCGAATCCCTGTTGAGCCATAATCCGGCTGAGCGTCCCACGGCTTCCGAGCTCCTTTCCAGTGGTCGAATTCCTCTCCAAGTTGAAGAAGAGACATTCAGACGCGCTATTGTGCACTTGTTGTCTGATCCAAATTCTCCAGACTACAAGAAGATTCTGTCTGCGATATTCTCACAATCTCCGAAGAAATTCGAGGACATTGCCTGGGATATGGAATCGCAAACAACGCCAGCAGCCAACGAGCTTCTCGTCCAGGGGCTTGTCAAGAAGCGCCTGACTTCTATTTTCCGCAGACACGGTGCGGTAGAATCGCCAAGACAAATGTTGTTCCCACGATCTCAGCACTATTCTTCCGGCGCCGTGCGCTTGTTGGATGCTTCGGGCAATCTGTTGCAATTGCCATTTGACCTGACGGTCCCCAATGCACGAGCGATTCCCCGGCAGGATCCTTCCCTGGAGAAGACATTTGCCTTTGGAACCGTTTACCGAGAGTCTACTCACGGTAGTGAGCCTCGGACTCATCGGGAAGTTGACTTTGATATCGTGTCCTACAACACCTTGGATCTGGCATTGAAGGAAGCAGAAGTAATCAAAGTTTTGGATGAGATTATTGACGAGTTCCCACCTCTTCGGTCTGCAACGATGTGTTTCCTGGTCAACCATTCCGACCTCTTACAGCTCATCATGGAATTCTGCCGTATTACTCCTTCACAAATACCGCTTGTGAAGGACGTCATCAGCAAGCTGAACGTCGGAAAATGGACAATGCAGAAGATCCGAAGCGAGCTCCGATCTCCGTCGATCGGAGTCGCGTCGACTTCATTGGATGATCTTGCGCGATTCGACTTTAGAGATTCTCCAAAAGAGACCCGTCGCAGGCTCCAAACCATCATGGAAGGCACCGAATTTGCTGAGCGAATTCCTCCTATCTTTGCTCGCCTCAATGTGCTTATGACATACTTGCAGAGCTTTGGGGTCAAGCGCAAGGTCTACATTAACCCGCTCAGCAGTTTGCATGACAAGTTTTATCGAGGCAGCATACTGTTCCAGTGCGTTTTTGATAGCAAGAGACGTGACGTCTTCGCTGCGGGTGGCCGCTATGATCGTTTGATCCAGGAATTTGCGCCAAAGGTTCTCTCCAATCGGCCACAGGCTCATGCAGTCGGGTTCAATCTCAGCTCGGACAGACTGGGCTCTTCAATGGCCGAATACCTGAAGTCTAGGGCACCATCGAAGGATGTTGAGTCTGGATCTGAGCTGTACTGGACAACTCGAAGAGTAAGTCAAAGCATTCCGCTATTCCCTAATCTCATACTTGCTTACTGACATTCAAAAAACAGTGCGACGTCCTCGTGGCAAGTTTCGACGCAACCGTCCTCCGCACAATGGGCGTCAAATTAGTCGAAGACCTATGGGCCAACGGAATCAGCGCCGAGCTTGCAGTGGATGCTTCATCTCTCGAAGAGTTAATGGCCAAATACCGAGAACACAATCATCGCTGGATTGTAATTGCCAAGCAAGATAGCAAAGAGCGAGGCTACAAAGTGCGGAATCTCGTCCGTAAAGAGGAATTTGATATTCGCAGCTCTGAACTTGTCCCGTGGCTTCGGGCTGAGGTGTTAGCCCGCCATCAGCGTGAGGGGACTTCTGATCCTCGCCAGGCTCGTCAACCTGGTCAACAAGACGCGCTTTTATCGAATGAGAAGGCGAATGATGTGCGCATTCTTGTTCCTCAACATCGAAGCAAGAAGACGAACCGCAGGAATATCGTCGAGTCGGGTATGTCTTGAAACCTCCGGTTGCTAACAATTATATCATCAACATGTCACTGACATCTGCCATGCAGCTCTTCTACGCTCCCGCGAAGTCGCCGAAAACGCTCGCAACGGCCCCGTGGCTGCAATCGACACCCGCGACGACGTCCTCGACTCCATCCGCGACACCAGACTCTCCGACCCAGACAGCTGGCGCACAGTCATCCAAAACGCGCCCTTGACCGAACGCAAATATCTCAGCCAAGTGTACGAATTACTGAGCGACTTGGCCTCGGAGAATCGCCTTGATGATAGCAGCGAGGGCTGCAACAATGCGTTTATCTACAATTATCGAACGGGGTCGTGTGTGTATTATGATCTTGGTCCTTGTGACAGGTGAATGAATGAATGATTTAGGATATGAATTGTGGAGTGGAGGTGGGGAGTTTTTATGTTTGTCTTTTGATGGCTTTTGTTTCTTATTTGATGGTCTGGCCTGGCCTGGTCTGCATGGATAGGGGTCTACTTCATTGCATTTGCATTGTTATGTCGTTACATCATCCGGGTGGAATCGTTTTTGTTTGTTTTATTAATCAACACTTGGTTATGAAACCCCCCTCTCAACAGCTACACCTGCTATTAGCTTTGTTTTTAGCGAAATGTTCAGGACTATACCCCGTGATGAACTACGTTGATAGATTATCCATTGTTCTATGATTCTATGGAGCAGATTCGATTTGATCAATTTCTTTGCTTCCAATTAGATGTAGGTGTATGCCGTAGATAGAAGAAATCTTTCCTTTTAGACTCCAGAGGTATCGATGCTATTATACATGAAGAGATCGCAAATGTCACAGTCGGTTGAAGTCCCCGAGTAAGATCTAGCTGCAATTGCGAGAACTTAATCACTCTCGTCATCACTTCCATAAGCCACCAGCGGCCCACCAGAGCTCTTTGGTGCAGCCTGCGTCATCACATTACTTCCAGCCATACCCCGAAGAGCCGCCAGCGTCGCACTCGAGAAAATGCCGCCCTGAACTTCTGGCTCAGGCTCCGGCTGAGCTTCTGCGCCCGCTGATCCCCTTTCGAGCAGAAGTGACTGCTCGGGTGCCTCGAGCTGACCATTTGTTGGTACATCCTCGAGCTGTCGCGTGCGTGCATGCCACACGTCATCCGGTACATCGTAGCCTTCCAATCCGAATGTGCCTTCGATCTTCTTCCTCTTCTTGGCCTCGGGGTCGCGGCCTTCGATCTCCGCTACGAATGCGGCGGGGAGGGCTCTCCTGACTGCCTCCGCGGCTTGCTCTTCCAGTCTTCGTGCCTCGCGCTTTTGTGATAGAGGGTTCGGGTCGACGGTGGCCCATCTAACGTTTAGGATCTCATCGTGGTCCAGGCTTTGATGTGACATCGCTTGCATCTATGGTTGGGTTAGCGTTGGATTTTTGGAACGGGCTAGGGTAAGAGATACTCACGGCGAATTGCGCATTAGCCTCGTTGGAATACGTAACGAAAGCAACACCTTTGCCCTGTTGACTTTCGTTAGCTTTTTGTCATGTAGAAATCATTAGAGGTATATTTGAACTTACTGTGAGAACGCGGGTTCGCTCAATTTGCCCCCATTCTGCAAAGTGGCGAGCAACTACTTCCTGCAAGTGCGTTAGTGACTGGTACACTAGCCATAACAAATTGATGGTCAACTTACTTCAATATCGTCTGTAACGTGGATACGTCCGACGTAAAGAGTACGGTTGACTGAAGGAGAAACAGAGTTAGTAGGCCATCGTCGAGTCTAGCCACCAGCTATAGCTGTATGGAGAGCAATTGAAATCTGGCGATAGTATACGAACCTCGGGTAAACGCTCCAACACCACTCATATCATCTCTAAAAAGTGACAATCAGAATCCGAATAGACAACGACGAGCCAAGAATCCGAGGGAAATAGCTTACCGATAATCCTGGTGCTTATCACGCCCAAACGCATCAACACTAGGATTGAAGTGATCATGAATCGTCGGAATGCGGTGCAAATACTCGCAAGCCGGACCCTTCCAACATTGGCCCTTGCTGAAATAAAGACAAAAGTATGATCCCGGCACTTGATCGGCCTTGGTGTACCCCGAATCGCGCGCGACGTTGCATCGGGATGGCGCAGGTTGATCCAACCCATGTTTATCCTTTGAGTCACCTCCACTCCATTTGCTGTACCAGATGTTCCAGAGCTCGCCCGTTTGAGCGGGAGGCTCGCTCTTCACCGTGGAGGGATCGACTTGTACGCGCGCGGGCTTTTTGCGACGCCGGATGATTTTTTTGGTCTTTTTCACGGGTTGAAGAGCTTGTTCGTCTCCTTCGGTGTGCGCTTGTGTGGGCTCGAGGTCGGCGACCGCATTGCTGGGCTCGGTCGTTGTGTCCATTGTTGAGTGTGAATTGTATGGCCAAAGGGCAGGTCGCGATTGAGGTTGATAGAAGGAAAGAGGTGAAACGATCAGGGGCGGTGAGACGAGCGGTGAAATAATATTGCCCCGCTTGGTGGAATCGACCGCCCGCTATTTTTGGCTTACATAAGGGATTTGGCGGGCGAACAACTTTCTCGCTGGCGTTGATATTCGCGAGACTCGTGCGATTCGGGGCCTTGCAAGCTGATCAAACAGTATTCACGATCACAGCTGTGTCGTGATAACCTGAAATAGGGAGAAAAAGAGACAAACCAGAGCTTGGGAGTCGTTCAGGCGTGCAGCCTTAACAACCGACAAGATGGTGAACATCACGGAAAAGATCAAGGAGTATGAACTCCCTTGAAACAGGGATATGGATGTATGAATACTGATTCTACTATCTACAGAATTGAGGATGAGATGCGCCGGACGCAGAGTAAGTGGTCTCACCTCAAATGTCTAGCTATCAATCACCCCGCTAACATGCCCCGCAGAGAACAAGGCGACAGGTTGGTTTCCCTGAGCTCCCTGAAAAAACACAGTCTTGAGCTTACACGTTACCTGTAGAGTATCATTTGGGTCTATTGAAAGGGTACACAGTTTTCCCGCTCCAAAAGCCAACATGCAGGATGACCAACTAACATCTATCCACAGAAAACTCGCTCGTCTACGAGCCCAACTCCTCGAGCCAACAGCCGGTGCCGGCTCCGGTGGTGGCGCTGGCTTTGATGTTAGCAAGAGCGGAGATGCCCGTGTAGCACTCGTCGGATTCCCTTCCGTCGGAAAGTCTACTTTCCTGTCTAAGATTACGAAAACCAAGAGTGAGGCTGCTTCGTACAGCTTCACCACGCTGACGGCTATTCCCGGTGTTTTGGAGTATGGCGGTGCTGAGATTCAGATTCTGGATTTGCCTGGTATTATCGAGGGTGCCTCGGAGGGCAAGGGTCGTGGTCGTCAGGTCATTTCTGCTGCGAAGGTATGTATATCCATATCTTTGCCTGGGGTTGATGGAACGAAAACGATTGACTGGGTGTCTAGACTAGTGACTTGATTCTCATGGTGCTTGATGCTACGAAGCGTGCTGAGCAGCGTGCACTGCTGGAGGCTGAATTGGATGCTGTGGGTATTCGATTGAACAAGGAGCCCCCGTGAGTGATCTTGAGTCCAGCTACTTGATGTATATACTAACCTGATTATAATAGAAACATCTACCTCAAGGTCAAGAAGGCCGGTGGCATGAAGATCACCTTCCAGACACCGCCCAAGAACCTGGATGAGAAGATCATCTACAACGTTCTTCGCGACTACAAGATTCTCAACTGTGAAGTATTGGTGCGAGATGAGAACGGTATGTTCCTTACATTTACCCAGCCCACTCCTTGAACATGCCATTGACTTGAATGTTTCATTCTAGCAACGATCGACGACTTCATTGACGTGATCATGAAAGACCACCGCAAGTATATCCGCTGGTAAGTCACTCTCATTTTCTTGACCTTTCAGACTCCTCTCACTGACATACGCCCAGCTTGTACGTCTACAACAAGATCGACAGCGTCAGCCTCGAATTCCTGGACCAACTGGCCCGCGAGCCTCACACGGCCGTCATGTCTTGCGAGCTCGATCTCGGCGTGCAGGAGGTGGTGGAACGAATCTGGAAGGAATTGCGCTTGATGCGTCTTTACACCAAGCGGTAAGAGCCATTCATAACCGTTGGGATGAAACCAGACTAACTTTGTGACTTGCAGAAAGGGAGAAGAGCCCGATTTCAGCGAGGCGCTCATTGTGCGCCAGGACTCGTCTATTGAGGATGTGTGCGACCAGATTCACCGCACGCTCAAGGAGACGTTCAAGTATGCTATGGTTTGGGGCGCGAGCGCGAGGCATGTCCCGCAGCGTGTAGGACTGGGGCACATGGTTGCAGATGAGGATGTGGTTTCTATAGTCGCGAAATAGAAAAGAACAGAACGTTGAAGGCATGATTTATTAAAAAAGGTGCTTATTTCTACGGTTGCAATGAAGACGGTATGATATGTATGTTTTCATGAATGTATTTCAGATTGAATATACCATGGATAAGAAAATATGAACAAGACAAGACTATGAAACCCGAGAATAGAAGACCAAAATTCCAAAACCGATAAACCGAGCCAAACTCCCACCCGACATAAGAACATTTATGCCGCAGCAGCAGCGGCGGCGGCGGCAGCAACGTTCTGCATGCCAATGGTGGGCTGCACACCCACACGCTCGTTGCCCAGAAGGTCAATCAGCAGGGGGCTGGGGCGGCTGTCACGCTGGGGGTACAGACCGGCCTGGCTCTGCTTGTACTTCTTGACACTGTCCAGGTAGATATCGAACAGGTAGGACGAGTCGAGGGGACCGCCCTTGGCCTCAGGGTGGAACTGGGTGCTGAAAATGGGGCGAGACTTGTGGATCATACCCTCGTTGCTCTGGTCGTTCAGGTTCACGAAGTAAGGCTTCCACTCAGAAGGCAGGGTGGAGGCATCAACGGCGTAACCGTGGTTCTGGCTGGTGATGTGGCAGCGACCAGTGCTCAGGTCCAGAGCCGGGATGTTGTGGGCCCGGTTACCGTACTTGAGCTTGATGGTGCGAGCACCGGCGGCCAGAGCGAGCAGCTGGTGACCCAAGCAGATACCGAAGATGGGGACCTGGGAAGTCTCCATCAGAGCCTTCAGGTGGAAGACGGTGTCCTGGCAGTGAGTGGGGTCACCGGGGCCGTTGGAGATGAAGACACCATCGAAGTGGTGAGCCACCTTGTGGATGGGGTAATCGAAGGGGAAGACAGTGACGCTAGAGCCACGGTTAACCAGGCTGCGCAGGATGTTCTCCTTCACACCGCAGTCGAGGACGGCAACGTGCGAGTGAGGGTCGGCAGCGCTGATGTGGAAAGGCTGCTTGGTGCTGACCTGACGCACCAGGTGAATCTGTTCCGGGTCGGTGAAGGCCTCATCCTCGTTGGCATCGTACTCCTCGCCAACCGTGATCTTAGCCAGGGACGAACCCTGCTCACGGAGGTAGGTGACGATCTCACGAGTGTCAACACCGGAGATGGCCGGAACACCTTCCCGCGCACACCACTCGCCCAAGCTCTCAACGGCAGTCCAGTGGCTGTACTGCTCGGCAACATCAGCGACGACCACACCGGCCGCCTGCAGGTTGGGGGACTCGAAGTACTTGAGAAGACCGTTGGGGTCCTTCTCGGCAGAGGGCACACCGTAGTTTCCAATCAGAGGCTGAGTGAAAACCAGGATCTGGCCACGGTAGGAGGGGTCGGTCAGGGACTCGGGGTACCCGACCAAGGAGGTGGTAAAGACCGCCTCACCAGAGATGTTGGAGCGAGCGCCAAAGGACTTGCCGGTGAACATGGGGCCGTCACGGATGGTGAAGGTGGCGGGCTCCAGCGCGGCACGCTGACGAACGGTGGCCATGAAGCGGGCTTGGGGCTTCACGGTGGCGAAGGCCTGAGCCCGAGCGGGCATGGCCTTGAACAGATTCATGATCATTTTGATTTGAGGGATTTGTTAAAAGTGTACTGAACGAGATGTGGGTAGGTCGATTCAGTTAATACGGGCTTTCCAAAGATGGTCTGCAAGGGATAGTTAGCATCTTGGATATAATGCGATGGGGCCAATACAAGGCCAGTGGTGTTGTTCGAAGCATACCCGAGATATAGTCCTAAGAAAGAAAGGTATTAGCATGGGGATTTAGGATAGTCGAGTCATCCAATTGGAAGAAATCCTTTGGGGACTCGAGGTAGAGAGAGAGAGAGACGACGAGCAGCATACCTGGGAGGTGAAGATAGAGGGTGCCAAACACATAAGCGCGACTGAAGATTTAGCAGTCAAGGTAAAAAGAAAAAAGAAGATGCTTTTAGCACGACATAGGTAAAGGTGGTTGGGATGTGGAGATGTAGCTGAGGTGGAAAAGCTGGAGGAGGAGGAGAGGAAAGGGACGAAGGAAGAGGTTTTCGTTGAGTCAGTGCGGGCACGTGCTTTCGGGCCTCACCGACCACCGGCGTGGCCAATCAAAAGCCCGGGCCGACATCGGCTGTGCGGGCTGTCGATCGCTGACTCATCTGGGAGAAATCACGGGATTGTGATTGGTCAATTGACCTGGCTTATCGCGACGCCCTGTGAAGAACATTTTGCACACCGCTACCAACGACAAATCGCCAGAGTGCGTGAGTGGACTCGTTGTTTTGGTGGCGTCAAGACTGGTCAAATTCGGTGGGAATTCTGTGGGGCTGGTCTGTTGGAATAACAAGCTACGATTTCTCGGTGCATTTTCTGTGTCACTCAATTGACTGACCAGAAACGCGCCTAGGGTAGCATATATTCCCAACTAGGCAAGCCAGTAACACTTTCGGATCATTTTGACAGGTTAATACACGTTGAACGGTTACAAGGCATTGAATAGTATATAACCAAGCTAGATGCGATGGTGGAAGGTGCAGAGCCACATCATCAGTAGCTATCGAAGCTATCAGCTTTCAATCGTTGACATTTTAGTAAATCTCTGTGCGCATCGGCACCATGATCATCTTGCAATATCTTACCGCCGCCCTGACGATCAATTGGGTCCCTACCACTCTTGGTAGCACCATTAGAGAAAGCTTCCAAAAGCCACTTCCCCTCGAAGACCCCAGATGTGGGGGAACAGGCCTAGCAGACCCTGATGGAAACTGCAATGGCGACGGTGTCATTCGCGAGCCCAGTCCCCATGAGCGTGAAGGATTCCGCTTCGAGAATCCCTCGACCAATTGTGAATATGTCTCTCAGATGCATATTTGGGATTCGTTCAAAGATCTAGAGAAGGATATGAGCAAGTTGTTCACACTGATCAATAAGGATGTCAGTTTCACGGTTGTCGGCCACCATCCAATCGCTGGACATTATCACGATCTACTACATTTTTATGTCAATGCCCTGCGCCGTGTAAGCGTGTTGTTCCTGGACCATGCCGATAAATTTGAGATTCATCCGCAGGCCATTCATGCAGGATGCAATAGTCGGTGGTCGGTACAGGAAGTAAATTTCAAGGGCATTATGAATTCTGGTAAGATCACAACAAGACCGAGAAGTGATAAATTGGTTGAATTATATGATTGCTCTATTCTATATCTCTTTGACTCTACGAGCAAGCGAGACCTCGACCTAACAACGTAACAGGAGAAGCATTCGACATTGTCAATGTCTGGGTGACTCGCTGGAATGCCCGGACGAAGCAAATGGTCGAGATCCGAACCTATATCGATGCACCACGCATTATGGATGCATTACACAAGAACGAGCTGTGGTGGAACGGTACTACTTTCCGTGACAACCTACAGTACATGCCAGGCCCAGCAGGAATGCCCGATCTAAAGCAACTGGAGGGTCTGATGGGATACCCGGATGGACGGAAGTATGATAATTAAATGGTACTGTAGCTAAAAAAAAAGCCGGTGATCGAAAAAAATTTCAAGATATATGCTAGGGAACTATTCATATAGTAATCTTGTTCTTGTAGTAAATCACAAGCAGAATGCGGACTCCGCGCTTGGCACCCCCAAACCCCCAAACCTAAATGCCCGCATCCCGCAACTGCCAGTACTTTTGATTTCTCCACGATGACTCTACGTCCAACTCTCTCATCAGGTCTGTAAGGTCCCACCCCGATGACCGAGTCAACACCCCGTAAGCGCTCCCGCGCGGCCTGTCTATCATGCCAATCGCGCAAACGCAAATGCTCGGGCGAACAGCCCTGCAGCACCTGCGCCCAGGCCGGTGTCGCCTGCGTGTTCAGCGACTTGCCGCGCAAGAAGCGCGCCCGATCCGGTAGTATGTACCGGGCTTCTTTATCAGGATTAGACGAGCGACAGCGTCTTCCTCCTCCTTCGGATGCATGGACTCATCCAGTCCCTGCGGCTAAGCCGGCTAGTAGCGCTGCGGGCAGTGCTGCTTCGCCAGGGTCTTACCCTCGTGTGAACGATTCTGCGCGTCGCATGAGCCATTCGCTCGAGGCAAACTCGGGCGCGGCTTTTGTGCGTAAGCTTGGGCTTAGAATTGATCCTGCGCGTGCGCCGCGATTGCATCTTTTTGCTTGGAATGTTGGCGAGAGGCGTTTGTCGCCGGAGGCCTCGGTGTATCCTGCCGTGTCGGGAGCAGGCCCAATCACTACGATGATATCAGAGGACGAGATGCGCCGCTTAGCGGGTATTTACTTTGAAAAGGTCCATCCATGCTATGCATTCCTCGACCGAAAGACGGTGCTTGCACATATTGCACAACGCTGGTCAGCGTCTTCTATACCTGCCGAACCAGCAGACCAACCATACGACGTCGTACTTCTCGGCGTCGCAGCTTTCGGACATTTATTCTCGCGGCGGGAGATGCTCCCAATAGAACTACGCATCGTCGATACAGCGCGATCACTCTTGGAAAAGAGCATCCTCGGCGCAGACACACCTACTATCGACACGGTGACGGGCTGGGTCCTCCGCGCAGCCTACCTACGCATGACAGCATCACCACACGCCGCATGGATGGCTAGTTGTACACTAATGCACCTCATTGAAGCCGCCGGTCTGCATCTGGAAACCCAAGACCCCGATGCAACAGGTCTCATCCAAGCCGCCACATCAGAATCTCAAGTCCTCAACGGGACCAACACCACCACACAACCACACACCGACACAAACCTCCGTCGACGCCTCTTCGGCATGGCCCGACACCTCAACACCTGGATATCCTTCGACCTGGGTCGATCCCGCGTCGTCCTCCACGGCGCATCATCCCACTCCCCCTCAACACCTGCCACAAATGCAGACCTATACCACCTCCTCCCGCTCTCCGAAAGCCTCGACCCAACAGGCCCAACACCCCAAGACCTCCCAGACCTTGAAACAGCCCTCACAGCCGTCCTAGACCTAATCTACACCGAACCCTCCCTAATCCTCGTCCAATGCAACCTAATGCTGTGCATCTACCGCCGCGTCCGCGCGCTAAACGCCCACGCGCCCCTCCCGGGCCGCGCGCTAGATCGCGTCCTCGCACTAGCAGGTCGAGGTCTCCGCGCGGCTCGCGCTATGGTAGCTGCGACCTGTGCGTGGCATCAGGTTGCGAACGTGCCGTTTCAGGTTGTTTGTACGCTGTTGGCGATTGATAATCGCGCGGCCTTGGCGTTGTTGCCGGATGCTATGACGACGTTGAGGGAGGTGTTGGCGGCGTATGATACCGGGGTTATGCGGGAGGCGTATTCGACGGCTTATTTGCTTATTGCGTTGCATCAGAGGAGGAAGGAGGATGATACGAGGGCGTTGGGGGAAGTGTTGAGGGCTAATGCGGCTGCTGCGGTGCCGCCGGTTTCTGTGCCGGTGACGGAAGTGCAGCAGTTTAAAGAGGATGAGCGTGGGATGGGGGATGAAGCGGGAGTACAAGTTACGGCGCAGATGCCGATGCAGACGCAGACGCAGGCTCGGGCGCAGGATGTGCTGGGTCCTGTGTCTGATGCGGAGCTTTCGTGGTTGGGCGATTTGATGATTGATATGCCCAGTTTGCAGAACTTTGATCTTGATCAGTTTTTGATGACGGATGTACCGTGGCCACTGCCTGAGATGGGGATTTGAGAAGATCTGGATGATATTGGGACAGGTTATGGATTGGGAGTAGGATTGAAGTGGACTGGATAGGAGATCACTGGTTGATTCTCGCTGTCTATGGAAAGGTGGAATGAAAGGTCCAAAACGCCGTCGTAACTATGCATGCAACGAGAACGATACTGAGATACCCGGAACGCCAATGAAGACATAATACCAATTATATACCCTGCGACTTACCTTGCAGTCCATTCTCATTCCTTCTTCTCATGTCGCTGCTGCCCAGACCGCGACAATGCGACCTGAACCAACCGCCAAAGCACCCACAAGAACCCAAGCAGAATAACCACCGACGTCCCCAACTCAATGTTCTGCGCGCGGAACAAACCCTCGCCCTCCTTGAGTGTCAGCACGGGAACATCAATCGCCTCCACAAGCCGGCCAGACTCCGGATGAAGCTGATAAAACATCGTCCTTGGACCAAACAGCCCATCCCAGCCCAGATTTGTGCGATCAAAGGGATTGACCCCCATCTTGGTCCCGTCTTCAGCTGTGCAAGCCCAGAAAACAACGGGCCAGGGTACCTCTGCAATTCTGTACCCCGTTTCAGAGGGAGGTAGGTATCGGAGGTGCAACGGGATAGTAGCGGTCCAATTCGACGTCTTGTCAGATCCATCCCCGTTTGGAGCGGCCAGCTCAAAGAGCCAGGTTGAACCCCAACGCTGTACGGCCCAGTCCGGTGCTTCGAGGTCCATTTCACCAGCGTGCGCGCGGAGTGCGGCTAGGTTATGCGATTCGAGGAAGAGCGGGTCTGTCGTGCCGAGTTGGTATTGGTCTCCGAAGACGGAAGATGGGAGTGTGAGGTATGCGTGGATGGCACAGGTTGCGTCTTCGGGGGCTGGTGGGCGTTCGAGAGAGGTGCGTTGCAGGGTAATGGACATTGTTGGGTGGAGGCCGGTTGGCTTGGTGAAGGAGACGGAGTAGCTGGCGTCTGAGGGGAGAGGATGGTGTCGAGATGGGAATGAGAACATTGTTGGTTCTGGAAGGAGTTAGAACGATTGTTTCTGTGACATATGCTTTGCAAAGGAGAGTTGATTTGAAGAACGTACTCATCTTCTTGTCCTCCCCAACTACGGCTAACAACCCTCCCATCTTGATCTCCTCAGGCTCGATGCCCTGCTCCGCGCCTAGGAGACCAAACTCGACTTGATCTGCTTTGGAGGAAGGCTTGGCAATATCTTCAGTCCAGCCACTACTAGGCGGACTAGCCCAAACACCCGAGATAGTTAATGCGTGAGAGATGCTGTCGTAGTCAAAATCGACCGCATCGGCCGTTAACAAGGAACCCGCGCGATCATGGCACTCGGTACCACCAATCTGGCGTTGGTGACATGCCGTACGTCGAATAAATGCGACTAGTGATCGCAGGCTGGGAAGCTGCGTGTAGTATTGGAGGGAGGCCGAGGCCGCGAATCTGGTAGATAGGAGCGGGGGTGTGATGAAGGAGTCCTGTACACGACACGCAAGTTAGACAAGACGAATTCCAGTATAACGTAGCTGAGACAACGAGAATTCCCCATCAAATTGAATGAAAACGAGGGTCGATTTACCTCAGGCGTTGTGCAGTCCACCACAGCTTCTCCATCCTCGCGATTCCCGAACACCGTGCGTAGCAATGAGCAAAGCGCCTCCCTACCGAGTTCCCCGTCAGACTTTCCCCTAGCGCAATCAATGTGAACCTAAGACAACCACTCACGATGACTGATCAGCAGCTAGCGGAGTATAATGCACATGTAAGCCAGGCGAGATCCTGCTTGCAAAGGGCGCAATGGCATCGAAAGAGCGCTCAGTCGCCCATCGAAGACGGAGTTCATGGGACTGTTCGAGGACCGTGCGAAGCTACATGACAACACAAATTCATTAGCTCCACGCGCCTATACCTGTAGCATGGTCGGTAGAGGGTCTTTCATACCTCCTCGGGGAGATCCCCCAGGCTGAACGTAATGCGGTCCTCGCGCGCGGCGTCCAGGTCCCGGACCGATACGGCGGAGGAGCTTAGGGAGGCCTGATGTGGCTCGAAGGGGGTTTCGGGATGCTGGACATAGGTGACCCTGCGCTTCATGATGGATGTTGTATATCTACCTGGTGAAAAGGAGGGGGATTTGACAGAATGGAAGTGGAGATAAGGACGATTAGGATGTTGATTTCTCCGAGTTGAGGTGCTTCTCCGCATTCCCCGATCGGGTTTAGCCTAGACTATGTACAATACGCTACATACGACATTTGTTCTACCCCAGGCTGGAGTAGTCCATAGTAGCAAAGGCTCAAGTTCTCACAAATAGATAGAAAGTAAAGGAACAGGATATTCGAATCCATTCATGCACAATAAAAAAAATAAACAAACAGGCATTTCGTCGTTGGTCGTTATATTACCACCCAATGATGTTGAAAAGAAAACGCTCACACCAACGCCGAGGACAATGCTAATAGACACGTAACACATTTAAGGCAGAATATCCTTCAGGATCGTTTTTGTCTCGGCGCTCAGGGTCTTGGGGAATGTGACCTTGACACGGACGACGAGGTCACCCCGTTCACTGGGTTTCCTGTAGTTCGGCATGCCCCAGCCTGGGTAGTGTTCCTCGTGGCCGGGCTGTGTGGGACCGGGTTTGGAAACGCGGATGGATTTGCCGTCGATGGTACGGACGATGCGTTCCCAGCCGGTCAGAGCCTCCTTGAGACTGAGCTCGACGGTGGTAACGAGGTTGTCGCGCTCGACTTTGAAGTCTGGGTGGTCAACCTGCGGGAGTTGTTAGCAGCTGCTCATAGACGGAAAAACTGGGGTTGGGAATATCTTCACATACATATTTCACAATCAGGTGCATATCCTGTCGGCCACCTTCTTCTCCGTCTCCAATATTCCGGTACTTGATCTTAGTACCGGCACGCATGCCAGGTTTAATCGAAGCTTCGAGGGGCACATCTTTTACAGTGCGCTTCCCACTGGCATCGAACGACTTGCTCTTAGCAATCACAGTCTTGGTCGTTCCTTTGAAGATCTCATCTAGCGTGAGCGGCAGATCCTTCTCGATGATAGTTGGCTCTGGAGTTGGGGCACGGTGCGCCTTGGACGATGGGAAGCTTGCCCCTGCGCCTGGACGACTGCGGAAACTAGCACCGCCGCCGCCACCTCCCATGCCACCGAGCATGGAGAAGATGTCGTCGTCAAGCCCACCCATTCCACCACCGCCTCCCCCACTGGACTTGGTGAATTCTCGGAAGATGTCGTCGGCAGGGCTGAAGCTGAAGCCATGAGTACCACCACCGGAACCAGTCTTAAAATGGAATGTGCGTGTGCCACCGCCGCTGGGCATGCCGGCAAAGTTGAATCCTCCGGGCATGCCCCCGGCACCGGCACCACCACCTCCTCCTCCACCACCGCCGGGCGTCGGTGCGGGACCGCCGCGAAGCAGATATTCGAGGCCGAATTGGTCATAGACTTTGCGTTTCTCAGGGTCGGAGAGGACTTCGTAGGCTTGGGAGACCTCTGTAAAGAAAGGGTTAGTATTGGAAATTGTTGCAATGCAGGATAGCGGGGTAACCCGAACTGGCAAGAGTCGGTGTGCGTACCTTTGAATTTCTCGGCTGACTTAGGGTCATCTTTGTTCTTGTCTGGATGGTGTTTCAAGGCGGCCTTGCGATAGGCCTTCTTGACCTCCTCTTGGGAGGCGTCGGGTTTGATACTCAAAGCATCGTAGAGCTTTGTTTCGGCCACCATGGTTTGTGCGGGGGTTAAATTGAGTTTCTATTGAGAGGCGAAAATGAATCGACGCGGGGGTAGCGGGTAGGACGAGCTTAAGAAATCAGAGGATCCTCGGGTGGGAAGTGGGTGGTCAGATCCTTCGATGGGGGAGAGAATGTACTGGGTGCTTCTCGAATGAGCAGGAAGCTTCCGGCTGGATCAAGCGGCTCTGGTGCGGAACACAAAGGATATTTGCTGCCAGGCTGAGGGTTGAGTAGCCCAAGGTCGACTAAAGAATCAACATGTGTAGTGAGCAGGCGCTGTGAGGAACGAGAGAGGAACAAACTGCGGGGATAAGCTGAGAACTTGAATGGAATCAGACATGCTCGTGAGGTGAATGACGTGTGACGTCGTGGGACCGAAGCTTCGAGAAGGTTCGATGGTCTCCTCAGACACTCCCGCTTTTTCGCTGGTCATTAAATGATCGCATGATGTTTGGCATGGGATTTTGGCTGACTGAAATTCATCATGGAGTCTGTTTTCACTTGTTCAATAGATCTTCTACACATAATTATCGGCCACGATCCTCACGATCCATAACATCATTGACAGCCCGGCCCCACATGGTTAGTCAGGCATTATGTCAGTGGCATTTTTGGTTGGGTCCCGGCAGATCTATACCCGCAACTCTAATAGACTCGAGGGTATGGGATTATGCTTAAAATGGGGGAATGGAGTGGGCTTGAAAATATAGGCAATATTCCATTTTATTCACCGAAAAGACCCTTACACTAGAACATACCAAGGATGTTCCCGAAGCTAGGCTGAGTGTAGCAAGGTTGAAGGTTGAATTGTGGGACTTTTCCTTCTTTTCAGTAATTTCCGAGTTCTCCTGTTCAGGTATAGCTAAGATATACTAAGGTATATAGTATCAAGGCTGGAATAACGAGACGTACGATTATGGCGGACTATGGCCTAATCGTTATGCGTGGTGTAATAATTAACACGATGATGTGATAGCAACTTTCAGTGATCCGCGGGAACATGGTGCCTCTCCATTATCGGAAATTGTATATATATCCCTCCATCTTATATTATCAGGGATATATTCGTAGAGCCAGGGTTGTCCGTCTGCGCTGACCGAAATACAAGCCGATTCCCTCATTATAGGACGCGCACCGGGGCTCAAATAATGAGGGGAAAAATGAATTCCAAGTAACTATAAATTGCATCATATTATATGGTGCCAACCCTCCGAGTCCGAGTATACCTACAACATCAAGCTCATTCATGCCATTCATGAAAGCTCCTCGCCCTTCCAATGATGCCGTCGACGTCGAAATTAGCAGCGCAGTGCGGGATATATGCCAGAGAGTTATTTACCCTGTTTTATCGAGAACACGAAGCGTGCTTCTGATCTCAATTGTGGCCAGCGCCGGATTTCTTACTGTTTGTCAAGAAGATCCATCTTCCGCTATGGTCAAGTTGCTGATGTACATTCAACGGACCTTTGTGTCCAATCCGTGGTTATCATCCTTCCATCATAAGCGAGGATTTGAACATCCTATCCAGCCGTCAGGGCATCATCATTTCCACGTATAATATTTCCCTCGCCTGTCTGATGCTTTTCTGGGGCCGAGCGGCGGATGTCGCTAAGGTGTGCTGAGGCATCTCTTCACTACAGTATTCGACTATAGCGCCGAAAGTAGACATGTGAAAGGCACTCGTTAGCGTCGTATTTGCGAGGAGGTTAAGCGAGGTATTTCCATTTTGCCATTTTGGGATGGGAGGTGTTGACTTAAAGGGTATGTTCAAGGAAGCAGCCTTCTAGATAGAGGTCTCTAATGGATTATATTCCAAGGATACTATGCGCGGAGATAGACAGATATGACCTTTATAAACTGTACATGACCCTCGTCATCATCAACCCTCCACGAGGACATAATCCTTAATCACAGCCGTCCCATTCACCACACTGGCTATCTGATCCTCCGTACACGTCGCCTCCAACGCCAAAATATAACACTCCGGCGCAGGACTCTCAGGCACCTGGTTCTTAAACTGCCACGTCGAAGCTGGACCCTTGGTAGAATACGACCTATTCTTTGCAGTATCAACCTTACCGGTCGCCAGATCACGATTGAACAAAGCTCGGTGGAAAATCTCATACGCCGTCTGCGGTTGATAAGCCGGTACTTCATGGCCTGCCTCGTACACCCGCGTGAACGAGAAGTTGCCATGCTGCCGCACCTGACCACCCACGTAGCTCGAATTCGTGCGCAGGGGTGCATACCCAGCTGCCCGGAAGGCATCGGCCTCTGCATGCTGGATACTCAGACTGACGTCTTCGCCACCAATCCAGTCGCAGGCGTAGTCGCGGTCTCCGTAGACGAGGGCCACTTTGATGCCCGAGTCTAGCACGTAGGCTATATCGTCCAGGTATCCGTGGACATCCGCGCGGGCATAGTCACCCGTAGACTGGAAGCCCTGGTAGACACTGTCGATAGACTCGGTGAAGTTGATGGGTACGCCCAGCGCGCCCTGTACCCAGTGCTGGTTCAGGAAACCCAGGAAGTAGTTTGATGGGAAGGGATCCGGGTTCTTGTGAGTAATGTCGTAGTAGCCTCGGTCTGCGTAGTTAACATAGGCACCCTCAACATTATTACTGCAGAAATCCCCAGCCTTTTTGCAAACTTTGTTGACAGTCTCGTTGTTACCGTGCATCTGGGGGTCGCCTTCGGCGGCTAGGACTCGGCAATGCTTGATTTGGTCTTTGCAGCCTCCTGGTCGACTCCAAGCGTGCATGGCTTCCGTGTAGACGGTTTTGTTGATAGTTTGCAGATCGTAGGTGTTGTTGTAGGCCATAATGGGGTATGAGGGGGCTTGGACGAGGAGATCAACGCAGCCGTTGATGATGCCCAGTGTGTCGAGGTGGATGTAGTGCGACTCGCCCGCAGTAGTGAGCGTTTTATTTTTGATTTTTTCGTTCTGTTCTTGGAAGAACGCAGTGAAAGATGGTCCGTAGCGGCCACCATACGACTCTGTCCAGATGCTCACGCGATCATCATTGGGCTTGTATTCGGGGAACTCGGTGAACCAAGTCTGCGCAAAGTGCCACAATGAGCGCGCGGCATTTTCTGTACCGTTTGCGGCAGCAGATGGTTTTCCACTGGTAGTCGTGCCGACATAAAAGGTATTGTTCTGTTCTGGCACGCCGTGCTGCCATTTGGAAACATTCCATGCCGAGGCGATCTGGTCGAAGGTACCATTGGTAGCTACGTCGTAGCTAAAGCCGACCTGATTGGGCTGATCGATGTATAGCATGTTGACGTAGTTGTTCCATGACCAGGGATTCAGCTCGGTCGAGTTACTGTCAGCATTCACAATGCACGGGCCGTTCTCCTGCATGAGACCGATCATGGACGAACTGCCGGGCCCACCGTTCATCCAGATGGAGAGGGGGGCGTTCTTCGGACCATGTCGTGCTTCAAAGAACCAGAAGAAGGTGTTGATAGGATACTTTTGGGATACACCCACGTCATCCAGGGTTCCTGGGGGCAAGTGAACATAGCCCGAGTACGATCTGACTCCTGGTGTGGTTTCGCAGATCCCCGGCTGTGATCGGGATTTTAGTACATGTTCGTGCGACCATTGGATTTCCACAGATATACTCCAAGGAACGGTGACCACATACCTGCTTGTATGAAATCTTTACTCCCTTCTCATGCTTTGAGTCCACCACTGTCAACCCTTCAGGTGTTGGAGGGAAATACTGTGCTGCAGCGGCACCGGCCAGAGAGACGGCCGCCAGCCAAGTCGTGGGGACCATCGCGTATTAGCGGGGAAAAGGAAAGTGATTAGAAGCACGAGGCACGGTTCTTTCAACCCAGGATATCGCAACTTTATGAATCAATGATAGCCAAGACGCGAGTGCTTATCAAGTGGAGCAACAAAGCGACTCGTTTGCTCATTCACTCGGCGAGATCGGCGGTCGAGCGATCGGATGCAACGATAGAGCAGACGGTGCTGGGGGAAAAGACAAGAAAAAGTGGGGAAATGGCGCCCTGGTGGGAACCACAAAGCATCGCGATGCATCGCAGTGCTCGAATTACCGTCTCTACCAGTAATTATGACTAGGCTGCCATTTTGATACGAATTTCCGTTTATACTCCCCGATCGCAGTCCCGAGACTCAGTAGATTGAACAATGGGTGAAGACTGCGGAGCCCAACGGACATCCGGCACGGCCGAGGGGTACTGGTGGGGACCTGGTTGATCAGAGGGGACCTTGAGGCTTTTTGTAACTGCATGCCAGGAATTGAAAGGTTGGAATATCTATTGGTCGTCATTTCTGGGGAACTTCGCTGTAGCTTCGGCGAACCCTATCATTGAAGAGTGTAGGGTGTTGTACGCAGCCTAGTGCAAGCGATAGATCCAAGTACGGGGTAACCACAATATATAAAACCTTCGAGCCATGGGATATTTGACTTATCATCCATCTTCAAGATTAGGAGAAAAGATTTAAATATAAATTTCACCGCGAAGGGAGGAATTTGGAAGTAAACGAAGTAATGATAAAGCAGAGATGCACAATTTCAGGCGGGATCCAAGTCAGGCCATCAGTTAGCATAGAACAACCAAGTAAGTCTATATGCGCAAACAATTGAACTCCTGGAACAGATACGTAAACCTTTACATATATTTAAATACCGTTTAATCACTAAGACCTCGACTCAAGCAAAGCAAATCGGATTCAACAATAGGTGAAACTGGAGGCTCGGCTAGAGAGCTACAAAAAGTATTACGACTCTCTCGGACCAGCCCTCGTAGGTACTACATAAGTAGTCTATACGGCCCGACGTACCCGCTAAGTAGGCATATGAATTTACATACAACAAGAGAATTCCGACTGTACTCATAGGCGTGGGAGCTCTTCAAAGTGACAATAGTCTTCCTTGAATTCCATCGAGCCGATATCACGAAGAAAACCATGAAACTTATCTACATTCGTCTCACCAAGGGAATTGATGTGTCTGGACTTGATGAGCCTCCAAAGCGCTGCCTCCTCATTTCTCCAGATATGTGGCCATAGCAGTAGTTGAACCTCTTCGCCATGTAGGTACTCCGTACGATTAGCCCATAGCTTCACGGGAAGACGTGGTTGCAGCCTTTGGTTGGGTTGGAGGTTTAACACGACAGGCGGGCGAATACCAACGCTTTTCCCAACCCTTTGCTTCTGCTCTTCTGTTACTGGGACTTTAAAGTAGACCCAGAAGATGTGGATAAAACGTCTAGGTAATAACGATTGAAACCAACCGTGACAACCGCTAGGAAACTCATAATATGCCAAGAATGTAATCCCGTCGTTCATAAGCTGTTCCCTAAAAAGCTGGGCTGACGGAGAGCTTTCAAACTCCCTACACGCTAAGCTCTTAGACCAATCTAGATATAAGAGCCTTATTAGTAAATTAATATCGCTTCTGAATGATATGACTTACGTGTGCCTAGAATCACTTTCTCCGGGTTAAAGCGAAGCCGAGCCCATATTGACTGTTTGTGGCCCGTAGCATGTACTAAGGGTTGGAAATATTCGACCCATCGTTGTCTATCAGACTCATGTCCGATAGGCACCCAAAGCTCAGTCCAAACAACGATCCAGTTGGATGAATTGTTAGAATTATCGGACACTGATTGTATCTTCCCTGAATCGAGCAGTGCCATGTGGAATTTTCAATTTCAAAGAGAGTGAGACAAGAAGTTCGGAGTGCCGACCCGCTAGCCAGGGCGCAAGCTTGGATATATTGGGCTTGCTATACATCACGTGATAACCATAGATCCCTAAGATCTCGGTGGCGAATCCACGTTGATATGCTCTGGAAATAATGGTTTCCTAAAATACATAGTTACATACAATCTGACAATTCTGTATAATCATCAATTGTGTGGTGTCCTTTTAGTAACTCCCCTCGGCTATCTATGCTTGTTTCCTGATTAATCGCCCTAATCCGAATGCAGTTTAGTGACAATCAGCCCTTGCTTACATCTTTCTATCGGCCGTTATCTTTGGTGGACAGAATGATCATTCTCAATTAATAATCGGTGTTAAGCGTGAGGAGTCTCTAACTAACTATAGAAGGCAGGGAAAGGCGTATAGCTTACTTTCATCGATACCTACCCTGAAATAGCACCTATCTTGAGATCATACACTATTTTGGTACAAGAAATCCCCTCAAACCCTTAACATTCAAATCTGACTGTTCGCTAGACCATACCCCTCTCAGGTGATAATCCAAACACCAGCTGTCTTACTCTGATCTCTGAAATGTCCAGCACCATGATTGTGCTTCCTCGTCCTGGGACGGCTCAGTCTAGCCACCCACTGCAGCCCATCCGAGCACCATCCGAAGCCGCCTTTGTCGCGACATTTGGCCAGCTCCTACCACAAGCGTCATATTTACAGACACCTCATGGCAGAGCTGCATATTATGAGATACCAGCCTCATCTCCAGCACCCCCAGGCACCACCAACACCATCTCGCGCGTCCTGTTTGTACACGGGGTCCAAACCTGCGCGATCGGACTGCAGCCACTAGCCAGCGCGTTATCTTCGCGTTTCCCGCATGCTCAGTGTGTCCTTGTTGACCTGTGGGGCCACGGTTTAACAGACACCCCGATTATCCCCCACGAACCCACCCTCTTCCATGGATTATTGGAAGCGTTAATGGTGCAGCTTGGATGGGATGACGCTCATCTTATTGGATATTCGTTTGGCGGATCTACAACCGCAACCTTTGCAGTCGCGCATCCCGAACGTGTTGCATCTATGGTCCTAGTCGCACCTGCGGGTCTACTGCATGCTAGCGACTATACCGATGTGCAAAACAGTTACCTACGTGGCGGTGAAGGATTGGAAGAGAAGGCGCGAGCTTGGATTCTCGAGTTCCTGGAGGGAGGCCAGTTAGTCGTCCCCTCGGATTGGAAGGAGAGAGTCGCGAAAGGCGAAGTTGTTGCGGAGGCAGTCCGAGAATGGGAAATGAACGAGCATGAAGGCCATGCAGCAAGTGTGATAGCCGTATTTAGGGACGGTGGAGTGCTGGATAAAGATGCTGAATTTGCTCAAGCGGCGGAGAGTGGAATCTCGAATCTGAGTATTTTGGGAGAACTTGATGATGTGTGCAGCGTGGAGAAGCTTGAAAATGTTGGGATAGACAATATTTCTGTTGTACCGCAGGTTGGACATGGTGTTGTGAGAGAAAGGGTGCCGGAGGTTGCTAGTCTGATTGAGAATTTCTGGAAGGGACTCTAGTCTTGGTATGAGACAGGACCAGGTTGTGAATATTCTAGTATATGCTATGGGAAATCTGCTTTCTGCTACATAACAATTTGTAGAGCCCAGTTATCGTCAATGAGAACTTTACCATTAATTTTAGACCAGTCCTGTCCTTGGGCTAAAGATGATCATCATAGTTCCTACTCGAACATGAATTTACTCCCATCAGCGAATAGCACTAATATGATCCTACTTTGCTTGGACAAATCCAGCACTGCACCCGACAATTTGTACCCGTTCTATATTGGGATGCGACGCGAAGATCCAGTTAATACGAGAAGTAATCATTGATGCTGGGCCTCGGATGTGTATTATCCTTTTGGGGCCGGGGCCGAAAGTACAAAGACGAGAAATTCAAAAGCCTCGTGTTGCTTTTAAACAATTCAAAATTTGCTTTAACTCTCATGAAAATTAACATAATAGAGTTTCATATATTTTTAGGCGTCGGCGATACATCTCGGTGACCTTCTGTTCTACCGTAGACTTACTGTTGTATATCATATTCCACCTCCGCGCAGCAGGTTATGTTCTAAGAACAGAGAGGCTGAAAACAACAAAGACCTCTGGGAGCACTGGACGCCCTAAAATTCACTGGTGGGAGAAAAAGGGTCAAATATGCTCTGAAAATGATGATGAAAGATCCAGAGTATTACCTCGGAATGTCTAATTGGAGTTCTACAGAGGGCTTTCCACGCCCATGTGCCTTCAACGAGTGTGAGAGTTTATCAACATAGGGACTCTTGAAATAAAATAATAAGGTTGCGAGAGCCTGAAAATATCTTGTAAACGAGGTTCCTTTTATTTTCACTGGGTTTGGGGTCTTTGTCTGCTCGTGTTATGCCTCTCGGCCCCCTCATTGGCCGCCCCCACGAGTCCTTCGGGCCGAGTCAAAAATAGATCTCATCGTGTTTTCCCGTGTCACGAACTCTCGTTGATTGGAATACAAGGCATAACCCATGCTGACATATCTATTGGCTTGACGCACGAGGCTATGCGCCTGGCAAGTTTCCGCAAACCGCTCTTGGACCCTGGATGATCTACGACAGCGAATCCCAGAGCCTCTCAACACGGGTAAAGCTTGGCCTACCGCCTGCATCTATAGGCGCTTTGTTATCGGCGGATTCGTTTGTTTCTTGAAGCCCTCGTTTTAGCCCCAGCTTGATCCTTTCTTACCAACAAGCCCCAAATTCCTGGCAGTCCCTGCATTCAATGGAGCCACCAAAGACTGGCCCCAGGGTTCTGGGGCTGGACCCTGAAAACCAGAGGGTTGGAATGAAAGATTCGAAGTCCATGGGAGAGCCCTGCATAATTGAACGGCTTCTTGTTTCTAGTGTAAAGCATCAGGGCTAAGCCAAAAACCGTTGATCGGATAGAGTCGGCTGACCTTTAATCCGAAGTAAGTAGCGAATCACTTACCTGGATTGGAAAAATTCAGACGTGGAAGTCTTTCGTATAGCGCTAGACGGTTTATGGAGCCGCGAGGATCTTTTCATAGAACAAGGCTCAGACCCTTGGGGCCGGGGCCAAAGGAATCTTCGGTATATAAGAATCTTTGCATTCTCTCGTAGTGCATCGAGTCCCCAACAGATCAAAACGAATAATCTGCCATGTTTGCCTTGTTGGCCGGCACTTCCCTCACCATGGGAATCGCACTTGCTAAACCTGTCCCTTCCACATGTGTAGGATGCACAAACGTCCCGATTACCATTCCCGCATCGACTGGTGCTGTCGCCGTACCAGCTGACTTCTTCGGCTTTGGATTCGAATCTGGACTTCTTCATCATTATAACAATAAATTCTCGGAAAACACAGTCAACTCAATTCAATCGCGCATGAGCAAGCCGCTGGTCATTCGTGTTGGCGGTACAAGTGGTGATCATATCACTTATAACAAACAGCAAACCAAAGTCGCCGCCGATTGTCATTCAAAAAATAATATCTGCACCAGTCTGAACAATTATACTGTTGGACCGGACTATTTTGATACTTTGAAACTTTTCCCGGGTTCTCACTGGACTCTTCAGGCTCCTATGGGGAATGATATGAAGATTGAAAACACGATGGCTTTCCTGCAGCAGGCCTGGGATGCCGCCACCAACAAAGGAGCGAACAAGAAGAGGGTGGCTGCCATTGCCCTTGGCAATGAGCCAAACTGGTACAAGAAGTACGGTGTTGACGGATACATTCAGCGATCCCAAACTATTGAAGAGCGAGTCGTCAAGGATTTCAAATTGAAGGGAGATGAGACCAGGATTTTCCAAACTGGAGAGATTGCGGCCGAAGTGGCAGGGAAAGCTGACTCGCCTAGCAAGTTTACACTGTGAGTTTTCCATTGCATATGCCGTTCTTTATCGTAAGCTGACTAGTTCCCAAGCATGGACCTTATCACTCCTCTTTTCAAGGCAAAATCCACTCAGCAGAAGGAAATCAAGTACGCTGCTGAGCACTACTACCAAGTGATTGGCGGGAACAACAAGGAGCATGAATATGACACCGCGGATCTGAAAAGTGAGTGCCTCAAAATGACTGATCGGAAAGCTCACGCTAACATGTTATATTTAGCCACTTTGATGAACCATAAAGCCATCACTGATAAGCTTGCACCTTATGCCCAGGCTGTCAAGTCCCTGAGTGCAATCGATAAGTCCGTGCCTCTGGTGATTTCCGAAGCAGGATCCGCCATCGGCCATACCGCAGTCGAGTTCGCGGGAGGCTTTGGTGCAGCCATTTGGGCAGTCGACTTCCATCTGGCTGCCATGTCGCGTGGCATCCAAAGAGTGTGTAATACGCATGGACCTGATGCTACACACGCTTGGTGGCTGCCTGACGATACGAGCAAGCACGCGAAAACTCCCGCTGTCCAGGGCATCTTCCCAGCGGCACCCTTCATTGCCGACTTCATCGGCAAGGAAAAACTTGGAAAGATCAAGGAGATTGACCTCAAGAATGACTTTCTCAGCGCTTATGCAATATTTGATCAGAAGACTGGCAAGTTGTCTCGCATAGCTGTGATAAACATGCGTCAATGGGAGTCTGGCCCGGCCGTTCGTCCAAGATATGTTGCCCAGATTGATGTTGGCAAGGATGTGAAATCAGCCGTTGTTCAGCGCATGCAGTCTGAGCATGGTGCGGCTGCTATTGGGTTCGATCTCGGTGGTCCAGAGCAAAATGTAACTTGGAATGGTGAGCAGTGGAGTTGGAAGGTTGATAAGGGTCTTGGGCATAAGGTTGCAGGATACGAGGAGGAGCATCTGACTATCACCAAGGATAAGAACAAGAACGGACAGATCTCAGTCAACGTTTGGGATACGGAGGCGGTGATTGTAAACCTCTCATGATGGGGACGTGTGTTTAATTAGCTTTATAATAGACTTTGACATTTCCTCTTCGCTTCATTAACCTTTGCCGAGGTGCCTAGCAACCCAAGCTTGCTACCTGAACCTGTTCATCCAATATTATTCGTAAGAAGTGGCCACCTGATCACCCATGTTGAATGTTCGCCTTCAAGGCGGCCGTAATTCAGCCTTGATGCTTTATTTGGTGACCTCGTTTGCATCAATAGCGATATTGGCCTTCTCAATATCGCGATCATTTTCCTGAGGAAGGGCCTGCTCTTCATCCTGAGACGAGTTCCAGGTGTCCTCGCTCTTGGCATGCTCAATAGGGGAATGGTTCTTCACAACGATCCACGTAGGCAGCACGGCGAGACCTGTTCGAGCAATTTATATTAGTATATTCATTTCAATGAAGTTGGGTTCCCTTTTACTAACCAAGCAGAATTGTGTTAACCGCCAAAGGGACTCTGCCGCCATACCACTCGCGAGTGTTGAGGCCATATGAAACTGCTTGGGCGAAGCTTTCCTGTCCACGCAGGACTCCCGACAAACGTGCTATGCAGGGTCAGTAAGAGTATCAGATCATGCAAGGTTTATAGAATGAAGCATACAAAGCTCAGAGATATTGTCGGTCATAGTTGAAAGGAAATAGTAGAGCCAATTTTGCAGAGCTTGTTGGGAGAATTCTAGAGGATATATCGTTAGCAAGATTTCCATATCGATGGGGAGAAACAGAGCTCTTACGCCATAGAATGATCACAAACATTCCCTTGACAAAGCCTTTGTCAGACCAGTCGTAGGACGGAGGGTTAGCCGTATACTGCTCCTGAACCACCCAGCCATAGACCCAGGCGAGAATGTGGAGAGCAACGACGTAGAAGAAACTTGAAACAAATTAGCCTTTCTTCATCAAGAGTGTGAAGCTCGAGATATTTACCTGTAGGTTATGCGAAGTTTGACGCTCAGTCCTTTGTAGTCCAGGAAGCGACTGACAAGCCAAGACGAGAGAAGGGCAGCGAGATAAGCTAAGAAAATGGGAAATTAGACATTGAAGCCCAAGCGAAATTGTACATGAAATGTGACACTTACCGACAAGGCCAATGAGAGCTCGGGCACGAACTCCGAAGTAGTATGTTTCAAAGTCTAGAAAAACAAATTAGACGAAGGTACTGATAGGAGGAAGCGTGGCCGGACTCACTCCCGGTGTACTGATTGAAGTAAGCCGCCCAGAAGATGGGCAGCAATAGCAGAATCTGAAAATAAGTTCAGATAAGTTTGTTTTCAAAGGCATCGAGGTGGTTCGAATACGCACCTCCTTACGAGCAGAAACTCGCCAAAGCTCCACGAATTCAGCTCGCCACGAATCCTGCGCAATGACTTTGACCTTGCTTCCATCGCCGCGTTGAACCTTCTCCGGACGGGTCAGGAAGTATGCCAACGGGACAGCCAAGCATTGCAATGCGACGAAAATGAGATATGTCTCTATGATATCTCATTAGTCACCGCTCAATCATTATAAAACGTGTGAGACATACCGGATCCGACCTTGCCCTTCTTCTTGGCAGCAGCAGAGCTACATCGTTGTCAGCGAATGTCTTTCGCCTGTTTGGGGTTGACTTACTGGTTCAATCCAAGGACAATAGCACTTCCGAGCAAAGGTCCACCTGTCCGGAACCAAAGCCAGATGCTATCGATTGATAAGTATTTTATTCGAGTCTGAGGAGATGCGCGTTTTCTTCGGGTTTATCACTTACTTCATATACTGGCCCCTCTTTGCTGGCTCCGGATAACCAAGTGCGACTGCACCCTCAGATGCCCAGAAAAGGCCGGCTCTACTTTGGTTAGTCTTTCTGAAGGGATAAGCCTAGAACTGTTTGAGATTTCTTCAACTCACGATACTCCACATGCCACTGCTCCAAGCAGCACAAACCATTCATTGCCCTACAAATAGTGATTAGTAGGTTGAAGAGGACCGGAAAGAACAAGTACTTACATAGCGATTGTTCGTATACAATGCAGCCCTTTATTCTCAATCAGTATCTGGATACCTGTTAAGTATTCACGTTGACTCACGAGTAAACTGGGTAGCCAGCCGCACCCAACAACAATGTCCAATTCATACCAATACGGTTGGCAATGGGACCACCAAAGACGCACAAAAATCCCACTAGACCACACAAGTACTATTAGTATTGAGTTTGACGAGCGGTTCAATAGAATTGAATAACATACTCAGTCCGAAAACCAAGGCATTGGCCGCGTTGATCAGGTACGGTGACTCGGCACCACCTGCTCCCAGAGAGTTCATTGCATTCCACAGTCCTGGAGCCAGGAATCCAACACCTCCGATAATGAAGGCATTGAAAAGGGTGCTCCGGTGCCAAACCCTTTTCTCGGGAAAAGCCGAAACCTCCTCGGCGGATGGTGATGTCGGAATTGAGGCGGTCATATTGCCTTATCCGAATATTCCAATTGTCGACTTCCGTCTCTATGCAATCGACACACAAGCAACAAAGTGACGAGCGGTCTCACCTAAAAGGAAACTCTCACATCCTGCAGTCTTTTATATAAGGCGATCAATGCCATCGATGGCGTGCTAACAGACGCGAAAAGATGGTGTGCCGACTCATGTCACTAGAAGCAGGGGCACTCCACAATCGGCCCACAAAATAACGATCAGACCAACCAGTCTTGTCTTAGAAAAGGAGCTAAGTTACGCTGGCGTTCAATTGGTTCGCCTTGGCGATTTTAGCATTCGGTTTCTCCCGTGTTTGTGGCATTTTGCCGAGTCCAGATGCTGACCGTGGATTTTTGAGTGGGGGTGCTGAGGAAAAAGTGGGGGCTTTTAGGGATTTTATCGCGACGTCGGCGAATGACCGAAGCAAAGCGTTAATTTTACTATCTTTCCGATAATATCCTTAGCATCTCATGTGTAACAAAAACCTCGCTTGACCCAGGAAGTAACCTTGTGATATTCGTAAGTGTTGTCGTGCTCGACGTCGAGTCACTGTAACTTTAACGGCCTTCCTAAACAAGTAATCTGTGTCTATTCTTCTATATGCCTAGATGACTGTCTAGCACCGAAATAATTTCATCGCTCCCTGTGAGGCCAGAGATTCTGATCATAATATGTTGATCAGGTCGAATCAAGAGTCCTCCGCCGTATATTTCCGAAGCGAACCACGACTGTCGCACCACGTCAAAGTTCTCTCCAAGGCGCCACACATTGATTGGGATCTTCCTGTCGTCAAAGTGCTTCTCGACGGCCGAGAAACGGGTGTTCTCTGGGCTCTCCTGCTCACCTATAATCAAAGTAAAAGACTCTGGGCTGCACAAATCCAGTGTACTCCACTGGCATTGGCTGATTTGAGCTGCACTGAGCTCCGTGACATAGGAAATATCTATCGGCTCTAGGCGCACTGTAGATGTGTTTGATCGAGTTGAGTCTGCAAATGAGATCCAGACATGGGGCAGGCGAGCTCCTGCACTGAACTTCGGGTGGTAAAATGAGGCGTGAGCAGGTGGCCGATCTGATCCATACATATATCCAATGTGAAGCTCAAGCTGAAAAGCAACGTTAGAGCCTCTCTTCTGGTGGCACCCTCTAAGATAGGAAGTCAATCGACTCACATTGTCAAAATGTTCCCTTTGCCCCTCGATTCCCCGAGCAACCTGCTCCCGCTGTTGGGAATCCCTCAAAGCTTCACGGATGTTCTTCCGAGCCTCTGTAACATCCTGCACGCCTGCCATGTTTAAACTCTTCACCAAGGTAAAGATTTGCTCTCCATTCTTAACGCTCTGTCTGGAGTAATTGTCCGCGATACTCCGACGCTCAGACGTGTACGTTGAGAGAATAGATGCACTCGCCACCTTATGGTGAACCATGGCGATCTTGTACGCTAGGTTGTGTACATCTGCGATGCCACAATTCAACCCTAATCCGCCGGTTGGGGGGAAAGAGTGAGCTGCATCCCCAGCGCTACATTGTAGCTTTGTTAACGCTGAAAAGAAAGGACCTAAGTGTGTACTTACAGGAAGATATTGCCCTTTTGGAACGTTCTTGCAATCTGTCGCCGGAAGATCCATGGGCGAAAGCTCAAAATATCGAATGGAACATCCTGGCCGATGGCGGCAAGAACTTTCTCCCGACACATCTCTTCAGTCCATGATTCCAAGGGGTACTGAGAAGTATCAACTTCACTAATATGAACTTGGGTACCGCTCAGATCGTAGCCAATGATGAAACCTGCTGCGATAGGGTCCATGATCCAATATAACATACCAACACGATCGCCAACCACGGGTCGTAGATTGGCGTTGAAGTGGATGGTCATCATTGTTTGATCTGAGTCCTCGCCCTCTGAAGGAATTTCCAGAAGTTCACGGACTCGACTTTTTTGGCCGTCGCAGGCTATCATATGCCGGGCTGTAATCTCACGGATATTTTCGCCCCGAGTCTCTTTGACAGTTGCGATGACCTCATTTTCACCCTGGATAAGCATTAGTAAACATCGACATCACCTGTGGAGCAAAATTGAGCAAGAATAGCAATAGTGTTCGATACCTGTAGCACAGCATGGATACTGTATCCTTTCTTAAGCGTGATGTTCGGATCATTCTCAATAAGTCTAGTAAGTTCTTCTTCCAAGGCTGGCTGCGAAAGGTTGTGAATCATCTGTATTTTCCAGTTAGACGAATCGTCATAGACCTTTGATTTGCCGGGGTGGGGGTACTTCTGGAGTATCCTCTAACACGGCCACATCCATGCGCTCATAGGGAATCTTGCCAACCGCCTCGCCAGACAGGCTGGTCACGAAGTTGACCCAACATCCATCAGCACGAGCGGTACCAAGATGACGAATACGCTTCTCGCCTAGGCCATATTGTCGTAGGATTTCCAAAGATCGCGGGTTGATCGCATGCGCTTTAGGCGCTCCCAGACGCCCAGGATAGCGTTCGATGATCAGTGAGCGGACTGTGAAGAGGAAGATCAGCAAGCCCCCTTGCAGTGAATACCTAGGACTAGAACCGATGATCATAATTTTTCGGGTGATGAAAATGAAAGCTCACTATCAAGTCGTGACAATAGGAGTGCCTGTGTGAGGCCGACGGGACCTCCACCGATGATGAGGACAGGTACAGAGCCCGGTATATCACCGTCGTTAGGAGTCAAAGACACATCACAGGAATCCCCCATTCTGACTCTTTTGCAACTGATCTAGTTGATACTCTAGCCAATCAGGAAGCCTTTTCTAGCGAATGTTTGTGCTCACCTCCTTCGAGTCAGCGAGGTTCAAACCAAAAGCAAAGTGCTGCGACTGGTCTATGAGATGCTTTTCTGTTCTAGTATGCGAATTTAGACGCCTGGATATTTCAAATACGCATGTGGACGCGTCTTCTTTACGCGGGGGTGCGGGGTATTGGGTCCGTCAGGATGACGGCCGTTGCCGTGGGATAAGACATGGATGTTGGGATTGGTAAACCCGAGTCGCTGATAAATTCCACGCACTTTAGCCGTTTCTGTGACACAAACAGCCATCTGTTGATCCCTAGGCTAGGTCAATTTCAAACAGACCGGTGCTTACCTTGACGAGGAGTTAGATTGCACCGAATAAGAGAGTCGGCAGAGTCACGAGAAAAGAGAAAGCCTTCCGGATTGCGGACCCGAATGATATCCTTGGCTCATCCTAAGTTTTTCCCCCTCGCCTGCCACTAACAACCTCACCACGTTTGCCACGGCATCTCAGACTGGAAAAGATACATACATATCATTCCTGCCAGTATTGTATTTCTTGCTAGGTTTCAATGGGTGTATTCGCTTTGATTTTTCCTACGATAACAAGGACGTACCGGGCCACGTATGCGACGTAGATATACTCTCCGTATCCATTGTACTCGAATCAGAGCGATGTTGAAGATAAATTACAGTGCCGACCGTTATTGCCTTCTATATCTAGAAACAGCGAGGTACTATTTCAAACCCTAATCACATGATACGCTAAACTCTATATGGGTAAGTCCGTATCTAAAGATTTGTTCCTGAGTTGCAAGGTATTGTGACAACGATGAAAGTATAAAACCGTATAGTCAAGTGCTCCTACTGTATCTGGGCAGATGTGTGGTTACTTTTGTTAATTACTAATACATCGGCTCGGAATAACTACTAACTAACTACCAAAACCCCTGTTCCCGGGTTGTCGCTTTCATAGAAGAGAAGGGTTGGTCACTGATCATTTGTCAGGATATAAATTGCTCCGAGTCACTTATTTTTCGTCACATCAGGACAGTTCTCTTCTTCAAATTCCTACAATCAGTATTCATCATGACAACTGGCCTGCCGTCTAAGTACCGTGCTCTTGTGCTTGAAGATCATGAGTCCGGGTTCCAGATCAAGATTCTTACAACGCCACGGCCGGATATTGGCAGCGCTGTCGTCCGCATTTCCGTAGCTGGAATTTTACCCTACCACCGTGACGTTTATGATGGCAAGCGCCCTAATTCATTCCCCACGCCACTAGTTGGTGGCTTTGGTGCCATTGGCCATGTTGCGGCAGTCGGATTCGACGCAACGGCCCTTAAACCTGGACAACTTGTTTACGTTGACTGCGTTATACGGGCCCGTGATGATCCAGATTCTTTTTTCTTGGCGGCAATATATGAGGGGTCCAGCAACGGCAGCAAGAAATTGATGCGAGATGTGTGGCGCGATGGGACATTCGCAGAGTACGCCAAGGTACCATTGGAGAACTGCATTCCTCTTGATGAAACAAGGTTGTGCGGTAATCTTGGATATTCGGTTCATGACTTGATGTACATGGCATACTTGCTTGTGCCGTATGGAGGCATAAGGGATATTCAGCTTGAGCATGGTGAGACGATTATTGTATGCCCAGCGACAGGCTTCTACGGCAGCTTGGGCGTGCAAATTGCGGCTGTAATGGGTGCAAGAGTGATTGCAATGGGTCGAAGTGAAGAGAAACTGGCGAAATTGGTGGAAGATGTGCAGAAGGGATCACCTGGTGCGACTATTGAAACGGTTAAAATAACAGGCGATAAAGACAAGGATGCAAACGCACTACGAGTATTTGGTGCCGCGGATGCTGTTTTGGACATCACCCCCAAAGCTGCGTCAATGTCGACACACACCAAGAGTGCTATCAAAGCGTTACGTCGTGGGGGAAGGGTCAGCTTGATGGGATCTACCGAAAATATTGCTGTTCCAGAAATCATGGTTAACAATATTACGTTGAAAGGTACGGTAGTATCCTGCTGCTATTTGGTGTACTTTCACTGACGATATTTACCCTCAAAAGGTAAAATGATGTACGAAAGGGAGACTATTCTCCACTTTGTCAAGATGCTGGAGCGAGGCTTATTTCCTCTAAGCAAGGATTTTATGGAGACTAAAGTCTTTTCATTGGATGATTGGAAGGCTGGGCTCGATGCAGGCGCCGAGCACAATGGTATTGGCAAATGTGTAACATTGGCTCCTTAGTCTTTATCATGCCGTGTTAGGGGAAAGCAATAAGTCGAGGTATTTTATCACTCTTTCCGAGAAAAAGCTCTAGGAATTTAAGGATATAGTTTAAAAGAACGTCCATCAGAATATATGCTGCATGCCCTAGCTAAGATTGCCATTATCCTGTTCATCCTAGTGGACGCTGTCCGTGGCTTTCTTGAATGTCTAGGATGTTAATCAGGGGCTTTTTGACACTTACTTTGTGGAACAAGACACAATTTCCACATCTGGTTGGATAGAACATATTGACTCTTATTGATCCTGCGTGTAGATTGTATACATCCCTATAAATCTGGGCTAAGTTACTGTTTAAAAGAGCAGCCCCGAATCTCCTATGCCGTACGAACTCGTGGTGTACTGTATCGGGCCATATAGGTTCTCTTAACTACCACCGGTATCGTACGTCTAAAGAGGATTCGCGTCCATATCCGCCAGCCCGTGACCTCGAATCAACTATCCAGGCCTCGGGCCTAAATCCAAAGCCTTCTAACCATAGCTTCCCAACCGCGGACCCACATCTTTAGACATGAAGCCTGCCTAGACATAGTTCTATAGCTCTATTACATGACTGGGTCCGAATGGTGGAAAGATGCGTTATCCATGATAAGCTCAGATTTGGGCTCCGGCTACCTCCTACTGCTGGAGAAGCTGCTCGATAAACGATTTAAAGAACGTGGCATCAGTTGAACCTTTGAAAATATGAAACAGAATGATGCCATCTTGAGCATATGTAGGCACTATCTGGAAGCGTTGGCCGCGATGAAATTTCGACACTTGGACTGGTGTTACGCCGAGTGGGGACCAGCCAGTTCGCCTATATCTAATCCTTTTATCACATCCGGATTCATCAACAAACACAAGATGATATGGCCGAAACCCGGGTTGTTTATGCTGGAAGAAACCTCGTGATTGAGGGTTCTGTTCTTTGGCTCGCTGCTGTGGTTTCTTCTCTGTCCAGCCAGCCCGCAAAAGAGCGCGTTTGATACTAGATGACCAATTTTCTGGGTAGACTATCCGAGGTTGATCTGCATCGTAACCGAGAGAGCTATAGGTCATCGTGAATATCTCCCGGGGAGGGGTAGCCTAGAGCTATACTCCGTAGTGGGTTAGCTATGAACGCATGATACCCGATGAAGACCCGAAGCCGCCAAATGCCAATAAGCGATGGTAATCAAGAAACAAATTTTACTATCAAGCCTTGCCTACCAACTTAACCAGGAATGAACACTAAAGGCAGTGTCAAATCCTCTACAGTGAAGTAACTCAAGGATGGAGGGGGGGAAGTTGCCTGGTTGCGAACGGTAGCTGGTTTGCTTAGTCTGCATGAGCCTTCTAGTTATCCATGCTTCCAGGAACTTGTATCGATACAGCCGAGATACAAGATCTGGTACCATTACAATGTATATTAAAAACTCGTAATTTACGCTATTCCACATCAAGATTCTTGGATCACGTGACTAGGGTTTGAAAGAGCATCTCTCTGTTTGCAGATATGGAAGGCAATAACGGGCGGCATTGTACGCGTTGAATTGCCACCAGAAATTATGTGCACGCGTGACCGAATATAGAAACAAGGTTTTGAGGTGCGGCAAATTCCAAGGTGCGAGCACTCACTGTCCGATGAGGATCTCCTCTGTAGGGCTTCCAACGGATATCAAGGTTGGGATTCCAGGGACTTAAGAGCTGTATAACTTGGATTTGAACGGGGAAACATCATTGATTGCATGGCTCCTCCTGACGTGACCAGCGTAGAGATTATAGTCGCTGCTATCTATGTGATGGCCTAATGTCTACTTCGGAAAATCTCCCTAAACCCACAGGCTGCCATCAAAGTTCCTTAACTACAACGAGGACCATGATATAGAACAAACAATGATAATCTGTGGGATTTTAAATCGAGTATGAAAGATCGTCATTAAGTAGGCGTGGTTATGTTGCCGTAAAAAGCATTTATCAGATAAGAATAGGTGATATCATGAGAAAAGTGGCCAAGAAAACATATCCGTGATTCCTTTTATCCAGGCCCAGTTTGTCTATCCTCAAAAGTCATCTTACAGAGCAAGGGCAAGACCCAGGACACCAGCAGCGCCAGCCAGGGTGATAGCAAGGCCACTGGTAGCAGCAGGGGCACCGCCAGTCGAGGTGGAAGTTCCAGAGCCCGAGGCAGAGGTTGAAGAAGAGCCGCTGCCAGTGGCAGACTTGGTCTGGGTAGCAGTGGAGGTCAAAGTCAGAGGAGTCGAGGCAGTAGTCGAGTTGTGGCCGGTAGAGAGAGGGAGTAGAGGAGGAATGGGAGCTGCTGCCAGCAGAGTTGGAGCCTGAGGTGGGTGTAACGGTAGGCATGACACTGAAGTAGCTGGAAAGAGCCGAGACCTCGGCCTCACCCTCAGCGGTGGCCCATGACTTCACACTATCAGGCAGACTGTTGTACCAGGCCGGGTAGGTGCTGTGGAGGAGATCGTTGAGCACGGAGGACTGGAAAGCCGAGTCGGTTTCGAGGGCCTGGTACCAGGGGCTGGGAATCGCGGTCTCGATGACGGACAAAATGCCGCTGGGGATTGTTTCAGTCTCGATAGGCAGGTCAATATCATCCAGCAAGTCGTCAGAGGTGATGGTGGCATCAGAAGCCGGGACAGCAAGGGCTGCCGTGGCGAAGAGCAGGGTGGCAAGGGCCTTGTACTGCATGGTGATGAATTTTTCTATTCGAAGATTGACACTATTCGAACAAAGCTCGTATCCGAAGAGCCCTTTGTTAAAAAGGCCTTGAGGACAATAAAGAAGGTGTCAAGGATAGAAAATGTGGGAGCAAGAGGCGGCAAGTATACCAAGGGACAAACAAGGCTTAAATACGCCCCCATGGGCCTTTACCTGAAAGAAACAATTTTCCGTCGCCCAAAATAACCCGCAGCACCCTTGAGGCTCACCCGAATATCCTGATCTTCACCTTTTTTTGCTCACCAGGGTCACACATGTGGACCCCAAGCTCAGCCTGATGCATCGCTATGGTTGTTAACTCTGCTTGGCATCCAATCGCTATCCACCCGCCCCCAGGAGCCCGGCCAATGATATTCGGCACGAACCCGTCCCTTTAAATGCGTCATGGCAGTGCTGCTGTACTAGCACCTGCTGCCTGCGCCCGTACACCTGCGGTTTGGAAGAGGCTGAGACTATCCACCCCCAAGACCGTCCTGATCCAAAGTTTCCTACGAGCGGGCCGAAAAATATCTAGGTCTGGGCATGAAACTTAGGGTCTATTGTTTTGTTCGGCCATGAAATATCGGCCACGGCTTTTACGAGGAGTCCCGACCTCTCTCTGCAGAGGACAAGACAGGCGACGGAAAGAAGCCGTCTATTGTTTCGCCACAATCTCGCCATTTGGCACCTCCTTTGTCCTCCGATCTGGATTACGCATGCCCTTTTCATCAATTTCAATGCTATTGGATTCGGGATCCTGTTGCTTTCCCATGACATCACGGGCTGGGGTGATGATCTACATGCCCCCAAGTTTTCGCTGCTGCCTTTGCAAGAAAGGATTGTTTTCAACTTCCGGGGCGATGGCCCCAAAGATGGTCGATTCGAGGTAATTCGCTGACACTCACAGGGTGTTTGATTTAACTGGTTGGTCTATACGGCCTTGGTCAGACTTGTTGGCTTTGCTTGCGTCGCCCCGCCAGCGACCGACCGATTTAGATGGTGGCTCGGCAGCTTTTGCTGCCCGCTGTCACGAAAAGGTGCTATTTTTGTTATGTAAGATATCTAACGAAGAGATATTGGCATAATAAGCTCTAAGCGATCATTGGAGAATGCTTTTTGCTATTCAGCTACAGCTATTTTGGATTACGTGGATCTACTTACAACATGACTTTCTTGGAAGCTAATAGAATTCTTGTGCCTACGGCGATTGAGGTATTATTATTTCCTGCAACCGAAAATATCGGAGCTTTCTGTGTCCGGTCTTACTAGGCCAAATAAAGGATTTATTAGGCACCGTCATTGGCGATATCCGTAGTGCCAATCTGGGGTAGCAAGATCTTGCCGCACTTTGTATTCCCCCTCAGCCTCTTCAAGAACATCCATATCAAGCTCGACGATCTTCATGCCTTCATCACTGGTATCAAACCTCTCGACCCGACCGAAGAATGGCATCGCAACTTGAGAAAGACCGGCGAATCCGTCTTCCGAGGGACCACCAACATTGCAAAACACCACAGCGCAGGTATTTTCAAAGGCTCGGCTGACAACAGCGGCATCCAGGAAATCTCCCTCTGATTTGGGATTACGCTTGATGCCAACGTCTCCCGCATCGGTATATCTCCAAAATGCCGGTATGATAATTGTCTTTGCACCCTGCAAAATCAACTCTCGGAACGCTTCCGGGAATGCCAAGTCCCAGCAGATCAACAACCCAACCTTTCCAAGGGGGGTGTCGAAGGCGACATGACGGCTGTCGTTTCCAGAGCCTTTGACAAATGGTCTCTCGGGGTGCCAGAGATTCTTCTTCTCGTATCTTCCCTTGATGTCGCCGGTATTGTCGATGAAATACGTCGCATTAACAATCGTACCGTCAGACTGCAGTTCTCCGAGGGATCCCGGAACGATACAGATATTGCACTCTTTAGCTAGGGTGCAATATGCATTCAGGTATGTTTTCCAGTTGGCACATTGCTTGCGAATCTCAGGATCGTGGCCCGGGGCAAAATCGGCCAGATGGTATTCCGGGAGCACTGCTAAGTCTGCCCCGGAGCTGGCTGCATCCCTGATGAATGATACGGCTCTTTGGTGATTGGACTCAATCTCATTGGGTGCCTGTGTGCTGAAAATCAATATGTGCTGCCTGGTGATTGACGTGGTTGGGTTATTGGGCATTCCGAGCTTACCTTCGGGCTGAACTGAATAACGGCGATCTTGTGGATTGTCATTTTTGGAGATATAGAATGAAAGACACGAACACTCTTACGCTCTGTGTGACAGCTGAAATGCAGCCGAAGATGGGGGACAGTTTGGTAGATTTTATAGTGCGGAATCTCGGACCTCAAGTACTCTCCTATCAACAATTCCCCGCATCCGATAAATTGCGCCGTTTCATTCGCTGTCATACACCTCACCTCGGCAATCCAGATTGTAACATTGATCAGGCTACTCTTTTGTTTGGTTCATGTTGCCGAGATCTCGTGTACAGAATAGAATTGTGGCTTGCAAGCCTAGATCTCTCGTGTGCAGTTAGAAGCCTAATTCGGATGTACATCCCTATCTCGACTATTCTACAAAATCCCATGATTAGAATCTTATGCTATGATTAATATCAACAATTGTCTTAATCAATCTATTACTCAATCTTAAAGGTGCACACTGTTTAAACGAAGAATTCATGCCTTGGTTATAAAATCAAGCTTGAGAAGGTTCTCCAGGGAACTAGCTATCACTTAATTTGTCGGTATAGATACTGATCAACATATCACGCTGCTCCGAGTTTCTCTGCGCTGAAATAGCGATATTTTCCTGTGGAACGAACTCTGAAGGCTTTTCCAAAGTAGATGAATATAATATTCCCAAGCATGATGGAAGTGACGATTAAGCCAAATGTCACGTAAAACCATGTCAATCCAACACGGTCGACCCATGGTGACAGGGCGAAGACGAAAATTGTAGAGATCAAGTTACGGATGAAAGTGACTCCGACAATTGAATCAGCGATGATCTAAGCGATTGGGTTAGAAACCACTCGAAATTTCATTTTTCATGAGACTTACGTCTGTGTATGCATCGGTCAGGTAAGTGAGCGCGGCACTGCTGGCAGGAACCACGCCGAATGCATTGATCCCCAGCCCAAATGCTGGAAGAAGCCAATGAGATCCATTATTCAGGCCTATTCCAAACATGAAGAGGCCCGCCGGAACCATAGGCAAAAATATTAAGCAAAGCCAGAGGCGCATTTCGGGCTCAAACACTCCCCCATTTCTCTTCGCAAGTCGAAGCGCAATTCTGTCGCTCAATGGGCCACAGATTATGGTTGCCAGACTAGTGCCAATAAATGGTGGAAGTCCCATTAGGCCAATCTGAGCGGAACCAAAATTGTAGGGTGGGAGAGTCATGACCGATGAGAGGGTAGTCACCGGTACTGTTGTGCAGGCAGTCATGATTCCATACTCCAGGGCCATGAAGAAGACTGCTGGAATGCTGAACATGATTAGAAAAGGCTGGTAGCTGTGCTTCAACAAGTCAACGAAAGACATTGGGGAATTGGTCCATAACTCCAATTTCTTCCAGTATGACTTCTTTGGGATTGAGTAATCAATTCGCACAGGTTCAACTTGTACGATCTGGGGAAGCGGGCCATTTTGATCTCCCTTCGAGTCAGAGGCTGCCAATTTCTGTTTCGCTGAAGCCGACTGGGGTGCCATCTTGTCAGCAACAGGAATTCCATCAATAGATGGCACACAAAACATCGTCTCTTCGTAGAAAAAGACAAAGGCGACTAGCCCGACTCCGAACAAAATGGCCATCCACCACCACACCCAGCGCCAGCCCTGGGCAAGAGTAATATACCCGCCAGCCAGTGGCGCCAGACTGACTCCCACAGTCGACACCCAGAAATATAACGTGTTCATAAGTCCTCTCTCGTGTACAAAGAACATATCCGCGACGGTCATTTGCACTAGGACTTCAGACAGAGCGCCAACGATGCAACTCAAGATGTTGACTAGCATCAGGTCTGCCACATTTTGCATACGGGCAGACCAAATACTGATACCACACTGGGCAGCAGTGCTGAGAACGTATATGGGTCTTCGTCCGAACTTGAGAGCGAAGGGAACAAGTATCACGGCTCCGATGCAGAGCGCTCCACATCCTGCAGCGTAACTGTCATTTAGCAAGGCGAAGCTGAAGCCCAACTCGGCGTTTACTGGACTCCATGTGACGGTCGCAACATCGATTCTGGGAAGTGCGGCGGTCAGCCTCCAAATTATGTTCAAGAGCGAAGGCAAACGAGAAGGGATGGACTCACAGCGCGAGTACCATCATAACATAGTAAGAAACGAAACCAAAGTTTACATATTTCCTCCATTGTGGCCAGTTCTAGGGGTAGAAAAATGTCAGAACCGTCAGTGATTGGGAAGGCTGATGAGTCAAAATACTGACCAACGGATCATTGGGATCGCTGGTTGGCTTTGGCTCCAGGATCACTTCCGCTCCTTCGGTCGAAGGAGAAATGTCTACAGTAGAAGTTTGTCAGTGATAGATCCTTGTTCGGGCACAAGTCGAGAGAACCGTGTCCTACCCTCAAGCCTCACGGTTCCGGGTGGCCATGCCGGGTCGACATCGTGATTGTCCACAGACATTACCGTGAGATATTCAAGCCGGGCGTCAGGGGTAGAAGAAGGCCTGATAGAGAGGCCCCGGTGAAGCACGAGGTGTGTGCGATACCAAAGAAGGATTGCTAGGGCCTTTTATGATTTTTGCCCTGGTCAATTATCAAAATCGATACTGTACTCCTGTTTGTCTTATCATCATCGGCTGTAGAGGCTGATATTCACGAGCCATTCACAGCGCAGGGCTCGTCCGCCTAGTGAAAAGTGACTTTTCTTAATGGGGAAGGTTGGAGCAATAGCCAATAAGATGAAGGATTCGAAGGAAGCCTGCAATCTACTCCGCCAGACGTTTATGCGGGGAAATAGCCTTATAATAGTCCAAGAGGTGGGGGATCGGATCTCGGTATGTATAATCTGTCCTCCGCGCTATTAAACGCTGTACTTACTATGCGTATGAGTCAAGTGAATGCTAAAAAGCCAGGACTTCATGCCTTTAGTAGGAATCGATTTAAGATTTAACGGCCCACGGACCGTGGCCCAGATCCGCTCCCTGTCAAGTTGTGCAGACTAGCAACACCAAGATGTTGAAATACATACAGAGATAGGCGCGATTGCTATCTCTAGATAACAAAAATCCCTGACTAAAGGTATCATCCGATCTTCCCCAACTTGAAGGCAACTACCGGTTTCATATCTCGAATCAGCTTTTCTATATATGTTCGTCAATCTGCGCCATTTCTTTATCTTCTTTAAAGGTATCCACTTCTCTCAGAATCCCCACGACAAACCGACCAATTGCGTCAAATTGCGCGAACACGGAAAATACAACACTGACTAGCTGTTTCTAGCCGGTCGACCCGAAATCCTTCCGCTAGGATTTGCCGCGGCGCAGGTCCGATTGTCGCTGATCTGATTCTACCGCTTGGGCGCCCGCATCCCACACTCTGCAAGGGCGGCATTTCTCCACTTCATTATCAGAGGTCGCCATCTTGACGCACTATCAGTCTTCTATACCTACGATAGGAAAGTCCTAGAGATTCGGCGTCTCTGGAGAGCTTCCTCATTACCCCGCACCTTTCATTAAATAGCTTCTGAGGGCACCAGAACTACCCTACAATTACGACCAAATTAACTCGTTTTCCGTGGCCACTCAATCATGACTTCCGTCTTCCGCAATGGTCGCATTTTTGTGCCCTCATCAACCCAAAGCAAGGGCGCCAATGAGTTCGCCGAGGGAATGATCATCACAAATGGCCGTATCTCTTACGTTGGCTCCCTTGATGATGCACAAATCCCCGCGGACGCAAATATTGTTGATCTGGACAACCGCGTTGTGATCCCTGGCTTCATTGATGCCCATGTACACATCCTGCATTATGGACATTCTTTGCAAAAAGTCGATCTTATTGAGTGCACATCTCTTGAGCAAATTCGTGCAACTATCAAAGCCTACGCCGAGGCTAACCCATCCGTACCGCAAATTCTCTGCAGAGGATGGATTCAGTTATCGACGAAAGGTATTGCGCTTGCAAGCATGCTTGACGATCTTGACCCGCGGCCGATCTTTATCGATTCGTTTGATCTGCACTCCATGTGGTGCAACTCAGCTGCTCTTGACGCCATGGGCGCCCATACTGCCCCCGATATTCCCGGTGGTTGTATTCATCGTGATGAGAACGGCAGAGCTTCTGGGCTTCTAGATGAGTCTGCTGTGGTGAACATGGCTTGGCCCTATGTGGAGAGCCTTTACTCGAAAGAAGACAACATGGCCGCATTGGACAAAGCTGTTCGTACCTACACCGTTGCTGGCTACACTGGTGTCGTGGATATGGCTATGGATGAAGGCACCTGGGAGATTCTGAACGAGTATCGCCGCGATAAGCATATTCCATTCCACATTGCGGCCCACTGGCTCGTGCCATATACGGCCGACCAGAAAGTCAACTTCACCTTCGTTGATCGCGCGATCGAATTGCGGAAACAGTTCAAGGAGCCTGATTTCTGTATCGTTGGAATCAAGCTCATTTGTGACGGTGTCGTTGATGGATGCACTGCCGCTCTGCTTCAACCATACACCGGAAAATCCGATCCAGTTGAGCCCATTTGGCCGGAGGACCAGCTACGCGAAGTTGTTCAGCGAGCTGACTCGGCTGAGCTGCAGTGTGCAATCCACGCTATTGGTGATCGCGCTGTTCGCCAGGCTATTGATGTTCTCTCACAAGTTGGAACTCCCGGTCGTAGGCACAGAATCGAACATCTAGAAATGACCACTTCCGAGGACGCGAAGAGACTTGGTGAACTAGGAATCACAGCCTCGGTTCAACCTGTTCACTCCGACCCAGCACTATTCAAAGCCTGGCCTAGTCTCGTCGGGCCCGATCGATGCAAGCGCGCCTTTGCCTACAAAGAATTCATGGATGGAGGTGCACCTATTGCTATTGGAACTGACGCGCCGACTGCGCGTCATTTACCATTCCCAAATCTCTACAATGCGACTACCAGGCGATCGGCACTCGAGCCCGAGTCTACTGCCACTGTCAACGCCCACTTTGGCATCACCCTGGCTGAAGCCGCGACTGCTGCGACTACTGGTGCGGCATATGCACGTTTTGCAGACTCTTGGACGGGAAGTTTGCGACAGGGGCTGTCTGCCGACTTTTTGGTCGTCGACACACAATGGACCCCAGAAAAACTTCTTGAGGCAAAGGTGTGCGAGACTTGGTATCGGGGAAAGAAAGTATATGACTCAACTCAGGCTTAGAGGGGTTGGCAATGCAGTGATGCCTGGTTTACCACTGTTGATAGAATGAACATAATGTATCATACTGAAATAACGAATTGAAAACGTTGGCCATAGTTAGTCTTTGCAGAATGCCTAAATTTCAGCAAACTGCTCACAACCACAACCTTGCCCATCAAGAAGTGCGTTGACTTATTTTCGTGCCAGGCAAAGACAAAGATTGTCTGTGACTTTATTTCTTTCTCATGATCTTGTTCGTGGGGTTGACAATGTTTATCCGGCGAGTGTCAAATAAAGTTGGGGGCAGATCATCACTATGACATCACCAGTATACAGCTCCACCTAAGAAGCGACCGCCTCACGGACACAGTGAACCGTAAAGGTCAATTTGAGTATTGATAACTAATTTTTACACCAAATATTGCGTGAATCGACTAGAAATTATCACCTATCTGACACGGAGATGTCGAGGCACAAAATATCACAATACCATTACTCATCGGGCCTACGAGGCACGGACTGAGTGGCATGGTCGGCGTAGTTGACCGTGAAGAACGGATCCTTGTCTATTCGATCAGTTAGTCAAGTTAAAAAGCAAAAAGAAAATTTCTCAATCGCATACCTCTCACCGGATCACTCGGCTCGGATGTATGTTCGGTAATCTTATGGAGGTCCTCCAGCGCATGATCATGGGCAAGTTCGGCGCACATCGACTGAGGAGAGCTTTTATATGGAATTGTAAGAAGCGGCACGTATCAAGGGAGATCGAAGGGACAATCCAACGCACGGTGCGACATTTCTGTCAATTATCATCTGCAAATCGTTGAGCCTATGAGCCTGGCCTGCCGATTGCCCATTGTCGTCTAGCGACTTTCGAGTCTGCATGGAGTTGGGAACCAAAGGGTTGTTATCAATAGTTGAGACCATTTTCGATGTATTGCTTGCGTTACTGGATACAGTGAGTGATGCTGGAGGAATAATTTCTCACGTTGAAGATCTTGCGAGGTAACGGTGGGAAGGTCGTAGGCTTGAATTTAATGGAAGTGCGGGGGGGTTCGCCGGGACATCATGCCAAATGTGGCAAACCTATGATATAAAGACTATTTTGTGCCACCAAATAATGTATATTAGTCACTAATTGGAGCTTTGCGACAGATCGTTGCCTCTTATGATCCGATTCCTTGACTAGTACAGGCTCATTGATCGCACTCTCTAACACCGCCCACAGGGGCTGGGGCGGGTTTAAGTGCTACTACGGTCTTTGTGGTCTTCCATGGGCTTTTTGACTGGGTTTCGCGAGCATTTAAGAATACTTCAAGGCTATAAAGGTATTTTTACGGTCGAAGGGTTCAACCTATGCTAAGTAAAGACTCGAAATTTGAGAGAAGGAGTTGAACGCTGCGAGTTCGCAGCCAAATATACAGAAACACGGCGCAATCTTGTCTCCATTAAGAGTAAATTAGGTTAACATAGATGCCATGCCCAATCATCTGCCAATATGTTAATTTTCTTGGTCAGATATCCCTGTGAATCAGCCGAAATTTTCGTTTTCTTAAAGTTGTCTGCTTCAAAGCCTGAATCTGCTTCCAGGTACAGAAAAGCTTTAGCCCTTGGCAGATCCATCAAGAAGCCATCTGATCCCATCGATAAAATCCAAAGCGGCATTTTTGCTCAGCTTGAGAGTTGGGAAAGTACTCCAGAAAATATGAGGCATGCCTGGATAAAGGTCCAACTTCGTATCCACGTCATTGTCTGCTAAGACTTGCTCGTAAATGAGATCCTCATCGCGAAGGATGTCCATTCCACAGACTTGGAAATATGTCCTAGGCATTCCTCTGTGCCCAGTCGGCCAGATAAACGGCACGAACATCGGTGATTGGTTATCCCCTTTTACTGAGTCCTGGAAGATTTTCTCGAGGGATGGGGAGAGAACGGGGTCATCCTTGCATGCCTCTTGAGTGCGAGAGAGGTAAATCTCTCTATATTTGCTAGGCAACGCCACGTTGGCACCAGGTGGTAGAATCATCGGGGCCAGGAGAAAAGTTCCGGTTATCTTTGGAGACAAGTTTTCATCGCGTGCAATATGGGCAAGGACTGCTGACATGTTTCCTCCTGCAGACGAGCCACCGACAATAAAACCACTTGACAACGATACGCCTAACTCAGCCTCGGCGTTTGCTGCAATCCATTTCAATCCGTCCCATGCATCGTTGATGCCGGCTGGGAACGGATCTTCAGGCCCTTGTCGATAGGCAGGAGCGATACAAGTCACACCAAGCAGCTCAACCAACCTTCGGCAGGGAGTTGCTGTATCCTCCGGTGATCCAATAGTCCATCCACCGCCATGAAGATAAACCACTAGAGGCATTGGATTTGCAGGATTTTTCATAGGTGCAAAGACATGGGCGCGTAATTGGAACCCGTCACGATTGTTGAAGTAGACATCGCGCTCAACGGTAGGGCCTTCAGGGCTTGGCGGTTTATAATGGCTTTTCATGTACATTCTCAATCCTGCAATGGCCCTGGCGGGATTTGCTGTATCAATCTGGGGCAGCTTGTTTGTCCTCAGGAACTAGCGAGTATCTAGCATGTCAGAAAAGCTACTTGGATCTAAAAGTGGTGCAATTTACCTCAGCAAGCTCTTCTTCCATCACTGCCAACTTGAGCCTATCTTCGGGAGACAAAGACATCTCGTGAGCTATTTTGGTTTGCAACAGTTTCAAGTGCGCCAATACTTAGATCAGACGTTATAAACTCAAGCACATGCTGAGTGCCTCATGAAATTGTCACCTCTTGGGCCCTGGACAAAAGTTTATATAGTTCCTTGAGTAAACACCTCAAAACAGCACATATAGTAGGTTCTCGGAGATACAGCTTCTTATCTCCGCTACCTCTCATAACCATGATCGCAAGCTAGAAGTGCCTAATAGAACACGACTCCATTTCTTCAAAAGAGATCTCCGCCAAGGTCAAAGATTCAATCGTTAACCAGTCCCAGCTAGGGCAGAATATTAAACCAGAATGCCGCAGTATATTGCAGCATACCTACAGTCTAGCTTTCGGGATATAGCCGTCTAGAGGATGCTCACAACACGATTCTTGCTAATTCCGAGATTATCTCCACTGATATAATAATCAGAAAATAAATGACTATTCTTCGCCGTCATCATCTTCTAGGCGTGATCTGAATCTCTCCCCTTTCTCACGTCGTTCCCTTTGTCTAAATTTTGCCTGGGCCTTGTTCGGGCGCTTCTGCTGGCCCGATGATTGCTCCAAGTCATCTTGAGGGTCTCCAATATCGCGATGCGTAACGTTAACATTTAACTTCCAGTATTGAGAAGAGCCGTCTCCATTTTTGAACGTAGTAAGCCTTCGGGCAAGTTCCTCGACAAACGCAACACTCCGGTGACGGCCCTCTTCGCAGCATATTGTCACCACCACATCGATATCTGCGTCTTTCAAGGTGGCCTCCTCAGCGAGATCAGAGCCAACGCCAACGTCTTCAGCTTCATGTGTAGTCGACTCATTTAAGCTCAAAGGTTGTTCACATTCTCTGATTGCATCGAGGAGCTCATTTTGTACCTTTACCAAGAATGCCTGGACGTTATCATTTTGCAGGAATTCCTTCTGAAGGCGCCGAGACAGGCCAGTTGCATTAGCGCGGAGATGGCGCGGTGGATTCGGTAAGTGACGAATATTGTAAGCCAATGTTTTGTGGATATGCGGTTTGTTATGCAGATGCTGTCGCACAATTGGCCCGTTGGCATGGCCATATGAAAAGAGTGAGACTATGACTGATGGTATCCATGTTGATGGAGAAGCCACAGCCATGGCTTCACTTGACATCTTGCTAGTGCCAAAGAGCTGAAGTCAGATCAAAGTTAGAGGTCAGCCATTTTATAAGCACATGTAAGGCTCGATAACGGCTTGTAGCACTCCTCGAAGGTCGGCTATCGGAGACGATTGAACATGCACATACATATTTGACTAAAATGAATGAATAGTCCTACAGCCTTGACCTTTGCATATGTACTTCAAGGAATTTCATCCGCAAAGACAAACAAGCTAGGTGGCTTTTCAACTTAGGCAGAGAAGCAGGACGAGTTGGGATGAGTCAGGCCAGTCACAATGATGCCTGAGGCTGCAGTATTACTTAATTAGTCATATGACGCACTAAAGGGAGATGCAAGTACCTGATAACTGCGATCTCAAAGCTCGAGTATGTTAATTAGCAGTGGGAACTCGATTTTACTGCGGGAGCCCACGACTCAAGTTGAGGTTGGCGGATCGGTAGCGTGGTGCTGATCGAAGATGCCGCTCTGCCATATAAATAGAGATATTCCCGCTTTCTAGGAATATGAGGTCGCTTCGGTCTAGGTGAGTCAGCGACACTAATAAGCTGACTACCTAGTTTCCTTCATAGTCTCCAGCTGAGAGTTTGCATTTTAGTGACTGACAGATACCTTCCGCTGTTCGGGTTTTTATTTGTTCATCAATTCCCACATACCAGCCACCCGATTTTCTGTTTAGGAAGGTGGAGCTTAGCTGCCTCAGCTTGCCTAGAACATATGAAAGAACACTGGGCCGCCAACGATGCCATCGCCGGTAGCGAGACCTGTATGTATCCAATGCGGATATTTTCAAGCATTATTGCTTATTCTATCATGTAGAAACAAGCGGTATCCGGTTTTGACGGCTGCCCGGCGGACATCTTGTACTTGGTATTCAAGCTATTATCACCTGCCGAACTCCGAGGACTATGTCTTGTCAATAAGATTTCCCGTTCCCTCGCCCAGCCATTTCTCTACTCGAAAATTCAGTGGACTTGGCGAGACCCTCATTTTGCTCCCCCAATCATTCAACTCTTACGGACACTACTATGCAGGCCTCAACTGGCTGCTTACATCACAAACCTTCACTTGGATGGCAAGGTCTTCCGGCAACATCCATTTCGGTTCAGTATCCCTAAAATTACCATCTCTGACATTGGATTGGAGAAATTCGTAGCATTCATCCGGGGAACCGGAGTACCTTATAGCGACTTTTGGATACAAGAAGTGTCTCAAGGTACAACGGATGCCCTTGTGGCTCTCCTTCTAGCACAAGGTCTCTCAAACCTGAGATGTCTGTACCTTGGCCCTGTTTTCGCTCAACGAAGCACACTTATCGGTATGGTTCTCCGTTCAGCCATCTGTGAGCCTAAGAACTATCGGCTGCCAGATTTTCAGCATCTCCGAGATGTGTCTTTCCTTAGTTGTATCTACTGGGACGAAGCGCGCGACAAAAAGATCAAAAATACGGTAGACATCTTACCAGTCCTCTACCTACCAAGTCTTCGGCGCATGTCAGCCTCGATCGAGAACTCGGCTACATTTACGTGGCCGGTGACACATTTACCCATGCCATCGAACGTTACATCACTTGATTTGACACAAATCCGGGAGGCGTATCTTGGTGAAGTGCTCTCAGTCACTCCGAAACTCAAAATTCTTCGCTGGAAATTTTATTACGATTTTGGTATTCACGATGCATTCAATCAGCCTATCGTTAATCTTGACCAAATCGTTACTGCGATATCTCATGTGCGGAATACTTTGACGGATTTGACAATCTTGGCAGACTGTGGGATTGGAGGGAATGATCAGTTTCTTCCAGGCATTAAGATGGAGGGCTCCTTACGTGCGATGGTCGATTGGGAGATGCTCAAGAGACTTCAAGTCCCATGGGCGTTCTTGGTGGGATTCGCACAAGACAAAGTGAAGCGGTTACAAGACTTCATCCCCAGGAATATCGAGCTTCTGACCATTACAGACGACCTAAGGCTACAAAATGATGATGAAATGGTACCAGAATGGCCTCGATGGGAGTGGGAGGATCACGTCATTGTAGAGTTGATTAGGGCATGGCTGCATAATTGGAAAGCATACACCCCGCATCTTCATTGCCTTACGCTGATATTATCGTTGATAATGGAAGATTTTGGTGAATGGCCCCCGAGTATAAGGCAACATTTCATGGAGCTGGGTGCTCAAGCTGGTGTTCAAGTTGAGATAATAGAGCAGGATTACTATGAACTCTAATAGATAGACGCCATATTGGATGTTCGAAGACTCTTATTCATTGATATTAAACGCAATTGACAATTATTCACGATAAACTTAGCATATTAGCCACTTTAGGGTTGGGAGGGCGAAATATATTTTCTCTTCAGTAGTTTCGGCAACTTCCGACACCCCGCAAAATTTGCAGATAAGCCGGGAGCTTCCTACTACAAATAGAAAACAATCAGCATGCAAATAAGTGCATAAGGTATTTAGGAAATGAGACCATTGACTGTTTACCCCAATCGCCAGGCCGAGACCAAAAGAACATGACTAAAATACCGTTGTGCCAACGGACGTGCATACCATGGCTGCACAAAGCACATCAAGCATTGGACAAGATCGTGCCAACCCACGTTCCAAGACTACAAAATGCGGAGTAGCGGGGTGCAGCAAGCAAAACATTTAGCAAATCGAATCTTCTAAGAATAATATAGATGATCGACTAATGACCGTGCCACCGACGAACCAGACCTTGATGCCATCCAGGGCCCATCCGCGCTAGTCCCAAAACAGTCACTATCTGGAGAGGCGAGGCGGATGTGGATTCGGGAACCGCAAAAAAACTGACGATTCGTGCTGCCGATGGAAGGTCACGGCTCTTGCGACAATATCATGGGGGAAAGGAAAATTTTTTTTCTTTCAGGCCTCTTGCCTGGATATTTAATCTTGACATCGCATGGTTCTAGTCTTGGGTGGTGATTCTTGTGCTGATACTCGCTGGGGACGTTCGTTCGATCTATACGCTGTGAGATAATTGGTCCCACCACGAAACCGGAGAAGTGAGGTCATCTTCTGGAACTCTCCGCATCGGCATAGTTGTGGCAGTTCTGGAAACTGGGTTATCTGATTGTGAGGTGACTGTCCTGGGAGCCTCCAGGAGTATCTGCGACGGCCTGAACGGACAGCCATGGTCTTCGCACGTGGCGATGTCTCTGGCCATGATGAGCAAGCCATCGGTAAGTCATGCATCAAAATAAAACCACATCAGGCATGTCTTTTATTCGCAAAATCACTGACCCTCGTGTTCAGACCATAATGACCCGGGTAGCAACATCGAGATCGTGTCCTGGAATGGACCGAAAGATCCCGAGAACCCGTACAACTGGCCGCTCCGTCAAAAATGGACATTGACATTGTTAGCGGCATTTGCCACATTCATTACCATGATGAACGGCACTATCATCACAGTGGCCCATGCCGCGATCAATGAGGAATTTGGCATCTCAGACGCCGACTTCCCTCATTCGTACTGGCCAGTGACATCCTGGGCCGTCGGCGGCGGCTGCTTTTCCCTCCTCATCCTGCCTCTCATGGAAGAGTTTGGTGTGAGATGGGTGTTCTTGTTGGCTTACGTAGCCTTCGTCTGTTTTGTGATTCCTCAAGGGTTGGCACAAAACTTTGTCACGTTGATCGTGACGAGGTTCTTCGCCGGTGGGTGTGTCTCTATCCTGGCCAATACCTCTGCCACGGTGATTGGGAATGTCTGGGATACTGAGAAGGCACGGAATATCCCAGTCAGTCTCTATATCGTCACCTACCTGGTAGGAGCGAGCATCGGACCCGTCATCGGTGCACCCATCTTCGAGTTCCTCTCGTGGAGGTGGATCAGTTATCTGCAGCTGATCTGGCTCGGTGCTCTCTTCCCAGTATATTTCTTCCTCTTCAAAGAGTGTCGAGGTATCGCCATTCTGGGTCAACGGGCAAAGGCATTGCGAAAGGAGGGGAAGATGGCATATACCCAGCACGAGATCGATAGCGAGGGGACGTCGATGATGATGATCGTGGCTCGCAGCGCAACACGACCTCTCGTCCTATTCTTCACCGAGTCAGTCGTCTTCGTTTCTTTCATGTGGTCTGCCTTCACGGTAGGAACACTATACCTATTCACACAATCCGTCGAACAAGTCTTTGTCGGGCTGTATGATTGGACCCCTTCTCAAGCCGGATACATCCAAGCCGCAATCGTCGTCGGCGAAATCCTAGGCTGGGTAGGAACTCTATTCTCAGGCAAAATTTATTTCGACTCTGCAGCGCGCAACACCGAGGTGCCTGGTACTCCCATTCCCGAAGCAAGACTCTACCTCGCCATCGTGGGTGGCGTGCTCGGTATATCCGGCGGCATGTTCACATATGCGTGGACCTCATATGCCAACTTCCCATGGATTGCACCGGCGGTTGGTCTCGCCATGGTGGGGGCTGGGAGTGTGATCGTCGTGACTGGAATCTCCGACTACGTCGTCGATGCCTACGCCAAGTACGCCGCGAGCGCAGTCGGAATCATTGTCACTGGCGAGAACACCTTCTCAGCGTTTTTGCCCCTGGCAGCTATGAGCATGTACAACACGCTCGGATTTCAGTGGGCGAGTACGTTACTTGCGTTTATCTCGCTAGCGTTATCATTCGCGCCCATTCTGTTTGTCGTTTATGGAAAGCAGATCCGAGAACGGAGTCCGTTCATGAAAGAAGCAATGCTTGAGAAGAGGAGGAAAAGCTTTGACTCCTCCGTTTAGCCAACATTGAATGTACATACTCCGTCCTCCGTGCCTATTTTTGTTTCTGGCGTGTACATACAAACATACAAACTACTGCAATCCGCTTAATTCAAATGCCGAACGAACTACTCCGTCCTGCGATACGACCGACCTGCTTCAGATTCTTTGAATAATTCTCCGGGACTGGTCAGGTTTCTAAGATGTCCCCCCACTCCCCCAACTCCTATGCCCACCTTTGAATCCGATAGATTGCAGAGTACTCGCAACGTTCTCGATAAGTAGAAGGACGAGCCGACGAGGTCACCGGGCGTTGCGAGAGTGGACCACGCCCCGAAAAGCAGGCCCTCAATTGAGGCTCCCAAAAAAGAATTTGAGTTTGGACATATGTGGATACAATAGAGTAACTGTACTACAGTATCCAGTAGTAGTGTGTAGAAGTGTAGTGTGTACTCCATACTAGCCTCGTTGTTGCATTGGAGACCATTCCTGAAACTAAGACACTTCCAAGAAAAAGAAAAAAAAAACCACGCGGGACGAAACCTTGATGGCCCACGAACGGGGGGGCGACGGCGCATGACTCGTGAGGTCGGTTTAACAATACGAATTCCAATTGTCGGCACCGTTGGCCTCATCGTTCTCGTGAAAGAGGGGCAAGAGAACGTGGTGGGACATTCGGTAAGAATCAATATTGAATATACTTTTCTCGCTAGGGGAGGACATGCACGAGGCAGTCGGAGGTTTTCCAGAATAGGGCTTAGAACGGGTTCGCATCCGCTAGCCCCAGTTGGCGGGTCGACACCGACCTGAACTTCGTTCCTGGATAAACCAGAACCGCGCTGTTATCGGCCACCATGATGAACTCTGCAGGGGAAATAACGTTTGGAAAGGTGAATGACAACTTGTTCGTTCGTGAAGTTTGTTAAGCGATGGTCGTTGTGAATACTACCCCATTGTCGATCTAGATGGTTGATCATACCCCCTTCCCACTCGGAACCCGTCGGCCAGCGAAAGTTTGGACTCCATAGAGCCGCGGTATATCAGGCTTTCGCTCTTCAAGTTACTGTGCAATGGCAGTCGTCATGGGAAAGAGTCCGAAGGTGTGCAGTGTACGCAGTAGCGTACTCGAAGATCACCCCTCGACAGGGGGGTCTCCCACATAGCGCATCCAGAGGAACAACTATACGAACTAAACATAGTTGAGTTCAACGGACTCGGTCATGGCATGGCAGGCATACTACGTATGCCGTCATCTCGAGTTTCCCCTTGTGGTATGCTGCAGCAGTAGCACCGAGTTGAATATTCCCAGCCACGGAATTTGATACGGAAGAAATCAAGGCTCCACGGCCACCAACGAGGCTAGAATGCTAGACCTTCTAGATCGTTTCATGCTGGACGATCAAACGGACACGCCTCGCCATGTGCCCTGTGCGGCCCACCCGCCCGAGAATCAGGTCGAGTCTAGTCCAGGGGGAAAAATGCCCGAAAGCTCGAAGCTGAAACCTCCACTTAGAGTCTATCGTTGAGCCAGCACATCCTGCTTCCGCGCTGTTCAGTTGTTGTTGTGGAATCATGTTTCCGAAAGTACTCCGTACACTTCGTAGTCCATGGTCTATCAGGCTAGCATGACCTCCCCCCCTCCCCTCTTTCCAGCCTCCCTAGGGACTCTTTCTTGATTTGGTAATAGCGTGTTTTTTATCAACTAGTTAGCGAGTCGGCGTCGTTGTGGATGAACCAAAAAGTAAGACATTGCTTGGGGCTAGAATGCTTGCTGTTCCTGTCCTTGATCTTCACAGACCATCACGACATTGATGCCCAGACTATGCCCGCATGTTCGAGGGTAAGACACGATGTTACAGCGGGCAACTTTAAACAGCGGCACGGCATCATGATGCAGGGAGATCAAACAGTATCAGACGAGGGGGAGACCTAAAAAAAGTTGCGTGAAGACTCATTGTTGGGGCTCTCGGGCGGACTCCTTTTTGGGGTTTGTTTTTTTTTGGGAATACAGTACGGAGTAGTTCGTTAGGAGATGGATCGATGGTTAAGCGATATAGCTAAAGTCTGGTTATGATGGACCCTACCCGAAGAATTTTTTTCTCTCCGAGATCTTGGATGGAGTCGCCATGTGTTTTTTTTTTCCCATGTGTTTTTTTTGTTTGGACCTTGGGACGGGTTACTACTCGCGTCCAGGGGCGGGCCAAGCTTTTGATTTTGACCTGTTTTCAGCCTCGCGAGGGGAACCGGGCTTTGGAAAGTTGGGACGCCTAACAGGCTGGCACATGGAATAATACAGTCAATATGATTAGATTGATAGATATGTGATTTCTATATTATGATATAAACGTGGATCAGGTACCCGGCAGTAGTATCCATGGGTAACCCGTGGCGAAATGGATAGAGAGAATTCGACAAGTCAGAAGAGAGCTGGAAATTGACCCGGAGCCCTAATGCATGCACTCCAGACGGCAAGGTTGGCACCTTTTCTCCAACGGGGGAATCTCGGGGCCCGCCCGTATAGACTACGGGAGTTACTACGGGAGTATTAACAACAGTGCAGTATAGAGCATGGGTTGTAGGTTGCCAAAGTCGAGGGTTGCGACGCAGGGGGGAAAGGGTAGACCACACGCTAAAAAGCAGGGAGTACTGTGGTCAGTTGACAACTTGACATGGCATGAGCCATGTCAAGTTGTCATTGCTCATTCGACATGCATGATCCGGCCGATCATAACCCTCTATTTTGGACTCGTTCGTTTTGATGTGTCGTGCGCAAAAATCAGTTCTAGTCGGGAAGTCCGGAAAGAAAAGCGATCAGGTCCAGCCACAGCCGTTTGTCCACGGGCTCCAAGAGTCGTCGAAGAGGGATCGGAGAAATATCAGAAACGGGGAGGTGTACTGGATACTGGAGAGAGCAACAAACCCGGGACGGACACCCGGTCGTGGACAAGGGGCCAGAAGGGCTAGCGTGTCGAGCAACTTGGGAAGAGTCGACTCGGGAGGAGTGGGACGGAGGGTGGGAGGATTCGTTTCAGTGGCTGCATGTAAGCGCCCACTGACTCTGAAACAACCCGAGGGCGGGTGCTTCAGATTCTCCAGTCAGGTCCCAGCGCCAGTTTGACCTCGCAGCTCTTGGCATGGTCCGGATGGGAGGGTCCACTGGTGGATTCTCGTTGGCTCTAACCAGCCTCGATCCCCTGTCGCGATGGACCTCTCATGGCAGAAAATGATCCCTTGGCCTTTTGAATGGAGTACAGGATGCACAGACATTCTGCAGTCCAGTCACCCAGTTGGACGAGGGATGCGTCGAATCACCGTTGAAGTACCGATCGGTTGAATTTCTGCAAGGCACGGGGAAACCTGGGAGAAAAGTGGGAAAGGAGGAGAAAGGAGGAAGAGGATGAGGAGTCGCAAAGACAGCCTCGCATTGTTGACTCTTTTCAGTTCAGAGTACAGTTGGAGTTTGTTGATGGAGACAAATCACCAATCGTTAAGAAGAAGATTGATGGAGCCCTGGAATTCCACTGGCAACAGGGACAAGTGGGCCTGGCTGGGTCACGCGTATCGGAAGTATTGGTGACAGTACAGTACGGCGTAATATTGGACAATTATAGAGATTTATACTTTAGAATGACATAAATAACAGCCTAGCCCTCATACCATACCAGTCATGACCAGTCATCCGGGATCTGGCGCTTCGCAGTCTTTCCCAGTCTTGCTACTTCCCGTACCTCCCGATTCTTATTATTAGGACGGTACTCACTCCATCACTGACGTTGTGTATCTTTCCCCCTTCTTCCTCTTCGTCCTCTCCTCATCTCCATCTCCCTCCCCTCCCACTCTCATCTTCACCTTCGTTTCTTTTCTTCCGCTGTGCGAGGAATTCCCCCACAGAGTTTCGCTACCGGCTGGTCCAGTTCAATCTCTGTCATCTTTCTTTATTGTCTTTCTCTTTGTCGTCTCTGACAAGTCAAAAAATAACAAGAGGCCGGCTCCTCTTATTCCACCATCTCGACCCGGTAATCGCGCGTGCTGATTACCGTCGGTTGTCCGAAAAGATCTTCGTCTACCGATATATCGATCTATATACTATTACCTCGATTTTCATATCACAGCATCGCAATCGCGCCCGTTATCTGCTGATCGCCTTGCGACGTTGATCCTCCCCCCTCTCATTGCGCCTTGTTGATCCGACCCGCCCTGTCGAATCATTTCTAACGGTGAGTCTTGGAAACTGGGTCAAGGTCTTAAACAGAGAATAAAGGTCGCCGGTATCACGGTCTAGTCCCGTGCTGGCGTCCTTCTTTGTTCGCGACAATCTTTTATCTATTGCCGCTGCTCCTTCCCGGTCGGCGCTGATGGTTTCTTGCAGAGCGCGTGCACCATGTATCCTCAACACGGTCCCCCGATGGCACCTCCCCAGAAGCCAGAGACCTTCATGCTATCAACTGAAGCTCAACAAAGCCTCCCTCACGATGCGCAAGTCGCCCTGCAGCAAGTGGATAATCGTACGTCGTTGGTCCTCGGGATGTACAAAATGCATGGCCTGCCCTGCTCACCAGTGACTAGTGAAATATTTCCTCCTCTCGGCCCCTGTCGACTGGCAGCCTGACCAGCTGATTCGCCGCTTCCTCCTCCCGACCGGCGACTATGTCTCTTGTGTTCTCTGGTTAGTGCCCAGTGCCGACGACACCGAGCCCCCGCGCGAGGCCGACCGCTAACAAACGTCACCCTCTAGGAGCAACCTCTTCCACATCTCAGGAACCGATATCGTGCGATGCCTTGCCTTCCGATTCCAAGCCTTTGGCCGACCCGTGAAGAACTCTAAGAAATTCGAGGAGGGCATTTTCTCCGATCTGCGAAATCTCAAGGCTGGAACCGATGCGACCCTGGAGGAGCCCAAGAGCGCATTCTTGGATTTCCTGTACAAGAACAACTGCATCCGTACCCAGAAGAAGCAGAAGGTTTTCTACTGGTACAGCGTTCCCCACGACCGATTGTTCCTCGATGCGCTCGAGCGAGACCTCAAACGCGAGAAGATGAACCAAGAGGCTACCACGGTCGCCGTGAGCGAGCCGGCCTTGTCGTTCGAGTTTGACTCGTCCCAGTCCTTGTATGAGCAGTTGACCAAGGCACAACAAGCGAATACATCCTCGTTTGCTGCCGCTGCCCACGCCCACGCAAGTACGACATATGGCCAGCCCAGTTCCCCCGTGGTTCGGACCGTTGACGCAATGCCTCCTCCCCAGATGGCTCCCCCAGCGATCCCGCTCCTGCAGGACGACCATGGCAATCCGACGATGTACGGCAATCCCCAGATGCCACTTTCGAACATTCTAGTCCAGAGCATCATTAAGCGCGAGCAAGATTACGGGCCCATCCAGTATGACCGCAATGGAATGCCCCTCGCCCGCATCCACCAGCGCCATTCGTCCATGCCTACCTTCTACGAGTACTCGCCTGCCCCGTCTTTCGTCTCTTCTCAGTACGAGGATTACAGCAACCGCGGCCTGTCCTTTGAACCGGTGACCCCACCGCAACATTCGGTCGGCCTGGGTGCTGAGCCCGCGTATATCGCCAACGAGGATACGGGTTTGTACACTGCCATTCCGGATCTCGCCAACGCGGCGCCGTATAATCCCATGATGCAGCTTCCGCCATCCAACTTTGCGGCTGGTCACTACCCGAGTGCCTCTCGATCCTTTTCGTCCAATGCCTACTCCGTCATCGAGGGCTCTCCGACTTACAAGCAGCGAAGGCGACGACCCTCTATGACCCCAGGCCCGGCTAATGGTACCCCTGGGGCTCCTAACGGGTCTCAAGTGGCCCCCTCCTCCCAACCTCCACCTTACGCCGCACACCGCCCGAGCGATCTTCGACGGTCCGTGTCTAGCTCGGTGGCCCCGGTTGCGGAGGGCGAGGAGCCTGGACATGATCTATCTCACACGTACCCAAGCGCCATGCTTCCTCAGAAGGACTTGTTGCAGGAAATCTCACGTCATGGGACCCCGCTCCAGCACCTGGAGGAGTCCGTTGATCAGCACGCGGTGCCAATCAGCAACCCTCCAGATGATTTAACAGCGCTCCCTACTAGTGCAGCTATTGAAACAACGGTTCAAAACAGCACTGGCCGGTCGGACCGTGCGGGCCCTGGTCCTGCACGTCGTGCCAGGAGTGCGACCATGATGGAGCTTGGACCGTATCCCCAGAAATCTCACTCGTGCCCAATCCCGTCCTGTGGACGGCTCTTCAAGAGATTAGAGCACCTGAAAAGGTAAGCTTCATTTCTATTTTTGCATACCCTGCCGTTACCGGTGGGGCTGACATCTGCACAATGACCCGGTGTGATGGTTTCGATAGCCGCCGACTAACTTGGGCGCTTAGGCATGTGCGTACCCACACGCAAGAGCGACCTTACCCCTGTCCATACTGCAGCAAAGCTTTCTCTCGTTCCGACAATCTTGCACAGTAAGCTGATCCTGCATGATTACCCTGATGACCTCATACTAATTTCGCTTCCAGGCACCGTCGCATCCACGAGGCCCAACAAGATGGCCAAGCACCTATTGCCAACGAGGATGACTTGGAGAATGATGGCAACGAGTTCGAGTCTGCCGGTGAGGACTCGTCGCCACCTGCACACCATGCCCCGCACACCATGGTTCAGATGCCCGCGATGACCTCGATGGCGACATCCATGAGCATGCCTTCGGCAATGCCCACTATGGTCCCTGCTCCTCATCAGATGATTGCCCCGCAGCTTCTTCAGCAACAGATGTAAGCTGCGTTCAGGCTTTGAGTATCCCTGGTGTGGGTTTGTCGGTTAAGTCTGCGTACGCATTTAGGCGTCTTGACTCTGGTGTTTAATTCCTTTATGGCCATTCCTTTCAGCACCACGACTACTCCACCAAGGATATTCCATCCCATCATCTATTGTTCATTTTTTTTGTGATCTGTGGCTGGTGATGTTGTTCGATACACATCTCCATATACTCATCCCGTCTGCATGACATGCTTGTTCATTTTTCTTTGTTGCTCTCTCCGTGTGATTTATCTATCTCTGGGTTACTGGTTGGTTGTGCTGTGCTCTGGCTTTTGGGACTTACTGCTCTTGTATTATCGCCTTGCGAACTTTAGCCTGAAACCCGTGGCACGGATTGGAACCTGGCCTGGCGGGTACGGGCACGGGCAACTTGCGGGGGTGCACTCTTTTATTAGGGAAGGACTGTTGATGGATCTAAGGGACATGTTGATATGGCTTTTCTGGAATATCGGGTATCTTCTAGGGAAAGTGGGAATTACTTTTTTTTCTTGTCTCTATTGTGGTTGATTCTGCTTTTGGTGGTGGATTAGTGCCGTCTTTTGTTGCGGCTGGTTTATACTATAGACTTTAACGAATTGACTTGACAAAAATTGGCAAAAAGATATACTATCACTCGTGTTTTTCTCTGTCCAGCTATTAGTACCTTAATATGCTTGAAAAGGAGGGGCACAACCTCATTGTTCACCATTACTCATCCGATATCTTCACAATGTTCCCGATTCGGCCCCAGAGCCAAGACATTTGAATATCACGTGCGCTGACGTCTTCTCCCCGAATACGCAGCTGAGATAGGCCGCGCATGAACATCTTCGTCTTGAGCTTTACAGCTAGTGATTCCAGCCTTCAATACTCCACTCGACTAGCAAGCCAGAGCGCTATCACTAAATTTCCTCCGAGCCCACGCGACCACCCAACTGTCCGACTATCAGAACCCCTTCTACCCACTCGCAGCCCCGAAGACTGGATACCTCACTACACAGTTGACCGCCAACGAGTCGTTAATTCCGAAACAAGGACAACAGTGCGACTATTTCAGACTCCCGAAACCTCCAATTTGCAACCTCGCATCCTCCACCCACCAACAAATAGCTCCTATGCTTCCTCTCCGCTCTCCCTGAATCGTTCGTGGGGTATAACAGTTAGTGTGGGTCAGCTCTTATCGGCATCGCGCAACGCCGACACATACCCATGGTCCAAGTACGATCGACTGCGCATACCGTCCACGAATCTTCGCCCCTTATGGAGTCACGGCGTAGGAGTGACTCTGATGTGCAGCTGGGGGGTTATGGCGAGGTTGAAGATAAGGATTTGGATGATTCGTCGAAGAGTGGGTGGTATTTGTTTTTGTTGACGATTTCGATTGGAGGGTGAGTTCTGCGTGGGCTGGGATGATTGTGGCTGGGAGATGTGATTGTGATGGCCTCTGATTATGGTTATGGAATAGGTTGCAGGTTGTTTGGTCTGTGGAGTTATCTAATGGGTCGGTAAGTTCTTATCTTTCTCTTGAAGAATTGAAAGGTGGAGGTTGACGTTGTATGGTGCATGTTGTATGGTGCATGAGGAGTTTCTACCGGACATATCACTGATCATTATCACTCTATAGCCCTATCTGCTCTCGCTGGGAATGAGCAAGGCTCTTCTCGCGTTTGTCTGGATAGCAGGACCCGTGACCGGTACCCTGGTGCAACCGTATATCGGAATCCGGAGCGACAATTGCAGACATCCATGGGGCAAAAGGAAACCGTTTATGGTTGGTGGTGCTGTGGCACTTATCATCTCTTTACTTGCCCTGTCTTGGGTGCAGGAGATCATGGGTGTGTTTTTATCGGTATTTGGCGTCGATCGACAGTCCGGCGGTGCGAAGATAACCAATATCGTCGTTGCGACTATTTTGATGTATTGTCTGGATTTTGCGATTAATACTGGTATGTTTGGGGACCATCCATTGTGGGCATGTTCGATCTAACCAGGTTGATTGCAGTGCAAGCTGCGATTCGAGCGTTTATTGTGGATAACTGTCCTGCTCACCAGCAGGAGGTTGCCAATGCTTGGGCTAGTCGGTTGACAGGCGTTGGCAATATCTGCGGGTTTATCTTTGGATATCTTGATTTACCAAAGATTTTACCATTCCTTGGAAAGACGCAGTTCCAAGTTCTCTGCGCGCTGGCTTCTATATCTCTTACCGTCACACTGCTCGCCAGCTGTCTCTACATCAAAGAGCGCGACCCCAGACTGGATGGACCACCACCATCTGATGGTCTGGGCCTCGTCTCTTTCTTCCGCCAGGTCTTCAAATCTATTCGCAATCTACCACCGCAGATTGCGCGGGTCTGCGAGGTACAGCTCGCCGCATGGGCTGGATGGTTCCCATTCTTGTACTATGCGACTACCTACGTTGGCCAGCTTTATGTCAACCCGATCTTTGCGGATCATCCTGACATGTCGGATGATCAGATTGATCGGACGTGGGAGGATGCTACTCGGATTGGCACTTCTGCACTTCTTGCTTATGCCATTATCTCCTTCGTTGCTAACATTGTCCTCCCGCTCCTTGTGATCCCCACGTCGGGCCAAGTCTCCGAGACGACAGCCCACCATGAACGAGTTGTCTATCCCGAGAACGAGGATGGAGGTACTACGGGAGATTCTTACGAGCCCCTCCTCGACGGAACACCTCATAAGATTGTTGAGGAGGAACCGACGTGGCTCTCCCGTCTTCAAATCCCCGGCCTGACACTTCGCCGAACCTGGCTTCTCTCGCATCTCCTTTTCGCAGTATGCATGTTCAGCACTTTCTTCATCTCATCTTACCCCGCCGGATCAGTGGTCATCGGGTTCGTCGGAATATCCTGGGCATTGACACTATGGGCACCATTTGCCCTGATCTCGGCCGAGGTAGCCCGCACCGATGTCACACGGCGCCCACATCGTCACGACACAGGGGGAGTCGGCTCCGCGACGGAGCCCGGGAGGGCACATACTGCTACCACCTCCGGGTCTTATGCGCCCGTTTCTAGCGAGGATGATCATGAAGATGAAGATGAACATGATGCTAGAGACCATGATCTAGAGAATGGTGGTCAAAAGCCCGTTCTTATCAGTGAGGAAGAGAACCTTGCGCAGGCGGGTATTGTGTTGGGTCTGCATAATGTGGCGGTTTCATTCCCTCAGATCTTTTCTAGTCTGATCTGCAGCGCCATCTTCAAGGTTGCGCAGAAGCCGCGCGGCGAGCCGTGGGATGATAGTGTGGGATGGGTGCTTCGATTTGGTGGATGTGCTGCACTGGTTGCGGCATGGCTTACCAGGAGGTTGGCCGAAGGCTCCAAATGAAGCTCATGTCTTACCTACACGCTTGAGCCATCGTGTTGACTGTAGGATCACCCTGCATTGTCATGACCCCTCTGATTTGAGTCCTGTAAGGGCATGCCGATGATGTATTAACGGGAGGCAAGTGGGTCAGCCCTGGACGATGCAGTCATCGCCCGAATGTAGGGGGCATGATATGATCTGACACCATCTTGTCCTTTGTTATGTGCAAGTACTTAATGTAAATTTGTAGACTTATTAGCTATAATAGTACTTTGATATAGAAGGCGTGCCCCTTTCTTTGTTGAGTCGGAGATACAGACGCCGTTTATTAACCGCGTTGGCCGTTTCTTGGCAGTTGCGCGGCACTCGGAAGAGGCCCACGTGTCAGATTTCACGTAAAACAGAAACGTTACAATACAGAAACAGATCAGTCCCGGTTTCTCGCGGTGCCATGCTTACTCTCGTATTACGTATTGTACTTCGTATACCATACCAATCCGCCGACCTGTCCCTCCGCTCGCCGGATGCAACTCAACTCAGAACTCCAAGCCCGACCACCTTGAACTCCGAAGTCCTACCTGTCACTGATCGCGCTGCATCTCACTCCCTCCCTTATCCAGCACCTTTAGGCCTGCGGATTATGCGCGCCTAGTCTTGCCCTATTTGACTCGCCGCGCGGGAGTTTCTTAACTGCCAGGTGTCATCCGCGCCGGACCCTCACAGGTTCGTGATCGAGTCGCAATGGCCACTCAAGTGATGGGCGAAGCCCTCCACGCGCTGCTTCGTATGTGATCCTATTACCTTCGGTCCTTTTTTTTTGCTTGCTTCTGCTCTTCTAGAGTTCTTTGGCTAACCTTTAATTCTTATCCTTATTGCAGGGCGAGCGGCGGAAGACACAGATCCCGATGGTACGCTTGCACAAAGCTCCCGAGCCCCTCTCCCTCGGTTGATGCCGATAAGTCTGGATTGGAATACAATGATCTGACAAGATGTTTTGGGATTACAGATGCTCCTGAAGCAGGCTCCAAGGAGATTACAAGCTCCTGGGCGCTGTTTATTATGATTATGTTGTTGATGTTTGCCCTGTTCACGAGTTACATCCTCCAACAGAGGAAGATCCAAGCTGTCCACGAAACAGTACTATCGATTTTTGCGGGTATGTTGACTCCAAAGTGATGCGAAAGTCTCTTTCATACCTGGGGTAAAGGGGCGCAGGAATTGCCGGACTGGTTGTGCTGACAGGTTGACAGGGATGTTCGTCGGGCTAATCATCCGCCTCTCCTCCAAGTCCAATCTCCAGGACAGTGTCGCCTTCGACTACCAATTTTTCTTTAACCTCCTCCTCCCTCCTATTATCCTCGCTTCCGGATACGAGCTCCATCAAGCGAATTTCTTCCGGCATATCGGTACAATCCTTACCTTTGCGTTCGCCGGTACTTTTATCTCGGCCATCGTCCTCGGCCTCGTATTGTTCCTCTGGACACGGATCCCGCTGGACGGGCTCAACATCTCCTTTGTCGAGGCGATTTCTGTCGGTGCGACACTATCCGCTACCGACCCTGTTACTATTCTCGCTATCTTCAACCTTTACAAGGTCGAGCCGAAACTTTATACGGTGATCTTTGGAGAGGCGCTTCTGAACGATGCTATTGCTATTGTGCTTTTCGAGACTGCGCAGAAGTACGCGGAGAGTGAGGCTGGCTCGTTGACTTTCTTGAATCTTTTTGAGGCTATTGGTCTCTTCTTGCTTGTCTTCTTTGGTAGCATGTTGGTTGGTATTGTGGTTGGTATTGCTACTGCGCTGGGACTTAAGTACACTTTGGTTCGGCGGATGCCGAAGATTGAGAGTTGTCTGATTGTCCTGATTGCCTATGCCAGTTACTTCTTTTCCAATGGCGTGCACTTGTCAGGTAGGCTTATGACCGATGGATACATTCTTGCAAAGGAACACGCAAAGCTAACCTATCTTCACACAGGCATCGTGTCCCTCTTGTTCTGTGGTATCACTTTGAAGCACTACGCCTACTATAACATGTCTCGCCGAACACAGTTGACCACGAAATACCTGTTCCAGGTGATGGCCCAGTTGTCGGAGAACTTTATCTTCATCTACCTCGGACTGGACCTGTTTGTTGAGTCGAACCTCCATTTCAACCCGCTCTTTATTCTAGTGTCGGTATTTGGAATCTGCCTTGCTCGCTACCTTGCTGTGTTCCCACTTTCAAAGGCGATCAATTGGTTCATTCGCTATCGGGCCCGGCGTCGGGGTATGGAAGTTGCCGATGAATTGCCCTTCGCCTATCAGGCGATGCTCTTCTGGGCCGGTCTGCGTGGTGCTGTTGGTGTCGCACTGGCAGCTGGTCTTTCTGGCGTTAATGCGCCAACTTTGCGTGCCACAGTTCTCGTCGTTGTCGTGTTGACCGTCATTATCTTCGGAGGCACGACTGCACGCATGTTGGAAATCTTGGGTATTCGCACCGGAGTCGTTGAGGAGATTGATTCAGACGACGAATTTGACATTGAGGTCACCCACGGTGGTACCTACTACAAGCGCTCCGACACTGCGCTGGGATACACGCCCCGGCGCGCCGAGTCCGGCATCCCTCTCGATGGTGTCAATCAACCAACGCGCGCTGGTCTTGATCGGGCAGACAGTTACTCGACCGGCAGCAACCGTCGCCCCAGCCCACCCCAGGGTCATACCCGGATGTACTCGGCGGCCTACAGCCCCAAGGACGCGCAGTCCCGACGCGATCGCTCATCGACCGCAACCCTCCTTAACGGCGGTCCCGGCCCAAGTAGCCGAAGCATCAGCAGCGGTGGCAGTGATGACGAATTCGGCCTCCCGCCCGCAGGCAAGAACGCCGCCAAAGTCGCCCACCCCGACGAGTTCGACCTCGACCTGGACGCTCTATCAGACGACGACCTCCCACCCGCCGCAGGAAGCGCATCGCGCCTCCGCCGCGCGTCCTCCCACCCCTCACCGGGCGCCACGCCCTCACCCAACCCAATCTCAGCCAGCGTCTCCCCCGCCCGGCAGCCGCCAGGCCTTAGCGCTCGCGAGGCCTTACGTGACCTCTGGCAGGGCGGTGCCTCGGGCGATCACGCTGCCTGGTTCCGACAACTTGACGAAGACTACATCAAGCCGAAGCTACTACTTGATCAGTCGAATCACAAGGGACCCGGTGCGGTCTGATGGGGAAATTTTCTTTCTATTTTTGTTTTGGTTTTTGGATCGGTTTTGATACCTTGGGAAGAGTGGGCGGATAACACAGATAGGCCCTTCACCTCTTTTTCTTCTCGTTGCATTGGCTGTCTGTGTGCCTACAATATGAATGTATATTTAGCCTGTTGGTTCTGTGCTGGGATTTGCATTGTCGTAACAAGAATTTTTGGCTTTTCTTGAGTATCGTTCTTTTTCTTCTGACGGATGGGCTGGGTTTGACGTAGCCCTGGAGGCTGCGATGAATCGGTCCATTGTACTGTATGTTTGTTTGACTTTGGATCATGGTCAAAAATACTTGGTTATAGGCGTACTGTTCTTGGGCTCTTCTTAGAGATGTCTTTCCAACCGTGTATCAACTTGTCTTTTGACCTGTGTGCTAGACATCTTTCAGACCTCGTTTATCAGCTTCTCTTCACATCCCACCTTCCTGACTCTTACTATATAATGTGGAAAAGCAGTTTCGTGTGTCAAGCCTTGATAGAATTCAATTTCTAAGCTATTGAATGTTACTTGAGAGCAGCCTTCATGAACTTGCTAAGGTGATTCTGAGAACAATGTAAAACCAAGCTTGCCAACTCTTTATACGCCACCGGTTTCTCCTCCTCTTCACGACCATCATAGGTATCCTCAAGTTGCGACGCAGACGCTACAATTTCCTTATAGATATAGCGATCATGCTCCATTTTCCCAAGACAAACATTAAAAAGCCCGAATTTCAGCAAGATAGAGTTTAAAATGAGACGAGACATGCGGCCATTACCGTCTAAGAACGGATGAATGTTGACGAAGATGTGTGCGTATTTGGCGGCAAGCATAATGGGATCTATCAGTCCGGTTCTTGCAGCTTTATCGAGATCGGAGTTATATTGGCGGATCATCTCCTTCATTTTTTCTGGAATGCCCTCAGGGCTGATGAAAGTGTGAAGACCCACGCTGACGTCGTCTGTGCGATATACACTGCTATATTCTTTCCAAGATGCGCTTTCAGCGTCAACTTTGGACGTGAGGATGCGATGGGTCTCGAGGATGAGGTCTTCTGTGAGATCTTCGCCGTTGATGCCGAGCTTTTCGATTAGATAGGCTGCTGCTTTGGCGTGTTGGACAACCTCACGGTGAGTCTGTAGGATATCCGTATGGTTTGCAGGTAATCTGGCGTGTACACGCTGCTTCTGGATACGCACGTAGTACTTGTCATCTTTTTGAGCATCCTCTTCAAAGGTATCCTCTCCACAGAAAACCTTCATAGATAGTTGACGGGCGGCTTTGAGACCTGCACCCGCTTTGTCGATCATGTTTGAGCCGTAGACCACGTCAGATAGATTCTTTAAGATCATTTGGTCGAGGAAAGATTTTTAGAGGTCCCGATCACATGTAGGAGTGTCGTAAGGCGGTCCATGCTATCGATTACCTGGCTGAAAGCAAGCTCGGGGTTGAAAACTGCATGAGCGATTTCATAGCTATAGGCCTCGTCTTGGGTAATCGTCAGGTCTGTGTTATGGCCGTGGATAGAGACAGAGATCGTTCCTGGTTCCAGACGGGATGTAGATTTGATATGTGCCAGGATCTTTTGACCGAGACTGGCGTGATGGGAAGCATCGGTCATGGTCTCGGTGCTTTCGTGTGGGGGATCGGGGTAAGAGCTAGCGGGATTTGAAGAATAGTTGTACAACATGGAGGCTGATGTGGAGGAAGATGGATTAAAATCCTGGCTTGAATTCATCGGCGTTTCGAGATAGGCAAATTCTCCCACGAGAATCATCTGGCAGATATTGGGACTGAAGTTTACTGGTCGAGTAGCTGGTTTCTGCGAGATCTGAGAACGAATTTTCGAGAAGTGACTTGACTGTATGTGTAGTATAGAGAAGAGAAAGGAAATAGAAAGAAGATCAGTCCGAACATAGAAGTAGAAGGAATGGTTGCTGAGAGATGGCTTCCATAATAGGCCTAGTCCATATAGACCACTCCTAACTAGTCCTAATTGGGGCGAGGTAGTCATAATGAAGGTCCTTTGTGAGCTTAAAGCCAAATTAGAGACTAAATTATTAAGGAAAGTATACTGAAGGGCCCAATACTCCCTCTATATAGGGCATAGTTACTGAGATTAGATTCAGTAATGATCGTGACAAGACTTTTCTGCCACACTCGGCAACAATGACGGCGACGCCTATCACGATATCCCACACAGAGAGCAGGAAAGGGAAAGAAAAACTACATTGAATCTGTCGAAGGTGAAACGAAGGGAAAGGATTATATTGATGTTCACATGGGCTGAGAAAATAATTCGCAAACGCTAGTCCTACAGATCCCTATGGGAAGATCCGCCAACAGGAGAGGAGTCTCCATTGAATGACCTCGAGTATCATAAATGAATTTTCATTACCATCGGGCTGTTCAATAGTAATGATCGGCTGTTATGCTTAGCAAAGCAATATGTCGGCTTATCTCGCGATCCTATCTCTAAGCGGCTTGCTAGTTAGTGCGGTTCTTAGTAGCGATGCTTAAATTGTGCTGGCACGGGTTTTTTTATAATATGACACAAGCGATGTTGTAATGAACACGAAGTCATCCTTTATGCATCGGGCACTTCACTATCTATGTAATCCTGAAGCTTCTCAGCCAATAATATATCTACAGTAATTATCTGCGCTGTAATTCCGTCAAAAGCTCGCCTAGCCCCATAAGTTAAAGTAAAGCGGACTCTGGCCCGCTCTCGACCCCACTTAAATTGTTAAAGAAGCACTGGATTATCTGGGGTAAGCTCCAACCAGCAACCGGAGCAGATAAGAAAAGCCTCACCAGGATCAAAAGGATAAGCATTTCCAAGAAATCTCCATATTAGGTTAGAAAAGTGAGAAAAACTAGATACACGCCAATCATTCTAATCGCAAGATCAAAACCATCATACAAAACAACTACACAGCTTATCTCGTTCGGAACCAACTCACCAACCGGAAGACACGCCACGGCCTGTTATCTCTGCCTAGGCAGGGCAGTTATCGTAACAATCTGGCATGGTTTTAACGACGCCAAACTCAATACAGGCATGATTACCCTCATTGCGACGTTTCGCTCAGCCACTCAAACCCTACTCGCCCCGCTCGCTCTTGTCCCCGCTCCGCTTTCCCTATGATACTCAATTTCACCTGCTCCAGTCCTTGCCTAGGCTATGGGTTTATCGGGCCTGCCGGATGTGGGGGGTGGTGATGGCGAGTGTGGGCGCAGGCTATTGCGAAGGTCTATGCTTTCTGGAAAAGATAGTCGTGAGACAATTCTCGTGTCGGTTGTGTCTTAAAGGGGGGTTGATCTCCCATCGTGAAATGCGATTGCGATCGTCTGACTTTTTCGGCTGGCGGCCTTGTATGCATGCTGCATAATAGTCTTTGCTTTTTTCTAAATTCTTGCTGACTACTGTACCACGGTGGCCGATCTTTTATTTTGACCCTTTGACTTTGCCTGGAATGCCATTTATCTATCCCTTCCGAACCTTATCATCTTGATTCAACCTCATCACAGTATAGAGTGTCATTACAGTCGCCATGGCGGACGTGATTAAGCGGGCGCTCTCGCGCGATGCGAAATCACAACACACAATTGACAATGATGCCCCCGTCCAGGCTGGGGATACGGAGCTTCTGGGTAAGTTATGCCGTGTTGCACTCCGCCCTAGAGAAGACGAGTATAGTTACATTGTCTAGAAGCTTGAGAGGCTAATTACTGGATAGCGACTCTGGGTTACAAGCAGGAACTGCGCCGTCATTATTCCACGGTCCAGATCTTCGCCGTTGCCTTTAGCATCATGGGTCTTTTGCCATCGATTGCATCGACTCTGTCTTTTTCAATGCCCGCAGGGCCTGTGGGCATGGTTTGGGTAAGTCTTATCTTGAATTGACTCATGGATTAGAAGTGATGGCTGACATGTCTCTTCAGGGTACGCAACGATTCCACTGTCACGGAATATCGGGTTTATTAACACCAAATAGGATGGCTAGCTGCGAGTGTCTTTATTTTTATTGTCAGTCTGGCTATGGTAAGTAGAATCACCCGGGGATGACGTACATCTGCCATGGAAAGCATCAACTAATCGATATATCTCATTTACAGGCCGATATGGCATCCTCCATGCCCACTGCCGGTGGCCTTTACTTCTGGACTCACTACTTCGCCGCCGAGAAATGGAAGAACCCACTCAGCTTCGTTGTCGGATACAGCAACACAATTGGCCTCATTGGTGGTATCTGCTCAATTGATTGTATGCTCCGGACCCTACCCCCCAAAAAAGGAACTCCATTAACCTTGATATGTGTTTTAGACGGGTTCGCCAACATGCTCCTCTCAATGATCTCCATCGCCCGTGACGGCACCTGGACCGCAACACGGCCCATCATCTACGGCACATATGTAGCAACCGTATTCGCCCACGGAGTCATCGCCACATTTGGAGGTAGAATTATGCCAAGAATCCAATCAATCTGCATCTACCTCAACATTGGCCTGGTCGTAGCAACAGCAATCGCCCTACCCGTGGGCAAATCTAAGAACGACCCACCAATTAACTCAGGTTCCTACGTCTTCGGTGATGTAGAGAACTTGACTACGTGGCCGACGGGTTGGGCGTTTATGCTGGCGTGGTTGTCGCCTATTTGGACGATTGGCGCGTTTGATTCGTGCGTCCATATGAGCGAGGAGGCTACTCATGCGGCTCGTGCAGTGCCGTTGGGCATTATTGCTTCGACGGGGATGTGTGGGATTCTGGGATTCTTGTCGATGGCTATTATTGCTGCTGGGATGAGGCAGGATATTGAGGGGATTTTGAATTCTGAGTTTGGGCAGCCCATGGCTCAGATTTACTATGATGCGCTTGGCAAGAATGGTGCTCTCGGCTTTATGGCTGTAGTCATGACCGTCCAGTTCTTCATGGGACTAAGCATAGTAAGTCTACTCTCCTTCAATATCTCAACCTCCACTAAATTTCATGCCAGGTCATCGCAGCATCTCGTCAAAGCTGGGCCTTCTCCCGCGATGGTGCCCTCCCCTTCTCCTCCTTCTTCCGCAAAGTCAGCCAAAGCAGTCTAACCCGCTACCAACCCGTCCGCATGGTCTGCGGTGTAATTGGTGCCTCCGCTATCATCGGCCTACTCTGCCTCATCGACAACGCCGCGGCAAACGCATTGTTCTCTCTGGCCGTGGCTGGAAATGACCTCGCGTGGCTGACACCTATCCTGGCACGGCTCCTCTGGGGCCAGGATAAGTTTGTGCCGGGTGAGTTCTATACTGGCAAGTATTTGAGTAAGCCTATTGCGTGGACGGCTGTGATTTATATGGTTTTCGCTATTGTGTTGTGCATGATTCCTACGGAGGGGCCGAATCCGTCTGGTGAGTTGTCTGCATCTCTTGATAGATTGGTGTGTGCTAATAAGTGGTGATTGCAGCCGAGAATATGAATTATACTGTTGTTATCAATGGGGCCCTTTGGTTGGGAGCTTTGCTTTATTACTACGTTCACGCGAGGAAGACGTTCAAGGGCCCGCAGACCACTGTTTCGCCGGAAGATGAGGGTAAACAGTTGGAGGCGAAAGCTGCTGCAGAGAACTCGGAAAAGAGTTGATAGTCAATTTTCAGCGTTGTGAATATGATAGTAGATATTGGTACCTACATGGATTTATATACACAGAAGCCAGTACGTAGGTAGACTCCCTGTCTTCCTGGCCGCGTTACGCATATATTAAGTTGTTCCTCGCCAAGTCAGCACAGGATATTTGAGCATGTAATGGGTTACGAAAATTTGAGTCGCCTAGATCAAATGGCACTTTTCGTACTGACTCAATACATACCTAAGGGCATGTTGTCAGTAGATGCAGTTACCATTGATGTACAAAAGCCTTCGCACAAACAGCTGCTGTAGCTGCAGCATAAGTCTGCCATAGCTTGTTCTTATGGCTATCTGCATAGTCGCAGGCTCCCTTGATGATCACACAGGGAATGGGATCCCAGGCTCCAGCCCCTTCCATCTTGAACGCAATAACACCAGCTTCTTTGCTAATTGAATCTTGATGGACAGCAGACTTCACGACGCTATCCCCAGAGGCAAAGAGACCAATGTGGACCACTGGCCTATTTGGCTGGTTCCGCCGACGGCGTTGTACTAGGTAGCTTTGCGAGCAACCTAGGTCGTCACAGGCTGACTCCCGGGCAGTATCGCAGATACCATTGGTATCCCGCATGCAGCTTGTACATACGCTGCAGTCTTGTGGGCTTTGATGCTTGTGTTGGTAATTGGATAGGAACAGTTTATCTTCATCCTCTCCCAGGTACGATTCTAGGCCGCCAGAGTCCGCGAGGAAGCGTGTAATTTGTTCCTCAAGCCTGTTTCGATGCACTCGAGTCTCCAATTTTGCCAGCAGGGACGAGATTCGTGCGTTGGGCCGACCCAGCAAATTCTCGACGTTAATCTTCCGTTTGAAGCCATCTGGGAACTGCCTCCCGAGATCATATTGGACAACTCCTTTACTAATGAGAACATCCCCAAGAAGAATTTCCTCTCTGTTTTTCTTGACAGGAACGCCTCCACAGATGCCGACCACAAGAGCAAGTTTCACATTCTTGAAGGTCATCGCACAGCACGCAGCGACTGTTGCAGACATTGCCTTACCCATTCCTGGCGGGTGTGCAAGCACATCATTCAGGATCTGATGCCCTACATCTGCGTCTTGGAGCCTTGCCCGGAGCCAAACTCTCTTTTGAGTCAGGAAAAGATTGGATTGGTCATATGAGAAATCAACATGCTACTAGTGGTTGGACATGTACGGATGGCAGTCATGAAACCACCTTTTTCTTTGACACAGACTCTGCTTTCAAGAACCACATGCATCAGGACCATTGTGGCCAATTCCAGGATGGCGACCTAGACGATCTAGCAGCGGCTTGCCACCAGCGACTTCCCGTGAATACGTTGATAGCAGAATGCCCTTTTTGTCCTGACGGTTCGAGTCGGGAATTGGGCGCAGGAGAAACGACAAATCACGTTGCTACGCATCTCCTTGCCCTAGCACAGATCTCTATTGCAGGATATATTGATGGCAATGGAGGTCGTTCAGAAGCCACCTATTCAGAAGGAGGACCGCGCTACCATCATTATGGGGTCATAGGTGAAGCGTCGATTGCAGAGCGCTTACGTGAGGACTTTCCTGAAATGCAGGACGATGCGCTTGAGATGGGGGCAGAAAATACATATTACGAGGCATATCATGAGGGCGCATCTCAACCATTAACTAGAGATCCCGGACGCGGATGAAAATTTTGGCCATGAATCCTGGCACTACGTGTGAGAAGCACTACAACTTTCGCCTCCGCACTCTATGACACCTAGTGATGTACTCGCACAGAAACTTGTGGTAGGAGAATTAATCGGCAGCGATGTTGAGTATACCATTATATTCCGAATAAAAAACAAGCCATTCTCTAACTTTAATGCAGGGGTAGTGGGGAAGAGGAAGAAATCCAAATGGAGGAAGTGATATCAGCAGAGCAGGAATCGGACGAAGGAAGCGCCGAATCAATGGATCAAGCAGAGCCTTCTCAGGCTGTCTTTCACAGTTACCTTCGTGCATTATATCCATTCCATCCGGACAGGAATGTCTCTCCATCCACAGTTACTTTACCATTGAACCAAGGCGACGTGGTCTTGGTGCACTCTATTCATGCGAATGGCTGGGCCGACGGAACGCTACTCAATACTGGCACCCGCGGCTGGTTACCCACTAACTACTGCGAGGCATACGACGAGCTGCCAATGCGTTCTCTCTTAAATGCATTGAGTTATTTTTGGGATCTCCTCTGCTGTGGCCCGCGAGCCTCTCTAGATGACCTCGGCAACCCGGATCACTTGCGAGGATTAATTTCTGGAGTCCGATTTCTCTTAGTAGGTTGTGTCCTGGAACCATTGGACAGGCATTGAATGACAACATGTACAACAGGAGGAATCCGAATGTCTCACGCGACAATCCCCCCTCGTGAAGGCCCATGAGAGTCTCCAAAGCATCCGCAAAGCTCTACTCGCTAAGCTCCCACACTTGATCCGGACTGCTAAAAGGTTCCAGGATATTGCTAGTGGTCAAGTCACGGAGGACGAATTAGAGAGCCTATTGGATGAAATGCTTTGTGCAGCATTCCAAGTTGTTGTTCAAGGCGTTCGGTTTCTCGATGTTTGGAACAAGGACGTTGGCCTAAGCCGGATGATTGCAGAAATGGAGCAACGGTAATTAGCCCTGAACGACATTTCTCGAACACCAGGATCCGAAAGTGCTACGGCACGTGCCTAGGCGCACTAGCCAAACAGCCAAAAGACCAGATATGCTAGAACGCTATATTCTAGCATGCCTGGGACCGATATAAGTAGCGCACAACGTTGGGCCTAGGTTCGCAACGCCTAGGTCCTAACAGAAAGCTTCCACAGAACACCGTACGCTGCTGATGCTGGGCCTAGAGAAATTATTTTGGACTCTTGAACCCCAGTCAAAATTGTGTAGAGGTTTAGGACATGGTTGAAAGAAAGGTTAATAGAAATGTTTCATTTCTCATTAGATATCAGTATCACTATGTTGAGCAGAGGGGTTTCCAGGCAACACCAGGTATTGTTCGCGAGTCATTGTAACAAATGCTATCACTGAGATATGCAGAATACCGTCGGTCATACACCGTCCGTCGCTTGATACATTTACTCCGGCATCTTGAGAACATAACGACCGGCAATCTTCCCTTGATCTGTAAAACTCATGTTAGTAACTTGCGAGGTCAGAATCTCGGATCCAGTAACTTACCCATTAGCTCAAATACCCTGGGAAGCTCCTCAAGCGGAACGGTCTTGAATGGTGCTTTGATCAAGCCACGAGCATAGAAATCAACTGCCTCCGCAGCATCCTGACGGTTACCCACGTAGCTGCCCTTGATGGTAATCATCTTGACAACGGTCTCGAAAACTGGGGCCTTCACGAAGGCATTGGCAGGCATGCCGATGGCAACGATTGTACCGCGGGGACGAGCGTACTCAACTGCCTGCTGGAAGGGCTTCTCGGCGACGGCAAGCAGGATCACAGCGTGTGCACCTAGGCCATCAGGAGTGGCAGCCTTTACGTCGGAGACGAGATCCTTGGATTTGGTAAAATCGATGTATGCCTGAAGGTGTTAGCAAAATATACAAAAAGTGTGATGGGGTGAAATTTACCTCCGAGCCAAGCTTCTCGCAAACATCACGCTTCTCATCACCACCATCGATAGCAACAACGCGCAATCCCATCGCCTTGGCATATTGCTGAGCCATTGCACCGAGGCCACCACCAGCGCCAACAATCGCAATAGTCTGACCAGGACGAGCATTAGACTCCTTTAGACCCTTGTACACGGTAAGTCCGGCACAAAGAATCGGCGCAATCCCATCCAGAGGCAGATCCTTCGGCAGGATAGTAACGTGGGCAGCCTTGCCAATCGCGTACTGCTGGAATGTGCCGTCGACGGTGTAACCCGAAAGCTGAGGGGTGGCGCAAAGTGGTTCGTCCGCGGTCTTGCAGTACTCGCACGCCAGGCACGATCCGTTCAGCCACTTGATACCTGCATGGTCGCCGATCTCAACGCCCGAGGCCAGTTCGCCCTTGGCGACGACGATACCGGCACCTTCATGGCCGCCGACCAGAGGCATCTTGACAGGAAGAGGCCAGTCCCCTTTCATGGCATGAAGATCGGTGTGGCAGACGCCGGAGTATTTTATCTTCAGCAGGACTTCATCGGGGCCGGGCTTGGGGACGGGAATTTCCTTGTAGATGGGTGGGCCACCTTTCTTTTCGACGACTTGCGCCCACTGCTTCTCAGGAATTTGAGGAGCCATGGTGTTGTTGAGGTTATGATTAGGCGTCGTGATATGAGACAGTTCGTTGGGAGGTGGGAGGTGGGAGATGGAAGAAGTTGGGAAGGTGGAGAGTGGGGGAAAGTGTGGAGGAGCAGAAGATGGAATGAACCATAGGGACAATCCAAGAGGAATGTCTCAATTATCAAGGGTTCTGACAAAAAGTACAAAGACCGCGTCGCGGGTGGTGCCACATGCGGCGAGGCGATGATGATGGCAACAGACAAGCAAATCGGCTCGACGGGATTTGCCCCTTGGGCGAGGTCTCTACGAGTGATATGATGGCATCTTGACGGTCCATCTGGCCAATTTATTATCCATTCAAATCTACCGATTGACCCGGCTCCAATGGTTCCTGATCCATGGGTGAAGAACGGTAGGAAGACAGCATCTCACGATCGAAGCTGCCGTCCGCACATAAAGACCCTGTTTGTCATACGGTCGCGTAATTCCAAAGTAAACAAAGGAGACCAGCCAACAGCTTCGGCTCGAGTCATATCATGATATGCCTGTCCAGAAGGCATTAGCCTTGGATATCTCTATCATTTCACATCCCGGTCTCGTTGGGAGCCGCTTCGGCCGAAGCTAGAGATATCACCGTGCGCCTGCGACCGTGGAGAATTTCTCCCAGAATGGCAAGGTGTCGGTATCGAAATCATGGCCAGACTGTCATACGTCAGAGTCTGACTCGTCGTTGGGGAAATGCAGGGTACTATGGCCGCATAGCCCTGGCAAAACTGGAATACATCATGGAGTGATGATGGAGGACGGGGGTGGAGGACGTCACCATCGCCGGCTTCTCCGCATGGCATCGCCTAAATCCATCAAAAGCAGGAATATATCGATCAACTCTGATGAATTCAGCGGAAGTGTCCAAGGTGATTCTGGTTAATTGAATAGAAAGAATTATTCAAAGTTCAAATGTCTGGCCGATAGGTTTTCCTTCAGGCAATGCGCACCTTGGGGGAATCGCTTCTTTTCGTACAACATATGGCTGATATTTCCATACTTCGTACTTTTGTACTTTTTGTCATCACCACAATCCATTTCTCGATGAATGGCAACCAGTTGGTTTATTCTGGATAATTACAGTCCAAATTGTGTCATTTCATACGCTAATATCACACTTGATCTACTGAGTATACAGCCTTCGCTACTTTGAACGAGACAGTATGTATAAGCCAGACTCCAGCTCCAGGCAAGTGGTTATGCATAGATTCGGGAGCTGGTTTTCCCTTTTTTTTAAAAAAATTTGTTCTGGCCAGTTCCAATTTGAATAATCCAGAAAACTCTTACAGTACGTTTAATGGAAGTAATCTCAATGAAGGAGTTGTACATTGATGGATTATCACGTGATACACAAGAGGTATCCGAAGCCCCGATTGAGAGTTTGGTGCCTGACTCCTCCCCATCCTTAGGTCTTGGGGTAGCGGCTGACTGGAATCTCCTAACATGGCGACCAAGACAAAGCAATAAATGTGATAGGAGGTGGGGCTCCGGAGATATTGCTTCGTAGAAGCACCTCAGTGGCTATGATTATATCAGGTGACATGCCAGCAGGGGCTTGTCTTCAGCTGCTGCGGGGACACTCACTAGACGAATGTGTGAGATGTTCACGACACGGCTCAAATGGCGCGAATCTCAGACCTGATTCTGGATTCTAGATTAGAAACAGCCTTTCTCCCAGACTGTACAGTCGAAGTCGAAAACAGATTCCCCTTTGTGCAGACACAAATTCTCTTCTGGACCCCATCTTGGATTGCTCTAATCTGCATTAGGTTACTTTCTGAATAATCCCTGCTTAGTTGTATGGTATAGAGGGGTTTAGCTAAACGAATCATTGTAAGATACTGTAATTCTCCGTGGAATCGTGCAGAAGATTCCTCGCAAAAGTACGTCCTGGGGAGGAGGAAAGAGGATCTGGAGATGAGACCTCATTCCTCCACCACTCACGAAGCCTTCTTCCGCTCGTCTCCTGTCACCCGTTCGCTGTCACTCATATACTGTCATTAACCTAACTGTCAGTAATTCTACTGGATATCACAGAAAGCCGCGTTTGTTTTGTAAAGGACTAACCCTGGTAGGAGAGCATTCGTCCTGTGTTGCTATCCTAAAAATGTCGTTTGCTCCAAGCATTCATGGGAAACTTACACCCCCACATAGGATGGCGATCTTGCCGAGTTTGATTGAGATTAGATATGACGAGAAGTCTATGCCACATCGACTGCTTATCTCAACCTGAGGAGCTCGAACAATGGGAACAGAACTCTCAGTATGCCTCGACCAAGGATACTTTCGCAGCCCCTACGGAACTCGATCCTCTTGTAGCCCGACCGGTCGGCTGGGACTAGGTATGAGCCAGCAAGCCAGCCGCGGAGATAGAACCTCAAACAGCTTCAGCTGTCCGAGTGGGAAAACGAAAGGCATTACGATGAACATCCACCCATTTGTAATCACTACCTAATAGAGTAGCGAGTCACAGTCATCAATAAGGTTATATCAAAAGCCACAGAAGACTACGTAGTGCTGGCCTTAAACGCTTTCTAGTTGGTGATTCAGGAGCAGAAATTAGAGAAAAAGTTCTTCGAGGAAAAGCCTCAGGCGACCGTGGAGTGAGGCTGATGACACTACAACTGTTGTGTCTGTATACGATCGTTTTTAACGTGACCTGACAAAGCGTTTTGATAAAATCGATATTTTTTGGACTGCCATGGGAAAAAACTCCAGATGTGGTCGCGGTTGTTCTGATGAATTGATCCTGTGGCCAATCTCTCTGTATTTATTATCCCCTGGCGGAGCACTCGTTGCCAGTTGATCTTGCTGAGTGGGCAAATCGCCCTGCGTTGGCGAGACTACCTGATCACTTTCAACTGCATTAGCTGATTGGGTCTCACTCGCTTGTGGATTACGTTATGATCTTCTCGATCACTTGTTCGCTTGCACTTTGTAGATTGAAGTCCTCTGTGGGAGTACGGTGCACGCGGACGCTAAACCGTGGCTTAAGTAGTTCGTGATGTTTTCTGACTCGTTAAGCTACTCGATGTTACGGACCGCTTCAGCTGACTCTGGATTCTTGATTTGGATCAAATATCCTGTCTTGGTAGTCCCAGCTTGACAGCGCAGTGGGGATGTAGGTGTTCGAAGCCTCCGTTTGAAGGTATGGGCCAAAGGGGTTCTCGTCGCTATCGTTATTGTCCCTCGGGTCGACCAAGGATCTCTGAATTCTGATTCGGATGCAGGTTTGATCCTTGTCGGTGGGTAGGTGGTTCAGTTGAAGGTGTTGTTGGCTACCACTCGCCGCCACCGCAGGCCAAGATCTGGCCTAGGGCGTCGATGGTAGCGCCTTGACCTGCGCTCTCGGGGCTCGAACTTCCCCGTGCAGTTTCTCGTTCTGTTTTTGATGACAGTTTCATCGTCTGACTTCCTGTAGCTCCGCTTTGGTTGACTAGATGTGGGTGGTTTCGGTGGGGTATGATTTCCTTCAGGTTGTCGATAAGTTGCCAGGCCTCCTTGGTCGTGACACGTCCGTTGTTGTCTCTAGGGTTGACAGCGCTACCATAATCATCTCCATCATGAATCTGTCTTCTCGTGCGAGGTGCAGTTGACAGTCCCTAGTCCTCCAGTGCAAGGATCGCTACCGATCCTCGCCTGTTTGGGGGAGGTAGTTCGGAAGTCCTTACAGGTGGGACCGCCATCGATCCACGGTTAGCTTCCGCTATGGCGATGTAGAGTCAATATCAACGCCACACTCCGAGTAACTAGTATAATGAGATACCCTCAGAGTACAGTTCTTGCGGGTTCGATAAGTTTGCGTTGGTACCGTCTTGGTAAGCACTATAAGCAAAAGCTGATACGGTGACCCAGAAACTATATAAATCATGTACCTCGCTCAAACAACGGTACAGTGCAGAGCTTCGCGTGTTCGAGGTTGGTGTGCATGCCTACACTGTATTGGCACTCTTATTGGACGCGCTTACTGTTGGTCCAGAATGGAAGATTTGTTCAACATAAGATGAAACTTTGGTACTGTACCAGGACTAGCTTTGGCGAGAATAAATATAATGAGCCTAGAATATTGTCTGCCCACCATTTGCACCTCCATTTCTTAAAGGGCTTTTAAGCGCATAATTAGACATCAATCACGTAATCCAGAGTTCACAGTACTCAGAATTCTCTGTAAGAGGATCCCATGACGTGTCAGGTGGTTTTGTTTTGGGGTCATACTTCAGTATCTTTGGCTGGCCAGGTGGTGTTAATGCGCCTGTGGCCAGCTTTCCAAAGCAATGTAGCGCAAATCCAGTTGTAGTGATTGCAACCTCGCTCCCAGGTGCAAAAGTGGCCAACACCCGGTTAGATACTTTGAGTGCTCCACCTGGCTCACTCTCCTTGTTTCTTGGTGCCGAACCGTTGTGTGCCAATACCAGAAATTCACCGCTGAGCCAATTTTGCCAGCATTCATTTTTTTTAATGGTCGCTTGGACTGTGTTTTTGTAAGGAATATCGGGGGTGCATGTTGCGGCGTCCCATACTAGCGGCATTGCTGCCCCATTTTTCTTCATTGGAAACGCCCACACTGAGCACGATTTGCTGAGATGTTGATACCATTGAAGCATCCTGTCGTTCCGCACGTTGTTGACGAGTAAGTACGTCATAATAGAATTCCGTATTGCTCCATCACCACGTTGATAATTTTCAATCGGAACGATCCTGTGAAAGTCTCTCGTGTCTTCAATCACCGCCCTGTCGCTGTTTTTGAACGATTCTACCATCACGTCTCCATATTCTCTGAGGAACTCGCGAACCGCCACATCACGGGCACTATTTCCTGATAGTGCACAGCGTAGAACCTCTTGTCCAAGTCCATTATCGATTGCGCATTTACCAATTCTCGATTCCGTGTCCATATCAATGAAATCCGTGAAATGGCGCTATTTGACGAGATAGTTCATAATGTCAGACAACCTGACCAGCGACACGGATTCATTCTGAGGATCCAGTAGAATAAGCGGTGTATATCTGAGTGTGTTCCAAGTCACAGTTTCAAGGGAAACAGCACGCCTCGTATCTCGGGCTACTTGCATCGATGTTGTCATGGTAAATAATGGGGAGAACCCGACCCGTGTTTCGATTTCGTTTCGTCCGCCCCACAGTGGACACATAATTCTAATGTGGGATCGTACATATATCTCCGCCACCTGTTTCTCTCAAGGGTGACCCTTGTCGTGTTGTGCGCCTTACCTTCACGAAGTTAGGGGTTGTTGTCTGTACGCGGTGGTATATGAGCGTTGCTCTGAAGTTACGTGTAGCAAGTAAGAGTATTATCAATATAACGGAAAGCTACTCTTAAGTACCTCGACAATTTCCTAAAGGAAGGTTGTATTTGTGTCATATGCTGTTGTGATTTAGTGACATTGGTCGGGTCTAGGCTGGCCTTGTGCTGCAAACGGATTTGGAATGAAAGTCATGTGCGTGGAGAATTGAACGGACCGATCAATGTAAGGATTGAAGGAACCACAGTTACAATGATGACGCATATTCATGTCCAGATTTCTTTTTGACCAGTTTGCTGGCTTGGGAAATGTGACTAAAGTATTGAGAACCTCCTCTCGTCTATAACCACAATCCCCTTGAATACCTGAGTAGTGTCTAAATTTGCTGGAAGCCGTTACGATTTGGGTCAGATGTAATAATAAAGTGACTCAACGTGTCTGAAAACTGTCTTGACAGACTTCAAGAATGAGATACAAATACTAATGTTCGACTACTGTACAAATGGTGAGAAATCGGTTTCACCACTCTACTCACTTGAATCCTTCCCCAACGCAGATTTCGAGTCATACGTCCGCACTATCCGGTCGATTGCAACCTATTGGCCGTTGACCATGGTAATAAGCGTACTGTAATTTTTGAAACCGACCGATCCACTTGCGGAAATGCCAGTGATTGAATTTCTTATTGATGTTCGCATGTGATCACCGCACGGGAAACTCTAAAATTTATTCAACCAGAATCTTGCTCTCGAGGTATCCACCCTATGTCCTCAGAGAAGTAGACCTGGCTCGTCTGGTCTGGTCTAGGTCTATCTGAAGCTTTTGAGCAGAACCAATGCTAATTGACAATTCAACTAATCTATTTAGTCAAGTCTACGTAATTCTATCCACAATCAATGTACCGCATTTCTTAATGCAGTGTTGTCTGACTTCTTACAGTACTGAAACGACTTGTGTGAGTATAAATACGGCCATCATCTTCCGAGATTTTTTATTTTCATAGCTAACCTTATTGACACAAGATAATCATATTGAATAGGCAAGAAATTATCTACCTGTTCGCTCAAAGAAGCCCTAAAGGCAACTATACGGAGTTGTCCAACGCAGTCTAAAACAAAATGGGAATGCCATTTCAACGAAAAAATCCCAAAATGGTGCATCTGACAGGGGGTACCCTTGGATTTAATGCTGGGTTCGCACCGTTTTTCACAGTGACGACATCGACACAATTCGCTGTAGATGAAAGGGCGCCGGCATCGATCAAAACAGTGACTTGGAACACACTACAATATACACCACTTATCCTGTTGGATCCAGAGAATCAGTCTGTTGCTTTGGTCAATCTCGCTGGTATAACAACGTTTCTTGTTGGGCAACGCGAATTTACCGATTTCATCAATCTGGACACACATACACGTGTGGGAAGATGTGCGATAGAACAGGGATTTGGGAAAGAGCTCTTGCGCTGTGCATTGGCAGACAGCAATGCAAAGCCAGAACTAGCGCACGAGTTTGTTTCAAGCTACGGAGATAGAATGTTACCAGCTTTCAGAGCTAGTAACCGGACAGTGGTGGACAACACAACAGGTAATACAAGAGCACCAATCCATTCAAATGGCGCAGAATGGACCGATGAAGAAATACTGGATATTATTCGCGAATATTTGCTCCAGAACTCTGTCCGGAATGACAGAATGCTTGAGTGGTATCAACATCTTACCACCTCTGGTACAGTGTGGAGCTTTCCGATGAAAAAGGCAGGGGGAAAATTACCACCTGTATGGGACGCATCAACATGTACTCCAGACATTCCTTGGAAAAAGGCCTTACAGGCGGAAATTACGGGGGATAATGTATGTTGGCAACGTTGGCTTGAAGGTGAATATCTGGTAATGTCTCTCGGCGGCTGGGCAAGGCGAGACCCAGATATAGAACCGATTGGGGCCCTTAAAGTTTCTAATCATATGCTAGCTATTATGGCACCAGGGTGCACGACGGCGCTGACTGGGCGCGGGCTTGAGTTGAGGTGTTTTGGGAAAGTGGCAAGAGGCGCAAATCCTGGGCCAGATCAGCCCAAGATATTACATTATGACCACCGCTCCTCTGAAAGTGGCGGCCAGGGAGGGAGTCTTATCACGACGCAGTCCCAATACTGTGAGTACTGGGTTGGTGCAGCTAGCTTTGTTTAGTTTGCGTTTTGAGACTCCTTGCGTCCTATTGGTGGATAGTGACCAAGTCCAAATCCTTTTCACAGTCGCAGAGGTCTGCTAAATTTGCTTTATTATCATTGTTAGAATACGATCCAAAATTATGATCAAATCTTTGGTCAGGTCGCGATTATTCACCGACACAATGATCGAAGTGTCGTCCGACATTAACCTTTCTTTGCCGGGCCGTTTCTTCTACCAATTTCTCCAACTTACCCTTGAGTGTCATCTGCCAGTAACCACTTGAAATTAGGGCTACGTCCGCTTCTGTGTCCTGTGAGGACTTTTCACTCACCATGACTTGCCATCCTATTGTATACTGGATACTGCTTGCTGGAACCTCGTTGCTTCTCATTCCGTCATGCCCATGTAGAAAATGCAGTTGCTGATGTGTCAGGTCTTCCTGATCCATTCTCGAAGTGATAGTCGGAGCAAGGGCTGAGCCCGAAGCTTGACGCAGGTATGAAGCCGTCGTTTCCTGGAGCGGGAGCATATCGCAAATCTTAATCTCTAGGGTCGAGGTTACGCGACTGGAAACCAGGATCATAAGATACGAATTAGCAGTCACCATCCTTGTTTAAAGGCTCTAGCAGATCCAAGGTCAGCATGATCACGACCACCCCGAACCACGCGGCATCCGTAGAGCCGTGGAAGACGCGCAGAGGACAATCCCGTCTTGGGCATATGCAGGCAATATCTGATATCTTCCGTCGCGATGGAACCGTAACACTTGCACAGGGGCCACACCAAGTGGTGACCAGTCGGTTCATATGAATCCGATCCCTTTATTGCACCCAGATTCATCAACGTGACCAAGGTGATATGAATGAAAGCTGGATAAGTTATGGAGGTAGATCTCTTGTAAGGGGCGTTTGCTCTTTGGCCCTCTGTCAAGCTGTTTTCTTGGACCAGCCTCTGGAAGTGAGGGCCTTTCTAAATTGCAAGTGTCTCGAATATGTTCGTTCATAAAAAGACAACGATCTCAGCGAGGTAGAGATCAGGCTTTTCAAATAGATGGTGACAGAGTGCTTCTATCATCGGCGGTGTTATCCTTCGGCTCCGACCAGTACGATTCGGCGTTCGGGGGGATAAATGTACCCAAACATCCGGACGTTCTTAATTGTGTGGTTGGCTCTGTATCATGTCACGAATTACATGCAGCTTTGAAAAGGGGAGTCTCGGTGCCATATTGTGGAGATCCTTCTTTAGATACAGTATTTGAAAGGGTTGGAGAGTGTGCCCTGAGACAAAGCTCCAAGCCTTCGCACGAATGGACAAGTGGGCCGCACGTGCGTACCATGTTTCCTGTCAAATACGGTACTTTACGTACCGATCCCGTCATGCAATAATAGTCTCTATTCTTAGATATGGGAGATCTAGCGCTAAGCCAAATATCGACTAGGGCGCTTTAGGATACCATCCAGGAAACAATTCATGTGTGCACAAAGGGGAATCTGTTTTCGACTCCGACTGTACAGTTCACACCTTCCAAGAGTCAGACCCAAAGTCCAGGCAGCGCATAGTGACCCCATCGGAACGCTGGCACCGGCAAAAGAAGATCGGAGGTGGGGGATTTGGCACAGTCTGGCTAGAGACATGTACGCATCCCAGTGGCACAACACAAAGTGCTACAGTTCGCGCAGTCAAGCAGATTGGTTTCGACTCTCGATTTGGCAAGATTGATTATAATCGGGAGCTAGAGACTATTGCCAAGTTCTCGCATTCTCGTGTCGGTATCTATAGAGGATTATTGTCACAAGAAGGCATGCACATATTACTAATTAATTGAACTAGTATGAACGATGTTTTGTCAAATCATTCGGGTAGTACGAGGGACCTAGCCAGCTCTTCATAGCAATAGAATACCTCGAAATTAGCGACCTTTTCACGTACCTTTATCAGAACCCGCCACTCCCAGAAAGCGAAGCGAAGGATATTGCGTACCAAATCCTCGACGGGCTAAGTATGATGCATCAAAATGGATTTGCTCACCGAGACTTGAAACCTAATGTAAGTCTAAGCTTCCTAAGCCGAGGGTGTGCACTCTTCCCTCATAGAGATGAGAAGCATCTCTAAGACTGTATACCTATAGAACATCCTTATCAAATCACACCCTCCCCACGAGTGGTGGATAAAACTCGCAGACTTTGGTATCACCAAACGCATTGAGGAAGGCCACGGTCAATCGACAACGATAAAGGGCACACCAAGATACTTTGCCCCTGAAATCTGGGGATTTGTCCCGCGAGGCAGTGCGTATGCCACCGATATTTGGGCCCTCGGAGAAATCGTCTTTGAAATACTTACCGAGAGACCTGCATTCGGCAATCTTGCGCCACTCGCAGGCTACAAGGCTCAAGAACAATTCCCAACCAACATACTCGCCGGTGCAAATGTCTGCCAGTCAGGCATTGATTTTGTGATTTCGCTTATGCATCCTGATCCTGAACATCGAGTAACGACTACAATGGGCATGTCAAATGTGTGGATACAATCGCTTGTATCTGTTTGTTCTTCGGGGTCCACAATACCTAGTGATGGCGAGCCGCATTACCCCTCTATTGACTCCTTGACTGAAGAATTCGCGTCATGGAACACACGACCTCCCCCAGATACGCAGGACTCTATGACACTCCCCATTCGGCCGGACCATATACTGCAAGAGTTATCCAAGAACCGGTCACTGTGGCAGAGCAAGAACGGAAGACGTCTTCTCTAGAGAATACCACACTGACCGCAGTTCATGACCAAGCCGAGACTGTGGAGCTCAGTGCTACAGAGCTCAGCGATAAATTCAAAAATTTTGTCTCTCTCCTTCAAAGCGGTCAGCTTGAGGAAGCAGAGGCTCGGCTTTGTTGGCTCTGTCAGGCACAAGAGAAAGTGCTACCCCAAGATCATACCGAGAGAGTTAGGGCTATCTTTATTCTCGGCAAGTGTGTCTGCTTACGTGGACGCTGCAAAGAGGCCGAGATTATACTTAACCGAGCTCTGCAGGACCACAAGAAAGTTCTCGGCCTTGATGATCATGACACGCTTTCCTGTGGACACTGGCTTGCTCTATCCATCTATCATCAAGGCCGATTCGAAGAGGCCGAAACTGCGTACCGCCGATCTCTTGAGGGACTAGAGGCAATGCTATAGACCAATCATCGATTAATACTTAAGATCGTGTTCTTGCTTGGGCGCTCGGTTTATCGTCAGGATCGCTTCAGAGAGGCAGAAGCCTTGTTTCAGCGTGCCGCCGAGGGACTAGAGAAGATTCTGGGACATGATCATAATGATACACAGCTATCGAGGAAGTTTGCCGAGGAAGCCCATAAAAGGGTTCTTGCTGAAGTTTCACCCAAGGAATCCTAAGCTAGTTTCGTATCTGGGACGAATGATATGCGATTTATTTCGCCTTCTTAGAATTAACTTAGTATTATATAATAGGTTGAGGTGGGAGTCGCATGAGGTGTTATCATTTACTTCCAGTTGAAATCAGCAACTGATCCTGCCCGGTTGTCTAGTGGGTTAACCCCTAGGCGCCCGTAGCCACTTCGGTGGGTTCGGCGGTCGTAACTGCGAGGAAGCTTCTGTGGAGCAGGTGCGGCCCCCGGCGGGTGAGGTTTTTTGATATCTAACTACCCTATAGTATTTCTCCTTTTTAAAGTCTTTTTTCTTATACTTTATATATATCATTTTAATCACTAACCTCTATAGAATTAATGGTCTTTATTTAAAAGGTTAAAAAGGTAGTTTGGCGGTTATATTACGTTTTATTAATTAGGTACGGTATGGATGTGAAGTCGTGGGCTGTATATGAAGCATCATGATGAAGTATATAGGGAGCGGGAGGTCTCGGGTTCGATTCATGGCGAGGGCGACGTTTTTCAAGATTGGAATTTTTAAAGTAGCTAGCCCAAGATCCTCCGACGGGGTCTTTCAGTCTGATGCTAGCTGGTTGATTGGTGACGTCTATAATCTTGTAATGGAGCTATTTAACAGGACAGGGGCCTGTCAAGGAGGTAAGAAGAAGAAGATTTAGAGGAAGGATATTCCATTCAATCATGTAATAAGAAAAGAGATTGTAACAAAACTGATTCTTAGGGGACTTGGCCAATTCACTCTTCAGAAGTTATTTAACAAGAAGGACTGTGTGGTCCCGGAGGTTAGTTCCTCTGGCTTCCGGCCGAGACCGGTACGTGGATGCCAAAAGCATTGTCTTCCCCCTGGCCATAAAGCACAGGCAACACGCTGCTGCCCGCGCCGGGCATAGCGAGCGGTAATGCGTGCTGAAGCTATTAAGGCTAAAACGTGGAACCCTGACACTGAGCCTTTCCCCCCACCACCCTCGTGCAAAAATGTAAAGTAGTCTTGCCAGGGATGCGGATGGTGATAAATCAGCCTGTAGACAAGCCTTTGAGAGCTTAACATAGAGGTTTCTCTATCCGACTCTGCCAGGGGGTTACCGTCTGTTACATCGCCCTGATCAGGAATACTAATATAAAAGACTATAAAACAGCTCTCTATGCAGAACTCTTCGAGAGTTGATGAATGCTGAAGAACAAATACTAGTACATAACTATAAATATATCGTTATTAATTTAGCCTAACTACCTATAGTTAGTTAAGGGTCACTTCAGCTGGTTGATCACTTCAGCTAAGTACTTATGCTGACCGTTGACTAGGCCCGAGATAGCATGTGGAGATAAACGCGCCCCCACCCCACTAGCGTCGGAATGAGGCAGTTTGTGATCTGCATGTGTAAACTAATCTTATTTTATCACGCTTTAATCTACTCGTATACCGAGTCACAATGAGGGATATCGATGCTGACATATATCAGTTGTAAGCTGATGCCGATCTGAATTTATTAGGTCTCAGTGTATGTAAGCACCGGTGTTTCAGATGCTGTACCCATCACTAGACATGCAATTCAGAGAGAAGATATTTCTTCAAGCGTACTTAGAGTCGAAATAACTTCTCCACTCGCCCTAGATGATTTGTAAATAGCTTTCAGGAGTAAAGGGAAATTAGTAGGGCTGATGTTGATCCCCACTGTATCTATAAAAGCTGGAGGGGAGCCCTTCTACCGGGGAAAACCACGCGCCTGTGTTTGAAAGATGAGGCTACTGGCAAGTTCGGCCTTCTCTTTGTTGGTCACTGCCGCTCTGGCGGTGACACCAACATCAACTCCAGGAGGCATTTCGGCCAAGCCAACACCCACCTATGGATCTAGCGCATATCATGCAAGTACTGGGCTTACCAGCACTAAGGCTATGTCCATCTCTAGTTCGACTAGCACGCAGACGTCCATCTCCAGCACAACTAGCACGACGCATCTATCTACCTTGACAACAATTTTAGCTACGACACAGTACTCTGTCCAGCCTATTGACGTGACCAACACTGCCACAAGCGCCTTCTTGACGACAACAACAGCGACTGACGGCAGTGTCGTACCCTTTATCTTTGTTCCTGGGGCTGCACTTGGCGCTGAAGCGGCTGGTGTTTTGGGAGCGGTGGGAGGAACTATAGGCGAAGGTGTGGGAATATTTGGCGGTTTGTTCACCCTGTGAGAACTCTAGCTCATCTGATGCTAACGATACGCCTCAAGGGTTTCTTACGGATCTCGGGCTGGGAGGCCTGGTTGAGGCCTTCCACTTTCCTTCGCTTGCTGGAATAGTTCTAGGTCACGCTGTCGAGTACAAAGCAAGCCCGACTGCGACAGATGACTCTCAAACAAGCAGAACTACCAAGAGCACGTCTACTACAACATCAAGCACTTCGACCAGCACCAGCGCCGTGCCAACTGCATCGGCAACACCATGGATCATCCAATCGAAACCCGGCACGTCAAAATTACTATTCACAACCCTTCTGAAGGAGAAAATAGAGAATTACGACTCGGGCACATTCATATCCTTCCCGAGTTTTGACCTTTTCGTTGTTTCTTTGAATTCCACCACCGCACAGTCGCTAAGTGAGGAGAGCCTGGTGAAATCTGTTGAAGAGAACAGTGTCAACGAGTCCAGTGACTTTGAAAAAGCTTCACCCTACAATGGAAATGCAAAGAGGGAGGTGCTTGAGGCAAGAAACCAGGAAATGGAAAGGCGGGCTGAACCAGTGACCGTGACATCCCCTGGTTTCGTCCCTACTACCGTGCCTCAGGCTGCCCACTTGGAAAGCCAGGTTGACTCACCGGCTCACCTGAAGATGTTATCCGATCCCAGCAAAGGCAAAGATGCCCCTGATTACACTTTTCAATCGTCTCTTGGAAAGGGTATATATGTCTACGTTTTGGACACGGGTGTCCGCGGGTCACACGATGTGAGTTTGAAGATCGATGCAGCATGCGTTGTGTTATGATTTACTGATAGTTAATATCCAGGATTTTAAACGAACTTCTGTTGAGAATGTGGCAACTGGCTTCGATCCAAAAGACCAAGAAGGCCATGGAACTCGGATGGCTGACCTTGTCGGTGGTGCCTGGGCTGGTGTCGCTAAAAACGCCAAAGTTGTTAATGTCAGGTTTGGTGCCTCAACGATAGGAGATCCAGATGATTTGAGGTCAAGAATATACCAGGCCTGGGCTAGGGTACTGGCTGATGTCGAGAAGAATAAAAGGCAAGGCAAGGCTGTTATTAGTCTTTCTAGCAGTAAGACCTACGATGTGACCTTGGATTGAGAGAACTACGACTGACAAAATAACAGGCTGGGACTCCTATGTGATGTATTCCAAGGGTGTCTTCTTGTCAAAACAGGACGAGGATGAACGTCTCAAGCACACCATTTTCAACGACTTACTTGCCGATAGTTTCGAACTTGGAATTACAGTTCTTGTCGCAGCGGGAAATCTAGGCAAGTCCAGGGTGGATGTCAGCGAACGAGTACCTGCTGGACTAGCTCAGCAAGGGTATTACCCCGATCTGATCGTGGTTGGATCTGTCAACTCCAACGGAGATATCAGTCCCTTCACCAACAAAGATAAGGAGGGGGCGATCACCATATATACCAATGGTGAGGATATTATCGCTGCCGACTTCAAATCGGACAGTGGCTGGACTATCGCAAGTGGCACCTCAGAGGCTACAGCCCAGGTTGCAGGTTTAGTGGCATACTTCCTCGGGAGACCCGACTTGGAAGCCAACCTGCAACAAGGTGGCTATGGCAAGGTTGCGCAAAATGTGAAGAGCTATTTGATCTCCCAAGGCCAGCGTTATACTAGCGGTGGGCCGTTGATTGCGAACAACGGAGAGCTCGTCGCCATCCAGGACGAGCTCAAGGATTCATCGTGCGAGTTCGAAGAGGGTGCATCCCAAAACGCACGTCGCGTCAAGAGAGATGGAGGCTTCACGTTATCCACGGTTGCATTTACAAAGGAATATGACATAGTAAGAGACACGAGAAAACCTTTGGAGGAAAGACTAACCGTAAGAACCAGGTTTGCACAAGTTCGACTACCTCCGGATCCTCCGTCCAGACGGCATCAGTCACCTCTGATACTCACTCGTTATCAACCGAGACCAGACAAACTGAAGCGAGCAAGACTTCAACGACATCTGGAGATTCAACCAAGTCTACTCATTCAACCGATGTGAGCAAGACTTCAACGACATCTGGAGATTCAACTAAGTCTACTCATTCCACCGAGTCCGGAACAACCGATGTGAGCAAGACTTCAACGACATCTGGAGATTCAACTAAGTCTACTCATTCCACCGAGTCCGGAACAACCGATGTGAGCAAGACTTCAACCACACAGAAGATCACGACCTTCGTGACTACGACATCTGGAACCTCAACCAAGTCTACCCATTCAACAACATCCAGTCACTCCGAGACTTCCACCTCTTCCTCAACCAAGTCTACTCATTCAACCACATCCAGTCGCTCCGAGACCTCCACCTCTTCCTCAACGAAATCATCCGCATCTTACGAACCCACCTCAAATACACATGGTACCAATGTTGTAAGTAGTCTTCCACTTTCACTATGCCACTTGAGATTAATTTCTTCTCAGAATGTGAATCGTGGATGTATTTCAGTCAACGACAGTCCACGTTGCGCGGGTGGCGCAGCCTACAGTAAGTATTTACCATTCATTTTCAGTCTCCATTAATTGCTTATCAATTCCATAGATGTCGCATATGAAGATACCTACAACTCCTCCGCGACTATCTACGCCCAGTTCGATGGATCGGACTCAAAGGACGAATATGTTCGGCCTGGCTGTGAATTACGAGCAAAATGGCCCAGCTCGTATGGCGACGTATATTTCGGAAGCGACAACTGCCTATACGACTCGGGCAGTAGCAAAATCTTTGATCAATGCTGCACAGCAAAGGCTACCACTACAATTCGCAACCCTTACTACCAAACTGCGTCTACGACTACTACTTCTACGACTACCACTAGCACCTCAGAACCCGCACCAACCGTGAATCCTAATCCAGCTGGAACCAATTTGGTATGTTTGCCGGGCCATAATAGTTATCCGGGACCAGACGCGCTAACGGACAAATTCACAGCACATAAACGATGGCGCTGGATGTGTCCTTGTCAACGATTCTCCACGATGCGCCGGAAACGTAGGGACTATCACCAACGTCTACTCAGGTGTCTACAGTACGTTCCTTGGGGGAATTCTATCAATTGCCAGCCATTTCCACTAACGATTACTAGATATCGCAGCCGATCCGACTAAGTCTACCAGTAGCGCGGTGATTCTCGCTGGATTCAACTCGAAGGACTACACGGATAAGCAGCAGAAAGCTGGCTGTCAACTCAATGCCGTTTGGCCAAGCGGTTATGGTGACATCTACTTTGGTGCGGACGGGTGTTTGTACGATGGCGGGGGCAGCAGCATTTCTAACCAGTGTTGTTCTGGTGATGCATTGACTAGCCAGGACCCTGTAACAAACCCCTACCATGATCCCCGAACTGTGGTCGTACCTTACGGAACGGAGTCGGGTTGAGAAGCGGGTGGCGAGAAAGGATGGTTAGGTGGTGGCTTTGGGGTAAATTGATTGATTGTATCTTTCTCAGAAGCAATATATGAGGCAACATATACAACCAAAAGATAGATTCCGAGAAAATTCCCAGGAGCAGTAGGATAAAAGATAATACAGTAGTGATCTATGGGATAATATCCACACTTCATAATTGGTCCTCGATACGTCGCCAGCAGATTGATCTCAACGTCTTCTACATCCTTGGGAGACTTTAATCGAGCCACAAGGTCTTCGGAAATTTCAGCATGTATAGAACCTGCCCCGACAAAAAGCCATTGAAATCCTCAAAGTCCCCCAGAATCTCGCCTTTGTTCCCTTTGATGAAATCTTCCAGATCCTGCATAAAAGAATGGTTAGTTCATTATGTAAGTCTGCTGAATTAGAAGGACGTGCCATGAAATATACCTAGCGAAGTCGGGCCCGTCACGGTCTGACACTCGGTGGCAGACTGGCCCACTACGTCATCGCCGCTCCAGTAACCCGGAATGAAAAATGAGCTTAGCAGCTTATTTGTGTGTCCTGGACGCACTAGTCGTCGCGGGAATATAGGATTAACCATCTTCTACGTTATTTTATGAATGTGCAGGTGTCATGTTGCTATCCGTAAGGTAGTCGATGTCTAGGTATTGCGCAGAATGGAGTGCTATATATAGGGACACTGGTGGAAGTATAGAGATGTAGTAACCGAAACGATGATTCCCTGGAAGAGAATCAGTAGGATGCTTGCAGAAGAAGAGGATTCGAGGGACTAATTAATGTACCAGTTTCTTGGAATAATGCATTGACCGAGTGGCTTTGAGGGGACTCGTCTCAGCCCCAAAATCGTGTCCAGTCAAAAGGAGCGCATGGATCGGGCTTGGCGGCCCGCAATCACTGGTCATGGAGACTGACACGAATGACCAGGTCGCGAGATAGGAGCTCGTAGAAGTAAATAGTGCTTATTATTGTAGGAGATACTTATAGCCTAGGTCAAGTTTGACAATAAGGAGCTGAGATGACCAAGATATGATCTATCGTGTGTACAAGCATCAAAATGGTAGAAATCGGGTCCTTTCGCGGTGGAATCCCACGGGATCGGCCGCGATGAAATCTCTCGGATGGACAGGAAGTTGGACCAGAAGTAGAGAATAGGGAAGAATGGTAGAGTATAGACCAGGAAGATAGTACTATAGTACCTATTTACACAATACTATACCGTATAATTCATACTATTCCTCTAAATCTATACCCGATCACGTCAACCCCCCAACTCTCCTCCACGCCCGTTTGTATGGGGATGCGCCTTGCACGGCGGCACCCAACCCAGCTGGCCTCCATCGCGACATCGGAGGCTTCGCATAGGATTAAAAGATGATTTAAATACAATAAAACTAGATATAGCTTCTCTCTCATAGTTATACTCTCCAATCCACCAGATCCGAAGACCATCCCGAGGTCGATGGATGAAGCATAAACGCTGGGAGATCGGAACTAAAGAGAGTTGACTATTCACGGCCTCCAAGGGAACCAAATCCTAAATGGAATTGCCCCCCTTTACCCTTTGAACTCGTCACCTTCAACCTCGTTTCCCCTTCCCGTCCAATCATCCACCTCTTTCATTCTCCTCCTCCTCCCCATCAACTCCTCTCTTTCCCACTTCCCCCATCCTATCCACCGTAACTCCCGACATCATCGTCGGTCCGGGTCACCTCCCCTGCATCCTCTCTCTCTCTCTCTCGCCTAGCCCCCCCAGCCCGCGCATTCTCTGCTTGGGTCGCCGCGGCCACAACGATCCTTCCTCCTGCATCTTCCCACCACCAAACGAATTCATCATCCCAGGGTATCATCGATCTCCCCCCTCCCTCTTTTTTCCATCTTCCTCCTCAGCCTTCCCTCTGCGACTTCCTTCCATCCTACCGCCAAAACCTCCCAGCTGACGTCGCGTCCGTGCCAGATCTCCAAAGAACCACACCCCCCTTGACAACCTATCTCATGGGCAATACCCTCGGTGTCTGACTCTCTCCTCGCCCAATTCATCCCCCTCCATCTCTCCCTTTCATCCATTATTCCTAGCTGCGCTTGCTCAGCGCCGGGGACGCGGCCATCATGACGGGCGCTCCGCCATACAACGCCCAGTCCCCGACTCAGCAGCACCGGTTCGCTGCCTACGAGTCCCCGACCAAGAACCGCCCTTTCTTTCCCAACAATGATCAGCCCCAGGGACAACCGCAGCAGCAACAACAGCAATTCTCCCAACACCCTCCCCAAACACCCCCGGCTTTCGGTCCATCCTCCGTTTCGCGGAGCCCGCGCTTTTCGCACGCGTCTTCGCCGTTGCCATCCACCCTGCCACCGCCCTTGAATGGGACCGCACCGCCTCCACATTCATCTCATACGGAGGGTTCATCCCAGTATCCCGGTCCTTCGGGAAGTGCGAATCCAGGGCTGCCGCTTCCGCGTCCCTTCTCAAGCTCTGTGATGTCGGGTAACGGTACTTCACCTTACGGCCCTTCAACGCCGCATGGGCATCCTCCGAGCCGGCCAGATAGCCATTCGCAGTCTCCCACTCGCGAATCGGAATCTCCATACCGGGTGAGAGGCAATGGCGTCGGATACGGTCCTTCAGCGCCAAAGGCAGCATCGCCGCCCCGGGAATCGGTATGTCTTTGGTCCATCAAGCTTGGTTGCAAATCAACAACCGATACACCTACTAACCATCTTTATCCAATAATAGAAGCCCACCCGCGCAGCCGATCCCATGTCCTTCGCGAGCATCCTCTCCGGACCCACGGAAGAACAGCCTGCCAGGAAATCGACTCCTCCGCCCGCCGCTGCCACGCCTACCCCCCAGATCCAAACAAAGTCTGAGAGCCGTCCAACCGAGACCGGCCCAGTTCCGGGCACCTTCTACCATAAATCGGACAAAGCACTGAGCACGGAAAAGCCTCAGGCGCAGCCGCCAAAGGGAATCTTTACTCCCAATGGAGTGTCCAAGCCAGCTCCAGAGTCGGTGGGCCTTGTGGCACGCGCGCCACAAAGGAAACCCTTCCCGCCTGGTGTCGATGCGGAGCAAGTGAACCGTGCCATGCTCGACATTGACAACGGCGAGAAGAGTGACGTTGAGGGACCTGACTTTGAGGAAGATCTCCAAGTCTACATTGAAAAGGGTAGGAAGCGATTGATGGAAAGCTATCGGGCGGAGCAAATCTCTCGCAAGGTAAATACCACGTTTTGTCTCTACTCGCAGTTATGCAAAAAATACTAACTCTGAAATAGCGTCGTCGCAATTACACTCTAAACGAACTGGCTCGATCATTTGAGAAGCACGCTATTCTAGGTACAGAACGGTTCCGGGTCAGTAACGAAAGTTCCGTCATCGCCGAAGTCCAGCAGAAAGAGATCCAAGATGAGAAGGAGCGAAAGAAGGACATGCAACGGAAACGTCGCCGCGAGAACACTGTGCGCTTGGAGATGCAGAAGAAGCTGGAGGCTGAACGCAAGGCCGACAAGGCCCAGGATTCCGCGGAGAAGGCCAAGTTCCTGCGCGAGGCTGAACGCGCTCAGAAGAAGATTCGGTCCACTAAGCGTGCTCTCGAGGGCGGGAGTGCCCAAGACGAGCTTGGCGAGGTCACTCCGCTGGCTCCTAACCTCGAGGGTGGCACCACAAGCTCATTCCACATCGGTCGCGGTTCACCCTCGCGTCGCCGCTCTGGACGTGCTGGTCCCATCACTCGACCCAAGAAGTCCAAGGAGCAGAAGCAGGCCGAAAAGGATGCTGCCGAGAACGCCTACTTGGCTGGCCTCGATGACGAATCCATCTACCTCACTCCCCGTGATACGAAGAAAGACGGCAGATCCAAGGAGGGTACTCCCATCCTTCATCTGCACTACGACAGTAAGGGTTACAATCAGATTTACGAGCAAATTTGGCGTGACATTGCCCGCAAGGACATTCCCAAGGTCTACCGCATCAAGACCACGTCTCTTTCTACCCGTCAAGAAAACTTGCGCAAGACAGCCCAGTTGGCGAGCAAGCAGTCGCGGAAATGGCAAGAACGGACGAACAAGAGCACCAAGGATACCCAGGCTCGTGCCAAGCGTACCATGCGTGAAATGATGTCCTTCTGGAAGCGCAACGAGCGCGAGGAGCGTGACTTGCGCCGCTTGGCAGAGAAGCAGGAGCTGGAGTCGGCTAAGAAGGCCGAAGCTGAACGTGAAGCCAACCGACAGAAGCGCAAACTGAACTTCCTGATCTCCCAGACTGAGCTGTACTCTCACTTTATTGGTCGTAAGATTAAGACTGCTGAGGCGGAAGCAACTGGTGACGGAACCGTTGCTGGCAGCAACGAGACTATCCAGCCTGGCAAGGCGCAACACACCGTCAACCTTCCTGACAGTGTCGCCAATGCCAATGCCAAGGTCACCAACTTTGAGGATCTTGACTTTGATGCCGAAGACGAGAGTGTTTTACAGCAAGCCGCCATGGCCAATGCTCAGAACGCTGTGCAGCAAGCTCAGGACCGTGCCCGTGCCTTCAACCAGCAAGGTGGGGAGGATCAGATGGCAGCCTTTGATGAAGGCGAAATGAACTTCCAAAACCCAACCAGTTTGGGTGACATTGAGATTTCTCAGCCCACTATGTTGACCGCCAAATTGAAGGAGTATCAGCTGAAGGGTTTGAACTGGCTGGTCAACCTGTACGAACAGGGTATCAACGGTATTCTTGCAGACGAGATGGGTCTCGGTAAGACCATCCAGTCGATTTCCGTCATGGCCTATCTGGCCGAGTTCCACAACATTTGGGGTCCTTTCCTCGTTATTGCTCCCGCTTCGACGCTGCACAATTGGCAACAAGAAATTGCCAAGTTCGTCCCCAACATCAAAGTCTTGCCATACTGGGGTAATGCCAAGGATCGTAAGATTCTTCGGAAGTTCTGGGATCGCAAGCACATCACCTATACTCGCGACTCTGAGTTCCATGTCCTGGTCACCTCTTACCAGCTGGTCGTTCTGGATGCTCAGTACTTCCAGAAAGTCAAGTGGCAGTACATGATTCTGGACGAGGCCCAAGCCATCAAGTCCTCTCAAAGTTCGCGTTGGAAGAATCTCTTGGGCTTCTCCTGCCGTAACCGTCTCTTGCTTACTGGTACGCCCATTCAAAACAACATGCAAGAGCTATGGGCCTTGCTGCATTTCATTATGCCTACCTTGTTCGATTCCCATGACGAGTTCAGCGAATGGTTCTCGAAAGATATCGAGTCTCATGCTCAAAGTAACACGAAACTGAATGAAGATCAGCTCAAGCGTCTGCATATGATTTTGAAGCCGTTCATGCTTCGTCGTGTCAAGAAGCATGTGCAGCAAGAACTGGGTGACAAGGTTGAGAAGGACATCTTCTGTGACCTCACCTACCGCCAGCGTGCCTTGTATGCCAACCTGCGGAACCGTGTCAGCATCATCGACCTCATTGAGAAGGCAGCCGTTGGTGACGACACTGATAGCACCACCTTGATGAACCTGGTCATGCAGTTCCGTAAGGTCTGCAACCATCCCGATCTGTTTGAGCGCGCCGAGACCCGCTCACCCTTCTCCGTGGGAGCCTTTGCGGAGTGTGCTTCTTTTGTTCGTGAAGGATACTTTGTCGACGTCCGGTATTCCACCAGGAGCCGGATCGAGTACCAGGTGCCTCGACTGCTGTGCAGCTCCGAGGCCCGTTTGGATGTGCCTGGACCCGGCAATAATCGTGCTGGGTTCCAAGGGAAATACTTGTCAAACTTGATGAACATTTGGAATACTGAGAACATTCATGAGAGCTCTCGTGAGAATGAGGCGTTCTCATTCCTGCGATTTGTCGATACATCTGCGGGAGAAGCTAATGAATGCTCCCGCCTTGGTGTTTTCGAGCGCGCGACTCGGCGTGGCGATAGGGCAAACCGACTTTCCCGCCTGAACGTTGTCTACGATGACAAGGAGAACGAGTCTGCTGACAAGTCGGTGTGGGCCCAGTCTATGCTCAACATCGTAGAGCGCAACAACCGCGAAGCACTCAACGAGATCACTCCCGAGGGCCGGATGCGTAATTTGATGAATGTCTCACGTTCGGCCTTCGAAGACCAGGGTCTCAACCTGATTGAACCATGCGCATCTCCTGCTGCCCAAGCGCCTCCGATCACGCTCTCCTGCTCGGGTCAAGAGGCCACTCGCGAGACCCAACGAACCCTTTTCAACCCAGCTGTCCGGTCCGCATTGTACGGCAACCGTACACGACAAGTTGAGGAACAGATCTTGTCACACAAGTTGGATCCCGCTCCTTATTCGAAGGCGCCAATGCTCCCCGGGCCAATGTCACTCAAGTCTCGGTACAATCACATCGAAGTTCCGTCCATGCGTCGCTTCGTTACGGATTCGGGCAAGCTTGCCAAGCTCGACGAGCTTCTACGGGAACTCAAGGCTGGTGGCCATCGTGTCCTGCTGTATTTCCAAATGACACGTATGATCGATTTGATGGAGGAGTACTTGACCTACAGAAACTACAAGTACTGCCGATTGGATGGAAGTACAAAGTTGGAAGATCGTCGCGATACCGTCGCCGACTTCCAGTCCAACACCGACATCTTTGTATTCTTGCTGTCTACACGTGCTGGTGGTCTTGGTATCAACTTGACTGCTGCCGATACCGTCATCTTCTACGATTCCGATTGGAACCCGACTATTGATTCTCAGGCCATGGATCGAGCCCATCGTCTCGGTCAGACCCGCCAGGTTACCGTCTACCGTCTCATCACTCGCGGTACGATCGAAGAGCGGATTCGCAAGCGTGCCTTGCAGAAGGAAGAGGTGCAGCGTGTCGTCATTTCCGGCGGTGCTGCTGGTGGTGTCGACTTCAACACTCGTGCCCGCGAGAACCGCACCAAGGATATTGCCATGTGGCTTGCCGACGATGATGAGGCAGAGCTCATTGAGCAGAAGGAGAAGGAGGCGCTGGAGCGAGGAGAGGCCTTTGGTGCTACCAAGGGTGGAAAGAAGGCTACGCAGAAGCGGAAGCGTGAGCTCACGATGGATGATATGTACCATGAAGGTAAGCAAACCACTCCCACATTCGAACTTGTCTTAACTTGAAATCATTGACTGACGCTTCTTTTCTACAGGCGAGGGTAACTTTGACGATGCCAGCGCCAAGCCATCGGGCACTGCGACTCCCATGTCGGACAACCTGGACACTCCTCCTACCGCTACCTCCGCCACCCCAGCGAAGCGTGGTCGTGGTCGTGGCGGAGGCAAAGCCGGTTCATCCAAACGCGCAAAGACCGTGAAGGAACGTCTTCGATTAATTGACGGCGATGGCGGACTCGCTTAAAAAAACACATTCGGGATTACTTGTTTTCAAATACTTGCAAGAACTGCAAATGGGCGACGGCGTTGTAATGATTTCCTCTTCTGCTTCTTCCAAGGTGCTAGTGTGGTTCACTTTCCGTGCACTCTTTTTTATATTCCTTTATTGTTTGCCTTCTTTTTTCTCTCTTCTGTTATGTATTATCATACGACTACTTGATCGATTTGAACTCTTGCACTTGAATTCTTTTTTTTACTCCCAGCCTGGGAACTACTTCAAGAGACAGACAAACACACCGAATTGGGGTTGTTGGTGTTGTGGCATCCGTGATTATACAAGTAATTTTGAAAGGTACCCTACCTACTTGATTCCCCATACTATTTCTTTGCTGTCACTTTCCATGCAGTGCTTGCCCCTCGTCGCTTTGTGATCACCGAGTAGAATTGAGTACCCAACCCCTGAGCGTAACCTAAGTAGTGGGTAATTATGCCATGGAATATTTTGGCTATACAACAGATAAGCAGAGGGGAATGAGAAAAATACCAAAACTGAAAACAAATCCACTCGCGCACAGTACTAAATCCAATCAAACCCAACAGAGGAATTGGAAAACTTCATCAACGCATTCGATATCCACTCGTCGGGATTTGAAGAATTCTTTCCCGCGCCTTGTAATGGGGAGGCTCGAATGTTGTGAGATCCTGTTTCAACCGAGGCGTTCCACACTTCGTCGGGATCCGGCATAGAAAATTCCAAGTCTCCCAGGTTCAAAAGCTCATTACTCAAATCGCCCCGATCTTTATAAACCGTGGCATGCTCAATAGACGGGGCAACGAGTCGGCACAGTTTATAGAGCGCTAATCCAAACCGCTTTGTCTCCTCCACACTGACCCAGACAAGTGCCGGAGGGGCAAAGACTTCGTGTCGGGCCAGCATATTTGGATAATAGAACAAGCCCAGCCGTCGACAAGTTCGCGCGAGCGATGTAAGAAGCTCGTAATTAGACGCCGGTAGTTCACAACGGAGATTGAGATCAAATGGAGTCTCGATTTTGGCGACAACGAGGGAGAATATAACTTGGAGAAGGATGCTTTGATAGGTTACCATGTGGCAAGGTGTATCTTTGTTGCCGTGAGGCGTAGATTCGGCAATATACCATTGGGCCTGCCAAGGGAAAAGAGCACGTTAGAGAATTGTCTCATCGAGTTTCAGAGGTCAAGTAGTCGATCCGTACCCTCTGTGTTTGAATCGCAGAAAGTAATCTGTCATGGAAAGCCATCGCCATGCGGCGTGCATCCGAGTCACCTTTGATCCACAAGCCAATCATCAACATTGACTGGACGAGTACGCAGGGTTCTTTTTCGACTTTGAATGTTCCTCGGTGGAGGAACGGCCAGATAGGATGGAACTGATCGAAGTAAATATCGACAAACTCTTGACCGACCCACGACGAACCGTTCAGAGCCGGTTCTACCAAGTCCATGTGCGTGTATGCTTGCGTCGGGTGCATTGTGCATTCGTTGCGAGCCGACTCTTGACGGTCTGGATGCGAGCAGATCACTTTTCGTCTCTGGCACTGGTTACATGGATCTTCGCCATCACAGCGCTCTTTCCGAAGATGACAGGCTTTGCAGGCTTTGACTGCTCGCGATGTTGGCGGTTTCATATCCGGGTGCAATTTCCGTATGTGGCGGCGTAAGAGATCGCTGTAGAGATAGTTAGTCTTCGTGTTGCAGAGTCTCTGGATCTTTGAGTCTGATCGAAGTACGTTCCTTCTGGTCAGGGTTGCGTCGCAGTAAGGGCAGCAGAGACGTTCTTCCTTATGACTAGCCAGATGTCGGTTCAAATGTTCCTTGCGCCGGTATGTGGCCGTACAATGGGCATATCGACATCGGAAAGTATTAGATTCGGAAGGATGGGACATTGTCAACCACTTAGTTCAGAACAAGTTTTAAATGAGGAATTAGCGATGACTGGAGTTGAAAGCACTGGATAATGAAAAGATGAACTATTACATTACAGCCAAAACGTTGGTCATAGTTGTAGGTTTTCTCCCGAGTGGTTTAATAAGCCTCTGATATCCCGTCGGCATCCCGCTCGGCTTCTCCCACCCGCTAAAACTATATAGGAAGTCCCTTGTAGGATGTCTCTGGTAGTGGCCAATTTTTGTTTGCTTTTCTATTTTCTTTTGTGCACACATGTCCATTTGAACCATCTGGTCAACTGAATAGTGATATTGCCTTCTCTTTGACAATCGCCAGCTTTTGACATCAACAAAAACGCCCGTCTTCCCCACACCACCAATCAGCAATCATGTCGTCTATAGAGCACGAGCTCACTCGAAGTTATACGGCAGATGCGGAAGGTTATACTGCACAGGCTATTGAGCCTACGGAATCAAGATTGGACAATCCACCAAATTATGAAGTTTACTGGGAAGATGGGGATTCAGAAAACCCCCGTCTCTGGCCGTTATGGTATAAGGGGGTTACCATCGTGACAATGAGCCTTGGAGCGACGGTTGTGAGTCTTAACAGCACTCTATACACCTCAGGTATTCCTGGCTTGGAGAAGGATTTTCATATCTCAAAATTTGTCGGCCTCTTGGGGGTCTTTACCTACCTTCTTGGCATGGCGGGAGGGACCATTTTCTTCGCCCCTCTCAGCGAAATTGTCGGCCGACGACCGGTTTACTTGGGATCCATGTCGATGTTCCTGATACTAGTTCTCCCAAGTGCTTTGGCCCAAAAGATTGAAGCCATTCTTATCAGCAGGTTCTTTGGGGGCTTCTTCGGCAGTGCGGTCATGGGCAACTCTCCGGCCTCGGTGAACGATATAGTCTCCGATAGACACCGAGCCATGGCATTCGGGATCTGGTCTATTGGACCATCAAATGGTCCGGTATATGGTCCCATAATCGGTGGCTTTGTCTATCAATATCTTGATTGGAGATGGACGAACTGGCTTGTTTTGATCATTGGCGGTATTGTCCTGGCTCTGATGTGCTTCGTTAAGGAGACATACGCACCCGCAATTCTTCGAAAGCGTGTAAAGAGGCTTGAGAGGGAAACAGGTCATTCTCAATGGTGGACGCGCTATGACAGTGGGGAAGTTCTGTCAACACGGGTTAAGAATGGGTTAACTCGACCCTTTTTGATGCTTGCAACGGAGCCAATCTGGTAAGGATCATTCCATTCCTCACTTTGCACAAAGATTGATAAATGCTGACTGAACACAACTACCTTCAGTATTTTCTGGGATCTTTACGTCGCTATTATTTACGGCGCTCTTTACCTATGCTTTGTTGCCTATCCTATCGCCTTTCAGACACAACGTGGTTGGTCACCTGGACTTGGGGGCCTCGCTTTCGTCGGCATTGGAATCGGCGTCTTGCTTACTATCGCATCGGAGCCACTATTTCGAAAGGTGATTAACCTTCACCAAAGGGACCCCGAAACGGGCGAGGTCATCCCAGAGGCAATGGCGATTGTCGTTGTCTTTGGTGCTATTCTCCTCGCCGTTGGCCAACTATGGTTTGCTTGGACCTGCCAGCCCTCGATTCACTGGATTTTTCCGATTCTGGCCGGTGTACCTTTCGGCATTGGTAATTCATGCGTTTTCATTTATGCCAATAACTATATGGCTCGCTCATACGGGATTTACACTGCATCTGCGTTGTCGGGAAACATGTTCTTCCGAAGTCTCATGGGCGCCTGCCTCCCGCTTGCGGGTCCGTCTATGTACGCCACGATGGGGTTGAATTGGGCATCTACTTTACTCGGTCTTGTGGAGGCGGTTTGTGTTTTGATCCCAGTTGTCTTTTACTTTTATGGTCATAGGATTCGTAAGGCGAGTCCTATGATTCAGGCTATGAAGACGACTTAGGTTGAGAGGTTCTGAATCCTACTGAAGTGATCGACATTTTGCAGGTCGCTCTAGGTCGGTATTGTTGCTTCGCATAGAACATTAGAACCCATGCTGGGAAATCAAAATGGTCATGGTTTTGGTCAATCAGGGTTTATTACAGACGCCCCTGATCTAGAAACAGGGTTCCATTATTATTAATTTTCAAATAACATATGAATGACTAGAAGGCGGTTGGGGAATATTCTGGGTCCCATTATTCTTGTAAAACAAAGAAGCTATTGCAGGGTGCCTTGAAGTGGCAAAAGAGATGGATTGACAACTTATCGCTCGGTTTGTCGGTTTATTTCTTTACCCATGTACAACTGGTCGCCTGGCCTACCGTCAGGCTAAAAGAATCTTGTAGCAATATGGCACACAATTTTCAAGACATTTCCCAAGAAACAAGACCTTGCTTTTGGGAAGTCAAGGTCTTCGCTTTAGATGACAATTGTGGAAGGTTTTATCAATTACGTGGTTGAAGAACCTTTCAGCTACATGTCGAATTGCAGAACCGAGTCTTCGTGACAATGTATCAATAAGCTTTTGCGGGGCCCAATCACCCATAGGTCCGGCATCCCACTCAGGTCATTTCAAAGCGCTTTATTACGTAAGTACCTTATTTCTCAAAGGTATGAAGATCGGTTCAGTGGGATACCCGTCCTGGCATGCCACCTATTACTAATTTGATTCTTTAACGGATCAAGAGGGATACCGAGGGCGGGATACCGAAAGATTCTTCCAGCTTTGCAAGTCTCGCAGCTGGCCGTCGATTTATAATGTGCATTTAATGTTGATAATCCAGGAGATGGTAGGTCCAGCAAGTTGGAGATATAAAGGTCGAGTCCTAGCCCAGCCTCCTCGGAATAATCCTCTAAGATTGAATCCCATCCGTGAAAGGTTACCAAGTCTATACTTTGGAAACTTCCATATTCTTCCTTGCGCACTTCCCTTCCAACCTTTGCTATTCGGCTTTTCACTCAATCGTCTTCTCTAAGTCAATATGGGCATTACTTTGGACGTTACACACATTGGCACTGCAACTGCCGTTCTGGAGGTCAACGGCATCAACTTTTTGACCGATCCGTTCTTCTCCCCGGCTGGAACCTTTTGGGACAGGGGTCGGGTAGTCCTCAAGGTGACAGAAAACCCTGCTCTCCGTCTTGACCAGCTTCCGGTGATTGATGCTGTACTCCTGAGCCACGAAGACCACCCCGACAACCTAGACGAGCTCGGCCGCCAGCTTCTAGACGGACGTCACGTATTCACTACCGTCGATGGAGGTAATAACCTTCGACCCCGTCCCGCTGTGTATGGCATGAAGCCATGGGAGGAAATCACTTGCATCATTGCTGGCAAAAAATTCACCATTACCGCGACCCCGACCCAGCATGTCCCTGGAAACGAATGTACCGGCTTTATCCTTACCAATGACGAATTTGGCTTTGGCCGTGATGGCCTACCTAACGCAATTTATTTCACTGGCGATACCGTCTACATTGACGAACTAAATGCCATTGCAGACCGCTATCACGTCCGTGCCGCCGTGATGAATCTAGGCAACGCCCATGTTCCTTCGAGTGATGAACCTGGGAGTACCCCCATGCAGATCACCATGGGTGGTAAGGATGGGGCCAAGTTATTCCGTGCGCTGAAGGCCGACGTCCTTGTTCCCATGCACTACGAATCTTGGGGGCATTTCACCGAGTTTGGAGTCGAATTGCGTCAGGCCTTTGAGGAGGAGGGAATCAGTGATAAGATTTGCTGGCTGAAGGCAGGAGAAAAGGTGCATGTCCTTTGAACGCCCCAAAAAAGGTTGTAACTATATGTCAAGAATATTGCGTATCTAGTCCACCTAGCCAGTAGCCTGGTCTGATTGGACTAGCTCGCTACAAACTCTCTTTTCCTAGATAGATCTCCTTTGTTAGATTACTACCAATACACCTATCTTTCTCACATACTATCATGGCCAGCTCGCTTTGATCCTACATCATGATTTATCAATCTCTGTTTGCCTCTTCACCGAGATCCCAGTGCAATCTTCTGCATTTATAACCCATGGTGGATTGCGGGAAATGGACGTAGGGTTGGTGACATGTTTGGTAGACTTGAGTTCTTTTTCAACCCCCGAAGTGTGTTTCTTTCAAGCCATTTGGTTCTCTATACTACATTTCTGCGTACTCAAGGGGGTACTAGTGAGGGCTTTGAGTAGATGAACTACCACAATCTTGCATGACATTCACCATGTCATTTCTTTGGTCATAGAGGCGTTGGCCGGGTAGATCTCAGCTTACGAGTATGGGTTTGCTATCTTGCAATTAAATAAGGAGAAATATCCAAGGCTTAGAAAAGGCTTTATCTCAGTATGGGTTCAGAAGCTTGTTAATTCGTTGGGGGGTCCGACGCGAGACATCGTTGATTCTTCGCGCTACTATAACAATCAATCAGCACGCCAACTGGGCAATGATGTCATTGAAAAAGATCTGCTACCTGGCTGAGACTGAATCACTTTCAAAAACTCGTTCCTATCTAGAATGCGTCTTAAACGAATCTAAACGAGGGTAAACGATAGCGAAAGTCAAAATAGGCGACTTTTGTCTGGGTGGCCCAAGGCACCAAGGCAGGAATCCGTTATTTTGGTGGCGGGCCGAGATTTCCGAGTGGCCGCATGTGTCAAGTGTTTTCTAGTTGGACCCCGGGATTTGGGCAGAGCCCGGAATCCACTTCTACTTTCTATAATGGAGGATATAGTATTCTATGCCGTGCGTAGAATATACTGATAGTCCATGAGAACTACTCTATGTACCATGCAATGTACTATAGCCATACCTAATAGAGAAACACCTTCTCGAATGTTCACCCCGCATTCCGAATGTTGCAATTTTCTCCGCCTGCTACTGCGGACAGAGTTCAGCCACGAGAATCTGATTCCGCATTTACCGACTTTAAGCCGATTTCACACCGTAACCTTAGTTTTCATACTGGGAAGTTACGGTTCTTTTCGATGACTAAAACGTCCAACGCCTCTGGACTTTCCCCATTGGGCCAAATCGCCCAGCCGCGGCCCGTGCCCACCAATCAGAGCCCGTCCTTTGTCAGCCCAGGATGAGTCAGCCAGGGCTCCCCGCCCTCGATCGATTTTCACCGGTGCCCCCGACGGTCCTCGATTCCTCTATCTCTCTCCCCCCATTTCACACCTCCCCTACAACTACAATTGTCTTGTTGGGGTATCGATTTGCATCACCATGGAGGCAATGCTTCAGCAGTCGCGGGCTATGTGCCCCTTTCTCAAGCGCACCGCTCCCACCACCCTGCGCACTCTCTCGACCGCTACTCGTCCCAGCACCGGTGGAGGTACCATGTCCAACCTCCAGGTCCTGGCTCGTCGCTGCCCCGTCATGAGCAAGGCTCTGGCTGTCCAGTCTGCCCGTATGTGCGGCACCAAGCGTTTCACCTCCAGCGCCGCCGGCATTCCGGCCGTGAAGCCTATGCGCCCTCCTACCGGCAAGCGTGCGTTGCACACGACCGGGGGTCATCCCGCTAGCCTTGCCCCGGGCACCTATGAGAAGAACGAACAAGGTAACACAAAACCGGCAATTGGAAATAACCATAATTTCACCGTATACTGATGGCTTCGTCTGCAGTTCATCCCAACATTGCCAACAGGCTGCGTCCCACTCCCGCCACCGAAGCCGCGGTCCGCGGCCCTCGTCCTGCCGCTCCGATCACTTCCCGTTTCGACTATGATGCCTTCTATAATGGCGAGCTGGAGAAGAAGCACAAGGACAAGTCCTACCGCTACTTCAACAACATCAACCGTCTGGCTAAGGAGTTCCCCCGTGCTCACACGGCCTCGGCTGAGGAGCGTGTGACCGTCTGGTGCTCCAATGACTACCTCGGTATGGGTCGCAACCCACAGGTCTTGGAATCGATGCACCGCACTCTCGACACTTATGGTGCCGGTGCTGGTGGTACTCGTAACATCTCCGGCCACAACAAGCATGCTGTCGCTCTGGAGGACACTCTGGCCAAGTTGCACGGAAAGGAAGGCGCTTTGGTCTTCAGTTCGTGTTTCGTTGCCAACGATGCTACTCTGGCGACCCTTGGAAGCAAGATGCCCGACTGTGTGATTCTGTCGGACAGTCTGAACCATGCTTCTATGATCCAGGGTATTCGTCACTCCGGTGCGAAGAAGATGGTCTTCAAGCATAATGACCTGGAAGATCTGGAAGCCAAGTTGGCATCCCTCCCTCTTAATGTTCCCAAGATCATCGCATTCGAGTCTGTTTATAGCATGTGTGGATCGATCGCCCCCATCGAAGCCATCTGTGATCTTGCCGACAAGTACGGTGCCATTACCTTCCTGGACGAAGTCCACGCCGTCGGAATGTATGGCCCCCACGGTGCTGGTGTCGCAGAGCACCTTGACTACGATGTCTATGCCTCGCAGGACACCGCCAACCCTAAGAGCACCAAGGGCACCGTCATGGATCGCATTGATATCATTACTGGTACCCTGGGCAAGGCGTACGGCTGTGTTGGTGGCTACATTGCCGCCTCCGCCAACTTGGTGGACACTGTCCGTTCGCTCGCTCCGGGATTCATTTTCACCACTTCCCTGCCCCCTGCGACCATGGCTGGTGCCGACACCGCCATCCAGTACCAGGCACAGCAGCCCCGTGACCGAGTCCTCCAGCAGCTGCACACCCGTGCTGTCAAGTCTGCTCTGAAGGAGCTGGATATCCCCGTTATCCCCAACCCCTCGCACATCGTTCCTCTTCTGGTCGGTGATGCCGAGCTGGCCAAGCGCGCCTCGGATAAGCTTCTCGAAGAGCACGGCATCTACGTGCAGGCCATCAACTACCCCACCGTCCCCCGCGGTGAGGAGCGTCTGCGTATTACCCCGACCCCCGGCCACGTCAAGCCTCTGCGTGACCACCTCGTCCAGGCCGTGCAGGCTGTCTGGAACGACCTGGGCATCAAGCGCGCCAGCGACTGGCAGAGCATGGGCGGTTTCGTCGGTGTCGGTGTTGAAGGCGCTGAAGCTGCCAACCAGCCCATTTGGGAGAACTCCCAGCTTGGTGTGGACGCCTCTGAGCCTCTCGAGTCCTCTATCGCTCGCGAATTGACCGCCGAGGCCGCTGAGAAGGCTGCTTTCCCTGCCATGAAGACCGCTACTCCTCTGGGCAGCAACGCGCACTCTGCGGTCGCCTCTACTCCCGTCGGCGTTACCGCTTAAGGTCTCTTCGAGTCTTCTTTTCGGGTTTTTGGGGCGATTGACTTGTTGCGGTTGCCTGTCCACTCTTTTGAATAATATCATAACATAACAACATATCGTGCAGGGGATGGCTGTTGCATCTGCCAGCATATTTTAGGTTTTTTTTTTTCTTTTTTTCTCCCTTGATCACCATTGTTTATACTCTTGTCTTGTCTTTGGTCCTTTCTGTTTGGCTTGATGATACTGCATTGGCATTTCTATCGAGTCTTGCATATTGGATATCTGTTTCATGTGGCATTTTGTGCCCTTATTTTTAGGGGATCTTTTGTGTTTATGTGCACAGACTGGATGTCATTGGGACAGGGATGGAGACATGGCAATACAACTGGGTTCTTGAGGATAATCTTTTGTTGCTCTTTTGTAAGAATGTAGTTGTGGTAGATCCTATAGTACTTTTCTACTTTTGTCGGCGCAGGACAGTCAAGATGCAATCTTGTTGCATGACTCTTACGAGTTGAGAATTGACATCAACTGCGGGGAAGCGCAGACCATCTCACGCCCTTCGGCAGACATGGGGATATGAGTCACTCTCTCGCAAAAAGTATTTAAAAGAGTGTGATAATTCCTCTACGCTGTCAGATCACAACTACAATCTCAAAATGGGTGACCTAGCCCCCTTCGCGCTCCCAAAGGTACGTTGAATAAAGCCCTGCGAGTCCGTCCTGCCATACTGACAGGTTCCCCAGTGGGTCGAATCCAACAAAGACAACGTCAAACTAGGATTAGCCGGCAGCGCCGCACCCTCTCTATCAATCCAAGATCTAATTGATCTATCTACCGACAAAGAAACAACCTCTGCCAACCTCTCAATCCAATCCCTGAAGTTGTCTCTAGGCCCATTCGACGGCAGTGAACCACTCCGCAAGCAAATCGCAGCTCTATACGATGACTCCGTCAATGCAGAGCATATTTTCCCAACTCACGGCACAACGGGTGCCAATGCTCTTGTCTTCCAGAGCCTACTGAGTCCAGGCGATCATGTCATCGCCATGTACCCCTGCTACACGCAGTTAATCTCCCTACCGAAATCCGTTCCCGGCGTGGAAGTTTCATATTGGACACTCGATCTGCAGAATGGAGCTCAAGCCAACATCCAACAACTGCAAGAGCTGATCAAGCCGAATACCAAGATGATCATCTTGAATAACCCGAACAATCCACTCGGAAGTGTCCTCCCAGTCTCCAAAGCAAACGAAATCGTCAACCTAGCCCGTACGCACGACCTCACAATCCTAGTCGACGAAATCTTCCGCCCGCTCTTCTACACCGACCTCGCTCCACCATCATTTATATCCCTCTCAACCCCCGCAGACAAAATAGTGGTCACAAGCTCTATGAGCAAAGCATGGGGTCTATCCGGAACCCGAATCGGCTGGGTCGCTACACTAAACACATCCATCCTCTCCCAATGCTTTGACCGCGGCCTCTACACCATAATGTCCTTGAGTTCCATCGACTCCGTCATCGCGACTGAAGCACTCAGTGACAGATGCAGACCGCAGATTCTCGCGAGACATTTAGATATTGCGCGGAAGAATATCGCGCTGCTCGATGCGTTTGTGGAGAGTTCTAAGGGGTTGTGTGAGTGGGTTCGGCCGGTTGGTGGGGGCACGGGGTTTGTCAAGTTTTTGGATAAGAAGGGAGAGCCGCTTGACGATGTGCTGTTTTGTAGGGGGTTGAAAGAGAAGAAGGGGGTTTTGGCTGCGCCGGGGAGTCTTTGTTTTGGGGCTCGTGGCGGAGAAGAGTTTAGGGGGTATGTCAGGGTGCATATTACTGTTGACCCTGGGGTTTTGGAGACGGCTTTAGCTGCTATTGGGGAGTTTTTGGAGGAGTCGACCGAGTAGGTGGTTGGCCAGGTTGGTTTGAGGAGAACTTGGGGATGGTGAGGAAAGGTCTCGGTGGAAATGAAGTTGGTTGTAGGTGGTATATTAAGTTGGGAGAGGCAATAGTGAGTGTTAGTATTCATTGTACTGCTTAAACTTTTGAAATTTGTATTTCCATTCAGTCTGGTTGTGTTTTTTGTAGTCCTATATCATGGCCCAGGAAATGTAAAAGAAAGATCTTCAGTGCTGGGTTACTAGCAAATCGGGGGGCAACTACAGAACAGCCTTGTAGTTGCTGTTCCTTGTGAATATCTGGCAGATTCCTTGCGCTTTAGCATCTAATTTTGGTACCATCGTCGTGTGCCGTGTCTTCGGTGGTCTGAGTTCGGCTGGTGCTCCGTTACTTTGGGTATGACTGCTGATATGTGGGAAGCTGATGACCAGGGCTTTGCTGTGGCGTACGTTGTGCTCTCGTCCGTTGGTGGTTCGACTGTTGGGCCTGTCTTTGGTGGTATGATCGGTCAATGGCTGTCCTGGCACTGGGTATTTTAGATGCAGTTGATTGTCGGGGGTGCTACTCACTTGTATATTCGCTCGTCTGATTGCAAGCGCCAACTATGCAATCTACATGGCAACGATCGATTACATGGTTGCCGCGTACGGGCCGTACTCTGCCTCTGCAACGGGATGTAATGGGTTCACTAGAGATTTCCTCGCTGCTATTGCGACTATGTACTCGACTCCGATGTATGAGAATATTGGGGGCAGGTATCATCTTCAGTGGGCTAGTACGTTGCTTGGATGTGTTGGGTTCCTCATTTTGATTCCGATTTATGTGTTTTATTGGAAGGGGCCAGATATTCGGGTGAAGAGCAAGTTTGCGCAACAGCTTGAGGCGGATCGGATGAGACATGGTGGTCGTCGAGCGAGTCGGGTGGGTGCTGATGGGGATCCGTATGCGTAGATAGGACTTGTTGATGAAGTTTAGTTGTATATAGAATGGTATACATCAGGAGCATTAAGAAGATGATTTCTGTTTCTCTACTACGATGTAGTCTTTCAGCGTCCTGGGCTAGAACCGACCTCGCGAGAAACGACGGAGACAATGATAATGTCATAACTGCATATGCAACAAGTTCCATTTATCTGAAAAGGGTTCAGAAATATGACACATTTCGAAGTAAAAAAACGCCGGATATACCACACAACGACATGAGAATTTTAACCACCGAACAAGTCGATGCGAACCGCTGCAACGAATAAATCAAACACCTCCAGTCAAAACATCTACTTGCGTGCACCACGGCTAACCTTGGGGAACTCAAGCGGAATACGCAGACGAGCGACACGACGCGCAGCAGCCTCGGCCTTTCCACCCTTGATATTCCACTTGCTGAACTCTGACTCACGGGGCTTGTCAATACGGCAACCCAGCTCACGGAAGTACTGCTGGATAGTGTTCGAGTCGAGACGCAGATCGTCACGCAGGTCCGAGGGGTCGGTGGCCAGCTCGTTGGGCGAGTTGCCACCGAGAGAGCTGGATCCGCCGTCCTTGGCGGGCTGCGGGGGGATGTGGAAGGTGAGAGCGCAGATGGTGGTGTGGAGGAGGGTCAGGTCGTGTTTGGAGAGGAAACCACCCTGGGGAGCGAAGCGGCGGCGCACGGCATCGACGACGGAGTCGGGGAGGAGCTCAACGTTGGATTCCTCCTCTTCCTTGCCAGCCTTGGATGAACCGGACGTGCTGGAGAGGATCTTGCGGAGATCGTCGCGAGGGGGAAGCTTCTTGCTACCGGGACCGGCACCCTTGTCACGGCCCATACTCTTGAGAGAACGGGTAAACTCGAGCAATAGCTGGATGAAGCGGAGGACTTGGATTTGCGTGGGGTTACCGGACTGTGCAACGGCGACCACACGGTTGGAGACATATCGAGAACCAGTGACAACACCAAGACCAGCCTCGACTTGCTGCGTCCATTCGTCGATGCCAGTCAATTGGCGCAGAGTAGAGTGACCACCAGGAACCAAGGTCTCGAGCGAGTAGACATCCGAGGGGTGAACGGCCGTGAGATCGGGTGTAGGCAAGGGCTTGGCTGCTTGCACCTCGGCTTGAACGTTGGTGGCCTTGGCCAATCCGGAGGCCACATTTGCGGGGAGTGAGGAAATGAGGGCTGCACCGGCTTCGTTGAGGGTACCGGCAGGAGCGCTGGAAAGCTGGGCGTTCTCGGCCATGGACTGGACAGCCTTGCGGGATTGCTTGGTACCGAAGGTGTTGGTGAGGTTGGTGCGTTGAGCGCGCATGGTGCTCTATAGTATGGTTAGTATGTACCATTCTACCACTCCATATGTTGAGAAATTGGGCGCATACCATCTCCTCGTCAGACTCTTCCTCCTCTTCCTCGGGCTTCCTGCTCCGGACAGCGCCGCGAACAGTAACTCGGCGCGCTTCGATGACTTGCCATGTCTTGCGCTCCGGGTCCACGACGGCAATGTAGTGCTTCAGCTGGGAGTCCGCATCTTCACCAGTTCCCTCACGGCCAACAAAGTCCATCTTCTGGTGTTCAGACGACTGCAAGAGCATCTCGGTAGAGACGATACCAGGGTTCCGGGTAGCTGTCCGCTCGACAGCCTGGCGGGTTTTAATGTATGGGTTGAAGCGGAAGCCTTTTGAGTTCATGATGCCGGGAGTAGCAGCTGTTGAACACGAGACACATTAGCAATTGGAACAATGAATCGCAATCGAGTTTGCACATACCAATTACCGGCGCAAGCTCGCTCTTGTCCTCGACAACGCTAGCTGCGAGTGTCGGGAGGGTCTGCAGAGCAGTCTTTTTGGTTGGACGCTCATGGCGGTCGGATGCGCGCTTGCGCTTCTTGACAATTTTTTCTGACGGCATTGTGTCTGAGAATATCACGGCAGAAACCACTGGGAAATCTCCGTCGTGCAGCTCGAATGATCGGCCGTTGGATGTCGATGAAATAAATGTCCAAGTCGGTGGCAGAAAAATTTCCTAGTAGTCTAGATGAGGAAGGCGGTGAGTCGACATCCGCACAAATGAAAATTGGCCCCGGAAATTGCAGGAATTAAGGTGCGATGCAACAAGCACAAGGCAGAGTTACAAGAGAAATGACTTCAGTATTTACGGAAACAAAGCTACTCAGGATAAAGTAGGTGAGGTACTTTTCAAGTCATCGATTCATAACTGGTGTGGCTAGTGAACCGATCGTTCAGTAAATTTTTTAAACTCTCGGTAAAAACCTCTCCATAGCTCCCGACACTTGGAACGGGTTCCAAATGCCGTAGGAAACAAACGAGCAGGATCTTGACCAGAACCCCAGTATCGAGCTCAGTAGACCAGTAAATGATCACCGGTCCTCCAACCCTTGACTAAACACAGGAGCCTCTCCAAGCAAAAATATCAAGCGGAGACCACTTGAAAAAAAAACCACACCCGGCATGCATTCGACCGACATTGACGAATCCGATAAAGTTGGAAGTATGGGAGAACGGAAGGTGTTTGAACGGCGGATTCCATCGGGCGAATGTTGATCTCTTCAAAAGAACAGGACGGAGACCGTATCCGGGCAGGCAGCTTGTTGAGTGAAAGGCGTGTAACGATAAGCAGGAAAGTCGTGATATCGATTCATCAATTGGCGTGTTCAGCGTTCAAACATGAGCCTCGACCTGAGGAGCTGAGATGGAGGGGGCGAGTAGTTTATTTCCTGTCGGGATTATTAGTATCAAAAATTGCAGATTCAATTGCTGAGTATCATCGAAGCAAGCTCCGACAGACACCGAGTGGCGATGCGGGGAGAAACTCACGATCTGGCGCGCATCTTTCTGCGCTTGCGCTTGAGACGACGGACGCGCTTCTTTCTCCACTTAGCTCTCATCTTCGTACTGTTGATGGTGGCGAGGTTAGTAACTGGTTCTCCGAGGCAAAGGACATTTTTGGAGAGGAGGCGGCGACTCACGATTCTGCGAGGATGAGGAGAGATGGTTGAAGAAAGACAAATGTGAGGCGATCCCGCGACGCATTTGTGTAGTGGGCAGCTTACTCAGCTAAGCGAGCCGCTAGCCGGATTGGGAAGTCACCAATAGCTGTCCACGTGACCCGTTACATCACACAGTGTGATTTAATTGTTTGCTAACCCTGGGAAGTGGAAATAAAGTGGAAATAGGGTTTCCGCGAGCATAGACTGTCGTGGAATTGACAAGAATGGCGCTTTCAAGCCTAAAAAGATTATGAAAAAATAATCATGCATTATTTATTGGCAATGACGAGAAATCATTGGATATTACTGTATATATAGGTCCTATATCTCATATTATGTATGTTCAAAGCATCCGGAATTGAAGCTTCGTAACTCATATATCATGAAAAGGCAACAAATGCCCCAGTCTTGCCACAGAAACGGGAAGGTTCACATCGACCGTGGGAAAGCCCGTGGACCAATTTTTGAATCCCGACTCAATGACATCGACTAGAGCTGGTACCGGTAGCTCGGAGCCAAGTCTCCGAGGAACTCCTCTTCCCCAGAAGAAGACTGTGCCTCGACAGGCGCATTCTGACGCTTTCGGTTCTCGTGCATCAGAGCAAGAGCATAAGCAATGCAGGCCAAGATAGACAGGCAGCAGAAGGAAATGCAAATGCTGTATCCGGGCTTGTAGTATGGCGCATCCTTGCTCAGGAAGGAGTAAGTAGCAATGATACCACCAATATTTCCGAAGCCAATCTGCCAGGCCGAGCCCACACTGCGGCGGGTGTGACCACCCAGGTTCATCGCAAACCAACAGACAATGACGGGCATGGCACTGTAAGCGCCGCAAGTGACCAAGAATAGGGCGCCGTACTCGGCTGCGCGGTGCTCCTTGCCGTGGATGCTGAACAGCATGGCAAAGCCGGCAATTGCGCAACAGATTGGGATAATGGTGAATGCAAAGCGGAACTTCAGGCGATCAGAGAAATAGGCAATGATCAAGGAGAATCCGAATGCCGCTGCCCAAGGGGGGATAGAGTACAGTTGGGTTTTTACCGCTGGAGGATGGTCAGTCAAAACAATCGATAGGATACTGAAAGATTATCATGCACTTACAGGAATACCCGTAGCTCTGGATGATCGAGGGCGCAAAGTAAGCATAGCCTAGACCGATAGTTAGCACTGAGAATCATGATTAATCATCAGCATAAAGGATCACCAACCGTATGCGGGGACGATGAGACCAAAGTACATGAAGCCTCCAATGATAACCTTGTCTATATCAATTGTCAGCATCTCACACTATCCCAGGCGAAGCAAGATTCCACCTACAATCCTTGAGAACCGCAAAGATATCACGCCAGCCCATCTTGACGTGGTGAGCCGAGTTGCCGACATCCTTGGCCAACTTCGCCTTCACATACTCGCGTTCTTCCTCGGTCAGCCACTTGACATCCTCGGGGAAGTCGGGCAACACGAAGAACCAGACGATCGCAAACACGCAGGTGATCAGACCTTCGATAATGAAGACCCAGCGCCAACCCATGTAGCCACGAACACCGTCCATTTGTCCCAGTCCGTATGCCAAAAGACCACCGAAAGCACCGGCCAGGGTGGTGGAGCTGAAGAAGAAACTGAAACGCTTCTGTGCTTCACTTCGCTTATACCACATGCCCATCAGGTAGAAGCCTATCCAATCCGCATCAGTACTCCTGCTTATCACGTCTCATGTTCAAGCAAGAGGGAAACTCACAGCCTGGGAACATGCCCGTCTCGAAAACTCCCAAGAAGAATCGGGTGGTCATCAATCCTCCCCAGCTCGAGATCAGACCCTGGCAGATCATCACGAGACCAAATCCAAACATACAAAGCGACACTAAATCGAAGCAAGTCAATCATCTGTCGGATATACGCGCCGAATGCGCCGGGTTTCGAGAACTTACACCAGACATGGGGCTTCAACTTCTTGAGCAGAATGTTAGAAGGAATTTCGAGCAGAATGTACGGGACGAAGAAAATCGTCAACGCGGTGTTATATTTCGTTCCGGTCGTCAGGCCCAACTCAGACTTGAGTCCAAGAATGGCGGCATTACTGATGTTAACACTATACGACGAAAAGGTCAAGGGTCAGCGCGCGAGTCGCAAAACATAAAATCAAGCGCGCATTGTCCATACCGGTCCAAAAAGGCAAGCAAATACAGAACACACAAGCATGGCAAGATGTGCCAATCAATCTTGGCCATCAGCTTGCGCTCGGTGGTTTTGGTGAGCGGCGGCAGATCGGAGCCATCCTCTGAAGGAGGATCGAAGACCTGTGCAGGGCCCAATGCCTCTGCGCCGAGCTTCTCGGAATTCAAGTCTGCGAAAACGCGCACGAGAACTGTCAGCGAGGGATCATCACACATCTAGCGACACTGCGCGTGCCGTAGAACGATCGAGCGAAGGGGCTCTATGCGATCGGAGGGAACTCACCGACCAAACCCATGCTGTATGCAATAGTCACCTATGCAGAGGGAGAATTGAGGAACGTCGAGAATCTGACAATGAGAGGGGGAACCAAGCGCGATTTATTAATATTCGGACTTGGGTACTCGCGAGTGCAGATCAGCTCGGATTGCAGGGATGGGCTGCTGCAACGCTACTGTACTATTCGAGGTTCTGGGCCCGATTATATATGGTACAGAAGTCAACGCGCAGACCGGAGAAAATACCGAGCTGGCTTGAAGGGATATATGAAGGAAGAGAAAAAAAAATTAAACAGGAAGTTAGCGAGGCCAAGAGTAGCCGGCGCAAAAAATATAAGTAACCCTTTGAGTCACCCTCGGCCATTGTTCGCTCCAGAACTTGACTGCGTTGCGACTCTACATTCGGTAGATCCACTTGTACGGCTAAGGGCCCGATCTCGGCCTGTACAGGGAGAAGATCGTCCAGGCGTCCAGTTCGCCATGTCAGTCCAACTACTGCTTCTGTTTACCTCCGAGCTGAAGATTATCGTGGCGTGTCGCAAGATGTTTCCCAATGTATTGGGTCATTATACGCGTCAATCTAGTACATACATTTTGTGTCCAAGGAGAGTTTAAGCCCCCAAACGAGATCGTCGGCGGTGTTCCGCACTCTCCCCCGCAAACTCCGCTTGGGAACTCAAAAGGGGTGCCGGCTGAAGGGCTCTTTTACAAAGTTTACTAACCCTCGGCTACCCATTCGCTTGGCCCGACCATCTTGTCATGATTCCAGAGTACGATTTACTAGTGCCATGTACTCCGTACACATGTACATAAGGCTTTACGCAAGCTGCATAGCGCATAATCAGGCCTCCCATCTAGCGGAGTTTGAAAACACTTAGCTGGCTAAGCTTTTTTCTTTCGGTGTGCGCGCTTGCGAGTCGGCGTCCTCCGATCGTCGCAGGAGGCTCTGGTTATTGGACGTTGATCCAAACCTCGTGGTGGAACCATTGACAATAAAGGTCCACAATCAAGAATCATACACACATCCATCCACTTCAAGCGGCTGAGACTGATCATTTGCATCATTCAATCGCAACCCGTGTTCTTGTTCTTGCTGATTAGTTGTTTCATCTTCACATGCTTCAAAAGCCCTGGCTAGTTAGTGGCGACCGGCGTAGCCTTGTGTACACGTCAAACAGCGTCGGCACCAGGTTCCAATTGGCAATTGCAGGTTTAGTCTACCCGTTCTAGTATATATTTCGACGTCAGCTGAGCCTGCTGACTACCTTTCAAGATTAAACAACCTTCTTCTAGTCTGATACGCCACAATACGGAAGCTGGGTTTATGCACATACCTAAACTGGTTAGACATTTGCCTCTTTATGGTTTTATAAGTGTGCTGCATATGGATGGCCACCTAATTATAACATCCCCGTCCTTAATGCTTGGAAAGACAAGCTGACCACGCACACCCCTAATGATTATCGGCTCTCCGTCGGTCATGGCAGGCGATAAATTGAAGTGACCAGCCCCAAAGGCAGAGCACCACACTGGGCAAATGGATGCTTTATGCTCTTGAAATAAGTGGACTGTCCCTGAATTAAAGATCTGGATAATTGCGATCTCGTTTGTAAAGAACATATCAAGCGGCATTGGGAGTATCGAGTAACCTAATATATGCTCAAGGTAAATCCCATTCCAACATCAATCTACTTGATCCCATTTTCAGTTGCTGTTCAGCCATGGGTCGGCCGTTGACACACGTGATACACTCCATTTTGCACTTTGGCCATATTTGGCGGGGACCATCTCCTTATCAGCACGTGATCTTCAAAAATTGTCCTCAAAGAGCATCAAGCGGCAACTTTTCAATCTAACAACCCCACTATCCCGTGCCGCAGAGATCAAAATGCTTATCAACTGTGGCCCCCTGGCTGATTTTACTCAGACACGATATGTGATCCACCTTTCCACAGGAAAGCGACTGGTCTTATTCCGCTTACCGTCCATCGACCCATCTGGTTCAAAACCCAACGAGACACAAGGATGGTCATACTACGCCATGGAGGCTGAATGTCCTCATGCCGGTGGACCCATGGCCGACTCACAGGTAGACATTGAAGATTCAGCATACATCGTTTCATGTCCCTGGCACGCGTACGATTTCAACGTCGAGACGGGAGAGTCGAGTGTAGGCATCAAAGCCTGCACGTTCCCTGTTGACGTGCGCGATGAAAATGTGACGATAGACTTCCCCGTCGAGGAGGGTGTTTCTATCGGCCTGGGTAGAGTCGAGCCGGTCAGTGAGAAAGTGAAGCTTAAGCATGCGCGACCCTCCACCAAGCCAGCACCCAAACAAGAAGATCCTGGCATGGCACACTATCTCGGTGACGACGCGACATTATGTGACTGGGCTGTTCATATTTTGGGCACTGCCAATCCAGAGCACAAAATTGAACTGACTACCCATTTATACAACATTTTCACTTCAAGGGAAGGCACTTCCTCACCCATGGACATTGGAAGAGGCACTGTGACTGCCCCGGACCAACCCCCGCGTGAGAATATGGTCGAAGTGAAACCAGGCGCGATGCCAAAGACCGGAAAGGGAGGGTCTTTGAAAAGCAGGATCGCTATGCTTCATGCACTAGCCAACATCGAGCTCTGGGCCATCGATCTCGCAATCGATATTTGCGTCCGCTTTTCAACATTCAAGACAGCCGAAGATACGCCTCAAGAGCTACCTCGGGCATATTTCCACGACTGGCTGAAGGTTGCAGGTGACGAAGCCAAGCACTTTTCCCTCCTGCGCACCAGAATCGAGGAAATGGGCTCTCATTTTGGCGCTCTGCCCGTACACCACGGTCTATGGCAGTCTGCGACGGAAACAGCACACGATCTCCGGTCTAGAATTAGTATTATTGCGCTGGTTCATGAAGCTCGCGGCCTTGATGTCAATCCCATGACGATTCAAAAGTTCCGCAACGCCCAAGATAACGAGAGCGTCGAGGCGCTGGAGGTTATTCACAACGATGAAATTACACACGTTACAACCGGTCATCGGTGGTTGACTTGGATTTGTGCCCAGGAAGGCACGGATCCGGTACGAGTCTTCCGTGATAACGTGTCAAAACACTTCCGAGGAAGTATTCAGGGCCCGTTCAACGATGAGGCTCGCTTGCAGGCAGGCATGGATCGTCGTTACTACGGAACTAGTCCGACTCCGATTGCAGCTTCCTAATGAGGTCTACTTCGTTTGATGATGTATGAAAAGCATTGAAGATATCATATCATGTTCATGAATTATGTATTAAGCGAGCCATTATCCAAAATTTGTGACCAAGTCACCGGGTCTTAGTCCCGAGAAGTAATTCAATCATCACCAGTTGAGCCAAGCCAATCTACTTGGTGTAGACGGCTTTGAGCTGAGCCTTGCTGCAGCTTGAAGGAATAGTAGGCGTGTAGTAGCGGTTCAAGTAGAATAGCTGAGGGCTATTGTGGTACCAATCACAAACTGAGTTGTATGCATGTCAGTTCATCGACGCTCTTCTTTCCTTTCAAAAGATACCTGAATCATTCAGTCGTTCATTGCACTTACCGAGCCAACCACCGAAGCCGTCAGCCTCAGACCACACAAAGTTGCCCTTCTCGATGGAGAATCCCTCGGAGCCACCACCGACATTGATTTCAATCGGCTCCCACGCTATCGGCATAAGAATCACCATTAGCAAACGGACATTTCAACATCGGTAGATCGGCACTAGAGTATTGCTTATTGACAATATCTGTATACACTTACAGGCATAGTTCGTGTCTCCAGTGGCAATAATACCCCAAGGATAATCAGTCCCCAGGGCAGTCAAAGCAGTGGTACCGTTGAGATAAAACGATGGGGCGCTGGTGCCATTCTTGTCCAGCACAGCATCATTGAAACCCGCACCGGTGTGGTAAGCGTAGACGTAGAGGTTATTGTGGTGAGAGTTTTTGGCACCGAAAGTCTTCAACTGGAATTCTTTCGTGGCCCTGGCAACGGGGTTGGCCATGGCCGTTGCGGCCAGTACGGCGATGGTTGCTAGGAACTTCATGGTCGCGGGCTTGAGTGATTTGGGGATGATGAAATGGTTGTGTCTGTGTGGGCTGGAAGATCTGCTTTTAAGATCGCCTCAGGACAAGATGATCTTATTATAAATCTCACTGGTACAGCGTAGGGTGTGATCGTGCGATTCTCAAAATCCAGTCATAGGCAGCAGTCGCTGGGAAGTCGGTTGGGATATTGTTCCACCTCCAAAAAACCGAGTGTGATGTGGAAAATAGTGCGAAGAAAGACTGAAAATCAGGACTCGGTAGTGAGACATAAGCGACAGAAGCAATGTTCTTCATGCAGCTAGTTAGTGGCGATGGGGAATGTGCGCCCGCCACTTGTGAGTGATGTTGACGCCGATCTCCCCGCATCGGGTATCAATAGAGGCGGAGCCTATGGGAACCGGTGTGGACTGAGGGGATGTGAGACATTCCTTGATGTGATTTCTTAATGTTCACAGTATATATCCCCTTTGTCGGGTTTACATAACTATAGTATGACCTATTCGGCACCCACCTCCGAGTTATGGCTTTGATAAAGCGCTGGTCATGCGACAAAAGGCCGCGAGTACCGTGAGCCACGAGATGATGTCAGACCGGGTAAATTCTTAGTGTGCCGATCTGAATATCTGAATACCGATGGAGTCGTGCATTTGCAGGCTCTTTTCTAAATATACAAGAAATGATATTATCGCAATTATAGTACAAAAGCTTGTGCAGTTTGGATCCACAGGACATTGAATAACGAGTCACATGGCGCGTTGGAAGGGACGTACTCGCTGAGTTCGTGCGAGACTAGTCTATGACTAGAACATCAATCGTCGTTCTACTACCACTCCTTTTAAGCTTGGTAGTTGGCATCCGGCTCAATGGAAAATCGTGGACCGACCTTTCAACGATACAGACTGTTTGGGGCTCTGCGTCTACATTGTGACTGCTAGAAGCAGTACGTCATCTTGGTTTAACTTCTGACACTCAAAAAACCATTGAGGAGCTAATAAGCGGTAGTACTAGTGGCTTTGCTAGGTATTTCGAGCAGTATCACCAAAATAGCAATGCGATATTACGAAAACCCGACAGTTAATTAGATGGCCTAGTGATGTATCATGGTGCTCCGGAAACCATTGTTCCGAGAGATGAGCGAAGTTAGCCCGCTCACCCTTTCAGAGCTCCAACACAAACTTCGAAATGCAACCGCTCACGCCTTTGTTTGGACCTCGGTCAACGGAACTCCCTAAGCCGCCAGTGCCATATACTCCCGAGTGGAGATTCACCGCAAGATCTCACACTGCTTCGAGTCCCACGCCGGTAGTGCGAGACTGCTGTATCAATAGTGAAAGTGACCGCGCAGAGAGAAGGATACTACGTCCAATCGACCGATGCTTAAAGCATCCCCCTTTGCCCGGCAAAGAGGGATATGACATGGTCAGCTTAGAGGCCATCGACGTCTTGAAAGGGGGTGATGGCCATAATTCTTAGGTATTCACGGTCCGACTACTAGACTTTGAGTCAACATCACAGTTGCTTCCTCAGAAAGGCATAGTACTTGTTGCAAAAGTATACGACCCACTTTATTTCGATGATGACGAAGGGTACCTTAACCTATTCCTCTGCGTGGATAAATACTACACTCATGAGGCCAATACATACCTAGCCCTTAGCGAACTTCCAAGGTCAAGGGATTCCGAGATACTATGGGTCATACTCCTTGAGTCTACCTGTGAATTCAGTGCAAACACGGACAGTTCGAATGATTTTGGTCGACCGTATTGAAGGTATTACCATGGCAGATACTAAGCCGAGGAATTTTTCAAAATCAGTTCGTCAAAGCATTTTGAAGTCTATTGTGGACCTTGAGAGCCGGATATTTCAAAGAGACATTTGGCTTACCGATCTTGAACCACGCAATATCATCATAAGCTCCTTAGATAGCGACAGAACTAGTGTCGTGTTCATTGATTTCGCCCATGCCCTTTTCAACTGCAGACGAGATGAACCCTTTTTGTTACAGTTGAATTATTTTCTGGGAGAATACGTTTCGCCGGTCCTTCGGTGGAAGGAAAGCAGAAGCAAAGGAGATTCGTTGTCAGAGTGGATTGATTGGGATTGGGATCCCTGGCTCGAAACTGAATTTGTGCATACGATCTCAAGCATCAAGCCAGGTATGCGAGAAATATGGCCCGACGAATAGTCAGTTCTGTGAGTGATCCTATGGTGGGTTGGGTGGGTGGTTTTGGATATGGAATGTGGTTATGTTTAGCCATGTAACAGTACATCATTCTATTTCTATATTTTTCCCTTATTACCATAAAAACCTGAAATAAAGTTTTAGATAAGGAAATAACCACCACATAGGGGTTGAAAAGTATGGCAATGTTTCCAATATAGAAGGCAACAACGGGCGGCACTGTAGAGTCGATACAGCTTCTTGACAGTTGATTTGCCAAGATGAACGGTGTGGCTGATGAATTCTAAAACAATTCACATAATTCAAGCCCGAGCGGCTCTTTATTCCATTTGTGTTCTTCTCCATCCCTCTGGCGGTTTTCATATCCTCCTCTAGGCTCAAAATCCCATGTTCTATTGCGCCCCCAAGACACTACTGCCGACAGTTCCATCTGCCAGTCCACGCTCTTCATCCTTATCCTCTTCCACAGGCCGTTCCTGTTTGTTAGCCGGGGCAAATTTGCTCCGCATTCTAATTTGTTTCCCATACTTATAGAACAGAAAGGGAATAGCGGCAAGGAGAGTGGCAACACCCGCGAGCAAACTGCCTCCTCCTCCCACACCCAACGCCGCGAACATCTGGGATGTGAAAAGTGGTGCTGCCGCTCCACAGGCAGAACGAGCGATCGTGTTCGCAGCAATGGCAGATGCAGCGTACATCTGATAAACGTCCACGAGGTAATTCAGAAACCCGACGAAGATGAGCAGCAGGGCACTCGACAGAAAAACTCCAGCAAGGGTTGGTACAATCCAATGGACAGAGCTATGTCAAAGTCAGCTTATATCAGCAGTTTTTTTTTCGTATCGAGCGACTAACTTGAACTCGGCCGACCAGGCGAACCAGAACATGGTTGCGGCAAAGGCGATGCCTCCACCCATCGCCAACGGTAGACGGTCTTCTGGCTCAGCATCTTCCATCTTAGTTGTACCGTTGTCGACCTTTTTTTGACGCATCCGAGTGTCTGCTAAAACAATAGCACCGCCGAATAGAGCACCCACAACGGTTCCTAGCAACGGCAGCTCCCCAACGCCAGAGTTCCAGCCCCGTCTCTCCTGAAACACGATGGGGTATATGGTGAACAACATGTAAAGCAACGTGTAGACAAACGCCAGGTAAATTGCGCACAGCAAGGATATCGGGTCGAACAGAATAATCCATGGCCGAGTCAGAGCAACCTTATAGATGCCCACGAGTGTCCGATCACTGTCCTCAACTGGGGCTTTCACGTTTTCATATCCGGGTATCTGTGCATCGCGGATCCGTCGTGCTTTGTGATACAGGACAATCGGCGCGTAAGTCTCGGGAATCGTCAACATTATGACAGCCGATGCTCCACCGAGCCAGAGAAGCACATAGAAGCTCCATCTCCAATCCTCTTTCAACTGGAGGAAACCTGCTACCACAGGTCCGAGTGCTGGCCCAATCCAGACCATCGCCGAGAAACCAGCCATCGCATTGGCACGCTCCAGCGGATTCCATACATCGGCCAAAACACCTGGGCAGTTACTCAACGGGGCAGACACAAACGTTCCCGTCAAAAATCTCCCGACCAACAAGCTTCCAAAATTCGGCGGGAATGCACATAGAAAGTTAAAGACAAGATAGAGCAGAAAGGTAATGTAGAAGATCCATCGGCGACCGTAGAACTCGCTCAGCGGAGCGAAAATCAACGGCCCAGCACAATACCCTAGCAGGAATAGGGTAATCGTCAAGCCTGCAACTTCGTTGGAAATATCGAAATGCTCAGCGATTGATGGGAAACATCCACTCGGCGAACTCGAGGCGAAAGTGGCATTCACAACTAGAAGCACCGCAGCCATTGTCACACCAGCTCGACGGCGCATCGACCAATTCCGAGGGTTCTCAATATCCCCCGGACCAAAGCTAACGTATCCATCCTCATCAAGAGTAGGCGGAGTCTCATCTGTGAGATCTTTCGTTCTGTATGGTTTATTGACCGCACGGGACAATACGCGCGAGATGGGTGTCATCGCGACTACTGTGGGAGAATGAAGAGCTTCATGCCCGTAATGTTGGTGCGGGGGAAATATGAATGAGCCAAGCACCTAGAATACGCATGCAATAATCACCGTTTCCCTTATGACAGGCTAAACGTGCATTGGGAGAATTAATAATATTGCGATGTACCTAAATCCTTGGGGCCCCGCAGTCAGCGAATGGATATCGCCTTTAAGACCGGGGTCTATCTCCGCACCTGTGCCGAGTCCCGAGATGAGATCACTTGAACATGGAACTGCTGGTGGCGGTGACTGATAACAAGAAAAAGTACCGATTGAAAGTAGATTGATCAGATTTTGATTTGATGCCTACATAATTTGGTTGGGGATACTTAGGGAGATCGTGGTTCGTCTGTAGACCTTGATGGCGACCCTCGGAGCTAGTGCTGTACATAGATGGCGCGGCTGGTCCCGCACATCTCGTAATCATCATGATCTCACGTTTGAGTGGCCATGGGCATAAAGATATCCTTGAGCTAATCAGGTATGCACCTACGAGCCTTGCAAGGCTCGTGGTATCTTTCTGCCTGTCAGCGGGGTTATCCAATCATGTTTGCTTCTCAGTACCTTCAACAGTCTTGTTATCAGCTTTAGTACGACGAAACACTAACAAAATATCTCTCCTAAGCAGTCCAGCCTTCTCAATTTAAACATAATGCGTTTTTTGCTTCCGGTCCTAGATAGAGCTAGGTGTCACTCAATCGAAATCTATACCGCGAACCAGGTCGAGATAATTTGCATTACTCAAACGTCGCTTCTCTTTTAGTACCATTATATGCTCATTTTAGGGGTTAATGCAAATATCCCCGAGTCGACGTATATTTATCTTGTTTCGTAAGTATTAAGCTTAAGAGGTATGTTAACCTGTGCGAATATTTACTCAGGGGTTGAATTTGGAGCCCGTAGAACATCTAAGACTGACTGTCTAGACGCCTATCATAGGAAAGCTTGGGAGGGTTTGCCATGAAATTCAGTCACTAAAGAAGTTATATGTAGTCATTAAGGGAGTACCATAATTCCCAGTCATATTAGTTTAATATATTATTTAAATGGATTAGATATAAGTATACTTAACTAAAATCTATAGCCTAAAAGAGAGCTTACCAGTTTGATTTCATCCTATATATTGTGAGTATGGCCATCGGGAAGGGACAGATTACCATAGGGCTACATTTATGAACATCGTTTGCTACATGTTGAACCTTTTATGCCACACTGATAATCATTAAATGCCTCTTTGTCTCCTAGGATTTTATTCTAGCTTGAACATTATGATGTCTTATGATTTGATATTGTCTGAAACTGAAGGTTCACGAAGGGCCTCATAGTTTATGCTAATCGAGCAATGAAGCGAACGCGAAACATGCCGATCGGTGAGCTGGTTACTATATTCGGTCTAGTTAGGAGGCCCCTGCTCTTAGGCGCGTATTTTTAGGTCAGATTTAACGGCAGGGATGTGCAAACTGCAAACGCAGAATCGTTATTTTGCAATTAAGAGAGCCAATTATTTTCAAAAAATCCCCGATGTTAGGGACCAGTGATTGGTGATTATATTCTAGGGTCTGGAATCCTCCTCTTTCCATGAACTATGAGTGTTTAAGAAGATGTCTGATTAGGCTCTTCTATCTATCTTGTTGACTGACTTTCACGTTGTTTACCGATTATTGCGGGAGCCTAGGGATACTCAGGGGGACAATGTTTTCATCGAGCTTTAGCTCCCATTCCGACCGTGGAGCAACCCGCAAACCCCCTAAATGGAGGGTCGCTCTACGGTAGTTTCTTACAGACTATAGACAAGAACTAGCTGCTATTAAGCATCAAAAACTCAACCTAAATACCTATGCTAGCAATTTGTATAGAAAATAATCTAAATATGAATCAATATACACCATCAGGCCCCCGCTGCCCCTCTAAGCTCACTTGGATTGTTAAAGTGTCAGCTCATTCGGGACCCACACTCTGAGCACGGGAAAACTCTTCCCACCCCTGACCACGCGTTGTCCTCACGGAGAAGACGACTCGGGAGTTGAATTATTGTTTGCCCATTTATCATTTCAGTTCTTTCAGATCTACATTACTTTTCCAAAATCCCAGTGACTTCGATGGAATAGCGTGTTCCCGAGGCTTCCGCTCATCATCGTGAGTGTGTGTCAATTACCTGCAGTTCCGATCCAAATAATACTAAGAATCCCATCGTTTCAGTCGCCCAGCATGGATCCCGCCACATACGTGGATCCTGAGCTTACCATCGCAGATCATCTCGTACTCGACACACTCGTTGATAAGCCAGGCTCAAAAGGTGCGTATCTCCGTCTCCTAGTTGGCCTTCTGACAGCTCACTAACAACAAACAAGGGGAAACAGGGACATCATCTACACAACAAAAGCCCAGCGATGAAGATGTCATCCAGAAGCTCCAGGATATGAACGATGCATCGCATCCTGATTTCGATCCTACAATCTTCCAGTTTTGGGATACCCCAGTGCTCCGGGCTAAACTGCCTGTGGCTCTCCAGCGCTATGTCTTGCAGCCCTATCAGAAGTGGGCCCAAGGAGTTGTGCGCTTTCCCACCGATGTTGTCATGTTGACCCATCTTTTGCTGTATTTCACTACCATTGTGCCAAGCGCCATCTTTTTGTATTATCGCTTTTCCTGGTTCCATGGTGTTTTGCATTGGGTCATGCAATTATGGTACTGTGGAGCTTTCACCTTGATGAAGCACCAACACATTCACATGAACGGTGTCCTGGCCCCTGGATACTGGCTCTTCGACGCCCTCTTCCCCTACGTATTGGACCCGATGCTCGGGCACACGTGGAATTCCTATTACTACCACCACATAAAACACCATCACGTCGAGGGCAATGGTGAGCAGGATCTGAGCACGACTATGTTCTATGATCGTGACAGTGGATTCGACTTTGCCTGTTATGTCGGGCGATTCTTCTTCTTCATTTGGATGGAGCTTCCCCTCTACTTTTGGAGGAAAGGCCAGTTCAAATATGCCTGCAGGGCTGCATTCTGGGAACTCGGCAACTACGCGACCATCTACTTGCTCTACAACTACGTTAATGCTCGCGCAACCGTCTTTGTGCTCATTCTCCCTCTCACAGTCATGCGCTGTGGCCTGATGGTGGGAAATTGGGGCCAGCACGCTTTCGTGGACCCTATCGACCCTGACTCGGATTACCGCTCGAGTATCACCTTGATTGATGTTCCGGTAAGCATTGGTTAATTTTTTCCTAGTGTTGATATGCTAACATAGGTCCAGAGCAATCGATACTCATTCAACGATGGGTACCACACTTCTCACCACTTGAATCCTCGTCGCCACTGGAGAGATCACCCTGTGGCATTCGTCAAGGGCAAAGACCGCTATGCTGAGGAAAGGGCCTTGGTCTTCCGGAACATTGACTACATCTTCATTACCGTGTATTTGCTGCGCAAAGACTACACTCACCTTGCAAAGTGCCTGATTCCGATGGGTGACCAGGTCAACATGACTTTGGAGCAACGGGCAGAAATGCTGCGCGGCAGGACTCGGCGGTTCCCGCATCCCGATACCAAGAAACATCGCTAAGGATCATCTAAGTTCAAAGTTCTCTTGGCTGGAAGTGCCGAAGCGGATTTCGTATTTGATGAACCGGATTTATTGATAGACTGTACCAAATAGATGCCACAACTCATACTAGGCTGCTGCTTCGGTAAAAAGAACGCTATAAATCCCATACCTTCCAATAACAAAGCTTTTGAGCACAATTTGGACGTACGCTAATGATTCATCGATTATCAATCAGCCAGATCTGACCTTCCCAAGCCATCTGTGCAATTTGCCCTTCTTTTTGTTGAATATTGTCTTTTCAGGAGGATGAATATGAGGGCGCGAAGTCTGTTTCAATTGAGTTTGTGGATGTGGCGACCTTGTAGCCCCTTTCCACGCTATACGGGTCATTTCCTCGAGCTCCTTCGCATCCTGCGGAGTGGTTAGTATTGTGACTGCTGCAGACTGCTGCTGGAATTCTTCGAGATCCACAAGCCCATTCCTGCACAGGCATCGCAAAATACTCCGGATGGTCGCGGTTCCGTACTCCCGCATGCCTGTCCATACCACTTCGAACGGGATACGACTAACTAGGGGGCGAGTCTCCACCAGCAGGAGAATCATATCTAGAGGGTTGCCAACTACTTCTATACTAGATGGTAGGTCGTGCAAATCCTCTGCAGCTGAAGTTCGAGTAACCTTGAAAATCATTTCAAGGCTTCTCAATCTCTCTTCCTCGCTGATACTGTCCGTCTCAAAGCGATTCGAGATAAAATGGGCCATATTGCTCAACACGGCGGACACGTTGAAGTTCTCAGCGTCTGTGAGAGGAAGGCCCAGATTCTCCCAAGGATACCTCACATGACCGTATCCCGCAATCGTACGGTCAAGATGTTCAAGCACTGTGTTGAGCGACTTTTGATGACATTTCTCGTATTGCTGTGCAGAGTAAAATATGCCTTCTGTCAGTCGCTCCAAATGTACCGGATCTGCAAGTCTTGGGTCTAGCTCTTTTGCCTCAGCAAGTTGAATATTGCAAAGTACAGAGTGGACATCAAAGCTGGAGGGCGTCCATTCTTTCAGAACTCGCTGGCAATCTTCTGTGACAAGGAAGTCTCGCACCGTCCGATGGAGAAAATCGACCCTGAGTTCAGACGGTGTTTCCCACTTGCCCGTCTTCACAATCTCCAGGAACCCTTTAAAGCGCCCGTTAAGACGTGCCGTTACTTTGCGAACCTCTTCTTTCCAGAAATCCTTCAGTCTTCCTCTCTTCTCAGCTGAGTAGTCAACCTGCTTGGTGATGGCAACACTAGCATCTAGCTCTAACTCATCAAGGTACCAGAAGCTGACAACCGAGAGCGGGTTCTTTGCAGCCAGTGCTATAGAAAATCCACGAGCAATTTGTGCTTGATAGAACGTGTCCAAGGAGTCCATGATATGTTTGAAAAGGTCGTTGAGGTCGGCTGGATAAGCACTCACGCGACGCTTCAGGTCCACGATTCGGTCCTCATTGACTAGGCCTTGTTTGACCAAAAGGACGACCAGATAGACCCAGAGAAAAACGCCATTTGAACGTTGAACAATATCTGAAGCCAGTTCTGTGGCATCTGGATTAGATAGTGCCAAAGCTTTAAAATCAGCACGGTCTTGCAGTTGGTTCTTCACATAAAGCTCGATGTCAGGCCTGTTCAGGTTCTCCAGGTAGAGCTTGCGTGTCGAGTTTTTCCCCAGGGCTTTCTCAAAAATGTTCCAAGGTCTGCTTGCCACACAGAGCTTGATTGGGGATGTCTTAGCCATGTACGAAAGTAGATTGACCAGATCCTCATGTTCGCCCTCATATTCATCCAAACCATCGATGAAGATACAGAACGCATTGGACGAAGCCGTCTGTTGGGTGATCTTTTGTAAGCCGCTTAGCAGCTCCCGGCGACTCCACGGCATTGATAATTCATTGAAGTCATAATTCAAATTCAAGGAGTCATTCCATTGCTCTGGAAATGTTGTTTCAATAAGTTCAGGACACTTCCGGAAGATGTCAAACAATAAAGATCGAAGTAGACCCTCCTGCGAGCGATGGAGATCGGTACCATTGATCCAAAAGAAGTAATCAATAATGACCAAATTTCTTGTGCCTGCCCATTTGCGTAGGTGATCAGATGTATCAGGGCTGCTGGCCAGGTACTTCATTAGAGTGCTTTTGCCCGAACCGGGTTTCCCACTTATCCAGAAGAGAGGGTCCTCAGAAACCATCCATTCCGAGAAGTCCGATATGTAAGCCCAGCTGTACGTGCGCTTGTGGGCCTCTGTTACTTGAGACCGACGTAACTCCATACCATCAAAGCGAAGACTTCGCATGACGAATAATTGTATAGCCATATTATTACTGGCAAGGGCCGAGGTCATCACTTTTTCCGTGATTGCGGTGATATCGACAGTCGGAAGAGCTTCCAGTTGTTGGATTTCTTGTTGCCATTTCACTTGCTGTCGGGGCTGGGAATTCTCGCCTTTTTCCTGCTTCTGAGCAAGCATGAACATTTTGCTTTGTCGCTCAAAGTCCGCTCTCAGTGTCTCCATGGATTCCATCACCGTTTTTCTCAAGTCTTGGATCGATGGCGCCAACCCAGCTCGAAGCAGGTTGTTGGTTTCGAGTAATTCGTCCATAATACGCATATTTCCACCATTAAAGCTGTATCCATGTCAGCATCTTGCTTCATTAGGAAATTCCATATGGCTTACCTCTGCATGATCGTCAGGCGGAGGATAAGCTGCAATCGATACGACTCGAGTTTTTTGGCCATTTCATCGATGCGGTCTTGTTTCCACATTGTTTTCAAGGCGGCTCGAAAACTGCTCCATCGCGAAGTGTTGCTGTCCTGCAGATCATTCAGAACCAAGAGAAGCTCATTAGCGGTTCGTTTGCACCTGTCGCCAAGGTTGACAAGCTCCGTTTCTTCGGGTGTCAAGGAATTTGGATCGATGGGCGGCTTCAAATTCGCCGTCAGTGAGTGCAGATCGTTGGTGATGCCCAACAAAGAGTCGGTGCCTTCATCGTATCCCGTAGCACTCTTGTAGATCTTGCGCGACTTGGAGAACAACGTGCCAGAAAAGTGAAGGAACTGGCATACCGCACAAGCCAAAGACAGTGAAGTGAATGGATCGAGGACCATTTTCGCGATGCGATCGTTGCAATTAGAAGAGAATGATGTAGCGGTAATGGGTAGCTATGGCGATGGAAATTATTTGGTTGTTGCTCAGCCCCGCTGGGGCTGAAGTACGATGGCGGCTTTAAACACAACATGATTCGAGGGCAATCATAGGTACCGATACGATATCGATACAGTTTTCATGCACGAGTAACGAATAGTATAGCAGTAAAGTCATATGTATGATGCTTCAAGACCCATAGAGCAATTGCTTTGATCTTTAGGATGGTAGAACTATTCACATGACGACACTTTGGATACTTGGAGCGGATGAAATGGCCGTAAAATGAAGCCACCAACCATAGGACGGGCCGGCAAATGTGCAAGTCCACGTGCTTTGAGTACCTTATGTACCTACTCAGATGAGTAGAGTTATCAGCAGCACTCAAAAACAGTGTGTTGCTGAAACTACCGCAAACCGCATTCTTCGGCTAATACAGACAGGTCTGGGGGAGACCGACGAAGCAAGAGTATTCCTCAGGCCTGGAAATGACACTAGTTTTCATGAAAGAAAAGATAGTATCGTGAGCGACAGATCTGGCAAAATTGAGGCTATTGTTATGAGCAACGCACCTATTGAAAAAGGGTCGCGAATGCTAATACGGCGCCTTTCTCCAATTTATGAAAGATTATACACAGTGGATCCTAACAACAAGGGTCTGACTGAAACCTGAAAGAAGGTGGGGACCAAGCAAGAGAAGCCATCGAATGATCAATAATATAACAGCTCCATATGAAAGCGTGCAGGGCTCCAACGCCCCTCTCGGTATCTGATGATCTCACCCTACCTTGGACGCTTAGACCGCGTGGGCCGAGCCAAGATCTTGCGCTGTGAGGGGTCTTTGGTGATTGGATCCCTATCACCCGATTCCGGTCGCACTAGTTCTAATAGATAGCTGCGGGGAAAGATGTAACCTTTGTTTTTGTGATGCGGTCGACAAAGCAATCACAGGGGTAAATCCGATGACAAGGCACAGCTGACAGGAGGCATCGGATGCATGCCGCACGTATAAAGACGGCACCCCTTGGAACGCGACTTTTCTCTTGATTCCAGTGCATTACAACCGCTAAGATCTGGATTTGACGGCGAATAAGCCTCTATTCAACTCATAATGCGCCCGTGGCTTCCACTATCATTAGCCACTCTGGCAGCTGGTTATGTTGTCAACAAAGATAAAACCTGCACACTATACCCGGAATCTCTGAAAAATAATGGCCAGGCAGTCGACGATGCCCCTTCAATTCAAAAGGCCTTCGAACTTTGCGGTACCGATGGCAAGGTCATTTTTGCTGCGAACCATACATTCAATGTCAATTCTGTTATGAACACGACCAACTTGTTGAATTGTGACGTGTCTCTAAGGGGTGAGCTCCGCTTCTCGACGGACATTCCATATTGGCTTTCACACTCCTACTCCGTTGTCTTTCAAAACCAATCTACCGCGTGGCTATTTGGCGGTACAAATGTCACATTTCGAGGCGAAGAGGGTGGCTGGTATAATGGCCAAGGTCAGGCTTGGTATACTCAGAACCGTAACCAAAGCAATCAACCTGGTCGGCCTATTAGTATCACCTTCTACAATTCGACAAACCTTCTAGTGGACGGACTCACTATAATTCAACCTCAATTCTGGGCAACGTTCGTCTGGCAAAGCAAGAACGTCTCTATTACGAACTTTTTCGTCAATGCCACCAGTGATGATGAATGGGGTACCGTGAACACTGATGGCTATGATTCTTGGAATAGCGATAACTTGCTTGTTGAGAATGCCGTCGTCACGAACAGCGATGACTGCATCGCTGTTAAAGGAAACACAACGAATCTTGTTGTCAGGAATGTCACCTGCCACTGGGGTTTCGGTATGGCAATCGGGTCTGTGGGACAGTATGCTACGATGCCCGACTACGTGGAAAACATCACATTCGAAGATGTCAAATGCTATAATTGCATGGAAGCAGCTTTCATCAAAACATGGCAGGGAGTTCCCGAAGACAACAGCTCGAACGGCGATGGTGGAGGCGGCGGCAGCGGGCTCATCAAGAATGTGGTGTTCCGCAACTTTGAATTGACCAATGTTGCCTTGCCTATTCAAATATCTCAGTGTATCTATACTGAGAATGGGCAAAACTGCAACACATCAAAGATGGCAATTGAGGATGTCACATGGTCCAACATCAAAGGCACCTCGCGGTATAACATTGCTGCTTCGCTGTATTGCTCGGACGTGCACCCTTGCCCGGGTATCAAGTTTGAGAATGTCGAGATTCAATCGGTCAACCATACCCTGGGGCTGCCTATGTCTGATACGACATTACAAGATGAGGTGTACCAATGTACGAATTTGGTTGACAGTTCGGGCGTTCCCTGCAATCGCGCGGCACCGAGTAATTATGGACAGGTCGTTACTTCGAACGTGAAAGATGACGGAAGTAGCACTGACACTTCGATGGACTCGATAGTGGCAGCCAAGAAGGAGGAGCAGGAGAAACTTGGTTATCAACACTGATCATGACCCCGTAAATCCCTAGGAATCTCAGTCCTAATATTGGGTTATCCCGAACACAAGTACATAATTCTTCTATCTGAACCAAGAGTGTATACAGAACAAGGAAAACATCGAACGTCTGTTCAAAAATCAAAGCACTAAACGCATCCTCCTCTAAAACGTCATATGCTTTTCAAATAGATCCATCATCGCCATGGCCCTAGCGGAGACCATCTTGCACTCATCTGTAACGTTAGAATCCTTCGAAACCTCCCCGAATCGCCGCTTCCAAAACTGCCACCTTTCGAGGGAAAGACCGGTTGTGCCATTGTAAAGGCTACCAGAGTCCCATGCCCCTCTATCCGGCCAAGTCTCATATGTTACATCATAGAGAGCTGGCTCCAGGATGAGGTTGAATATACTTTGCCCATTCCACAAAATCCACTGCGCTGCTCCCAGAATCCAGGAGCTGCGAACTTCCTTCCCCTCGTGGCTTCTTTCGTCTTCAAAGGCAGCACGCATAGCCCACAGAGCATATGTGGGATCCGTCGGGAAAATACGATGTTCGTATAAATGAGCTAAGAATGAGTTATAGTTCACATATCTGTCGGGATTGTCGCTATCAGGACCTGAAGCAAGTGGTCAGCGTCGTTGAAGTCTTAAGATTGGTTTTATTTGAGTACCTTCGCAAAAGTCTTCCATGGAATGTTTGAGGAGGTTGAAACGCCAGACTCTGCCATTCTATAAATTTCGAGTCTCCTGTTAGCGATGACCACAGGCAGGGTTGGGCAATAATTACCTCTTTGGCAAGGAATGTGAAATGACTTGAAAGACCAAGAGCCTCAAGCAATTGGGCCAATCTCGAATGTGACAAAGTTTTATAAGAAGCCATCTCAGCGAGCTCAAAGCAGTCCTCTCCAAATCTACAGATCTCCTCAGAGTCGGGAGCATCCGTAGGCAAGAGCTTCAAGAGGGACTCTACAGCCAAATCGAGTGGCAATGGACTCTCAAGGCCCAAGTAATCGTTCAGCACCGCGAAGGCTTTCTCTTGCGTGTGCTCTATATTCGAGGTCACTTCTCTCGCTTCTCGATCCTTTCCAGACGGCTTTCGGCAGAGCTGAGATAGGTGAAGGCCCATGTTGTGTATCACGAGCGGGTCTGATTTGCGATATTTGTGGTACTTGGATGAATGCTGTGAAATATTGAGAGGTTGACAATTGAAATAGAGAAAAGGACTGGGAATACATCACACAGAGCTGCTTTTTAAGTACCTGTCTAGCTCGTGCCTGAGAAAAGATTTTGCAGCCTGCCGTCAAGCGCTGGTTAAGCGCTTTTTTCAGAAAATCATCACGGGCGCTACGTATTTGCATTGGCTGAACCATTAAATTGTTAGCGCCGGTTTCAGGATTTTTTTTATTTGACAGGACTAGGGACTTTTGATCTCTTCATACTGGCGTTCGTTAATTTATGTATCATCTCAGACCATGGAAATTTCCTGAAGAAAAGGTCGAATAGATGGTGACCTTGGCGGAAATCGTTCCTAGATGGTCAAATGACGAAGGAACAAAACACATTTACAAATAGTCGCCCATGCACAAGTGAGTGATAGGGATGATCGACTTTATTCAAATCTTGAAACACTAACTTCTGCATAAAAGAAATTCTTGGTCTCGAGATTTAAGCGCTCAGCTCTAAGAACAGCTAAGAAGGGCAAATGATCATGTCTTGGCGGGGACCAGGCTTGACGTATCCTAGGAGCACACAATCATGATACTCGAGATAATAGCTTCAACATGGATTCTTGATGACTTGGTCATTGACTCTTCATTATTCTGGTCTATAAAGTTGATTTGTAATTGCTATATGACATACCTGAAGCTGTTCTTGGGAGGATAAGGTAATTAGTGAGCAAGGTGACTCACGGATCGTATCAAGCGCCATAAAAACGACGATGCCCCTCTATTTTACAAACCTCGATCAATCACAAAAAACGACTCTTAGTTCAGCCTCTCTAAAATGACATCCCCAATCGATCTAAGTCTTCCAACGGCTCTAATTCTCATCGACAACCAATCGGCCTTTACCCACCCGACAACCGTTTCTCACTGGGGCGCCTCACGCTCCAATCCTCTCTACGAAGCGAACCTCCAATCACTTCTCTCCACTTTTCGAGATGCACGAGCAACATCGTCGACTCCACTAGAGGTGATTCACGTCTTTCACTCCTCCGACTCGCCTTCTTCGCCTCTCCACCCGTCACATCCGGCGGGGGAATCCGACCGCTGGACTTTGCCGTCCCGGCAGCGGACGGGTCGGAGCCTATCTTCTGGAAGAATGTCAACTCTTCGTTTATCGGGACGGGCCTTGAGTCGCATTTACGGCAGAAGGGTATCAGGCAGATTATTTGTGCTGGTTTGACGACGGATCACTGTGTCTCGACTACGGTTCGTATGGCGGCGAACTTGGGCGTTGTCGATCGCCTTTTGGACGAGGGTCCTGTTCGGTTTAGATCTGATGGTTCTCGTGAGAAAGAGGTGCGAGTGGAGAAGGGGCGTATTATTCTTGTTTCTGATGCGACTGCGACGTTTAGCAAGGGTGATTTTGATGCGGAAACCGTGCATAAAGTCTCCGTTGCCAGTCTTGATGGCGAGTTTGCCGATGTGATTGGAACCGAGGAGGCGGTCAAGGCTCTAAAAGATATCAAGAAGCCTTGAGTTATCCTAGTGTGTTAAAGGGACTCGGAAATACGAGCATTGTCGGGTGCGATCTATGCCTTATATCCATACCAGCCTCGGGTAGAGCTCTTTCGAGAGCCATAGCTCCATACAAACGAAGTTATATTTGCTGATATCTATTGATTTACTGTGAAGAAGCGGTAGTAGGCTTATATAGCAATGCCTGCTGGATTTAAGATCTTTGAGATGAAGTCAAGACGACCTCATTTCAATTAGAATGGCAGGCATATAGTTGAGCCAGCTCAATGTTATAGGTCAACCGCCTGGGCTGACAGGTTGCCTTTGAAGTACTGCTAGTCGTTGCAGTACAAAGTGTCGAGCCACCCTTAAAAGTACATCTACCATAGTGGAAAGTCAACAAAGTAAAAGTTACACGAAACTAATTACTTCAAGGGTCTCTAACACAAAGGAGAAAAAGAATACAGGCGCGGCTTAATGAGATGAACCGCAGATGACCATTTGAACAAATGGTAAATATACCTCCGAACCCCCAGTCTTCCAACAAAGAACCAGGACACCAAGAGAGCACAAAAACGTCAAAAGCAGAGCTTCAGACTGGGAATTTAGACAAGGTCACGCTTGACGAACTCGGCAAGCAGGGCCTTGCCCAGGGAGGCAGGGCTGCGCTCGACGATGACACCAGCATCCTGGAGAGCAGCAATCTTGGAGTCGGCACCACCCTTACCACCGCTGACGATGGCACCGGCGTGACCCATGCGGCGGCCGGGGGGAGCGCTGATACCGGCAATGAAGGAAACAGCGGGCTTGTTGTGGATGTTGTTGGCCTTGAAGAACTCGGCGGCGTCCTCCTCGGCAGAACCACCGATCTCACCGATCATGATGATACCGTCGGTCTCGGGGTCCTCGAGGAAGATCTTCAGGCAGTCGATGAAGTTGGTGCCGGAGAAGGGGTCACCACCGATACCAACGACGAGGGACTGACCGAGACCAGCCTGGGTGGTCTGGTTGACGGCCTCGTAGGTCAGAGTACCGGAACGAGAGACGATACCGACACGGCCGCGCTTGTGGATGAAACCGGGCATGATACCGATCTTGCATTGACCCTAGAGAAGCGAACTGTATAAGGATATGACGTTCAGCTGTCGGCGAGGATCGTCACTTACGGGAGCAATGATGCCGGGGCAGTTCGGGCCGACCAGGCGGGTCTTGTTCTGAGTCTTGAGCATGTCGGTGATGCGGACCATGTCTATGGGGTATATGTTAGATCGGGTTCCACTCGGAGGCGATAAACTCGTTTCGTACCGTGCTGGGGAATACCCTCGGTAATGCTGTAGTGCAAACAAGACAGTTAGCTCGGGCTCTAAAAAAAGTGTACTTTTAAAGGGGAGCTCTTAGGGAGCTCGGGGGCCGGAAGCACTTACCAAACAACAAGGGGCATCTCAGCAGCAATGGCCTCCTCGATACCAGCAGCAGCAAGAGGAGGACTGATTGCAATTAGTTATTGTCTTCTTGCGATCATCTGGGGGCAGCATAGCGGATATCATACGGAACGAAAATAGCGGAAGCGGTAGCACCGGTCTCCTTGCGAGCATCGGCAACGGTGGCGAAGACGGGGCGGTCGAGGTGAGTGGTGCCGGCCTTCTTGGGGTTGGTACCACCGACGACATTCGTGCCTGTTATTTATGAGTTCGAGTGGTCTTTTTCGCGATCGCGACGAGAGGATAAATACCGTAGGCGATGGCCTGCTCGGCGTGGAAACTATTTCAAGAATTCGTCAGCGCCCAGCGCATGGAATCAGGTTTGACATGGAAGATTGATACTCACGTTCCCTGCTTTCCGGTGAAGCCCTGGAAGAGAACCTTGGTGTCCTTGTTGATCCGCAGGTTGTTCACAGTGTCGGCATAGGCAGAGGTGGCCTTAAGGTAGGTCCGGCGCTGCTGGCCAGCGACATTGCGGACGGCCGAAAAGGTGTTACGGCTGAAGGCCTGCATGACTGCAAGAATGTAATTGAAGGGAGGGGGGTGGAGAGGAGAGGGGAGAGGAGAGGTTGAGAGGAAAGAGGTTGACTCGGGGAAGAGGTTAGCAAAGGATTCGGGATGCGCGCCCGGGAGTTTTCGTTCGGGACAAATCTTTACTTAAGCGGACCCGACTTGAGTTCGGATCGCTGCCTCGGCCACCAACTTTTTTCTATCTAATCGCTTCAACAACCCCACCACCACTGCGAATATCCCGGCATCTATCTCGATCACTCTTCGATATTCGCCTATTTCCTGTCTTGTGTCTCGTGCCTCGTGGCAACCCCAGTCGCCGCTGCGCGGTGAAACTCCTGCACCATGGCCACCATGACCATGACCGCGCCGGTCAATAAGAAGACGGCGAAGAAGAACAACAAGCTGATCCCCGAGAATGAGCGATATATGCGAGCATGCTCCGACATTGCGAATGCGCTCATTCAAGAATACGAGTCGCAGAGAGACATCTCGGCGCCGCGAAAGGACATCAATCTCAACAAGCTGCGGGGCATGATCGCGAAGAAGCACTCCCTAGCAAGTCAACCGCCACTGACGGCTATCATTGCCGCCGTGCCAGAACACTATAAGAAATATATCCTGCCGAAGCTGATCGCGAAGCCAATCCGTGAGTCAAGCCCATTCGATACCGACTAGACCTCGAAGCTAATCCCACCACACAGGAACTTCCTCCGGTATTGCCGTGGTCGCTGTGATGTGCAAGCCTCACCGATGCCCCCATATCGCATATACCGGTAACATCTGCGTCTACTGCCCCGGTGGCCCCGATTCCGACTTTGAGTACTCTACACAATCCTATACCGGATACGAGCCGACGTCGATGCGTGCGATTCGCGCTCGCTACGATCCGTTCGAGCAGGCGAGAGGACGAGTGGATCAGATCAAGTCTCTGGGCCACAGTGTGGATAAAGTGGAATACATTATCATGGGTGGAACGTTCATGTCATTGCCGGAGGATTATCGCGATACCTTCATTTCTCAGCTTCACAACGCTCTGAGCGGTTACCAAACGGACAACGTGGACGAGGCCGTGTTGGCAGGCGAAATGAGTAACACCAAGTGTGTCGGTATCACAATCGAGACCCGTCCAGATTACTGTTTGGATACCCATTTGAGCAGCATGCTTCGCTACGGCTGCACCCGGCTGGAGATCGGTGTGCAGAGTCTGTATGAGGATGTTGCGCGGGACACGAATCGTGGCCACACCGTCGCGGCTGTCGCCGAGACTTTTAAGCTCGCCAAGGATGCCGGTTTCAAGGTTGTCAGCCACATGATGCCTGATTTGCCCAACGTCGGAATGGAGCGCGACCTGTTCCAGTTCCAGGAATATTTCGAGAACCCTGCCTTCCGCACGGACGGCCTCAAGATCTACCCTACTCTTGTTATCCGTGGAACCGGTCTCTACGAGCTGTGGCGGACTGGTCGGTACAAGAACTACACTCCCAATGCTTTGATTGATCTCGTTGCTCGTATTCTTGCATTGGTCCCTCCATGGACTCGTATCTACCGTGTCCAGCGTGATATCCCCATGCCTCTCGTCACTTCCGGTGTCGAGAACGGTAACTTGCGCGAGCTCGCTCTGGCCCGAATGAAGGACTTCGGAACAACCTGCCGTGACGTCCGTACACGAGAGGTCGGCATCAACGAGGTTAAGAACAAGATCCGCCCATCGCAGGTGGAGCTCATTCGTCGGGACTATGCCGCGAACGGTGGCTGGGAGACCTTCCTGGCTTATGAAGATCCCAAGCAGGATATTCTCATCGGCCTGCTTCGTCTGCGCAAGTGCAGTGACACTCACACTTTCCGCCCTGAGTTCACTGGTCAGCAGACTAGTATTGTTCGCGAGTTGCACGTCTATGGTTCTGCCGTGCCTCTTCACGGACGTGATGCTCGCAAGTTCCAACACCGTGGTTTCGGAACCTTACTCATGGAAGAGGCCGAGCGCATCGCGCGTGAGGAGCACGGAAGCACCAAGATTAGCGTCATCTCAGGTGTCGGTGTGCGTAGCTACTACGCGCGTTTGGGATACACTCTGGATGGTCCTTACATGTCCAAGATGCTGGACCCGTACGAGGACGAAGAATAAATTCAAGTATTCCAGGGGGAGAGGTCATATCGGTCGATTCTGCATATACCAGGCGTTAGGGGAGCACGCTCCAAAAGTGGTTTCTTGTGACATAATGATGAACAATGATGAGATGTCTATACTTGATTGCGACACATAGCAAAGTATCCCTGCTAAGGATCAAGAGATAAGAACTTGTAATAATTCCGAGCCGCTATGTACATATCGCGCAGAAAAAAAAGGCTGTCTGTGTATGCATACTCGAGCAAAGGGAAGACCGGGATACCTGCCCAGCAAAATGTCTTCCTTGATAAGAGAGCAACTGCAGACTTGACTGCTGCATACCGACGGACTCCGGTGACCACACAGGAGGAGAATAAGCGTGGGATAGCGCGATTAATCGAAAGTGCCTGGTTGATTACAACCTCCGCTGATCCGTTTCAGAACTTCCCCGCCCTCTCAGACCCTGGTCACCCATGATTCCCCTAAAGACAGACCGAAATATATCAAAACCCCCCAATGATTGAAAAAAATGACAAAAAGGACCGTTCCGACACCGAATGAGAAGATGTGTTATTGTAGTTGTTGTTGTAATTGGTTTTTCTTTTTAGAGCTCTGCGCTTTAACGAAGTGATATGGCACCGCCCCGGCTGTCCCGAATGTGAAGGTAGGCTTGGAAGCCACAGAAGACGAAGAATCCCTGGTAGTAAAGGAAGAATATTAGCACAGGTTCTCTCTCTCGTGGGGTATCTCGAACTCCGGGTAGGATTCGGGTGCTAGATGACGTACAGCATAGACCATCACAGCGACATAGATGGAGGCAGCAACTGCAGGACCATCTTCAGGGTCCTCTTCGGAGCCGGTAAAAGAGTGGTGATTGCTCTGAGGAGAAAGCAAAGGTGTCAGTATTTCATGCTAAGATAGCCCAATATTTGTCGATGCCTAGGCGCAAGATGGGGCCAGCATGGACGGGGGGCCAAGGAACGTACGCCGTATAGCGAGCCGAGGACGGAGAGAATAACGATTGCGAAGACTGAAATAACGACACTAGTAAGAGAGAAGATTGTTAGACGCTATGAACCTCCAAAGACAATAGGCCATCCTCTAGAATGGGGGAAGGCCTACCAAGACCAGGCGTTCAACGCCGACACAACGGGCTTCATCTTGGCGTCGGTACGGGGAGAAGGTATTCGGAATGGGAGATATGCGATAGCGCTGCAGGAGAAGAGTTGTTTCAGCCCGATTGAAAGGTACTGAATCGCAAGGCCAGGGCGAGGGAGGAGCAGTGATGATGATGGAGGAGCAAGTGACTGAAGATACGGAGGTTGGCGGGCGGAGCTCGTCGTGGCCCTAAGCCGTTTTCGGACAGGCGCAAGGCACCCCCGACTTTGTCTGGAACTCGGGCCGTTTTTGACTCTCTACACTTGGAATGCATAGAATAGGTGATGGAATTGTCTGTTCCCATAATGTGTGCATGTGCTATATACTCAAATGGCAACTATCTACTCTCTCGTCATACTGTGTTCCCCGATAGACGTTGAATCACTGAATATTGTCCAGGCAAACCATGGGCATGTCTCAATAGCCCAACTACAGCTCTGGAACCACCAAGCGATCGATATCCGGGCCTGAAAGATACAATCGAATTAGTTATCTCTTCGTACTCAACTCATATCTCAAGATCAAAAACGATCAGCATCAATCACTTACCCCATCCCGAGCCATACCCGGCGATAGTAATAACGTTCGAACTTCCCGCGTTAAGCTCAACATTCAGCGTCGACGAGAAAGGCGTATTTCCATTCGTCGAGGGAATAAATGCCAGAATCTGAGGGTTTCCATTCACAGTCACTGTAGCGTAGCGCTGGCTTGAATCACCATTCTCATATCTCACTTGAACTGTAGTCTTGGTGGTAGCATTACTGGTGACCCCGTTAAACTGGAGGGTTCCATCGCTGGAGCCTCCGATGTATCCTACTGATTTACTGCCTGAACAGCCACTGCAGGTAAGGGTTACAGCACCGTTGGACAGCGTGTTAGAGGAAGACTCGGCTTCGGGAGTGGTTTCTGTAGGGGAAGTTGACCAGGACTGCTGGGTGGAAATGATCCAACTATCTTCGTTTGTCTGTGGGTTTTAGAATGTTTTGGTCAGATTGAACTTTGGCTCAAGTAAAAGTATGGGGTTTGAAAAATAGTGTAAGAGAAACGTACGAGGGAGGCGGTTGTTCCGGACAAAGTCAATGGAAGCCAGATATAAGTTGATGCCATGAGGTTGGTGGACAGCCATCGATCACCCATGTACCTGGTGAAATTAGTCAATAAGTCGAACCACACAAATTTCTTCTTAGAGGCTTCTTCCTTGACATACATTACATTGTTACCCACTCCCAAAATGAATGTAGTTTGGGAGTCATAGGTGTTCGTGCCGCTGGGAGCGAAATTGGCCCAAGAACTCCAAGGGCCACTCAGACTCGTAGCAGTGCTGTACTTGTTATCGTTTGTAGCTGCAGGAACATATTAGCTCTCGATCGAGTTTATCCTGTTCCTTTGGGAGATAATAAACATACACCACCCTATCATCGAGTTATGGTTAGCTCAAATCGTAGTGGGATGGGAAAGCACTTACCTGTCAACTGGGATCCGAACATGAAATACACGCCATCCTGCTTGAACACAGCGGGAGCCTCAATGTGGTCAGACCACAGGTACGTGTTGGAAGTAACGTTGGTATAGTCGTCAGTCAACCGGTCAATTCTCAACCCGTTTGGCCGCTACCAATAATTGTTAGAACTATGTAGTATCGTGGATGGCGAAGGCACAGCCAATCAACACACTTACATCCTCTGTTAATAGATATGCAGACCCATCATCATCTTTGAAAAGACCCATATCGCGCGACTGGAAGCCCAAGGGCTGGAATGAACCTCTGGGAGTAACCGAGTCAGTCCGAGTATTGTTAATAGAGATCGGATAGCTTCAGTGAGTCTCACAAATAGTTATACTTGCCACAAACACTGGAACCTGTCGCAACGCCAGTCTTTGCTTCCGCATAGCTGCTGTCGTCAATGTGCATCCACATCACATATTTGGAGGTTGCCTCGTTATAAATGACCTTCGGGCGCTCGACAATTCGATTCGGGCCAAGGTCTCCGCTACTTTGAAGAGAGAGTAGCTCTCCAACAAAGCTCCATTCCACCAAGTTGGTGCTGGAATAACAGTTGATGGATTGGAAGGCACTTCCGTTTAGCTTGTTCTCGCCGATCCAGTAGTAGACAGAGTCAACTTCGATTATTCCTAGGGAGGTGAGGTCAGTTATGGGGTACAGTTGACAAATGGTATTATTTTGTCTCTATGCATACCGCCACCATGAGCCTGAACGTGCTGATTTGTACCAGATGCTGTCCATGTTGCAGCAGGAACCTGGCCATATTAACAAACTTGTTCAACTCTCATATGTAATACCAGGGAAACGCACAATTTGCAACGAAGCAAGGCTTCCCTGTACCAAAGCCAAGCCAGCAACAACCAGGTTCTTCTTTAGAAGCATGATTAATGCACCGAGTGGATTGTCATTCAATTGAAAGAAGAATTTCCGTGAAGAATCAGATCTCCACTTAAATAGGTCCGGGGAAAAGGCAAGCACTATTTCTGACGACTTTCATCAAAAACCCTTGTCGGCTTAGCATCATGCACGATGCGTTCCTTCCCCGCGAATCGACATGGATATCTCAGCTGACGACCGCATAACTTCCCCTTCATGCAACGGAAAATTCCCCTTCATGTCGATGGAATAATTCGACAGAGCGCTTTTATTCATCAGGGAAGCTACGGACTGGTGTATTTTCTTGCCCCTCCACCGGAGTCTCGGGGTGCCTCGTGGGAAGTGCGGGGGATCGTCGGTTGACTGTGATCAACTCTCCGGGGTAGTACCGGGCGTGAATTCCCCCGGAATATTGCGTGCAGGTTTATTCTGCTGCGTTGCCCCTGCAGACATCATTTAAGATGCTTATCAATACATGAACTACCCATGGACTCAGCAATGAGATCGCTATCCCGGTGCGGGGATCGGGATATCTCTCGGGTTGACACTAAACTATACAAGTCGGGCATATAGATTTGGTGACTTTAGTTGCCCTTCTCTGGCTACGTTAGCTAATGTAACGTCGCGCGGGTTAGCTTGCCTCGGAATGAGGGGCACCGTGGCCCCGAAAAGGGCTTTTTAAAGACCTCTTCTGCTACTGACGTTCAAGGTCATCCTCGTTACATCCTTCCAAGAGATTTATTGCCAGCTTTTGGCAGACACTATTCTCTACTAGTAGGCGTAAGACAGACAAATTTTCTAATCGACTATGCGATATGATGTCCTCAATATGAATCCTTAACATAAGCTAAGAAAGCACAGAAGAGAGGATACGAAGAATTCAAAGATGCAAGGTTGTTCTCCCTAATCATGGTTATACCCAACCTCTAAACAGCCAATATTTAGAGACCGTGTGAGTGGAAGAAGTCAACAAAATCAAAGAAAGAGCGCTTGAAATACCGCTCCTGGGTGGTCTGATTGACGACCTGCATGCCATAGTGCTCATCGAACGAGCCAAACTCCCAGTTGTCAAGCATACTCCACCCAATGGCACCAATGATGTTGATACCGTCCTCATGGATACAGTTCAATATTTCCGTAAGGAAAGCTTCATAGTACAAGGAGCGGGGCAGGTCATTCAGCTGCGACGCCAGCTCCGCCTCAGCTTCGGCGAAGACTGGGAACCCGAACTCGGAGACCATAATCGCTTGCGGCTGGTATGTATCCCAAATGTAGTTCATGAAAGCGCGGAAGTACTTCGGGGTGAGATAGGGGTAGGAGTTGGAGTAAAAGCCAATTTCCCATCCGTTAGAGCTGATTGATGTGGTGTTGACACAGTTTGGCCACAGGGAATGGTTCGGGTCTTTGGCGCAGGCGTCGATACCGTCATCCGGTGGGAAGACAAAGGTCGCCGTGTAGGGGTCAACTGCGTAGAAGTCGGACTTGCCCTTGTACCGGGCGAGGGTCTCGGGAGAAAGTGCGCGAGACTCGTTTGTGCAGGTCGATGTCACGCTCTCGGGAACGTCCTTGCCCAGCCAGGTTGGGTTGGACATGATACCAAGAAGGTAGTCCTGATACCTGTTGGTAGCCTTCACATCTTCCTGGTTGTTGGGATCCAGTGGAACGCCGAAGTTGTCGGCGTTCTTATACGATACCATTCCCTTGCCGCCCATTGACTTGTACAAGTCGTAGACTTGGGTGTGTGCCTCGAGGAAGTTGTACATACCCTCGAGATTACCAGATTCATAGTAGGGCTCGTTGATGGTAATCCAGATAGGCACGCGGTCACCGAACTCGGCGAACAAGATCCTGGAGTAGTAGACGAATGAGTCGACAAATGTGCCATTGGCAGCCCCAGAGTTGGTGGAAAGGTAGGATCTCGTCACGTTTCCACCATCCATCACAAACTCATACGGCTCGTCAGCGTGCACGATAGTGACCATGGGCTTCACACCGTATTCGAGGCAGGTATTGATAAGGTCGTTGTAGTGGTCAATACCCTCCTTGTTGACGGGGGTGCCAGCACCGGCAAACGGAAGAATCCGAGTCCAAGAGATGGAGAAGGAATAGTATGGAACACCCATAGCAGCAATGCGTGCAATATCCTGCTTATAGAAATAGTAGTTCCAGTCGGTGATATAGTCCGGAGCCTGGCCCGCATTGAAGTTGAAGTAGTCCAGAACACTAGGAGTGCGACCCTCGTCCTGAATAGCACCTTCAATCTGACCCGCTGATGAAGCCACACCAACGATAAAGTCCTTGGGGAAGGTATAATCTTTCGCATTTGGCGCATCGCTGTAGCTGAATCCGGCTGGCGGTGGCATGACGAGAGAGGAAGACGGCACCGGAGTGGCCTGAACGGTTGTTGTAACGCTGAAAGTTGAGATGGATACATTTGGCATGAAAGTAGCCCAGCGACGGTTCCATTCAGCTTGGCCGTAAGGATTGTCCCAGTCCGACGCACTCGCTTCATTCTTGTTCCACGTGGTGGTCTTGACACCCGACGGCATGATGGCTTTCATCGAGGCCGCTGGCATGTACGTCGTCACCGGGGACGAGGTTGGCAGAGGGGTCGCATAACGAGTCGACGTCATGGAGGAGAAGCTGTAGCTGCTGCGATTGGGCTTGTGGGCTCGCGGCTTCACAACATGATCAGCGTGGACTGGTGGAGCAGCGCTGACTAGCGGTGCGCATACAGCAACGATGGCCGCAACAGGCCCAATTTCGAACCGCATGGCTGTAGTTCTCAAATTGAAGAGGATTAATGGGGCTAAAGAATCACAGGAATGCAGGGCTTTTCATGGCTACTTATACGCCCTGTTTGGAAGCCCCGACATTTCACCGTCCCAGTCGAGCCAGCAGCATGTCACAATTTCCCCGCAAGCATCTCAATGTATAGACTCCGAGAAACATCTTTGCGGGGTCAAGTGGGACCATATCGACCCGGGACGGGAAGCTTAGGAGTTTTGAGGAGCTTGGTATCATTGCATGCCCTCGTGGGGAAATTGCCGAATGTCCATGCAGCCGGACTAGAAACCACTAAGCTTCAACAGGATATGTGCAGAATGATGGGTCAATGGTCGTAGTGGGGGCGTCAAAGCCCAAAGAGACACGAATAACTGGGCAACCGGGAAAGTTGGTGGATTTTAAAGGAAGCCTCTGTAAGATCAGTGCCAAACTGGGCTTAAGCAAGCCCCACCATATTTGATAGTCGGGGAAATGCACGACACCAATTTCCCCGCGCTTCAATAATTTCCCGAAACACATGGACATTTCCCCGGTTCCTCGATCTTCTAGAAACCCAATTGTCCGAATCGGTACCAACGGTGGAAGCCAATAAGGTCCATCATTCTTGAAAATGCATAAACTGTGCACGCATAGCACTACATACCTCGAGTCTTATCTCCGCCTCTTACCCCACACATTACAGTAATCGGGTCTCAACAACTCGAAGTACTTAGATGTGGCAAACGTTGCCATTCCTCCCTATTTCCTTCTTCCTCGTGCGTCATTGAACTATATCTTGACAAGAACATTGTCGAGGACATTGTCAGCATCACGTAGGTCAGCAACTTGTCAGCTGCGGCAAATCTCCGAGTATAATAAGATTAAGGGATCAGGAGAAGCCTTTATCAATCTTCTCAAGGTCTGCCTATGATTCAAAATCACCTCCTTCTTGGAAATAATAAGGTGTGGTAACCTGATAAGTCCCTCCGAGGAATGCCTGGGGACTGAGATATGTCTAGTATTGCAAACAGCAAACAGTTTGACATCAGTTTTAACGTATACTTCATGGATCTGTGAGGACACTTCATTCAAGTGATTTGACTCGAGACTGAGTCGTGTTGTCTTCTCTGGTTGAAATAATTCCCATAGGAACCAAAAAAGTAGATGATGAAAGCTCTTTTGTTTAGTTATTTCCATAGGTAAACGGATATTTCGCTTCTGATTTGCGGGTGGATAGAGGACATTCTTGTATTTTGGCATCAAATAGCCAAGACGCTGTAATGTGGGTGAGTAGCCCAGCTTAAGTATTGGCCAGGAGCTTATTTGGTCTTTCCTCGTCATCAGTACTATTGTTCTCGCCAAAAACATGATTCGGGCAAGAATCTGCTCCGCTGACAAAGCGGACTAATGGACCATCGCCAATGCAAATTCACACTCGTGCTTTTATCTCTCTGCAGATTGATTTGACTGAAGACTATTTGCGGAAGTATTAAATCACCTTCAGACACGGATCCACATTAGGAAAGGAGATCGGTCCGAAAGGACGGATTTGCGGATCTGCAAAATCCATCTTAAACCAAGTCTAATGGATAAATCTGGGGTTTCTTCACGACGTCGAACTCCGAATTCTGCAGATTACGGCCTGCAGCCGTTGCCAATGCGGGGAAACGCTGTTCCCTGGCGGTTTCATCTACTTTAATTTAGCCTGGGGAACCGCACGGATGGGATACGAGAGAGGAGATGTAACCCACTCTCTTCCATTCGTCCGAGGATGCTAAGCAAATCGATAATTCAGCCAAAATCCAACATTACTCGAAACGTCGCGGAAAATTTAATGATCTTTGATAGTAGAGAAATTCAATCTAGAGGCAGGGTAAATTCGACCTATTCATCATGATAAAAGCTTGGGGATATCCCACTGTCAACGGCCCAAGGCGGGGCTCAATTCAACAGCACCTGATTCATACAAAATATAGCAATTATGAAGAACATATCTTTCTCGTTTCTTATTTCTCTGTTCCTCTATCTAACATTGTCCTCTGCCAGAACTTTGGGAAAGGATGTCAACAAGCGAGTCACCGCGGGCTCGCTTCAACAAGTGACCAGCTTTGGAGACAATGCCTCTGGGACCTTGATGTATATCTATGTCCCGAATAATTTGGCCACTAACCCTGGAATTATCGTCGCCATTCATTATTGTGAGTGGAGTTTCCTTCTTGAATCTCTCTTGTCTCGGGGGAAGCAATAACAAAGAATTATCTAGGCACTGGCACCGCTGAGGCATACTACACCGGGTCTCCCTACGCTCAGCTGGCGGAGCAGTATGGCTTCATTGTCATCTACCCTGAAAGCCCCTACAGCGGGACCTGCTGGGATGTCAGCTCTCAGTCTGCTCTGACCCATAACGGCGGTGGGGACAGCAACTCCATCGCCAACATGGTGACCTGGACCATCAGTGAATACAATGCAGACACCAGCAAAGTATTCGTGACGGGAACCAGCTCTGGCGCCATGATGACGGCAAGTGGCCCCTGTCTTTTTGATCCATCGCTCTACAATCCCAACTGACTTGCATCGCCGCAGAACGTCATGGCAGCCACGTATCCCGAACTCTTCGCAGCAGCGACAGTCTACTCCGGCGTTAGCGCCGGCTGCTTCTACTCCTCCACCAACCAAGTCGACGCGTGGAACAGCAGCTGTGCCGAAGGCGACGTTATCAGCACCCCCGCCGTCTGGGCCGGCATCGCCGAAGACATGTACCCCGGATACTCTGGCTCACGACCTCGAATGCAGATCTACCACGGCAGCGCTGACACGGCTCTCTACCCGCAGAACTACTACGAGACCTGCAAGCAGTGGGCTGGCGTCTTCGGATACAACTATGACTCACCTGAGTCGACACTCGCCAATACCCCGGAAACAAACTACCAAACCACCAATTGGGGCGCTAATCTCCAGGGTATCTACGCGACGGGTGTTGGTCATACGGTTCCCATTCATGGGACGCAGGATATGGAATGGTTTGGCTTCTCGAGTAGCTCGTCATCGTCCACTACGACCGCATCGGCCACCAAGACCAGCACGACAACGACAAGTTCCACTTCGAGCACCTCGACTTCCACGGGCGTGGCGGCGCATTGGGGACAGTGTGGAGGCTCTGGATGGACAGGGCCGACTGTGTGTGCCACAGGTTATACGTGCACTTACGCTAATGATTGGTATTCCCAGTGCTTGTAATTAAGCTCTTAACGCATACTCCATCAATGATAAGTAGTCTTTTTCAACCAGTCTTGGATAATTTACGTACACTGTATGTGGAAGGCTTCCTGTTAGATATTTCATGGTGCGGGACAAAATCTCTTGGGAAATATGAGCTAGCCATGCCCAACAGGCCAGATGCCAAATGTCAGAAAATCCGAAGAAAAACACTGCTTCTTGCATGAATCGGACCCCTGACCTTCACGTTCCATATATAACTTCACCAAAATGCTCTGTCGCCAACTCACGATGCTGAAGTACATACTTTTAGGGCTGGCCCGGTGGAACAGTTACGCTCTACACGCACATTAATACCTTGAATCTTTAAAATAAAAGGGATTTTTATATTCTTTCTACATAAAGATTATATTTAATAAGAATAAAAGAAGAAATAAAAGAAGAAATAAAAGAAGAAATCGGCGAGTGGAGGGTTTAGCCGCTCGCCCACTCTCCCCCCTAGGGTGTGCCCGGTCATCCGTGGAGCGATGCTCGACATCGGATACCAGTCAACCATATGTCCCCTCAATTTTCCTTCACAGGGGCACACCCTTGGCCAACCAGGTGGCGCAAACCTGGCTGACCAACTAGGCCATGAGGGGGAAGATTACCTGGAAGAACTTGAAATTAATGATAACCCTCAAGACGCCTGGTATATGGTAACGAACCAGTTAGTTCCCAAGGCATTTTCGACTGCCCGGCCTGCTTGTTATTGACAAAATTAATCCAAGTTGTAGATACTTGTCTATTTGCGCTCTTTTTAATTAACTCACTCACTGGCCCTTCTTTTTGCACTTGATCTTTTGATTTCGAGGCTAGTTGAGGGTATTCGCGCAGTTTTGAAGTACCGCAGCAGATGAAGCTGGATCTCTCTGGGGCATTCAAAAACAATCAGAGGACACGGACTTTTCCGTCGCTGCTCTCTCCACGATTGTGAAACGTTATATATTGAATCAATTCATATTCATCATACCCTTCTCAAGGGTCGTCTATTTTAGGTTGGGTCTATTGTCAGTGGGTCTTGTTCCACTCGACACACTCATCGAACGTCACTCCGGAGCCACCAAAGATATCCAGGGCGCTTCCGATCGTCAAGTCGACCTTGCCCTTGCTGCTAATATGGACTTTCTCCAAATCCTGTAGGCTTCGGGCACCACCAGCATAGGTGATGGGAATGGTGCACCATTCGGCCAATTTGGACACCAACTCCTCGTCGACACCCTGCTGTAGACCCTCCACATCCGCGGCGTGAATCAAGAATTCCGAACAGTAGGGCTCCAGAAGTGCAATGGATTCTATGAAAAAGTTAGTCGCAAGGGCCCGTCAAATGTCACCTGTGGCCTTTTGGCGGATTATCTTACCTTGGTTGATTTCCATCTCTGTGATGGTCTGCCACCGGTCCATCGCCACGAACCAGGTATTATCCTTTCTCCGGCAGCTCAAATCCAATACCAGCTTCGACTTGTCACCGCCAAGAGCTGCAAGTACGGACTCCAGTCGCTCGAGGGAGAACTTGCCCGAGGGGAAGAGGAATGAAGTGATGATCACCTATTGTCCCGCATTCCATTGATTAGCGTCATTGCTGAAGATCATGACGAAAGACACCAGAACATGACCTGGCTCCTCCAACACGGAGCTCTCGAATTCCTGTGCAGCGACAAAGCCGATGCGGGAAAAAAAGGCCTGAATCACAACATTGCGGGGCGCAACTCACCTTCTCAGCACCCTGGTCAATCCAGTATTGCGCATTCTTATCGTTTATTCCTCCGGCCACTTGCAGCCCATTGGGCCAGGCTCGAACTGCCTCAAGTGCTGCCTCCTCATTGCCCGGTCCAAGCTTCACCACATGCCCACCGCGCAAATTATGCTTCTGGTACAGTTCCGCATAGTGGCTGGCGGGGAGCTTGGAGACGTAGTTGGTCTTCAGGTCTTCGGCAACATTGCTGAGGGTGCCACCCACAATCTGCTTGACCTGCCCCGAGTGGAGGTCAATGCAGGGCCGGAATTGGGTCATTTTCTCTTGCGAGTCGCAAGTCTTGAGAGCGCAAGTGTAGTGACGCCAAAGTTCCTCCGCCGCACCTCCGATATCGAGGGGCTTATCGCGCATTATCGCACGTGACATTGAGCTTGGTCCCCAAAAAAACTTCGGGGAGCGTCGCGGAGTTGACATCAACTTACTACCACAGTTTTCTCTTCATTCACATATATCATGGTCGGAAAACGGAAGAGAGAGACTGCTGTTGTCTCTCGGTCTACCAAAACCAAAGAGGCCAGCCCTGAACCGGCGAATGACGCACAGGACATTTTCCGCAAATATTTCGAGGCGCAATTCGAACCCATCGAAACCGACGTACCTTCCAAGCGCGATGCCGAGGAACCGGAATCTGGTGACGATGATAATATTGAGGATGATGATGAGATCTCAGAGCCAGATTCTGATTGGGATGGGCTCTCTGGAGAGAGCGACGAAGAGAACGTGGTGGAAGTTGTTGAACACAAGGATGCTAGTCTTGGAGCGAACGACTTGATGGACAAGAAGGCGCGCAAGGCATTTATGGTAGAGCATCACCGCTTTAACTTAATCAGTCCACAAGCTAATCGCTGTCATTACAGAGCGCGAAACCCCCATCTTCCGCGGATGAGAAAAAGAAGACTACCAAGTCAACCAAGAAGGACAACTCGGACGACGACACCAATGATGCTCTGAATCTAAAGCATGACCTCGATTTGCAACGACTACTTCGAGAATCCCACCTCCTCGACTCGGCCTCGGAACTCGCGCCGACAGGTAAGAACCGACTGAAGGCTTTGGATCTACGCATGCAAGACCTCGGAGCCAAAGAATCTCTCTACAAACAGAAGAATATGCCCGATGCCTTCCGACAAGGCATCAAAGCAAAGGCTATTTCAAGGGACGAGAAGCGACGACGGGAGGCTAAGGAGAATGGTATCATTCTTGAGAAGCCCTCCAAGATCACCAAATCAGACAACAAGCGGAGAGAGCGTGGTATTGGAGGATCTTCCATTGGTAAATTCTCTGGAGGTACATTGAATCTGAGCAAACAAGATTTGCATTCTATGCAAAGCTCCCGGGGCCGCAGCAGCCGAGGCGGACGCGGTGGGCGTGGTGGGCGTGGTGGACGTGGCGGGAAGGCCAAAAGAGGTCGCTTCTGAGATGATTATCTCACTATAAAACTCTTTGTCTACCTGCCCATCATGCAAATACAGTCATGGCCCATACAGTGCAGCCCCGGCAGACCTTCTCATGCCCCATCATCAAAAGCTGCTATCTGACCCTCGATCCAACCGGCGCGATTAGGGGACATGAGCCACCACCTCGATTTCCACCCGCATATCATCCCGTGCAAGCTTTGGCACGCCAACGCAGGTCCAGATAGGCTGATGTTCCGGCATCCACTTCTTCATGTTGCGCACCATGGCCCCGAGTGTCTCATTATCCAACGGAACGTGGTACGAAGTCACCCGGAATACCTGGTCCCAGCCCTTTCCGCCGGCATGCTTCAGGTTGAGGTCAATGTTCTCAAAGGTCTGATCGATCTCGGCATTGATTTCTTGGTGGATCTCTCCGGACTTGGGGTCCCAGCCACCTGTCATCGAAATATGTCAGTCCTATAGCTTTGTATAGAATAACTAGACCATGAGACTAGCGCACCTTGACCGGCGCACTCGATGCGATCACCAATGCGGACAGCTTGACTATACCAGTAGTCTTGATTATTCTTCACGCCGACACCTTCATAGTTGTAGTATTGTAGATGGGCCATTTCGTTGTAATGGGTAGTTGTACAATGACAATCTGAGAAAAGACAAGCTATTCTACCACAATGTGCACACGGACACCGCAGCCTTTAAATAGAAAAGCAGTTCTAGTAGAGTATGCATTTAGACCCATCCAGCTTACATCTGCTGGCCAGTGAGGTTCTCCTCTTCGTAAATTTGTAAGTGTGAGGGGGGTAAGCGTAACAGTAAGCACAGCATGCATTCCGGAGGAGCTGAACATGGGCAATTATGACGACATGATGCATTTTAGAGGTCATTCTAGATAGTACTTCTTGCGGGGAAGTCGTACAAAGAACTTGAAAGTCTGGCTAAACCTGGCTGGATACAGATGTTTTGCATTTACCCCCGTCAATAGTACTCAACCATCAAACGAGCAAAAATCTGGTTTGTATTTAGCACTCAAAGGAGAACCACGATTAAATCATAATTTAGGGCTCGAGGAGCTAAAATATCCAGATATCAGTAACACAAATAAGGCGCTGTTTTCAAGAAACATGGGCGGCCAATTTGACCAGCCGGCTTAAGGTTATAGATGTACCTCTCTCTGTGATTGCCTGCAAAATACTGCTGGCTAGTTACCTAACGGCATCGAAAATATGCGTCTATCTCTTGCTAGCTCTACCACTAGGAAGCTCAAGGATCAATCAGACAAGGATTCTCAGAGGAAAAAGTGCATCAATATCCCGATCACGACGTTGTCGTGCTGGTCACCGACTGTTTCGTTTGCATCGAAGACCCGTTTAGGCCCCCTACAGCTTGGCATTTATGCATCATGCATTTTCTCATATAGACTCATACGGATATCTACACAAAACGAGTCAGCAGTTGCATGGCTAAGGTATTAGACCGCCTTCTACCGTCTCACGTCACTTTTTCCGTTGCCAAGGTCCCCCAACCGGCCTTGGGGGGTTCCACTGCATTGCAGATGTTGTGCGTGTTGCGGTTACTCGATTCTCCGAAGACACCGAGATCAGCTTTCCCTCAATTTGAGATATTTTTTAAATTGCCAGTTGATACTAGCGCTGGATATAGACTTTCCCTCAATTCTGCAGGATTCATCACGCATTAGCATCTTGCTCGGTCGTACATTAGCGGCGGATAGATAAGAATCACCCAGGATAGGCAACCGAAGTAACTGCCCAGACAAAGTTCCACTGCGTAAGTAGATGCCAAGAAAAGCAATACAAAATATGTACCTTGTCTCCGCTCTCCGACGGCGGGCTTTGGGCGAGACATGATCGTCGTGCGTAAGTTCGAGCCTGATAATAATGGCTTGGCAAGTTGGGTGTTATCATCAAGGGGGAGCTGAGAGTGATCGCCACGTCTTCGTACTTTCTCATTGGAAAGTGCTGATAGACTAGTAGCGACATGAGTATCGCCAAGCTGTACTGTCGGGATTATTCCATGGTCGACGATGATCAGGAGACTCCTTGGAGCCTTGCCAGGCAATTGTGCACATGCTCCTCAAACGGTGACGTCTCCACGGTCCTCAGCGATGTTTCTTATTTGGAAAACATTCCAAAGATCACATCATCGGCCCGGCCCACGGGTGATCATCATAGCGGACGATCAGGGGCATTCCGAGAGCTTTGTAGGGCGTCGACTCAGAGGCCTCTGTGCTCTCCCTTTCTCTTGGGACTCGTATGAGTGGAACCGGTCGCATGGGGAAGAAGTCGATCTGTTCAATGTTGACCTGCGAGACTCAGCCCTGGATTAACAATGAAACTTCGTCTGCCAAGAGCTGTTGATTGCCCTGAATTTGGTGTATGTAGATGAACTCACTTCAGCCATATGATAAGCAGTTCTCATTCCGCTCTGCCCAGTCTGTTGTCTTGCTTGGCGTCATGGAAATGAGGCGAGTATGGAGCAGTATGCCTGGCGAAATTGGATGCACTGCCACTGGGGACATTGGAGACAATAAAGATGTTTTTCATGGGATACAACATGCTGAGAAATTCGGGTATGATCATCCTCATCCATATCCATAGCCCCTCCGACCCCGTTAGGGCATTCTATAATCCACATACTCCATGCATAAAGAACATCTGTATTTACTTAAGGGGCTGACTACTGTACATAGATCTCCCTCTATGTCTACTAGGGCAAAAGTTGACCACCACAGTGGGTTTCAGCCCAAGGGGGCTGTGCTAAATGTGCGAAGAACATGGCCAGTGCGTTTTATTGAAACACAGCACGTGTGGATCAATCAAGGCCTTTTTATGGATTCTAGGAAATACTGGTAGACCCATTTATGAGAGGATAGGTCATATTTAGCTCAAAGACCGTCTCCATGGTCTAGAACCTGAACTATTTGGTAGCTACCCCCGCAGTTTGTACCATAGCATTGTGCCCAAGGCGATCTCTTTTGCGTTCTCGACCGGCATTGCCTTATTGAATATCTCTAACTTCAAGTTACGCGAGGTGTCTCTCAAAGTAAAGCCTATGATGCCAAGAAGGTTCTCGTGAGGGATGTGCTACGAAACCCGTGGATGGCAAATCGACTAACTACTACTCCGTACTAGTGTCTCGCCGATATGCAGAACATTCTCTACTTCTAATGACGAATTACTTTTCTACAGCCGACCTTTGCGACCGGGTTCAATACCGACCTTGAAGAATGCTATGGACAGAAAGGTTAATTAGTTGTCGGTAGATGGAACAAGAAGGGCAAGTTCAGCATGACGAGACTTCTACAGGAGCCGAAACAGGAGGTGAAGCAATTTCTGTGCCGTTGGACGCAAATGTGTAGTATGGAGAGACAACGTGGGCGAGAAGCGGTATATGAGAGGGTGACTGGCCAGTTTTGGGTCAGGGCCGCCACCGTAGATCTCGGAGACCGGAGCAGCCGGTGGAGACTTTTCGAGAACCCAGCACGGGTTCTTTTCCTCTTCGAGCATCTGATGAAGTCAATACCACCCGGCTCGGCGATTTATAATATTAAATATCTTGAAAATCTGCCGGCTTAACAGGATTTCCAACCGCTCTGTTCTCTTCCGGGTGATGGTGTGCCGCTACTCCAAAGCAATGCATCCGAGAAATTCCAGGATCAAACGGTGATCTCGGGTGGAGATATCGGGTATTCGTCAAGTTGAGGACATCAATAAGCCAATAGTGTGTCGCTGGCATCATTCAACATGCATGAGGGGGTTGCAGTCGGCTACCCGACTCGGGATCATCTCGGCGGACGGTCGCCGCCACGAAGACCGGGCACCGGCGGGGGAAAGAAGCTGGGCGAAAGTATTGGGGAGGTCTTGGCTCGGACTGAAAAATCGGATGCCTGAAAATGGCTGCATGGGTGGCTTGTTAGCCAAGACAAGAGCCCTATCAACCTTGGAGAATATACCCTCAACGTCTGCCCGAGGTAGGAAACCAGAAATACTCCGACGAAATGGGTGGCATAAACAAATCACGTCCACCAAGCTTTCCCGGCAGGCGATCATTCGGCAGACAAGGAACAAACGCTGTTGACTCTTCCGCTAGGACTTCCGAGCAGCTTCGTGAATCGTTCTATGACCCCTGTTCGGGGCCTGTGTAAGGCCAGTAATGGTTGGAAGTTGGGAAAAGTCGAACTGATAAACTCTGGAGCATCATGTAGCAGCCAGCGAACGATATCAGCACAATTGGAACTTGGAGACAACACGCCCCTGTCGGGTGCAGCAGTAGTGCCAAGGGGGGGGAGTGGAAAGATGAAGTCAGTGGGGCTGATCGACGGTTGAGGATTGGCACCATTGTTCCACTGGCGACATAGGGGCCGTTCGATTGTCGATCATAGCCGGCTAGCGTGAACCTAGTCTTAGGTCGAGAAGCGCATTCCTGACCCTTGGCACTCTACCAGTGATGTCTGGATTTAATCAATTGCAGATGCATTGGACGCGTTAGCGGGCGGATACAGCCTCGTACGCTTATCTTGCCATGGATGCATCATCATTGGACTATTTTCAGGACCCTGGATCCTTCTGACCTTTTCGTAGTCCCGATTTGATGACGATCAGTGCCTAAGCAGCAAGGGTAGCAACCCATCCCCTATAGTTATAGATGCTTTTCAAAAGCAATAACAACAAATAAATCCATAATAGGAGACAGTCTACGTAAGCTACGTAACTACGGAGTGTTAGTTAGAGAATGAATCAAAAGATTTCTCTTTGCTTTACTTCCCCTGAAACATGGTTTCTTAAGGCAGTACTAGGGGAGCATTCTTGGCATTTGCTTAACTCTTAACTACTTCAGATCGTCACAGTGGGTAGGAAGCATCAGTCCTATCCGATGTAAGTTCCTCGACCATGTGCAATATGCTGGTCTTGCCAAGACCGGGATTTTCCTATACGATTGGCTTTCTGCCTCTACTAGACTACCACCCTCTTATCGTGCAGATTCAGATCCCGTATGACGCCGAGATAAAAAGAGTAGGGGGACGGCGAGATCAGGATGTTTGGTCTCGGAGAATATATTCCTTTCGTAACAGATTGAATCATGATTCATAAGTTTGTGGCGCACATTCTATGCAGATCTTTTCATAGTCGATACGTAGGACACGCATGCGATGACATTAGAAAGAATTTCCACCTGGTGGTGGCATTTCAGCCACGAAGCTTGTCAGTCACAATGAGAGAACTTCCAAAAGACCGTGCTCAAACGAATTATTTGTCTGTGTTTACGAAGAGAGCATTGAAGGCTAGAGGTTGGGCTTGGATATATGCTACGTTTCAAAGCAACTGGTTTGTAATTCACCACGGTTCTCTGTAAAGAATACGTACTAGGAAGCCAGAAGCATTTAGTCTAGAATTTGAACCCGCTGATCAGCATCTATCTGTCATAGACTGAGCAGCGTCCGGTTTTACCGTCTTCGTCCGATCCTTGCCACCTTCTATTTGCCAAGGGGATGGAGGAGGGTGGTCTCCTAGGCAAAATCCACAGTGGAGCACATGGCCTTAACTCTTCTCGGATGCATGGACCTGTCTAATAGTTTCGGGCATCTGCTACTAGGGGGGACTCAGGGCTGACGTCTGAGTACAAAAAGGCCCATATCATTCCAATCTTGAGACACGAGCCAGAGAAATAATTTGGGCCAACGGAGCAAAAACTCTACTTCTTCCTGTCTATATTGATTATTATTCTATTGAGTTATGCTGCCATAGACTTGTTCCTTATCGATCCTTTTTCCAAGATGTCATCCACCAAATTTTCGGGTACTGGGAAAGAGCCCCAAGTCACAGAAACCTCCGTTGCCTCTAGCCCTAGTCTGTCGGCTCAGGATGAGAAGCAGCTTGCCACACCATCTTCGGAGTCTATCAATCTTGAGAGCCAAATACCCTCACCACCACCATACCATGTGTTTTCTCGGTCTCGCAAAATGCAGATGGTCTACATTGTTTCCCTCGCTGCCATCTTCTCCCCTCTATCATCTAATATCTATTTCCCTGCCCTTGGGCTTATATCAAAGGTGACTAGTTATCCGTCCTCCATAAAGCTGAAGTTTACATAACTGACCCATCACATTGTGAACTAGGAATTGAATGTCTCTATTTCTCTCACTACCCTAACCGTCACAGTGTATATGATTGTTCAAGGACTTGCCCCTAGCTTCTGGGGCTCCTTCTCCGACGTTCTTGGTCGCCGTATGATCTTTATCGGAACCTTTGTTGTCTATATCATTGCGAACATTGCGCTTGGAGTCTCAAACAACTACGGAGAGCTCATGGCTTTCCGTGCTTTGCAAGCTGCCGGTAGTGCGGCTACTATCTCAATTGGTACATTCTCTTCTCCCTTTTGCTTGGAACTATTGGCTCATGATCTTTAGGTGCTGGCGTTATTGGAGATATCACCACATCAGCTGAGAGAGGAGGCTTAGTTGGAGTCTTTGGTGGAGGTAATTCATCGATGAGCAAAATTCAGATAGAGAGTGTACAATACTAACTTTTCTCAAGTCCGTATGCTTGGTCAAGGAATCGGTCCGGTCTTCGGAGGCATTCTATCTGAGTATTTGGGCTATAGGTCCATCTTTTGGTTCCTTACTATTCTATCTGGATTCAGTCTATTCTCCATTCTCTTCTTCCTCCCCGAAACCCTCCGTACCGTCGCTGGAAATGGCACCGTTCCCCTGCACGGAATCTACAAACCTTGGATTTATTGTATCACCGGCCAGGAGCATGCCAAGCAAGGCGCAGTGCCATCTGCGGAGAAGAAAAAGGTTACTTTCAAGACAGTGGTGGCCCCTCTCGGCTTCTTGGGTGAGAAAGACGTCTTCATCACCTTGTTCTTTGGTGCTATCGTGTACACGGTCTGGTCGATGGTGACTTCGTCCACGTCTGATCTGTTTGAATCCACCTACGGGCTCAACACATTGGAAGTTGGCCTCACCTTCTTGGGCAATGGTCAGTGTCCCTTTACTATGCCTCTTTCTTGTCTCTTTTCTAACAACCCCTCTCAGGCTTTGGCTGCATGTCTGGATCATACACCATCGGCTACCTGATGGACTTCAACCACAAGAGAACCGAACGCGAATACTGCGTCAAGCACAACCTCCCTCTCGAAACTCGCATCACGACCAAAACTCATCCCGACTTCCCGATTGAGTACGCTCGCATGCGCAACACCTGGTGGATCACAGCCCTCTTCATCGTGTGCACAGCGGTGTACGGCGTTTCCCTTGAAACCCATCTCGCAGTTCCCGTCATTCTCCAGTATATCCTTGCTTATTGCGCGACTGCCATTTTCACTATCAACAGCGCTCTGATCATCGATCTCTACCCCGGAGCCAGTGCCAGTGCGACCGCAGTCAACAATCTGATGCGATGCTTGGTGGGTGCAGCAGGTGTCGCTGCTATCCAGCCCATGATCGACGCCCTCAATGCTCAATGGACTTTCTTGCTACTCGCCGGCATCACATTACTCATGGTCCCTTTGCTGGCGGTCGAGATGCGATGGGGCGCAGGATGGCGACACGAACGCACTGAACGCCTCAAAAGAAAGGGTGCTTCAGCCTAAGCCGCCGAGCGGTGGGATTGACCACAACAAACTATCAAAAATGACTCGGCTTGATGCTCGAGGTTTTGAGACGGGGAACAATTTCTCTTCAACAGGAGAAAGGGATTGGATTGTGCGGTATAGACATATAGACTGGGCACCGGGGCTTCACGACATAATGATTTCGGCTTCAGCGTGTCTTCGCAGTACATATTTAGATTTTTGATTCTCTATTTTTACATTTTTTGGGGATTGTGCTTGTTCTTTTACAAGCCACATATTGTATATAGATTGTGTGTGCTTATCGGCTCGAGAATACAACAACTTTTCGTCATTGATTTGAGTGTGACATTAAATCAACATTTTTGACCAGTGCTATTGATTATTCCCATCGGTAGCATCCAGATATTTTGGTCTTGAATGTAATACTATTTTGGTCTTGAATCCGCGACAACTATTATGATGCCACTTTTTCATGAAAGTCGATTCGGAAGGGATGTAAAGTCGCTCGCTATTCTGGCTCTACATGGCAAGGGGTAATGTAGCAAAATTGAGCTGCATCTTCCATCGCCTAGCAAGCTGGCGCATAGGAAGCGCGTCGGGCTCATAACCCGAAGGTACCTGGATCGAAACCAGGGTTTGCTATCTTTTTTCTTCCCGTTTACTGTGCACCCCCAAACTATTCCCGCAACGATCTCCCCCTTCTCAGTTTTTTTTCCTTCATTTTTTTAATTCTATCTCTTATATAATTAATTTTTATAGTCTTTGAGTTGTCATGAAATGATTGGATTCTCTTATAAAACTCGTATTCAACACATGTTGGAATGTCTATATGTAGCCGATCGTAAGATATATTTAGACGTGCACACTATACGGGTGCGCTAGGTAGGTCGTGTCATGACAGTGGTCGAACCTGCTCGCTACGAGGGCACTACATGCATTTCTCTTCAATCCAATAGTCTGCAGTGACTCAGATCAATGACATTAGATGTTGATATCAGAGCCAGCACACCCAAGACTGCGTGTGTTCAAAGGTCAATCTCATAGGACGATTCAGCTCCGACGGACAATAATCGAGCGCCCGTACAGACGAGAATTCCTTATAAAACTTAACTCAATAACTTGCGGCTCAGCCACCAAAGCTATCATAGTGATAGTATGAAAGTCTCGTGTTTAGTCTTCGCTAATTCGCTAGTATTCCATACGAGGCTCACTAGGAGGCCCCGAAGCTCGCAGGGGGGCCATGCGCCCGTGTTTTTGACTCGATCAACGGGGCTAACTTCCGTATTGGGACTGGGGTTGGGGCCAAATGTTAATTCCTTTGATCGTCATGCATTTTTTTTGACATTTAGAAGACAGCCTCCCCCTCGTCAAATTTTATTTTCTCCAGATTATTTTTTTGTCCTCTGTGCCTGTCCCGTCGACGCGTTCAATATCACATCATGGAACACAACAAGGACTCAACCGCGGTCAGCCCGGTAGCTGATGCTCCCGAAACAGCTCACGCTGTGAGCTCTGCGAACAACACCACTATCACCACTTTGCCAGCAGGTGAATCAGTACGGGAGATCACCAGTGAAGCTCAGCCTCCAAGCTACGAAGAGTATGTTCCCCAACTCGACCTCGATGACATCCGCTGACCACTTTCTACAGGCATCATAAAGAAGTCACGCCAGCACCAGGAGTCACGTCCGCCGCTACAACCTCTCCTCCGCTTGAAAAAACCGCATGGCAATCTGCCACACAGACCCCAGCTCCCCAGCCCGGACAAGGCCTTATTGCCCAGAGAACAGTCGACCTGAACCAACTGGGTGAAGAGCCACGCCTGGTCAACTGCCCCTTCTGCCACCACCAGGCCATGACAAGAGTTCAGAAAGAAAGCACTAGTGCCACAGGGTAAGTTCCGAATCCACAAATATCGAGCTAATAACGCGTTTTCTTCTCGATACTAACGTCCTGCAGAATGGCAGCAGTTGGCTGTTGTCTGTTCGGCGGTATTATCTGTGCCTTCCTCCCCTACTGCATGGAAATGTGCCATGACAGCCACCACTTCTGCTCAAACTGTAACCAAAAAGTAGCCATTCGGCCACACGATGGCCAAGTGCAGGTGTTCTTGCCCCAGAACCCAGTGGTTACAGCGCCGGGACAAATCCAGCCCCCGCAACCAGTCGCCATGACTCACGAGAACATGGTCAAGAACTAATGGCTTTCCAAGAATGGTTGCGTGTCTCACTTTTTTTTGTCTTTTGTCCTTGGCCCCGTATTTAGGTGGCCTATCAGCGTTAAGATATCCTTGATCAGTTTACGACTTACGGGCCCCACTTAGCATGAGGCTCAAGCTAATTCAATTGTCCCCGTTTTTTGCCGACCGGGTGGCTGTGCATCTCTCAAGTTACATACTGTACTGTACTGTAATTCATGATTTCTACTGCTAGAAAGATTGAAGATTCAATCACCTTTCAAATAATTTATCTGACTGTCTATTTTAATATTTTCAAATTAGAGACGTGAGCGAAAAGAGTAGCTCTTTTGAACGCGCTACCTTTGTGCTTTCTAACATTCACATTATTGAGCTACTCCGATCGAAATCATTGTGCGGCAGGCCGCACAAATGGGTCCGCACTGTTCGATTGATGTAAAGCTCTATAGATACAGTAGATTGGACGACAGGGGGTGTATATATTACATTCAGGGCATCAGCCCATTGGTCAATTCAGACAGTTGATTCCAGAAATCAAACCCATACTGCTCCCCGCCGTATGCATTGATTGACTCCGTCAATATCGGGCTCGACCGAATTACTCCAGTATTCAGCTTGGTTAGATACCAACGCTCGATACCTCGATATGCCTCAGCATACTCGGAAAAAATGGGCCGACCGTGAAGTATGATCCTGCTTCGAGGACTCTCACAGCTGCTAGCATCTTCGAACAGCTTGCTTAAATGTTGAAGAATGCCCGGGAAATCGTACATAGTTCGCGCGACGTTCAAGTCCCAAGTCTGGTCCTCAAGACAGAGTAATCGGAAAGCTTTGATAATGGCGAGTGCAATGTGAAGAATGGATACAAAAGTGAGAGATGTTGTGTGTTTGATGGCCATCATGAACTCTGCAGAGGGATTTGGAAAGAGTCTGAGCTTCGGTCCCAATGCCGCTCAGGCGAATTCTGCATCAAATCGTATTCTGAATGCAAAGAATTCCAGATTGGTGAAGTCTCCCGAAAAGAATGATATAATTGTGGAAGAGGGAGGTATTACAATTGAGCTTCGCGACATTCGCCTGAGATACCCGGCTCAAGAAGCCCCAGTTTTTGATGGGCTAAACATGGCTATCGAGAAAGGGCAATTTGCTGCCATTGTTGGTGCATCGGGCTGTGGAAAGACAAGCATCATATCGTTGCTTGAGAGATTCAATGAACCCGAGAAAGGTCAAATCCTCTTCAACGGGAAAGATATCTCGGAAGTCGACATTTATACTTATCGCAAGCACTTAGCTCTTGTAGCTCAAGAACCTACACTCTTTCAAGGTAAGGAATCACCAATTTTTCCTCGTGACCTAACTTTTACTAACTACCCTTTTACTAACTACCAACAGGAACTATCCGGGACAACATTCTTCTGGGTATTGACTCCAGCACCATCGCAGACGATCAACTACACACCGCTTGTCGTGACGCATCAATGAACGACTTCATAGTATCTCTTCCTGAGAGCTACAATACTAATATAGGGTCTCGTGGCGTTGCTCTATCTGGAGGGAAAAAGCAGCGAATTTCTATTGCTCGTGCCCTGATTCGAAATCCCCGGGTCCTCCTCCTCGATGAGGCAACTAGCTCCCTCGACTCAGAGAGCGAGAGACTCGTTCAAATGGCCTTTGAGCGTGCAGGCAAGGGAAGAACTATGATTGCAGTTGCGTATCGGTTGGCCACAGTGCAAAATGCGGATATATTCTTCGTGCTGGGTGAAGGTGGTAAGCTGATGGAAAAGGGAGATCATATGGAGCTTCTCAAGAAAAGAGGCATCGATTATCAAATGGTGAGTTTGAGAATAACCAATTGGATTTCATTGAAAAGGAATGATCAGCTAATAAGAAGGAAACAGTGTCAGAATCAGGCTCTTGATAACTAGTGTAGAGCAACCGGTGTGCGAGGCGAGAGTAACAGTAGCACTGAATTGGGAAAGAAAAGACCAGGAGTTGTTAAAATGGAGGCACACAACTCGTTACCAACGGAAAACAAATGGAACCAAAGAATTTAGGTCTTCCTTTTATCAATGAGACTTTCATAGTCAGAACTATAATAAACAGAATCTAGAAGATACTAATTTACGCAACATCTTAATAATCTTCCTGCTGGCTTCGCCTCCGATCCTTTTAAGCTTCAAGGAAGCCATATCGAATGTGAGCTCATTCCTGACGCTGCGAGGAAGGCCAAGAGACTGCACATACCAGAGAAGACTCAGGTGCCGGTTATGAATTCAGTCATCGATTTTACAGGACGTCTTGTTGTAGACAGCTCAATCCTCAGTTTCGGGAGCCTTAGCATTCTTTGCGTTCTCTGCTCTCGTTCTAACCAAGCCATGTCTCCCAAGTACTCAACATTCGCACCCGAAGATCTAGTTCGAAAGCGTCAAACCATAAAATTAAAGATAGTCAGGTCATATTCTCGTAGACCCATCAGAATTATCACCTCAAGGCCATGCTTCAGCTAGCCTGAGGCAAAAACCCTCCACATGCCCCTCTAAGGCGGAACTAGGTAGGGGCAATTTTAGTTAAATAAAGAACCGATCTTTCCTCGGAGTCTGCTTCTTCACAGGCCATTATACTCCATCTACAGATCAAAACCCCCAGAGCCCGCATTCCCAAGCGTGCACTGTGACTGTCGTTGCGTTTCGAGTAACTCGCACGTTACAAAAAAACCAGCTTTTATTGATGCCTCGATATGGCTGCAATTGAGAACCGTTGTGAAACGTTTCCCTTCCACTCTCAACTCTGCTGTTTATAGTAATCCACTTCCTTCATACCTCTTGATGACTTGACCCCCATTCAACGCATTCGCTTGACGAGTTTGTTGGGCGGTACATCAACAACGGACACGAATTCATCGTTGAAACCAGAAAGAAGGACGACTCGACGCTTCAAGTCGCATTTCAGGGGTTGGATTCTCAAGTGTGGGATCTGCGTCATTATCACATGACACCTTCATATGGCTCTCTTCCCGAGAGCACATCGTCAAACGGGCTCGGTTCCCGTATGCCGACAAGGACGTATATAGTCTCATATTCCAAAGTGGTGCAGATGGGGCTGTGAAAGAATTTTGTGGCCTCATGAGCCGGGCCTGTCCGCTAAAGAACAAGACTTTCACAAGCTCGGCGGTGCCAGGGTGCCTGAGAACGGGGCACAGTAACCTATAAAGGCAGTGTAAGCAAGATCACCATCTGCGATCATTCAATTGCCCCAAATTCTTACGGCAGAAAATCTTTCAGGGCGAGTTTCAAAAGGGTTTGGATTCTTGCTCCTCTTGTGGGGTCATTTGAATGTACAACGTACTTTGATCTCTTTGATGTATGTCGGGAGTAGCTAGGAGCATAATTTGAGCTCGGCCACCCTCAAGGATTTAGTAACCGCTCTTCATGTAAATGAGAGATAATTTAATTTAGAAAGTAGGAAACAGTTCATAGCTCATATCCCTCAGCGGTCTCATGGAAACACCTATCGACAACATATCCCTCAGCCCGAGATTGATTCCCCAGCCAACCCTTCATGGTTTGGATCTGTTTAGGGATATGTGAAAACCAGCATCTGAACTTCTATGCTCTCTCTTGGCTTCTTACTCTCACTTGTAACTGACTCAACAGCCGAATGCATGGCATCTACATGGTGTATACTTAGCGTCTACAATACTTTTCGCTTCATTCATAGTCGAGATCGGAGACACTCACATTTGGCAACACCTTCCTGACTGTCAAAATTCCTAAATATAACAGGTCCGAAGAACTCTGCTGGCTCATATAGTACCATTTAACATCGCCCTGGTACAAAGCAAACAGCGTCGAGTTGACTAGGGCTCGTCGAACACACTGGTGTCTGATAGGCCTGCGCCGAGCAAAAGGTAGAAACCCGGACATGATCAGTCCCAGAAGAACTTGAAACATATATTATCAGAATCCTCCGACATCCATATTGAACCAATCAGTAAAGTCCTGCCAAGCGAGAACATCATCGAAAGCCGAATGTTCCAAACCAAGCTGATTTGTTCGAGTGAACGGTAAATGCACGCCGGACTCAAATGTTGAGACAGAGGAAGTGGGGTCGGGATTTTGCGAGATCGAATTCGTCGAATCTAGGTCGGTATTCGAGGATAAAAATTCGGCATGAGGCAAGCCTTGCTTTGTGTGGCCAATTACGCTACGGGACTCTCTGGCTTTGTTTCTCAAAGGATTCAGGACAGTCCACACACAGCTCGTCCTACCCTTCAACTCAGCGGCCTCTTCAAAATCGGCGAGGCAAGTGAAATAGTTGTCCACGGCAAGCCAAGCCCTGTCTACCTCTGCCCTCTCAGGGGAGGCATGGAGCGTGCGTAGTACAAGAAACAATGCGTACAGCTGAGGATGTTGTTGATAGAACCAGGCGAAGTCGGAGAAAAGATTTCCTGATTGGAGGAGGTACCCGTCTTCTAGTAATTTCACTGCAGTTGAAAAAATTGACTGTGGGAGGTGACTGTATTGGGACTCTGTTCTGGTCCCAGTTGAGAGCCACTTCTGTAAAGTCGAAATAAAGTGGGCCTTCAGAACTGATATCCGGAGCAAAGCATCAGCAGCCCGACATATCGGTTTGGTCATATCTGCAAATCGCAGTAATTGCTGGCTCATTACATGATCAGTTTCTTCAATTATGTTCACTTGCGCATTGAAGTCGTCGTTGCTATTTGTCACGGCGGATCTTAACCGGCGAGAGAGGTCCAGGTTCAGGATAGAAAAGGATGTCTCAGTCCACACCTCGTTTTTTACCCTCGGCTCCTTCATTTGAGGGCCAATGTCATCGTCATTAATGTTATTAGGCAGTGGGAATTTGTTTTCGCTGACCGTGGAAGCCGCGTTGAAACCGTGGTTTTCTGGAGCAGATGCTTCAAGCGCGGTCAAATGCCACCAAAGACGCCGCCTCATTTCAGTATCAAATGGGCTCAGCCGAAGGCGAGCGCCATCTTCATGTATGCCGAGCGATTCAGCAATGCGCTTGGCAAGACCGGTAAGTATCCAAACAGTCCGGGTAGCGTCGTGGGTACGCAACGCCGACTATTTATGTTAGGCGTAAACAAAAATTTTCAGGGATAGATTGAACTCACCAAATAGATGACAAGCGCCGTGAGAGTTAGGGTGCTTGGGCGTAATATTAACTGTGCTCTCATGAATCTATTGTCCATCTCTTGCATGAAATGGCGAAGTAAAATTGACTTGGCGTAGAAAAATTGTCGCATTACGTCGGTTTTGGGCATAGTTGAGACTGCTGCAAAGCAAACGGCGCAGAGGAGCGCCATTATTGTATCGTCTGCTTTGTCGGGGCCGCCCAAGGCTTTCAACAGGACTGGCTGTATTGTGGGTATGTGCAGAATTTTGACTAACGGGTCAAAGTGTTGTTTATAAATTTGCCACAATTCTGAGTATGTTTTTGACGGGATATCTAGTGTATCAACCGGGGGTCCAAAGACGTCGGTGACAACTATGCCATGGTTTTTAGGTGGACATGGCGTCTGGATGCTTGAAGAGCTAATTGATGAATGTGTGCTCTTAGTATTTTGTTGTGAGGTGCCCTAATAGAGTGAGACCGAGTCAAACATAAGAGAAGGAAGAAATCTTACGTCCAGCAACAGGCCGACAAACACAGAATTGTCGACATAATTGCCCCTAACTTGGTGGTCCACAGGCGCTTCTGAAGCTTGAGTGGGTGGTACCAGAACGGGCGCAATAGTATCTTGATTCTGTTCGACTGCACTTTTCGTCGGTTGGCTGCGAGGAAGAGAGCCGCGAATATCGGAAAGAAGCGCCTCGATACTGCTTAATCTGGTTAAGACTTCTTGGTTGGATTGCGATCCTTGAGCTGGCGAAGCTGGTAATGCTGGTGAAACGGAGTCACGTCGTACGGGTTGGGCGTCTGGTGCTGGCCTGAGTGGCGCACGCCGTTTTCGTGTTTCATAGATGCAGGAGAGCTGTAGACGAGAGCATTGCGAACACGGTGTGCCTCTGTTGCAGCGAACTTTACGCTGACGACAAGGCTCGCAGGTCGGGCGATCTTGAGAAACTGAAGACCTCGTTCGACCGTACGATTCCATACTGCTTGAAGCTCCTCAGTTTTGTGGGTATGAAGTTAAGGTGGTCAAATTAGGCTTGTGGCTGGCGGGGGAAGCCTTAGCGGTTAGTCAGCGCCATCCTTTCACTGGAGGTCCACTTCCAATTTGCGAGAGGAACTAGGCGAGTCTTTTGAAATCTGTGTTTGTAGTGAAAGCTCTACTTAGAGCATTCATAATTCATTTGAGACTTACTGTATTAGACATTTGGATTGAGGACCAAAAGAATGTCTAACTTGACAACCTTTGAAGCCCACCGACCCTAGAGAACAGAGAACATACCGATTCCCGCGATATTAATAATTAAGATTTGGCTACAGCAATATAAATGTTGGGTTCAAATCTTGTGGCATAAAAAAGCTCGGTGTTCCTTTATTGATGATAACTTTACTCAGCCGACAAAGGATACCGCCGCCTCAAAGATCTTCCATAACGGTAGACAATTGTGGTCAGAACAAGCATGATGAAACTCAGAAACCCTAGCAATGAGTTGCCCCAACCAAGTCCGAGATTCTCATAAAGACTAGGCGCTGCCAAAGGCACGAACGCCCCAAAAAGACATCTGACAGACGTTACACAGGCGACTGCGGATGCTGCATAAGATCCAGAGGCATCAATCAGATACGCCTGAGCGCTTGCAGTCAATCCTACCTGGGCAAATCCAAAAGGTGCTAGGCCAATTAAAGGAACAACCCAATGCGTATGCGCGTAAGCCGACCAACCATACCAGAAAAAGCTCACTGGGATGAGGAGTGCAGGTATGAATGCCGTCATAATCCGCATCTCAGGTTCAAAGGTATTGTTGTTTGCTTTGGTCAAGCGCGAAACAATGGCATCGGATGTTTTGGCGAATAAAACGAGACCAACTAAACTGCCAAAGCCTAGCCCGAGATAGGCAAGACCTGCAGATTCCAATGACCAAGAGTAGTCGTCTTGGAATATGGAAGAGGTGGTAGTCAATAGAGTATAGAGAAGAGCCGAGACAAGACCAACGATCAAGCATAGGATCAACAGCAGTGGCGATTGGAAGAACATCTTCCAGGGGCGAGTGACTGCGTGTGAGAGAGAACCCCAATGCCGTCTGGGGCTAATCATATCCTTATCGGAATCATAACCGCTCTGTAGATCTTGTCTTCCCATCTGTTTCCTCAATTCTAATGTTTTTTGGTAAACGATGACGGATGCGTTAGTCTCCGGAGCGAAAATCGCCATCGCGCTTGCCATGACTGCGCATGCCATGAGAAGGATCCAGAATATCCACCGCCAGCCAAGATTTTGCGTGATTATGCCGCCAAATAGTGGTCCTAAAACGGGCCCAAATACCGATCCTGTCGCAACGAGCGCATTTGCAACACCACGCTGTTCGATGACGAAAAGATCCGGAACAATTCCTGCCCCCACCGACATACTAACTGAACCACCAAATCCAGATAAAATTCGGAAGGTTAGAAATGTTCCAACATCTGGTGCTAGAGCGCAGCCGATATGGGAAAGTGTGAAGACGGCATGGGCTGAATTGAGGATTACTTGACGCCCGTATAGTTCGCTTAAAGGAGATAGTACCAGAGGACCAAACTGAGTATCATGGAGTCAGTTTCCAATATATCATACTTTGTTGATGGTTTATCTCAACTGACCATGTAAGCAAACACAAAAATAGTGGTGATCATCGACGAAAGTATACTCGATTCAACACCAAATTCAGCGGTAATAGTCGAAGCTGCCGGGGTCACAATTGTTGAGGTGAGAAAGCTGCTCTATACACTTAGCCTTTAGATTTGGTCAATGTATAGTTGCGATTTATGACAAACCTGAGCACTATCATACCACTGAGTAAGATCATGGTAGTCCACTTCTTCCCGGACGAAAAGTTCCTATCCAAAATTGAATGAGGATTTGGAAGACTTTGCATTTTTTTTGGATTTGCGCTCAGGGCCTTACCTAGGATTCTGTGGATCATTTTGACCATCCCATGCCACGATACCTTTGCTTAGGTCGGACTCTAAGTAAAGAGTAGCTATCTCGGGCCTTCTTTCAGTATCCTTGTCAGCCATGACCGTGTGTCAATTTTTTCGAATACAACTCTGGAACACTTGTTCTTTCTTGTTAAAAAACAAGTAAAAGATGTCTTTAGCTCTACCCTTAGTAGACACCCGGTCGGCCGATCGGCCGATCGGCCGACGAGTCGAGTCATACTAGATCATTGACCCACCTAGAAAATGGGTTGGCTGATGTATTACGGCTGAAAATGAAAGTTTTCTTCATGATCTCAAATATCCACATATTTTTTCCAATAAGAAATTGAACGAGGCTGTCTGGGGTGTGATTCCCAAGATCTCTAAATTCAACTTAGCGGCCATTTGATAACCGATAGCCATCCCCGCGAAAGCAAAACCTACATAGCCTAGCACAACTAAGCTGTTTCAATCAAGAACTTGCGTAATGATATAGGAGAGGAAAGTGAAGTCTACCTATTCGTGTCCTTTTATAACCTCCCATCATTAGTACCGATGTACTATCCACAAAATCCACCATTTGCATCATGGCTTCAGCAGAGCCGCTGGTCTATCCTTCAAGCTCGCCTTATGTGAGGGACCCAAGGCATTCGTGTCCCGTTATCGGAGAAATGCATTTTGGAGCTTCTGAAAGGCATCTTAACAGAGATGGAATTTGAATCCATCTAGGTAGATCTTTTCTCTGGTTAAAATTTAGGCTTTCAAACTGTCACGGTCTGGTAAAACTAGGGAAACTTCGATATTGCTGCCTGAGGCAGAAATAGTCAAGTCTCCGCGAATCTCCGTCGAAACGACGTGCAACTGCTCTTCTGCCACTACTACCCCATGGTCCATGGTTTTTCACGTCGAGGCGAAGAGCCTGTCTCGTGTTATTTTTGCTTCAGATTCCAGTCCACAAGAAGAGAGCCATGGAGCCTGCCCGAAATCTCTACAAAAATGACATCGACTTTGCAGCCTTGGCGTTGCAGTCGCGAGACTTTGCCAAACAGTACGTGAACCTCAGTAGTTGGTAACAGAGGGAAACGGGAACTGACGAGTAGGCAGTTTGCGATTTAATGGACAACTGGACTTCCACGATGAAGCAGCCGTTAGGTGGGGTTGGACGCGAATAAACCTCAGCCTTAACCATTTAGCTAACGAGTGCAGACAACTTACCATCAGCCTGTTGCAGCATGACTTCGGGCTCAAAGTTGAGCTTCCTACTGATCGACTGTGCCCTCCAGTGAGTAAATTTCCAATCATTCTTCTAATCGCTAGGCTGACACTGACTGATATCACAGGTGCCCAATAGGCAAGTGATCGGCTCGTTCTGGACGCAAATTTGAGGCTTCTAATATCTGAGAGACAGACTGAACTACATAATTTGGGTCCAAGATCTCCTTGACTCAACAACTGGGACAGTTCATGATACCTATGACCCGGACCGAGAAGTTGTTGGACTTGACGTGTATGTCACCACTAAAACAAACTCCACTTGGTCCTGATACTAACAATGTGCAGGGGAACAGGATGCTGCAGCATTTACCCCTTGCTGGGTTGTAAAACACGTCATAGATGGAAGTTTGTTGCTACTGGTATGTTCTCCCTCATGGAACAGTCTCGCCACGACCAATCTGACCGATCCCAGATATTGATGAGCAAAACGCGCGAACCGCACAAGAGAATATCGCCCTGAACGAGCTTGACTCGCGCATTCAATTCATAAAGACCGACCTGGAAGGTCCCTTATTCCCTCTTGACAAATTCACCCACAAAACGTGAGTTTCTCCAAATTTCCCTACGTAGCTCAACACTAACACCAGTCAACCTAGCCTCGACTTCACCATGTGTAACCCCCCGTTCTACGCATCACAAGAAGAGATGTTAAGTTCAGCAGAGACAAAATCACACGTCCCGTTCTCCGCATGCACAGGGGCTGCCGTGGAAATGATCGCGCCCGGCGGCGAAGTCGAGTTTGTTACTCGCATGATTGACGAGAGCTTGCAACTGCGAGACCGAATCCAATGGTACACATCCATGCTCGGAAAACTGAGTAGTGTGACCAAGCTCGTTGAGCTGCTAATTGAACACAATAATCACAACTACGCCGTCACCGAATTTGTGCAAGGCAGCAAAACGAAGCGATGGGCTGTGGCGTGGTCATGGGGAGATCGGCGACCTGTGATGGTAAGATTTTATCTGCAGCCGTCGTACACTTTTAATGATCATTATTGCTAATATACCATAGTCTGCAGCGCGGAATATTCCAGGATTTCCGAAACATCTGCTCCCGTTCCCGGCTGATTTTAGCTTCACACTTCCCATTGAGACGAACATCGATACCGCCATCGGAACTATGAACACTGAACTTGGTTCGCTCCCCTGGTACTGGGACTGGAACAAGAGTGTCAGTGCTGGTGTCGGATTTGCGCCTGAGAATGTGTGGTCTCGACAGGCTCGAAGGAAGATGAAGCTTGCAGGACAAGCAGGGACTGGCCATTTAGATGCTATTCCACAAGAAGTTGCGTTGGGAGTTCGAGTCCAACTGAGGCTACTCAAGCGGAAAGAGCCAGAATTGAAAGAAGTGCAAGTCTTGGTCCGTTGGATCGAAGGGACAGACAGTGTGCTCTTTGAGAGTTTTTGTGGTATGTTGAAGCGGAAGATGGAGGGTAAATGAGAAATGAGATGCCCATTGGCGATAATGTTCCTAAAACACATGCAATTATGACAACCTACAGCTTATTTGGTGCTGAGGTGTTGTCGGCTTGTAGTTAGATCGGTCTCGGGGCGTTAAAAACTTCCGGCAGTGAAATGGGCCGTATGATCGCCAACAGATCAACCCCGAATAACGTTAGCTTTGATGGAAGGATGGCAGAATGTAATACTCTAATTGGCTAGTAAGTTATCTCATACGCTAATATGACACAAAATACCCTAGTTTAGGGCCCCATACCTGCCCCTGATCACACCTCGATCTTGATAATTCCTTACAGCTCTTTTCTTTTCCGCACCTATCATGGAACCCAGATTAACTTACTTCTCCTTGGCCAACCATGAACCTCTGCATTCACGACACACCATATTTACTTGCCCTCTCTCTACTCACTGCCACTATCAGCATAATAATCAAACCCAGCGGACGGCAAACATTCATTGAAGATGTCAAGTGGAATATACTATCTTTCGCCCCATTTCGATCCGGGAGAATCGTCTTGAATCTGGTCATATATTTGACCCACTTGCGGCTCCTGAATCTGGCTGAGATAAATACCAGCTTGAGGCTTCTCTCTCACCTTGAGTTCCCGTTGCAATCGTCTAGCCGTGGGCGCGGAGTGTGGCCGCGTTTGACGCGGCGAGTTCTTCTCATCGGGGGAACATTGCCGCTATACGCGATATTGCTAGCTTCAACGAGTGATCGATGGATGCACGTCTTTATGGGACTTTTAGTCTCTGAACCTGTGCTGGCTGAAGTATTATGGTTTTTCAGGGACTCTTTACATGATGCTTTCACTGTACGCAGAGGCTGGCCTCGTCGTATTATGCTTCTAGCGAACGCCTTCCTTACAGCCGATCATCTCACCAATGACGATGCCAATAACGAAGGCATGAAAGTTGGAAACGAGAAAACAGAGCATACAAACCTGGAACCACCAGCTGTTCTAAGAGATAATCTCTGCGATCGCATAAATCAGCTCTGGTCCAACGAGATCAACTCAGAAATCACTTTTGCAGCATCTTCCCTGCCTCCAGAACATGACGCGAACCTCGAACGAATTCTATCATCGAATGTCCGTGTTTCCCAGTGGACATGTGGGCACTGGCGCTGCCTTGTCTACGTGATTTCGCGTATTACCATGCGTACCATCTCCTTTGCTTGGTATATCGAGCAAGCGTTGATCCTCTGGCTGCTTCGCGTGGACCTACACCCAGTGACGCTCCGAGTTTCCGACAAGCTGCTAGAGAACAATGTTCTTGGAGGTGTTCTCACCGGTTTCTACCAAATATCTCGCGTCTTAATTTTGATCGCCGTGGCACATTTCTCTTCCAGGTTGCTATTTATTCGCCTGACCAAAGTCGAGCGGATAAAGCAAGCTTTACAAGATCTTGCCGTCTCTGCGCCGGTCAGCTATAAGGGAATTATAGTGTTCATCCAACTATTCATGCCGAACATTCCGGGCTTTCTTTTTATTCGAGCTACGTCCTCCTGGAATCAATCACTGACAACGGAAATCCTGTCATATACTATGGAGATCGTGGTGATTCTTATCATTTGCATAATGGGCTATCGACTCCTCCTCGAAGTGTCTTCCAACTCTAAATCGTCGTTGAAAACAGATATAGCTCCTGAGAGCGGCTGCCAGGATACCCTGAACTTGGAGGCTTCAGCATTGCGCGAGAACAAAGCGCCTCAAGGGCGATCCGAGTACCCTCAACTTCTTACTAGCTCTCGCTTTCAGATATTCCGGTTAGCCATTTCGATTCCTACCATGATTGTCTGGGTTTGTATTCGTTGTTAGATTGGCTTGCCAGGACGATGTCAATAAGCTTCTGAACAGAACTGATTATCGAACGTGAATCAAAGAGGCATGCCCGGGTATACTTGGACTATTGCCAGACCCTCTGCAGGCAACTGCGAAATACTATATGGACACAGTCTCCAAGACATCATAAACGTAAATCTTATTGTCATCAAAGCTATACAAGCATGTATATACATACTAGTTGCCAGTAACCTCACTCTGCAACTCCTTAAGCTTCTCCCAGCCCTCAGAGTCCTCCCAGAACTCCTTACCCTTACCCATGATTCCACGAACAGCACTCCGGGCCTTGAACCGCCAGTCACGCATGACCATCTCCGCCTCAGCGCCGCCCTCAGCCTTCTGCTCTTCATGATCCATGGGTCCGTACCGCGCATACCCATCACGAACCAACTTCTCGGTAGCGCGGACGACGGCCATCCAAGGCTTTTCATCGCCCATCTGGAACGCACCCTGCGCAGAGGCAGCAACGGTAGCCCGCCAGGCCTTTTCGTGGGCATCTAGCGCACGGCTGGGCCGGTTGCGGAACATTTCCACGCGGGAGACGAGGAGCCACAGGGCTGCTGAGTGGGTGATGAGGGGGACGATGTTGTTGTCCACGAGGGAGATGATTTGGCCCGGGATGGTACCTGTGCGAACGACGAGGCCATCGCCGGATTGGATGAGGAGGGAATCGTAGTCGAATGCCGTGACGAGGAAGTCGACGAGCATGCTCAGGATGGGAAGGTCGATGCACTTTTCACCCTTCTTTTCGCCGAGGAGCTCGATGATACGCTTCTGGGCAGTGATCACGTCGCGGAATGGAGTCGCTGGTGGTGGGATTGAGGCTGCTACTGTGAGCACGTTGTCCCAAATACGGGCTTCGCTGTGTTTGAGTTGGGCGGCGCGCAAGAGCGCAGCCAGGGCATCTCGCTTGCGCTTGTGTGGGTCAGTCTCCTTGACTACTTCCTCGCCCGTGCTTTCGTCGATTTCGACCTCTGGGGTGGGCTCGGGGGCTGTTGAGCGGAGCGTGGCGACGGCCAAGTTACTCCATCCCTCGGCATCGGTATCGTCTAGTTGCACGGTGCGGGTGAAAGACTCGACAGCATCCTCAAACCGCTGGAGTTCAAGTTGCACGCAGCCCAGAGCAAACCAGGAACTCTGGTTCAGACGGTTGACGTGCAGACCCTTGCGGTAAGCAGCCTCGGCCTTTTCCAGCTCAGGTGGCGTGAGGCCCAGGTAGTGACGAGCAAGAGAGCGCTGAGCCCGGGAGTATCGCTGTCCAGAGATATCCCAAGCACGCTCATACAACTTCTCGTCCTTCTCAATATCTCCGAGAATACAGAAGAGTCGGGGAGCATCTGCGGGCAGTGTAGATCGCTCCGGACCTTCAAACTGCTCATTCTCATCATCTTCGCTAGGGCCCTTGGCCTCGTAGAGCTGGCGGCGCACCATAGTTCGGGCCTTAGCTTCGCGCTCAGTAGCGGCGTAGCAAAGCGCCGCTTCAGCCCACATCTGCAACCGCTCGTAGATTTCAAGGGCAGTACGGAGACCACCAAGCTCGACCCAGCGCTTGGCCAACTCGGCCTCCAGATTCCACCGCGTGGAGAAATTCATCAACCAAATATATTCCAATCGATCAGAAGCAGGAGCCGACTCGGACTTCTCAGGTCGTGGAAGGAATGTGGTAGGATCGGAAGAGGGTTGCTGAGCAGCGGAGTCATCAGTGGCAGTATCCGCGATGACCTGATCAACAAGTGCCTGCAACTGCAGAACAGATCTCTCTACGGTACGCGAGCGGAAGCCCTCCACGCGACTGCGAACCAGCAGTGCCTCTGTGTAAATCTGCCAGTTCGAGCTACCGCCCTCCAAGACACGGGTAGCATAAGGTTGCGTTTCCTCGCGGGTCAGGCCGTTCTCGGGGGCAGTATTGGTGATAGCGGACGCCATAGCCAGCAAGATGGCTGAGTCCACGGGGTTAAGGATTGGCTGATCATTGGGATCGACAGACTGCAAGCCTGCAGAGAGCTCATCCGATACAGTCGATGACTTCTTGTCGGCAAAGGAAATGGCCTCGAGGAGTGTGTCATCATTCAGATCCAAGTTCTTAGGACCCGACAGCTCCGTCGACTTGGGTGTTTCATCAGCACTCTTAGCCACGACGACAAGCTGACTGATATCGCGATCCTGGAACTTGGTCCGCTTTCCCAGCTTTCCAGTCAAGGCGAACTCAAAGTTCCGAACCTGAGAAGCCTGATCAAGGTCTGCCCGGGCTTTCCCATCAAATCCATGGTGTGTGTTGATAATAGCGCGCTCTAGCAAGAACCGACCCCTCTCTTCAACGTCAAGCTCGGCCTTAGCCAGACCCTCCAGATCCTTATAGATTTCATCCTGCAAGGTACTCGTAACTTCCGAGAGCATCTTCTGGTGGAGGAAATTGACGCGCACGCGCGCAGTCTTTGCCGGAACCGAGGCATCATTACTCGCATCCACGAGCAGAGCCTTGGCGACAGAGAAGAGTTCAGAGTTGGGCGTGAGCTTGTAAGCCGCTTCTCCATCAACAGAGAGATCACGAATGATCTTAGCCCGCACGGCTCGCAGCGTAGCAGTATTGCTTCGCAGGGAAGAAGGGAGGACTACTTCTGCCGAGTTGAAGTCCAGGGGAGGACCGGTAACGTTCGACTGGAGGAAACTGAACAGCGCCGCAAGACCAATGTGCACGAGCTGCGATTGTATTTGCTCCAATGTCAAGCCGTCGCGAGCGGTTTGGAGGACAGCGCGGGCCTGATCGGCAACGAATGTGGTATAGGAAGACTCTGAATTGACAATCTTTGCAACTGCTTCGCTGTCAGAGGCATCGTGGCCGAGAACCTTTCGTGCGAGGGGTAGCTTGAAAATGGGGACGATGTGTTCGGAGGTCAGGCGAACGGGGTCATATCGGGCGTTGAGGGGGGCATCGAAGACGCCGTTGAGCGTGGGAGGGTAGACAGATTCGGCCATGTCGACTGAGTGTGTCGAGTCTTTCGTTCACAAGGGCCGAACTGCGTCGCTTGACTCCACGAAGCCTCAATCGGTGAAAGTGCGAAACCCCGCGATCTTTTCGATTTTTCTGCTTATCGATAATGTGCGGATATTGGAAAGTGCGTGGTAGTATTATCCTGCACCAAATCTTCATCATTACTCAATTGTATTACCACGCACATCTATATGCCCCTCCTTTAGAACATCATTTAAGAAATGCCCAGTCATAAGCTCTATTGATCTCAAATATACACATTCCCTCACTTTGATGTGCGAGCATGATCCTTCAGAATCTGATTCAACCCATCCCGCTGCACACACTCATCAAAATGGAAACTCTTCGCAAGCTCCTCCAGCTCCTTCTCCTCCATCCCCTGGAACAACGCCGCAAATTCATCCGAAAAAGACGGCGCCAAAAACGTGTTGAACACACTTCGCATCACATGCATCTCCGTGTTCCAGTGAGTAGGATACGTATACTTTGCCGTCGGACTAACACTATCAATCCAGTCCACCAAAGGTCGCAGTGCAGCTTCAGGGTCCGACGCAGGTCGCTGGCCCCACTTGTCCAGCCAGAATAGGCGCTTCTTCTCCAGGAATGGCTGGATGGTCTTGTTCCATTTGCTCTCCGGGTTAGTGTAGAGCATACCCTGTAGACCGATGTCTTTGTAGAGCCAGATTGACCAGCTGATGTTGTACTTGTCGTAGATGCGTAGTTGCTCGCCGAGTAGGTTGTATCGGTCTTGGTTGATTGTTGCCGCATCAGCATCAAGGGCTGGGTCTGCGTAAACGGGACCGAATTCGCCGTTCCAGATGGGAGTCTTGTTTTGGAGCATGAATTCTGCTTTGCGGAGGTATTGTCGCTCAAGAGTTTGCTTTTGCTCTTCTGTAGCTTTGTAGGCATCGCCGGTGGGGAAGCCCATTGTCTAGACAAACTCCCGTTAGAACCATGAATACCTCCAGCTGAGTCTTTCCAACGCACCGAGTAATCATGCATAGCATAAACGCAATTCGGCAGCACCTTATCGAATCCCCTCCACTCCATAGCAAAGGTATTCCCATCCAACCACAGTATATGATGAGGATCAACCTCGCGAAGTTCCTTCTCAATTCGCTCATAGAACGCAGGAAGTCGCACATGCTGAGGATCACACGGCTCGTTAAGAGGATTATACCCAGCGACCCAAGGGTTATCCTTATACCGAGCAGCAATCTGCTGCCAAAGCCACACAGTCCGGTCCTGATGATCCTTATAATCCCAAAAGGCCGCATAGTTCGTCGGGTTATCCGAATGCCAGTCCGGGTTCTGGCCACCGGGAACGGTATGCATATCCAGGATAGTGTAAATACCATTTGCAGCGCACTATAAGTCATGGTATTAGCCTCGACAAAGGGGAACCGTAATTGACAGTGGAAAACAAACCAAATCAATCACACGATCAAGATGCTTGAAACCAGAAGATTTGATAACCCGCGGCGCCATATCATCTTCAAAGTGGCGATAGTTAAACGGAACACGGAGACAATTGAGACCCAGACTCGCGAAGAACTTGGCGTCAGCATCGGTGAAGAAATTCTCCAGCCACTTGTCGAAGAAGAATTCGTATTTCTCAGTCCCAAGGACTCGAAGCATAGCCGCTCGGTGCTGGGATTCATGACCGGGGAATCCGGTGATGAAGTTCTCCATACTGGGATCGTTCAGTAAGATATCTCATTCATGACGGGGGGAAGCTGGCATACTTCATCCATCCTCCGATCGCGGCTCCGCGCAAGACCACTTGCTTTCCATTGCCATCGACGACGGTATTATCTTTTACTTGAAGAATTCCGCTGGCCATGGTGGATAGGCCTTGTAAGTCTAGCTGTGATTAAAGAGGGGTTCCAATGTCAGCGTTGGAAGTGGACAGACCAGCATCCTTTATAAGCATCGTGTTCAACCGGACTTTTACCGGTAGTTAATTCGCATAACTCTCAAAAATGGAGCCCGACTGCGGGGGAATTGGAGACACGGTCATTTCGGCGTTGGCAAAGGACTTGGCTGGCTTGGGGAAACTACCCCGGTCCATTGCACCGGTTAAATCTACACGCATTTAGGCTGTGACCCCCACGCTAGCCAGAACATTAGGAACAGCAAAGTCATACAGAGTGCATGATGCATTAAGTTAATAGATACAAAGACATGCGAAATTGACATTGGAGTGGGCCACCCGGGTATTCGAATCATACAATAAATGCAACAAACGCCGTTCCACAAAACGCTCACACGATAATGATAACAATCAGTGCGACTACCAGTCCTGTCCACGATCCCGCATGAGAATCTCGATAGCCTCTTCCTCAGGAACGGGATTTTCGTTCAGGTCGATGACACACTCTGTCAGACCTTCGGCTGCATCGTCCACTTCTTCGGCTGACCAGCCCGTGCATGCCATCACCATGCGACGGTAGTTCTGTCCGAGAACTACATTCTTGGCCTTTAGATCCTCAACTTCGGTCATGATACCAGCGTTCCAGTCTTGATAGCATTGCGTGCGATGTCTCAGCACATCTGGCGAAGGAATAGTAGCCAAGAAAGCCACTTGCTGAGCAGAAAACCCAGCGGACGGATCAAACGTCTCCCCGAACAAGGCGTCAAACGTGACAGGATCCACTCCAGAGCTCTTATCGGCATCACCAATTACGGCAACCCGAGAGAGGTCAATTCCTGGCGTGCCCTTCAATGTGCTCAGTAAGTCCTCGGAAGACCGCTCCAGGTTCTTGATACGCCGATCGGTCTCAACTCGCTCTGAACCCTTTTGCTTCAACGAATCCAGCTGCTTTTGTTCAATCTGGCGGGCTTTGGCAGCCGCGCGGATTTTGGTGTGCCAGTGGTCAAACTTTTCTTGCTTCTGGGTGATGCTGGCCGCTAGGTCTCGGTCAATACCGCCGAGAGCCTCTTCGACCATGGTATTAATTTGCGACAAGGCGGCTAAGGTGAAGTTAGTATTAAGATGATAAAAAAGCATTGAGCGCACGTAAGTTCTTACCATCGAGAATCTCCTTCTTTGACTTTGCAAGCTGGTCAATAAAAGTGTCGTTACGACCACCAGCTTGCTGCGATTGGCCATTGCCATCGACCATATCAACACCAACACCGTAGTCAGCAGGCCGAAGTCCCGTGTGATTTGGAATGTGAGGATCTGCGCCCACTTCCAGTAACTGAGGAACGAGCACTGATCGTGCACGTCCAGCAAGGTTCAGAGCAGTATCACCTTGCTCGTCGCGTAAATTTACGATCTCCGAGATGAATCGGCCTAGCGAGATGACCTCACTGCCTTGTGACCCATTCTGCGTGTGATCGCCATTGGTGCTAGAAATCCCACCATGTCGAACTATGAACTCTAACAGAGATTCAAGATAATGCTTTGCGGAGACGTGTCCACCGCCACCGGTGGCTGCCATGACAGCGATGTGGTGCAGAATAGTCCGCCCACTGTAGTCGACCATATCAATAGTCGGAGCTAGGGCCTGAAGTAGACGAGGGAAACTTCGGTAATCAAGATTGTTGCGGGTTCCTACCGCCTTTTGCAGAGCAGTCTCGCCCGCGGCGTTAACCCGCGCGATGCTCGCACCTTTCGCTACTAGAGCATGAACTAGCGGCATACGTGCCAGCATCGCAGCCCAATGGAGGGCATTGTTTCGGTACTCATCAAGAGGAATCTCAAGATCTTCGCCCGTCAACTGCATGAGAGCAGGGTGGTTAGAAAAGTCCTTGATGCGTTTATCAAGGAACAAGGTCATGATGAGCTTCTGCTTTTGGAAGCCCTCGGGATCTGAAGCGGGAGGAATAGCCTCAGCACCACGCTTCTGTCCATCATCCATTGGCGGCGGCGGAAGATCGAGGTCTTGATAGAAGGAATCATTAGGTTCGGTGGGGGTAGGTTCATGCATGGAGAGATTGGATGGTTCTCTGTGCAACCCGATTGGCGGTCCATGGTGCGATGAAGAGCGAACACGCTTGCGTGGGGGTTCCACAAATTCCTCGTGGTCATCATGTGGCTGGAAGCGATTCTGTAGACTGCTGAATCCGCTGTCGGACATGTTGTACATGCTCTGCTGGCTGCTAAACGCCATTTGTGACTCTTGGCTGCTCATCTGCTGTGATGGCTTGCGAATGACGCTTGGTCGGCGGCTGTTCCCACTCGGCGAATCGAAGCGGGCCTTGCTGATGGCATTGACTGCAGTTGCTGCCGTGCGGGAGATATTCTGGAAAAAGGTTCCTTGCTGGGGCTGCGACATGCTTCGATTCTCTGCGCCACTGTAGAGACGCTTGCGCTGAGCGGCCATAGCCTGCTCTTTCGTAGGGGTATCGAGGGAGCTCTGGGAGGGACCGCCGGAGCCATCGGGGCTCATATCGTATTCCAGCAATGGTCGCAGCAATTCCTCCACATGGTACTCGCGGCACAGATCAACACCTCGCTGGTAGTTGACCCAGGTACCTTGGTACTTTCCGTAACCACCTTGGACCTTCTCATGCTCTCCGGCAGCGATTTCCTTCTCCAGAGTCTTCGTGCGTCGAGCCTTGACGACACCGGCCACCTTTAGAATTTGAGTTGCGTTCAACCAGGAATCGGATCGACGTTTCATAACTGCGACCCCATTGACCTCCATTTCGTAAACGGAGACATTGGAGTAGACCGCCTAGAACGATATCATATCTCATTAGCATTTTTGAAATTCCGAAGCATCAGCAGCGACATGACGAACGCGGTAGATCTGCGGCTTCAAGTCCTCCTGGTAAGACATCATCGACCCATAATCATTTCCACCATCATAAGTGCCGTTGAAGCTGCCACGAGCGGCGCCGTTGGGGACCCCAAAGGAGGACATCTGCGATCCTTTCGGCGGCGGCGGAGTTGCTCGAGGGGTGGACGAGAGAGATTGTGAATTGTGAAGAATTTTGTAAGCCAAACCGTTTGCTGATCCTGTGCTACTCTGTGAGTAGGACATAACTGCAGGAGAGAGGACCTTTCCAGCACAGTCAGCAACCAGCCAGCCCAAAAAAGGTGTGACCCGGGTAGGAAATATTGGGGGAAGGTGGAGATAGTTACCGGATGGCGGGAAGACGCGAGCAAAAGGAGGCGCGTGGCTACCACCCCTTCAGTGAGGACAGCGGCAACAACCGATAACGAAGAACCATAAACGGAAAGCACCAGCAGCGAGAAGGAATTCAAGAATGTGTCAGAAATAAGATCAAGATCAAGATCCGAGGCACAATGCAAGGCGAGGCGCAAGTCGCGGGGTTTGTGGAAAGGAAAAGAGGCGCGTCCGTCCCGTGACACGCTCTGCCGCCAAGGTTTTCGCGTTTTCGCCGTTTTCGGATGGTTTAAGGGAAAAAGGGTCAGTCCAACTCATCCCATGGCGTCTATACGATTATCTCGCCCACTACACACTCCAGATCCTACATTATGGCGATCATTATATCGAGCTACTCTACGGGAATGCACTTATCTCCCTGATCCCATTGCTCGAGGATACATGCGTGAACATGTCGTGCATCGTTATCGTCGATCTCAAAAATCCCAACGCTCAGACCTCGATTTAGCCCGGTCAGCCAGACAGGGTCTATCTATCCTTCAAAGGGCAAACCAGGGCTATCAGCGTCCACTCGAGAAAGTGCTTTACATGTCATATGGTCGCACAGGAAAACGACGACATGAGTTACTGGCCGACTTGATGAAGCCCCAAGTCCCTAGAGACACCGAGGCCGTGAAGGAACTCATTGCTCAACCAATCCAATTCGAAGATGGCTGGGAACCGCCAGAGGTTATTATGAGTCTTGCAAAATCTCAAATGCACAATGGTCTCTTGTCTTCTTCACGCATTCGGCCTATACTGAAGAACTTGCGTCCACCAATTCCCGAGACGAATAGCTGGGGCAAACCCGTGCCTCGAGTTCGTCGAGTCAATATCCGAAAGAAATGGTACGGTAATTTGTTGGATACTCTTCTACCACCACTACCGTATTCGGAGCTCCGAATTCTAGACGGGTTGATTCAAGGAACTGCGGCCTGGGCTCCACGGGCGAGACCGGTTGAACCGTTGACATTCAATGTTAACGATGAGGAGAGTGACCCTTTACTGGACTTCTTAACAAAAGGCCCTCAAAAGGGTCACACATTCCGCGAATATTCAAGTGGTCGACCGCACGAAATCACCGACCGCTTCATGCGTCGTCTATGGAGACGAGTCTCAAGTCTCGTCCCCCGGAGACAATACAGCGTCACGATGAATAAGTGGTTCTTCATTTGGGACACTCCCAAGGCAATGCCTCAACTGGCTTTTGAGGTTGCTACCACGGCAAATCTTGACCATGTCTTTGGCCAGTCAGATGTCAAAGCCAGAGCTAGGAATAAGGGCAGGTCCGAGACTCCACCGGACACTCCGGATACTTCTAACCAAGAGCCAAAGGTCTAGCCTGTATCATCGTGATCCATCGACTGGAGTATCAAAATGCTCTCTGTATCACTTACTGTATTATATTCGATATACCCCAAGAATCCAATCTACCAAGCATCAATCCTATCAAGCTTGAGCCGTCATCTGCAACATAGAGATTACTACATACTAGTTCAACCACGACTTGCAAGAGAGAGGGATATCGAATTGGATAAGCATTGGAAATCATAAACACATAAAGAATAAGAGCACAAGGACAGCGGCTAGACCGAAGAAAGCATTCCTCCAAAGCCAGTATCGATACGTTTAAAAACGGGGTATAAGAATATCGCACATCGCCATCACCAGACCAGCCGAGTCAAGCGTCATAGGTAAGCATAGTTCCTCAGCAATAATTTGGCATGGCAGTGCCAGGCTCGTATAGCCCAGCCAACACCATCTCCAACCATTCTCCCAGACTCAATTGAATTTCAAGCAATATGAATAAAGCTGCAGCAGAGAAGCTAGTCCCTACGAGGAAAGGCATGCTCTACCGCGAAACTTAATCACTGGAAGAGCTAGACGAGCTCGAGCTAGAACTGGAACTCGAGCCACGACGCTTGTGGTGCTTGTCCTTCTTATGCTTCTTCGCCTTCTTCTCCTTCTTGTGCTTCTTACTACAAACAAAGAAATCAGCATCAAACACGGATATATCACCATCGCAAAAACCATATTGCGGACAAACTTACACCTCGTGAGTGGCCATGTTCATTCCCACCGCACCCAAAACCGCACCACCCGCCGTTCCCAAGAATCCACCCCCCAACTTGTGGCCCGCAAACCCACCAGCTGCGCCACCGATGAGCGTGGATCCAAGACCCCGTTCACCCTCCGGACCTCCCGGCCCAGGCGCATACCCCTGTTGGTGCTGGGCTGCTTCATTGCCGTAGTATGAAGCACTTGCCCCGCCTTGTTGGTACGGCTGCTGTTGCTGGGGCGGGTAGGGCGAGTGGCCGCGATCCTGGGGTGGCATTTGCTGGTTGTGGCCGTAGGGACCACCGCCGGGGTATTGGCCCTGTTGGTGCTGCTGCTCGTAGGGTGGGGGAGCGTAGCCGTGTTGGGGCTGGCCGTAGGGAGCAGGAGGTTGGCCCCCATATTGTGGCTGGCCGTAGTGTTGTTGCTGCTAAGATGGATTGGTCAGTGCTAGCGCTTGGAATAGATGACAAGGCTGCGCAACTCATTGCTTTGCCGATGGTATGCGCGAGCTGTCGCAAGAGTCAACTCACCTCTGGAGGATAGTGGCCTTGGGGCGGGGGACCGCCGTGGCCCTGTTGAGGCGGATAATAACCCTGGCCCTGCTGTTGCTGTTGGCCATAGTAATCGCCGCCGCCGTACTGGTTGTTGGGGGGACCACCGTAATGCGACATGATGAAAGCAGGTGTGATTTTTGGAAGGAGAGGATGGAAAGATGGAAAAGAGAAGAGGTGTGAGAGGAAGGAGGTTGAGAAAGTAGAAGAAACAAAAGTAAGCGATGCGACAGTCAGGAGCGGCGCAATTTAACCAAGTATCCCGTGGCAGCAGACCAGCGGCACCTTCGGGATTAGCGGGGCTGAGGAGGGGATGAAGCACCGCCTCAAATCCATTCAGCTTTCATTATAATTTCAGGGGGCCCGTGGATCAGCAGCACAGCCTCCTCTCAAGCCTCATCTTACTCGCAGAACTACGAAACTGTGGCTCATGAGCCACAGGAAGGAGGTTCCAGATTGAGTAGCCTAGACGTTAGTATCTATTCATAGATTCTAGATTGTGAGGTCCTTGCTCTGAGGAACATATGGGAAATGGTGTCATAAGTACGACGTACAGAACTCGAAGCTTAAGTGTATTGGATCGCCCCACACTTGACACATGGGCTTAACCTTTCCCGCGGGAACATGCAGGAAGGGAATTTGAGGAATCAACAAGGAGTCAGGGACCAAGAGGCATTCAGAGATCTCAAACCACAGACCAGTTTCATGTTTAGGAGGTATTCATTCATTATGATGCATTAGCTTTCGTCTAACCTGCTATTTCCCTAGAACCTTAATGACCCGCCATGGAGATACGAAGCCTTCTTCAATGCCCCGCTATTTTACAACACACTCCAATCTTTAAAGAACGTTCTAATCGTTTAGAACAATCTATTTGTATAGTAGGCCATAGGCGTATGATCCATTTCACACTTTAGCAAAGCACTCTACATCCGCTCTTCTTTGCCCGAATACGAGGTTACCTTATCGGGGCTCACGATCCTCGAAAATCCCGCATGGGCGGGTATGACGGCATAATACGAGACTAAACGATCACCCTTTATATAGAGAGCAAAACCACTCCATATCTCTATTTAAGCTACTTATAATTCTACTGTGCAAATCGCTGATCAAATCAAGTGTAAGATATAATCTATCCTTCTACACTCGTCAACCGAGCCTAACCCCCGCCAAGCCAACAAGACAGCACTCTCCCAGCCCCTCATACATACACTACTATAACAACCACAACCACAATCACTTCCATCCCACCCTCCAAACATGGCAGGCTCCTCCAAAAAACCCGACGACAAAGACGTCCCCTCCTGCTTCACCGACACCCACGGCATAATAACATCAACAATGAACGACCTCCCCGGGTACAAAGTAACCAAAATCCTCGGCACAGTCTACGGCATCACAGTCCGCGCCCGCAACTGGGGCGCAGATATCGGCGGCGGACTGCGTACGGCCGTTGGGGGCGAGATTCGGATCTTTACAAATCTCATGTATACGTCGCGCGAGGAAGCGATGGAGCGGTTGGTTGGGGAGTGTATGAGTCGGGGTGGGAATGCGATTATTGCGGTGAGGTTTGATATTGCTACTTTTGGGTCTTGTTCGCAGGTTTGTGCGTATGGGACTGCTTGTTTGGTTGAGAAGGTTGAGGAGGTTGAGGGGAGGTGATGATCGTGGGAGTGGATGTCGTATGAATGGAGGGAAGGGGGATGGGGAAGTCGGAGGGTGGAAATTGAGGATTTAATCATGTATCCCGTATCGAATATAATACTATTTTTTCTAACGACACGGTAAATTGCGAACATCTGCCCGCGACAAAGGTGAGCATCAGCAATTGAGACGATACGGGAAAGCCTTGTTGGGTTTGAATTGTCTCGAGCAAGTAATCTCTTTTATTGACCTGTAGTTCCAAGCAACAGCTTCCCTTTGAGGCAATTTCAGTGAAGTTTTAGAAGATTTAGTTGATCTATATTCAAGGCAGAGAAATCATACAACCAAGAGATGTATCGGGCGACACAATCTCCCAATATCTAGTAGATACTCCAATCACGTCCGCGGAGTATCATCAACCACTTATCAATTACCCAACCCAATAAACTTCTATGATTTATAAACATATATACTACCGGAAAATCCCGTTAACCCCTCAAGCATAACCTTGAAACCTCCGGTAATTGCGCCAAAGCACTGACATGAAAACGGGGCTACCCCCCACGGCCATACAGTTCCTACGAGACACCACATTCCGAGTCAAAGCTTGGACAAGGAGTGGAGACGTAGAAATAAATATCCCGGGGGTTCTGCAGGAACTAAATGAACACGGCGAAGACATCCAATACGATCAACCGTGTTTAACGTGGTGGCTTCTTGGCCCGGGTGCGGTTGGGATAAGCTTTGGTGTCTTGTATTCTCAAGGGATGCCATGGGAGGGTCGACCAATAAGACCGTCTACGGTTCTTCGGGGGTTATCGTAGGTTTGTAAGTCGGGGGTTGTTACATTAGATGACGAGTCAAGGTGAGCATTGTTAATGGGACGGTGTTTGTGGCCAATCCGGGGTATTGAAAGTGTAGGCCTAACGCAGGATGGATGTCGGGAACAATAGGGAAAGCAAGGACTATGGTATGGCAAGTAATTACCCCGGTTAATAGGAATTATAGACTACCGAGTACTGTACCTACACTATAGTTAGTTGCGGGGTGTACGTAGTCAAAGGAAATTGATACTCCCCCTCCATCCGGCAAATTCTCGGAATTATCCCGGACTACTTTACAAATCCTCGCTAATTATCTCTTCGGAGGCAACAGCGAATGCAAAATTGAAGTATGGCAAGGGTACTCGGCCAACTCCCGAAAGTATATCCAATCCACAGCAACAGGCAAACCATCCCGACTCCGCATTATGATGTACATGCTAACCGCACGGCCTTTGGACAAACCCTATGCCGCCAAGCTTCGACCCCAGGCCCGCCGAGTCTCGGAGAGAAAGAATAAAAAGGTTATTTGCTGGGGCACGCCAACCTGAAAGAGCCCCAAGGCCGAGGCGGGTTTCTGGTCGGTGACCTATGGGGGTACGCCAGTATGTCAACACGAGTGAAAAGTATTCCGTTGCAAGGTTGCAACATTTCTCCGGTCGCGTAGTACTATACTATGTCTTGTTTGTGTGGGTGGAGATGGTCGGCGTTGAGACAATTCTGGCTAAATCGGCAACTTCAGAGCCCGTTAATCGAGCCGAGGCTAAGCCGAGTGTTAGCGGGTTCGGCAATAGGTGCTTTACTCGCAAAGAGTGCCTCAAGGCTGGAAGGCTTGGGAGAAAAATTCCGTATGGCTTACGGACAGCGCCTGCCCGTGCCGTGTAGTGGGTCGCGGGGGCCCGAGAGAGATTTCTTCTCTCCAGGTTCCTCTCCACATCCCCAGTCTGGGCACTGGGCACTGGGCAGATCAACATGGAGGCTGACTCGGATGGGATCGGGAGGGAATAAAAGGCTATTCGCGTATCTCACTCTGCTCCGGATGCAAACTGTGTACGAGAGAGACTTTTGGTGGCTTCATGAATTCGTGAGGAAAGTAAAAAGCGAGCGGACAACCTCCGAGCAGGGTCTTAAGGTGTGATAACGTGACGTGGGCGGGGGGAACTGGCGAAGCTCTTGCCCAGCGATGCTTAGTGCGGAGAGGCTTGGTCTTGGCCTTGACTTGGCTGTAACTCTCAGTAAACTTTCTTAACTACGCAAAGAATCCCGAGAATAACTCGGCATCTTAGACGTGCATGGGGCCGTCTTTGATTCTCTGATCACACCTAACCCGTTCCTCTGCCATGTTACCGGCGAGGAGAGCCAATCTGCATCGCGCAGGCCACGAGGCAAATTGACTTCTCGGTGGGGACGCCGGAACTCTCGTGGTTGTAGTGTACGCTAATCGGTTATGCTGGTCGGCGATGCCGCTCTTCTTATTCGTCGGGGGTAACGTTTATTGTGGCTGTAGGAATGGGTCCGACAAGCTTGACGTCGTGAATGAAGAGTGGACGGAGGTGATCTAGCTGTGGAGGCTAGAGATAAATGTTAGAGAAGTGGAGTATAGAGTATGGAGTCTGGCATGGAACAAGTTTAGCTGAAGCCATCGATTGACTTGACCCATGATCCCCCGAGAGAAAAGCACGCTCCACCACTTCCCCAGAAAGTGCACAGATCGGCGGTGCCTTTGGGAAAGCAAATCATTTCTCTCCAAACTGGACGGCGGACCGTCAGCACAACGAATGAAACCCACGGCCGCATCCCTGTTTATCGCAGAGAGCGGGGTTTGGACTTCCTATAGTCGTTCGTAAAAAGACTCGGGCCATAAGACCAAGCTTGAATTGGATTTTTTTCTTCTTTTGACCGTGGGGTAGTATTTAGAGTCACATCCTCCCTCACTTTCCCCCAGCCTTCTCTTCTCCATCCCTTTTCTCATCTTTCTCTGTACCACGTCCAAACCCCAAAAGGGTCTCTTTCGTGTATCCTCGGTCTCTACTCCCCACGGCATTCGGCTTGAATCTTCTTCCTTTTCGGCTCCTAAATCTAAGCGCCGACTAGCCCCGGCAGCAGTGCAGCCATGGCTGAAACGCACGACCACTCTGCGCACGCGCAACCCTCGCCCGATGTCGAGGAGCACATGAGTGTCGGGCGATACATCGCGACGCGCCTCCCGACCCTGGTGCCGCCTATGAACCCGGCTCCAAATCCATTCAAAGCCTTGACTCTGTTAAACCGACAACAATGGATGTTCTTCCTGGTACGTGCCATTCCAGAACTAGATTCTTAACTGTATGGAAAATATGCAAATCAGCTTACTGACCACCTGCAGGTCGCCTTCTTCGGCTGGACTTGGGATGCCTTCGATTTCTTCACCGTCTCCCTGACCACCACTCAGCTGGCCGAAACATTTGACAAATCCATCACCGACATCACCTGGGGTATCACCCTTGTGCTGATGCTCCGATCCATTGGCGCCATCATCTTCGGTATTGCCTCTGATCGGTATGGCCGTAAATGGCCCTTTGTCGTTAACCAGCTCCTCTTCGTCGTCATCGAGCTCGGCTGCGGTTTCTGCCAAACCTATAAGCAGTTCCTAGCCTGCCGTGCCCTCTTCGGTATCGCCATGGGCGGTCTTTACGGTAATGCCGCCGCTACTGCTCTCGAGGACTGCCCGTCCGAAGCTCGTGGTATCGTCTCCGGTCTGCTGCAGCAGGGCTATGCGTTTGGTTATCTGCTTGCGACTGCGTTTGCGCGTGGCTTGGTCGATACTACCTCCCATGGATGGCGCCCGCTGTATTGGTTCGCGGCGTGCCCTCCCATCTTGATCATTGCCTTCCGTTTGTGTCTGCCGGAGACGGAGACTTTCCGCCGTCGTCAGGAGGCGCGTGCGGAGATGCGTGGTGGTGTTGCGGCATCTTTCGTGTCGGAGGGTAAGGTTGCGATTAAGCGACACTGGCTGCTGTTGATCTACCTGGTCCTGCTCATGGCCGGTTTCAACTTTATGGTATGTAATCACCACAGCTGCAAATTACAGCCCGGGCTCTCTCTTTCTAACACCTTCCTCCTTCTAGTCCCACGGCTCGCAAGATCTCTACCCCACAATGCTCAGCAACCAATTCAACCTCTCCAAGAACGGCGTCACAATCACCCAAGTCGTCGCCAACCTCGGCGCCCTCTCGGGCGGTACCCTCTGCGGCTGGGCCAGTCAAATCTTCGGCCGCCGCTTCTCCATAATCGTAATCTGCATCGGCGGCGGTGCCCTCCTCTACCCGTACACCTTCATCAAGAACGAAAAAGTCATGGCGGCCGCTTTCTTCGAACAATTCATGGTGCAAGGTGCCTGGGGTGTAATCCCCATTCACCTCATGGAACTCTCCCCGGGCTCCATCCGCACCTTTGTCGTCGGTACCGCGTACCAACTGGGTAACCTCGTTTCATCCGCTAGTTCGACCATCGAGTCCACCATCGGCGAGCGGTTCCCACTCCCTCCTACCAAGGCAGCGCCCCACCGCTACGATTACGGCAAGGTTATTTGCATTTTCATGGGCTGTGTCTTTGCGTATGTGATTATTTTGACGTTTGCGGGTCCCGAGCGTCTGGGTCGGAACTTTGATGCTGATCACGATGCTGATTTGGCCGTCGTTGCGGCTCGTCGTGGTATGAATCGCGATGGGTATGAGAGTGATCCTGAGAAGGCGGTTGCTACGCAGCGGGACTGAAAGGAAGAGTGTGCGTCTGTGTCTGGGTGGGAGCTTTGGATGTCTCTTGCTTGTATGGGGTTATTGGTACCCCTAGCTGCCACCTGAATATATCGGGCGTGCTTTTGCTTACGCTGATTTTTGATGTGAATGACTGAGATATGATGGAATTTGTATGAGATAGGATGACATGAGATGGATGCATTGCTAGGTTAATCTTATAATGAAACTTTGCTACTCGCATATATATTGCAAACTCTGAAACGTCGTATATTTAACCCATGCATTACCGAAGACGATGAATTCAGAGTCGGTCGGATCGCGACACTCGACACGGTATACCTAAGATCGACCAAGTAGTCAGTCAGCAAGTATCCCACAAGATGACCCCACATCTGAGGCTGCCCGCCACCGAACCTTCATTTAAGTTTGAGGAGTGGACCCAATCCGAATCTGCTTAATTATTGATATACTCATACCGGGTGTACCGGTCGCAGTGTTGAATGTGTTTTTCTTCATGTGGGTTTTTTTTCATGTGAAAGCAAAGACAAGAGAGGGGATAGGAGGAGAGGAAGTGCGGGGTATGAAGCATAGGGCATGGGGATGGGGGTAGAGTAGACTTACAAGGGTGGTAGATGCTGGTGAGACGGTGAGGTGAAGAAGGAAAGTTGGATGAGGAGTCAGGGGAGTCTTTTATAGGGCGGAAATCCTGGGGTAAAAAGTCTTTTCTGTAGTGCAGTGCGGGGGACTGTATTGTGGGATGGACTGGGTTGATTACCTCGTTGTTACCCCGACTTTATGCATGGAAGCTTACAGGGGATAACCTGGACGAGCCTAAGGTACCTGAAGTACCTAACCTTACCAACGTAGAATAAGTATCGAGTCTTAGTAAGAGATCACACCATCTCCTAACATTACCTAGTAGCCTTACTAGATGGTTATGTATGGAGGAGCTAGTGGTAAGTATATACTCTGGTACCCTACTGCAGGTAGACCATTTAGTAGTCCACATTTATTAGTTATCTTTAAATAGTCACTAGAAGCTCAGCTGAACCGTCATATCAAGTCCGAGAACAGGCTAAACCCCAAGCTTGATTTCTTGGCTGAGACCTGGCGGGATAGAGGTACGCGTCCTGCAGGTTCGTGGCTGCGATATATGGTTGCCTGCCAAGCTATGCTGGGAGAGATAGGACTTGGCTGACATCAATATTTATCATTGGAGTTGTAAGAATAGATAGAGTGTAGATGGCATTCTGAAAGTCATAGCCATAGTTGTGAGTACTGCTATAGAGCTCTATGGTCATTGGTTTAGTCTTGAATAGGGTGGGAACTGCTAGTTTAGCGCCTGCTGGTACCGATGAGTGTCTCAGCGGCCGGTAGTTAGCTATATAGTATGGTATATGTTGACCTCGGAACCAATATATGATACTTAATGTTTATCTCGCTATTAGATCCTAATATCTACTCCAGGGCTGTATATACTTGCACTAAGCTCGCGCAATCTCCTGCCAAGACTGGAAATACCAATTCCGTCCAAATGTCCAGAGGAGCACTGATCATCGACCACAGCTTGATAGTATCACATTCTACACTTCTATCACAATACTAGGTAGTTTTCCCTTTGCCTAGTTACCTGATTAATCTTTTACTAGACACTTCCCTAATTTCTAATCTCAATTATACTTATCCAAGTCCATTTTGTGGAGCAGGGCCCAGGCACGTCAAGGGACCTCTTTTTTTTTTTTCTCTTGGCCAACCAACCAGCGCGCGGATAAACCCACCCACGCCGTTCCGCCCAAAACCTCCTGGACTCTTCCGGTGTCCTGCGCCCTCTGCTCCAGCTTTGCCCTGCTCTGCTCAGTTTCGGTCCTCCTCGCATTCCAATCTTCCTCCACCCCCCTTCTCTCCCCCCCTCTCCCTCTCCTCTCCTCTCATCCCTTTCCCTCCTTCGCTTACGATTGGGTCCTGCGAGGCCGACAACCAACCGAGAGACCCTCCCCCCGTGCCAAGATCCACCCCCATCCAACCCCCCCCAATTCCATCCCTCCGTCTTGTCCTGCTTGTCGACCGGTGCTGGATGAGTCCCGACTCCGCCTCCTCCAATGCACAGACGCTCGTCTGGCTCCCCGGTCGCGGACGACTCTGACGATTCTCCCGTACGCTCCTCGGACGATCATGGGAACGGTCACGGCCCCGGCAATGCTATCGATCCTTCCAACGATAAATCGCGGTCGCAGATAGCCCGTCACGGCACCAGTTTCGATCTTCGCCGTGACAACGGCCGTTCCACGCCGCGCTCGCGGAACTCTAGCCTGTGGCGCACTCCGTCTGCTCAACCTTCCAACGATACCAAAACTATGCCATTGGGCTCTCCGAGGCTGCCTATGGAGGCGCCCTCTCCCGATGGCCGCCGCGCGCGTCAGTCTAGTCTGCGCAGTCCCTGGTCCTGCTCTATCCTGACGGCCTTGACGACGTTCTTTGCCGTCGCGTTCTTGTTCTCGACCGTGCGCTCGTTCACTAGTCGCCAGGTCGGCGGAGATGGATGTGGTGTGCCTATGATGAGCCCGACGTTCATTCGGATGCTAGAGTTTGATACGGAGCATACGCGGTTTGCGAGCAAATACAACCTGTTTCTATATCGAGAGGAAGGCGTGGATCCGTACACGCAGGACAATATCGGGGTAAGCTTGAAGGCAGTCGTGTTACTGGGGTTGCGCGGAGCTAGATTGGATGGGAACGTGTTACTGACGGTTTTCTTGCGTTTCTCCAGTTGAACGGCGTCCCCGTACTCTTTCTCCCCGGAAATGCTGGCAGCTACCGGCAGGTCCGGTCTCTAGCAGCAGAGGCCTCCCGGCATTACTACGATGTAGTTCGACACGACGAAGAGCGACACGCCGCCGGCACACGCAGCCTGGACTTTTTCATGGTGGATTTCAACGAGGATATGGCGGCCTTCCATGGACAGACCTTGTTGGATCAGGCGGAATATGTGAATGAGGCGATCTCGTACATTCTATCGTTGTACCACGATTCTCGCCGAACTCGCCGGGATCCCGGTCTTCCTGACCCGAGCGCGGTGATCCTGATCGGTCACTCTATGGGCGGTATCGTGGCTCGCACTGCTCTCACCATGGCGAATTACCAGGCGAACTCGGTTAACACGATTATCACCATGTCGGCACCTCATGCGAAACCGCCCGTTTCTTTCGACTCGGATATCGTTCATACATATAAGCAGATCAACGACTACTGGCGGGAGGCGTATTCGCAAACCTGGGCCAATAATAACCCTCTCTGGCATCTCACGCTGATTTCAATTGCAGGTGGTGCACGCGACACCGTTGTTCCGTCTGATTATACCAGTATCTCATCCCTGGTTCCAGAGACGCATGGGTTCACCGTGTTTACCTCGTCCATACCGAATGTGTGGATCGGCATGGACCATCTGTCGATCACCTGGTGCGATCAATTCCGGAAAGCGATCATCAAGTCGCTATTTGATATCATTGATGCGCGACGCCCGTCTCAGACGAAACCCAGAGCAGACCGTATGCAGTCTCTCAAGCGGTGGTACTTGACTGGATTGGAGTCGGTTTCCGAGCGGACGCTGTCCCAAAAGGAGCCGAATACTCTGTTGACACTCGAAGATAATGCCAATACTATTCTTGCGCAAGGCCAGCGGCTAGTGCTTCGCGAGCTTGGGCGGCAGCACGGTCCTGATGTACGCCTTTTGCCTATCCCACCGCAGGGTGTTTCTGGCAAGAAGTTTACGCTTCTCACGGATCAGAGGCTTGATAAGCAGGGCAACATCGAGGTGCTCTTCTGCAGCGTGTTCCCGTTGAACAATGGCCGGTCAGCCATTTTCTCCATGAATTTGGATTTCTCAGGTGGCACCGTGGGCTCAACTCGGTTGGCTTGTAAGAGTGCTGCAGAGGACGTCATTTACCTGCCATCCTCGACGCGGACGTCGAAGAATGCGTACGACCGCGTTCCTCCGTTCTCATACCTCCAGTATGACCTGGAGAACCTAGCTGAACATCAATTCGTGGCGGTCGTTGACAAGGCCAATGTCCCCACCCCGGGTTTCTTGGTGGCCGAGTTCTCGGACAGCTCTGATTCCATGATCCGGGCCAAGGTTGGCCTGGGCAGTCTCCTGAGCGCCGGTCTGAAGATGCGGTTGCCCGCTAATCGGCCCATGCTTACGGAAGTGAAGATCCCAGCACTACACTCCAGTCTTCTCAACTACAAGCTGAAGATTACGAGGCATCCGCAGAAGGATGAGCTCTTTGCGCCGCTGCTCCGCCAGTCCATTCCGGATCCACACGAGTCTAAATTCTTTGTGAACGTCAACGATGTCCATGTCAATCTGCATGGCGTTGCGCCATTCATGCCGTCCCCTGTTCGTGACTCGGCATCCGCTGGTGGTGTGTCCTTCCAGCTTTGGACTGACCCCAGCCCCGGTGAGACCGTTGATATCTCGTTGAAGATTGATATCACTGGCAGTCTGGGTGAATTGGTGATGCGGTATCGTACCGTCTTTGCTGCATTCCCGCTCCTTGTCGTGGCCCTCGTGCTTCGCAAGCAGTTCCAGGTATACGACGAGACAGGATACTTTATTCCCTTCACGGATGGTCTTGACCGGGCTTTGCGGTCCTCTCTGCCGCTTTTGTTGGTTGCCATGTCGCTTCTGGCTTCTTCCCTGGCTACCACCAAGGCTCTGCCTCAATCCGACGACCCCTTCCACTGGCGGACCAACTCCACCGAGACGCCACTTGATTTTACAAAGAACGATCTACTGCTTGGCTCTCAGGATGCTTTCTTCTGGTTCCTCGTCCCGATATTTGGTCTCATCAGCGTCGGTGTTTGTGTCCTGGTCAACTATGTTGCCCTTTTCCTCGTGAACATCTTCTCCCTGGTCTACGGCGCCGTCAACAGCAAGTCGGGCTACATTCGTCGCGAGGACAGAGGCAATCTACCCATCTTTAGCGCTCCCACCCCGCGCCGTCGTGTCATTCATACCGCGATTCTGCTTCTTCTCGTCTCGACTGTCATCCCTTACCAGTTCGCCTACATGGTAGCCTGTATCGTGCAACTAGCAACCACCGTGCGAAGCCAATGGCACGCCAAGGAAACCGTACGTTCCTAGAATCCCCTGAATCAAAACTCCCCCTTCCTAACACTCTTGCAGAGATCAACCTCCCACCTCAACTTCGGCAACTACGCCCACTCCATCCTAATTCTGATGCTCTGGATCCTCCCAATCAACGTACTCGTCCTTCTCGTCTGGGCCCACAACCTAGTCGTACACTGGTTCATGCCCTTCTCCTCACACCACAACGTCCTCTCCATAATGCCCTTCCTCCTACTCGTCGAAACCATGACCTCCGGCGCTATGATCCCCCGAATCACCACCCGCTTCCGCCACGTAACCTCCATGCTCTTCTTCGCCATCGCCATGTACTCCGCCGTCTACGGCGTTACCTACGCTTACTTGCTGCACCATCTGGCTAATTTGCTGGCGGCATGGTTCGTCGGCATTTATCTTGTTGGCAGTGGATTTTCGCCTCGGAGGTTATGGCGGATTATCGATGGTGATGAAATGCCGGAGGATGGCGGGAGACATGTTAAGAAGAAGCCATGAGTTTTCGTTGATATGCATTGTTTTATTGTTTGGAATAAATTCTGTTTTCTTTTTATTTTCTTTTCTTTACTTAGTTTGTCTATTGTTTTCTTTTTGTCGGATGTCCGGCTTTTGGTGTTGCGCATGGGAATGGAGTTTGAGCGTTTTTCTTTTTTCCCCTATGTGGTTTTTTTTTCCTTTCTCCCCGTTCTTTTTTCTTTGATTGTACAGATCTGATCGATCCGTCCTCAATACCTATCTTTCCTTTTTGAACATCATACACTCCGCTGCTTAATGGTCACAGATGACGGGTCACAGGGTGCTGTTTGGAAGGGTCATTCTTATTCCTTTCCTATCACGGTGTCCCTTGACTAATCGCCTTTTCCTCTACGACTGGCGGAGTTCTCGTGTATATACCTCGAGCGATGCCATCTTCCCCTTTTACATTCTTTTTTTCTACCTCTTTCTATCTTCGTGTTCTCTTGTTCCATGTACTCTGGACATAGAATTCTTCTCTTTTTTTCTGGGGTTCAGGCTGGTTTGGTGGTTTTTCTTCTTGATGGTGGTTGGACTTGGATGGTGGATGTGCATTTGAGGCGTGGTACTACTGATAGATTATCTTTTTGAATACTACTAATTTTGTGACTATTACTTGTTGAACTATGGTGTATGGATTCCTACGGAATTCCTGTCATTCTTATGCGTCTTGATACTGGGATGAGGGATGGGTTTATGAAGCTGTTATAGACATGGTGTGTCCCGGGTAGATACTCCAAAGATACTAGAGGTTTTGATGCAAAGCTGAATAGCTACATACTTACCCTCCAGCAACATAGAACCAGCTTTGTCGTACAACCCCTTCCCTACCTACTTATCAACCCCTCCCAAAAACCGGTGCATCTCCTTCTATAACTTCTCCAGTCCCAATTTCTCCGTCACCATACAAACACCTTCCGTTCCATTCCAACCATTACCCTCCATCCCTCCCCAATTCTGAATCTAGTCCTACTTCAAACACCTCCCTCCATGTCCACCATCTGGCGAAACACAAACACCCTCTTCACCTTCCTAACCTACACAGCCCTAACCCTCTGGTTCATCCTCCTCGTCTTCATAATCCCTCTCTTCAAAGTGCTCGAATGGAGTAATCGGGAACACCACGATACGCGGATGTATCAGCTTGCGTTGCGGAGGCTGGATCATATGAGACGCATGGGGAATTATTCGGAGGAGTTTTTTGTTTGGATGGAAGGGTCGCTTGCTAGGGTTGTTGGGGAGGGGAGGGGGAGGGGGTGATTCTATTATGGTTGATGGGTGGATCGATGGATCGATGGATGGGTGGTTTGGGGAGCGATCTTAGAGGGTGAGGTTGTGATATGAGAGAAGCTTGTGAATTTGTTGGATGGGAGAAGGGTTGTTTAGGTATGCGCGTATCTGTGGCCTTTCTTCTTTCTGGTCCTACGTTGCTGCTACTGAATATCACTGTGCCTACTCTCTATCAGGCACAACTGCCTCTTTACATATATGCTGGCCCAAGGTCTCCATCTGTGGCATCGCTCGTTAAGGACGAAGTTGAAGCCAACGTGGCAGAAATTGATCCTGCCACCAACCAACGGGTCCATAAGGAACTCACTAGCGACGCCAACAGGGTCGTTGGCATCAGACAGCCGGCACCCGCTGTGATCAAACCAGGGAGGGATTGCGGCTTCTCCAAACCCATATCGACTGATGCTAAGGTTTATCTTGATTCAGGTGATCTCAGAACTCATTCGATATCGCTTGAGATAGACCTATAGTTCACCTCACTATTTACAGACACGGATGATCCTCGCCACCGAGCGGATTCCGCGTGGTGGGAATACACGCACCTACTAGGACTCAACGAATGAAGCATTTCGACACCCTCTGCTCCGCCCAGTAACAGCAAGAAGAATCTCCTCCACTCATCATCTTACCGCGCATCAGCGTGAGAATTAAAAACAAGCCGGCATACCCCACAATAAACAACCCATCAATATACCGCGTCTACTCAATCCGACAAAATGACCCTGACTGTCTGGGATGCCATCTACAGCTTCCTTCTCGCCTTCCCATTTTTGCTCCCAGCACTAGTCCTCCTCCATCTGCTTCCGTCGCAGCACCTCTTTATCTGGACTCTTTTCGCCTTGATCTTCCTGTCTTTATCTCTCTGCTTCGTCGTCGTGGTATTCTTCCTCGCTGGACTGCGTTTCTTCTCCGCTTTGACTTCACTCGCCTCGCATTATGAATTGAGCTCTCGATCAGAGCCGGTCGACGCTAAGGATCATGTTGGCTCCAAGGAAACCCCCTCTCAGCCTCGTCGTGCATCAAAAGAGCCTCCATCTGTGAAGAAATCCCCTAAGCGGGACACCCGCCGAGGTTCGCTTCCGCATCTAGTAACGGTGCAGCCGTCTGACTGGTGATCTCCTTGGGAGGAAATGCGTGCTTGCGGATAGGTCTGAAAGATATGTTGGCCTTTTTGGGAGCTCGACTTGATGGCTAGTGATTGGGATTGAACATCGTTTCGCTGTTTACTGTTGCTGACTACTTGGGTACGGAAATTTCACTGCTGGGAACTCGGCTTGGTCGTTAATTGAGATTGGATATCTGTCGTTTGTCGTGCCTGGCTTCTTGGACATGAATTTACCTTGGTGGCACGCGTCAAGGGAATGAGAATAGTTACAAATTCAATTTGATGCGCGTTGTTTATCCAGAGCCTCTTGTAGTAACGTGTCCGATCATATAATAGGCTAGAGTACGTGCACCTGTATGACAACAGCGTAGCGGTGAGACTCGGTGATAGCCATGCCTTGGAACCCGAGACAAGACATGTATGGCGAATCAAACAAACAAAAGAAATATAATATAAACATCGCTCCAATGATCAAGATACAGCCATTCTTTGTCTATTTTATCCATCATCCAAGAATACATAAAAGCGCGGTCTGTGGTATGCCCCTTCCCCGAGACCAGTCCAAAGCGAACAGATCTACAGCAGAATCCAGCGTGCACAATTTCCCAAGAAAACAACGCCCAAGCCTACGACAGGGATCGCATTAGTAAAGCAACTAAACGCATCACTCCCCAAGTCACTCAGCCGCGCCCAGATCGACTCATCCCAGCCTGATCTCAGGTACCGTCCTATCCTCCCGAACCCTGGCACGAAGCAAATCCCAGCGATAGGCTGGGACTTAATCAGCCCCTTTCTTTTTCTTTCTTTTTGTCTTTTTCTTTTTTTTGCAAAGCAATTAATCTACGTGTTCGAGATACAGGTCGAAGGGTGATAGGTCGCCTCAATCTAGGGTATTGCCGGGCTATGTATCAGGGCATAGGTCTGAGCGTTGTGGCAGGACAGGGGGAGACAATGCATCCAACACGAAGGCGGAAAAAGGGGGCGCTGAAAGTACGAGCTGGTGCTGGTGATTATTAGGGTGGACAGGAGTGGAAAGGGGGCTGAATAGACTAAATAAAGAATATCAAAACAAAGAGTGTTGTTGTTGGGTAGATATCGTATCCCTTGGGTGAATACAGTTGCTGTACGGCCTTCGGAGTGACCGTCAAACCTATGTAGCTGGCGGCACTGTAGATTATCTACGTGGGTCCTACCCCAGGTTCGCAGCAGAAAATGCAAAGAACAAGACTACTATGGAGACAATAAAAAACAAAACAGGTGGATACCTCGGGCCGGATTCGATTTCCCCAGAACAAAGTGGACAAGAAGGATTGAAAGGGGGCGATAAGGCCAGCAGGGCCCCATACAAGACAAACTGGGGCGCATTAAGCTGACGGATCCACCCCCAGACTTTTTATTTCAACTTCACAACTACAGCACCCAGAACCAGAGGAGTTCACTACTCCCCACCACCAAGAATACACCAGCAAAGAGATGTGAACGAAAATAAACCTCGATGACCTCGTCGCGACGTCAACGACCAAACCCCCAGCTATCCTTCGACTGGTTATCACCCTCCGACAAACGCCACCGGCCAAAAAACCCAGATCCGACAAATCAGATCCTAAACTCTGATTTTTTTTTTCTCGTCTCGCTTCCAGAAGGTCAAAGGCCCAAAGCCAAACGCATGCAGGACTATCGCCGGGCGAATCTCCGGGAAACTCGGAAGTGCAGGAATGCTACAGACCTACAAGTAGACTTTTTACCCGCGTCTTGCGAATCAATCACGGAGACGGAGTGTCCGATAGGTTTGATCTACGGTAGGTCCGAATGGTAGGGACTATTACTACTGCACTTGTCCTGTAGTAGTGTACAGTAGATGCTAGTATAGGGGATATTAGGAAAAAATTAATTGAAACGAGGCGCAAAGTTCGGCACGGGGAGAAATTTTTTTCTTTGATGTAAAAAAGTATGAAATGTAGCTCCGTAGCTCCCTTTTCGAGATGTTCTCCGGCTCCCAAAGAGAAACGACCCCCGAATCTTGGGAGGTGCCGAGCCTAGTCGCCTATAGTAATAGTAGACTGGTAATAGCTGGTCTTGCGTTCGCAAGAGTTTTCTTTTTCTGATCATTTTAAACTTTACAGACCCACTGGCACACGCTGGCCCTTCGAACCCGATCGATTTTCGCCACCGGGTCCTTTCGCGGGGGATAAGGGATAAGGGATGATATAATGGGCGATAATGTTGAACTCTGGTACGAGTACTTTTCAGTCTAAGGGGGAATTTCCCGGCTTTACTCCAGAGTGATTCAGTCCTAGAAGAGTTTTTTCCTGTCTATTGTTAGTATTGCAGATACATCTTAAAGAGTTTCTTTAATAAAGACAAAGAAATTTTTTTTTCGATGCAACCATGTTAGCCCGCGATAAGCGATAAGCAGGAAGCGGTGAGCTTGTCAACTGGCGGTGGAAGTATACGGGGGACTCGATACTAGTACTATGTTAGGTAGTATACTCCAGTCTACTCTGTATGTTTTGGAATGGTCTCACAGAATAGATACCCCTGGATGCCAGTTGTAGTAAGAGTCCATGCCTCGGTATCCATGTTTTATTCTTGAATGCCGAGAGACATCCCCTGGACGGAATACAGTACATACTTCTGTCCCGAAGGAGTGCCCGGCAGGCTGTCGATCCAAGCAGGTCCCGCTACCGACTTTGATATTATTTAATTAGCAGTATTGGATTTAACTAACTATTACTAACTAGTTTCTTATTACTTCTTATGTCAGACACCCGATGCTGACCACAATCTTCTAGCTTACTGCATACAGCCCGAGACCTGAACAACCAAACCCAGTCTTGGGTTCGGGATCATCGCGGCGGGATCAAAACGAAACTCCGCCCTATTTTTCGGGACATGTAGGCAACTCTAAAAATATGTTCGGCCCTGCAATGCATCCGTTTTCCTTTCTGTTTCTCGAAAAGCCTTTCCATCTCGGGAGGTGGTTGATTGGATGTTGTAACGGCCGGATAGAGGACTGCGCCACCCGGTCATGAGAGTGGCGACTGGCACGCCTCAGAACTTGCCATGGACTCCGTAAAGGGACTGGGACTATAGGGCGATTGACTGGTGGGTAATCATTGAAGAGTAGAACATAATTATTACTATTGTTCTCCGTACTCTAGTGTAATTGCCGTTTCATCACCCCGGATTTGTTCCCCCCTAACACTATCTAGGCTGATTCTGCATGTGCTGCGGACTGCACCGCGGGGGACTCGAGCCTTCGGATAGCCCTGAAAGAAAAAAAAAGTTGATGATCCATGATAGTCACTATAGTTGGTATAGCAATAGCAATTGCTAGGCAGGAGGCAGGAAATGTTCGTCTATAGTTGTACTGAACGTCATACTTCCAGGCAAACCAGTTGATGCCTTAAGTTTCCCTGGAGACATCCGGGCTTTTCAGTCCCAGACTTTCGAGATTTTTTTTTTCCATGATTTTCATGATTTTTTTTTTGTTTGATTGTTCCCTCAGGCAGCCCACCAATGATTAGGCAGGGATTCGGGAGGCAGCCCTGACTGGACCAATCAAATTCTCCGATTTCAAGTAGGCAGACTCCATCTGCCTTAGACTAAACCCAGAATGGCACTAGCGTGACCGCAACAGCAAAAAAAAAATTTCTGCGGTTGGGCGGCGAGGGGCCACACGATAAATATCTCGCCCCCCCTTCTAATCGCTGCCCCCCCCTCTTCTCTCTCCTCCCATCCTCCTTTTCCCCCCATCTTTTCTTGGGTTCCTTTCTTTCCTGTTTTTTCTTTTCTGCCATAGACAGAAAAGTCCCCCAAAAGTTTAGACTCGCTCTCTGCAAAGAGCGTTCACTGCGTCCTGGACAGCCGACGCAGTTTGGGCCACCTCCAGCTCACCGAGATACCCCTCATAGAAAAATCTCTTTCTTTATTTTAATCCTCCTTTTTTCAACCTCCTCCTCCCACCGCCAAAATTTCCTCCAAAATGCCTGCCGTTGACGTTTCCTCCGTTCCTGCCGTCTCCGGCAAGGAGATCGCCAAGTCGATCGCCGTCCTCGAGGACCTCATCAAGAACCTCAACGTCTCTACCTCTGCCGACGAGGTTAACGCCGCCGCTGGCAACCTGGCCACCCTCTTCAGCGGCCCCATCGCTGAGCAGGCTCTTCCCCTGAAGGCCGTCGAGACCTTCAAGAAGCAGCTCTCCAACAAGAAGGATGCCGTTGTCCGTGAGCGTGCCTGCGAGGGTATCCGCGCCATCGCTTCCCACACCACCATCGCTCCCGGTGTTGAGCCCCACCTTGTGTCTCTCCTTGGCCCCGTTCTGAACGCTGTCGGTGACAAGATGGTCCCCGTCAAGGAGGCCGCTCAGTCCGCCGCCGCTGCCATCGTTCAGGCTGTCAACGGCAACGCCGTCAAGGCCATTGTCACCCCTATCCTCGACTCTCTCCAGAACGCCCAGAAGTGGCCCGAAAAGATGGCCGCTCTCAAGTGCCTGGACACTCTCGTTGAGACCGCCCCCGCCCAGCTCTCCTTCCAGGTCCCCCGCCTGATCCCCGTCGTCTCCGAGGCCATGTGGGACACCAAGGCCGAGATCAAGAAGGCTGCCTACTCCACCATGGAGAAGGTTTGCGGTCTGATTGTCAACAAGGATATTGAGCGTTTCATTCCCGAGCTCATCAAGTGTATTTCCAAGCCCGAGAACGTCCCCGAGACCGTTCACTTGCTCGGTGCCACCACTTTCGTTTCCGATGTCACCTCCCCTACCCTCGCCATCATGGTCCCCCTGTTGGATCGTGGTCTGGTTGAGCGTGAGACTGCCATCAAGCGTAAGTCCGCCGTCATTGTCGACAACATGTGTAAGCTCGTGGAGGACCCCCAGCTCGTCGCTCCTTTCTTGCCTAAGATGTTGCCTGCCCTGAACAAGAACTTCGAGATTCTCGCCGACCCCGAGGCCCGTGAGAAGACCAAGCAGGCCCTTGACACCCTCACCCGTGTCGGTGATGTCAAGGACGGCAAGATCCCCGAGGTCTCCACCGCCGGTGACATCGAGACCGTCGCTGGTATCCTCAAGGATATCCTGAAGGAGAAGAACTTCGAGGACCGCATTGCTTCCTCCGAGGCCGTCATCAACTACGTTGGTGCCATCGCTGGTCAGCTCGTTGACGAGAAGGACTCCGACAACACCACCTGGACCCAGAACGCGCTCCCTTACATCGTCGCCATCGTCGGTGAGGAGGCCGCCAAGCCCATTGCCGAGACCCTCCGCAAGCGTGCCTCCCCCGATGCCGCTGCTGCCGATGAGGTCCCCTCCGACGAGGAGGAGGGTGAGGATCTGTGCAACTGCACCTTCTCCCTGGCCTACGGTGCCAAGATTCTGCTGAACCAGACTCACCTCCGCCTCAAGCGTGGTCAGCGTTACGGTCTCCTCGGTCCCAACGGTTCCGGCAAGACCACCCTCATGCGCGCCATCAACAACGAGCAGCTCGAGGGTTTCCCCAAGAAGGATGAGGTCAAGACCGTCTACGTCGAGCACGACTTGGACGCTGCCGATACCGAGCTGACTGTCATTGGCTGGACCATCAAGAAGCTGAACGAGGTCGGCCTGAACCCCGTCGAGTCCGAGGTCCGTGACAAGCTCGTCAACGAGTTCTTGTTCCTCGAGTCCCAGCTCGATGGCTCCATCGGTGCCCTCTCCGGTGGTTGGAAGATGAAGCTCGCTCTGTGCCGTGCCGTCTTCGAGAACCCCGATATTCTCCTGCTCGACGAGCCCACCAACCACTTGGACGTCAAGAACGTTGAGTGGCTCGAGAACTACCTCAAGTCCTCCCCTTGCACTTCCATCATGGTCTCCCACGACTCCGGTTTCCTGGACCGTGTCATCCAGCACGTTGTCCACTACGAGCGCTTCAAGCTGAAGCGTTACCGTGGTACCCTCTCCGAGTTCGTCAAGCGTGTGCCCTCTGCCCGCTCCTACTACGAGCTCGGTGCCTCCGAGATGGAGTTCAAGTTCCCCGAGCCCGGTTTCCTTGAGGGTGTCAAGACCAAGTCCAAGGCCATCATCCGTGTCAACAACATGATGTTCCAGTACCCCAACACCCCTGCTCCCCAGATTCGCGACATCACTTTCCAGGTCTCCCTTGGCTCCCGTATCGCCGTTATCGGTCCCAACGGTGCTGGCAAGTCCACTCTCGTTAACGTCCTGACTGGCGAGCTCATCCCCACCTCTGGTGATGTCTACCAGCACGAGAACATCCGTATTGCCTACATTAAGCAGCACGCTTTCGCTCACATTGATAACCACTTGGACTCCACTCCCTCCGAGTACATCCAGTGGCGTTTCCAGACCGGTGAGGACCGTGAGACCATGGACCGCGCCAACAAGATCGTCACCGAGGAGGACGAGAAGGCCATGGACAAGATCTACAAGGTCGAGGGTACCCTCCGTCGCGTCGTCGGCATCCACTCTCGTCGCAAGTTCAAGAACACCTACGAGTACGAGATCTCTTGGGCTCTTGGTGACAACGTCGGCATGAAGTCCGAGAAGTGGACTCCCATGATGTCCAACGACAACACCTGGTTGCCTCGTTCCGAGATCATCCAGTCTCACTCCAAGCAGGTCGCCGAGGTTGACCAGAAGGAGGCCCTCGCCTCCGGTCAGTTCCGCCCTCTCGTCCGTAAGGAGATTGAGCAGCACTGCGCCAACTTCGGTCTCGATGCCGAGCTGGTTTCCCACTCCCGCATGCGCGGTCTCTCCGGTGGTCAGCGTGTCAAGGTCGTCCTCGCCGCCTGCTCTTGGCAGCGTCCCCACGTCATCGTCCTTGACGAGCCTACCAACTACCTGGACCGTGACTCCCTCGGTGCCCTCTCCAAGGCCATCAAGTCTTTCGAGGGTGGTGTTATCATCATTACTCACTCTCGTGAGTTCACTGAGAACCTCACTGAGGAGGTGTGGGCCGTCAACCACGGTCTCATGACCCCCTCCGGTCACAACTGGGTTCAGGGCCAGGGCTCCGGTCCCCGTCTTGACCAGAAGGGTGATGATGACGAGGACAAGTTCGACGCCATGGGTAACAAGATTGTCGTCGAGAAGAAGAAGAAGCTCACTGGTAAGTTTTGCAAGAATATTCTTTGGTCCGAGTTGAATCCAGATTGACTAACTTCCTTTTTACAGGCTCTGAGCTCCGCAAGAAGAAGAAGGAGCGTGCTGCCCGCCGCAAGCGTGGTGAGGAGGTCTTCTCTGATGAGGATGACTTCTAAATCAGATGATAGACTTGGGAGGTGTGCTCTCATTATGGAGTTGATGATTATGATTTTTCTTAGTGTGATTTTTTGCTGAGAACAAAATATTCAAAGCTGTTCAGAACAAAACATTTTCTTTGTAAAATTGTAGATTGTAGACTTTCCGTAGAGATTGTTATCAGGCTTGCTGTATTGGAGTGCTGGTTACTTGTCGGATGTGGCTTGAGTCTATTGCTGAGGAATACTACGTGATCCCGTTTGTCTACCTCGCCTCTTTGCAGCTGAGACTCTCAAATTATTAAACCGTTCTTCATGCAATGCAATCTACATTTTATTATCCTCTTATTGAAGAGCCTTCATTTGAGCTCGTTATATGTTGAAGTTATTCAGCTCTCTACTTGCCCCGTGGCTGGTCCATACCAGACCACTTTTGTAAATACATCTTCATCGACCATGAAATACTAACTTCCCGTTTAATTCCCAAGTGACAGAAATCTTGGTTATAACTGAAGACGAAAATTTTCTGTTTCGTTTCTACTTTGTCTCATTTTTATCGTGTAGAAGGGCTGCGGGCAGGAGAAGTGTAGCAAGAAGCAGCCATTAGCCATATTTAAACGCTGATGTATACAATTTCTATGGCCTAGATGATAAATCCAGGGAAATAGTGACCCAGCAATGGTAACTTGAATAAGCTTAGTAGCTTACTATTTTTTTAATAGGTATATTCTATAGGTGTTTTCTATCCAGAACCGGGGTATGAGCCCTTTACGGAACCAGGTACACGAGTAGTTCATCCAGAATAACTGCATCAATGGATCTGAATAGAAGCTAATCTTTACGTATTTAAAAAGTGCTTATATGATCTTATCACCTATCAGAGAGGGGGAATTGGCAATTAGCAGGGGAGTCGGAGGACGCCGATGAGGAGGTGCTTTGATAGCGGGGTCGGTTATTAGGATCTCCAAGTCCTGTTGAAGACGAGTTTAACTGATATTTACCATTCTCCAGCATTCAGAGAACTGGATCTTCATAAAATTATCTTAAAAGAATATATAATGCTTGAAAGGAATACAGATTTATTGAGTTTAGCGGAGATATCGTCCACAGTCATGCCCCCGACAGATAAAGCCACAACCGCAGACGAGACGAGAAAAACCCCAGAAGAAAGCATCCAAGGATGGACCTGCGTCTTCGGCTCATTCCTCGCTCTCTTCTGCACATTCGGATTCCTCAATGCGTAAGTAAACGACTAATCCAACACCTACCTTCCCTCTCCACATACTAACATCTCCCTCCCCTCCACACCAGCATCGGCGTCTTCCAAACTACATACCAAAAAACAACCCTAAACACCTACACCTCCTCGTCCATATCCTGGATCTTCGCCGTCCAAATATACCTAATGTGGGCCCTAGGCCCCCTCTACGGCCGAATCCTAGATACCTACGGACCCGCTCCAATCCTCTACCCCTGCAGCATCCTCTGCGTGCTGGCCCTCTGCATGACCAGCCTTGCAGATAAATATTATCAGATCTTTCTGGCGCAGGGACTAGCCTTCGGCATCGGGGCTGGTGGGATCTTTACGTCTGCGATGGTCTGTGTTGGCCAGTGGTTTGTTAGACGGCGTGGCCTTGCGATTGGCGTTTCGAGTTGTGGTGCTAGTGTGGGTGGGGTTGTTTTCCCGGTGTTTTTGGATAGAGTTAGTCGGGCTACTGGGTTTGCGGGCGCTGTTAGGTGGTCGGCGTTGGTTGTGGGTGTTTTGTTGGGGTGTGCTTGTTTTTGTATTAGGTCGCCGATGCCTAGGAGGGGGTGGAAGGGGAAGGGAGATGGGGAGATGGTGTGGTTTGATGGGAGTTTGTTTCGGGAGAGGCAGTTTGCGTTTTATACTTTTGGGGCATATTTTGTTATGTGAGTATACCCTTAGGGGTTCGAGGATGGTGACACTGATACGAGGAGCTGGAAACAACAGAAAAAGAAAAGAAAAAGAAAAAGCAAATCGTGGCTGACTGTTGGAAATAGGTGGGGTCTTTGGGGACCATTTGATTTTCTTTCGAGTATGGCTGAAGCTAAGGGATTCTCGTCGACGCTGTCGCTGTATTTGATATCGATTATCAAGTACGTTCCTGGTCCGAGGTTATTGCAAAAGGTGTTGTCTTGCTCATTCATGTTTAGTGCAACTTCTATCTTCGGTCGAATTCTCCCCCCATATCTCGCGGATCATATTGGCCATTTCAACGTGTTGACTATATGCTCGATGTTAACTGGTGGTTCAATGCTCTTTCTATGGCTCCCATTCAACTATCACCCATCGCACGCAGGGATCATTGCTTTTGCACTCGTATACGGGTTCGTCAGCGGGGCCGTGGTATCTTTGCTGATGCCATGTGTAGCAAAGACTGGCAATCTAGACACCCTCGGCCGACGATTTGGAACGTTCCAGATGGTGATTTCAATCAGGTGGGTACTTGTACTACTTACTTCTTTACGAATACCAGGCGACACGACTACTGTTGGACTTTTCTTTTTGTTGACGACTGTGCATTTTAGTTGCCTCACCGGTCTACCTATCATGGGAAGCATCTTAACCCGACAATCCGGCACGGACTTTGCAGGACTGCAAATCTTTTCCTCAGTGACTGCATTGCTAGGAGGATGTTCCCTGATGGTATCGACATATCTTCTGGCTCGATCGCACGGGTCGTGGAAAGTGTGAAAGTTTGAGACGGGGAAGGTGGGAAATGGAGGGCCGTTCCGTAGCGTCGGGTCTATTTAGTGCTGACACGGTCCTCCTCGACGCACTCGGACTTTGAAAAGTTGGCGATTGGGACTCTGCACGGCCAACGACCGCTTTTTATAATGGCCAATGGGAAGGGGTCTAACCACTGTGGTTCCGGGGCTATTGTTTCTAGTTCCCGTGTGAACATGCAACTAGAACCTTTGTTGGAAATTGGGGTTGGGTCTTGTTTACCGAGGGGTAAGTCCAGTGCGAAAGGGGTTTCCCTATGGATGGAGGAGGGAGTACTCAGTAGTTCATACTTTTTATTGTATGTGAGTGCCAGCCTTCCCCCACGGAATAAGTGCAACAGGGGAATCCCTGACGAATAATGCGGAGAGATTTAGCTAGGAATTGGATGCGGCTAGGGTAACCTATCTAAGGTCTAGTTTCGATTCTAATTGGATAGGAAGTTGCAGACTCAGGCTAGACTGGTAGTATAGTTCCCTCCAAATCGAACTACACGCAGTCCACAGATGATTCTTACTTCTTAGCAGCTGTTTAGGTTCTTCCCCCCTCCTGTCCATAGTGGAGTTGACTCGGCACCGTGCAGCCCCTCACCGCAAGGAGAATGAAAAAAAATAATAGAAACTTTGAAAGTGCAAGCCATAGTACATTTTAGACTATCTACAAAAGGATACGTGCATTTTAGCAACTCTTTTTTCCTCGATCTGTCAGATTCACTTTTTGCAAAAGGCAAAAGTACCAAGTACCACGTTCGCTTTTGTTCCGGAGCATAAATCCGTTTTGCCACCCCCAGGACTTCTTTCTCCCTCTTTCCCTTGGCCAGAACTGTTTTGCGCTCTATTAACCTTGGTCCAAGCTCAACTATCATCATGGACAACCATACTCATTCAGAGGATACGAGGCCGGAGCCTAAGGAGACGGAGCCTGTTAATACGGAGACTGAAAAGGCAGAGCCTGTCAATTCGGAACCTGTCAATGGAGAGGCTGTAAACGGAGCGGCTGTGAATGGACAGGCTACGAGTGGAGAGCCCGCTAATCCAGAGACTATCAACCCACAGTCGACCACTTCCGCTCCTCCTAGCAATGAAGATACCAACCCAGAGCCTGAAAATGCAGAGGCAGTTGACGATGAACCTGTGCGACCACCAGGTGCCGCGACGCAGTCGGCCGAGGCCGCCGAGGCGCCGCAAAACACAATGTTTCCAATCCAAGTCGATGACTTTAGCGTATGATCATTGATCCTCATTGTTGCGTTCCAATATACTGAATACTTGAACAGACCGATGACAGCGACTTTGAAAGTGACTTTTCCGACCTGACTTCTTTGTCTTCAAGCGTATTGGACTACGAATACGAGAATGGTCGGCGGTACTCGAGCAATCGACACGTAAGTACTCACACTCTTTTGCAAGCTACGCCGTCAAATCTGAACTTTCGCTAATTATTATATCAGACTCAATATATGTATGCTCTATACCTGATTTGACTATGGGAAGCATTCGCTAATATACCACAGTATGCCGAATGACGAGCAGGAACAAGACCGCCTGGACTTGGTATGACCCTCAACTTCCGTAATGATTTGTCACCATTTCTAACCATCCTATAGTGCCACCACATGTTAGCATAACGAGATCCATTTCATGTGTTCCCTCGCTAACAGATCCATCTAGCTGGCTCTTGCTGCTCAAGGGAGAGCTTTTCAAAGCACCCATCAAGAATCCGCAAAAGATTCTAGATCTCGGCACGGGCACGGGAATTTGGGCCATCGATTGCGCAGAGTAAGCACGACTACTCTTTCATGAGAAATGTCCAACATAGTACCCCTATTAATTTCTCAAAGGAAATTCCCAGAGGCCCATGTCATTGGCAACGACATTAGCGCTATCCAGCCGCAATGGGTCTGCCCGAACCTGGAATTCATCGTGGAAGACTACGAAGTAGAATGGCTCTACAAAGCTGAAAGCTTCGACTTTATCCACTCGCGTCTGTTGGCAGGGTGCGTATTTACCTCCCCCCCCTCTTTCTTCTTCCTCATTCTTCAAACTCCCATACTAACATCACCATAACATCACCACAGCTGCGTCGCAGACTGGCCCCAACTTCTCCGTCGCTGCTACGACGCCCTAAAACCAGGCTGCTACGTCGAACTCCACGAAAGCGCCTTCTGGGCCTACAGCGATGACGGAACCTGTCCTGACGACTCCCCGCTTAACCAATACTTAAGCGCCCTCATCCAAGCCTCCGCCGCAAGTGGAAAACCGTATAACATCCAAAACCTCCTGAGAGGTTGGTTGATTGACGCTGGCTTCGAGGATGTCACCCAGTTGACTTATTGGCTGCCGTACTCGCCGTGGCCTAAGGATCCTTATCTCAAGGAGCTGGGCAAGTATCAGCAAATTATGTCGCAGCAGGCTATTGAGGCTTATGGGCTTCGGTTGTGTACGCAGGTGTTGGGTTGGGGTGTGGATGTTTCGAAGATTTTCCAGGCGCAGTGCCGGAAGCAGATTGGTGATAGGAATGTGCATGCCTACGTGAAAGAGTGAGTTTATCTACAGGATTTTTGTGGGAATGGTGTGCTGACCAACTACTAGGTATGTCTTTTATGGAAGGAAACCTTTCCGGTGAATGGTGGGGATAAAGGGAGTGTGGGGAGGGGGTGTGGCTTGTGCGATGTTGATATTAGCGATTATTCTGTTCGAACACGACTTTTAGGTAATATGTTCTTTCTTCAAGCTACAAGCTTAAATCTCGATGGCCTAATTCCAAATGTTGCATAGTAGATGTAGATGTACTGATAGGATAGACGGGGAATTCTGGTCAATGGATAGCACAGACGCAGTTACTTGTCGCCGAGGATCTTGCATGGGAACAAGAGAATTGGTATTTTACATGTGCAGCGATTTATCTTATTGTACAGTTTGGCCATGCCGACCTACTTCCGTCTCGTCAACTAGGCCAATCAGCTGTCCACCGGCCCAACCTTGACATTAGTCCTCCTGCGCAGCTCATCAAATTCATTCATGGCCTTTTCTCTCTTCTCAGCCTTACGCTGCTGAACTTCAATACTCTTGAAGCGCTTCTTGCCCCCAAATTTCAGCTTAGTGATCATGTCAGCCGCTTGACCCCTCGTCAAGTCCCCGGGCCGTAGCTTGCCCTCCCGAATGCGAGCTTTGTTAAGCAACTGGATCTGTCCAGGTGTTGCCGGATTCTGCCTCCAGGGTTTCCACGATGCAATATATCGCTCGTCAAATTTGCTGCTGGCATACGTATCTGCGGCGCGAACAGCTGTTTCTAAGTCTGTTCCCGATGCGATTCGTCGAGGGCGTGTGAACTGGGGTGTTTCCGTCATTGGGTTGGTGAACTTCATGACGTGGTACACGTTGTACATATCTTTTTCTTTCTCCAGGGTCAGCCAGCCTGATGATTCTGATAACAAGTACTTTTCATCGCCAACTCGGACCCAGGAGTTTGGACTGAGAGACCGGATGTGTTTCTCAGAGCGTGTGTCATCTAATAGGTCGTAGATGCTGTCGTATTTGGTGAATTGTAGACTGACCTCACCCTCCTCGGCTGTCTCCGACTCTTCTGATGGCTTTGGCAGGCTGTCTTCCTTACGCCCTTCTCGTATATCTTTCACTGAAGACTTGCTCAAGACTTCGTCTGGGTGAAGACCGAACAAGGTCGGAGTTGACAGGACTCCAGTTGCCAACGATGCAACCATGTCAATTATATGACAATCCTCTTTCCCAGGAAACAGACGAAGTCCACGTCCAATCATTTGGATTAGTAAATTCCTCGATCTGGTCGGACGCGCCAAGAGAACGCAATCAATGTTGGGAATATCCGTGCCCTCAGTGAACAGACCGCAATTCAAAAGAACCGGGAACTCTTGTTTTTTGAAAGCCTCCAGTTGCTCAGAGCGTACATTCTTGTGTGTCGTGGCAGTGATGTACCGAGCATCAACGCCATGTTCCCGAAACGTCGCAGTGAGCTGTTTGGCATGCTCGACGTCCACGCAAAAGACAAGCGTCGATTTCCGACCTTGCGCATTCGCCATCCAGGCACGCACAGTGATATTGTTGGTATTCGAAGTGTTAACCGCCTCTGAGAGCGAGCTCAGGGCAAAATCGCCAAACTTGTCCTTTTTCACGTTGGACAAATTCGCCTCGGATTTGACAGTAGTAAAAACTGCATTGGCCAGCCATTTCTCGCCAATCATATCCACGTAATCTTTATGATAAACAATATGATCAATCGCGGCACCGAGTTTCAGCCCGTCGAATCGCGCAAAGGTAGCGGAGACACCGACGAGAACCGGCGCATTTGGAGATGGCTCGTTCAGACTAAAATGACCCAACGCTTCACGGTAGGATCGTGCAACAATATGATGCGCTTCGTCCACCAGAATCAGCTTGAATAGCTTCGGGTCGAACTTATGGATGCGCCCCCGGGCAAGCGTTTGCACGGATGCAATGATGATATCTCCATGACCTGTCGCAACATTGTTCCCCATTTCAACTTCCACAATCTTGTCTGGGTATGCAAGGCGGCAATGCTTCGCTGCTTGTTCGACGAGTTCGCGTCGGTGGACGATAATCATAGTCTTGGTAGCTTCCGCATCGCGAGGTGGAATTCGGCTAATGAGCTGTGTGAAGATGACCTAGGAAGATCAGAATAGTTCTCAGGTTGAAAAATGAATCAGTCATACTGTCTTTCCAGCACCAGTGGCTAGAGATATGCCAAGGCGCCGGTGGCCCTCGTCAAGGTAGCTTAGCACCGACTGAATGCATTCTTCCTGGTAATCGCGGAGCACAATGCTGGAAGCGCCGGGCAGCGGCGGAGCTGTAGAGTTGAGACGGACATTGCGCCAGCAATGCGACACCAACAGCCTCCTTGGAGGCCTCCTCGACTGTGAAATGGCCAAAAGCCCAAATCTGCGAATGAACTCCATACTCGAAAGAAGAGAGAAGCTCGGCGGACTGAAGAACTGCTACAAACAGTGCAAACATTCTTATCGGCGCGATAACGTCAGTCGGTATTCTGGTGGACGTCGAAGAGCTCAACTTTTTTTGCTTAGCTACTGCTCTGCGCTACATCTGCAAATTCTTTTCAAGTTCACAGGTGCAGCTGTGATGTCCTCGCATTCGGTATATCCGAATGCGCTGGCAGTCTGCAAGCCTGCACGATGAGCAGTTCCGAGTCGTCCTTTGCGCCCGACGAAATTTCCGAGTCCGACTCCGAGTTCAGTATCGATGGACAGCCACAGCAGCCGCGTAGTCGGCGCTCTTCTTCACGAATCGAGGTGGTGGATATCTCATCGGAGGACGATAATAAAGATGGCATTCTGTCCGATCAAGACCTAGACTCCGACTTGGAGCCATACCCAGATACGGACGCCCGTGACAACCAAATCGAAACACTTAACCATCACATTGAGCGTGTATCGCCGAAGATTCTCGAGAGCTATGCCTCACTCGTGACGGAAATCGAAAATGATATCTTTTTTTCGACGGTTAGAGAGGATGAGGAGATTCACAACGTCCACCAACATGGAGCGGTAATCTGGACTGCGACGGAGAAGGAAATTCTATACAATGTGCTCGATAGGAAAGGCAAGAATGGCATTAAAGACATTGCCGCGGCGATTGGGACCAAGTCAGAACTAGAAGTGATGGATTATCTACGACTGCTTCGTCGCGGTCTCGAGAGCCAGCATCTCGTCGAGCGACATGTCAAGACCATCATCATGGGAGACGTCCCCGCCGCCGCCGAGGTCAGCGAGAAATGCTGCGCCGAGCTAGACGAGTATGCTCGTGGTCTCAGGGCAAAAGACGACTTCGACGCTGTGCTAGCTGCGCGGATACGATTTGGTGATAATTGGCTTGTCACTAGTACCCAGGCGAAACAACTGCTCGCAGCTGAAATGGATGTCCCCATGCGAGGCGACATGCACCTTCCTGCCAACCTGCTCAACATCCCAACGTGGATTGACCTTGAACAGCGGTTCTTTATGAACTTTGGTGGTTCACAAGAAGAAGATAATTGGGTGAACATCGCCCAGGCGAAACACGAATACCCGTCTATCAGCGGCGACGCGCTTATGGACTTTTATGCTTTGACGGTCAGCATTACACGTCGGTTGATACAGTCGACTCAATTCGTGGCAATGAGCCGGATACGCAGTCAGCGCCTATACGGCCGTGAACCAGCCAATGCAGTTCGCAGGAAAGACGTCAAGGCCGCTATCAACATTCTAAACATGAAACCGAAACGAACAAATTTCCTGCTCAACCTCGCCCGCCGAAACGAATTAGTTATCAAGGACGAGCACAAAAGAAAGGGCTGGAAGGCTCCAACAATGGACTACGACGAGGCGGAGAAGATTCTCAACGGAGAAAGCGATTACTTCCAACGCGTCAGAGATGCAACCCGCGCTACAGCCGCAGACGCCGAAAATATAGATGAAGTCGGAAAAGAAGATGAAGTCGACAGCGATAATTCCGACGGAGAAAACTCATACCAACCTTCCCGAATGACATCCCGACAACCAACCGAACTCTCCTCCCCAAACGCATCCTCAGACGAAGACGAAGCCTCCCTCGACTCAGAAGAAGAGCACGCCGACATCCTCGACCGAGAACACAGTCGCCGCGAAGAACTCGCTCTCTGGCACGTTCTCGAAAAGCCCGCACCCCCTCGCCTCCAAACACCCATCACAACAGAAGAAGACGATAAAGATGCCTCGCGCAGACCCACCGCCGACCGCAAAGCCCCCCAGGACATGGTCGAATGGCGCGATCGCACCCTCTACCGCGGTGAATGGGAGGAATACGGTTATGAGGTCGGTGATGTGGAGGAGGCTCTGGTTGAGAATCGGCGGAAAAGACGCCGTGTTGATGAGCCTCTTTCTGCGTCTGTAGTTAATAGTGAAGAAGAAGATGAGCAGCAACATCAGGAGGAGGGTGGTGAGATGCCGCAGCTTGGAGCTGAGGAACACACTCGCGTTGAGCCTCCGAAATATGGTTCAGCCGGTTGGGATGCATTTTTGCATTCGTTTTTGACGCCGGCTCAGCCCCCGCCTGCTGAGAAGCCTACCAAGAGTGAGAGCAAGAGTAAGAAGAAGAGCAAGAGTCGTCGGCGATAATAGGTGCCAGTTGGCATGTATACAGCTTGGTCTAGAGATATTACGAGATACCATAATGCAAATATTTACTCAAGATGTTTAAGGGTGGTCAACGAAGTCTACCAAGTTCATCAAAAGAGAAAGGTTCCATCACGAACATATGATTAGAAAAGAAAAAAAAAGGGTAAACACATCCAGAAAATGGAAAATGAACAGAAAACATCCGAGCCCCCCTAATTTCATCCTCACCAAAACTTAAGACCACCAGATGAAGGGAAGGGTCTTTTGCAAGGGATGAAATCGAAATCGACTCAAACTCCCAACGGATAATCAAGAAACTGCGCCTTTTCCTAGCCAGACAGATAGACAAGTTCAAACAAGAATATTCATAAAACACCACCAGAACCCGGTAGTCTCCATTCACCATCGCCGCTCCGGCCATCCCTCTTCCAAAAACGTCCATGGGATATCATACACATATCGGGAAAAGCTTAGCTCACAGGTCGAGCGACTTGAAATCGGCACCGGCCACTGCGCTCAAGGGCTGAGCACCCGGTTGGGTCTCGCCAGCTTGGGGCTGGAAGCCGTAGTTGTTGCCGATACCAGCGGTGGCGGCACTGGCGAGCATGGCATTAGTGTGCTCGTTGGGACCCTGGTCACTGACAACCTTGAGGGCTTCCTGGGCTTCCATAACACGCTTCTTGAAAGCCATCCGGTCCAGGAAGAGCTGTCGGCGTGCCTGCTCGAGTTCCCGACGCTCGGCCTCAATGATCTCTTCCATCTCGTTGAACTGCTGCAACTTGATCTCGAACTTTTGCAAAGTCACGTTGACAGCAGCGCCAACCAGACGGGTCATTTCACGTTCCTCGTGAGAGGCCAAAGCTCCCGCGCGAGCTGCTGAAGCCGCCAGGGCAACGGTTGACAGGGACTCCTTGGGCTTCTCAGCCTGCTGCTCGCCTTCGCGAACGGTGTCCACATCCATCGAATCCTCGGCCTTGACAGACTCCTTGCTCTTACCATCACCCTTCTCCAGCTGGCTGCGGAGTTCTTTCCGGATCTCCTCGACAGAGCGACCGGCAGCGGCAGCGGCTACTGAGGGCTCGGCCATCTGAGCAAGGAAAGCAACAACGGACAGGACAGGGTTCTCCGACTGGCTGATGGGATCGCGCGCAGCGCCAGATCGCAGCTCGGGAATATCTTCAACATACTTGTCCTCGATCTCCAAAGACAAGAACTTCATCACACACTCCTCACGCGTCCGCGTGCCAACGTGGTTCGCAATCTGTTCCCAGTTGTCATCAAAGTTCTCCAGGCCCTCCAGCAACAGGACAAGCTCTGAGTCGGACCACGGAGCATCCTTGTCGGGCACGTGAGAGTGACCCTTATCTTCGAGCTTCACAAAGTCGGAAGCGTTGTGGCTAGAAGGCATGCGGCCCTGGAGGAAGCAGTTCGGGCACAGATCGTACTTGGTATCGGGGGTGTTGGCGTTGGCGGATGTTGGGGCCGACTTGGCGTAGTGGAAACGAAGGCGTGTGCAGTCAATACCACAAGAGAAGCAGTGAGACTTCTTCTTGGGCTCTGAGGGCTCAATGCCGTTCGTTGCTTCGCCGTTAGTGTGCTTCTCCTTATCCTCAGCTGGTGTGACATCCTTGCCCTTCTCGTCGTAGATGTTGCGGCGCAGTTCGAGGTTGACATCGCCCTTTGCGGGGGTCGCCGAGGCGGCGCGCTCGGTGGAAGGAAGCGCCTTGCCAGAAGTGACGGTGGGGTGCGGGCCAGGCTGGAAGGGCTGCAGGCCTCGAGGGGTATCGGCGATAACTCGGAAGTGACCAGTGAAGGGAGGACCGATGTTGGAAGGTCGGGATTGGGGGTCAACCTGAGAGGGTTAGTTCTGGTTCATTAGAAGAACACTATCCTCTGCACTCACTTGGTAGTTAATCAAGCCCCACTGCTCAAGGAAAGAGTGAATACGCATGATAGCACAGACATCACCCGCGAGATTGCGACGGCAAGCAGTGACGGTCAGGTATTCGATAGGGTTCAGGCGGTAGGTGTTAATCATGAAGTCGCGGTAGTCTTTGTAAGTGGCCGGGGTCTTGCTTCGGTTGCGGCCGTTGAAGAACTCCGCCAGTGCCTTCTTCTCGATGGCATTGATGGTGTTCATGTCGAACCAGGTTGCGTAGCTAGGGAGGATGATTGCGTGGGTTTGAGAGACGAGTTGATCGCGAGCTTTGCCTTCCAAAGCGGACTTGCTCGGCGCCGGCTGATCCTCTCCTACTGCATCATCAAGACCTTCCGTAGCAGTCTCTGGGGGCTGTGACTCTCCAGCTGCATCCTCTAGACCCTCAGTGTCAGGCTTGGCATCGGTCTCAGTGCCACCCATCTCTTCGTCTTCCGGCTCGGCATCACCATTATGGGGCTTGGGGGAGGCAGGGGCATCGAGAGGGTTATCTAGTCCAGCGGAAGACTCTGTCTTCTTCTCGGGAGACTCCTGGCGCGATTGCGCCGCTATTCATCTGGTCAGCATTCGACGTGACGTGAACCGGGTGCGGTTGAGATGGCTGGGGACCGACGTACCTGAAGTGTTGGCTGCATCCGCAGCACCGTCTGTACCAGTCATTGTGTGCAAATTGTCAGGCGCGGCAGCTGGATTGGCAGAACTTCCATCCATGATGTTCAAGTCGAAGGAAAGCTGCTGTCGCGGGCGACAGAAGATCGACTCCTTGCCCTGTCTTTTGTTTGTCTGACCTTGCGCAGCGCAATTGATTACGCGTTACAAAAGCGAAATGTCAGACGAGAACGATTATCGAAGACGAAAGATGGCCCACTTGGATGGGAATTTCGGCCAGGGAGGGATGATTGGACGGGGTGTTCGATCAACGGGGGAGGTGGATGTCGCGACACGGAAAACTCGCGGTCACCTGCGCCAAGACTCTAATCGACGCTAGTACAAATGGGGACTAGCGCTTAATCACCCGTCGACCTGATGCATGTTACGTTTTGTTATCCCGACAACGACCTCTCGTTGATTGATATACTTGAGAAACGGTCTATTGTTGAGAGAATGGCTCTTGAATGATGCTAGGTGTCTCTCCAAATTGGTCTCCAAGACGGTCTACCCAGGATGCTACAACGGGCTATCTGTCCAGTGTCGCAAATCTCATATTCTTATTTTCATCTTTTATATCTGCTAATTGACAGAAGACAAAGCGGCTTATCTGCAAATCATGATATCAATACAGGAAGACAGTCTAGTGTGCTGCAGCAACCGCTTCCGCCCGGAGCTTCAACGCCTTCTCGACAGCTGGGCGAGCCTCCTGGCGGTTCAACCAAGCCGCGACATTGGGGAACTCCTTGCCCAGGTCAACATCGAACAGAGTCACGACTTTAAACCAAGGAATGAAAGCAAGATCAACATAGCTGAACTTGTCACCGACGAGATACTCTTTATCAGCCAAGAATTTGTCCAGCACACCCGAAACACGACGGATCTCCTTCACGTAGCGCTCCTTGGCGCTCTCAATCTTCTCCGGATGGAAGCGGGTGAACCAGACAGCCTGGCCGAAGTAGGGACCCTGGCCGGACATTTGGAAGTGCAGCCATTGCTTGGCAAGGAAGTAGTCCTTGGAGCCAGCGTCAAAGCTGATGGTGTGTTCCTTGTCATAGGTCTCGACCAGGTATTCGAGAATGGCACCAGACTCCCACAAGGTAATTCCGGTGTTTGGATCTTCGATGGCAGGGACACGGCCATTTGGATTGACGGACACGAAAGGTTCCTTTTTCATATCGGCAAAGTCGACGGCGATGCTGACGTAAGGGATGTTGAGCTCCTCCAAGACCATGAGGACTTTCCATGGGTTGGGTCCAGGACCGTGGCCGTAGAGCTTGATTGGCTTGAGCGACATGTTTGTATGTTTTTTTTTGGAGAATTGAGCCTTATAATTGGAGTACAAGGAAGGAGTAGATCCAGAGGCCGTTGGTCGGAAATAACAATTGGCAGATAACTATAGTGGCGAATTCTGATTATCACGTACTTCTTTAAATAATCTTCCTAGCATTACTAGCTACACGATATCTCCTCCATATTCAAACATGGGGTCCGGCCGATTGCTCACATAATTCCTCGTATTGTATTAATCAGTTCGGCATCGGCTTTTGGATGACACTCTGCCGAGTCGCTGACAAATTGCCAAAATGGGGCCGAGTGGGTTTTGTAATGCTGATATATGCGGAGTTAGGCTACTTGTGGTCCTAGATGGGCATAACCCGGGGAATTTCCCGATGGACATATTCCTCTTTTAGCATTGTGGCCTCAAGAGGACCGGTTTCTGCACATTTTGTTAGCAATTGAAGATGTTGAGTTTAAGCTTGGTCGCTCGAGGACAAGATTCACTTGGCATTGTTTAGTAATCGAGCTCATTTTCCGTCACTGATGCGGTTAGCTTGACAGGTGAATTGGTCATGATCGTCAAGGCAAGTTTCTGCCTTCCAATGGGCAGTTCAAATGGGAAGAAGATCAATTGGGCAACGCTTGGGAGTATGGGGTTTTTACTCTGCCAAAGGTTGGGATAAGGTTTAACATATAGTAGGCAGTCGGGTTTAGGTTTGGTTGCACAAATTGGTCATGTTGTCTTATTTGCCACACTGTACTCATTAGACAGAAGAGGAATGATAAATATTGTCAGAAAGTATCATAGGTTTTCGTTCTCCCCCTCCATGTTGCTTGAATAAAACTCGATTAACGAGACTGTCCCAGGTCATCGACTGTCGCCATGACTCTTGGTTTCATTCTGGCAAAGAAGGCATTTAATATGGTGCCCTTTACAATGTATCAGGGAGCCATCGATGCCCTTTCTGTACTATGATCGTGAAAGTAGGCACATATTGCAGATTTTTCTAATTCAATAACGAAGGACGCGGTTTAGTGATGAAAGGCGACGACGGCGAGGACCGCGTTAGGCCCATATTCGAGGGGAAACGGGTTTACTTGCGAAACAGACAGGAAACGATTTTATTTATGAGGGCAGCTTGAAAATTCAAGCTTTTCTTGAGTGATGTTGTAGATGATTAGTACAGTTCAGTCCGTCCCGAAACTGGTACACCCCTCTACATTCTGTCAAGGATTTTCTGGCCCCTACCCCCACCTCCAAAAGACTCGGTCTATTTTTGTCCTCTCAATTAGGCGTGTATTGTTTCTTACGAAGGTTGCTTGATACTTTCAAATGCGTATCCTCTTAGATGCGGTGACACGATCTGGCGGAAGGTGCGACGCTCGCTTATGGACACATTTATCTCTGTCCTTTGGGAATTGATCTTCTGAGATGATTACAGTTTGTTAAACTTCATTGGATAGTTGCATAGTCAGACGTTCCCACATTTCTAATACACAAAACAATTTGATTCGCCGAAGCGTGGAGATTCACAAGCTAAAATATGCGCTAAGACTTAGCACGGCAAGAACCTCGCCTATTGGCCGATGCGTGGACATCTCAGCCGCCGAGCCTCGCGGCTTCGCTTTCATGTCTTTCTACGTCGCTAGTACAGACAGACCAAGCAGACTATAAAGTTGACCAAAATCCTCATCCTCCCAGTTACCTGCTCTTCTTTAACAGATCCAACCAAGTTCTTCCAGTTTCCAGAAATTTAAACTGCAACCATGACTAGTTCCCTCTCAGATTTAACTTCTACCCTGACGTCCGCTCTGTCAAATCTCCCGCCTCAAGATAAGATCCAAGATGCCGAGCGCATGCAGCTCCTAGGGGTCATCGGCCAACTGCAAGTAGCGCTGGAACCTCCGCAAGTGCCTATCGGGCGATTTTGCTTCTCGGTGACTTAATCTACCTTGTCTGTTTCTCTCACTGAACACATCGCTAATATGATCATGGGTAGCACTATGGCATCGTCGTTATCCGAATTGCCCAGGGCATGGGGATCTTCAATGCGTTCGCTGAATCTCAAGGCAAAGATATGACACTGAAAGAGTTATCTTCCAAAGTCAAAGGAGACGAGAAGCTTCTGAGTAGGTACTCTAATTTGATTAACTTGGGTCCTTGCTGACTATTTCATAGGACGTATCATGCGCTTCCTGTCTTCTCAAAATATCTTTAAGCAAACCGCCAGTGAATCATACAAGCCTCTCCCCCTAGCAATGGTATTCGGGAACGGGTCGCCGCCCGGGGACATGATCAAACACTTGTAAGTATTTTAACCTGTTTATGGGGTATGGTTAGTACTAACATAGATTCCAGCCATAACAACATGCAAGTTACTGCGAAGCTCTTTGAATACTTTGAATCGAATGGCTACAAAAACCCTGAAGACGCATACGATGCTCCCTTCCAGCTCGCCTACAACACCAAGAACCACTACTTTGAATGGCTGAGTCAAAATCCCACGATTCAAGAGACCTTCAACTCGGTGATGACCCAGAGCCAACAGTATCGTGGTGCGGACTGGTTCGAAATTTATCCCGTACAGGAAAAGTTGCAGGTTTCCCCTGACCGGGTTTTGCTGGTTGATATCGGTGGCGGCGTTGGCCACGATATCACGGCATTTAAGAAGCATTTCCCAGACCTCCCGGGCAAGCTCGTCCTCGAGGATCTTCCGCAGGTGATTGATACCATCAAGGAACCTCTGCACGAAGGAATCACGGCTATCGGTCACAGCATGTTTGAGCCGCAACCTGTCAGCGGCGCTAAAGCGTACTATCTGAGAACGGTCCTGCACGATTTCCCGGATAAGCAGGCTCTTGATGCACTTGCACGCATCCGGGCAGTCATGACAGAGGACTCTATTTTGTTCGTTCATGAGCATACAATGTCCGATGACCTCGATGTCCCTCCCATGGCTGCGACACTCGATATACATATGATGGAGATATTCTCGTCCCTAGAGCGAACCGAGAAGGAATGGGTAGCTCTTTTGGAAAAGGGTGGATTCAAGGTGGTCAAGGTCTGGAATGAGGATTCTTTTGGACAGTCTACTGCGTTGTTTGAGGCTACTCTGTCCTGAATATTGGATTAATATTGAAGGGAGATCAAATCAAGTCGGAATTCTTATTCACCACCATCTATTGAGTGCATTCACATCGACTTTAATAATTCAACAAAATTTCCGATCTAGGCGCTCACTCGTGAATGTCTCTGAAGCAGATCAACTCCGCGAATGAACGACCAGTTCGTCGACTGTTGCGACGACATTAATGTATCAAGCAGAAACCTGGACAGCTTCTCTTCCATGTCAGCATCTATAATCGAGCTGTATGGATGGCCGTGAGTCCGTAACTCTTCCTTCAATTTTTTCAAAGCCATCGAGACGATGAGGTTGGAATTAATAATCCCTTCACAGTGCGGCCAGGTCTGCAAGGTGTGGATCGCCTGCAAGCGAATTGAATAGTCTGGACATTGCGAGGCCACCACCCACAAACCCGGGAGCACACCGTAATCTAAGGTAAGTGTTGGACGATCAGAGCATTTGGCTAGAAACTCCTGATGCGCCGAGAACAGGGCGACGTATTCCGGTTTCAGGCTTGCAGGCACTGACCCTTTGATGAGACAAGTTTTTAGGCTTAGAATCTGCCCAAGACTCTGAAGTTGAAGCACGTCGATAGCTTGCTGTTCACGACCGCAAAGATTATGAGAAAAATCTCGACAGAATATCCCGAAATCATGTTGAAATTGATAGTTTAGGGACAGAAGCTGTTGCTGCCTCTGGAACAGCTCATCGTATTCTGCTGCAACTTCCACTGCAGATAATGGCCAGCATCGGGCGAGAAAAGGGATGCCCATATTCAACAGAAAAGTCACGCGTCGGTGTACATCTGGCACATTTCGCATTATAGAGAAATTATCCAGAGTATGCACGTCATCATCGGTACCAAAATGGGTGAATAGGAACGGGGTGCCCAGCCCGAAATGGGCGGATTCGATGTCGAGTCGTCCGAAGATATGGACCAGTGACTCGTCTAAGCTAATGGTTGAATGATAGTGCTGTGTTTCTTTGAGGACGCGAAGCCCACTATGCAGATGTTGAAAGGCATTATCATACCGTCCCAGTAACAGCTCGGATATGACAAAAAGCAGGCAGCATACCAGCATAACTTCCCGGTACTGAGGGTCATTCGATGCCTGGCGTTGAGAGAGATGGGTACAAGCTCTAGAGGCCTGCTGAAGTGCGAAGCGATGACGCGCTCGCTGGAGGTTTTCCCCAGACAAGCGCATTTCGTTCGCGTCCGAGTCTTCGTGAAGAGCCGCGAGCATATTAGCGGCATGATACACGGCGGGATCAATATGACTGATCTGCAAGACAATTTTGTGCCAGAGAGGAGAGTTAAAGAAAACTCCCAGGCCAGGAATAGAGCGATATCGAAAGTATGAAAAGCATCGTCGCTCGTCCGTGGTAGTTACCCACCCTGGTTGAAGGTATATACTCTGGGTCAGTCCGAGGCCTCGCTCGCGGACGGGCAAGCGGTGCAGATCATAGCCATCGCATTTACGGCCGGTAGATTTGCAATTGTTGCATGTCCCAGGAGTTTCGTCGCACTTAATGTGTCGAGTACTGCTCAATCTCACTAGTCAATACGGTGCTTCCATTTGACCCCGCAGGAGCCAGCCAGCCAGCCAGTCATTGGATGATCAGGAAATAAATACCCACCGACATGTCCGGCATCCCTTCAACGACCGAGTGCTACATTTCCTGCGTCGCCTTATACCCAGCATCACGGACGGGCTATTGAGTCTTCAAGAAAGGGGTTTCCATGCTCGTAGCCTAAAATGGTCTTCCAACTTCAGCTTCAGCTTCTGGTTGCCGAGTAAGCGTTGGGGGCGAAAATGTGGAGCGCTCTGGTTGGACATCGACTGTCTCCCCGCCTTCATCGTGAAGCAATTCGACTCGAACAATACAGTAAATACTCGTGGTCAGCCGGGAGTTGAGTTCTTCACCTTTCATTATCGATTTTGATCAATTTAAATTTCATTTTTCTCCGTTTCAGAAAATGATTGAATGAGCGCGAAATGCTAATTATTTCTCCCATGGATATATATCGCGGCAGGGCTGATGGTTTTATTTAGCCACCCATTTTTGGAATCGGAGACAGAGACAATATTCTATATCTCAAAGTGCCCTCTGAACATTTTAGAAGGGGTCGAGGGCCAGCGCTAGGAAAGTAGACGCACTTGCACCGTCCAGGATCTGATAATTGACCCTGCATGAGCCGCATCTCATGGGGGTATAAACGAGTACTGTGGTCAAGTAGTCGGGCCGACCGTGGACATACATTCAAGTGCGAGGCCTCGGAGTAGATGAATTCGGGCTCATAGAACAAGAATGCATCGCACCAATGTTCTAGAATAAACAATCTCTAACAAGGCTGCTTCGGAGTGAAAATATCTATCTTCAACTCGCCTCAATCAAGTAGTATCGCTAACTAATCTCTGAGGGTCCTCGGAGTGGACTTCGGAGTAAAAATTCGATCATCGGACTAGCTAGTAGTAGGTTCGGACTAAAACCGACCAAAGAAATGAGGAATTAATTCAACCAACATCACGCCATCATCTTGATTGAAAAGAATCAAGACGAATATTGAAATACGATCATCCATGAACATCATTGATGGGATTTCAAAGCAATGATGTGTTCACACGCCCTTCAAGAAATGGTTTCCATGGCTTCGGTACAATTGATTGGCTTATACTAACAACCCCGCATTGACTCGTATTGACTCACTCCCAAGCCACAACTCGTACCGCGCGATCAAGAGCCAGTAAAAAGGATGAGAAGCTTCGTTTGCTTGGAAATCAAACAATCAAATCCATTGACCAAATACGAAACGATCAAGACATTCACGGATCAGTTTTATTGGCTAATATTCTTTAAGAAGAAAAATCTACATCGTTTGTTCAATTTGCACTTTCGACTTTTATCGACTCCATATGCGAAAAGATCACCGCTTATAGCCGCAATGGCTTTACTCCGAAGGGCGTAGCTAGTAGTCTCGCCAGGTCGAAATGCTCTGGGGCTCCATTTCGAGACCCCGAGCTCGCCAAAGATCCAAAAATTGGCGGCGGGAAGTGGAGCCACTCGGATCTGGATGTTCTGGGTAAATTCAAGTCGCAAATTCCAGGTTTTGATTTGATAGACAGCACCGTAGCCTTAACATTCGAGCTTACTGCCGATACATACTCCGTTAAGCATTTCGGGCGTCCAACCGTCAAGGCAGCAACGAGGTCTAGATTGGGCCTCAGGCCCGTGACTCAGGAATGATGATGGAAGCGGATGCAGAGCCGTATACGAACGAGTTTGAAACATCGACGCAAACACGCGAAGGCTTGATAAGTCACGCCCTTTCGCGCTGGGCTATCCCATATCTGGAGAAGTCGGGGAGGTCCAGATCCATCGAGACAAAGAGACGGTCAGGATCCGAAAGCTACGCGTTGGGATAGACTTGGATTCTTCCGACATGGACGCCCTTTAGGGCTTAGGCTCCGAGATAGTTCTTGTTGGAATCATGATTATCTGATACACGCGACGTGTCAGCGGATGCGCGCTTTAATCCGGGCGTTGACATGTGCTCGTGTATATTGGTCATCTGCGATCCACTGCAAGGGTTGGGTGCTGATTGATTTAGCGTCTAGTTCCTACTCCGAGGGCTACTCCGAGCTCGCGACAGAGTACTTTTTCAGCCTAGTCAAGACCCCACTAAGGCCGACTGCCTGTGACGTCTTTTTTTTCTCTTACAACTTGGAGTTTATTCGAGCTTCGAGTCAATTTTTTTTCCATGGCTGAGCGGTGGGGCCGTGGCTTTGAGAATTCTATTTTTTATACATTTTAATAGATTTTTTTTCTTAGTATCGGAGTGAGAACGGATTGACAACCAGGATGTACCTTGCTAGAACCAAGTATATAAGACCCAGAGATCCCCGTGAGAAAATAACCATTCTCAGTTCCATTCCATTCAATCAGATTAAGTCTACATTACAAAGACTTCAAACATATTCTTTGATCAACTGAAAGACAAGAAACATTCCTCATCTTGACTATACTTTCTACCTCAACAACACTATCATCACACTCAACCACTCAACTTGACCAACCCAAGTCAACCACCACTATAACCACCTCTCAAAAAACCACTACCAACACTCCATCCAAAATGTCCAGCTTCACCTCCTCCAAGAGCTCCTCCAAGAGCATGTCCTCCGACGCCGCCTCCACACATTCCACCGTCTCCACCGCAACAACGCTAAATGGCACCGACTTCCCCAACAAGAAGAAGTGGTTCTCGCTGAGCTCCAAGTCTGAGCCCAAACACGTCACAAAGTCGGATGCTTTCTATGCCAAGCAGGCCATCCACAACGAGGCCGTCGCTAGCTACTTCAGCATGCGGTAAATGAGGGACATGGCACACTGGATGAAACCACATACTACGAAAAAAAAAACAATTGGACATGAACTGTCGCAGTTGATGTTACTACACCTGCTTTCTTTTTCTTGTTTTGCTTCTTTGGGCTTGCTTGCTTTGATACCACCGCCTTTTCGATGAAGCCGCGCTTGCGACGATGGAACGACCCTGGATACCAATACTTTTATAATACTTATGTCGATGTCTAGCTTTGTGGCTGGACTTTTTGTTTCTTCAATGTTTTTGATCATGGACAAATTGTTTTGTTTTCTAATGTTGTGTGGAGTTGTTTGATCTTTGACCTAGATTGCTCTGTTTTCTGTTGTCTTAGAATATATGGGGTGGAACACTTATACATGCAATGAAGAATAATTGATGATGCAAATCCTTTGTTTTCCTCGTAAGCATATGATATGATTATATGTAGTATTAACAAAAGCTAGAGCTAGGGTAATCACGATATGGGAAGTTATGCTCAAAGTGCAACACGAATGAAAGAACCGATAAAAACATAAAACGCTCGAACCATGCTTTCTGAATTCATCACAGGCCTGCCAACAACTCTCCCATCGAGATTGGTTTGCGCACCGCATTCGAGAAACCTTCATGATAAGTAACCCACACTTTTCGGCCTGCCTTGGAAGTTTCGTCTGATGGGTTGCCATTCTCGGTGTCCTTGGCCTCTCGGACGGGCTCTTGAATGACTCGTCCGAAGAAATCGCGTTTAAGCGCGGCATCTCTAGTAACCATGTGGGCAGGGCCACCTTGTTGATCTTTTCCGGATTGACCGTGGAGAGATTTACCGCTGGCGGCATTCTTCGCATCTGATTGCTTGCGCAAAATCTCTTTACGATACTCCTGGTCCAGGACTTGTCGAACTGCGTAGCGGACCGGCGCATTGCCCAATGCCGAAGAAATACCTGACATTTTGGAAAATGCCACCAGAGAATCAAGGGATCTGTACGCCATTAGTTCTCATCCGTCAAATGCACTTTGACGATATAGGTCTCACTTACGGCTCCATTCTGTAGGCCCATCCACCATGGCTTCCGCCTTCATGCTCCACTCGGACTTTCTCGAACGTGACACCCATACCGGACATGACTCGCACCGCCGACTGGACGAGTGCACGCTCACTCTCCTTGCGGACGCTAGCTGTACTCCTCTGCTCACCGCCGCCACGCACAATGACAGGTTTGACATCCGGTGACAGCATTCGAATCAAATGCGGGATGAGATCAGTGACAACGCTATCTGCGGATCGGAACATGCGGACCATAGGTGCCGATAAGGATGAGTGGAATCCGTTCAGAATAGAGCGGTTCTCCTTTTGTGCCTCGAAGACGAGGAAATCTGCCTTGGGCCCCGAGAAAGGATGCTCTTCTTCGGCATTCTCATCCTCGTTGTCACGATCATTCGCCTCGATCTTACCGGCAGCCGAGGCGAAGAGATGGTGAAATGCGAGCGTGGACTGGCTCAGATAGGGACCTAATTCCCATTCCTGAGACTGGTGCACCCTCGAAGAAATCGAGTCATGGAAATGAAGCCAATCGTAAGCGGCAGTCGGTTTCGAGAGAAAATTATCATCTCGGTATTGCTGGTTGGGGTATGCAGCAAAACAGTCGGTGACACATCGGTCATGCTCGCCACTAGCATCGACCATCTCTCGCAGACGATTGATAGCGTGTCGTTTACGCAAATCCGCAACTCCAACTGGAACGCGACTATTGTTGTTGTCAAATTTGTCCTGGAAAGACATGCCAGTCGGAGCATCGGTGAACCCAGCCCCCTCGGCAAAGACTCGATTCACGATCTCACGAACTCCTCCACGACTCATTTCCTTGAAAAAAGAGCCGCCTTCGGTGGACGCACTAAGAACTCGTGACTCCAACCAATTTCGAGTTAGCCTCAACGATGAAGAGCTTTCATTCCGGAGCTTATGTGCCACCCATTCGGCGGCAACAAGCACGCTTCGAATATCACCCTCGGCGGACCCATTATTCTTTGAACCACGTTTCCTTCGAGGTTCTAATCCCCAAGCCGCTTCGCAGAGCCTTCGGGCTCCATCACCATCACACGGGATACCTTCTCGGCTGAAAATGCTCTTCACGCGCTGAATAACATTCTCCAATGGTGCTTGTCGTACGTGAATCATCTCCGCAATCGTCGAAGCTCGCAGAGGACGAAGACTGGGATGATATAGATCATTGCAAACAAGAATCAACGGCCGCAGGAACCGGAAGTTATCACCCTTGCGCTTCTTGCTGGACTTGCCGCCGTGCTCAGAGGCATATCGAGCATTTCGTTGGTCTAGCATGACCAAGTCAATCAATGCTTTCATAAAACCACCTTCACCGCCACTACCAGCTCCTCCAACAACGCCATCGACCTCGTCGACCACGACGCAGACTGGCTTGGCAGCCCGGCGGACCTTGTTTTCACCAACCTCAACGTTGGCACCTTTGACATTCTCCGTGCCTAGCGCATCGCGGATGCGGCCCTTAACCACATCTCTGCTGCGCTCGTCACTGGCGTTGATTTCGAGGACCTCGTAGCCTGCCTGTTTAGCACATACATGTGCCAATGTAGTCTTGCCGAGACCGGGGGGTCCACTGAGCAAGAGAACCTTGCGGTGCATACGCTCCTCATCCTCGTCCTCCTGACCAGCCTTCTTAGATCGGGAGGACTTGGCCAAGCCGGGGAAGACAATTGGCTCCCACCCCTTCAACCAACGGAGCACCGCACGGTGTGTACGCTCGTCACCAATCAAGTCGGTGAACTTGCGAGCACGGTACTTTTCTGTCCACATCATTGAGTCGATCTTATTTTGCTTTGCGTCTCCTTCTGTCCTTTTAATGGACTCTTGCACCGGAGGTCGAGGCGCTGCCTTGGCGGCCTTTGTTTCCTTCGCAGCCTCGTCCATCAATTTGTGAATCTCAATTCCGTAGTAACTCCTCTTGGCCCGTCCAGGGTCGGTCTCAGAGCGGCTTGCGATCATACGCTCGTAAGAAACGGGAGCACTGGCTTCGCGGAGAGGGATACTATGTGTTTTCCCGTGGCACGTTTTGATCTGGATCTTGTTCGACGGTGTTGGAGCCGGACGAGATGCAATTTCGGCATGTATTCTTGAGATTGTAGGCGTGTCGTCATTTTGTGAAGCGAAAATGCCCAGGTTCTGCGGTTCTTCTAGTATGCGAGGAAGGTTTGACGGCAATGGCTCGGGATTCTCTTGTAGCTCAAATTGGCTCTTGAGCTGCTCATCTCGCATCGCAGCGACATCGTCATCTTCCTCAGAATCGTCATCGTCCACAAATCCTCCTAGGAACTTTGGTCGCTTGGGTTCGGCTTGCGATGGGTTCTCTTCAAGATCGGTGGCTTTTCGCTTCTGCGCATTGCCGTCCGAGTCGGCCAGCACAGCAGCAGCGGCAGGTGTTATGAATGGCATATTCGAGACTGGAGGCGATGACGGAAGGAATGATAGACTTTGGGCCCGGGTCTGCGCGTTTCGGCGCGGTGTTCTAGCGTAATCTTTCGTCGGCGTATCTGAGAGATACTGCTATCAATATCGAAGCCCGAAAGTCACGCGCAAGAGACTCTGACCTGGTGTTATATCGTCGTCACTTCGAAACACATCGGACAAATTCCAGGCCCGGTGTTGAATCACGACTTTATTGCGGGTCTGTTCAAGGCGATGGAGGTGGATTGCCTCGATGTCGTCGGAGAAGGACTCGGAAGGAAGATTGGGGGCGTTGGTAGGGTCTTCGGAGTGGAGATGTAGGGCAGGATCGAAAGATGAGAGGAAATTTGGCGACGAGGGAATCATTCAAGCGTGTCGGTCATGTCAATGATTCGGTCTTGGACAATCGAAGGTTCCCCTCTGAAACTCTGATAGCGAGACGCGCCGACGCGTGTGGGCAGAACGCGCTAGTCCCATTTTGGTAATCTAGTTTGACATACTCCTGATGGCTTTGCACCACTCATGGCACTAATTTATAGGTAAAGGGTATTGTGGTCTTTATATAAACGATAGTTTCTAATATTAAGCATCTATAAAAGTCCTAGAGACACTAGAAATACCAAGTATCAGTCATATCCCAATTTAGCTGAGGAACGCAGTCCCAGAAGAGACAGTGGCTGCTGCTACTAGGATTTTCCTGTAATAGGATTAATCATTTGGCACCAGATTTCTGCGTATGTTTCTTTCCAATCTTCAATTAAAACTGCTAGCCTACGTTCTAGCCCAAATAGGCCAAAATTCGAATTCGTACCTAGCCTAGTGGGCTGTGGTTTATAATCAAACTAATGAACCGATATTCAGGATATAAATATGATGGTAAATAAATACATTTATGCGTACCATTGTGAATGTTCCAAACTTCCTGACCTGGGAAAGCCTTTCGTAGCCTTTCGCCATTCGAGATGTTAGGCTGCCCTTGTGGCGCGGTTATAGTGAGTTCCGTAGTATATCCGGGATCCACTGTTTCTTCCAATGATGGTCCTTTATCCGCAACTTCCCCCGCGGGAACTTTTGCTGTACATGGCATTCAAACTTGGCTTCTATGATCACCTGAGAAATTGTGTACCGAACCGTGAGATTGGAACATGCTACTATACGGTCAATGCGGGGGCATGGGGTATTCTGGCTTGCCAGAAGATAATGGCGGACACCCTAACGTCTTGGAGATGGCTCTGCCTGGGATTTTGTTCCATCCGCTTAAAAATTACCGTATTCGGAAGGTTACGGCGCATCGACGGGCGAGCGCCGAATGTTTCAATGCGGGAATAGTACGAGTGATGATTATGTTGTTGGGCCAAAAAAGCATTGAGTGTGTACAAGGCCCACCGAGTGAGGGGTCAATAGCCAGGGAAAAATCTCCTGGAGGATCGACCGGACTTCACCCGATCCTGTGCGGGGAGTTTACTCCAAGCTATACGACTATTTTGCTTGACACCCGTCCAGACGAAGACCCATTCAAGTATAGAAGGATCCCTTCTTCATATTTTTTGTGCGACCTGCGTGATTACTCTCCAAGTGTCCTTTGCCCCTCTAGTACCATCAACTCGAAGCACAATCAAAATGGCACCCCCGACTCATTTCGAGCTCAATACTGGCGCCAAGATTCCAGCGGTTGGACTTGGTATGAGACAGTTTTTACGGCCCTTGGGCGACTTCTGCTGACAAGGAACAGGCACTTGGAGATCTGAACCTGGTCAAGTGCGTCAGGCAGTCTCGTTCGCCCTTAAGAACGGATACACTCACATTGACGCAGCTTTGTAAGTTTCTCGTTCTCTTAGGCAGCGGTATTCTTGGCTAATGAATAATAGGATCTACGGTTGGTTTTAGAAAAAGAAAGCGAAAGCATTTTTTCCGGGACTGATGAGATTGGCAGGAAACGAGCATGAAGTCGGCCAGGGCATCAAGGACAGCGGTATCCCCCGTGAAAACATTTTTATCACCAGCAAGCTATGGAACACCCATCAAACAAACGTCGCTAAAGGTCTTCAGAAGACTCTTGACGCTTTGGGCACAGATTACCTTGATCTCTACGTAAGCCAGCACTCTTTTACATTCGAATAACTGGCATTGTGGTGGATAGCTCAGCTAATATCAACATCAGCTTATTCACTGGCCTGTCCGACTGGTTCCTGTAAGTCGCTCCAGTTCTTGCTTCCATCGAATTGTTCGAATGACTAAAATATACGCAAAGAACGAGACGAGTGCCCTTCTACCAGTTAATCCTGACGGCTCACGATCTGTCGACCGATCCTGGGATCAAAGCGAGACCTGGCGCCAGATGGAGGAAGTATACAAGGCTGGAAAAGTGAAGGCAATCGGAGTCGCTAACTGGTCCATTCCTTATTTGGAGGAGCTCAAAAATAAATGGACTGTGGTCCCTGCCGTCAACCAAGTTGAATTACACCCCTTTCTTCCCCAGCACGCACTAAAGGAGTGGTGTGACAAGAATGGCATTCTACTCGAGGCGTACTCCCCACTAGGCTCCGAAGGTAAGTCTGGCTTGTCACGTCGTGTGGGGGTTCTCTACTAGATATCACAAGCTAACGTTGAAGTTTTCTTTAGGAGCTCCGCTCATGTCCGATCCCGCAATCCAGGAGATAGCTAAGAAAAATAACGTTTCACCCGCGACAGTGCTCATCAGTTACCACGTCAACAGAGTTAGTGTCGTACTGCCCAAGTCCATCAGTGAGAATCGAATCGTGAGTAATGGTCAAGTCATTGACATCTCCCGTGAGGATATGGATTTGTTGAACGGTCTGGCTGCGCAAGGAAAAGCAAAGCGTATCAATACGCCTCTGTTTGGATGGGATCTCGGATTCAATGACTGGTACAAGCAGTAAAGTCTTTAAAATTGGATCTAGAACTTCATTATTTTTCAGGGGATATCACTCTCCATAGACCAAATAGATGACTGAATGTGAAGAGCAGACTTTGTTGATGCCAGAAAGTTCAGGTATAATGCAGTCCAGTCTCGTTGTCCTAAAGCGAGTGACAGACAAGTACATCCAGCGATTTGAATGATGTAAAAGCAACACGAAACTAACCTTAAACCTGATTTATGTGACTACTCGGGTCCTGAATGTCAGCCATTTCTCCTTATTTTGAGTTCCTGCTTCCTCAGAGCTGTTGCGGCACTGTATGGAGCAAATTCAATTGCTACACTAGTGTAGTACTCTCCCCCCTCGGATGATGGAACTAAGATCCATATAGGTTGGTGCACTTTGGTATTTGCTTTCAATTCAGAAAATCTATAAAGCAGATGAACACGATGCTAGAATAAAATGTTTGAACGCAGAATAAATAATTCATGTCATCTATGAAGCTCAGGCTTTGTAAGGTGGCGGGGAAATGCCCTCCGCTAACGCTTTCAGTCGCAAAGCCAAAAGTTTGGAGGCATATCGGGTCATCGGAAGGAAACCAACCATAATCCACATGTTAGGGACGCCCGTTTCCCGGTAAGCTGTCTTGTACTCTCCTTCCTCATCAATACCCCAGATAGGCCCACATTGACTGGCAATCTTTTCACCAAGAGTGGAGCGAATGGTGTCAATTGTGTTCGAAAACCCAGTGGCAAAAACGACCAAGTCAAACTCTCTTTCACGTCCGTCGTTCAAGATCACCCGATCTTCAGTGAACTTCTCAATAAATCCTGGCTCCACCTTGATGTTACCATTGATGATTTCCTCGCAAGCCCCGGCATCGAAGTAGAATCCACCATTCCGGGTTTGGCCCAAGGTAGAGTTTCCTGTGTCGCGCTGACCACGCCATGTTCGCAGACCTCGGGCATTAAGGGCCTCGAGTAAGGGTCTGTCTAGGTCTTCAAGAGTCTTAGCAGTGCGCCTGGCAAGCTCCTCACCAGGTCCGACGGGTGTAGAGAAGTTGAGACGATCCTGTGCAGCAGTATCAGGGAGGTTGCCATTCTTATCGGGGGCATAACCTCCAAGCATGCGTGGAACAGAATGGGTCAAAGACATGACATAAGTCGGTGACCGCTGGAGGAGGGTCACATCAATCCCCAAGCGAGCGCATTCGTAAGCTGTGTCGAAGCCTGAGGATGAGGTACCGACGACGCAGACCTTCTTTCCGACAAAGTCACGCGCGCTATTGTGGGCACTTGAGTGACGGATCACACCCTGGAAGTCACTCATTCCAGGAACGGCCGGGGTAAAGGGGACACCACATAGCGACGTGGCCATGATGAGCTGTTTAGGGTGTAGTGTGCGTGTCTCCTTGCCCTCCTTGTTTATTATGACAGTCCACCTTCCTTCAGCATCCTGCTCGGCTTTGACAACCTCCGACTTTGTCCAGACATTGAGCTCTAGAGCGGAGGCATACCACTTCATATATAGACCTTGCTTCTGAGCCGGGGTATATGTGGGCCAGTGCTTAGGGTAATTGAAGTATGGCAAGGCATCCGGCCAGTGTGGGAAGTGCAGGGAAAGGTATTCGTAGCGCTTTTTCCAGATATCGCCGACTTCTTCAGTGCGTTCGATGATCAGGTTTGACATTCCGAGAACCTTCAAGCGCGCTGCCATAGCGAGACCACTTGAAGAAATAATTAGCATTATATATAGAATATATCTCACTTGTAAGGGCTTTCTTACTTTTGGCCACCACCAATTATCAGCACCTCAGGGTCGACAGTGTTAATGGCTTCAGATCTCTGGCTCTCCCAACTAGTAATACCGGTCATATGGCGATCAGGAGCAGGCTGCTCAGGGAATTGCTTGAGGGTCTCGGCAACCGTATGCATGGTGTAAATTCTCCAGCCATCATGTGTGAGAACCGCATTGATGACCGCCGAAGCAAAGACAATCTCAGTTTCGAAGGAAACAACGAATTGCAGCTGAGAGAAGTCAGGATAGGGGCGAGAGACTGAAGGCGCAGGCTCAAGAAAGCTGAACTTTCTAGCCTTCGTTTGAGGCAAAAGGTCGGTTGCAGCTTTCAGGATGTTATCTCTAAAGTTAAAAGTGCGAAAGTCCCAGGTGAATGAAAGCTTGTCACGCCATACGCCTGTATATCCAGGGTCAGCTCAACTTGATGTGTCGGGTTTGTTTTGCGAAGGGTCTCACCATAATCGAGGAATAGCCCTGCAAAAGCTTCCGCGTTTTCATCAGAGGCCGCTTTTGAGAGACGAGCTACGATCCCCTCGGCCTCTCTCTGAGCATCGCAATCCTTGGGGATGTCAACGCCCAAGATGTCGGTAGTTGGGAGGGTATGGTTGTACTTGAAGTCGTACATGAAGTCGTCTGCAACGGGCTTTGGCACATTGTCGTGGTTGAGATTCATGACTTTCGACTTAGATGCGATAACATTAGAGATTGAATCCGCATCAAAGAAATCTTGAACGATGGATGGCGCCATTTTTTCCAATAACGAGGGAAAGACACTGGAAATCAGCCTCTTAAGCAATGCTCACAAGTCCAATTTTGCGAAAACAAAAAGGCTCAGAGCTGTTGATATATGCCGCTCAACTATTGAGCCATTGAATAATCTACATATCTGCTTCCCAGATATAGATTGACCGATTAATGTGACGGTCAATAAATTTCCAAATTAGGAATATCTCGCCGCGTTCCAACCGTATTAAGTAATTTCACGTTGTCGGATGAACTCCGCACCCCGCACGATGAACTTTCCACGTTTCACCACTCCGCATGACCAAACCCCTCTAGTATCTGGGGATGTCGATAGAGTAAGTTCCATTTGATCTCCAAGGTATATAGAACTATTTTTCCGTATTCGGCAATCGTGCGGCGACTAGCGACTACACTCTCAGATTACTCAATGTGGTATTTTTCGCCTAAAACTTACTATCCTCGGGAATTCTATCAGGCACGCAGCGAGCGGGATTTAGGCTTCATACGCGATCTATCTCGCAGAGTACCTAGTAGCCCATTCAAGTAGTCGCGTTGTCAGTTTTCGGCGGATATTGTTTATCATGCGGGGAAACCTGGAGAGGTCTTGTACGGGTCTGCCTGCCCCAGAGGTTTATATACCAGAGGTTACTACATATAAACCCCATCTCAGATATCGCAGGGACAATCTACCGCTTGGACCAGACGTCTGAATTCTTCAATCCCTCTAACGTTCCTCCATTGTCTACCGCAAACCAGTCACTGCCGTATCATTTGAATTCAAGAATTTAACCTCACCACGCACCCTACAATATGTCGTACGGAGACCGTCGGGTCAAGTTTGCGCTCTTCGGCCTCGGTCGCCTGGGAGCCCTTCGAGCCCGCATTCTCGCCTTCCAGCAGCCTCGGATTGAACTCGTCGCTGTCTGCGATACAAAGCCAGGAACAGACAAATGGGCCGCCGAGAACTTGCCCCCCTCTGTCAAGTATTTCTCAGACCCTCAGGAATGCTTGAAGAACAGTGGCGCCGAGGCCGTCCTCATCTGCACCGCGACTGCTACACATGCACCTTTGATCTTGCAGGCCCTTGATCTAAATCTACACGTCATGTGTGAGAAGCCTATCTCAGTGGACGTCGCTACTACAAAGGCAGTAGTTGAGAAGTCTGCTTCCAGACCTGACCTCAAGTTCCTGGTTCCCTTCACTCGTCGATGTAAGGAAATATCTGGTCTCGTGCTCCCCATAATTCAGAGATTGACCCGCGCCAGATGACACGTCCTACCGTCAGGCTAAGGCTCTGGTCCAGAATGGAGACCTTGGCGAAATCCACGCTGTTGAGACGACTGGTATTGATAAAGCAGACCCCAATGGTAAGTCCTCAATTGTCTTTATTGTTGTTTTCCGCACGGCATAAGAAATTGACTATTTTGTTTAAGCCTTTTTCGTAGCTTTTTCCGAACAGTCTGGCGGAATCTTCCTTGATTTTGGTATCCACACTGTGAGTTGCAACACTTCTTCTTTGCATAATACGCAATTTAATGAATCGGGACTAGGTCGATGCCGGACGGTACTTGTTGGACGTTACGTCAGGACTCTCCAGCCCGAAGAAGCAGGTGAACAGAGTCATTGCCTTTGGCCAAGTGGCTGTCTATGGTGACTTGGCCAAATATGGCGACGCTGACAATGCCTGGGGCCTGGTGGAATTTGCCAATGGCAAGATTTTCAAGACATACCTTGGCCGCACGCTTACCAGCGGTTTTGAAGACACCACTCGGTTGTGCGGCACGAAGGGACATTCGATCATTAGTGCCAATTCGAATGTTGAGATTCGCGACCACATCGGTATTCGCACAACATCTGTGCCTGATGCATTTACTCTCTTCGATACGACATTCCTGACTGATCTGGCTGAATTTGCCGATGCGGTACTTGATAATAAGCCGTTGACTTGTCAACCAGAGGACGCTTTTGAGGCGGCTAAGATCTGCGCTGCTTTACAGTATTCATTCCGCAAGGGTGTGCCCGTATACTTCGATGATAATGGCCTACCCATTATGGAATAAGTCACGAAGGGGTGGATACAGTCAAAGCAGATAACAAATGGACTTTAATATGTTAGACTTCTAAACAAATATTGTTGTATTTCTTTTTAACCCGTTTATTTTTCTACGTTTTATACGGGTGCTCTTGCCACGATAACCATTTCTTTCCGCTTTAGAAGACTCCACGAACTATCGATCTGGAAGATCTCTGCTAAAAGAAAATATATTGTAAGGTAAATGCCGAGTTTAGAGTACTGTCTCGTATTCAATCACATATATTTAGATTTTTCTGGATGATTCTTGGTCACTTAAGGTTGGACAGTATCAACAGAAAGCTCACGGCGCCAGATCTTAAGTGGCAGCTCCCCAACCAGGAGGTCAAAATCTTCTTGGCGTATGAGCTGGAACTCGGGAGAAGGCAGCGCAAATTCATAGCGATGCACAATAGTAGCAAGAACGACCATTTGCTCTAGGTATGAGATGTTGCGTCCCAAGCAGCCTCGTGCACCAGTTGAGAATGGAATGAAGTAAGGCTCCATTCTCTTTCTCGCCTCTGGGTCCATCCATCGGTTAGGATTATACCTGTCAGGATCTGGAAAGATTTCGGGGTCTCGATGCGCTCCATAGATAGTCATATACACGGTGGTGTCTCCTGGAATGAACTCAACTAGGATTTGAGCTCCCTCTGGGGGTGTTCGTCTTGGAAGTCCGGCGGAAGTTAATAATAAGATTGGTCTTAAGATTGGTCTTGAGATTTGTCCGGATCTAGTAATCGATAGGCCCGATGGGATTGAGATTGAATTAGAGTGAAGGAAACTAATTGACTACGTTAGTAGGCTAAACTAATCGCTAAAGTGCTAATGTATTGTGTAAATCCCTACGCCTACTTACCGTGTAGGTCGAGCTATATAGACTACTTTTGTAGTACCTGCGAGGGCTGACCTGAGAGGGTCATAATAATAACTATTAGTCTTGAGATTAGTCTTAAGATTTAATAAGTTACACCTAGATTAATAAGTTATAGATTATATTAGATTTTAGTTCTACTAATCTAATTAGTTAAGTAAATCTAAATCAATTTCAATCATTTTCCTGTGGTAAAATCGAGATTCTGCCGGTTTGAAAATCGCTAAGGGTTTTGGGGAAGTGAACCCAATAGTCCGCCGTAAAGCATTGGATTTATCCCTCATGAACCATAAAAGTTCCTAGCGATTACTCATCACGGTTCTTGCTACCTCCATATTAACTAGGGCCACTTGAAAGAAGCACGAGGGGAAGGTAAATCTAGCCGAGCGGCAAGACCCTTTTCCATCCCCAATTTCCACCACAGGGGTAGGGTTCGGAGACCCCTAATCCCTCCCCTCAAATGGCATGCTTTTTGATCAATCTACGGAGTAACCGACCCTGAGAGAGGCTTGTTCTCGTTTGCCACCGGGTCCTAGCCCTGGGGAGCGGATTTCAGGGACCCAAACCAGTGGTCTCCATGAGTGCCACTTTAATAGTGCGCGCCACCCCATCGCCTCCTCTGGCTGCTTTTGGGACGAACGGGTTCAAGCTTGACTGGCCGGAGACTAGTTTCTAGCCCACAATCATATTTTCGCCTATGATCTTTTTCAGAGCCTATGGCATTCGCTCGCCAGCTCGCCACGAGATGTACCTTTTAACAAAGTTCTCCAGAAGCTGGACTTTTCGGAAATTTGGCCGCCATGTTTACGCCAATTGAGCCCCCGTGGGTCCTCCACGGGCGTCATTCTCATCGATATGAATATAAATATACTTCCCAATCAGCATTATGGCGGGCTGTCTGGGCGCTGCCTTCGTTACGCCTTGTCAAATTGCAAGGACTGATCATGATGTGGAAGTCGTCGTTGTGGGTTGCATTGGCATATGCAGCCACCACTTCGGCCCTGTCTTCCTCTCCATCTTCGGGGAGCCATGGCAAATCCTGTCCTGTCAATCATGATCCGTCTCCCAATTGGCATGAGGGGCCCTTCAAAGACATCATTCGCTTGATTGAAGGATGCCCCGAGGGACGCCCTTTCTGTCGTGAACTCATTCACGAGTCGTCTGATGTTATCACCAAAACCAAAACAGTGACTCCGGTTCCAACTACCGTCAAATTCACTGAGACTATCACCGATCATTCTCGCCAAGTGACAAAGACGACCACAGAGAGCGTCACCTCGACGATTGCGCAGTCACCCATTACCACCACTCTTTATTCGACTTCGATTTTGACTCAGACCGTGCCATTGACGATCACGGATCTATCCACCTCTACCACTGTGGATGTGTCCACCGTCTTCCTAACTTTGCCGGACTATGAAACGATCACCATACCAGTTACCAGTTATATCACAAGTACGGCCACTCAGGTAATCACTGACGACACGACTGCCACCCTCACTGAGTACTTCACGGACACTACTACCGAAACATTCCTTAATACGATCACCGACTATGCGACAGTCTTTGTTACATCCTACATCACGGACTATGCTACCAGCTATGTCACCAATCTTTACACGGACATTGCAACCGACACAGTCACAAACTATCATACTGAGACCACCACCATTTCTTTTACTGATATCGCCACTGCAACGGCCACTAATACTATTTCTGCTACAACCACTCAGGAAGTGGACCTGACTACGACTGATACCCAATCCCTGACTACTATTCAGACTGATTATATCACCTCTACAAACACACTCTCTGCGACGGAGACTGCCTATACGACTGCCACTATCACTTCCGTTCAGACTAATGGCGTCACTGTCACTACGACTGTGGTGACTACAGTGGCCCCGGCCAAGAGGGACGCGATCAACGAGATCAACGGCCATGCTGCATTACCTACTCCTTCCGTCTTGAGGGGTATTCATGACACTCATCTGTCAAGCGCATGCTCTATCCTATGGGATGAGAAGTGGCTCTCGACGACGTATACTACCGAGACAGCTGCACAGCCTACAGTACACTCCACTCCGATGAAAACCTAAAGACTATATACTGACTGGTCTAATAGGTTACCAAGACCACTACCACGCACACCTCGGCCCCTGGAATCCATACTATCTACATTACAAAGCTTACGACCGAGTTTGTGACCAACGCACCCAGTCTTTTGACTACGGTCGTGGCCAACACAATCACCACCGATATCACAAGCACGACTACAATCGAAGCCACCTCGACTATCACTTCCTCGTCTACCACGACTGCCACAGATATCCCCACACTGACAATGACCGTGGATGCTCTAACCACCGAGACTGACATCTTGACTGCTACGTTGACAACTGACGTGACAACCTCGACTACCTTGGATATTACATCCCAAGAAACCGCCTCGATTACGGAAACTGTCACGGCGGACGTGACAAACACTGCCACAACTGATCTTACAACTGTTCAAACCAATACGGAGACGATCGATATCACTTCCAGCCAAACAGCCACCCAAACTGCGGACATTACTGCCATCGAGACAGCATCCTTGACGACTACAGAGACCTCGACGACTACTGTTGACATTACGGAAGTCGCAACGATAACCTCAACGTCGTACTTCGGTTTTACAACCTCTCTACCGGTCACGCTTCAAAGCACAATCGTCGATACAATCGATATCACCAACACCGCATTCACCACTTCAACCATCGATGTGACTATTACTCAAACAGTCTCCACGACTACCACCACCACAATCACGTCAACAACCACTAGCTCCCCGACCTGCGGAGTGAACCGCGTCTCCAACTCCGGCTTCGAGAACGCAACCCTCTCTCCCTGGACATGGACCGGCACTGGTAGTGGACTCCACTCATTCGTCGCTGGAACAAATAGCGTCTACGCACTCGATCTCTACACGAGCAACCCCGGCTCCAGCACATCGGTCATCACACAGACTCTTGCCACTACCGCTGGTAAAACATACACGGTTTCGTTCTCCTATCAACTGCAGAATGGAAATTCTGCATCCTCTTTACAGTGCTCCTTTAACAACAACTATGGAACTACGTACACAATCAGTTTCGCTGGAGTTTCTAAGAACGTTTGGAGGACGTATCAGGGTTCTTTCGTGGCGAGCTCGTCCTCTACCACGATTACGTTCAAGCTGAATACGCCTAATGTCGCGTCGGCCTATCTTGATCAGATCTCGGTTATCACACCGTGTTGATCGGAATTGGGGCTGTGTACTTTGCTAGATTACTGAGTTGTTTTGTTTTATTCTCGTACATAATTAATCTAATCTATCTTCTCTTGATTTCTTTCAATCTCGGAACGCAAGCTGAGCAAGTCAAGAAAGCGATTCCTATATCTGAGATACTTCAGACTAGATTGTTTGGTTTGATGCGCTAAAGAGTTTTCTGGGCGAGCATAATAACAGGATAAATGCAAACATATCGCATTCAAGCCGTTCTATAGGACAGAAGCTAGTCTAACTGGTCGAGAGTCTTAGCTTCGACTGTTCGGCCAGCTTCTGTTTATCGAATGTCTCTCATTCTTGGCCATTCATGCGCTTAGGACCTAGTTTTCGGAGGTCGGAGAAGAATTTCAAGGCGGCATCAAATGTTTCGGGATGGGTCCAGCCGTCCCTCTTCCCGAGACCTTCAATGCTATCAAAAAAGTCCTGAACCTCATTCCTGGTATCCTGGCATTTCAAATGACCCACCCCGGTTAACCTTCGTGTTTAACCACGAAAAGAATCTCAAAAAATATGTAATTCAAGCCATCAAACAGTAATGAATAAGCACTATTTTGCAACTCTCGATCAATCCGAGGGGCAATGGTCAGTCACAGCCAGTTGCTACAATGCATACGTTGTCCCGCTCTGCGGGGAAGCATTAATCAGACCATCGGAGACTCGTTTGTTGATATTGAAGTTAATGTCAAGAAATCATAACATAGCTCTTCAAGTCCAAGAGAGTCTATGTCAAGGTATGATCTGATATAGTACCATATATCATGCAAGGGATACTGCTAATATCCATCAACGAGTACTCATTCCCAGAACCTCTTCTCCTGGATAAATTTCATCGCAACTTCCATATCATGACCAAAGATTATTTTCGCATCGAACAATCTCTGTAAACTCCTGACCAACTGCAAGCTCCGAAACCAGGCAGTATGGTCCCTCGTCAACCCACCCTGGGGATGGCTATGCTCATAGTTTTCCGCAATGTGAAACTGATCGGTAGTCCAGAGGAAAGTCCCGTCTTTCTCGAGATTGATCTGAAGCATACATAATCCAGGGCTATGTCCGGGGGCATGATGAAGAGTTAGGCCCTGGAAGAGATCAATCTGTGAGCCGACGAACGTGGTCCAGTTTAATCTTTCCAGAAGCATATAGTGTCCGAGATACACGCCCAAGTCAGCGCCAGCAGCAACTGCCCAGCACGCGTGCTTGAACTCGTCTTCGTGGACGTAGATAGGGACATCTGTATCGACAAAGTGTTCTAAACCACCAGCGTGATCGAGATGCAGGTGGCCCATAATAATTGCTTTCACATCTTTAATGTTATTCCCGGTTGCAGCGATGGCGGCTGGTAACTTCTGGGCTTCGCTATAACCGGTGCGGGGAAAGATATCGGTGAGGGGAGCACCCCATTTCTTTATCCTAATAAGCTTGGTGGTATGAGAAATTGATGGACAGGCTGTCACAAACCACTTCTAAGTCTTCAGCACATGCTGTCTCATAAAGAATGAGTCCAACCCCAGGATATTCAATAAGGGCGGATAAAATGATAAGATCCCGCCGCTTGTTCTCGGGATTCTTGTTGCTCAGAGAACTGGCGTTACTACCTCGGTAAACCCTGTGAAGAACCTTCGAGATTAGGAGAATTACTCAGCTTCGAACTTGAGGGCTGAACAGACCAAGACTCATCGATTTGCAAGGTCCCAAGATCCAAAATCCACATTCGTGTTCCTGAGGGGCATCTAAATGCCAGGATGGCGGCAGATACCAGTAGACTCGCGGGATCAGCGGAAGAGGATATATTGGGATTGGAAGATATTGGTGATCAAGATCTGAGTTTGGGGAATGGTAGAAGACTTAGTAAAATTTGTAGGAAGGGTTGGTATAAATATAGGATACTCGGTACGAATTCAATCCTACTGTCAAGCCTCCATGCTTGCGTCAATCGTGCATCACTGGAACTACAAAGTCGCCGTTATCCATCATCTCACGTTGCACACTACACCTTCTCCAATTCAGCGACACGTATCGTACGTTTTGCGGGGTAAATGGGAACTCGGGATTTGACTTTGCTGGGAGTCTCGTTACATTGTCTGTCAAATAGTGGATCTTGGTTCTTTTGACGCCAATCATGGCTTGGTGGAAACGACATTTGTTTTTGCGTATAATGAGGATTACCCTTCATCAAATAGTGGACACAGACAGACAATGAGATAACATACTTCTTTGTCCCACATATGGATATAAAAATACTTATAGCCTACCTTGTTTCGCAGGGAAGAGCAGCCTGTCATATATTTCACTCTTCGAATGCTGTATCCTTGAATGATATGCAAACTTATTTATAGCCATGAGAATAGCCATTCCATCGTATAAGGTGTCTTTTCTCATTCTATATGTTGATGAAAGACCGCAACCAGGAATCAACGACTACTGGTGATTCAGGGCACGTCCATACTGTGTCATGATTAACGATAGCTCCGGATGGTGACCGTCTTTTCCAACTCTCAGGATCTACGAGATGTTTTTGCAGCCTTCTTGGTGATTCATGTCTTTGCGACACTGAGCCTATCCACCAGCTACCTACCCATACAGAGCGCCCTATCATGCAGTTCACACCCGAGGAGCAGCGACATACCATTCAGCATTTCTCCGATCTCGTCCATCGTTTAAGCAAATATTCAAGGAAAAAAAGAACCAAGAGTATGGCAAAGCTGAAGTACCTAAAAAGTGAGTGTTATGAAGCGGCATAAATGAATGGGATATTGAAATGCAAACCAAGAGTCTTAAATTTAGGGCATACAGAATTCGGCCAAGACGACCAATACCTAAGAGAAGATAAAAAGACTCTCCAAGAAAGCGAACACCGTCCCCCAAATCTCGAAACATGATAAGGCCATTATTGCTGCTGGCAATCGCACTATCTTTATGACTCTCCCTCCAGGTACATCAACTAAACATGTAGCGTTGCACTTCGCGATAGTCAAACTCGTCCTTGACCTACGCCATGAAGGACCTAAAACTCCATATTTCGAGCGCCGATTCTTACTTGGCCTTCTTTTTCGACATGGTCAATCACTAGAATGAGGCAATTTCGATTATTGAAAAGAAAAGACGGTGATATTCCGAGCTTAGTGTCCCCTATCCTGCCGTCGACAGAGCTGCACAAGACAAAATCCCCGCCTCCGACAATAAGTGATCTGAGTATGAGAGCAGCATCTGAATGGGGCTCTTCAGGGCAGTTCCGAGAGGCGATATCCCAGTAGGATGTTTTGTCTTGGGTTATTGGTGGTACACAGTACATTCCAAGCCATAGGGCACAGGTACTAGTTACGTCACCATAGACTAAAGTGGCTGGCACAACAGCCCTGTGCAACATGTCCTCATACCCATTCAATAAAACTTTTCTCTTGGTTAAAATCACAAATTAACTTCAAGGGCGGCTAATCGCTTTCCAACTAGCCGCAGACGATAGTTGGATGGGTCGCCAATGTCATCATGTCGGTGACACGGAGTTAACGGCGGAGACCCGCTTTAGAAGTCAGCAAAGCATAAGTCCGTCCCATAGATCTGGTATAAAGTCAAGGTATTCAACACAATTTCTATTGAAGTATTAACGCACAAAATAACTCGTTTTCGAATCAATTGCAAAGCAAAAATGGTCAAGACAATTCCCTTCGGTGATATCCAAGTCCCATCACCCGGTTTCGGTGCGATGGGCCTGAGCTTCGGCCTGGGAAGTAATTTGAGTCTTGAGGAGGCTGAACCCGTCTTGTTGAAGGCGCTTGAGCTTGGATGTACCTTCTGGGATACTGCTGTGAGTTGATACTTGATTCATACAAACCAATGCTACGAGATGCTAACGTTGGATCCAAAGGTTATCTATCAAGCAGGCGTGAATGAGAAGCTCCTCGGTGATTTCATCCGGAAGCACAACGTTCGCGACAAGATCTTCAGTCAGTCATATACATTTCATATGTCATCCTGTTCTTGAAGTTAATATTTTGCAACAGTTGCCTCGAAATGTGGCTTTGTCGCCTTTGGTGACCGATCAGTCACCAACTCCCCCTCGCATATCAAGGAGTATATCGAAGGCACGATTGAGCGCCTCGGTTTCACTCCTGATTTGTATTACCTTCACAGAATCGATCCCAGTATGTTTAATACTATTATTTGCGCACTCGTGTACTTACTATTATAGATACCCCTCTCGAGGAGTCCATCCCTGCCCTTGATGAGATCCGCCAGGCCGGCAAGACCAAGTACATTGGTCTTTCGGAGTGCTCTGCAGCGACATTGCGCAAGGCTAATTTCAGTAAGTCCCTGTCTTTTCAATTCTACTAATCACTGTAATATTCGCTGACGATTATTAGTTGCCAAGATCGACGCCCTCCAGGCAGAATACTCTGCCTTCGAAACCGTACACGAAACAGATGGCTTGATCGACACAGCAAAGGAGTTGGGTATCGCCTACGTCGCTTATAGCCCTCTAGGACACGGCTGGCTCGTGGATAACTTTGACTACAAGACTCCCGATGACTTTGCCCCGGATGATTTCCGCCGCCTATGTAAGTGCTAAGTGCTCCCTCACGGTACCATCCTGCATGTATCGCCGACGAATAGGAATAGTGATACCAGTAAACTAACGTGTCTTCATCCGCACAGCACCGAAATTCCAAGGCGATAATTTCTTCAAGAACAAGGCTATTGTCGATGAGATCAAGAAACTTGCTGTTCGTAAGGGTTGCAGTATCAGTCAGATTGCTCTCGCTTGGGTTGCGGCCCAGGGTATGATTGCTATCCCTGGTACGACTAAGGTGAAGAGATTGGAGGAGAACTGGGCATCTAGGGATATTGAATTGACGGAGGAAGAGAAGGAAGAGTTCCGCAGGATTATTGATGCTGCTAAGCCCCATGGTAACAGATACGGTGCTGCGCATCAGGCTATGGTTGGTCACTAGAGTAGGAGCACATAGCTAATCGATATCCCTTGTGAGTTCGTTGACTCCATCTTTCCAGAACCTATCCAGAAACTATCAGCCAAAGAAGACATAAGATTATCTCAATTTTAGTTCGTGGGGACTAGAAATTGTAGTCATGTAAGATGTTATATTGCAAAGTGACTAGGCCGGAATCCAAACTCTAGTCCTCTAATCGGTGGTATACTGTACGGTTCATGTGACAAAGAAAAACAAAACTGGCAACCTGCTCAATAGGTCATCGCAAAAGAAAACGAGAAAAAAAATATACATCTCAGGCAACCATCAACCTCTTTTTGTTTTAAGCGCTCTTCAACTTCTCAGTCAGCTCGGGCACCTTCTCGAACAGATCACCAACGAGACCAACATCCGCAACCTGGAAGATGGGAGCCTCAGGATCCTTGTTAATAGCAGCAATAACCTTGCTGTCTTTCATACCAGCCAAGTGCTGGATAGCACCGGAGATACCAGCGCACAGGTAGAGCTGAGGAGCGACGTTCTTACCAGTCTGGCCAACCTGCAGACTGTTATCGGCGAAGCCGCTGTCGACAGCGGCACGAGAGGCACCAATGGCAGCGCCGAGGGAGTCGGCGAGGGGCTGCATGATGCGGTCAAACTCCTCCTTGGACTTCAGACCACGACCACCGGAGACAACACGGGTAGCGGTCGCGAGGTCGGGACGCTCGGACTTGGCCAGCTCCTCGGACACCCATTCGGTCGGGGCGGGAGCGTTGGAGTCCACGCCGTCGACGATCTCAGCGGAACCACCCTCGGTCTCGACGCCCTGGAAGGCGGTGCCTCGCACGGTGATAACCTTGATGTTGTCCGTTGACTGGACGGTCAGGATGGCGTTACCAGCGTAGATGGGGCGCACGAAAGCTAAAACGCGGGTTGGTTAGATCGGTCGGTCACATGCCAATTTTTCCACCTCGCTCGGTTTTGCACGTACTGTCTTCGCTCTCGATTCCGGTGATATCAGAGACCTGCTGCACGTCCAGGAGAGCAGCGACGCGGGGGAGAAGGCTCTTGCCGAAGGCCGAGTGGCCGGCGACAATGTGGGTGTATTCGCCCTTCTTGATGTTCTCGACGAGGAGAGGGGCGTAGTTCTCGGGAAGACCCTAAGGAGTAGAAATGACGACTTGTCAGTTATTTGGTCGCGAATATAGAAAGAATCGGTGTCTTGCTTTGTACCTTCTCATAAGCATCGCTCTCCACAGCAACAACCTTGTCAAGGCCCTTGATCTTCGCCGCCTCAGCAGCAGAGGTACCCTTGACACCGGTACCAGCCAGGAAAGCCGTTACCGGGCCACCGAGCTTCTGAGCCGCAGCAATTGCGGAGAGGGAGGAGTTCTGCAGCTTGCCATCGCGCTGCTCGAGAACGGCGAGGGTCGAGAGAAGACGGGCGAGCGCCGAGGAAGTGGGCGACGTCAGAGTGCGGGCAGTGTAGATCTGCGAGCGGGCAGCCCGCAGGACGGAAGACCGAGCGATTTGGATCATTGTGATTGTTCGTGATGAGGAGGATTGAGGGTGTTGCTTCTCCCACGAGGGCCTGGAGGGGGGAGAGTTCAAAGTTGAAGCTCGGCGATCGGCGGTGATCTGAAGATGTGGTTATCGTCGGGATGCCAAGACCCGCCCGCCCGAGGTCGGACTCGGCTAATGCAGGCATCATAAAGGCTGATTCTTGACAGGCCGACTTATGACGCGATGGTAGACGGCGTTTTCTAGTTTTCAAGGAAGCCAGGGGTCTATATACTACTATTCATCTATACTCAGTTGTCTCTGAACGGGCAAACTTCTTGAAATGTAGATAATCCATAAATTGACGAAAGAAAAATGACACACGTGATATTTTGTACGCCGAGAATACCTTTACATGCAGAACATTACAACGAGGCAAAACTGGATCCGACTATGAAGTCGACTTTCTCTTCTTCTTAACCGCCTTGGGGGCTTCGGTCACCACGGTCTCGCCATCCTCGAGAGCCTTGGCCTTCTGCTTCTGCAGCTTCTCTTTCCTGGCAGCAGCAGACTCGGCCTCGTCGTCGTCCTCGGTAGACTTGGTCTTCTTGGTCTTCTTGCCCTCCAACAGCTTCTCGTCGCCAATAGACTTGCGCTTCTTGCCGGCCTTGGCGCCGTCCTCAATAGCCGCAGTCTGGTCCTCCTCCACAACATCGGCGTCTTCCACCCACAGCTCATTGGCCAGCCAAATAGGGAGAGCCATGGTGTTTGCGCCCTTGACGTGGACTGCCTTGATGTTCCTCCAGCCCTTGTTGATAAACTTCTCAGCCATACCGTTAACAACGGCGGCGATGTTCTCGGACAACTGCTCGGGGGTGAAATTGGACGAGCCGACGCGGACAGCGGAGGAAGTAGAGGGTGCCAGGTGAACAGCAGCGGTGTGCAGGGTGCGCTCAATCTCCTTGGCGCAGATCAGAGGCGCAGCGAACGATGCGCTCTTCTCCTCCTTGGAGGGCTTCTTCTTGGGGTCCTTCTTGACACGCTTGCCATCCACCTTCTCAATCTCTGCGATGCGAATAGGGATAGGGCGCTTGCTCGACTTGTAGAAAATCTTTCCAAGGGTAGGGATCAGGCGGGTGATGATCCGGTCATCGGCCAGGAAAACGTCGTGCTCGGAGAACAATTGGCGACGGCTCTCGAAACTCTGGTAGCGTGCCTTGAGCTTGGAGAATCCGATGACCTTCTCGATGCGCGAGGAGAGTTCTTGGGGGAAAGCGGGGTCGGCGACGACATCCTTGAAGCCGCGCTGGGGGTCGGCAGTGATCACACAGATGCTGAGCGAAGGCGACGAGTTGAGGGAGTGCGGAATAGTGATCTTGCCGGGCTTCAGGCGATTCTTATCCACGACGTGCTTCTTGGTAGTGAGGAGCAACCAGACGGCCTCGTTGTTGAGAGGAGTGTCCTCATCATCAGAGTCGTTGTCACCAATCAGGGTCTTCTTAGTCGCCGACTTTTCCTTCTCTTGCTGGGCCGACTTGATATGGCGCAGCAGGGCGGTGGAGGCTTTGACAACCTGCGCAGGAATGAGATTAGTATGCGCAGTTGATTTTTTTTGCTCTAAGTGAAACCGGTGCATACCTGAGGGTTATCCAGCTGGTATGGTGAGCCAGAGGCCACCTTGGTTGTAAGAGCAGTAGAAGACGGCATTTTGGCGAATTGCGGTCTCAAACTCGACTCCAATTTTTCGGCGATGATATCGAGATGGAAAAAAAAATTATCGGTCTGGAAGGCGGTGGCAGTTTGTCCGGGCTTGGCAGACCCCAGAATCTTGATGCCTGAGGCACTATATTTTTCTGGTACATACGGCTGATAGGCCAATTCTATATCGCTGGCATTTCCAACAAGGAGACGACCAAGTGGAACAACTAAGAATTGACCGGATATTTTCAAGCACTTTACTCTGCAGTTACATAGGCCCTTAGGTTTATCCTGCAGGGTTTACTCGGATTTTTGAGAATGTTCCAGCTTGGGAGTATGCCTTTCCGCTACCCACATACACACTTTTTGCGCTAGTATCTTTAACTACATTAAATTGGTGTTTTAATCTTGGATCTTGATGTCTGGGCGGTTGTTTACTCTGGTGGTGGGGGGTGTTCCATGCCTGATCAGGCTGGTTATAGATAAATTTCTGCTACTCCTATGTACGGATATATATCTTCCAGGACTTGGCCCACATTTGAACGCGATATGCGACTAGAAACATCCAATGCTCCTCCTCATAACATAAGCGATGACCAATGAACTGTATAATAAGATTGAATTCTAGTCTCAATTCAAATATCTAGAGACCGGTAATGTTAAAGTTTGTACGGAGTATAGATGAACAGTATGGACGGAGAGTAGTCCCGTGACCTCAGGTCTATTCGTAAAGTGCGGGATGGCCTCCGCCCGCCCCTAGTGCCTACACTGGCCACATCGTGGGCGTTTCAGAAACCCTGCAGCCCGCACAAGCTCAAATGCCAGTGTCTGGAATTGTCTCGGACCCTTCAAAATAGCACTCGTCCCCTCTTAATTTAGTCATCTCTAAATAGGGTCTTTAACTAGTATCACGCAGTGCACAGGAGGTGGCCAAGGAGGTAACACTGCGCTTAGCTTCCTATTAATAGCACGACAGCGGTCTCGGAGCGCCCGCTGGCTGGAAGCTCTCTCGCCAAGTCTAATTGGTGCGGACGGCGATGATCCAACAGGCCAAGCAGACTTTAGAAGACACAGTCTCGGCGCGACGAGGTGACTGCCTACTGTACGTACTGTTTGTAAGGAAAGACGGGTTGTTTGTTTACATGGGAGGTGCTGCATACGTATTATAGGAGAGCTTCTGCAAGGTACGGTACATGGTAGCGATGTATGCACTTCCTCCCGGTCGTCTACGCGTCATCCGATATGAAGAGCCTGGCAAACAGTTGAGGGAAAAAAAGGAAGGAAAAGAAACCGCGTATTGACTATTGACTATTGAAGTCGTGAGATGTCGCCATGACGCACTCCACACGTGCTAGTCAGGGGGTGGCTTCGGGCCTGGATCCGATTGTACTATGATTTGTCCACTTCCGAGTGGCAGTAGTTAGTCCATAGATAGGCGCCTCCCTCGGACGAGTCACGGTATCGTTAAGCCTTGGAGACACTGTACATAGTTACTGTACTGTACTCCGTACAGTCACACAAGTTACAACTGACAACGCTGTTCGGGAATACGGAGGATAACCTGCAAACACTAACAGAGATGGGGATGCGTCAAAAACCGCTAGTCTAGGACGCCACGCAAGCATCTTGTCCCCACGGCCCCGGATAGGAACCCCAAGGAGTTCGCGCGGTGTTTGGTTTAGGGGTTGGCGCCGGGTTAGCCGATATCAGTGGAGGTCTGGAGGACATGGGTATTGGGAGATCTGAAGATGTTGTTGAGTGGACCGTGGAACCAAGGATTCCATGTTTATGGTCATAGGCACCAGCATTGCTCAGAACTCTGTCGGGGCTTGGATATACACTGGTGGTAGATATACATCGACAGGTCGTACGGAGTAGATAAGTGCGGTATAGTTATGGAATTAGCTGATGAATTGTCATGTATGATTGAGGCAGCCAGGTGATTGACTGCAGTAAGACGAAAGATTTGTCCCCGAAATTTAGGGCTGAACAGAGAGGCCCCAGAAACTTGCGACAGAGGTCGCACTGTAGCAGGGGTAAAAGCCTGATAATCTGACATCCGTTCACAACGAATGTAGGTAAGAAAGTCAAGTATAGTCACCCTCCGAACCAAACGGAGGACTCGATTATCCGAACGGCCCTTTGCGGCCGGGTACGGACTCTACGGAGACATTGACTTCCTTACCTAAATGAAATTGATACAAGCGGGCCCCCCTAGCTGTAATTCGCACGGACCGAGGAGAACCTTAACCAGAAAGATATCTACCAAGCTCTGCTATACACCGCTAGAAAGGAAAGGCCATGACGCGGACGATTAAGATTACTGCTGATCGACAGAACCAACGCTTATCGCCATCGGGAAGGCGACAATCACTTGAGTCCTACACCGTACAGCACTCCGTACAGCGCACGACGACAAAGTCTTGGGTGTTGACTTGGCCATGCAGGTTTCTTTTGCATCCGGGAGAGGACCGGGCTGGGTAAGGGGGGCTTCTGGAGAAAGCGCGGGCGGGTTTTAATTAAACAAGTCGTTCGAACTCGTCATCCTGTGGACCGCCTATTGATGATGGAGACCAGAGCAAGCAGTTCACCCGAATCAAGTGCAATATCCGATTCTCCCTGCCACGATTGGTCGGCGTAGGAGGAGGTAAAGTAACTAAGACTAGGTTGACAAATCAGAGGATGAGGACTTCAATAGGTAAGTATCATTTCGACTGGGGCCTTGAGGCGTGAGACTGAAAATTGGGGGTTGTATAAAAACGATACGGGCGGCTGTGTACTGTACGTAGCCTTAAGCCCTTATTAGTCTAACTACGGAGTCGTGGTAGGAGGGGTTGGATGAGAACTGGGATACGAGAGCAGGGTTACAGGCTGAGAGCATTCCGTACTGGGCGCAGTCTTCCAAGCCTTCTAGGCCATGTACTAGATAGGGCATCCCGTTTGCATATCCCTGACGGCAGACAGGCAGAACAGGTCGGGACCACCTGCCAGGGGGGAGGATCTCAGCGATCATGCAGAGGATCAAGAAGAGTCTCCGTCCTGTTAGCGCCCCTGGCGTACGATCATCACAACAAGTACATGATTAAACCTTGCGGAGCATTAAATTAGGGGGAGACACTTCGTAACGGCGTCCCCCCTTGGCATGACTGGACCGATCGGCATCGGAAGAAGAACAGTCGATCGGGAGAAAAAAAGAGCCAACAGGCACCTTGGTAAGGTTCAATAAATAATATAGGGCTCATAAAACCATAGCCATGGATAGGTTGCCGTTGACCTTGCTGGCGTGGCAATCTCCTCCTCTTGGGCGATGGGGAGATGAGAAAGAGGCAAATGGGACAAAAGTCGGGAACCCAAAGGAAAATACCAGACGGTACCCATGGATACCAGAGGCATTTCGGCAGCCCTAGGGAGACCTGATTGGTGTGCCTGGCCAAGTATGGAGCCTAATCCCCTGGCAGCCGTGCGATAGACACCGTTGATTGGATGCCCCCTGGCGCATGGTAATTTCGTTTGGGCGCCAAGCTCTCAGGAACAACAGAAAAAGGTAAACAGAGGATAGAAAAAATCAATTTGCGGACCCACGGTGGGCGATCTATAGCGTGGAGGACGCGGCGAGGCCCATTGCCAAGGAGGAAGGCAGTCGAGGCTTGAAGAGAAAAGAAGAAAGAAGTTGCTGCTATCTACTCCGTACTGAAGGGGGGGGGGGAAAGAGGCTGAGGGTGAAACAAATCGTGGTAACTTACCGAGTGGCGTACCGTCAGCCAAAGCAAACTAAGAAATTAAGAAATTAAGAAATTAGACGCTGTGATACACAAATACGGTTGTAGAATACGGGACAAGTGTAACGGAACCCCCTTTCTCGCCGTTTGGTCCCCGTATTAGCCTTACAGCCCAGGCAGGCCCAGGCAGGCCCCCTCCTTTCCTCCGCCCCTGGGGTTTTGTTCTCCTTCTCCCTCCTTCCCTTTCTCTCCTCCAGCCTCAGTCTCCTCGAGTTTTCCCATCCGACCAGAGGGATTCGTTCTCTCTACCACGTTCATTTAGGAAAACCTGTCACTCTCTCGACCTCAGCGATTCGATCTTCCCCCCCCTTTTTGTACAGCCCTTTACGAAAGCGCGCGACTGGCTTGCCGTTGATGTATGTGAGAGTTGCGCTCGAAGGATTGCGAACGGCCTCTCTGGATACAATTGCTGGTGAACCCTGATTCATGGCAGCGAGTGGGATATTTCTGAGCGCGTTGGGCTCCATGACTCGAGCCAGCTCGAGTCACCATGCGATGTCGCGATGAAAGCCCTCCTTGGATCTCCTCCAGCGCAGAGGAACCACATGAACCAGGGAAACCGCAACTGAACCAGACACGCCTTCCTCCTTGAAAATAAGAGACAATCACGAGCAGGAATGATTGACTGATATATTCTCTCTCTCCATCTACAGATCTCGCAATTTGAATTCCCGAAACCACAATGAAGTTCACCAACTCCGTTGCCGTGACTCTCGCCACGGCGGGCTCCCTGGTGGCCGCCCACGGCCATGGCCACGCTCACTTCCACAAGCGCGTCGTTGAGACCGAGACCGAGACCGCCGTCTCCGCCGCTACCACCGCCTACCACTTCGTTGTCTTGGACCCCAGCAAGTCTGATGCCCCTGAGGACGTGAGCAACGATGTGGCCTGCGCCGGTCTGCGCAAGCACGAGTTCGAGTGGCTTGGTTCCGCTATCCCCGATGCCTGCCCGTCCTCCACCAGCACCCCCGTGAGCACCTCGACTGCCGTTCCTACCACCACTTCCATCGCTGCCCAGGTCCTCCTCGAGACCTCCGCTGCCATCACCCCCACCACCTCTAGCACCAGCACCGTGGCCCCCACCACCAGCGTCGCCAGCTCCACCAGCTCCGCCGCTGCTTCGAGCTCCTCCAGCTCCTCTAGCTCTTCTAGCTCCTCCGGTACCGGTGTGGGCGCTGAGTTCCCCGATGGTGAGATTGACTGTGGCACCTTCCCCTCCGACTACGGTGCCGTCGCTCTCGACTACCTCGGCCTCGGTGGCTGGTCCGGTATCCAGTACGTCACCTTTGCCGACGAAGTAATCAGCGAGATCGTGACCGCTGTCACCGGTGACTCTTGCACCAGCGGCGGCATGTGCTCCTACGCCTGCCCTGCCGGTTACCAGAAGTCCCAGTGGCCCTCCACCCAGGGCTCCACTGGCCAGTCCGTCGGTGGTCTGGAGTGCAAGAACGGCAAGCTCTACCTTACCAACTCTGACTACAACACTCTTTGCATTGAGGGTACTGGTGGTGTCCACGTTCGCAACAAGCTTGGCTCCCAGGTTGCCGTTTGCCGTACCGATTACCCCGGTACCGAGTCCGAGACCATTCCTCTGTCTGCTCTCGCTGGCGAGGAGCACCCCCTGACCTGCCCCAACGGTGCCACCTACTACAAGTGGGAGGGCAAGACCACCTCCGCTCAGTACTACGTCAACAACAAGGGTGTTTCCGCCGAGACTGGTTGCCAGTGGGGTGACGGCTCCGAGCCCATTGGTAACTGGGCCCCCATGAACTTGGGTGTTGGTTACTCTTCCGGCGCCACCTGGTTGTCCATGTTCAAGAACGAGCCTACCACTAGTGCCAACCTGGACTTCAAGATCAAGTTGATCGGTGACGACCTGAGCGACAGCTGCAGCTACGATGGAAACGGCAACTTCTACAACAGCGCCGGCCTGATCACCTCTGGCAACGGCTGCACTGTAAGTTTCTTTCTTTCTTCAAGTATCTCTCTAGAAGATCCACAATTTACTAACCACAATTTACTATACAGGCCAGCTCCTCCTCCGGCAACGCCTACTTCGTCTTCTACGAATAAGCACCCGCCCAACCAACTGGGTCTCTGTTCCGAACCTCGACCCAAGAAAATACAAAGCCCCACGGTCTAGGATGATGCTTAGTTTTTCATTTCATTTTTTTTTATCTTCTACCTGAACTATGCTAGCAGTGGGTTGAGGCAAAAGGGGTAAGGCGTGGTTGGGGTAACTCCCAATTCATCTGTCCCCTCCTTTGCTCTTCCCACTTCCGGTGCTTCTGTCCATATCACGGTTTGTTACTTCTGGGGTAGTCTTCTTCTGTGTATCTTAACTTTTTTTATGTGCTCGATCGGGGCCTTTGTGGGGGCAATTCAATCTTTGTTACTTTTTCCTTTCGAATACCGTTGAGCGTCGTTGTATGAGCTGTATACGTATGGATCTACCGGCGCTCTTGGTTTACTCATAGACTTATCTCAGGACCTCATGTACAGCCAATTTTGACCCTCTATTATAAATACTTTTCATCTACTGGATATTGGATATCTGGTTTTTGTTTCTTCAATTTGGTTGTTGTATCCTTCTATATGCTTGTCGTTGTCATGGTATTTTGTGGCGACGGGTGGCTTTCGGCAAGTCATGCACATGTACGCCATCAAGTCAATCCCGGACAAGGACTCCATTGGGTTCTACTATTCTTTGGGTTAGTCTATTTTTATTGATCTCAAGATCAATACACTGCTTTCGTTCTGTATCAAATCCAAGGAGATTGTGACGTAGAAAACCTGATTTCCACCTGGAGAGCAGAAGCGATGGCGGGATGTCCATTCCATTCCTGTGGCGTCAACCTTCCAAGGCTGAGGGCTTCCTCTGGGTAAGACATTCCCGTATCGTTACACTGGGAAGTTTTCAGAGTATTTTCAGGGGTTTGGTTTGGTGTGGGCATTCGCAATTCAACTTTCCTATGTTATCTTGACTGTAGAGTTTGAGGCCTACTTATGCTGCGTGTCAGTTAGGGCTTTCGTCATCGAGACTGATAATGAAAAATGGATAACAGGTAGGCTAATCACAATCCACGTGCTTAATAACATAGAATGTGGTTTTTATTACTCCCTATTCCCTTGCACTGGTAAAGTCGATTTGCGCTTAGGCACAAGCATCTCGTCGAGCGTTGCATCTATGATATCAAATTTCAAATTCGGGGTGGAGCATTTACTATAAACTCAGAAGGGTACGTTTTCACTAATAAGTTTCATTTCTACTACAGCCCTATCACAAAATAAGATTTAATTAGAAATTCATGGTAAACGCAGTGAGCACGAGACATACAGCCCGGGCAGTGCAGAACTCAACTCATGTCTACAGGACTATGATTTTCGCTGCTATCACTATCAATCGCCATTGGCATGTTATTTGACGTGTTCTAATAGGGCAATGGTCGTCGTGGGATATTCACTATCTCCAAGGTAACCACGTTTCTTCAGGAGTTCAGATCTTTGGAATGTGAGCTATACTACTTTGGTCCTCGACTCCCACATGCCGGTGGCTGATAAGGTGTCATGACATCATGTCTTGTGAGGGAACTACAGTACGTATAATTGGCATATATCGTGGTGGGTTGGTCTATTGGTGGGTTGATTGTGGCGCAGAATATCAAAAACACTCGTAAGTAGCGTTTAGAGTGCAGTGTAAGAAGAGTCACCATTACCAAAACGATGTAGAACGGAATTGATAATATGTTAGCTGCTTTAACCCAATCAGCACCTAGGGAAGGTACTCGTTTAGTATGATGCTACATAATATTTGAATCTCGCCATTTGTGATAGTATAATAGGATTGCTTGATTTAGAACATCCTGTGGCAGCGATAATAATTTATAGAATAAGCATTCCCTAGTGCTCATATCGTATCGAATAAGGGAGCAACCGTATGGCCAGTTTTTATCAGGGTAGTATCTTACTTTCAAAGTTTTTGTCCGGCTCCGAGATTTATCATTTGGTCTATTAAGCACTCGCAAAGCACTATGATACAGGAGCTATTTGATAAAAAGTAATCTCATTTCCTCAAGTGGTAGAGTTATTTCTAGAAGAAGTTTCATTGGATTCTCTTTCGCTTGTCGATTTTCAAGCTTGATGATTCATGGCCGATGGTCTCTTGTCACCGGGATAGTGGAAAACTGTAGCTGACAGAAATTTAACAGGCGATCGATTAACGAGGAAATCGACAGGCAATCTTGGACAACAAGGACCTTCACACCGCTTCATAAGCTCTTGTGGGGCTCTAAAGCGAAGGGTGCCCCAGCAGAGCAGGCTTTTACCAAGCATTGAAACCCGAGGTTGTCCTGCCAGTTGGCTGGCCTAACTGGGAGCTTGCGGATTTTATTATACCCAAAGTTGATCTGCCCAATTAATTCAATTAGCTCAGAAACATCATGCAGTAGTATCCCACCTAAATGAAACAGTGTTATGAAGTAGATAGCTTAGCGAAATCCATTGCATTAGTCGAGGTCCAGACTGGAGTCGACATCCCACTTCGGCCGGAGGGGCTGGTGGTAAGTACAGTAACGGTATTCACGCGCCACGAAAACCCCGCGGAGCAGAATTTTTCATAGATCCCGCGTCTTGATAGTTTTTAGATGGTTTTTTGTTCCAATGACTTTGCCTATGTTGTATATGATTTAATTAGGAAATCTAATGAGGGCCTAATTATTATAGATCTTTACTAGATTTCTGATCACATGCCGTTACAGATCGTAGCCTAAAACTTCTAGTTACAAGAGACGCCCAATTCGGCGACGACATCATCAGCGACGACATCATCTCGAGGTCATCTCAATGCCATTGACATACTGTTAGAGCATGCCTTGAAGTCTGTCATACATACTCGGACTCGCGTGCCCGTCACGATCCACTTCTTGATCCAAACACGTGACTTCAGACGCGACCGCGATTTGCAGTCGACCAGTCAATTGTATAGAAATGTAGATCTATAGAGCTCCAAATAGTTTCCGGACAAAACATAGCTTGTTCATTCACATACATAGTGCAATTTCTTCGCCATTTTACCATTTCACCCAACTATCCAGGGTTGGGAAAGGGTGAATTAACAACGTGAAAGGATAGTGGAGCCCGTGAACCCTCTCGTCGGCGCCTATCGAACGCGTCTCGGGCTGTAAGCGTGCATTTCCGCGCAGGGCGAACGAGACGGACCGCCCCAGGGCATTCCTCCACTACCACACACCCTACCCTCTTCACCTTTTTCTCCCCAAGGCCCTCCCTCCCTTGCTCTTGGCCCAATTCCCCTCCTCTCCTCTTCTCCTTTCCCTTTCGAGACACCTAGGACCCTCTTCTTCTATTTGTCTTTTCACAAATACCCATTTGTCCCATACGAAACGCGGTGACGCGAGTTCTTCGAGCCTGAACGCTGCTCCTACTCACAAGTTCACACAGAAAAAGGGAGACCTCGCGAGGGCTTCAACACTTGGAGGACGTCATGGACTCTTCTCCAGCTAGACTCAGCATGGCTCCTGCTGCGGGCGTGAAGCGTCCGGCGGCTCTGCTACCTGCCTTCGAGCCATTGAGCTCGTCTCCCTCCCTTCCGAGGCCTAACAAGCGTGTAGCACGCGAACCCGCCTATCCTACTCCCGTGCCAACCTCTTCAACTCATATCATGTCGTCTTCGCCGCCCGGTATTGCTCGGCCTACTGCGCATCGTACCTTCTCCGGTCCCGTGGAGCGGTCTCCCTTGTCCGCGGTCCCAACTATCATGCTGCCCGAAAGCGGCGAGCCTATCCTCATGGGCCGTTCAAGTGCTTCGTGCCATCACCAGCTAGCTGCAAGCCGAATGATTTCCCGTGTCCATGTCAAGGCTTGCTACAAGCCGGCGCCAAACCCCTTCGACCGTGATAGGCTTGAGATTATGTGTATGGGCTGGAACGGGATCAAGATTCACTGCCAGGGAAAGAAGTATGATTTGGTCAAGGGAAAGACTTTTACGTCCGATATCAAGGAGGCAGATATCATGATCGATGTCCATGAGGCACGTGTTCTGGTGCAGTGGCCACGGAATGACAATGATAGGAAGGATTGCCCCTCGACCGACTCCGAGCAGACTTGGGATGAAGGAACTCCAACTCAGAAGAACCCCCGCCGACTGCTCCCCGATAGCCCCTTTGTCGGAAATCAGCGTCTGGGTTCTCCAGTTTCGCCATCGCCTGCCGTGCAACATGCCATTCCTCCGTCCTCGCCTCTCTTTACGCCCTCTCGTGCTCGTGGGGCCGTCGTGGTGTACGAAGACGAGCCTTCTCCATTGAAGCGCCACAATACCGTCGGCGGGATGACTTCGCACAGTGCTCGTCGTGCTAGTGCAATGCTGCAGATTTCGCAGTCTAGTGATATCAGTCGGGCTGATGATGATTCCGATAATGACGAGGAAAATGACCCTATCGTCCACTCATTCGGTCCATTCGGCGAGAACCTGCTTCCTCGGATGGCCTCATTCCACGCCGGAGAATCTCCCGTTCGCACTGCCCTTTCGCCTCTCAACCGCAGGGCTCCCCAGTCTCCTCAGCATATCAATTCCCTTCTACGCCCCCACGCCGAGGATCAAAAGGAAGAGGTTGAGGTCAAGCAGAAGACCAAGGAAGAAGAGGAGAGCTTTGAACGAGTCCGCAACCACACCGTGAATCAGCTCGCTTTCTCCCGCCTATCATCGACTCCCTTCTCTACTATCCTGAACAACCTCCCTCCTTCCTATTGGAAGTCGAACTCGAGCAACACCTCGGGCCCATCTCGCTCCGATATCCGCGCCATCCTGGAAAATACTAAGTGCATTGGCAAGGTTGCGCGCGAAGGAAAAGATGCCGCTGGCCAGCCTCTGGAAAGCGAATTTTACTACATCCCCGATTATGATGAAGACGTCGGCCGCCGCGAGACTGTGGTCAACAACCTCCGAAAGCCTGGCCTCCGCAACTGCCGCAAGCAGCACAAGGTTTGTGACCCTGATCAGTTTTCTTTCCTAGCTTTGAATATTATGACTAACATTTCTCAGCAATACTTCTGGAAGAAGCCGAAATAAATCGAACCTCTCACGGATCCGTTCCCCCCACCCTTTCCCTCTCGAATTCGGATCGGCCCCTCTCAGTACATATTTGCAGTGTTCTTAGCGACCTAGCCTCCTCTGCTAGGTGGCTCGCATAGCGTGGCGTGTGGCATACCCTGACATTTTATTGTTTGATGTTTAATCCTTGCTTTTTTTTGTGTTTTCCTTCCCCTTCCCCGTTCTCGTTTTTCGTTTCCTTCCCCTTCCTCTTCCGTTCCAGCATGGCGGTGTACGATGTGTGGCACTTTCGCAGCGCGCTGTATCTCGTTCTTTTGCGTCCCTCTTGTGGATTTGTCCAGTGTTTCCCCCCTGATGCGTGATGGTTTCCCCGAACTCGACGGCCGCTTATGGTTTTGCTTTTATTTTCGCTTTGACCCTTTGATTTTTGCCCCGGCTCGGATATCTTCGTTTGATTATAATACCTGCTCGGTATGGTTTCGGCATCGGTTGTGATGTTTTTTTCTCTTTGCGCATATCTGTTTTGAATGGGACTTGAGAAATCATGGACCGTGCTCGAAGTGCTTTTGCTTGTCTGGTTATTCGGCTTTCCTCTCCCTTCGGGGGGTGGGATGTCATCACGATTTGTATGTTTAGCTTGTTCATTTTCAAGTAAAAAAGTGTTAATTTCTCATTCGGTGCTATGTATTCGTAGTAGTTCATGCTTTCCGTTAGTAGGATTTCTATTAGAGGTACAGCATTCTATGGCCTTACTTGGCGTTATTCTATCCTTTCTAACTATACCACTGCCCACGATGTGCCAAGAGGCTGTAAAGTTCGTTTACGAGTAATTGCGGAGGAAGGACTGAGACTTGCATAAAATAGTATACTCGTTCATAAAGTCTGTTGCCGAGAAGTGGCTTTCTTGCCGGTAGCTTATCACTACCTCATCATGCAGCTGGCCCATTCGTCACCTTTGCGTCACCCAAGCTTCCCCATACCTTGCGTATAGTCAAATAAGGTTATCTCGCCGGTCGAGACCATGGACCTTTGATATAAAGGAACCTGCGCAGTATAATGAAAGACTCAGTGGCTTGGTGTTTCCTATGCGAAAGGATTGTCTGATGACTATGCACCACTTCTCGAGTGTCTGGGTCGTCATAGTCAATGGGTCATACAGCAAGAAATACCGAACAAACCTTAAAAGTTTTATATTCTCCCAGAAGATCATGCAATTTATTTAGAATTGCAGTTACTACCCCATCGCCACCATGGTCGCCACTGGACAGTATCAGCGCCTCTGAAGCATCGACCCCGCATCTAGAACCATCATCAAACATCCAGATCTTTGCTATAAAAGCAATCTCCCAGACGAGCAGTGCGCAGTAACTGCAAAGACCTACACATTATTCGATAGTCCTAGAAACCATCCCTCCAGCCAATCTATCATGCAATCCACTATTCAACAAAATCCCATCGCAGACCGGGCTCGAGAATCTGCAGCATCTACAACACAATCGCGAGACCTCTCCTCGAGTGAATCCCATCAACTACCAGATCCCAACTCGGATACCGTCTCTGATTCATCCTGGAAACCAAGATTCGATCGTCGCCAAAGCTGGAGCCATGAGGACCAGAAACACCAGCTGCAAGAACGACTGTTGATTGTCGAGCAAGGATGGGAGACGGGGTTTACGGAGACTGGATCGGTCACTAAATCAACTTAAAAACCACACATATCCTGGCTGCAGCCTTCATCAGACGATCATATCGGCTTTGTTTAGTGGGGATCATCCTCTCCAGCGAGTGATGATTCTGGAAAAGAGTGGGGTTCCACTCGGCGACTACAATATGCGCGGTGACATGCCTGCAAAGGGTGCTGTTGTTCGCTTAATTTCTTGAATCAAAATGTGCAGTCTATTATTCCACCTTTCGTTACTGTAGATAGTATAAAAATTGAAAATTGAATCAAAGATCAGATAAGTGAGATAATGCAGAGTAGTCAATCAGAATGCCAGGCCAAACCTCCGGCGATCATCCAAACCTCCGCACCGCCTTACCAAACCAGCCCGCCTTCTCTCCTCCGCCATCGCCATCCGCACGACCAAACTACAAGGAGCTTCCTACACCCGACGAGCTTCTACGAGCTCCCCACTCACCTGGAATCGCCTGCACCTCCCCAATGTGGCATTCAAGTCACTCCTGCATTCTCCTTTCGGCCGTTCTGAGAGGACCCCGCGACTGAATCGGCCCCGAACGCACACACAGCCATGGATCGCCAAAAGAAAAGTATGCGCCAGCTAGACCGCACTGCGCTCTCGCTGATCTCTCAACTGACCTTGTCCTCACTACAGGAGAGCTTCGCGATCTGAATGAGAAAGCCTGGGAAGGCGAGACTGGTATGACAAACCTCCCCCCCCTCGAAGACGAATACTCCCGCATGAGAAGGCCCACTCTCTGGATTTCTGACCGACTGACGTTGGCTCTCCCACACAGATGTATTCCCCGTCAGCAAGTCCCTCGATTCGGCTCTCAAGAAGAACACGGCTTTCATCAAGCGCCTTCGAACTGGAATCAGTGCTTCCGCCCTATCTACCTTCCTAACCGATATCCGTACCCTTTCGCTCCACAAGTACCTCTCCGAGATTATCTCCGCCTGCTATGAGGGACTATGTAAGCTCAAATCGCCCGGGGAGATCGCTGCCGGCGTGGAGATTATCTGCGCTCTGCACCAGCGATTTGGTCCCGCGGAGTTTACTAGGCAGATTGGATGGCTTCTCGGGCGGGGCATGAGCTCCATGGATAAGGCCTCGTTGAAGGCTCTTCCTCAGGAGATGCGCGAGCGGGAGGAAAAAGAACGCTTGTCGCGACACCGGGTTCTGCTTCGCGTCGTTACGGAGTTGTGGCTTGTCGGTGCTCTTAGGACTTTGGATGATACGGAGAGACCGGAGGACGCAAGGAAGGATGCTACTACGGGCAAGCTTCCGGATCTGGTTCCGATGAGGGCGACCAAGTCTCCCGCGGCGTTGAAGGAACTGGAGAAACAGGCCGAGCCTTTTCCTCTGGAAGTACTCAAGGATTTACTGGGACATGACCGTGACCATACCAACTTGCCGCTTGCCGTGTTGTTTGTGAAGAGCTTTAGCTGGGATATTCTTGGTACCAAGCTTGTGGAAGAGGGTCGGAAGACTGTCGAAGCGGATGGTGCGACGTCAAAGTCTACCGTTGATCAAGAGAATATAGAGGGTAATGCCGAAACTACGACAGAGGCAGACCCGCCATTGGTCCCTGAGAAGACGCAGCAGCGATTCAGAAATATCTTGACTCGCTACCTGGATGATGTCAAGGCTCATGTGGTTCGTGATCAGAAGGCACTGGCATCGCAGAGCCGTCGCAATGCCGAGGCTTACGTGAAGAGTGGCGAGATCTTTGAGGATCGCCAGTCGAATTTCGAGAAGCAGTCCAAGACACTCGAGAAACTTGTGGCGAATACTCAGGTCTTATGTGAAGCCTTGGGTGCGGAGATGCCCGATCTGGTCGAGAAAGAGGCCACTGATGCTGGCGGAAGCGGTGGCATTGGTCTGGTGAAAACCACGGATTACCTACGTGGTCTGGGTGACGGTGCCGGCATCTGGGAAGATGAAGAGGAGAGGCGCTTCTACGAGAATTTGGTCGATCTTAAGGGTAAAGTGCCCGCGGTACTCCTTGAAGATGGCAAGAAAAAGAAGACCGAAGGTGAAGAGACTGGTAGGAAGAAGGAAGGTGACACCGAGACTGCCGCAGAGAAGCCCGAGTCCATGGAGGATAGGGCTGCAGCTGCAGCTGATGCCGATGACCAGTCAATGGCAATTGCCAGTAAGACCGTCGGCGCCCAGGTGGATTCTCTTCTTGGAAAACTCCCCGAGCTGCAGACCAAGGACCAGGTAGATCAGTTTGCTTTGGACTTTTGCTTTGTCAACTCCAAAGCTTCTCGGAATCGATTGGTGAAGGCTGTCTCGGATATCCCCAAGGGTCGGATAGATTTGCTTCCCCTGTACTCACGTCTGGTGGCTACTCTTGGACAATATTTGCCCGATATTCCGCAGGGATTGACCACCTATCTCGATGAAGAGTTCCGAAGCCTGCAGCGACGAAAGTCGAAGGAGTTCCTCGGACAGGTTCGTATGAGCAATGTACGTTACTTGGCCGAGTTGACTAAATTCGGCGTGGTCCCCGAGCACATCATCTTCCACTGCTTCAAAGTCTCGCTGGATGACTTTTCTCGCATGAACATTGAGATTATCGGTAGCCTCTTGGAAAACTGTGGTCGCTACCTGCTTCGCAATCCAGAGACATCGCCCCGCATGGCGTCATTCTTGGAGACTCTGAGCCGGAAGAAGACCGTGCAGCATTTGGCTCAGCAAGAACGGATGGTCATCGAGAATGCCATTTACTACGTTGACCCGCCTCCAAGACCGGCTATCCAGCAGAAGGAGCGTACGCCCGTGGAGCAGTACATTCGAAGACTGATCTATCTCGACATGAATAAGCGGAATTACACCAAGATTCTGAAGACCATCCGCAAACTCCATTGGGAGGAGCAGGAGATCGTGGATATCCTGGAGCGCGTATTCAGCAAGCCTGTCAAGGTCAAATACGGCAGCATTCATCTTCTGGCAATCCTTGTCAGTGCTCTGTACCGCTATCATCAGGGGTTCGTCATCGGCATCGTCGACAATGTTCTTGAGCAGATCACGCTGGGCTTGGAGTTGAATGATTTCAAGTTTAACCAGAAGCGGATCGCCGAAGTGAAGTACCTGGGCGAGCTTTATAACTACAAGATGATCGACTCACCCGTTATCTTCGACACTCTGTACCGCATCGTTACATTCGGTCACGAAGGTGGTACCCCGGTTCCTGGCAAGATTAGTCCGCTGGATACTCCAGATGACTTTTTCCGACTTCGCCTGGCGTGTACACTCCTCGACACGTGCGGTCACTGCTTTGATCGCGGTTCTGCAAAGAAGAAGCTGGATTTCTTCCTGACTTTCTTCCAGTACTATCTGTTCACCAAGGATCCCTTGCCCATGGATATCGATTTCCTGGTCCAGGATACGTACTCTAGTCTCCGACCACAGTGGAAGATGGCTACGGACCCAGAAGAGGCTACTAGAATTTTCAGCGAGGCAGTTGCCCAGAATTACAATGTTCAAGACTCTGAGAGACCCGTTGAGCTTGACGAGGACGATGCGGAGAGCAGCTCGTCCGATGAGGGTCTAGAGGAGGACGCCATTCCCGAAATTGAAGATGAGGAATCTAGCGACGAAGCCGAGGTATGTTTTCTTTCTATCGTCTTTTTATAAATGCCTCTTTCTTACTTGTTGCAGGCATCCGGTCCGAACCCCGAAGCAAACGACGAAAGCGACTTTGAGGACGAGCATATCATCGTCACGCGCCAAGAAGAGGAGCGCGACCCAGAAGCTGAGGCCGATTTCGACCGTGAATTTGAAAAGATGATGGCCGAGAGTATGGACTCCAGACGCTTCGAGCGTAAGGGGGTTTTCGATATCCCCTTGCCTATGAAGCGCGTCCCCCGCGAGAACCCTCCAACGGAGTCTTCGACTGAATCGGCTACACCGGAGCCTATGCCTACTAAGACAATGGCTTTCTCGCTGATGACGAAGAAGGGAAACAAGCAACAGGTAAGACCGCACTATTCAGTGGAAAGGGTTATCAATATCAATACTCTAATACTGTGTAGACACGTACTATTGATCTTCCATCCGATTCTAGCTTTGCTGTTGCTATGCGCAGTCAGCAACAAGCTGATCGGGAAGAACAACAGCGTATCAAGAACTTGGTTCTAAACTATGAGGCCGCGAATGAACCAGAAGCTGCCGAGAGTACGTCTACCCCCACCTTCCAAACGAGTGTTTTTCTTGGAAGGGATATACTAATTGTTGAATCCAGCTTTTGAAAAGCGTATCCCCGCTAATCAACGGGTGGACAAGTCTGGCGCTAATCGTTCTGCCTTCCGATCTCGGAAACTCCAGCTCAGCGATGTGAATTGGTAATGAAAGCCGTGGATTATGAATCGACTTGCAAACCCTGCCGATCCTACCTGGCCTTGTGAATCACGACACAGTCACACCGAGGAATCATGACCGTCTACCTGCTCAAGCGCAGTCCTTGATCCGCGTGTCTAGCATCCCATCGATGAAGCCGGGACTTCGCGCACTGGAGATCATTTCTCCGTACCGGCGATCTTCTTGATGTGATTCTCACTCAACCAGTGTGCCATCAATACTGCACACGAGGATTCTGTATCTCTTACCACGATGCAAAGCGGCTCTTCCCGTCTTTTAACGGATGCAGTGCCCAATGAATCTGGAAGGTTCAGCATCTAGGACGAGCTACACATGCTTTCCACTTTTAGCATTAGTTGCTTGGATTGGCGAGTAGCGAGTGGAATGTGGAGGAGCTGATAGGAATGAGATACCAATTCGAGCCCATCTGGTCCTGTTCGATGGCTGTTCCCTCGTATTTTACCTTAAATATGTATCGGGATATTTAGGTTACTCAAATGTTTGAATGCTTCGCTATAACATGTTAGACTGGCAAAACTGATGGATGAAAGCCAGCTTATTATCTATACAGTAAACTCCCGTTTTCGGCACTCCCAGGTTAGGCACACATTTTTATTAGGCACCAAAATCTGTTGGATGGACCCACTTCTTAGAGTTTTCCCATATATAAGAGGCCAACCGGCACACCTTTTTGTCTGGCACACAAAATTCTCTTCAATTTTTGCTTAGTCATATAAACCGACCAATCAGAATGCAGGATTTTTCCCCTTCCAACCCTTCCACCCCTTCTTCGGTCGCTCTTTCAGCTAAACTGGCTATACCAAAACAACCCAACAAAGGCATATCCGATGCTCAGAAAAAAGCATTACGTATCTATGCATCGGAGACACGCCCTAAACCTACTTAGAGAGAATGCGCTGAGTGGTTTTCATCTCAATTTAATCGTTATATCAACCGTGCGACCGTCTCCAAGATTCTTTCATCCAAATACGAGTACCTTGATACTGGTTTAGCTGGTCAGAACAAACGCCCGTTAGCATCTCGGTGGCCTCTATTAGATGAGGCCCTATATATCTGGCAGCAGCGTCACGAGAATGCCGGTTTTCCTATAACAGGCCCATTGATTCAGAGCAAAGCCGTCGAATATTGGAAGAAAATACCCCAGTATAAAGATCTCGACCCGCCACTTTTCTCTGAAGGGTGGCTATCACGGTTCAAACAGCGCCATTCGATCCGATATCATACCTCCTATGGCGAATCTGCATCGGTTCCGGCTTCGATGTATTCCGACATGGAAGCTATTCGGGCTATCTGCGACCAATATCAGCCAAACGATGTCTATAATATGGATGAAACAGGTCTATTCTAGCGTCGAATGCTAAATGGGGGTCTATCGAGTAAGGGTAGTCCTGGTTATAAAAAAGACAAGACCAGGATTACTCTCGCAGTAACGACCAATACTACTGGTTCAGATCGAATGCCTCTATAGTTAATAGGCACTGCGAAGATGCCTCGTGCTCTACGAAAACTCAATATCCCAGCACTTGGATGTATCTGGCGATGGAACAAGAACGCATGGATGCGCGGTAATGTTATGCAAGAATGGTTCCGCTCGTTTTATAGGCATATTGGCACACAAAGACGAGTCGTGCTATTGCTCGATAACTTTAGCGCGTATCTCTCTGCGCTTAAACATGCGCCACCGCCGTCTAATATTAAAGTCGTTTTTTTGCCACCAAACGCGACCTCGGTTTACCAGCCATTAGACCAGGGTATCATCAGAAACCTTAAGCACCATTATCGGAAGAAATGGTTGACATGGATGGTTAATATGATAGACCGCGGCGTCGATCCTACGCAGAGAATGAGCCTCTATTACACACTACATTGGATCACCCAGGCTTGGAGACGTGACGTCCTAGATGAGACTATTCAGAAGTGCTTTATTAAGAGCACGCTTATTAGTCCTAGCACTAATGAGATGAATACGTCTCCGTCTGAGGACCTTTAACTAGGTGATTTATACGCAGAGGTGACCGACCGGCTTCCTGGTACAGAGGTTATGGCATTAGATGAATTTCTAGACCCTCCAGGAGAAAACATCGACGTGGAAGAGCCTGATTTATCTGATATTATCGTTCATTTTTCAGAAGAAAATACAGGTGGGGATAATGGGGTTCAGGATAGCGAGGACGACCAGGACGAATATATATTCGGACCACCGCTGGATATCCTCTCGCGTGTTAAAGCTATTGAATATATGCATAAAGCTCTTCAATTTGCCCAGCACCAAGAGGGAATTACTGAGAGAGATCTACGTGATATAGAGAGGATCGCTCATCTTTTTTCTCGATTCGAGATCAATGGGAGGAAGCAGAGAAGGGTGGATGACTACTTTAGACCAAAAACAGACTAGTTCTTACTAGATGAGGTTTAGCGCGATATTAGTGGCACACTTTCATTAGGCACATCGGAATTCTGTTGCACGGAGGCCCGTGCCGAAAACGGGAGTTTACTGTAGTAGAAAGTCTTAGCACGGAGTAACAAGGGGCCTCGGGGTGATAAAGAACACATTTTCCAACTGCTAGAGACTTCCATTTGTCGGCCACTTTTATTTCTTTCAATCTAACCAATAGCCTTCTCGATTACTATATCGAAGCAGACTCTGGTTCAAACATATATGTTCGTCAATATTTACTCCGGCATGGATGGAAATCAAATCTCATGGAATTAGACCTCTAATCTATGTTATACAAAGATGCTGATTGCACTATAAATATAAATAGTGAGTAATAAACCCGTCCAAAGTTTAGAATGATAGAAGGGAAGGCACCCCCAAGGTAACCCCATTCAGTATCCTGATCACCACCACAATTAATCAATGGCTACCTCGAGGTCAAGGAGTCGCGGAAGGAAAGATGAACAAAAACGGAGGACAATGCTCTGCTAACATTCGTGATAATCGTGAACCAGCGCCCATGTCACCTCCAGATTGAGTGGTTCGCGGGCAGTTGTCTGGCGTAAGGCAAGTTTTGCGAGGGTCTTACCAATGTCAGCCGCCACTGCAGTTCCAATACCTGCATCTAATGCGAGACAGACTAGATGGTAAGTAAGCCCGCTACCCGCGTCTGCTTTGAGAGAGCCGATATCAGTCCTCATCTGGTGTGGGACATGTGTATCCCCTAATCTATCCCATAGCCTCATTGCATTTGACTGATTGTTGAAAAGTAGCCGGGGATGTGAGCCAGGCTGCTATCGATCTTAGCAGCAGCCGCGGTTTTTACCTCCCTTCCGATCCAAATAACTATTTATTTATCACACGTAACAGGCTCGTTGTAGGGCTTCGAGATGTTTGTTTAGTTGTCAAAAACTACGTTTCCGAGAACATGCTTGCATACTACATATCCAAAATGTGGGAAGACGGCATGCCCGCCGGAGTTGCAATAAAATTCCCACAGCATTTACACGTAGATCAGCGTAAACAAGTTAGCCAAACTAGAAAGACCTAGGTTGGGAGAGCGAGTGAATCTAAAAGATAGTTTCTCAGATTCTACATCTGGTAGGGTGTTCAGCTCACGTATGCGGTCAGCGCACTTATGTGGTCAGCGCACCTCCTACATGAACAGCTCACCTACGGATTATGCCAATTCAGCCATTTAGTGCTCCTAATACCCAATAACAGTCGTATATCTCCAGGATACCAGAATACCCCTGATTCTAGGACAGCCAGTGCCAGTATTCTCTTTGTTGAAGGAGATTACCGGTCAAATGCCAAGTGTTTGGTCCATACCCTAGATAGATCTCCTAACCCACCTTGAATTAACCCTCCTTGCCCATCTCTTGAGTTAATTTCCTGCCTACTACTTCTAGAATTCTTCATTTCAGAATTATATTCATACTAGGTACGGCATACCAGTATGTATCTGGTCCTAGAAGACCCAATTCTTCGCGAATCATACTCATCATATCATCATCTCACATCTCGATATGTTTAAATAGCTAGCGCTTACCGGATGTCCCTTCATTTCGCTCCCTCCCTTCGAGATTGACTATACAACCTCTCCTGGGCAGCATTTTAAGATATTTCAGCTGATTAGATGCACCGGGCCCATAGATCCCTACCGGCCAATTAGGAAGAGAGCCCCATCGGCAATTATTGCAGTCCCCCTGAATCCTTGAGAGGGGGTATTATCTAAGAATAAAAAATGTCTATGCTATAGGGCTGAAGTTACATCACGCTAGCGCGGTTCGAACCGCCCTAGGTGGTGGGTTGCCTGAGCTTAATCTTTCTGGGGCATTGGGGGCTGTGTGCGCATAAGCAGATTCCTTGGTAGTTGATAGAAGAGCAGATTGTATGGCTGGTGATCTAGCTCATCCTAGGCCAATTCGGGCGTCTTTTGACGAGATTTACTTGTATACTCATCGCAAGAGCGTAGATGAGACACGAGAATAAGGCATCCCATTGAACCCACAGCAACCATCAGAGGTATAAATACCAGAACTTTTCAGCATCGTTTTGTTCTTCCCAAGCTCTTCATTCTAACCATTCAATCCTCTCTAAAATAAAGAAGTGCAACAAGAACCTCGCCACTACTTAGTCAACATGAACATCAAAACAATCGCCGGCTTGCTTTTCCTTGGCTCCGCCAACGCTGCCATTCAGGTGTCCCTGACCAGTACCAGCGGAGTCACTATTCCGTACAACGTGGATCCTGATGGAAGTTGCTGTAAGTAGATCGAACCCCTATTCCACCCTCCCCTAATCCCAAACGCCCTCCAAGAGAGAGAAGGTAGCTGAAGAAGTCCGTCCAACAGTTTCCCTGAACGGCGGTACCCTCGCGCAGTTCAACGACAATCTCCAACAAATGCAAATTCCAAGTGGCTATGAATGCGCAGTCTGGGAGTAAGTCCGCCCTCCCACCAGCCCAGTGTGATATGTCGGAATCCACATTAGTGCTAACAAAACTCCTATTAGGAACTTCAATTGCAATGGTAAACACACCAACGCTGTCCTCGGATCTCCGCGTATTGCCGAAGTCTGCCAATCAGTGTCCTGGAACTGGGCCAAGGCGGCGTCGTCATTTAAATGCTGTAAAGTTACCTCTTCTGGAAGTTGGTGCGCAGGGTCGATTCCAACCTGTACCTGAGGCATGTTATAGCACGGAAGAATTGGTTCAAGGGATTCTAGTAGTGACAATCAGGCCGCGAGTTTATGGACCAGTTCAGTGCGTCAAGCTCTTCAACACGGTGGGAACTCTCTCAACAGTTTTCCATGCTATTACCCTTCAAGCATTAACCAAATCTTTCACTTTTGACTCCTGTGAATGTATCTCACTCGTCCTGGATATAATCTAGTTTGTGCGTATATAAGTGGAATAGATGTTATCTTCGAGTGAGGATTTCAAACCCTTTTATACAAAAGAAACGCCCGAATACCGCATTGCCGCCCAATCATTGTCCAGGTTCTTAAAGTCAGCACTGCCAGCATTCTCCCGGTTTTTAGTGGAGATGCAGCCAGCCGCGGACAACTGTTGGCCGCCTTATCCGGGAATTTATTATAGCCGCGCCATGAGGGCAGCCTAATAACGCAAATGGCAACAAGGCCACGACAGGCTTTACCAGGTGAGGCTCGAAGTTCACCGTTCAGGTAGTTTGGAACAATCTCAGGGATCAATCAAGATGTATTTAGAAAGTAGTTGTATCCTGCATATCGTTCGCGAAGTTGAGACACTGGATTGAGGTACAAGTGTGATGATCATCTAACTATGGGAGTAGGTGCAGCTATTGTAGTCACAGTAGCTGCCTTCTGCCTAGAGTGGTGGTGGCAGCCTAATAGGCTGCCACTGCTACATCTATACATCACCTAATCTGGGATCCTAACTCGCGAGGGGTCAGAGTAAATGATGTCACACGCACACCCTGTACCACTTGGGGTCATGAATACGTCTTCAAGCCAGACAGTGGTGACAAGAACAAGGACCATAAAGGTGACGGTGATAAGGACGATGACGAAGACAGTAGAGATGGTCCTGAGCAGAAAATCGATGTTGATGATGGCCTCTTGGACACTAGAGGTGCAGTTCCTCTCGAGTCGTAAAGTTGCAGAATGCGGAGATTTACACGAGATCCTACACAATGGTGCTCCGAGCCTTCGATATAAGCCGGCATACCGCGTGGACTGGCAAACTTTACAATAATGCCCAAGGTTTTGAGATTGGCACATTCAATCACGTTTTGCTCTCGACCCTCATGAGGAAGCAATCAGCTAAGTGCCCCAACCTTTCCCAGGGGTATGTCAGCGATATTATCTCCTACGTCCACAGATTCATACAGAAGACACTTCTGGCTGCATGTCCCGACAGCGAAATGTCTTCTAGCATACTGTCCCTACTGATGGATGAGCTGATGGAGAATTACCGACGGGCAATCTCTGTGGCTGATTCTTTTGGACATTGAACGGGCAGGCACCCCGATGACATTGAACCATTACTTGAACGACAATCTTCAAAAATGGTAAGCCACTGTCAGCATTAGTGAGGCCAGTGATTCTAACCTTGATTCACAGCCGTGAAAAGCGATTCCAAGATGCCCTGGCCAAGAAAAAGAAAGCCTTCACAGTTCACTTTACGCAGGGTGATGAAAAAGTCGTTCGACTTGGTGATGTCCATCATCAGGATCATATGAGCAACTTTGATCACACTGTTCAAGACATTCATGATATCTTGGAGTCTTACTTCAAGGTCGCCCGCAAGCGGTTCGTCGATAATGTCTGCGTGCATGCCACAGATCACTACTTGCTCACAGACACTGAGTCACCCATGGAGTTCTTCTCCCCTTGGGTGAATAGTCTATCCAAAATCAGCTTGTAGAAATAGCTGGCGAGGATGCACTGACTAAGCGCAGACGTCAGCAGCTGCGGAAGGAGATCAGAGACTTGGAGGATGGGAGGAAGGTCCGGTTGTCTTCGTGAGGTCGGAATATAGTCGTAAATCAATGTAGTAAGCAATCTATCTGACATTTTGATGAAACGCAATCGGACCCATAGGCCAAAATTGCTCCACAGGCAACATTCTCAGACTATATTTTCCGTTTACTGTAGCGTACACGCATCCGTATTCCCTTTATGGTTGCGCCACAGTCGCAGGAGCATATGAAGTAAATGGGCAAGTCAAGGAGGTCGTGGAGATGCTGGAGCACGTGGTCGCAGTACAAAAAACAACACTGGCCGGAGAACCCTGAACGACTGGTCTCTCAGCATGCCCTCTGCGGATATACCAGCTGAGTTTCTAAGGTTCATAAAGTTGGCTCCAACCTATTCTGGCCATCACATTTATCTGAAATCTCCCTTTTCAACATCAATCTCATCACTAGTTTCTTCCTTCCCACCTTCCTCATTGAGCATATGATTAGAGGACAATAAACCAAAGAAGGAGGTTTGGTACTTACCGCTAGGTCCTTTCGTTTGCAAGCCCACAGAGAGCGAAGGCGTCAAACATCACTGTTGTCACGTGTGGGTCAGCACAAGAGCTACATATATGCCGGCAGTCGATGGACGGTGTATTCCGGTGTGTGTAGTGCCGAAGGGTACGGATAATTGATTTCGAATACTGCTGTACCAAGAGCTTAAAGAAAACCTTAACAGGACTGTGGAGAGCCATATTCAGATGATAAGACGAAGATCGATTACGGTCACGTGATGGGTACTGGTTGGTTCTTGTAACCCCCATCCCGGTGACCTGAAATGCCCTGTGTGATGAAACGCCCACGAAGTACCTACACATTCGAGCACCATCATTTCCAATGCAAATGTTAGACGTTGTATAGGAGCACCAGAAACAAGAATCTTTCAATCTCTAACCTCTTGATCTTACTAGTATTAATCACCTTGGCTCAGTCCTTTTTGAGCCAGGAAATGACAGTATAACGAAGCGCAAGCGACGGACCGACAGGCGTTGGAAGCACAAGAGAAGGTGGATGTCCTCATTAGCGTCAGAGACCTCAGGGAATCGCTTTAAGGGCACGATAAGGATGAAGAAGCGATGAATATGTTGGCAATAGAAGGATATGTCGAGGTGTTTGGACTAATATCCCCGAATAGTGACTTTGCACTCAGTATTCTCTAGGCTTCCTGATCAACACGGGGAACGCGAAGAGGCTCCGCAATTTCGAACCTGTATCTATGGCGTTTAGTGTAAAGGCATCATACATAGAGATACATCATCTAAACCATAGTACATATGTTTCTTGAAACGCTGTATACCCTCGTAGTTTGCTGCTGCCCGTAGTACTTCTATTCTAATCATGTCCCATTTCAAACAGGCCGTCTCCTATCTGCAGATAGGGTTAAGGGGCGGTTGTTCTGTTCAGCGGTGCTAGTATTTTCCATACATCAAGTTACTTTTTGTTTTCTGTATCTTCTTGATGCGAAGAATTCCGCCAAAATTGGAACATAGGCAAAAGTATCTCGAGAAGATCAAAAATAGATATAGATAGTCAAGTAGCTGTGGTCATACAACAGTATCCTTCCTATTTACTTCAGACTTATTTGCGGTCGATCGCGACTGCATTTTATTCAAACCTCACATTTCCTAATAGTCCTTGTTGTCCTGCAATCCGCTGCTCAAATATTTTTCGATCTCTGTTTAGAAAGAGCTATCGAATAGACAACCAAACTATCATTGTTTTTGCTGCTTTCAGGCAATATTCACCTTGTGGATGAGGAGTGATGGCGCTCGATCGTGCAGGTACCTAGTGGACATTTCATCATGTAGGGCTTTTAATGTCACCGGAATGGGGGTGTTAGTATGCTTTCCAAGGCTCGAATTCGGACCTTTGCAGGTTCGAGATCAGAGAGGGTGCCATTCCGAGCGTGAAGAATAGATCAAACGTGCAGTTTGCCACCCCACAATCTCCGACTTCGGGGTCTAACTCAATCCCCAGATCGCCTCTTGATGGTGCATGAGATATTATTCTATCTGGAAGCTGTCTTCTGGTACATTTTTTAACCAACCAGCAAGGGCAACCTTTGCCCTTGAAGATAACGCATGGCGGTAGCGAATAGCCATGTGCGCAGATTGTTTCGATTGAGGTAACCAATTCACGATTTGCTGACCATGAGATAGGCCGCTGAGCGTAATATTCAGCTCGCCTAACTACCTTCTGCGTAGAGAGAAGGACGATCGCAAATCCTGTCTCATCAGAATGTAGGTATCCTTTGGTTGGATACCGTTCTCATCGATTGTACGCTGAACGATAGTAAACCAGTGCCGCAGCGACCGAGGATATTCTTTTAGGGCGCGTTGATAATCATACCGAATTGAGTATCGTATACGAGTTCTTCACGACGGTCAATAAAGGTAGTTGGCCAGGATTTGCCGGTGGTACCCAGTGAGTTATCTCCACGCGAAGCTGATAGTTAAGTTGCCATCTCTCGCATAGTAGATAGACTGGGGGCTTCTCCACGCGTATTATAGAAACAATTCGTTCAGTTAGCGAATAACCTTCCATCCGGGTTAATTAATGACCAGATGGGCATCTATCGAAGCGTTAGACTCGGCCATCGTCGCGCACTTGCAGTGTAGAGAAGGGTATTTCGTATAGCTTCGCTACCACGCGAAGAGATTGCCACGGTCAATTTGAAGACCTCTATGGGCTAATAAGATTTTGTCCTCTCGTCGGGCTGGAATCACGTTAAGTTAATATAATCTCGTGACACGATATTACTTTCCTGTTTCCGCTGTCTCCCAATTCAAATCATTCACTCAGTATCATCCTGTCCCCGCTTTCATATAATCTCCCCTTCCGGTCATTAGGAAGCTCCTCTCCAGGCCGTGGCTTCTCATCCTGGCTATTCTCGTACAGAAACAGTAATGGCATCGCATCATTCTTCCATGTAGGAACCTCAGCCCTGTAGGTTTTCCAAATGGTACCGGCTAACGTTATTAAGCCCAAAAGCCATATTATAACTGGGAGAGCTATCCACTGCCAGTGTACAGACACGTACGTCGTACTGATCATGGCCAGGCCAACCGCAGAGCTTTTTCCATCTGTGTTGTCTCGAAATGTTTTTGTCATTCCCGCAGCCATATTCTCTGCTGCACAGCGAAGCTTTTCCCAGCCTTTCACCGTTGTTGGACAAGCGGTAATGTTAAAGTATGAGATAGCCTGAATGAGGTCTGTTGAGGCGTATTGAGAATTGTCCACACCAACAAATATAAATCCTTTTCGGGGATAATTCTGTACATAGCCGCTGAAAAATTGCCTGGCGAAGGTTTTCATCATGACTAGCGAGTCTTCGCTGATCGAAAAGTTTTTGTTCGGCGCCATGCCCATATCAAGACCCCAATGAGGGCGAAGGACGTATGACGTAGCATCATCGCCATCCAATGATCGGTTGCTCCAGGTGCCGAGTGTTTCTTCGCGATAGACCCCTCTAGAGACAGTTGGGCGAAAGCTGTGGACAGTTGGAACGAGAGCACATTGCATTGCGCGCCAGTGAGTCTGCATGGTGGGGCTCCCATTTAGCATATCTTCGGTTGTAAGAAGTTGAATACCAAGAAGGGTATCATTGGATGACCCGGTAGCGGCCGCAACGGCATAACCATAATCAGGAACAAAGCTCGCGGTAAGACTCGTCCCGAGAATAGAATATGTGCAGTTATTCTTGCCGATGAAAACACTGTAGGGATCCTCGTTAGGATCGTCCTTCGTGATATTACTGCATGAGAGTTTCAATTGGTCGGTTATATTGGAACATCTCGCGCGCACTTCGAGTGCAGCGATTGGGTCCCAGGTGCAGTTTCCAGTTGAGCAAGACCATTTTGGAGTGGCCCACGGCCGGGAAGAGTCATTGTCAAATAATGAACTATATATGCTGGATTTCAATCCGGGTTCCATATAGCCATCTATGAGGTATCCCATTAGCGACATCCACTTCGGAAGATCGAATTCACCCTACCTCCCCCGGTAATCCACTCTAACCCCACAGTCGAATACTCGGAGCCGTTTGAGACAAGGGCGATTTGGGACGAATCAGCGACGAGCTTAGGATAGTAATGGATCAGGTTCTGGGTGAAGGGGTCAAAGGCGAGAGCAAGGATAACTGCTAGACTACCTGGAACTGCGAAGTGCCTACATTATAAGGATTTAAATTATAAACCGGTTGGGAGAAAGACAGTTAACTAACCTTGCTCGAAGATTCCATATTAATCCCGCGCTTCCGGTCAATCCACGGCTGGCAGCATCGAAAGCGCGAAGGTCAGACAGCTGGCGTCTCTTTTGCGCGAACCAGACCCATTTCAATTGTCCTAGGCCCTCGCTGATGGAGAAAAGAACACAGCCCTTAGCGATGGTGCTCAGCCACGATATCACCGTGTTCAGCGACAGATTGTTCCAGGTCGGCTGCGGATGATGATTGTAACATCTTAGGACCACCACGATTCCGATCAAACTCGCCGAGGACAGAATCATAGCCAGGATCTCCCAAATAAAAAGGGTGGAGAGTAGTTTCGAAATTGACTCTTCTGCTTTTTTCCGCTTGTTATACTTTTGAGAAGTCGAGTTGGACCCAACAAGGGGTTCCTGCGTTGGTTCGGGATGCTGCTCGACTGAGTCGGCCAGGGATGACTGTGCATGTTCACCGACATTCTTACTCGTAGGTTGGTTTTTCAAGTCGTTGGAGTGCAGAGTCGTGGGCGACATTCTCCGTCACTTTTGAGTTGATTCGCTCGGGTTCATTTGTTTAGAATCATCGCCCACCGGGGGAAGGGGGGTAAATAAGAGCTCTGGGCCATTGACGTTGCGGCTCTTGTCGGCTCCGGAGGTCACCGTGGGGCGTTGGGGGCGGTTGGGGGCCATATGCAGGGTATCTGGCCATGGCCAATACCGCCAGAGGACTGAGTGCGACTGCGCGAGCGAACTTGCCCCATTGCAGAAGGTGCCTCAATCGCCTGGGCATGACTCTCTGGGCCCTAGATTCCTCTCCACTCGTCATCGTGTCAATACCTTTCGTTCATATCCGCCAAGTAATTGTAATTTGGTAAGTCTGTTGGACATGCAAGAGAGAGAGAGCAAAAGATTTCTGTACGATGAGTTAACGGCCCGCCCCTTCAGCGGGAGGAAAGTCCATAGACTTTTATGTCTTTAACATGCCACGAAAGATTACTTTCTGCGCAAAAAGCTCCATTTATCTTGATTCAATTAATACGAATCCCCAGTGAACTGCTGGGACAGGTCATTCTGAAGATAGAGTGGTCAATTATCGGGACACTGCTACCTTCGACTTTTCCATGAAAGAGAGTCGAAGCGAACGCGGCTCCTTCAGAATGAGGATTCCACGGATCTTCGGCGCGATCTCAGGATCCAGAATAGCACTTGTGGGTCTCGGCGGTGTTAGGTCAGGGCAACTACGCCAAAGGACGGTTGCTTCAAGGCTATGAAGATCGCATGGAAAGAAAACGGCTGTTGGGCCACGAGAGGCCTCGGAGAGGCATTTAATTTGCTTAGGAAGTGGTATACGGCAGATATACGCATAAAGATATACATAGTCGCCGAAATCTGCATATCGTTCGCGAGGGGTCGAGGTAAATGAAATCATCATCATCATCATCTACTATCCCCTTCACCGTCGCGGGAGGGACAATTAGCGCGGTTTACTAGTGTGTTGTATTAACACGTTATAATTGGCTAACTATCGTAACATACCGGTAATCAGAATTTAGTGTATTAATATAACCTAATTAGGCACTACATGGAATTCATCCCAACAAGGCCCTTTCAAACATAGAGCTATATTACCATAATCTAGGCAACTAGATCTTGTTCGGTTAGCGCGTTCGCCCCTTTTACCCTTCTGTCTCTTATATTAACACTAAATATAAGTCTTTCGTGTATCGAAGTGAATTCGCTGGTGGTTTTGCTAGTGGTTTTACTAGTGGTTTTGCTATTTTGGTATTAGTCTTAGTAGTAGAGTAAAGGTAAAGAGCTCTTAGTAGAGCTTCTGGCGGAAACCTAAGTGGGTAGGTAACCTACTACCTTGTTACTTCTTATAGAGATATTAAAGACGCCACGTATTAATAATAGCAGCGTTAATAAAGAAGAACAGAAGAGGTAACTAATTACGCTCGCTTCGTTAATAGGTCTTATAGGTAGCTCGGTACTAATTTATAATATCTATACTACCTATATAGTGATTATAGTCGTTAATAGTAGTAGGAATCTCGAGTTTCTTTATAACCTTATCACTAAAAGGAAGACGCGTACCTATTACATTAGTAGAGGTTATTAATAGCCGCTTCCGCTTAGTAGGGATAAATAGCTCTAGCGAATAGATAGTAGATAGTAGTAATACTATATTATTATCCTACTGTCGTACTCTAGGCGGTGACCATAAAGTCGTGGTTATACACACAAGACGATAGTGTGCATAAGGGTAAATACTCAACGTAGTGTCTGAATACACGGTTATGAGTCTATCGGTCGTGCGCACTTCTATGAAGGAGGAGAAGTACCACGATTGTGGAAGAGTACCACCGATCTAGAAGAGAGATCACAAAGGATGATAAACTTGATTCAATTTAGCTAGGAAACATAGCAGTATTTATATCTTAGTAACATGGTAAAAGATCACATAAGAAAGGATAGAGTATTGGAGTGTTAGATAGTCTCCTGCCTAGATAGGCAATTCAATGCGAGTATGCAATTCAATGCAAGATCGTTGAGGATCAATTCGATAGATCTTATAGAGAAGATCTAGATGAGAGAGGGGTTATATGAGTGGGTCCTTCGTCATGTGACCCCACAACATCCACATGTTGACACCTACTATATAAGATAGAGAACCCCCTAAGCTTTTGTCAACATGTGGATGTTGTGGGGTCACATGACGAAGGACCCACTCATATAACCCCTCTCTACATATAGATCTTCTTCTATAAAGATCTAACAGATTGATCCTCAACGATCTCGCATATGATTGCCTACCTAAGCAAGAGACTCTCAACACTCTGATTCTGTTGATTTATCATGTGATCTTTTGCTATGTTTCTTGTGATATAAATACTGCTATGTTACCTAGTTAAATTGAATCAAGTTTATCATCCTTTGTGATCTCTCTTCTAGATCAGTGGTACTCTTCCACAATCGTGGTACTTCTCCTTCTTAGAAGTGCGCACGACCGATAGACTCATAACCGTGTATTTAGACACCACGTTGAGTATTTACCAATCCTTATACACACTATCGTCTTGTGTGTATAATCACGACTTTATGGTCACCGCCTAGAGTCCGACAGCTTTAGATCTATATAAAGTACTATCTGTTAAGATAACTACTTACAGGGTAGAAAACCTGTTGATCAGGTAAGGTTAGAAGTACCTAGTGAAATTCGTGGCAAGACTGTTTCTTGAGGAGTCTGAACCTACTCCTTAAGGTCCCAAATTTATATACAGTCTCTTATATAAAATAGGGAACTAGAGAGGGGTAACCACGGTATAAGCGTGTATAAGCTAAAAGGTTATGTAACTAGCCAACGTGGCCTACCGATAGGGTAGCCCTTTAGATACGCCACTAAGGAGCTATCGACTAACCGCCGGGTCGGTACCCTCTTAGTAGAACGCCCGGGCCTCGTGCGGCCTGGGGCATCAGTCTGCGAATAACCTTAATATCAGGATATCATAACAACAATAGCCATTTATGAAGTTAGATATATAACGAGTACAAAATATTCAGCGCCGTAGGATTATAACTGGACATACTTTCGAGGACTCCGACTCCTATTAACAACATCCTTACCTCCCCTTTTTTTATAACTACAAATCCTTAACTAGTTTACTAGCGACTTTTATTTTATCTAAAAAGGATATACTAAAAACATACAACAGCCAGGATTCGCATGTGGTCACCCACCATACTACTAACTGGCCGGCGTGTGGCTTAAGTACGGCTGAGCGGACGGGAAGCCCTGTTCTCCACACCCTATGGTCGTATGTACCAGAGCTACTATCAAAGGACCCTATATGGTTTAACAGTCTTCAATAATCTAGTGGACTCGCCATTTCTACATGCCGTAACGGCTCTATATCCCAGGGCCGATCTGTGTTGAATATTCTACACAAGTGATCTTCTGTAGAGAATTCGGGATGGTTGAATTGTGGGCTAAGAAATTCATTGAGTTAGATTCGAGGCATTTTCAACACGCTCAACAGGGCATGGAACTTCTCGCTTCCACAGTCCAACTCAAGAATGAGTGATTCTGCTTGCGGCGCAAGGTCTCCTCAGACCTCCTCCGTATACTGGAAGCTATGAGTTGATTCTAAACAGAGAATTACACTCTCCTTAATTCTCCCATCGTCAGTCTTTTGCTGCAAGACGTTCCGAACAACTTTGCTATCCGGGTCAACTTGAACGTTGTGTACGATAAAAAACGAAAACTTCCCCTCGGTAGTGTCGTCGCATACACCCTTCTGCTGGGCGTATACATCGCTACGGAGATTCTTGTAATCATCGCGAATTTGATATAGCTTTGCGAGAATCTCGACTAGCTGTATATTGTCTCTACAGGATGTAAGTAGAGCCACTTCTGAGACCTCAGATGAATTTACCTTGAGCATGTACTTTCTAGCTGCATCAACCGGATCGTGATCCGGAACAGCCCACCTGTTTTATTACTGATCATCTTCAAATATTCTGGCATAGTGGGACACGTAGAAGAATCTCGCCAGGAGAGATCCATTCCCTGTAGAATTGAACCGTCCTGAATGTCATCGATACTAGGCAATTTGTGAGATAGGAAGGGCATGAAGTGTGGATGGGGTGAAGACCGTACGGGAGGGCTGCTATATGAAGAGTGTTCACGACATTTTTGATGATACTCAGTTGAGGCTCAGGGACTTCGAGCTATTCATTGAAGGCATTCATCAAGGGGCTACGAATGTTCTTTCCCGGATTTGAAGAAAGATATTCGAATGGCTCTGTCACAATCTATAGCGAAGTTTTCAGACGTTTCGACTTCCAGAACAAACAATAGGTGAAGTTATTGCATACCTGATGACTTCTGGCATGCCAGGTTTCTCGAGAGAAACTTTTAGTGCAGGATTCTGGAACATAATCCTAAAGGAATTGTTTTATAATTGTTCTTTTAAGAATAAGTTAAGGTTGTTCTCATCCCATACTAGCACTGAGCCTGAGGAATTCGCACACGTGGCCTCCCGAGTCTCAAATATTACAGCCTTTGCAGGTTCTGATTTTGGGCGTAAGATTCCCGTTAAGAGGGCCCTTAATTTCATGTTGGGATATAACTGTGCTCGCAGGATAATGAATGTCTAAAAGCGACCTTTTGTATTGGCCTGAAGGCTTCTGACAAATCTTTTTGTTGGTTGTCAAGTTCAGCAGTAATTGATAACTAATACTTTTCGAGAAGCTAACTCTATCATCCTGGGTGGGAGTGGGTTGTTTAGTTAAGGACATATAGAGCACGCCCGCAGGCATCACAAGGGCTTTCGTAAGCGGCTTGTCGAACTGAAATCTTATTGGGACATCCTACCACGTAGCCGAGTGCTTCGTTAAACAAAAACTGGCAAGTTTTTTTCTGGTATTCGGTCGATAGGTATAAACCTTGTATCGAACGACCTTTTAGCATCATTACACACGAGTGTGCTTTTTAGCGATGGGGGATGTGCGACCAAGGGGAGATGGGTCGCTCTTCAAGTGCCATTATGTTGCATCGTTGGAGGAGATCTTGGGCGCCAACTTTGGGGGCGATTGTGGCGATTTCAATGGAGCATGCAAGGCGGCTTACATGATATTCGATTGTAGAGTCTCCAGGTTGTATGAGGCTTTTGAGGATATCAAAGAAGCCGATCGTTATTCCTACTTCTCTGCGTTTTACGCGTTTTATGGCTGGAGTGTGACAATGTGTCATAGAATGCTGTAGCGACATGCAACAGTAGCTAATTGAACTGATGAAAGTCCTCTTGATTTGTTACAGCAAAAATATTCTTCAGATAACCATGGTGAAATTTAACTCTATTAACCGTAAATTACAAGATATAGATAAAAAAGGGACGCGGAAATAAAATACAAAGGAATGAGGAGCCCAGGTAATAATCAGACAAAAGCCCGAGCAGAAAGAAAAGGAAAAAAAAGAAAGCGAATGAAAAGCGAATGGGCACCACAGGCCTCTCCCTCGTGGTATCAGATGTCAATCGATTGGTGAAGCTGTTCTCGAAGAGCAGCAATTTCAAGTAGCACCAGAAGCTCGTTTGCCCTTGGGTACGCGCGCAAGCCAGTAAATGAATACAGCGCCCGCGATATTGAAGGCGATGTACACCCACATCAGACCGAAATTTCGCCATGCATCATCGAAATTACTCCCAATGGCTGCGAGAAATGTATCGGTCTTGCTAACCGAGCAGAAGGAGCAGTCAGACGTTGCGTCCGGGTTTTCAACGTATCCAGAGTGCACCATGTCGATGTAGGGGGTCAAATATTCGCCGCAGGTCTGGTTAAACGGCGGATTGAATGTCAGATACTCGACTTTCTCGCAAATAGCATCTGCACCTGACAATCCTGTCGATAACATGGCAGAGACTAAATAGGTGAATGGAGACACGCGGTACATGAAAACCCAGAATCCTGGAAGAGCGTCCTTTGTCGCAAGAACACCGCAAAAGATCAGACACAGCGAGAACAACATCGTCGCGACATTTCCGCCAGTTTCGGCCAGTTCAATACCAGCGATCACCATGTGTGCAAAGGTCGACGTGAACAGGAGGAATGTGAGGATCAGTAAGAACATAAGACCACCCCTTTCAGTCACCGAATTTGCTTGTGAGGCATTGTTGTATAGGCCGATCGGATAGTACCAGCAGAAGTAGATCAAAACCGCCATCAAGGCATTCCAAGGTAACTCAACAATGATGTTGGCGGCCATGAATGCCTTCCAGGAGTATGATTTTGATGGTCTTTCTCGAACCTCATAAAGAGACCGCTGTGTGACAAAATTGGGCATAATCTGTTGAACGAGATTTCCAAAAATCGTCATCAACATGAAAACACTAAACATCTGGTTTTGTAGCCCTTGGATGGAGTTGCTGGCTTGGAAGAACGAGAAACCAATGTAGAGCGAGGTTAGGACGCAGAGAGCCGCCTTTGACCAAATATATATCGGAGTTCGGAAGTATTGGGCAAAGACGCGAACAAGGCACTCGTAAAGTTGAACATAGAATGGTGCTGCAAACTCTGTATAGGCTTCTGGCCCGGCTTCCTCGCGAGGCTGAACTGAGAGCGTCTCTCTGAGTTGTGAGAGGTGCTCCTTTACTTTGATGTGTTCGGCGCTCTCTCGCCAGACCTTCGGCCAATCAATATCACTATGAGAGCCGGGCGCTGCCCCAATCACGTCCAGCATCCACTCGGCAGGATTCTCTCCAGGCTCTAGAGGTGCTGCTCCATTGCACTCGAAGTAACGCGATAAAATTTGGGAATTTTGGCCGATTTCACCAAAGTAAATTGTCTTCCCACCCTTCGCTAAGAAGAGCAATCGGTCGAAGCGTTGGAATAACATGGCCGATGGTTGATGGATAGTGCAAAGAATGGCTTGGCCGTGTTTGGTCAAAGTATCAACGAGGTCCAAGATCGACCATGATGTCTGACTATCCAAGCCACTTGTTGGCTCATCCAGGAAAAGCAAGAGCTGGGGTTTAGCGGCAAGTTCAACGCCAATCGTTAAGCGTTTGCGTTGTTCCACATTCAATCCCTCGCCCGGAACACCAACAACAGCGTCCGCATAAGCCTCCATCCCTAACAGCTTGATCACTTCATCCACATAAGCGACTTTGTCCTTATGACTAACCGATGCTGGTTGCCGTAAGATCGCACTGAATTCCAAGGCCTCTCTAACCGTTGAGGTAGGCAGATGGAGATCTTGTTGCTGCACATAGCCTGTTTTTCGCTGGAATGATTGATCGCGAGGCTGCCCGTCAACAAGCATCTGGCCAGTGACGACTCCCATGGTCACTCTTGTCGCAAGTACGTCGAGCAAAGTTGTTTTTCCAGCGCCAGAGACACCCATCAAAGCAGTACACGTTCCAGGCTTCACCCAGCCGTCCACATGATCCAAGATTCGCCGTGGTTCGCCTTTGATTTTGATGTCGTAACAAACATCTTGCCATTGGAAAATGGCCGTCTGGCGCTGGATTAATGTGGCTTGGGGGCTCGACTCAGTAGTTTTCTCACTGTTGTTTGGTAAGGATGCTGCCTCAAGATCGGAGTTGGATATGGGTTGTGTTGGTTGCTGGCCACGCTGGAAGAGAAGAACTTCGCCTTTGGACTTCTGTTCAGAAATGTACTCCGTTGTAAGGAGATGACATAAAGCAAAGAACACCATGAAACCGATCAAAATCCCTATATTTCTCCAGAGGTGTGACTTCACATATTCGAAACTTAGCTCCAGGTACAGTGACCCCGACACAAGCGTCGACCCTGATTCCGCTCCGACGGTAGAGCAAATGCGATTTTCCATTGAAATACCATCGTACTGTCCACCAGATGGAATAACGTCGGCACATGGGAATGTTCGGTCATGGAACTCATTGACCATGAAGCTTTCGAATGAATAGGCGATGGGGTTGATATAATTCATCCAACGTGACCAGCCCAGCATATTACGAGTAGGAATCGTGAAGCCAGTATAGATAACCATCCCGAGAATCAAAATCGCCGCGGGGACGAGTGCTTGTGATAAGGATCGGGAGGTCGACGCGATTGTGCGGAATACCATCGACATTGTGAATGTCGTAACCACGGAGAAGATCCAGAACGTGAAAAAAGCACCAGGCTCTCGACGCAAGCCAGTCATGAAGTACAAGGGTATATTGAAAGTGACGGAGTTGATCAGCTTATATGGTACGTCGCATATCATCGATGCCACTGCCTCTGCAAAGGGATGGTAAAAGGCGTATCTCGATTGTTTCTCCACGATTGGTCGTTGAGCATATAGAGTCAGAATCTCGAGCGCACTAGAGAATGCATTCAAGAGAACGGCAAAGAAAAGAAGTGCGCCCCGTGCATAGAAACTGGCAGTTGTTTCGGGAAGGTTGAAGAAAACGGAACCGATAATGAGCGCCATGATAAAGTTGCCAACAAGTGCCGTCATAGTGAGACTGAAGTCACCTCGTAAGCGCTGGAATCCGCGCACAATGCAGATTTTGATTTGGTTTAGCATTGAAATAGTGTAAGGTGATCCCGGGCGCTGATGCTTTGCTTGCATTACCCGACGAGCATTGAGAAAGGCATCATATGCTGGCCCTCCGATGGGATATGCCTGCTCGTATTCTTCGATATCCTTCAGCAGCTTGGCTCGGTCGCTGCTGTTCTTCCAGGCTGTCGCAAATTCATCCGGTGTACGAGGCACACGGCCGTCGAATCCTGGACGGATCTTCCTTTCCGCTGGACTGGTGATGGACGTCAGGAAATCTGCAGTGGTTTGACGGCTAGGGCAATCAAATCCCATATCCACAAAATATCGCTTTGCTTCATTCGTCGGACCAAAGTAAATCTGTCGTCCTTCATAGAGCAGAGTGACTTTATCGAACACATCATAGGCGCTCTGAGAGGCTTGGTAAATCGCCACACAGGCAGCTGTGCCGGAATATTTGCTCATAAGCGCCAAATTCTTGCAAAACTCCAAGGCATTTGCACTATCAAGGCCTCGAGTACTGTTGTCCCAACATTGCAACGGGCTTTGGCTCAAGGTGACCTCGGCGATACTGACGCGCTTTCGCTCACCCCCACTTACACCACGAATAAAATCGTTTCCGACGCGGGTATTAATCGTATGTGACAGACCAAGCATTTCCATGACCACATCTCTCATATGCTCCGCGTATTGGTTGGTGGTGATTCCCTCGAAGCGGTTGCGGGGAGCTCGGGCAAGGGCGGCAAACAACAGTGTATCTCCAACAGAAAGCTGGGGGAAGTGGACTTCGGTTTCAGCGGAGTAAATAGCTTCGCCCTTGAAGTTTTTGCGCATTTTCTGTACCGAGATTCCTATCCAGTCCGATTTGTTAGCAGACCAGTTGACATGGTGTTTTCTAGGTTGGCATGTATGTACCTTGATAGTTTAGCACCGAGTCCTCGGACATCGAGATGCCATTCATCTCGCCCGCGATTGTTTTCAAAAGGGTAGAGCATCCTGATCCGGGCTTTCCCAACACAATAAGCATTTCTCCGCTTTTAACCAAACCATCGAAGTTGCGAAGAATATCAATCCTTGGCATCTTGATACCGGCCAGTCGTCGAATGATCGTTCCAGCCTCAAGCAGGCAATTCAGGACATCCTTTTGATAATCAGTCGGAGACCCGAATCCATGGACACTGAGGTTTCTGAATGCTACACCCGCTTTTCGGTCTGGGTATCTATCAGGATCACGAGATCTGATAGCCAAGAGCATCTTCATCCAGCTGCGAACATTGAAGTTGGGGCTGTGCGGATTGACAGTTGAATCAGACACATCGGTCGTGAAGGGATTCTCAAGGCCGCTGCTGACAGAGTATCGAGTCGAATGTCGGGTGAGCCGGCGAGCGAGGGCACCAATTCTAGATTCCATCTTTTCTTCCTCGTCTTCGTGGAGGGTCACGCCATCTTCACTTCTTTCCGACCTATTGCTCTGCGTTGGTGGAGCCACTGAGACTTCATCAATCTCCTGTAATTGCGGTATATTGTGACTGACCACGGACTGGGACCGGGTCGGGTTAGGGTTGATTGTCCCCAAAAGAGACATGCTGTAAAAGAGAACACGCCTTGACTCAAGAGGTTCCGAGTAGAATCAGAGCTTGATAGGTAGAAGGGAGGATGGTAGAATCGGCTTTGAATATAGAAGTTCGGGTCAAGGTGTAGGATCGATATAAAAACAATTCAATTCCTTAAGAGGCATCGGCTCAGGGAAATATCCGTCGGTCCACATACTTCCAAGAACCCCTTATTCGGGATGACGGATGTGGCCAAGAATTCATGATGTATAAAAGCCTGCTTTACGAAAAAGATATGGGTGTTTCAGCAACATGAAGAACTTCCGGCGGACCGGCTAGTTAGGGAGTTTCGTTGAGATAGCAGTAGTCGAGCAGTATCGGGTGGCACCTCCGAGTTCCGTGGCCCTGCTGGAGATCTCCACCCAAAGCAGAGATCAATACGATCAAGACATGATCCACTCCACTACTCCAGTTGTGAAATCAGTACAGGTTCTTTGTGCACATACATAAGCACTAGACTAACCTCCCCAGAATGGCTCTAGTCCATTACTATACCGTACATCCACTTAAGCGTAAGTTACCGCCAAGCCTTCATATATTACGGTTTCGGTACCCGAGATTCCGTGGCCGAAGAGAACCTCCGGCATCCGAAGGACCAAAAAGACCAGCAGGAATTGGCCCACCTGCAGCTTTCTCACTCCGTGAAGATGTGGAAATACATCACCCTATTTCACGTGAATTACCACAATTCATTCATTCCTTTGCGCTCCATTGATAATTCTCCTTGTCTATTATAGTCTCATCATCCGCGTGCGTTAACTACTCACCTAAATTCAGCCCGACCAGAGCCGTACATCACGGGTAGGTGCTTAAAGCCCGCCACTAAATAGACCCTGAGGAGCGATGCCTGCCCATAACGATGCGGGGTCCGCAGAGACCACAACACAAAATCAACAACAACAGCCACGTCCTCACTCCAGTCTATCAAGTAGCGAAAAAGCAGTGCCTTCGCCCCGGAATCGCGTGGGAAAGCCCGGGTGGGCTAGCAAAGTGGGTATGCTGACCCCGGACCCATCACATCCACTTACTTTATTAGGCCTGCAAGGAATGTCACCGGCGAAAGATAAAATGTAATATGACGACGAAAAGCAAGTGCACATCATGCACAAAGCTCAATGTCCCATGCTCAGTGAATGAATACAGGCGTCGTCGTAATAATGAGAGGTAAGATGCAGCCTCATTCCAGCCCCCCATCACACTTTGCTGAGGTGACCAGGCGGAGCAAGATTGCTCAGCTGGAATCACAAATTGAGCGAATGGAACAAGTTTTCGAAGAGCTGGGTCTAGTTCCCCCGAGCGATGATCTGTCGCTCCATGCCACACCATATGCCCAATCTAATGGGCCCGAAGCCATATCTGCGTTCCAGGCGCAGGACACCAGTACTTCTACGCGGGTTGGCATAAACGAGTCAGATCTCGAGAAATCAAATTTGGGACTAGGAGGCACTCTTATCTCCCGTGATGAATTTGCGGTCTCGAATCCGGTCTCGCCTACATCCATAGGCGAGAACAATTCATTTTTGAAGAACTTGGTATTTCCACGCTGCACGGAGTTTGGTGGGAACGATAGCAGGAGCGTTTCTCCAGACTCCTGCAACTGCCACCACCGCAGTGTCAGAGCAGCATTAGGAGACAGGTTTATAGAGGGAAAGACTACCTTATTGTCATGCGAAGTACCCTGTCATTACGAAGAGCTGCATACACTTGATGGTTCCACCACCCGTCGCTCACCTTCCCCTCTGCCAACCATGGCGGAGATTATGGTTTTGTTTCTGCAATACTTGGAAAATTTCAATTCCCTTTGTCCTCTTTTTGAGCCTTTATCTCTTCTCTCAATATGTGATGGAGATTGTGAGATTCTTTCTACCCAGCCAGACCGCTGGGCCTGTATCAATGTGGTTCTGGCGCTGGCATACATGATGCGCGACGAGCCACCTGGTGGAACCCACAAAAATTCTGAAGCTGCTTGGGCATTCATGGAAAACTCACTACTGGTTGTTAATGAATTGTGTCTCGGGGAAGAGACACTGTGGGCGGCACAGGCCCTACTAGGGATGGTATATCGTCAATAAGCACATGTTCTCCCAATTGCTAACTGATGTTCGATAGGCAATCTTTTTCCTGGGAGCTTTGAGCTACCGTCCGTGCAACCGAATGATTGCTTCTGCACTCCGGATCAGTCACAGACTAGTGATAGAACACCCCGAGGATTCTTCGACAGACGGACAACGTGACTTGCAGCAGCTCCGAACGGTGTTTTGGATTGCGTTTTGCTTGGATAGAGAGTCTGTTTCCTGTCCATCTTTGAGTTCTCGTCATGGAAGGCTAACCCGGGTTAGGATTTGTCTACGATTCGGTGGACCCTTAGGGTACTGTGATGAAGATATGGATATAGATTTCCTCCCGGGGCCTTTGGGGGATGGGTGGAATCTATCGTCGGCGACTCAGAAGACTGGGTTCAATATTTTCAAGTCTTATTGCGAACTCTCGGTCATAAAAGGTAACATTTACCAGCGCCTCCACTGTGGGACCGCACACCCGATTTCGGAGCTTGCCGATTCAGTGGCCATGTTGGACAAAAGACTTCAGGAGTGGAAAGAGAGTGTACCAAAGGAATATCGGCCTGACGTTCACAACGCACCCTCGTTTCCAAAGTCCACAGGGACTCTTGTACTTCTTAGTCTTCATTTTTCATATTTCAACTGCTTGATATCTGTCCACCGCGTGACTACATTCCGCGACTCGAATCTCGACCTGGAGCTCGCGAGATCTTACAGCTCCGGCCTTCTTCCGTCTGACGTCGCTCTGATATCTGGAATCTTGTGTCAGAATGCGGCAAGGGCGTCGATCCGGTTGATTAAGTATATGCCTCAACGATATGCATGTATTCTCGGGTATGTACCAGGTTCCAGCCACTGCCAATCTCCCTTTATGTTCTTTTCACATGCTGATTGGTTTCAGCTTTCTCCTCCACTATCTCATTATAGCATCGACCACTCTTTCGACTAGTATCATTCATAATCCACGGCTCGCATCTCGAGCGTGGGACTTGAAACTTATCCATCAAGTGGAATGTTTCATGTCTTCCATTGCCTTGGCTTCCCCGAAAGATGGATTGCAACGACTTGTCAAACACTGCGCTGAATATCGTGCTTTGGCCGAGTCCGCTGTTTGTTGCGGCGATGCCACTTCGAACAACGTTCAAAATACACATTTGACCTGAAAACAGACTGACGGATGAAGAGATTGATCAATATTTAATACTATACTATAACCTTTAAATCTTGGCTTTGAACTAGTATCCCCTGCCTCCGGAAATCACCTACCTACTTCTCCCCGACAAAATGTGACGAAAAAACAGCACCAACGAAGGAGAAAGGGGAACTCTTCGGGAATTTAGACGTAAATTCTTGACATGTGAACGAAATTCTACCATATATATTGAGTTTCTCTTTTTAATTTTCTCCTTCTTTGGTATTCCAGCTTTAGTTCTTTCGTGGAATGATACAGCATGTGTTCACTCTGCTCTCGACCATAACTCACAATATGGCAGTAGTCAAAACATCACAGAGAGACACTGCCAAGAGTTTCAGAAATCAAATGAACTGCATCCACAATGATTTGGTCTATCCCCGCAGCAGCTTGGATCTAACAAAGTAGGGTCAGTAAATATATGTTATTGCATGATCTCGAATTTGAGATATAGACAACCATGCATAGATCAGGACAGCACTAACCTTGGCACATTCGGGGTCATCGTTTAAAGCACCATAGCTCGATGTCACCAACCCTCTTTCTTTTGCGACACCAACTAGCAACGGTGCAAACACATATGGCTCCGATGCCATCACAATTCCATCAAGGCCCCAGCTTGATGCGAAATGAATTGCTTCCTGCAAACTAGACGCTCTCACGTCGCCCGTGGGCCAATTTCCAGAATCATTGAGGAAGAGTATCGGGAAGACGTTCTGTTTAAGGGATACAAGGATGCAAACCTCTGGGCTGAAGGAAGAGAACAGGATGGGACGACGGCGGCACGAAGGATGTGAGAGAATGGTCGACAGAATGGTGTCCACGAACAAATTCACTTCAATGACAAATATGTCTGATTTCCAATCATCAGCCGCTTCAAAGAGCATAGGGTACTCTGGTAAAATCGGTCAATTAGAATATACAAAATAAGAGAGGTATGGCAGAATATAGGGGATTTCGTACTGATTTCAATGTTAAGAGCAACGGAGTCAGGCGTTTGAGAAAGTAGATCATTCAACGTCAAAAATGACTGCTGAATAAAATCCCCTCTAAGATTACCCTTAAATCCCTTTTGTTTGAACTCAAAAGTTTGTTTCAATTGCTCCATGATATGAACGGGCTTGCAATCATTGCTGGGGTCCAGAGAATACGATCGCGTTTTTCGTGAGGAAGGCTCTACTAGAGATGCCTTTTCTGGTCTTGATTGACAGTCACTGATATGTATGAACTGATCACTTAAATTAGTATCAGCCAGTCATCTCGAGAGAGCGGGTATACAAACTTGTTCGAGACTCAAATTATGCATCCACGCATCCGTTCCTGTTTCGCTAACAGGAAAGTCATGGTATACAACGGGTACAAGGTCCTTGGTCAATTGAACATCTGCAACGTGTTAATTGGGTTCAAATGACTTCATTTCTGTTCTTACCGAGCTGCGACACTATTAGCTAGAGGTCTTCCAGGGTATGATTGATACTTACCTCTACCCAATCTGCGCCTAAATCGATGGCCGTGAGAAATGACTATAAACTGGTTAGGCTTTAAATTAAATTACGAAGGGTATATATTACCAGTGTTGTATTCTCTCCGATAGACAAATGCTTGCCACCTGGTTTATTTTGACCGAGGCCTTTCCTGGATTAGCACATATTTCGGACAACAGATGTTCGATATTTACCTCGATGTCCCACAACTTTGGTCCGCCCGCCTTCTTTCCAGAGCGTGTCCCTTGCTGGTAGAGAGAACTTTGGCTGTGTGAAAGGTTTAACGGCAAGAAAGCTGAATGTAATAGCTCCAATGTGATCAAGAATCCCGGTTGACAAAACAGGGATCTTATAGTCTCGAATGAGACTTTCTCTTGCTGATCCCAATCCCTGCTTGAGGTCCTCCAGAAGTGCGACCGCACTACCAATGTGTTCATATTCCTTGAGTTTGTCTGCGTTCACAGTTTCGCGACGGACTTTGAACAGTATCCTGGCATTTTCAGGGTCATTCGTATAGAAAGCCCATGGCTTGTTCGTCATATCCTCCAGTATGGGTAAGTCGACACTATATGACGGACCCTGCCCGCCAATGAGGGAGATTTCAATCGATAACCCAGCTCCTGACTCCGCAATTGACTCAGTCTGAAGTTGATACTGATTGATGTCAATAGGTTTCACATTTTTCTTCGAATCAAATGATCCCAGATTCACGAGAATCACAGTTTGACTCGTCACACTTGAAATTTTGCGGACGGCATGAGGCGCAGTCCCCGAGCCAGACAGTGGGTAGCTGGGAGTGTTAGGGGATATTGACTGTCTCAATCTCCGCGACAATGTAATATGGCCCCTGAAGGCGGCATGGTCTAAGGCAGTCCATCCCCGACGATCTTTATATTCTGCGTCAGCACCAGCTCGAAGAAGAGCTTCAACAATAACCAAGTGCCCCTCCACGGAAGCAACAATCAAAGGAGACCAGCCCTTGTTGTTTTCCACGAACGCAGGGCTGGCGCCCAAGGCCAAGAGACATTCGACCAGTTCCGTATTTCCCAAACGTGCCGCGATATAAAGACCCGTCTCCCCGGCGAGGCCTTGGTAGTTCACATTCGCTTTTGCCGCGACGATAGATTTCAAGAATTCTGGACTTGGGTTGATACCGCTGACAGCGTCGATAACGAGGGACCCTGGCACTGGTTTCCCATCATGACTGTCAAAGCCCTCGTTGTACCTCAGATACTCAAGAAGATGTCTTGATATTTCCTCAAATCCATATAGAATGGCAAGCCTTAGAGGGCTGTTCCCAAAATCGTTTTCCAGTAGAATCGATTCAGACAAGGGATGGTCGTGGTCAGAGTCTGACACTTGCATGTGGCGTAAAAGGAGCTGGCACACATCCGCAAGCCCATATTGCGCGGCGTAGTGAAGAGTTACACGGTTGTAAAAAGTCTTGTGTGTGAAGGATATTTGAATTTTGGTGGCGAAGCTTGCGAGGACACCTTTCAGTAGAGATAACATGGTATCACCAAGTATGGGGGTAACCTGTTCATGGTCGCAGCTTGTAATTTGGCTAAGGGATTCAAGAAAAGTCCTCTGGTGGCCGATTTTGAGGATTGTTTTGTTTATCACAGAGGGAAGACAGACATTAGTGAAGTCTTCATCCGTCTGGAGTGACTGCGACATTTGGAGAAGCTTTATGAGGCAGGCCTCGGAACCATAGACCATCGAGACTTGTACCAAAACAGACAAAAGTTCCTGAATTGGCCGTTTCTCCACGCCAACTGTGCCCTCGAGATCTCGAAGGTTCTTCTCTAAAGCAAGGGCGTTGCCATCCCGGATTGCCTGGTGAAGATCATCGACATTGTCCAACGTAAGGAAAGAATTTTGAGCGAAATGATGCAGGATCAAGGAGCGTTGAGAGGTGAAGGAATTGCAAGATAAGATTTTTATGATTGTTGTGATAGACGTCCGTAGGCGCCCCAAGTCGTAAATTAGTTCAGTTTGACATGAGAACTGTGCGGCCGATAATTTCAACTTGAGTTCATCAAGCATGGCTGCTACGCTAGGATGTGGTTTTAGCCGATCAAGTTTTCCCCAGAGCGTTTCGAATCCCCGCGAATTGACGGCTCCAAATGTTTGTAGCGTTGTAAGAGCAACGAAACATTGAGCGAGCGTTTCGAGATGAAATTGCAATTCAGGCTTATCTGCAAGTTTCCAATCATTTTGGCCAGGAAAACGTGGGCCCGGGGAAATTCCCGAGATTTCGTCCCAAACCGTGGAGTAAACTTTATCATAGAACACTTGCACTCTGTTGATCTCAGAGATAAGATTGTCGAGTAAAGCTGATACTAATGTCAGCTAATGGCACCACGATTTTCGTCTTCGAACTTCAAATATGTGCTTTCAACTTGTGCTTACTAACCTGTTGTCGAAATTGAGTCGCAATTGACATTGAGACGCCTGATCTGCTCTCTCAGTCCATGGTAATCAAGATAGGAATTTGCCCAAACTGGCGCTCTATCTCTTAGTAAGTTTCTTCCGAATTTCATGGTGGCTTTCCCTCAGAGCACATGAATTAAATGGTGGTGCTTGAGAATAATTACAAGTGAACAATGTCGGGGGTATTTTTATCTAAAAGTCTTTCAGACTCCCTAACCCCTCATCCCCTCCTTTGCAGCTAACCAGTCACGGCTAGCCACGGCGACAGCCTTGAAACGCTGATAGGTTATGAGCGGTATGGGTCCTTCATGCAAGTCGCCAGCTCTTGAAAATACCTCTATGTATGTTCTATCACATGATATGGACGTGGGGATCACATAACTTATCTCTGCCAGTGTCCTATACGAGATTAGTTTTCGATACCAAAAGAACATGCTTTAGGCTGCTTTCAGCCAAAGTTTTCAGCCAAATCTGCCCGTTGATTTATTCGCGTAATATTCATTTCGGGGGCTATACGCTGTAAGCAGCACGGGCCTTTATGCAAGTCACCCCATTAAGTAAGACCTCTCTGTCTGCCTTGTCACACTTTGTGGACCGGGTATACACAACTAACACTCCACTAGTGTACGCGCTGAGGCTGAAACCGTCATGGTCGCAAACCCTGCCAAACAAATCCGCACACCGTCATAATTAATCCACAGTTGCCCTCCACATGCCATCGGATTCGATCTGAAATTTTCCCCAACTGAGCAGGTTTAAGTTTTGGATATGGATCCTCTATCTATTATCGCAAGTTCCGTTGCCATCGCCACGCTGGCCGCGCAGACATGTCGTGCTTTCGCTGCACTACGCTCAAAGGCCAAAGGTTTACCTGGCAGAATGCATGCGCTTAATAACGAAGTCGCAGATCTTGAGCTGGTTCTCAACGAAGTGGCGGCAGTATTTAAGGAGAGAGACTCTACGCTCCTCATAGAATCCGAGACGGCCAATATTCCCCGCCTTCTAGAGCTCGCCCGTGGTAAGCTCCTTGAGCTAAAGTTGATTCTTGAGCGTCTTGGCAGATCGATGGAGGGGTCAAACTCGAAACTCTCACCGTTTATCAACCTGTTGGACTTAAGAAAGGAACAGCCAAGACTGGGAGAGTTACAAGAGGAACTAAAATCAGTCAGGTGTAACCTGAATGTTATGCTTGGCGCCTCTAACTCGTAAGTCTTCAACGAAGTGGCGAAATGTGCCTTCGATTATTTCTTTATATGAACCGAATCCCATCATTACTTATTGTCTCCCTTTACATCCTTAACTCTCTTTACACATAGCTGAGGAAGAAAGTTTTATTATCGCTAACGGTGCCACATAGACGTGATATGGTTCGTGTCAGAGTTGAGCTGGAGGGCCTGTCAATGGTCACATCTCAAATTGCGGACCAAACCAACATACGCAAGGAACTGCAGGACAGTTTAACTTATCATCATGGGACACTTGCTGACACCGTGGAAAGGCGTGTTGGCCAGCTCATGGAGAAGCGCATTACCCAAGTGGAAGAAATGATGCGTGCCCAATCCGAGGCGCTAAAGCAAAATCAAATAACCCAAACTGGAGCGCTCTATCGAAGACCCCGTCCCCGAAGACCATCCTCTCAGCATTCGCAAAGTCCTATCGCTCCAGAGAGTGTCAGAGTCAGAGTGAATCAATACACTTTTAAATGCCAATCGGGGTGTACTTGCGCCTGTCATAAACAAACCAAGACAAATGCTTCCTTTATGAACCGTGTGCTTGGTCAGATATTCGTTGGCTATGCCGGTCTACCGATGGTCAGCCCAAAATGTGACAGCTCGGAGTGCGAAAAATCCCAAACACCTTTCATCAGTTTTGAATACTGGTTTCCACTTGGCTTTTGCTGGTCAAAAATCGTTCAAGCACAGGTCAGCTATCATCCTAGCTTTGGTCCACAGTTCAATATTACTACTCTCCGGAGCGTCCCGGATACTGCTCCCTGCGTGGAATTCGCGTTGCATGGAAACATCGAAGGGCTGAAAGGTCTCTTTAATCGTGGAGCGGCTTCCCCTTGGGATGTTAGTGCTACACGTGGTTATACTCTAGTTCGGGTAAGCTTTAACATTTCCTATTTCTTGTCCTCTATTCAAGCACTGAGTTGGGGTTAATATCTTCTAGTGGGCGTTGTATGGCAAGCAGTACAAGACAGTCAAGTTTTTAGTTCAACAAGGAGCAGACGCTGATTATCGGTGAGCCCCCTACAAGGCAAGTAATTGTGCACATTAACTAATCCTATCTTAGGCCATTGTCTCCATATGATAACAGCCCACGAAACAAGGCCTCCGATATTGCTCTCCAGGGAGGTCTTGCGAAGGAAGATTTGGAAGCGCTTTACTGTTTGACACAAGGAAGCGACTGGATTGAAGAGCAGAACTTCAATTTAATTCACAAGATAGTGTGCGGTCTTTCTCAGAAAAGCTTGGAGAAGCAAATAATCGCTGAACCTGAAAGTATCGACTGCCAAGATGCGCTTGGCCGTACGCCGCTCCTTTGGGCTGCTGCCCGGGGCGATGCTGCTAGCGTTGCGATTCTTTTAGCTCATGGTGCGAATCCGGATATGCTTGACCACCAACTTGCTCCTCCCGTGTCATATGCCGCCGACCGCAATCATACAGTTTGTGTCCGACTTCTCCTCGAAGCAGGCGCTGAAACAGATCCTATCTTGCCGAACGGTTACATCGGCGGCTCGGCACTGAACTGTGCTGCACGCAATGCTAGTGATCCCCTGATACTGAAAACACTCTTGGACTTCGGCGCAGACATCGAAGCTGCCGGTGTGGATGGCCGAACTTCCCTAATCCATGCTGCACGTACGGATAACGCAAGCTTCGCAATGCTTCTGCTCGAGTACGGTGCAGATATAAATGCAACTTCATCTTCCAACCAAACACCGCTCACGACCGCCGTCATTAACAACTCCCATAATGTCCTGCGACTGCTTCTCGAACGCTGGGCTGAATACTCGGAGTGCCCCCGTCTTAAGGGTCCCCACCTCCTTCAAATCGCAGCACTTTACGCAGATATTGAAACGTTACACATTCTTACTCAGACGGACCATTTCCGAATGAAGCACGATAAGAATTTCTCAGTGGGAGATTTCGTGGAGCGGCTGAAACAGCGATACGATGTTTCGGAGAAGCTCATTCAAAGCTTTGAAGATTTTTTGACCGTCATTAACACGGAGCCAAAATATACCCAAGATGAGCAGGACTTGATGGAGAAAGGTTTCATGAGCTGGCACAGCAGTCGCGTGGGTAGCCATTGTGGAAGTGAACTAGCAAATTGTTCGCCTCCCTATTATGACTTTGATGAGATTGACAGTCCAGATAGTGATACTTTCGAGGATGCTTTGGAGAAGCTGGATATCAGTGAGCGGTTGATAGAGGTTGAATAGGGGTAGGAATGGGAAAAGGACTTGGATACCAGATATAGTGGGGATAATGACTTTTGCTCGTGATGGCTCTAATTATAAACGCCGCTTAAATTAAAAGCGTTTGAAGATAAAAAGAACCTGTTCGAGATAATAGCCGAGTGAGATTATGAAATGATACAAAGCTATCACTACTAATGCTTAGCCTATTTAAGTTATAGATAGAAAGTGGTGTATCCTTTACATGTTATCATGTTGGTCATTTCGTTACTAGTATCGTCGAGGGATGAATGTGTTAGAGATGCCATAATCCATACTATATTGACCCTTTTTGTGATATAGAATTACAGTTACTGAACTTGAATAAATTGAAACTCTCGGGTCTGGAAGCATGCTTTCCTACTATATCTTCTCTTACGGCATTATCTCATAGTAGGATAGCCAATTAAGAATACCTTCAGATGCTTTTTACGTCCTATCTTCTACGAAAATTGGGTAGTCTAGTAAACCCGTCGGTCATATTCGAGGATAATTCGTTTAGGCCACTGAAGGTTCGTTATGCTATTACGTCGCTCTCCCTATATTTCCCGGCGAAATTAGTAGTTATCCCTGTTCTGAACCATCTTTGGCTACCTGTTAAAAATTTGCAGAGCTAGTCAATGCTTCGTCGACTGTTAGCCTTCGGTCAACCCGTCAAGCACGAAGTCATCATAAGGGTTCTTGAGTCTCGAGGTGGCAAAAAGCTCCACAATACGGCGAAGACGGTCGACCAACACTTGTATGAAAACACCTCTGCAAGTTTCTCTGGTAGCGTATCACTGGAGTGTTCAAGGCATCAACCAAGCCACCAAGCACAGTACCGAGCTCAAGGCGATATCGAAGTCAGCCTCGCTGTCCAGCAAATCCTGGTTTAGAGTTCGATGGGAGGGAGATGTAAGTACCAAGAGAGTGCCAGCCTATATCGAGGTGAACCAATAATGATGTCCTAGTCCAGGAAAAATACGGTCAGTGCGGTGGTGGTGCGACGAACTGCCCGCTCTAACCTGGCTTCTCGCCCTTTATTGTTGTGTACTCATCCGAAATGCCCCTCGCATGACGCTAAAGCGGGGCTTACCCGTCACCCACTTCTCACCCGACCGATAGTCACCCGACTATTCTATGCCCATAAGCCACATGCTGGCCAGTTAGGAGTATGATAAGTGACTATTCAAATCCTGGCGGTTATATGCTTTTTGTCTTGCTCTTTTTTGTCATTAATTGAAACTGATGCTTGAGGTTTGGGTCGCAATTACGGTAGTGGTTCGCCACAGAATCGGTGAAGCGAAGGGAAGAGTAAAGATGGACTAATCAGGCCTATACATTAAATAACAACGTAAAAGCCTGTATAGTGTGCTCTGCGGCCTAGAAACTTAGTTACCAGGATGCTAGTGAAGTGGCGAACTGTCGCCTAAGACAACTCTAGCAGAAAAAAAATGTTGACGGGCACAGGAGGCACATCTTTCATTGCTACTCATAGGCTACCATACTATAAGGTTTTTCCAAATGTCTACCTAAGCGTACCTTCAGTGAGAGGATCAAACAAAAGGTAGAATGGGTTGATGACTGGGATACTTAAACCCCTCCATTTTCTAATTTTGGCCTATTCAGTCTGGAGGTTGGCCGTGAGGATAGATTATCTATCGTACAGTACGAGCTTTATGGGTACTTCTAATCAGGACTGGGCGGCCACGATCGAGAAGCTTGATCGGTATTACTAGGATGAAATGACTATAACTAGAGACCTGGAAACATTCGATTTCAGGCTAATATCCATGAACTTGCTTGCAATGGCTATCGAAATATAGTTATCTAAGATTCGGGCTTAGAAGGCGCCTCGGTCGACGCGATACGTATCTAGTGAGTCGAAGAGTGGGGGGTTCAATGGTCACTTAGAATACCTCGATTTATCTATTTCCTTGTTTGGATTAACCTACTATCTGGTCTATTCTAGCGAGCTTAAAGCTAGAAAATAATTCCAGCCTGGTGGGATACGTCAACATGATCGACTGTGATTTTGATCCAAATAACCCAGAAAACGATTGCTCGGGATTCATCTATCATTTCTCTTCCAATTTGCTCTGTCTTGCGAGGATTCAACTCCTAGGGAATTCATTTACACCGGCGGGCAGTCTTCACTAGTCGAGGAGCAAGACGTCTTTCTTAGTCCGTCGGACTACAATATTATGTTCCGTTCCCGATCTCTCGAATCTCGGAGAAAAGTAACGACCACAGAGTCTTAACACAATGAGCTTCGGAGATCTACTATCCAGGATGGTCAAGCCAGTTAATTGTGTTTAATATTTAGCATAATAAAATAGCTGGTCTAGTCACAAACTTCACATTTAGGCTGGACCATCTGTAAATATAGCCCCAAAATTATAAGTGGTTGTAGACTTTGCCGTAGAAGATACCTACCTCCCCGCATAGCTGTTTCCCCGCCCGAAAATAAGGAAGGCGTTTCCGGATAACGTCGAGGCCACGCCGAGTACACACGCCAACAGATGTGAGAGCTTGACAAACAACCACTTTAATTGAATGTGGAAGCTCCTAGCAGCAAACTACTTCAATCAATAGCCATGACTGACAGCAAAACAGCGAAGAGAAAACCTGCTGGTCGTCGAACACATTTACTGGGTGCCTGCAAGACTTGCCGAAAGCGACACGTCAAATGCGACCAGACAAAACCTATTTGCAAAGCGTGCAAAGATGCGGATGTGGTATGCGAGACACTCATATCAGAGATTCAATGGGTGGGATCATCAACAAACTCCGGCAACTCTACCTCGGAGGTGAGCTCAGGTCCAAATGTCCGCCGGCAGCTTTACACGGGTGAGCTTTTGATCTCGTTGCGTTTCAACTTTGATGGATTGCACCAAGAAACTCATTTTGTCTCATTGACTAGAGAAAGAAAGGAAGATCATGAGCTCTGCTCTTGTCAGCGAGCTGGCAACATTCTCCATCGATCAATTCCTAGCAGAGATCGATACTCAATCAAAGGACGCCGAGGAGCAGAATGAATGCGATATTTCGATGGGTCCCTTCAGTGTCTTCAATCTGAACGGGCCCTTAATACAACCAGAACCTGCCGAGGCTGTCGATTCTCAGGTTGAGTTAGCCCTGAATCTGGATGTTTCTGAACATCTACCGATCGCGGCTGACGCGAGTCTTTCGGGATTATCAACCGCGGAGGAGGTTCTAGGGAATCTAGACACCACTCTGCAATGGGCCGACATATTCAGTCTAGACCCATCTCCTGCTGATTTAACATTGGCCTCTCCTATTTCGGGTTATAACGATCTGCATTCGACTATCTTGTTTTCTACTGCAGTGGCACCAGAGTCACCTAGCCACCCAAAACATGATTGGTTGCAACAGAGTCTATCGCAGATCCAACATGAGACAGAAGAAGGAGATATTCTTTCTCAGGCAAGGACTCTGCTGAAGCATTTCCATGAGCACGTCGTTACTCGAATCATATGGCTACCCATGACACAAAAGTCCCCTTGGACCATCATGATGATTCCAGCCTCGATAATAGCACTGGACCAATTGACTTATATGGGTCAGAGTGCTGTAAAGCATGCTGGACTCGCCAATCTATACGCCATACTCGCATGCGCGTCGTATCATTTAGCTATTAACCCGGGATTTACTCCTGGAAAATCAAGTCAATACTGGGAGCATATCACCATAACAGCCTACGAAGAGGCCAAGCAACATATACAGAGAAGTCTTGAAAATGAGTTGGAAGGACCCAATAAAGCTAAATACAAGGAGCAATTGATGGCCATGTTAAGTCTAACAACCTTTGCAGTAAGTTTTCAGAGCCCCTCCACTTACTGCAACATGCTTTTAACCCGCCGCTTTGCAGATACTTTCGGATAACCAAAAGCATGCCCGGTGCCACATAATCAATATGGAATACCTTATCAGATTGCGAGGCCTGGTCAAGCCTCATATCTCACGAAGAGCTCGACTTCTCCATCACATGTATACCTGGCTCCGAATATTGACAGAAAGCACACTGGTCGTGCACAATCAAATTCCACATTCTTCACCATCCAAGGCACTTTGTTCACGCCGTCTTGACATGGAGGAGATGAGCCGATTAGCCCAACGACATGCCGCGATTCCTCCCTTTGATCGGGCCCGTGATCTCGACGATTTTCTTCGAGTCACACCAGCTGAATCCGACCGAGATCTCAATATTGACGATCCCAAAGACTCCCATACAAGTCTTGGAGATATTCACCTCATTGACTCACGAAACGTTGCCGATGGATTCCACCTGATTGCAAACGGCGTTTCTGAGACATGGCTGAGCCTTCTCTCGCAAACAACTCGTCTCGCTAATGTCATGGACCGACTCAATAGCGGGAAATGTGTCATGACTGCTGATAGACAACTTGCTCTACATCGAAGATCTCTCTATTTGGAAAACATGACTTGTGCCTTCGCTTCCAGGAGGCCGCCACTTGCAGAGGGAGATCCAAAGACCCATATGCTCCAGGCTCTCAACTCCGCCCTAGTCATCTACTTCTACCGGCGCGTCCGACAAGTCAATCCCTGTATCCTACAGGGTTACGTAACAAAAGTACTTGACGAACTCCATGAATGGGATGCAGCACTCACACAATTGGGTTGGACTGGCCCAGGAACTGCTTGGCCTGCTTTCATGGCGGGATGTGAAGCTATGGACCAAATGGAACGGCAAAGTCTGGTACAGTGGCTCGACAATGCCTGCTCTCAGAGTGGATTTACATCTTATTCCAAAGCAAGAGTAATTATGGAGGAAGTATGGAAACAGCGAGATGCATGTTACGAGAGCCCCACCTCTACTCATTACCATTTCGCTGGGCCAATGTCCTACAGTTGGATGGACTTCGCCAAGGAAAACATCCACTGGCTGCTGTTATTCTAATAAATTGTTTGTAACATTATGATATTGTCTAATTTCATGAACATATTTTTAATAGAGCCTGGTGGTCTTCAAAATACCTCTTAGCCAAAAAGATCCTGCTCGTAGTTTCCTTGTATTTGTATGTTAACAGATTGGTATTTTCATCTAGATTTGGAGGGGGATATTCTTTTTGCAAAAGGATCCAATGAAAAACGTGGGCCCCATATATATTGATCTGCTATCTTTGGTCTAAAGCATGCTTGATTATATAAACAGATATGGCCTTTAAGCGAGGGGAACCTGGGCGTTGAGAAGCAGCTGGCGGAACTCAGCCTGGTGTTCTGGCTTCAACGGAGTAAATGGCTTCCGCGGACCTCCAGTCTGGTAACCGCGGAGCTCCATTCCAGCTTTGACAGCAGCAGAGTAATTGTGCTGCTCAAGGAACTTGCAAATAGGGAAGATAACCTTCCAGATCTCCCTGCCCTTCTTGATATCATTCTCAACACAGATAGCATTCCAAAGCGCCACAGCGAGCTCGGGGATAAAATTGGCGGCACCCCAGATGCAAGCCTCACTTCCAGCAGCCAGGCCATAGAATGTGAGGGTGTCCCAACCGTTCCAAGCCTTAATCTTGTCGTCGTACGCGAAAGCCACCTCTGTAAAGACTGGCGCGTTGCCGGAGGTATCCTTGAACGAGTATACTCCAACCGAGCTCAACCCGGCGATTTCCTCCGGGGTGAGGGTCAAGCCGCTGATAGAGGGAATGTTGTAGTAGACAATAGGAAGCTTCGAAGCCTGGTGGATCTCAAGAAGGATTTCTTTGAGTTGTTCATAGGTGACAGGGTCGTAGTATGGAGGAATAACCATAACAGCCTCAACGCCGAGGGAAGCTGCGTGCACGGCAAGCTCAACGGCTTCTTCGGTGTTTGTGCTGCCAACACCGGGAATGACAGGAACTCGTCCTGCAGCAAACTTCACAGTGAGTTCAGTGAGCTGCTTGCGCTCGGCAACGCTGAGCACAGCACACTCTCCTGTGCTACCACCGGGAACGAGGCCATGAATTCCGGTATTGAGGAGGAATTCTATGTGGGCCTTGTAGCGGCCCTCGTCGATTTGCTTGAGATCATCCGTGAAAGGAGTGATCAGGGCAGCGAGGACACCAGTGAACTTGGGAGCCATTATTGTATTGAATTAGGTTGTAATGGTAGATGTAGTTGAGGTGACTGTAGAGAAGATGGGTTTTAGAAAATAGAGGTCGCGAGTCTCTTTAAATATTCGAGCTAAGATTTTTTTCATCACACTATCTGCCACTGTATAATCTCCTTAGTAGATGCTATTTTTCATTTTGGGAAACTATTCAACTGGAATTTCGAGTTGGAGAGTCGGATTGCCTGTGGCGCTGAAGTGTTTTTCTCGAAACGGCAGGCAACCATACTAACCTAGAAAGCGGTTCCTTCAGTTTCGCCCCCCGCCCGACTAACCGCTTATCAATATGGACATTGTCGTCCTTGATTGCGTGCAACTTGCTGCAACCTTGAGATCTGTTATTACATCAAATTAGGAATTCAACCCGGCGATGGACGGACTTGCCCAAAATTCAGGAGGGGTGGTGATATCGGCAATCCACCACAATTATCTCGTGTTTGAACTATGAGCAAATGTTTCCGAACGAATGAGGAGTCTTTAGCATATATAGAAGGGTATTTCTCCTTCGTTGAGAGAAATTAGTGTCGTTCATTCATTCTAAACCCGAATCTCGCAATCACAATGTCCAACCTTTTCGTGAACCTTACTACGCCCAACGGCCACTCGTATACACAGCCAACTGGACTCTTCATCAATAATGAGTTCGTCAATGCAACAAGTGGACAGAAAATCTCGACTTTAGATCCAGCGTTAGTCTCTGCTCCACAGGCCTTTCCATACATCTATAGGCTCCTAACTAATTCAATTGATGGCACACAGCACCGAAATTGAGATCACCACCGTTGAGGCGGCTGGCGCTGAAGATGTTGATCGGGCTGTCAAGGCTGCGAAGGCTGCCTTCAAGGCTGATAGCTGGAAGAAACTGCCCGCGACTGAGAGAGGACGCCTTTTGGTTCGTCTTTCAGAGCTGCTTGAGGAGAAGAAAGAGCTTTTTGCGAGCATTGACGCTTGGGACAATGGTAAACATATTACTTCATACTTATCAACTTCTTACTAACATCGATCTAATAAAGGCAAAACCTACTCTCTCGCTATGGAAGACGATCTTCCCGACTCGATCGGCACTTTCCGTTACTATGGTGGCTGGGCTGATAAGAGCTTTGGGCAGACCTTTGAGACCTCCCCTGAGAAGTTTGCTTATACCCTCCGTCAGCCATATGGTGTGATCGGTCAGATTATACCATGGAACTTCCCCCTAGCAATGGCGGCATGGAAACTCGGACCTGCGCTGGCTGCGGGTAATACCGTCGTTATGAAGGCGGCAGAGCAGACTCCTCTGAGCATTCTCCTTCTGGCAACACTTATCAAGGAGGCTGGATTTCCCCCTGGTGTTGTGAATATTATCAATGGATATGGCCGTGAAGCTGGCCAGGCATTGACTGAGCACCCTCTGGTTGACAAGTTGGCATTCACTGGATCGACCGTCACCGGTGCTCAGGTTATGAAGGCGGCTGCCGCTCAGCTAAAGGAGGTGGTTCTGGAGACCGGCGGCAAGTCACCCTTGATTGTCTTCGGCGATGCCGATCTGGATCAAGCAATGAAGTGGTCACACGCTGGAATCATGTCGAACCAAGGACAAATTTGCACAGCTACATCGCGAATCTTGGTCCAGCGCAATATCTATGATCAGTTCCTGTCCTTATTCAAGGAGCGCGTCCGCACCGCATCCATCATTGGAGATCAGTGGTCTACAGACACCTTCCAAGGCCCGCAAGTGACTCGCGCTCAGTATGACCGAGTTATGCACTATATCAACCTTGGAAAGTCCGAGGGTGCAACTGTGGAGACCGGTGGAGAGGCCTTTGCTGGCCCTAACGGAAAGGGATACTTCGTTACCCCGACTACTTTCACTAATGTTAAGCCTTCTATGAAGATCTACCGGGATGAGATCTTCGGTCCCGTTACCTGCATTGTGCCTTTCGATGAGGAAGAAGATGCGATTGAGTTGGCCAATGATACTATGTATGGCCTTGGTGCCGCTGTCTTCACCCAAAACCTCCGTCGTGGTCATCGTGTGGCAGCCGAGATTGAGGCCGGTACTGTCTGGCTGAACAGCAGCCAGGATAGTGACCACCGAGTTCCCTTTGGTGGATACAAGGCTAGCGGTGTGGGACGAGAGTTGGGTCCTGCTGGATTTGAAGCCTACACTCAGATCAAGGCAGTGCACGTTAACATGGGAAATGACCTTTAAAATTGACAGCGGTTTGGCTCAGGTTTATAGTGCTATAATTTGGCTTTGTTGATAAATCTCCCACTTTGTGTGTTTATTTCATGCAGGTTACATCTATTAGAAATCCTAGGTTATATAGTTTGAACTATGAAGATAGATGGTTTAAGTTCATGTCAATTTTCGTCTCCCTTTAAGGAAATAATACAACAAAAAGAGCGCAATAATGGGTAGTAGATGAGAAAGTCTTCAGGGAGTTGAAAGAATGATCAAATGCCACTCACACCTTTAGGACATATTTATTCATTATTTTCTCAATACCTCCCTATTTTTATTGTGATCAGAAACTCGATCGGAGGTCTTGAATCGATTTGCCTCGATCGGATCCTTGACGTAGTCATTATCTTGGAAAGCGTATAGTTTGGAATTAAAATCATGACACAGTGTCAAATTATCTAGAAGTGCCTGATGTGACCAGCTAACTGCTTTAGAAGAAATCGCCTCGATGGCGAAGCGGCTACAGTTATACATTTGGATTGAGATTGCCGGTATTTAACCACATATCACCAGCACTAAATCTAACACATCGTCACATGTGAGACTCAGCTTATATCGGCCATTAATGATTATTGGTTCTACTTTAGAATTAAGTTCACGGGATGGCAGGAAGCGAATGATATAACGTTTCATCACTTATACAACCAAAACTAAAAAAAGGCTAACATTCGCAACACTCTCGCAGTGTCCAGTCTACTGGAGGACATTTCCTCCCGACTCAGCCACGATCAAATCAAACTCGGGCTGGAATTCCAGGTAGAAGTTGTTCTATCAATCATCCTTTAGAATATGTATATAACTCTAATTCCACGTGATATTTCTCACCGGAGTTTGCACCGAGTCCGCAGTGAATTGAGCAACCTCGTTGGAAATCACCTTCTTGTCAACGCCATTCGCGGCAGCTGCCTCGGCTAGTAACTGCGATTGACAGGCCTGCTCCAAGCTGTAAAATAGGAACGCTGCCTCATCAACCGTCTTACCAATTGTAATCGATCTATTATAGAGAAGTCCCATAATTAGCAAGATCTTGCCACGGACCAACTTGGGGCAGGAAAGTGGTGGCTGTACCCATGATTCTGCAAAATAGCAGCTGTGTTATGCTTTCCAAGGGCCTTTGCAATAGCGCGACCTTCTTCTTCAGCAAGAGCAATGCCACCGTGCTCTTCATACACGCCGACCTTTCCGTAAAGATTGCATGCGTCTGTAACCAACACGGAATTAGCACGCAGTCTTAGGATTTCTTCAGAAAAGTATAGCTTCCATACCCTGCGTGAGCATCTCAATCGGCTTGCCAAATCCACTCCATGTTTTCCCGTAGATGCTATGGGCATGGGCCACTGCAATAGCATCTGGGCGTGCACGATGAACCTCAGAGTGGATCATGAATCCCGCCTCGTTGATCATAGCTTGGTTGCCGCCATCTGTAACCCAACCGTGTGCGTCAACCAAAACCAAATCTGAAGCCTTGATGAGAGAGAAGTGCATCGCAAAGGGGTTCATCCAAAAGTGCTCCGGCAGGATAGGGTCTGCGGCACGTTAGAAGTGGAATAGCCACTTTGGAGGAGAACATTTTTACCGCGGACAGAAATATGGCCTGATACACCTTCTCCATATCCCTGCTTTCCAAAGAAACGGAACGCGGCTGCCATATGCTCCCGAATCCACTGGCGCTTTGCATATGGATCTCTGAAAGTTGGGATACCCCTCAACTTCAGTACCCCGTTCTTGTCACCTCTCGCGAGGGCCTGGAATGGAACGTCAGTGGCATCGCTGGCAGGGTTATCGCGCCATTCCCCTATCACTGTTTGGTGGGTAGATGTAGTTGTCGTTGTAGACATTATGCAGCTATCAATATTCTCCGTAGAAATGGGAAAAGTTGTCGGATACGATCAAAACCCCAAGAACTTCAAGTTTGAGGGAGACCAAGGTTCATATGGACGCAGAGCATTATTAAAGAATACGCTTCACATACAAGGCCTGGGGAGGCGACTGGTACTTTCGATGATGTTCATGGACGGCGCCATAATAGGTATGGCGATTAGTTGCTTGCCCGTTCCGGAACCGCTTTCCTTTTTTATTGCCGTGGGTTCACCGTGGGGTAGCCACCTATTCCTACCAATTCTCTAACCCCGCATTATCTGTGGATCACATCTGATATCAATTTGGGAATGACTTGCGATATCTGATCATAAAGCTACAGAGCGATCTTGAATAAGATTAAGGAAGGCAAGATCGTCCTTATCCATCGAAGGCGTGGCCCCTCGACGACCCACCACTGTCTTCGATCGTACAGCCGAATCTAGTCATCTAGACGGCTGTTCTCTCTCCCTTCGCTATTGTTATTATCTGATGCTGCCACTAGAAGCCGCTTTTCCACATGCTACGCATATCTGATCTTCTTTCGTTGGTTTGTATCTCCCACGAGAACATATCGCAATTCCGATGGGCCATTCACTATGCAGTGCAAAAAAAAACAGGATGACTTGAATATTTTATCTTTATTCGAATCTTCAATATTTCTTTTAGCCCTTCTAACGCTTCGAAAAGTGAATATTATCTGCTACGGCGCTAGTTATGATTCACTTCCTTGACCAAAGTGGCGAGTTGACACTTTTGTCGTGCGAGTAACAAATTATATCAAGATCCATATGACCGCTGATAGCGATGTTATTTATCGACGACCTAATTTACGTGTCTGCATGAAATAATACAGACTGGAAAGGCAAGGGTTTCTTGATAGCTTCATCAATGACTGGATGTCAGGGCTGGTTGTTTCTAGCCTGCTTACTGTCTGGTAGGCATGAAGCTCGTTCACACCGAGTGAGCGGAAAAGTCTGAACATCTGATATTAATGACATAGCCTCGGCAAGTCGCTAACAGGCCTACCTAGGTAAGGTTCGTTAAGTAGATATCCACCAACCTAAAATCTTTCCATGTCAAAGCCTACTTTTGCCTCGCCCACATGATCTTTGCGATTTGAACTGATTGTACCGACCTTCTCCGGCTATGGGAAGTGTTCAAACTGTCGGTGTATAAAAAGCTTCATAATGCAACAAGTCTATTCTATCTCCCCCTCTTTTAGCGCCCGAACAGGACCGGAGCACAGGACATACCAATACACTAAGTTACACAAAGACAAAAGATGGCCAACGACATAGGAGCGCAGAACGGGGGAATGAATATGCGGGAGAAGATCAATCACAGAGAGGAGAAAAAATGGCAGCGCGGGGTTCTCTAATCAAGGTAGAGAAGGCGAAAAAAAGGGGCTTTTGATATAATACACACCCCGATTCGAGAACCCCGGCGCACATTATAGAGAAAGGGTGAGAGGCGTCAAATGAGATGCATGGGTCTGGCGTGAAAATCATTTGGCTTCCTTGTCCTGCTGCTCGGCCTCGAAATGGGCCTTGGGGACCAGCTTGTCGGTCTCGGGGAGCTCGGCGGGGACATCGGCGGGCGAAGGGGCGTCGCTTTCGGCGGCGGGGACGGGTGCAGGGGCATCACCCTCGGGCTCGTCATCCTCCAACTCGGCGCCGTACACGTCAGGGTGTTGCCGGAAGCAATCTTGCATACCCCTGTAGAAATTATTAGCATGGACGTCACCATGGCGAAAGTAAACCTCGATATAACGTACTTGAACTTCTCAATGCACTCAATACCCTTGGGCTCCTCGTTCGAGTACACGAAGCAGGAGAATGCCGCCCTGAACTCCTCTCCGCAAGGGCCGTGGGCCATGCCGCCCAAGCATGGGCAGTCCCAGTTGATCTCGCCAGTCTCCGGGTTGAACGCGGCAGACTCGGGGGCTCTTCCGAGTCAATTCCAACCTGGGGGTTTATCTCAACGGCAGCAGCATCGGATGCAGCAGCCTCTGGGGCAGCAACTTCGGGGGCAAGCGCATCGGCCTTCGGCTGAGACCGGGCGACGGCCTTCTCTTCACGGATCTTGGGGGTGATAGAGTCGAGAGTAGCGGCGGGAGAATCGGCGGTTTTCTCCTTCTTAGATTGGCCGAGAAGGGAGACTATACATATATAGTTAGATTAGCAACGTTCCAACGTCCCAAATAGCCATTGACCCAGTAATGCGACAGGAACCGGGTTTTGCATCTCGGGTGCGGAGGGAATGACGAGCGGCGGCATGACATACAAGAAGGCTCTTGAGCAAAAGCACTGCTCGTGTTGTAGTAGTAGATAGCACCACCTGCCAATCCAAGGCGGACAAAGGTGTTCTTCCAGGTTCTCGATTTCGAGGTCGGACCAGCAGTGCTTATCAATCGAGTGCTTGCCGGGCTACGGGCCGCGACAGCAGGCGCGCGAGCAAGCGCTCGGGCGACGGGACGGAACATGATGCAGAGAATGAGAGAAAGAGGTCAGATTGAGACCAAGACCGATACCGAGGAGACCGCGAAAGACCTCGGGGCGCGAGAGGAAAGAGCTGGAGGGGAGAAAGCCGAAGCCGCGGACGGAGAAGTTGGTGGAAAGAGAAGTGGATTTCGGCCTGAGGTTTGGAAATCGGGCCAGTCACGTTGCGCGGTTCCGAGTTACACGCGACTCCAAACGCTTTCGACGGCTGCACCGAAGCTCTGCGATATTCAAGAATCCCTTGCTTGAGTCTCAACGATACCAGCTACTTGAGCTTGATCTATCTTGCACTATGGAGTGGGATCCAAGCTGCTTCTTCCGGCTTGAAGGGAGTCCTTCACCCTATGCCCTGTTGATTCTGAACCAGCCAATCAACGAAAAGGCGTTTGGGGTATTAAGTGAACATGGTGAGAGCCCACTAGAAGAGGACTGGGGATTCTGTTACCAACCTCAAATATCATATATGCATATACCCGTTGATCAGGTCTTAACAGGGGAAAGTGCTAACTTTTCCATCTCTACCCAGCTTCTTACATCATTTGCGCCGATGGCGGGGCTAACCGTCTGTACGACATGATGAAAACTCATGGGAATGAATCCACCGAAGTAAGAAACTACTACCTGAACAAGCTTGTCCAACTATATAGAATGTACAGGTTCAATTGAGACCTGAACCCCAGTATTTCAAACATGGGACCATGATCACCCCCTTCACGATATATATTCTAATCTGTGGAGTAGCTCCCCGATCAAATCATGGGCGACCTGGACTCCATCCATCCATCAACACGAAAACACTACGAAGACCTAGGAGTACCCATCATCAAAGATCCCGATCAATACTCGACAGATTTCACCAAGTGCCTGAAATACCTCAACAGCCACGCAGCAGAGATCATCACCTCTCCCCGCCGCCAAAAAAGGAAACCAGCCAGCACAACCCAAGAAACCACAGCCACAGCAAAGAAATCGCAATCAACCCTCGAGATCGTCATCCTCGGCGGTCTAGGTGGCCGTGTCGATCAGGCATTCTCACAAATCCATCATCTATACATGATGACGCAGACACAACGGCAACTACGCGAATCCCAAGAACCAAACGCCCATGACGAGACTGAGAAACTCGGGCACGGCGCGGGCGGAAACCTGTATCTGATTTCAGAGGAAAGTATCACTTTCATTCTGCAAGAGGGGAACAATATCATCTATACGCCTGCTACGAACCGTCCGGATACCGATACCCCAGACGACCAGGACTCACCGGTCAAGGAGAGCCAATCACACTTGAAAAGGAAGCGAGGTCAGGAAGGTAGTGCACAGCCAGAATATTTCTTCGAAGAGAATATCGGGATCATCCCGCTCTCGGCTCCGGCGTCAATTACCACGCAGGGATTCGAGTGGGATGTGGAGAACTGGCATACCGAGATTGGAGGCCAATTATCTACGAGCAATCACATTCGCGCGGACAAGGTAGAAGTCTCGACGTCCGTTCCTGTTTTGTTTACTGTGGAGCTAGCACAGAGGTTGAAGAGGGCTTAATGGGTTACGTGGACTCGAAGATTTACGAGATAGAAGGTGTCAAACGTTTACTATACTATCGATGGAATGGATCCCCCCATATAGATTCAAGCCAAGAACCAAAATCGCACTAGAGAAAAAAGGTCCAATGGAGAAAAGAGAAAAGGGGGGAAAGTCACAGGGGGCAAAGGATAAACCACCAAGAACAAACCAAGGCAAAAACCAGAATAAAAATTCAAAACCCGGGCGCCTCCTCTGGCTGAAACGAGAGACCAAGAAGATAGGTAATTCAAAATGAGGAAAGAGCCAGTAAAAACAAGCCAATATCACATATCGCATCATCGCATATCCCAGAAAAAAAACAACTCAAGACTCGATCCGTGAACCACACGTAAAACAAAGCATAGGATCCCATAACCCAACATGAAGCGAACAACAAGCAACGACACGCCTTCAACATTCCGAGGATATCAACCAAGAGGGGGACAAAAAGAGGTCCTAACTAGCGCCAGTGGAGCGAGGCAAGAGGGAAACGCAAAGGGGGAGGGGAAATAAAAACCGCACAATACAAGAAATTCACATCATCCAGCACTACAACGTTCGATCCGTCCCTTATCCTCGTCTGCAATTGTTCAAAGCAGACAACCTGTACAGCACAAGGCAAAGCCTGACTATACCTACGAGCGGCGCAGAATAGCCTCGTAGAGAGCGCCAATGACACCGATGGCGGTACCGGTCCACATGCCGTAGTAGTTGCCAGGAATGGCGGTGTTGACCTTCTCAAGGGCAAGGTTGCTGTACATGCCCCAGAAAGTAAAGCCCTGGACATAAACCTTCCACACAAGGAGCGCCTTGGCAATGTTAAAGGTCAGCGGGTCAAAAGTGCTTGATGAAGCCGCTGAGCGACCACGGCGCGCACCACCGCCAGTAGCGGCGTGCCAACTCAGGTTGAAGAAGTAGGCAGCGATCAGGGGGAGAATCAGATTGGTGAGAAGCCAGAGGGTGAAGGGCCCCCAGAAGCCCGGGGTCACCAGACGGAACAGATCGGGGACCTTGATGGGGAAGGTGGGAGTGTGCAGGGTAGGGTTGGCCTTGATAGTGGTCAAGAAGCGAAGGGGCAGCTGGTCGAACATGACGGTGTAAGCCTCGACAAGCACGACGAGAGCCTCGATCGCGAAGAGGCTGCTCAAGTTGGCGCGCAGGGAGTGCGTGCGCTCCGTGACACCCGATGAGGTCCAGGCCTGCTCGAGACCCTCACGCACGCGGGTGGTTTGCCGATCAATAGCGTCTGTCACCTGGGCTGGGGAAGGAGGCACGTCGAAGGCCGCGCGAACACGGCTTGCAGACCGGCGCACTACTTCGCTGGGCGACACTGGCGACTTGGGCGACTTTGCTGCTGTACGGCGAGTTGACGAGGGTTCATCGGATGAACTGTCGCAAATGGTTAACACGATGATCGCATGATGATAGATTTGTCGCATGCGACGCGCCTGGGTTCCTTTGCGCGGTGGTGATACTTACGTTGCTTCCTCTTGCTTTTGCGCGTTGGGCTTGCGGCCCGGCGTCTTCCTGACGGTGGGGGTGATCTCAACCTTGGCCTCGCGCTTGACGGGCGATCCCCCGCGAGGAGGCGCAGACAAGCGCTTATAGTAATCGGCAAGAGTCTTCTCACCAGAGAAGATCGCGCGATTGCTGCTCAAGTGCTTGTCAAGCGCGACGGCGAGTTCATTCTTGTTATAGTCGGAGAAGCTGCGATGGTGGCGGCCAGTGTCAGCGCGGGATCCGATACAGCAATGCGATAACGCGCGTGGGATTTGGCTGCGCGATCATGTATACATACTCTTGAAGATCGGTCTTCTCTGCAAACTCGACTAGCTCCGGCTTGCGCAGCTTGTTCAGATAGGGAAGGCCGCTTGACATGGTGGGTTGTTGGATGAATAAGAATCCGGGTCAATGCGGGCGCACGTTTTGATCAGATGTAAGTAGGAAAGAACTTTATCCAAGTTGACCATCAAATGACGGATAAAAGCAAATTGGATTTTGGGGTGGCAGAGTAACAAAGTAACCGTAAGATTGTAATGGATGTTTCGGAGGAGGGGAAAAGCGAGTTGATGCAAGGGCGAAGAGGGGAATTGAAGGGGACTTGGGAATTGTTTACACGCGGATCGCCAAAACAAAACACGCTAGCGCGTTTGCCTTTTGTTCCTTCGTTCCACCGGAGGTGATAGTTTCCATAATAATTACTTTATTGTTTAGTCAATAATTAGTACCTATTTTATTCTTTTCTTAAATGATAGAGTAGAATGGAAAGTATTATCACAAATGATGTAGCTATGGTACAATGAGGCCCTTAGGCCGGTCTAGTTAGGATTGTCTATCACAATGGGAGATGGGAACAGCAATATACACAAATCAAAGGCCCTCCAACAGACCAGAAGAATACACAAGATGAAGAAATAAAGGAGATTCAGCAACAATAAACGCCACCCCAATGAAGTAGTAGGTCCCGTCCCAAAATGCATGCAGGTTAAGTTGAACATCACAACGGTTGGCTCTCGTCCAAAGAGCCATGGTAAATTTCGAGTTGCTTGAGGAGATACTGGTACATCACCAGCATAGTTCCGCTTTGAATGCTGGTCCACACACCGCGTGGGCCCACGCCGCGGAACCACCCCGCAAGCCCCTCGGTACGGTAGATCATCTTCAGTCCCGTAAATACGGACGAGGTGTCTAACCGTGGAGCTCCAGGGGGAGAGACCGACGTTGAGGGTGATGAGGTGGATATAGGTCGCGAGTGAGCCCTCGACGACGCGTGGGACTGGGACGAACTCGGCGCATGGGGCCGCGGGCTTTCCTTCGGGACGTGATCGGTCACGGATTTCGCGCTACATAACCCACTGGACTTGGACGGAGGATTCTGCTGGGTTTGGATGCGGGTTTTAACCACATCCAATGGGCAAGTAATCACACCAGCCATTCCACCTGCAGTGGCAGCCGTAAGAATTTCCAGGCCCAACCCAATGTCTCGCTGTCCGACCCATTGCTTCGCCAGGTTTTGCTCTTGCTCGTAGAATGCGAATTGAAGGGCAGAAAACGGAAGATCACGGTAAATTGTAGCTTTGTAGCCGTGATACAGCGCCAAAAAGCCCTCTTGGCGAATAATGGTTCGGAAGGCATCCGTCATGCCGCGGTAGTTGTAACCTGAGTTGAAATGTGGATTGTTGTATCGGCCTTGAAGTTGTAGTCGAGTCTTCAAAACCTCTGAGGGAACGTAAACGATAGACGCCGCTAAATCCGCAAAGAAACCACTCGATAGATATGCGATGTTCTGGTTGATGCCCGCATCGATCATCGCCCGCTTCGTGTACTCGTAACAACCGAAGAACACCACCGTACCGGGGAAAGAGCCGAGCGCGGCTGGTGTTACTCCACCATATAACCCACGGAAGAAACCTTCTTGTCGGTAGATGGTCGCATATGAAGAGGTCATCGATGTGTATCGAGGCGGGATATTCGGGTCGCCTTGTAGCCGGGTTTTGACGGTGTCCAACGAGTGCATCAACATATCACCACATGTTCCTCCTGTTCCACCCGCTAGCATTGCCTATGAATGTGTGTTTTGTCAGTATCCGCAAATTGAATAGTGTAGCCTGTGCGCCACCTGGGATAGGATCATACATGAAGATATGGTGGACGGGGCTCTTCCTCCTCCTCGAACATATGATCACCCCGGGCATGCCGGGTAGTGCCAGGAAGGCTTATCTCATGATGAACCAAAGGGGCCGGGGTTTGCGCTGTCGCAGTCGAGTCCGCCGGAGCCGCCGTTGTCGAGAACAGGCCGAACACTCGCGAGGTCAGGCTCATGGCAATATGAGCCGACACTGGACTCCCGAATACGGTCGGGGCCGGGGGGTAGGGGGGATGCCGATGCTTGAAAAAGAGAGAAGCGATCCCCCGGTTGGATCAGGTATAAAGAGCGACAAGAGAAAGGGAGGTGAGTAATGGAGATAATCCCCCGTTGGTGATCCTCGGGCCCGAATCAAAATTCTGGTCGGCGGTGTTTTTCTTTTCTCCGCCCTCGCCGCCTCAGGCAGAAGATGCGTCATTGGCTTTGCTTTCTGCTGAAGTTGACCGCCTGCTTACAGGGGATATTGCGGGCGTGATGTTCTGCCTCAGGCATATGCACCCGGTTTTTACCGAACTGCTCCAACAACTTAAAAGCATCGCATATCAAGCCCAGGTTGGTCAAATATTAAATCTACACATCCAGAAAATACATGAATATCGCGCAAAGTGAATACCCCTCACTAGATATGATTGCCTACTACTGGCAAATTAAGTTTAACAGTCCCTATGCATTGTCTTGAATGTCCGTGATGATTCCTTAGATATGTAAAGTCTTCCACCTGAATCAAATCCTCCTAAAAGCAGAAGCACATTTTCACGAAATCTCAGGCCGCTCAAACCAAATTCCACTTTCGGCCATCATAAGTGTCAGCTCGGCCTCGTACTTGTGCTCAGTGACAAGTTTGACGTTTCGGAGGATCAATTCCTCCTCGGACAAGATCTTCTTAGATCTTCCATCGCCGGGGCAATTCTGAAACCGTGAACAATCATCTGGGAATTCTTTGATTCTTCCACCATTCTCGTAAGCCCGAGTGATAGCCGTGGCATACCCACTCGAGCCACAGCCTGACCCACATCAAGGTATCTCGTGCTAATAAAAATCATGTACTCTCCACTGAATCTGCGGACCTCAAATTTATAGTACCTCTGGCAGGCCTTGCACGAGGCGAAGAACTTGCTTTCCAGCGACTCGGGGATTTGTCGATATGTCATGGGCCCGGGCAAGGATAGATCCGCTTCGCAGTTCTCAAATTCCTGAGGAAGACACCTGAGTTGATCACACTAGAGCAGAAGACTGATAGGAAGAGGTAAGAAGAAGATCTAGGAAGATAATATAAGACGAAGAGCTGAGAAAGAGCTGAGAGAGAGCTAAGAAGGAAGGGCAAGGTGGAAAGTTAGAGAGATAGAAGGAAGTTACTGGCCTTAGTATCGTCCTTTCCTGTGAGAGAGGAAAAAGTCTTTTAAGCCAGTCAACTGATAATTTGCCGTAGTACTCAGCTTCCCTCATCTCTCAAACTTTACCAAAATCTTCGCTCGCACTTCTTTTCCAGAAGAACGGAAATATTGAGGAGAGAATTCTATAACTCCCGTCATAGTTTCACTATAGTATATTATCAGCATTGAAGAGGTCAAGGACGGGCTGCATATATAGAGCCGGCAGCAGAGGAAATGTAGCAATCTCCTTAGGAATAGGAAGACAAGAATGTCTTAACAGGGCCAGAGGGTGTCTCTTATATAGGGCCTCAACAAAGGAAACAAACGGCGGTTGTACGGAGATCTCCATAGTGGACATCACGTATCATTATATTTGACAGTCCTAGGGGAGCTTCTTGAAATAGAACACCCACGTAGCGTTGTGACTCCTCTCCCCGCTACTTGCTACTTACAATTCATCTATTTGACACAAGTGAAAGACGAAGCATCATTGGGGTTTCCACCAGTATAGGTGAAGACCTCGGGATACGGACACAAGTATGCCGTACGTGTAGCCGAGGTATTCGAAGGTGCCACCGCGACAGCGATGCCTTCAAGGTGGTCCGGTACAGTACCATTCTCAACCCACGCCTGGAGAGTCCCGAAGACAGTCTGAGCCGGGTCAAAGCCGGGACCAAACCCGCAATGGGTCACTCCGGGAGCCAAGAAGAACCGGTAATAGTCTGCAGCGTGGGGATCCAGCTCAAGGACCCGGTTGTAGTAGTCCACCGTGCCGTTCGTGGGCACAAGCTGGTCCTGCATACCATGCCATGCGATCATCTTCGTCCCTGCCCGCTTCATCTTCCTGAGATCCGCATTCCCAGTTCCAATCACAGATGAGAATTGGTGAATTGATTGGCGGAAGAGACGGTCGTAGTCTTGGAGGGTGAGGCTGCTTGTGTTGAAGGAGGCGTCGCGAGCGAGGAAGACCTTCACCCAGTCATCGCTAACTGAGAATGGGATTATTGTGCAATCTTCGATTGAGGTGCATGTTGTACCGATCATAGACGCCAGGTTGGAGTCGTAGTGGAAGCCGTACCACTCGAAACGTCCATCTTCTGATTGAGGTCCTTCCCAGACTGCAGCAACGAGGTCGGCCATCTTTTTGGTGATTGTGACTTCGCCACTAGGATCGATACATTGGACCTTTTGTCCAATCAGGGATGAGGCTTGGAAATGACATTGCCCTGGCAAGGCAATAATTCCATCTTTCACGCCGTCGAGCTCATCGCATGCTTCAATGGCCGCGTTGGTGAACGCGTCGAGGACACAAGTTGGCGGTCGTACATCTGTATTCAAATTAGAAGTTGTTCAAGCAATCCGAATTGTGCGCACGAGATAGAGAAAAAAACAGTCGAGAAGAGTAGAGTGTGATGCATCACGGAATCTCCCCAAACGCGTAGTTCCACTAGCAAATAGGTCTCATAACCTTAACACGGAAAAAGAAAATGTGTCACTTACCAAGAATCTGAGCTGTCAAGGGACCCCACCATCCAGCGATAGCAAACTTGTCCCAGTTGACTGCTGGAGCACCACCCACAATTCCATCAAAAAGTTCGGGATATTGCTGGGCCATGGCATGTCCTTGACGACCACCAGTGGAGCAGCCATGCCAGTAAGAATATTCCGGCTCGCATCCGTAATACAGTTTTGTAGCCGCTTTTCCAAGCACGGCTGCCTCTGCGATGGCGACGGATGAAAAGTCCCAAACATTAGGCCAGTCGATATGTCCGTCCTTGGTCAATGCCCAATCCCCCGTCGCAGCGGTATTGTCATGTCCTCCATCTGTAGAAGAGGATGCGTATCCTGCCAGGACCGGTGCGAGAACCTCGGCCTCACCACCAGCATACCAGGCACCACCACCGTCCATCACGAATCGGGAGTTCCAGTCTTTGGCATCGAGGGGCAGCCCTATGTACGTGTTTACGACGTCTCCCTGGCCGCGGTGTGTATAGGTGATCGTGATCAAACAGATATCCACGGTCGGCGCTGGGGTACCAGGTATGTCAGGAATAACACCTACACCGCCAGTGGCGTTGCGACCGCTGGTAGAAAGATTGTGGACAGCATTCACATCGAGAGACCTGATGTCGACGCCTTTGAGTTTAAGCGACTTGAAGGTCTTCGTAGTACATGGGGAAGCGTGAGATGCTAAAGCACCAGGAGCAAGGCCCGAGAGGGCTGCCATTACGGCCGCTATGCGAAGAAGCATGATTTCCCGAAACCAAGAATCCCAATTGGTTTCAAAGAATCCGGAGAAGGATTTTCAGGGACAAGAATGATTTTTTCGATTTCAAGCAACAAGTCTGAAATGGAAAACTAGATTTGTTTTATACACTGAATTCCAACGCTGCCTAACGGTACTAGCAACAACAGTATCCCTTTTTAACCATGGACTTTCATTAATGCAAGTAAGCAATTAGATGCAGACCACCTGGTTGGGATTCTAGTGCCCTAACCTTGCTAATCAGGAAACCGAACGGGCACGGAACCAGACACCGGGCCTCGATAAAGACTTTCTTGATATTGGTCTCGTATTTTAGTGCACTTTCTCAAAGAGTTATTCGGAGAATGAGCCATGTTCGTGCAGCATGAACATAAGGTCGTCGAGTCTGAGTACTAGATTAGGGTTAGTTAAATGCGCGTTGGGCTTGGCATCTTTATGCAAATGCCAAATCTGGGGGATCACGTCATCAGGGTCCTGAACATCCATATGGGACTTAATCGGTAGAGTGGGTAAAAGATTGATCGGAATTATCGGGTGGCGCTCAAATCTTACATGTCCATTTACCCAATGAAGCTGACAGGATCTGGATGGCGTTGGGCGATACGATGTTGCGGTAAAGTGCGGGAATCGCCAAGGCCAGACCACATAAGCAGAGAGGGTATGGCGCCAAGCATAAGCTGGGCTCATAGCAGAGGTACCGGATGGAAGATTCCGAGATTTAATATGCTTCTCTATATGTTCCAAAAAGAAAAGCGGACCTTTCCAAAGAAGGCCATTGCTGGACGAATCTAGTAGAAACGGAACTTGATCCTTTGACCAATGGAACGGGACACTAGCCGATACGAATGCATTGGCCACATGTTGCTGGGAATAGTCAAGTCGATTTTGTGAGCCCAACTTCACGCTCAGTGGGAGATGTGGCTCGGAACTGAGCCGCAATTAGATCATCTTCGATATTTACCTAACTTGGAGAAATGACAGTTCAAGTGACTTACTACTGTGGCTGGGCACATATTTCTAGAAAGTTTCTAGTTTTGTCAGCATGGATCCAAGGATAAAGTTGAGAATAGAGCAATAATGATGGAAATAACCAGAGCCAATTTATAACTTGTGCAAATGATGAGGCAGGGCTAAGAACTGTGTATAACCTGCTTGTCCACAGAGATTTCGAGGTCACACAACGACCACCTGGGAAATTTTGCAAGATTCAACCTCTACTACCGATGTATTCAATCCTGACATGACTCTCTAAGTCTCTATGGGGGTAAATGATAAAAGATTTTGACAAAAGATACTCATGGGCGGCGTGAAGTGCGTTCCCCAATTCAGGAAGAATGAGTCTTAGCAGCCATGTCTGCTATTTGTCCTGAGAGGAAAACCTCAATGTAGCATTGAATCTCATCCATCGATCGTGAGCAAACAACGAGGTGCAATCAACACTGGCACATTTGATACTCCGGGTCCGAACTCTGGGCGGCAACCTCAACTACATCATAGCCGAACACTTCGGCATTCTTGCCGGCAAGTGGCGACGCTCCACCCCCGGACATTTCCCCGCATCTTCGGAACTACGATCATATTCACAACCCACAGTATTTTTCTCTCCGGCCAAGTTTTTGGAAGATATTGCTTCCAGAATCAGACAATCTACAATGTCACATATTAGATCCGATCGCTCAAAACGAGACCAATATACCCCACATGCCTGGTAATCACCCTTTTCGTCCAAAACGCTTTGACCAGGGTAATTGCTAACCTAGAAATTCAAGCCACGAGTGCCATAGACGGAAAGTAAAGGTATCTTTCCATAAGTTCGATCTTTGTGTGTTGTGACTCTGGCTTATGAAAGCTGCCGCAGTGCTCCGGGGGCCCAATATGCTCCAATTGCGAAACAAGAGGCATTGAATGCGCGTTTGAGGAATACAAACCTCGCGGCCGAAAGCCGAAGAAGCGCGATTCCGAGTTCCTTATGGGGTATGGAGACTCTGAAGATTGAAGTCTCTTCATTTATGTGATACTGAGATCCTTTATTCAGTGACCCTTTTTCTCCGAAACATGCCCGACCGAAGAAGAGACAACAAACCGCTTCAATGAAAGCTCAGCTAGCTCGGTTACAGCGAAAAGTGGAAGAACTATGTCAAAATCACCATCAGGTAGACGATGAAAATACGCGAGCATCGCAGAGGTCCCCTGCTGAACCTTTCTCTCAACTTTCTTCGCCATCCAATAACCTACTTACCATGGATACTCCCAACTCGGCAATCGATAGTCGTCTCCTATCGCCGGAGGTGCCCCATTCCCCACAATATTATTTTGCGATCTTCCAAACAACGGACACCTTTGTTGCTAAGGCTACATCCCCCAGCAGTCCTAGCAGTATTGCCACGAGTTCTCAGATCAGAGCCCTCCGGAAGCTCGGCAAAGGCAGAGACACACCACAATCACAGCGAGTGTCGCCGAAAATCACGAAGATTGTTCAGTTACCCGAGTGCTCTATACTATGGTCCCGCGTGGAAGCATTTTTGCAGGAATTTGGATGTTTTTGGCCCTTTTTGCGCAGTGAAAAAGTTCGTGACAGATTATCGATCGCCATAAGCTCGATGACAAGGGGTAGCGAATCAAGTCAATGCGTCGTCACCACGGCAAATTGCAAGAAGATTGCCATTCTATTCAATATGTTGGCTTACGCGGACCTCATGGACGAAGTGTACACTACTACTGACTTTGCGCCCGGGTCTCAGTCCTATTGCCAAGGGCTGAGTTTGATGGAGTCTTTTGGGATGCTCCATGATAACGACTTGGAGACCATGATATACCACACTATCGCAGCATCCTTTTTCCTGGCCGCTGAAAAGCTCCACACAGCTTTGCAGAGTGCTTCTCAAGCTTTTAACATTGCTCGTTGTCTAGAGCTGAACAACCAAAAGCGATGGCCTGAAAACACGGAAGACGAGATTGCTTGTCGGCAGTCTCTTTGGTGGACATTGTATTTCCTCGACAAAAGAATCACCCAGAAAATCGGTATATCGTACTCTGTTCGAGAGAACGAGTGTGGTGTCAGGGAGTACGTTGAAGATGGAACCGAAGATGGGTTACACGATCATCATGAAATGCTCCAAAGCATGATCAACTACAGCCATTTGTGGTCTTACATCTGGGATAACTTTTTCTCTCCACGAGCTTCGGTGAAACAGGTTGACTTTGATGAAGTGGAGTTGACAGATACCAAAATCATGCTGGCTTATCGTCGTCTTCCTGATAGTCTTCTCTGGGACTCCCAAATGGCTTTGGAGCACATGAAAGCGAACGATGAGACTCAAATCCGGCGGCGACTTCTCGTTTTCCTGGTAAGAATTCACAAAAGAAATTTCACTTGAAACCTTGCTCTCCCCTTATTTATTTTGTACTAACACCAATCATCAGAGGTTCACATTTCTTCGTCTCAGTATCAGACATAGCCACCTACCATCCGAGAAGTATGAGCGACAGCGTCGAGAGTCATGTATTTCTCTGTGCAAAGGCATGGTCGACGCGGTCCAATCCTACACCGATACATTCGGCAGTCACAAACCTAGTGGCTACTTTTTGACCTCTGCACTGGTAGAGAGTCTATATTGGATCGAGATTGAGAGGCGGCAAGAATCCCCAGTGGTGGAGGCGTGTCATCTTGATAGTGTCAAAGAAACTGCGAGAAGACTACTCCATGATCTCTCGTTGAGTATCGGCGCTGCCTCTAGAGCCTACGAGTCTCTGAGTGATGTTCTTTCCAAGAATGTTTGGGAAGAGCTATTGCAGGCCCCTGAAAATTTACCAGACTTCAGTGAAATTTTCAAAGACGACATTTACTTGCCTGAAGACACCTCGGAAGCGAGAATGGAGATTCAATCGCCCAACTCGAGATATTCAAGTTCTTTGTCAAGGTCCATGCCAGCATGGATTGCTGAGAATGGATTAAATGACCTCGAAGACTTTAACTGGGAGTTACTCATGCAGCCCTTATCTTCAACACAGACCCCAATTATTAGAGAGTGAATAGAGGTTTCCTGCAAGTCTAATAAATAGAACATTTCTCTATGAACAATTTCATCTCACAGCGGCCAATTTGGTTTCATCTCTCTAGGCACTGATTACAAAACCAAGGGAAAAGATTCTAAAGATTATATGTCTTAGGTATGAAATTGTCACTCGAGGCTGTAGGTACAAAGCCTGCTTTATCAGAGTTTCGAGGCCAATTTATCCCCGGCATGCTGCGCTTTCACGTCATACTCCTTCAACTTCTTCTTTAGCAGCTTGCCCGTTGGATTTCTCGGTAATGCATCAATGATCACCACGCCTCCTCTCAACCTCTTGTAGTTGGAAACTTTAGTCGATACGAATGTAGCGATTTCTTCTTGGATGTCCGCGGTGCGTCTTCCATGGTCCGGCTTCAAACTCACAAAAGCTCGGGGGATTTCAGTATCTTCCTTGGAACTCCATATTCCAACTACCGCGGCCTCGTGTACCGAAGGATGTTGAATAATGATGTTCTCGAGCTCCGAAGGTGCGACTTGAAATCTACAGCCTTGTTAGATTCGAAGGGTCATGAGAAAGGTCTAAAAACATACCCCTTGTATTTAATCATTTCCTTCAGTCGATCATAGATGTAAAGATACCCCTGCTCATCCAGATAGCCTAGATCACCAGTGTGTAGCCACCCATGCTCTGAAATCGTCTTTGCTGTCTCCTCTGGATTGTCCTTGTATCCCCTGTCGTATCGTCAGTCTTGCCGTGAGATATTTCTTTTTGAATCACTCACATCATTGCATTTGGTGCCCTGCAGAGAATCTCACCGGGCCCTCGGGCTCCGACGTCTTTCCCGTCAAGATCTACAAACCGGATCTCGCAATTTGCGATCACAGTACCTGAAGCAGAAAGGGGCATTTCTTTGTCGCGAACACCGCTCTGGACGCATGGTCCAGATAGCTCGGTACATCCGTAAGCTAGAGAAAATTGTCAGAGGCGTATCAAAAAGACAGTAGGCACTGAGGTTGTGCTCACTTTGACATAATGCAGCGCGGGGAAACGCTTTGCGCAGCTTCGCCGCTGTCTCTTCCTATTTGATTGAACCAAGAATCAGTATTTCGTGCTAAAAAGTATTCTTCGCATTGGCGCATCACACACATGTAATGGAGCAGCAGAACAACTGAAATACTCCAACTTTGGATATTGGTATTTACCGACAACTGGGCTCTCACCCAGCATCCTGGCAACGGCAGGGACGATTCTTGCCAGTGTGGCTGAACGATCTTGCATCAGGCGGCAGTAGAGCTCTAGATCAAATCGAGGCATCAAACAGACATAAGATCCCAACCAAAGATTCATAGTGAAACAGACGTAAAGCGCATATACATGAGACAACGGCGGGAAGAAAATCTCTCTTTGGGATCCCCGCCAATTTTGAGGATTGTCACTCCGTAGCTGAAAACAAGCGGCAACGAGATTATGGTGTGATAACATCACTGCCTTGGATGCCCCTGTCGTGCCACTCGAAAGCAAGATTGCTGCGCAGGTCTTTCTTGCATCGAATGTATTCGCGCGGATAGGATTGTGTAGTTCCAGTCCTTTCTCCTTCGAGGGCAAATTGACAATAGGAAGTGGTGGCCAGTTCGTACTGGCCTCGCTACCAATAGTGAAGATTGCCATCTCATTTTGTGAACGCGCGTGGTGTGAAGCTTTCGTGATAGCAGGGATTTTGCCGTACAGCGTACTATCGACTATGAAGTATCTCGGTTTGATGAGATCTAAGGCGTGAACGATTTCATCGACGTGTAGACTATTATTGATTGCGCTCACAACACCACCAGCCCACCAGACAGCATGGGCTGTCAAAATGTAATCGATGCAGCTCGAGGCAGAAATGGACACGACATCTCCCGGCCTCAGGGATATCGCTTGTCGCAAATTATATGCCGTCTGGCGAATTTGACGATGAAAGAGTCCATAGGTGACTGTCTTTCCAGTAATTGCCTCCTCGTAGATGATCTTCTCTAGGTGAGTGTTTTCGACCCCATGTTGCATCAATTGGGAAATTGATAGATTGTCTGGAATGGCCGTCCAAGTCGGGGAATAATGGATCGACATTTTTATGATACGGGTCACTGAAAGAAAGGAAAAACTGAGCACTGGTAATATTCAAAAAATCAATGCAGTATTATTTGAATCCTGTGACTGTACTAGGTATGGAGTTTGTTCTTTTTGACTACACATCTACCATCGGAGAGATGACCGCGGCCAGACTCGGAAATTTTATGGACCACGAGAAATCGCCGACGGTCGGAAAGGTTTAAAATTCCGCGGGTAGAAGACCGAAATTACTAGGTCGGAACATGTGAATGGTATTCTTACATATAGGTATGCGCAAAAAAAGATATGTCGTGTTAGACCTTGCGTAAAAAAAGTGGTGCTGATCCTGCGGATATATATTATTCAAAGCTGGGAGGGTGGACAGGTGGACCTCGCCGTGGCCCTTTCAGGTGGTAAACTGTGTTTCAACTTCTATCAATCTGAATAGAATCTGCTTTATGATGTAGGAAGTGCAAAGTTGAGAGATTATAGTAATTATGTTGGTGGTCGAAAAAAAAAAAAAAAAAGAATTCAAGCTTATGCGCCGCAATTCATCCATGGTGTGTGTAGCAGCAAATGCTGCAAAAAGTTGGACTCGCGGGGAATCGAACCCCGGACCACTCCCATGCTAAGGGAGTATTATACCACTAAACCACAAGCCCACCTGTTGTGTGAGAATGGATGAAAGAATGTTATATATACCAAATTAATTCTACATTAGGAAGAAAGCCCCATTCTACGCTCCTTTTGTGTCTTAGTTATTACCATGAGATAGATATTCCACACATAAAACTTGTACTTAATTGCGGAGAAGCAGAGTAATATACTACGAGACCAAACTCTTGATTCGATATCATTGGTCGGCTATGTTCTTGTATCACGTGACACAGCGTGATAAATATGTATCATTTCCATAACCGTATAATTCAGGCACCAGAACACCGATCCCTCGCACGTGACCTATATTTACTATGTATTTATTTAACTGGGTGGTATCTTGTAAAACCTCAGAATTTAGGCATCAAAATACCATCACACTGTCCCTACCATTGGAATATGGTACTGCCCCTACTACTGCAAACGCGAGGCTCTGACATGTAAACGTGGGTTTATCCTGCTACACAGGCGTCCCGTAATTGATCACTTGTAAACTATTTACATGAATCGCCCTCCAGTACACTCGATACAAGTTCCAGTTACATAGGCTGCAAGTGGGCTCGCTAAAAACAACATGACCCTGGCGGCCTCATCCGCTGTACCAGGTCTAGCCAGGGGTATGTCAGAAATGTCACGCCATTTCTTGGCATTCATAGGGATGCCAGGCTTAATTTGTTGCCCTCCAATACTCAGCACTTCTGATTCAGTCGGAGGCCGTGTGATGCGAGTGTCAATCCATCCGTATGCTACGGCATTGGCTCGCACGTTGTATCTAGAGCAAGGTTAACATGTGGGTCAAGGAATGGCGTTCTTTATTTCAGGTTACTTACCGGCCCCATTCGGCTGCCACTGTCTTTGTAAGTCCGACGATTCCTGCTTTAGCTGTTGCATAGTTAATTTGACCCATAGCGCCATGAAGTCCGGACGTGGAAGAAACATTGACGATGTTCTTGGGCATATCACGGAATGCCGGGTCCATCCAGTGCGAGGAAAGAGCCCGCAAAAGGCGGAATGGAGTATAGTTGTGTATTTTCATCACAATGTCAAATTTGGCGTCCGGCATTTTGTGAATAGCGCTGTCATGGCAGAATCCTATTACAAGCTTAGCATACTGTTATCTCAAAAACTTGTGTGAGGTAGGCATACCGGCATTATTGATAAGACAATTGATCTTCCCCCATTTAGCCAAAACTCGAGTCACCAACTGCTCAGGAAAATTTTCATCTAGAGCATCTCCAGGGAAAGCCTCGGCAATTTGTCCCAAGCCTCGAATTTCACGGACAACGTCTGCTGCTTTTTCACCATCGAGATCGTTGATCGCGACCTTTGCTCCTTTTTGGGCAAGGAGAATGGCCGCCGATCGACCAATGCCTGTTGTCATTTCATTAGACGAATCATATCTTCTTCAAATTTGATAAACTTGGCAACTCCTACCCTGAGCTGCACCGGTTATGACTATAACTTGGCCGTCAACCCGCGTGGGATCGATTTCCAAATCATTTGGCCCGAGGTGGCTCTGTATCTGATTCAAGCGGGTGTTGGCCATGATTAATTACCGGTGTGCAGGTTTGTTCTGAAATGAGATTAAACCTGAAATAAACCATTCAAGTCTTTAAGGTAGATCTAATTATTATTTCATTCGGTCCGGTACCGACGACTTACTTGATAGTTCGGAATATTCCAGCCGCGTGGAAATTTACCGAGGCGGTACCCGGAATCCACGGTAAGAACAATTGAGACCGAATGTCTTCTACATGCAAGATTTAGGATATATGTATATCTTAAATCGTCGAGTTTGAAAAAGTCTTCAAGTAAATCAAAATCTGATTTCGTCTCATTTCCTTCTAATTTCGAACATGGCCTCTGCACTCACTTCCGAAATTCCTGGCGCCGACCCGGCCTGGCACCGTCGCCATGATCACCCATACTTCAAGGAAAGTCATTACAAGCTCCAACGATTTGTTCGTGAGTACGTTGATCGGGAGATCGCGCCAAATGTTGAAGAATGGGAGAGAAATGCAGAGGTTCCGGAGGCAGTAAGTCGATGATATCAACCACTGTGATCGCTGATGCTCACACAATGTAGGCTTTTAAGAGACATGCATCTCTAGGTTTTCTGGCAGCCTCAGCGTTTCCAATCCCTAAGGAATATGTAAAGGGTGTGACCTTGCCCGCAGGGTTGAGTGTGGATGGTAAGTACTTCGTTGCAATGAGTTGAGTGTTCATGAATTGATTCGATCTAGAATGGGACGAGTTCCACGATGCGATTGTGAGTTACATCGATAGTAACCTTCAAATTACGCATTCCAAAAATATATAATGACTCTTCAGATCATCGATGAGATGGCTCGATGTGCTTGTTTGGGCACTATCTGGGGTATCAACGGCGGCGCGACCGTCGGAGGCCCTCCCCCTCGACCGCTATGGGTCGCCACTGCAGAAGGAAAAATATCTTGCTCCTCTTCTGCGTGGACAGCAACGTCACTGTCTCTGTGTAACTGAGCCCCAGAGTGAGTGATAATGTCTACGATCACCTATTCGAGATTCTCAATCACTAACGATTTTCAAGTCGGCTCTGATGTTGCCGGTCTCACGACAATCGCTAAGAAAACTCCGGATGGAAAGCATTATGTTCTGAGTGGTGAGAAGAAATGGGTGACTCAAGGCCGTTGGGCGACCCATGGCCTGGTAGCCGCGCGAACTGGTCCTGCGGGTGCTAAGGGTATCTCCGTGTTTATTGTGCCTCTGGATAACGAGAAGATTTCGAAAAGGAAGATTGAGAATTCCGGCGTCAGCTCCAGCGGTAAGAGTCCCTTGCAATATCTCTTATCAAAGTCCGAGGCCTAACCAAGCGGGTGACTAGGATCAACTTATATGGAGTTTGACGAAATCCTGGTGCCCGCTGAGAACTTGCTAGGCAAGGAGAACCAGGGCTTTGAAATCATCATGTCCAGTGAGTATCCGTATCAAAGACTGATCTACATACCTAGGCTGACCATTCTATCTTCTATGAAGCCTTCGCCCACGAGCGACTGTGGGTTGGTATCACAGCCCTTCGACTCGGTCGCGTCGCCTACGAAGACTCATATCGATATGCCTTGAAGCGTGAGACATTCGGCAAGCCTCTTTTCGAGAACCAAGTGATTCGCCAGAAATTCTCGCGAATGGCGAACCTGCTCGAGCCAACCCAAGCGTACGTGGAGGAGCTAGTATACCGATCCGTTCGCTTACCGTCTCTTGATTTCTCCCCTTTGGCTGCCATGCTGAAAGTGCAGGCTGCACACAACCTGGAAAAGATATCCCGTGAGACACAGCAGGTATTTGGCGGTCTTGGGTATTCTAGACAAGGCCAAGGACAGAGAGTGGAGCAGATCAGCCGCGATGTGCGTGTCTTGGTTGTGAGTGGTGGCAGTGAGGAGATCTTGCTTGACATGATTGCCAAGCAGCAACGCAAGTTGGCACATCTTTGAGGGGAAACCATCTGCCAGGGAGATTGAATGATGTATAACACAGCTTCGCTTAGTGGAGCTAAGGGCAACATGCGTCACAATCTCCATAGTTGGGGTATTCCGAAATCCTTGTATAGTTTCTAGATAGCTCGGGTGATATTACGCCGAAGTATGCAGCAGCTCCAATATCATATTTTGCCCTGCGACTACTTGGAAATTCACGATTTAGAGAATTAGTTCCAATGCAGTTTCCTCCAAGTCCTGTCTCATTATACTCAAGGTGAGGGGCATATCAGTTGCATCTAACAAATAAGACCGTCGATGGTCTCGTTTTCTTCTTAAATTCATGAATTGGGGTCAGGAATCGTGTCCCTCACTACTGCGGGGTAAATAACTGGGATTCAGTTGTTTCGCATATCTTGCATGCGCTTTCTTGCAGGTCAGACGGAGATTCTCCGAAGTACGCATGTCAAATCCTACTATTTTTTGGCTTGCGTTTAGCCAAGAAAGGGAAACTATCAATAGCAGTCGGAGGTATGCCGAGCTGTATCTTTCCTTGGTGATATCAGTGCAAGCAAAGTCTATCAGTTTGATTCTGAACGTATAGCAAAGTAGGGGGATCATGCAAAAAAGCAATGCAAAACTGACCTAGGCACTTGCCAATTGCAATTAAATTTTCTATGTTAAAACCAAAGTCTTTAGTAAAATCTCCTGTCTCTCGAACATAGCTATGGGGTATGGCTGCTTGAAAAGGTATCTTGTCTTTCGAGGTCATTCATAACACATTCTCAGCACGGAGTATCTCCTGCCATGTTAACTCAAGATACAGAGTACATACACACAGGCAAAAGTACGACGGAACAAAGAAGGCAAGTGTGCCCGCTGCGCCAAGAGGGTTAGCGCCGGCGAGTCCTGCCGTAAACTGAATTTCCGATGATCTCAAAAGAAACAAACAACTCTAGATTTCTCATGCAGACATGATTGTCTCAACCCCCGCAAGAACCAAAAAAGAAATCTATGTCTAAAATGCTGGCCAATGCAAAATATGTCGTCATAAAACAGATACATAACCCCCATTCCAAGTCTACCCCGAGTTCCCCAATAACCCGCCCCACTCAAACCTCCCTTGCGACCCCCACGTTCTCTCTCGCAGCATTGCGACTCTGTTTGGCCTCGCGCTGGAGATCACGCGCATACTTGACTCCAAAACCATGTTGAAAGACTTCCCGGATATCCTCTAGCGTCATGCCCTTGACGTCCGGGTAACAGAAAATCACTCCAATCCAGCCGAAAAAGCACACCGCTGCGTAGAAACCGAATGCACCTGATGGCGTGGTATTTGCCATTTGTGTCAGAAATGTAGAGGACACGATAACATTCGAGCCCCAGCAGCTCATAGTAAGCATCATCGTGCCTACAGCGCGGACTTCGAGCGGGTAGAATTCAGAGGACATCCAGGCGATGTTGCCTGCACCGGCGGAGTAGAATGCCACGAATACGACCATACAAACGAGGACGATATCAGCAGCCCAGCCATTCTTGTGCGAGGTGAGTTCAAGGTTGTGGTTGAGGGGGATCCAGTGGAAACTAATTGCTGCGACTGCTAACGCAGCGGCCATCACCCATAGTGTATGGAGGAGGATCTGGCGACGACCGACGCGGTCGACTAGAAGCAGATTGATCCAGGTAAAAATGAAATTTGTTGCTGCGATGATGGTTCCCACAGCGATGGGTTTGTCAAAGCCCACGGCAGCGAAGAGAGTTCCCGAGTAATAGAGGATTGAATTGAATCCGCCGAGTTGAGAAATTGCCATGAGGCCACATGCTGCAAACATAGCCCGGAAATTGGCAGGGACCACGTAAAGCTGTTTGATCTGCCACCAGAGACTCTTGTCTTCGTTTCGTGTCTGGTCAACGTGGATCGTTATGTGCTGCACCTTCTGTTGCACCTGTAGTGGGGCTCCATCCGGGAAGATCTTTGCAATGACCTTGGCTGCTTCGTCTGGTTTATGATGGTAGACTAGTTGTCGCGGTGACTCGGGACAGAACGGGAGCAGGGCGCAGAGGATTATGGCCGGTACGGCACCGATAGCTGCCATGTATCTCCATCCGGCACTGACGCTGGCAAAGGCAGCACCGATGCCGTAGCTGATGAGTTGGCCGGTGGTGATGGAGAGGTTGTCTAGACTGATCATACGCCCACGATATTTGGCGGGTGCTACTTCAGCTATGTATAGCTGGCAGGGTCAGTCAATTGAATACCAAGGTGACCGGGGCTATGAGGAACGTACTGGAACAATCATTGCGGCGGAACCAACGCCCAGTCCCACGATCAAACGGCCAACGGTCATCTGAGCGATAGAGAAGGAGGTAGCTTGAATGATAGCCCCGATAATGAAGAGAATGCAGCCGTTATAGATTCCTAATTTTCGTCCGTATCGATCTGCACATAATCCAGCTACCACGCCACCCACGAAGGCGCCACCCGATGTAATTGACGTGATCAACTCCTTTGTACTGCTGTTCAGAGACTGCCCCAGATCATCGTTTAGCACGACGAGAATTGAAGAAATAATGCCAGTGTCATAGCCGAATAGAAAACCACCAACGCCAGCGGTAATCGAGACTAGCCAGGCGTATTTGCTGCAGCGGGTTGACTCGATCGTGTCGAGATTTTGGACGTTCATAGACTCGACATGTTCAATTGAGTCTTTCAGGTCATCCTCCTCGAATGAGGATTTTCGACTATGGTCACTCATTGTGGTCGTTCAGGTTCGTTCAATTGGGACTGTAGGGACAGGAATCTCCAATATTGCCGAGTTCGGGCAGTTCTCAAGGTCTGACTCCACCAAGACTGCAAGCTGACCGGTTTATATGGCCGCAATGGTCAAGACCATGATGTCGAAGCGGGACTATTATGCATTATCCCGGGAGGAGTTCGTTGGCTAGAGCTGCCGGAAGAATGACGAGCTGGCTAGGGAAAGCCGTCCCGCATGAGATCCACTCCCCAACCACCAATAGCGCCCAGGCTAGTATGGGGCTGATGGCCATCAGATTGCTGAGCTGCATGGCTCATTCCTGGCAGGACAACAGTTTCTGTAGGCTTCCTGACATGGAATTGAGAATGATCAAATTCAATACCTCATTCGAGATATAAATTCCACAGAGACAGGCGAAACCACAAGTCACGAGACTTTATAGAAAATACAGTTTGTGTGGCAACAGCCAATCAGAAAACCCGCAAATCCCCAGATTTGATACCCCGCACTTCCCCCGTGTGGAGATGGCCGGCGACGCCTGCCTTCAATTTCCTTCTTTACCAGGCTCTTTCCCCATCGACTTCCCAATCTCTCTTGCAAGCTATACAGATTCTGCTGCCACTATGCGGCGGAATAAGGCAGTTCCCTGGTGAGTCGCCCCACTTCGGCGAGAAAGTATACCAATCACTAACGGAGTAATTGTAAAGCCAGGAATGCCGCAGTAAGTGCGCCGATGAACTATGATGGATGCGGCCTACTAGGCCATGAACTGATCACTGAATGATTGTATCGTGTTAGATCGGCATGTAAAATGTGAGTCTATACCCAGAATACCCAAAATTGTGGAAGAACGCTAACGAACGGTGCCAGGTGATGGGCAAAAGCCGACATGTCAACGATGCGAGCGGACCGGAGCATCTTGCGTATGGCAAGATACTCCCTCAGGTTTCCGACATGGCTCTAGTGCAAGTGCCCGGTATGACTTTGCCGATGATCAGCCCTGGCTTCCCATCGGGCGTGGTAAGTTTACTTCGTTCTCTTCATCGCATTCGATTCCCAGTACCCAGCGAATCAATTGCATTATTGCAGCACCTTCGGGCTATGATGTTACCGATTGCAGTTACTGAACCAAGACGGCAGTGGACTACAAGTATGTGGATGAAACAGCCGACATAGCCCGAGGCTACACCCTAGGCGAGGGATGCAATGCATCACCATCCCCGCCCTTGGCTCCCGAGAGGCGTGAGAGCCAACTATCGATTGACCATCGGACCCTGGCCGAGCCATCTATTTTGAGCGATCCCGTCGGCTCTTATTCGTCCGAGCATTGCCTACCACCACCGAATCGGCCCGAAAGTAGCCATTTGACTGGGTATTCTCCATATCCCTTGCAGCTGTCTCCGAGGCATCACTCTTCGGTTTCATCTGCTTCACCTCACTTTTCTCATAGCAGCCAGGCCTCGCCTGGGACGACTAGGGACTTGGTTTCCCATATTGATAATGGATTTGATCGTGGACTTCCTAATCTTAATGAACATGAAGCTTGTTTGATGCGTTATTTCGTCGTTCAGCTTGCACCTTGGGTAATAATTGGCATTTCCCCTGTTTCTTGCACTCCGCTTGGACTAACCAGATCGAACAGTTCGATATATGCGATGGGGAGAGGCATTTTGCTTGCACAGTACCCCTCCGTGCTCGAACATGTCCGCCTCTGCTAAACGCTATCTATACGGCCTCGGCAAGACACCTGAGCCGAGTCAAAACATACTACAAGGGGGGCCAAGTCCATTACGGTGGCAAAGCCCTTCCAAACCTCACACCCGAAACCGCCATCCACTACCACAACGAATGTATAGCACACTTTGTCTCCCTGTCAGACCACTCCCGCGAGGCGCAGGATGAGAATCTTCTCGCTGCAGCCGTCATCCTCCGCTTCTACGAAGAAGTCGACAGTCAGTCGGCCCGCCTCCCCCTACTTATCCTGTGCTAACAATACATTTCCAGTGCAATCCATGCCTGAAGACTCCGAAAGTGCCCTCCGCGGTATCCAAATATTCCTCGACGCCCAAGCCATATCCGCCGTAGAAGGCTGCGGTCTGCGTCATGCAGCATACTGGATCGCCCTGCGTCAGGAAATCATCACAGCCTTTAGCAAACAACGAACCTTCCGCCTCCCCCTCGGTCCCTGCGAACCCTACCGTACCTTTGAACCAGCCGACGACTATGTTTGGGCCGATCGACTAGTGATTCACTGCGCCGACGTGTTACAGTACTGCTTCGGTTCGGAAGAAGAGAACCTCCCACGCGACACATACCAATCAAGCTCCAGTATGGGCGTACTATATCCACCGCCCACCACGGATAGGCGCATCGCGCGCTATGAAGAACTAGTCGCATTCGAGACACTCTGGGCTGAAATGGGCCCGCCCAGTTTCAAACCCATCTACTCACGGAAACCGGATCGTTCGCGCGGCGAGGTCTTTCCCGAGCTATGGTATTTAAACAATTGCCATGTGGCAGGCCTACAATTCCTCGAGCTTGCGCGCATCTTGCTCACAGTATACAACCCCAAGATACCTCGTCTAGGACCCGGACAGCGCACTGCAATGCGCACGGTGGATCGAGAGGTACGCGCGATCGTATTGAGGCTGTGTGGCACGGCGCTTTCGAATCAGCATAGCCCGCCGGGAATGGTGAATGCGTTCGTGGCGATTGGAATGTGCGGTGATCGGTTTACGGATCGATTGGAGCAGGAGGGTCTTCTTGGGGTGCTGGTCAAACTGGAGGATGAGCATGCGTATCCCACGACGAGTACGCGGGAATTGTTGAAGAAGGCGTGGGGGTGGGATGGGTATGATGCGTCCGAGTAGGATGGATTGTGGATAATGTGTACTGTGTACTATCATCAATCAATGCACTCTGTACAACTCAATTAGCTTCATAAGCTATTGTGGTCATCTTCGCAAAAAAAAAAAAAAGCTGCCTCCGCGATGCGGAAAACAATCCCCAGTTCACTCCACGCCCGGCAGAGAGTTCAGCCCACAATTGCATCGCCCATCACAATCAAGTACCTGAAATCGTGACACATGTTCGTTCTCCATCTCCCCATCTCAATCAAATTTTTTTTGGATCTTGCGTCCACAACGACCACTCAAATAAACGATCTAGCGGTCGTGGAGAGCACGGCGAAACAACGAGTGCGGGGAAGTGGAGACTCCCCGGCCACGAAGGGAAATGCTCGCCGGACTCCTACTTGATGCAGTTCCAGTCTTCACGAATTTAGACTGATCAGCTTCAATTCTTGGTGATGGTTCGCCGAGGGGCAGGAGGGTGCAGCGAGGGGCAGTAATAGCTGTGTTATCCTGCAGGTAGCAGTGTCCAGCTATTTAACAGCAAAATTCCCTCGCCATGGCCATTGAAGCATTGCATTCTCTTCAACTCCCTTCGTCCTCCTTTCCTGCATTCAATTCATATACTACAACACCATCACAATGTCTCAGAAGCTCCAGGTTGCAGTTGCAGGCGTTGGCCGCATGGGTACGAGATCTCCCCTTCTCTCCGAAAAAAAAATAATGTTTGGTCAATTGAGCATTGCGCAATTGCAATTGACCCTCTCCAAACTAATTGCTAACTGACTTGTACAGGCATGCGCCATGCCCGTCACTTCGCCACGCTCACTCCCCGCGCTGAGCTGATCGCCGTCTGCTCGCCAATCCAGTCCGAGCTCAATGCTGCAAAGGCCGAGTTCGGTTGCCGCACTTACACCGATTACGAGACTATGTTGAACGAGGAGAAGACTTTGCAAGCTGTCGTCGTTGCTAGCGCTACTACCGTGCACGCCGAGCAGGCTATTAAGGCTATTGAGCGGGGTCTGCATGTTCTTTGCGAGAAGCCTATCTCTACCAGTCCCGAGATTGTAAGCTTTTCCCTGGCTCTCAGCGAGACAATATACACCTTGTACTAACCCACATCCAGTCCCAATCCGTCGTCGACGCCTACAAAGCCTCCATCAAAAAGTTCCCTTCCCAGAAAGTCATCTGCGGTTTCAGCCGCCGTTTCGATGCCTCCTACCGCGACGCACACTCCCGCATGGCTGCTGGAAACATCGGCACGCCATCCGTCTTCCGATCGCAGACCTGCGATAAGCTCGATCCTAGCGGTTTCTTCGTGGCCTATGCCGAGTTCTCGGGTGGGATCTTCGTGGACTGCAGTATCCATGATATCGATCTTGCGCTGTGGTTCTTTGGCGAGGATACTAAGGTTAAGAGCGTGACTGCTGTTGGTATTACGGCTGTGCAGCCTGATCTGCGTAAGCACAATGATCGGGATAATGCGCTTGGTATTATTGAGTTCTACGTGAGTGGTGGACCCTTCTGCACCGTCCATACCATTACGTATTGAAACCGATTCTAACTCGTATCTTTTTCTGATGATAGGGCGGCAAAATCGCCCAACTCTACTGCTCCCGCATGATGGCCGCCGGCCAAGAAGACTGCACCGAAATCTTCGGCACAGAGGGCAAAATCGCCATCAACACCCAGCCCCAGCTCAACCTTGTCAACCTGTACGAGTCAACCGGTATCCGGCGCGAGATTCCCGCAGACTACTACGGGCGCTTCCGCGAGGCGTTTATCACCGAGGCGAATGAGTTTACTGCTTCTTGTTTGGATAATACTAAGCCTCCTTTGCAGTTGGACTCGGCTGTTAAGGCTGTTGCTATTGGATGTGCGCTGCAGGAGTCCCTGATTACGGGGAAGAAGATTGAGTTTGATGAGAGTGGGAAGAGGGTTGAGGTTTCCCATCTGTAGGGATGGATTATATGAATGATGGCTTGTCATGTTATGTTTTGTGATGGCTTTTTACAGCATAGACTGCTTCAAGTGAGATGAATGAATATAGACTTCTGAGAATACAGGATAATCGTCTTGTACCGAATAATATTGGCAAAAATGAAGGGGGGCATACATAGTTTCTATTTTGAGCAAAGGGTAAAACATGATCAGAAAATGAAGAGAAATAAGGCCGAAGGATTGAAGAATGCAACGTCAATTTGGGGGCGACTGGGGGCGAAAGCCTACTTAGGTAATGAAGCACGTGGACAGCATAGGTGCGTTTGAATAATTTTTTGAGTCCTTATAAAGCAATGTTTGTTTAGGGGGTAATGTACTGGTGTTTTACAATCAATTGAACTTCCATAATAGGTATCGCTCATGTAGCATCAAAGTCCCGGTTATCAAATGAGAAAGTTTTCCATATGGTGCTTCACAAATACGTCCCGGCGAAAAGCCGTTGGCCCCATTAGAGTCAGTGATTCTCTCCTCGAATCTTTCCCTACCTTTGTCTACGTCATCTCATAGTGTTTTCTTCAATCTATATTAGGATCAAGTTACGAGAAAGTTTGGACTCTATTGGGGGGTACTAGATGCTATTTTTTGGAATAAATCGACCCATACCAATGTTCTTCGTAGCCTTAGGAGGGTTCAGCTCTCTAAATCCACGTCGCGAAGAAATCCTGATCTATCCCTGTCAGTTCCACGTCAGATCTATTCTCATGTGGTTTGGGGGCTCCTCATTTCCCAAGACGGTCTGCATACGTTTCAGGGACACTGCCCCCTTATAGCCTTGTGAATAATGAGTCTTGAAACACGATCCTAGCCTTGCACTAACAGAAGAATGGATATAAAGCCATGATTATCTCTCAGACAATGACCTTCTATTACTCACTATTCTCTACTCATAATCTATCATTCCTACCCTGAAAATGAAATCCACACAACTCATCTTCCTCCTTTCCACTCTCACTGCTTTCACAACCGCCGAGTTCTGCCAATGGACAATGCAAAGAGTTTCAGACGATGACCCTAAGCCAGGAGCTTACAAGAACGCTGGCAAGGTTCTACTCAACAGAGACTGCGAGCTCGGGGACAATAAACACAGCGTCGCTCCATTGGATCTAAACTCGTGCATTGAGAACAAGGGTGGTAAATTTGTTGCAGTGAACAAGTAAGTAACAAAATCATAATCCCATTAGTTCTAGAAGGAACAAACTCTAATATGTTTTCTCGTGATAGTGGAAACGCCTTCTCGTCGTGTGACGTGTATACTTGTTCATTTGGCGATAAAGACTCGATCGAATGCGGTGATTGTGGCCAGGCAAATGGCAAGATCTCAATTCCAATTGGTAGGTGGATTCATTTTTGATTCGGAATTGATCGAATTTGCCTTAACTTACACTGAATAGATGAGGTTGCAAAGGCTGTTGGCAAGAATGGGGAGAATGCGGCGTGCTTTACTCATACCGTTACTGCAACGACGTCAACCTATAGCATGATTCCAACTGGCTCTCATTAATTGCGGGGCTTTACCAATTGTTCAAATTTCTTATTTGGAGGTTGGAGGCAGTGAAAAGGAGAAATTGCACGCTTGGTCAGGGAAAATGCAGGTCTGGGGAATAGTTTTTCTCTAATGTTTCAGACTCCAAAATAGATAACTGCTTTTTGACATCAAACTTTTGCCTGAATTTCAGTAGAGTAAGATCTATGGTTTCGCTTGGTTTGCTTCTTATCCAGTCACGGCTATCTCCTGAATATCTCTGGATTATCTATTGCTCGAAATTTCGGGGATGATTTCCTACAAAGCTACATCAGCAGATTGCATATAATATCGGCAATTAGTAGAACTCACATTGAAAAGTTTTGCCTTCTCCTCTATAGAGTCATCATGACCATGCTTCTCGAAGCTTTTGAGTGCGACCTGCAGTTTATAGGCCTGACTAGAGACAACGTGCTGTGGATCGTTGACACGTCAGCTCCTCACTCTTTAACGTGCAAAAGAAAAGATATAAATACCTCTTCAATGGTCCCTTTCATGATATAACGGCTCACTATCACCTTCTTAGTCTGGCCGAGACGGAGGGCTCGGCCAATTGCTTGTTGTTCGACCATAGGGTTCCATTGCGGTTCGAGAATATGTACCCTCGTTGCACTAGTGAGGTTCAATCTGGGATAGTGTTAAAGACCCATGGCCAGAAACATGCAATTCGAGATGAGTATTCATCTTTGACTTACCCCACAGCCCCTGTTCCAATGGTCATGAGCAATACCATCCGCTCCGGGGCATTGTCAAACCCACGTAGGGCACGCTGTCGCTCAGCATTGGACACCGAGCCGTCGATTCGCAGGCAATCAATACCATGATGCTGTAATATGGCGCCGACCAGATCTAGGGTACTTTGCCAAAATGAAAATACAATGCTAGAATTCATGTCAGGAAAGTTCAGATCAAATAAAGGGCATAGCAATGGTGAGGTGTTACCATTTTTCGCTGGGTGGCTGCTCTGCAATCCTCTTTACCAGAGCGCGTAGCTTGCTGGACAAAATAGCCCTGTGGATAGCCTCATTACTTGCATCACGGCTTGAGGTGATCATTGGAGCTCGTGGTGTGTTCGAAGAATCCTTGGTGAATCTAAAAGGGATGTGACCGGTCGGGCCACAGAGGCTAGGGATCTCTGCTCTGCAAGGGCCACGCTCCATTTCATCTTCTTTTTGCCAAATTTTGACGTTCCGCTCAGTCTCGATTGGGGCACTCGTAATGCATGGCCTCTCTTTTGCCGCGCTGGGTCCATTGTTACAAAAGAGTCTCAATTCATGAATCGCTGTGAGAATCTGATGGCTGGCATTCGCGGTGTTCCTCAGACTGATGGCCATCTCAAGTTTTGCTCTGTGACGCCTCACGATGTCATTGTAACTTTGTGCCTCGGTGTTGGAAAGCTCGAGGTACAGTAAATCGACAGTGGGGTCGTCGAGATAGCCGATCGCTTTCGTCCTACGGAGGCAAATACATCCAAGCAACGAGCGAAGATTATCGAATCGGTTGGATACACTGCTGTAGGTTTGATTTGTGATGTGTACTCGAAAGACCTCTGGATCTTCAAGAAGGGGCACCTTGAGGAACGATACCAGAGCGCCTAAATCATCGACCTTGTTTTGTATGGGCGTGCCCGTTAGACACCAACGTCGAGTTGCCGAGATTTTGGAAACTGCGGCGTGTTTTCTCGTTCCTCTTGTTCGTATGTCGTGGGCTAGAATGTATGTTAACAAGTGAAGTTTTGGCCTATCGCAGCTATGCGTACCCTCATCTAGTACTAAACGGTAAAAGTCGGTTTTGTGGAGAAGACCTTTCCCTCGTTTCAGCTCGGACATGGCGGTAGCATAGGTGGTCAGCATTATGTCTATATGGTGCAAGCTTTCGGTCTGGGATTCCCGCGATTGACCGTGGTATTTGCAAGCCACAACCGTTCCTGGTCTGATTCGCCTATTTTCAGTCCCAGGTTAGTAACTGCTAGACTAGAGGTAAAAGTCTCTCACGTTTCTATCTCCTCGAGCCATTGATTCATAAGAACTTCAAAAGTCAGTCATAATCATTCAGATGTGGAGGTAGGGCTTTTGATTACCTTCTGAAGGAACCACAATCACCGTTGCTTTGCTTCTCTGGCGCATCAAAGTCCCAGGAGGCTTGGACAGTAGCCAAGATTTCGCGCCACTAAGAGTGCTGAGTATTGTTGCTAACGTTGTCAATGTCTTTCCCAGGCCCATCTCATCTGCAAGTATGCCGCCAAATGGGCCAGCTAAGGGGTCAAGTGTCTTTGATCCGGTGATGGCATGTCGGTAACTTTTATATCGTAGCTAGGTTAGCAGGTCTTAATTACTTGAAAGTCAGTCATACTGACCAAGGTTTTGCAAGGCCACTCGCTTCGACAAGCCAAAGAGACTTTGAAGTTCGGAACTGCCCCGTTTCTCGATGGAGCATGAAATCGACACCTGCTTTTTGGTGTCTTCATTTCATAGATTACATATCAGTCGCTCTTCATACTCAAACTGAGAGGATTACTCACCGCAGTAGCTCAACAGTCAACCTAGGGTCAACTTCCACGGGGCAGAGTTGTTCGTGCTGATCCAAATCGTTCATGATATCAAACAAAGCTTCAGTGGGAGTTGACATCGCACTCTTCGGAGTATTCTTGATCGAGAAATTTTCCGTCCAGCAATCCTCATCCTCGGATTCACTCTCAAATACATCTGAGAATGTCAACAGGTGGGGATTGTGATATTGAGCCCCGGTATCATATAAAGGAGATTGGAGAAAAAGGTCTCCTTCTGACAGACATCTGCCCACGGCGTCGGCGATATTCAACATTCCAAAGACAGTGATTTCGATACTTGTGAATGGTCTTGAAAAGCTCTGCTGCATGATCCTCCATTCAGAGCTTTTCAATGCAATCTCAAGTCTGACATTCCCTGCATGTTGAAGGCTTTTCAACGTGCATGAAGTCTTCAGGTTTATAAATCCAATCATTTCATCCGTTGATGGCTCACAAATCACAAAGTAATCGGGCCCAGGTAGTACCTCGAGAATGTACACATCGTCGGTCGAAGAAACGGAGTCCGCGCGAACGGGTAGGCTCTGTCGAAACTCAGCGGAAACGTTGGGAATCTTCTATCAGTCAGTTCTCATTCTTCTGAGAATTTATAGTACGACATACACAGCCGTAGCAAACTTCAACCGGTTCGGGGTCGCAGAGGTCTAGAAAAGTCTGGTTTTCGCCTGCATATCCGTCGTCTGCGATGAATTCAGCCCCATTAATGCTTGGGATCGAGCTGAAACCAGTCACAGAATTCCATTGTGCTTCGAAATTGCCTTGTTCATCCTCTTGGACCACCGCCGATTGGTAATGAAAGAAGGATTCGGGGGGTGAGAAATTTGGTGAATAGCTTGAAACACACCGTGCCTTGGCTGCAAAGTAAGTGCTCTGCTCATCCTGGCACAGCGATCGCTTTTGTGGCACGAGTTGCTGGAGGCCGTCATAGGCCATTTTGAGGGTCTTCTAGCCGGCCCCTGAAGTAAATTGGCAGCATCACCAATACTCGTGAGTCCAGATGGTAGCCATGAATGCTGAGAAAAGATTCTTGCAATTCACAGATCTCCTGAATGTGATTGCCCCGGAGGAATGAGGGGCGGCAAGGCGGCTCTGGCTAATTTCACCGCCACTGTACACGTCAAGGCGCAGAAGTACTCAGCCTCATTTTAGCGCCCAAGAACCCCTCGATTATTTGAGGTAGGTTCCAACTTTTCCATCTCTAAATAGTCGGAAATCCATATTGAGCTTCGCAAATGCCCTCTATCCAAAGCATCTGCTATTGTAGCCATGGCGGCAGGTCAGTCCTCTGTGTTTCAGCATGTGTTGACTACTTTCAAAGCCAAGGTTGATCCAAAACTGGCCTCTGAATTTGAGATGGCCACCCTTGCGGACCTCAAATCCGCCTTGTCCTCTATGGAACGCAAACATAAATCTGAAAGATCAATTCGAAACATGGGACGGTTGAGTCGTTTTCTTGATGCTATGGATCAGTATGGAAAGGTCATCGAGGTATTCCTGAATGTCACGGATGTTTTGGCATTTGTCTGGGTAACTTTGGCCTATATCATCTTCACTCGCATACATCAGACCCTTACTTACTCAGCTCTCTAGGGGCCTATGAAGTTTCTATTGCAAGTAAGCTAGCGACAGAAAATCCTTTGTCTAGTATGTATGCTCTAACATGCCTAGACTGCCAATACATTCAGTGAAGCCTTCAGCAAGCTTCTTGAAACTTACCAAGTTATTGGGGAAAGCCTGCCGTTGCTCGACAAGTGCCAGGGGTTTCTGGAGAATACACCATATGTGCGGCAAGCCCTAGAGTCCATCTTCAACGACATTCTTGAATTTCATGAATACGCGCTTGGATATTTCAAAAAGCCCAGTCAGTGAAATCGAACCCCCTTTTTCTCAAATTCTCTGACAATATTCGGCGCTCATCAACAGTGTGGCAAAGAGTCTTCCAAGCGAGTTGGGCTACCTACAAAACGCGATTCCAGCCGATAGTGGACAATTTATACAGGCACAAAGACCTTCTAGAAGGGAGAGTTACGTTCGCTCAGCTCGAAACAATTATATCCCAAGGAGAGAAAACCTTCCAGGAATTTCAGAGACAACAAAATGATGAGGCTATGGGAAAATATCGAGCTATACAAGCTTGGCTTGGTAACCCGGATGTCCAGACAGATCATGAAAGCATCGCACGAGTCCGATGTGACAGTCCGGAAGCAGGTTCTTGGCTTCTCCACCATCCTCTATTTCAGCCTTGGCAAGATGGTACCAGTGACACACTTCTCCTATGGTTAAATGGGATCCCTGGTGCAGGTAGGTGCTGGCTAATTGCTTACTTGAAAGCTGATGTTAATCATACTACTTATCAACAGGAAAGTCCGTTCTTGCATCACTGATCATTGACAAGTGCCGAGAAAATACTTTGAATATCACCATCTGGTTTTATTGCCGACATGGGGATAAAGACCGAAGTACATTCATTGCACTGGCGCGTGCACTGATATCTCAGCTGCTGAAATATGATATGGATCTGGTGCCATACGTCCACGTAAAGATGTCTTCCAGAAGCGAGCAAACGCTTTCATCGGAGCCGTTGGCTAAAGAATTACTTGAGACACTCCTAAAGAATTGCCAGGGGCTTCACATTATTTTGGATGGCCTTGACGAATGCGCACAAGGGGAAGGAAAAAAGATCATTGGGTGGTTCCGCTCCGTAATGGAGGCTTCAACTCAGTCAGCAGCCACATCCAGCAACCGACGGTGTGTGTTTATCTCACAGCGCGATGCAACCACGACAAGACACCTTCGTGATCTTCCAAAAATTACCATCACGCCCGCTCATAATCATCATGATATCACAGTTTTCGTGTCATCCTGGGGGAGAAAGATTCAAGAAAAGTTCAGTATCTCAGATGATCTAACGAAAGGTATTACTGAGACAGTCGTTGAAGGAGCAGCAGGTGGGAGCAGAATCCCTAAATCAAACTTCTAAAACTAGTGTTACTGACTATATATTAGGAATGTTTCTTTTCGCCAAACTTGTGATGACCACATTGTTTGCTCAAGTTTCGCGGGAAAGGCTGTTTAATGAATTGAACGTTAAAGGGCTACCCGTAGGACTTGATGCAGCGTAAGTTCTATCAGCACAATATTTGGCTCAAATTCTAACCGTTTCGTGGGTTCTAACACAGATACTCTCGTGTGTTGGATATTATCCGCGAACAATCCTCAAAGACTGAAGCGATTCAGCTATTGGCATGGCTGGTGTGCGCTAAACGTCCACTAGAATGGCGAGAAATTCAAGCTGCAGTAGCAATCGACATCGAAGGCGAGACCGTTGATTTCTACGGTCGACAGTGGATGGTCGACGCCAAAGATCTTTGTGGCTCGCTTGTCGAGTCACGAACTGACGGCTCACTTGAGCTTGTACATACCACAGCAGAGCTGTAAGTTTACTCCCATAAACCTGCTAAAAGCCTTTTGTTTCACGGTTTAATGGTAGTAATAGCTATCTGGTTGAGAGCGGTGTTGTCAATGTCGGTCAAGAAGAACTCAAGATAGCATCCCTTTGTCTGGCCTATCTAGCTCTTCCTGGCTTCGAAGCAGTCCTGGCTGATTCTTCAATCGAAGACTTTCTCAAGCTAGGATACTATGCTTTTGTCGACTATGCTGCGCGTTATTGGACTTGTCATCTTCGAGAAGGTCTAGCCCGTGGTGCTCTAGAGCAGCATCAGGACACGCTAATCAGTCGTATTGAAAGGCTCATTGATTTGCATTATCGACAGTGTGACGAAGACATCCAAATTCCAGGATCGACTCGCAGCTTGCTGAGTCGTCTTCAAGAGTCCGACTTTAGCGCACAAGACGGGTTCGAGAAGTTCCGCAAAGCTTTTGTCGCCACAGAAAGTCAAATCGAAACTTATGGTGAAAACGCAACATCGAACCAGGTGCTTGACCTGTCAGACATAATTGCAAATATTCGAGCTGTTCTTGAAGACACAGTCTGTCGAAAGTCTTGGGATGAGGCTGACCGGAAATTGTTTGCTTTCTACTACGGCGAGGCAATCTACAAGTGTCCTCGAATAAGTTGCTCATATTTCCACCGCGGCTTTACATCTGCAAAGGAAAGAGAAGCACATGTCCGAAAACACACCCTTCCGTATTCATGCTCTTACCCCGGTTGTCTGAGAGTAGCCGTCGGCTTCTCCTCACAAAGCGAATTGCAAAGGCATATCTCACAAATCCATGAGATGGCTCAAAGTAAAGGACAAATATTTCCATCAAAGCAGAAACGGCCTCTTCTACAATGTGGCATGTGCCAGCAGAGCTTTGATAAACCAGGGAAACTTCGAAATCACGGCTGTAGGCAGGATACTCCAAAATCTCGCCTTCTTGACCGCAGCAGTGTCCGGCACCCGGAAATGGAACCTGAGCGCCGAAGGGGGCAGCTACAGGTCCATAGTATCCAGAATCTAAACGGATACCAGAGGCAGCTCTTTCCCATTAAGCAAGCAAATAAAGCCCAGCAGCAAACCGCTCCCAGTGGAGTTCAGGATAGACTTTATCAGCAACATGACCCTGCAGCGCAGCAAGTGCTAGCACCCCAATCCCAGAAGCTCTTAGGTGTTGAAGACTGGCAATCGCTCTTTTCTATGCCTCAGGTACAGGCACACCAATCCCAGCAGCAATCCTCTGGTGCTGAACCTCAGGATCAGCCCTCAGACCAGCAACAGCCCTTCGCTATGCAGCAAGCGCAAACACAGCTGAGTGACCAAGTGAATAATATCTTCATATATCCCTTGAGTCCTTCAAATTCTACACCTCTTATGGCAATGAATTATCCTCTACCCCTACCTCCGGCTTTAGCCAATTCTCAGTTCGTGGGTGTTCAAACAGCGCAGACTTCAATGCTACCACGACCAGGCACTCCCTTCCTCGGTCGCACCCAACAAGAGGAGCTACTCATGAGATGCATCTGCCCGGTCAGTGAGGATGATGGTCACGCGGTTCAATGCGAAAGATGTGAGACGTGGCAACACGCCATCTGCTATTACCCGGACAAGCATGTGCCAAATGTCCACAACTGCGTCAGCTGCGAGCCTCGCCCGGCGGATTTCTGGAGCGCTGCTGAGCGTCAACGCCTACGGCAGCTCCGAAAGCAAGATAGGAAATATTTACCGGGAGGAGAAGCGATCGACCCTTTCTCATGGGATGGCGACGGGAATAGATTTGGACACCAGCACAGCGAGTTCGAAGCTCCTGCGATTCATCCGCAGCAAAGCCTGAACTCGACCGACTCGACATCAATGATGCCAACCGATGTCATTGATGATCTATTGCAAGCCGCAAACCAGGTTTACAACCTTAAGACTATGTCGTCGACGCCACCCGCCATGCCCACGAAGAACGAAGACTTCTCCCATCAGAACTCCCCGTTCGTCGATGAGGGTAATGAAGTAGTCGATAGCAGTCTGCCTCTATCCCAAAGCTCTAACCCAGCTCCCCTAGCCTCACAACCAGCCTCGATCTTGCGGCAGGCACATATTGGCCCCGAGCCATCAGGCCCTCCTAATAACACTCATCCACAGAACCACATTCTAGATCCACAAGAACCACCTCCCGATGACCGAGAATGGGCTCTTTACCCACTTGTAACTGAATTAACAACGAAAATACCTCTTGAACAAGCCATTTCTCGAGAATTGCAGAAGCAAGGTCCGTTTACCGGATGGCAAGCATACTACGATAACAAGGATCGAGCGTCAAACATTTCTTTTTTGTAAGTTTATCAAGCCCGAACGAAGAGAACGTTTTCAAAACGAGTCCGCCTACCTACTCACATCATCTCATTACCTAACATTCCCTAGGACATCCGCTCTCCATCAAATCAACCCGCTGGTTTCATTACAGCGAGCTGCTGAGACTTGTATGGTCTTTGAAAAAAAAAAAATTTCAAGATTCCCTTGAAAGCGTGAGTAGCTCTCTTAGCCCAACGCCGCGGGTTTCCAATAAGAAATTGATACTAACCGAAGATGATCGTGTACAGAGTGGCTATGAAAATTGGTTCATATTGAAGCTTGTTTATCTTCATAGGGTAGCCCCTAATAGCACGGAGTGGACTGAAAGTAACATGTATATGTTGCTGATGCACCAGTGAGAAGTTCTTTTGATATCGGCTTGATCGTGAAGCATCGTCTTATATTTTCCTTTTGATCGTCCGCTCCAATGACAACGGATGCAACTTCGCATAAGCGTCCGAGGAAAGTCTCATCGAGGCGAAAGGCTTAGTTTTTTGGCCAATTTAACTAGTATTTCTACACGAGTCTCAGCGCTTAACATTATCTTTCCAGCTCAAGCTCCGATTCTCCCATTGTCCCATTCTGAAAACAGTGCAATCTCAAACTAGCGCATTGAACCTCCTTCTCGAACGTTATGTACCCTACAAGGTTTCCAATGGCACCCCACGGGAGGACACCAATAACTGCGGAGCGAAGCGCTATATCGTGTACTCTAAGTTGATAGTATGGTAAACGCGTATACAATTCGCATACAATCTATAATTCGTCTAGCATGCTTTATCAGTGCATCTAAGCATGAGCATAACATAGCACCAAATCAAACCTTCATCAAGGTCCAATCTACACCGAGTCAACCACCCCTAATCCCAACCTACAACATACAACATACACTCCCTAATCTACAATGCAATCTACACCCCCTCCCAACTCAAATCAAAAATCTAGAAAAATGCCGAAGCGCTGCAATTGACTAGGGACAAACAAGAGCCCAAACAAAAATTCAAACAAGGGGAGAAAATAAAAAAAGAATTAACCAGAAAAGAAAAAAATAAAGAGCGGGGGTAATAAGGCACACAGAAAAAAGAACTAGCAAAGGCAAAAAACAAGATATGGCGTAGCAAAAAAGTACATCACAAGAAGGGTAGTTAGAGAGGGGGAGGGGGAGGGTAAAAAAGAAAAGAAGAAGAAAAAAAGGGTTAAGTAGGAGTATCACGATTTGAAATTTCCCCAGGTTCTGTTAGGTCGAGAGGGTTGACCCTCGTGGAGTCATATTATTCAAATAACCATTTCTTTTCTCTTTTCTTTTTTTTCTTTTTGCGATGCGTGAGCCCATCCAGTGGAAGACAAGGAAATAAGAAAAAAAGCTGCAGCGGAGGGTGTGCGTTAAAGGGGGGACACTTCTCAGCGTCCGGAGTAAGGGAGTGTGTGTGTAGAGATGACAAGCAAGGAAATATCGGAACCCCCATTAGAGAAAAGGGAAGAGGTTCAAAAAAGAGAGCGAGAGATAGCGGGACTGCATGACTGAAATGGCAACTTCAGCAGCGGCCGTCAACGGCACGAAGAAGAAGGAGCTGGGAGGGTTTAACGAAGCGAGAAACCCTTGCGCTTGCCCTTTTCTTCGATGGGGCGGCCGCTCTCCAAGCGGGCTTTCTTTTCCTCTAGTTCCTGGCGCTGCCGGTCTAGCTGGTCCTTCATCTCGCGGTGTCGGGCATAGAGTTCGTCTTCGCTCTGTTTGAGCTTGCTTTCCTTCTCGGAAACCTTCTGCTGGAAGACCATCTTCATCTCGGCCTCCATCTTGGCGAGCTTCTGCTCGTGGAGAGTGCGCTCCTCCTCCTGCTTGACGGCAGGGTTGACCTCCTTGAACACGCTGGGGTCCTGGGCAACACCCATCTGGGTGAGCTTGTCCGAGCGGTAGTTCTCGTACAGGAAGTTGTTGGTGTGCTCCTTGAGCTCCTCCATGTGGGTGCGGATCAGCATCTGGCGCAGCTTGACAAAGTCGCAGTGCTCCTCGTTGTCGACCTCGATGACACCCCAAGGGTAGCTACGGCCACGGACACGGCGGCCATCGGCAGCAGTGACCTCGGAGTTGGCACCGACAACGGCGAAGGGAACCTTGGACATGATCTCCTGGTTCTCGGCAATAGTCTCCTCATCGTCGAGCTCGTAGCGGGGACCCTCGAAGATCTGGATGGAGTGGTGCTGGATATCGGCAAGGATCTAGAAAGTAGAGTGAAAGCATAATGTTAGTCTCGATCTGATCAACCAATACCAGTTGGAAATAATTTGGTAGAATATGGAGAAGACATACTCTCTGCTTGAACAGGGCAACCTCCTCGTCGGTCAGGGTATCGGCCTTGGCGATAACGGGGATCAGGTTGACCTTGGTGTGGAGACGGCGCATAACCTCGATATCCAGAGGCTTGAGGGAGTGACCAGTGGGCTGGATGAAGTAGACACAGGCGTGGATGCGGTTGTCGACAATGTTGCTGCGGTTAACCTTGTTCTCGGCCTCCAGGTAGGTGTCGAAGCGCTGCTCAATGTTCTCGACAATAGGGCGCCAGGAGTCGTCGTTGTTGACAAAGTCACCGAAGCCAGGAGTATCGATGACGCTCAGGCGGAGACGGACACCGTTTTCCTCAATGTCGGCGCTGGTGGACTGGATCGACACGGTCTTGGGGATAATGTCGGCGTTGGGGCCGGTACGCTCCTTAGGGGGGTAGAGGGAGGTGTTGAACAGGGTGTTAACGAGGGTCGACTTTCCGAGGCCGGATTCACCTATCCAGGAAAAATAGTGTCAGATATACTCATACAAGCCAATTGGCGGGGGATAAGCCGGGGGCAAAGCTTGTATCTCAATGTACATACCGACAACCATGACGTTAAAGTTGAATCCCTTACGGACACTCTTGCGGTGCCACTGGTTGGGTAGGTTGGCGAAACCAACGTAGCCGGTCAGCTTGCGGCGAACCACGTTCTTCATGTCGTTGGCAGCGGCGGCGACAGCCTTGGGGTCGCGCGAGCTGACAGTCTGAGCATTACCGGAGCCCATGGGGTTGGTGCGCTCCACGAAAGGAGACTCCTTGCCGCTGCTGGGCGTGGGGGAGTCGAGGGACGCGACGGGGGAACCGTTCGCAATCGGCGAAGCTAGAGAATCCATCAGTGAGTCGTTCCGATGATTGTAGCCGGACTCTCTTTCAAGAATCGAGATCGTGGTATCGGCTCCGAGATGGGGGAAAGGGTGTAGAAGCTGCTTACACATGGCGACGGCCTTGTTTTAGTGGAGAACGTTAGACGGAGGATAGGGACAGCAACGCGAAAAGATTCCCTAATAAATCAAATCATATCATCAGTACCAAATTGCACCAGAGTGGGGTCTCGTCATGATCAGGACAAGAAAAAAAAGGTATCCGGGGAGGGAGACGATTGAAAGGAAGATCGAGAAAGTTCAGGGATTCATACCTAGAGAAACTTCGGTCCAAAAAAAAGGGGGGGGGAGGGGGAAAGAAGGAGGAAAAGAAGAAGATGGAATCACAAAGCGAGAGACAAGAAGCAGCTCAAGCAGAGGAAGCTCGAAGCAACAAAAGAGAATTGAAAGAGAGGAGGGAGGATGGGGGGAGGAAAGAAGCACTGCCAGTCTGGGAAAGAAAGGGGGGTTGAGGTTCTCCGGTCGGGTCCAGTGATCTTGGGCCAGAGCTACTCCTCTGGAGTGGGATCGGCCCGTCAACCACCAACTACTGTAAGTGACCTACAGTACTACTGCAGTACGATACATCATCTTTTTTTCCCGCCCAATGGCTGTGACCAGTATAATTATGATTTCTTGAACTGACAAAGTTTCCTTCTCATGACTGGATCACTACACATTCCTCGGGTTTTTTTGGATCTCCCCATACGGGGAATGCGGGCCAGACTCTGGGAGTATACGGCCAGTTGTCATGTTCTCCATCATGCAAGCCTAAATCCACTTGGGTAGTTTGTACACGAAGGTGTCATTGACCAGTCTAGTTTATTCACCAATAGTATTTGCCTGATAGTTAGGTGGTCTCATAGTAATCTCTATATCTATCTTTCTATCCTTCATTGTCCGAGACAAGACTCTCTCCAAGATCAGGGGTTACGGGGTGTCATCACGTGAGCTCCACCGGGTCCACCTTTTTACAAAGTAAACTGTTGATGTTGACGAACCACATACGAGTAACTAAATCAATGTCAAGGATCATTTTTTATCAACGCCAGAATACAGTCCAGTCCCAGATCATGTGAAGAAAAACAAAACAGAACTAGCTATACACATTTAATTCCCGGTCTTGCTCTTCTTCTTAGGCCGGGTTGCCTCCTCCTGGTCCGATCCAGCATCCGCCTCCTCATCATCATCTCCCGCATCACCCATCTCCTCGTCGCTGTCACCACTGCTCTCGTGTGCCGAGTCGTACTCCTCAGCCACATCAGAGTCGGACGAGGCATTGAAGTCCTCATCTACAGACTCCTCGTCCTCGTCTGCCGAGCCGCGATCTGCCCGTGCGCCCTCCTCGTCACTCGACTCCATCATGTCATCGTTGTCGAGTGCAGCCTTCAGAAGGGTCGAGGACTCTTCAGACATCTCATTCTTAATGCGAATGCCCTTGGCCTTGAAGAAGTCTTCCAGTGGTTGTTGCTCCTCACTATTTTCTCTCGTTAGTATAACATACGGCTAAATTAGCTAGAGGTCATGTCGCTCTTACCGGTTGATGTTGCTGAACTGGTTCTCGCCCAGACCTCCCTTGAGGCTGACGGTAATATCAAAGGTTCGGCTAGCCGAGACAGCGCCTCCGACACGCGACATGGTCACCACTGCAACGTTCTCGAGCTGGATGTAAGTGGCAGGCTTAGGCACGAACATAAGACTTTTATCCAAGAAGTAGAGAGAGCCCTCGTTGGCCTTGATGGAGCACTTAACCCCATGGTGCCCGTGGTGGCTGATAAAGTCCTTGGAAGGCATGATAACCTTCTTGCCAGACAATCCACGGAAGATCTTGGTCACGACCTGGTGAATAGGCTCTTCGTAGTGTGCCTGAAGCTTATCTCCGTACTGCTTCTTCAACAATTCCCTGCAAAGATGTCAACAAACTGAACTCGACACAAATCCGTTTACATCCTAAACTCACTCTGTCATGTTCAGCTCCAGGCTGATCTCCTCATCCAACTTCAACTGCATCACCAAGAATGGGTAGCGAGTCTGGCCCTGGCGAAGAGGAGGATCGAGACCAAGCACGATGAGAGTATGCGTATCGTCGTTCTTCGGAAGCAAGAAGAACTTTTTAATGGCAGAGTATTGGATCTTGTAGTCGTATGTTTTGCCACGGAGCCGGAAGGACGACTCGTACATATCGATATCGAAACGACCTCTGGATGAGAAATAGTAAGCAATGAAAGTCTAGAGCAGGCAATAGAGGGAAGATAACAAACCTGGGCGTAAGGTGCAAAACATCCAAAAAGGTCGCAAAAGTATCACCCGCCACGTCTCCAATCTCAGCCTTGTCCATGAGAGTCTCATAAAAGAGGTTGGCCGCATTCTGCTCCTCCACCTCTTCCTCGTTCTCCTCCTCGTCGCCCTCGCCCTTCTCCTTCTTCACAGCCGTACCGGGAATGTAGAAGCGCATCTCCACCAGCTCATCGGGGCCCGCGGCAGCCTTGCGGCCGCGGTTCTGAGTGCTTCCAGCGGGCTGTCCGTTGCCATTCGCCTGGTCTGCGGAAAGCGCAAACTCAACCGCCACCTCATTCTTGCCTGCGAGGTTGGTGTTGGAGATCTCGGAGTAGGGGACTTCGAAAGCGGGTCGGTTCTGGACGCTGAAAGAAAGCTCGGCCTTGGTGAACTCGGCCTTACCCCAGTTCCATCCGCGGATGGCGTGTTCGCGGGTCTCGACGTTGATGCCGTACCAGATCTTGAAAGCCTTGCTCAGTCGCTCGAAGTCCTAGTAACAGCAAACTGTTAGCACGATTGTGCGATCATCGCAGAGTCCGTAGCAAAGCAAATCCGGCGTACCTCTTGATCAAACCCATCCAGTTGAATGACTCCTGAGTTCCGCGACAAGATCTTCAGCTCGTATCCTTTAGCGGCGCGACTCCACTGGGCGTGGCCGATGTTGCTGCTGTCGAGGGTGAAAGTGTCGCCGCCGCCGGAGGGACGCCAGCCCAGACCGCTCTCAGCCAGCTTGCATTTTCCTGGCTGCTTCGAGAGGTCCAGGTAGATGTTGTCGAAGCTCTCCCTATATGTCAAACGCGGTCAGCTGTGTTCAAAGGTATCTGGTTCGATGGGACCAGAAAGCTTACATGATGGAGAAGCTCTAAAGGGAAATGAGTCGTCGGTCAGGAATTGAAAGAAAGGAGATTCGGAGGGTTATGACGGATATGACAGTAGATGAAAGCGGGGGTTGGGTAGGAATGGCAGGAGAGAGGGTTTGGAGAGCTCTCAGATTTCTCGGAGGTCGCGTTGCGGCGCGCCGCAGGAGAGGAGGCCACTTTCGCCTTATCAGGCTTAGCGTGGTGCCTGAGTGATGCCTTGTAGAACGGGCCGCCATCAAACACGTGAGATTGAGCTGTAGCAAGAGAAGGTCTTGCTTTGAAAATTACCTTGGAAGAAAATTGGGGCTGAATGGATCTAAGATTATATTCAGGATGACTTCCATTTGTCAACCTTGGAAAAGGACTGAGATAGCTGGCGAGGATTGGTGTTTGATTATTTTGGCCCACAGATGCAACTCAACTATATATCTTCCTTTTTGACTTCCACCTTGGGCCGAGTGGCGATACCTACTCACCGGGCTCCCACACGTATATCGATGGACGAGGTAGTTCTCACCTAAATGGAGAACACCTGCATCACAAATAGGTATTTAAAAATAGTGATTGAACTCATTCGAAAGAACAAGCTTCCCAATGGCGGGATCTATGCGATAATAGGGGCAGAAGTGCCCTCGAAGGGACAACATCGAATCATCGGGCATCCGTGTCGTAAAACTAGTCATAGTTTATTTCAGCTTAAGCTATTGCCTAGAAGTCTATAGCCATTATAAAATGAGATTGATAGTCCAAATTCTAAACAAATCAAGGTACTACTAGCTCGTAATTATCAAACACCCAGGTATGAATGTAGGTTAACTCCCAGTTTCTGTCCAAACGATCAAAGCGTGAACCCGACAGCGGGCAAGGGATTCCAAGGGAGACTGCAGACGATAGCTGAGACATCATATTGGAAACTTCCCCCTTGGCAGATCATCCGGGGTCAGATACCGCAAATAAGTTTATGAGACTCGAATCACTCGATAAATTGGATGTTGCAGATGAGACGAACCTTAACCTGTGCCATAGTGAGACTTGCCGTGTTTACGGGGTTGTATCCGTGGCTTCGATGGGCTGCATATCAAGTTTCCCTTGCTTATGATCATGGGCAGTATTTTGTATCACGTTATCCTCGTGGTGTTTGGTATAGCTTAAGATATCTAAGCACAAAGCTATGGTATAACAACTTGTATAGTCGACTGTGGCCCAGCAGAGTGCGTAGACACTGGGTCAATTTACGGCATCACCAGTGGACCTCAGTTCTATATTTACGCGGCCTTGGACATGGGCCTGGATCTGGTTTCTGCGACAGGTCGTTTCGGCCCACTTGGTATCGAAGCTAGAGGACGGGTTATGAAGGCGTTTTAGTGAGAAAGTGGTAAGCTATTATTATCCTTGAATAGGGTGAGTTGCAAGAAACAAGAGGGGAGAAATGAAGACTTTAGGAAATATGTAGATATGATCGAGTGTCCAAGATGGTTCCATTTCCAGCAGGATGTATACTTCGTACCAGTCCTAGACGGACAGGCAAGTCTAGAGTTTGAGTGCCGGGAGATTTGGTTATTTTGGTAATTTTAATGTCGATCCTCATTCAACTAGAGGTACGACCGTCATCTCGACGTAATTTGAGGTCGCAAAGGCTTTTCTTAGATAGTAGATAGATGTTCATTTAGTATAGAGAGCCATACGGAATGAACAGAATATCTAGCATTCATTGCGCGACACGACACCCGATCCATTGTTGGATCCTCAGTATAGCATCAGCGTGGCCTGCCACCGGCATGACTGGAGATCGCATCACCCACGGTCGGGGTGGATCACTTGGGACGGAAGGGCTGGCCATTTGAAGATGTTGATTGGTTATTCAGGTGGGTACACTCCCCCCTTTCGCGTCGGGAAACGGCGTGGCTTGGGTCGGGCCTGGCGTAATTTATGGTTTTTTATGGTTTTTATGGTTTTCTGGTTGGGTTTATTTGGTTTTATCTCGTTTTAGCGTTACAACTATCGTGGGCTCTGTTTTGCTCTGTTTGCCTGGTTTCATTGCCCCCTTCGATTCCTCCTCTTGACCCAAGAAGCCTCCAATTCCACACCCTCCACCACCACCACCCAGTCATTCGTTGATTTCTATTGCTGTAAGAGACTTCGGTCTCGACATGCATCCGACATTCTTTTGCATTCCTTAGATTCTTCTTCGTTTTTTCCATGCCACATTCCTTATTACGTTCCTTTCGTTCCACGCGTTAAGGCCTGCGGCCTCCTGAATTCTTAACGACACACTCCCTTGGTCGTCACCACACGCTCGCTTCACTTCGACTCCCCTCTTCCCAACCCGACTGGAGTCTCTTTCCCACTGCTGCCTGTCGTCGCTCCCCCCACACAATGAGGGTTTCTTCATTGTACGGGCCCGCGGCGGCTGGCATCTCGACTTTATTTGCGCTTCTACCGACCGCACACGCCTTGACCTTCAATGCGGTCTCGACCCCCGAAATCGACCTCTCCTCGCTGGGCCGGGTAACCATCACGGGTGACTTTGACGGTGTATCCCTTTACGAATATGAGGGCCAGTCCGAAATCACACAGCGCCAGGGCTCGTACATTCTAACCCCGCTTCCCAATGGCATTCTCACGAACCTCTCCTCCGCCGACGCACAGATCCGAGACATGTGCGCCTTCACGAAAAAGGATGGTACTTTCGCGGGGATATTCGTCGGTGGTAACTTCACAAAACTCGGAGGAGTCAAATCGCCCGGCGCGGCTCTGTTCAATCCCAATTCCAGCGATATCACGGCGTTGCCAGGCTTGACGGGCTCGGTCTCGACCGTGCTCTGCGACCAGGACACCAACCGCGTTTACGTTGGTGGAGACTTCACACACAAGAACACATCCAATGCCATCGCATGGTCCCCCAGCGATGGCTGGACCGAACTCGAATTCGATGGACTGAACGGCCCCGTCAACTCGATCATCAAGGGCGACAACGGCCATATTATCTTTGGAGGATCCTTCGATGGCCTTGGCAACACCACCAGCTCGTCTAACAACAAGCAAATTCTCAACCTGCAGAACGCGACCATCACCTCCGACGCTGAATCCTCGCTGACCGGCTACATTGACCCCCGCAATGTGATCTGTTCGACTAGTGGCGTGGCAGGCGCGGGGAAGACCTGGCTGCTTCACGATTATGCCCCTGGATACTGGCGAGCATACTTTGGATTTACCTTCAACCCGACAAAGGTTCGCCTTTACAACACCCACTTGGATGGACGCGGCACCAAGAGCTTCCTGTTCCGCGCCCTTCCCGACGATGGTATCATGAACATGACGTACACGGACGATTCAGGAAATACCGTTCACTGCGACTCATCCTGCCCACTCTCCGACAGCACTAGCGAAAAGTACCGTGATTTCACCTTGGTGAACCCCGTTGGTATGAAGGGATTCCAGATCGAAGTTCTGGATTGGTACGGCCAAGGCGCTGGATTGAACGGCATTGAGGTTTTCCAGGACCAGATTTTGTCCTACGCCGTTGATGCGTTCAACGAGCCTAGCTGCGCGGGCCTTGATTACCCTTCCAAGTCTACTCGCACTGGCTCTTGGACTGTCGAGGATGCCGGCTATCTGTCAGCTTCGGTGACTGACTCCAACGACACCAGCACCTCGGTCGTTTTCTATCCTGATATCAAGGAGTCTGGCAACTACACCATTCTTGTTTACACCCCTGGCTGTGTGCAAGACGACAGCTGCAGCTCCCGTGGTATGGCAAATGTTACAGCCACCGTCGCGACTGGCACCGATGCCTCGCAGCCGTCGCCAACAACCATCTACCAGACCAACAACTACGACAAGTACGATACCCTGTTCTCTGGCTACGTTGATGCGAGCAGTGATTCTTTCCGTCCCAGCGTTACCCTTCGGCCTATCTCTGGCCAGGGAGACATCACTCTTGTGGCGTCCAAAGTCCGCTTCGAGCTCCTCTCCAACACGACCAGCGGTGGTTTGAATGGTCTGTACGACTTTGACCCTTCCTCCACGACGACCGCCAGCCTTGATAGTTCCGACATCAACGTGGCTGGCAACTCCCTCGACAAGGATGCTGTGATCATGAGCCTGGCTGAAAATGATGGTATCTTCTACGTGGCGGGCAACTTCTCCACCAAGAAGATCCACAATGTCATGTCTATCACTGATGGAAATGCTACCGCCATGCCTAGCGGCGGTCTGAACTCTGAGGTCATGGCCATGACTACTCTCAATGATGTCCTGTACGTTGGAGGTCAGTTCACCGATACCTCTGACGGAGGTGCCGACGGTCTTTACCATGTGGCTTCCTACTCCTTCTCTTCCAAGAAGTGGTCAGCCCTGGGCGAAGGCCTCAACGGCCAGGTCAACTCCATCTACCCAATCCAGCTGAACGTGTCAACTTCCATCAATGAAACCACCATTGCCGTGAGTGGTAACTTCAACCAGATCCGCGCCACCAGCGACCACCCGGCCGTCTATGTTGCCGGCTTTGCCATCTGGGTGCCGTCCAAGAAGGCCTGGCTACAGAGCCTTAACGATACCCAAATGAAGTTTGCTGGGCAACTCTCTGCAGTGGCCACTTTCAATGATACCACGCTCCTTGCAGGCAGCCTCGCTACCGATGGAATCACTGCGTCTGGCGCTGTCTCGTTGCAAAACTCGAATGACCTGACCTTGGTTCCCCTGTCGATGAACACCAACCACACCGCCTCCACCGTTGGAATCATCACGGGTGTTTATGATACCGAATCTAACCGCAACTTGACCATTGTCGGTGGCCAGTTCACTGCGTTGAGCAGCAACGGATCCGCTATCCACAACGTTGCCTTCCTGAATGGCACCGAAGAGAAGATTTTCGGCTTGCCTCAGGGCTTGGACAGCAACTCTACCGTCTACTCAATGGCTGTCTACAACAACACTCTGTTCGTCGGCGGCAACATCACCGGAACTCTTGCAAGCTCCAGTGTGAGCGGCATGGTGGCTTATGACTTGTCAAGCAACTCGTTCAAGCAGAGCCAGCCTTGGTCTCTAACAGGCAAGAATTCCAGTGTCAACTCTATGGCTCTGAGGCCCGGTTCGTCTGAGCTCTACGTTGGCGGCAGCTTTGATTCTGCTGGCTCGCTCCCTTGCACGACAGTCTGTGCTCTGGATACCTCGGTCAACACATGGAGCTGGCCTGGTGCTTCCATCAGTGGTACCGTGATGTCTCTTAGCTGGGCCAGTTCGAACACTCTGTATGCTGTGGGTAATATTGAGATTGGTGACAACAAGACCGTTGTCGCCACTTTCAGCAAGAAGACATCGGCTTGGACCGCCTTCTCCGGCGCTTCTACCTCTGATATTACTGGAACCGTGACTGCTTTCGCTCCTGCCAGCGAGGACATCTCCAACTTTTGGCTTGGTGGCACCTCCACCAACGGATCGGCCTTCCTCTTGAACTACGATGGATCGAAGTTCCGCTCCGCGGGCTCCTTGTTCTCCAAGGGTACGACCATTCGTGGCTTGGAGATCCTTCCCATCAACCAGGATCATTCGTCTGTTTCTTTGTTGAAGAATGACCAGACACTGTTGATCATGGGCGAACTCGTCATCCCCGATTTCGGTAATGCCTCGGCGGCTCTCTACAATGGAACCGCTGTCACGCCGTTCATCCTTTCATCCAAGTATAATGGCGAGCCTGGTAGTATGTCGCAACTGTTTACGGAGAACCAGAATCCGTACACAACCCAATGTGAGTCGTTCCATCATTTTTCTTCTCTCATCTGATCATCACTGACCCATCCCAGCATCCCACCACTCCAATGGCATCGTCGTCTTGGTTGCATTCTGTTGCGCCTTGGGCTGCGTCTTCCTCATCGTCGCTGCTGGCGTCATCGCAAACAAGATCCAGCGTCGTCGCCAGGGCTACAGCGCTGCACCCCAGACCTTCGGCACAGACCGGCCAACCGACATGCAGCGCGTGCCGCCAGAGTACCTCTTCAACTCTCTACGTCAGCCCAACCCCGGCGCCCCAGTTATCTAATGAATGCACCCCCTCCCTCCCCCGTTCTTCCGCTTGCACAAAATTCTCTTCTCTCCGCCCTCTTATCCCCAAGAAAGGCGTTCCGTTTGTGGTCATCATTTTTTTCCTTCTTCTGGAAGCAACGTCTGCTTATACCCCTTGCAACCTTTCCCTCACTTAATGTCTTGAATTCTTTTTATTTTGCTAGCGCGTCCTCGTGTTTATTTCCGCGATGGCCATTGTCTCCTCGCGAGTGCTACTTTGTGTGTGTGGCGGATTTATACCCGTTTTGACTTGATCTGTCTCCTCGAGTTTCTCCCCATTTTGCATATACTGCGATACATGTGTACATGTGACACCTGTATGTAACTTAGTGAATATGTCCTGGGGATGTGGATAATACTATGATCTACCTCGTCTGATTCAATATCTTCCTTTTCTCTTCAAGATTCATATAAGGGTGGTCTTTGTTTGGTTCAACTGGGCACTAAGCTTAAAGCTTAGTGGATTAAAGTTTGGCGGCGCTCGGTGGGGACCAGCATCCACCATCCTGGGTAGACTTGACAGAATACTAGTAGATGGAAGATGATAGGATCCGGTATCCTTCTGAACAGGAGATTTTATGCTCGTGCCAACGTCTGTAGAGCCCTGTCATATTCGAAAATCCTGCAGATCGTGTCAAGAAAAAACGAATATCCCCACTTCGCTCTCTTGGCCAGCATCTCAACCCCTCTGAGACAGCCTTGTCAAAACCCGTTCACGCACATTCGCCAGGCTGTATGAACAGACACTAAAACGATTAGTGGTTTCACTAGCACTAGGCTCTTCGCTTATCAATTAGCGCCACAAGTTGCATGGACTACTGTGACGAGCTCGTGATAGCGGTTAAAAGTGCAGATCAAACCCCCTCACTTTTCTCCCCATCAATCTACCGTCAGTACTGCCATTTGAAGGATCAATATCAACAATTCCTTCGTCATGGCGGTCGAAGGACTTCTGGCATTATCTACGGTCCTCCGTCTCATCGGTGTCTATATCGCATACCATATCATCCGGGCCTTGTATAATGTCTCCCCCTTCCACCCACTCAGCCATATCCCCGGCCCGAAACTCGCGGCTGCAACATGGCTCTACGAGGCCTGGTTCGATCTCATCCTGAATGGAAGGTATACGAACGAGATTAAAAGGATGCACGATGTATACGGTAAGATAGGATTTCCCGCTTCCCGCTGCATACTGCACCGACCTGCGCTTGTATTCCCCCGAACCCCCCAAACTAAACCCAAGAGATAAACCCCCGCAGGCCCCGTTGTACGCATCAACCCAGAAGAACTCCATTTCAGCGACATAGCATTCGTCGACGAAATTTACGCCGGAAAAGGCCGCAGGCGCGACAAGCAAGTGCACTTTGTGGAGTTTATGGCTGGGCCTGTCACGTTGTCGATGTTTGCTACGACTGGACACGATCTTCATCGCATTCGACGGAGCGCAGTGAATAAGTTCTTTTCCCGGGCGCAGATTGCGAAGCTTGAGTCTAAGATTAAGGGTCTTGCTAATGAGTTGTGCGATAAGATTATTCGGCTTGGTATGTGGGACTCTTAGAGTAGGAGTTATGGACGCTCTGTGCTGATAATTACAGAATCGAACACGGGGAAGCCGTTTGATGTTACAGAGGCTTATAGTTGTTTTACTGCGGATGTGATATCTAGTTATTGTTTTGGGGAGTCGTTTGGGTTTTTGCAACAGGTGAGATTCGGGATGATCCAAGCTACGAAATAAAGGCTCTAGCAAAGTTGGAATCATGGTCTCTAATCATTTTCACGAACAGAAAAACTGGCAGCCGAATTTCAGGAATCCTTTATATGGTGCTCTCAAAGCAACCTACATTTTCCGATTCCTGCCATTGTCGAAGATTTTCGTTGACATTGCACCGCTATTCGCGAACTGGGTCAACGAGGGTATGGCTGTGATGCTGAAAGAAAACAACGAGAAAATGCCTGGTCGTGTACGAAAGGCTCAAAAGGAGCATGCGGCTGGTGTGAAAGAAGATTCCCCGAGTATCTTCACTGCTCTTCTTGATTCCTCATTGCCGGAACAAGAGAAGACGGACCTTCGGTTGGGTGGTGAAGGATTTTCTATGATTGGCGCTGGAACCGAGACTACTGCAGTAAGTCTTCCCATAAACGGAGAAAGCCCTTTCGATGAGAAGCTCTAACTTAGCACTCATGTAGTGGACACTCTCTGTTTTGACAGTATACCTGTTAAATCAACCCGAAGTCCTGGCCCGCCTAACAAAAGAACTCCAAGACGCAGACGCCCTCAATCTATCCTGGTTCGCACTAGAGAAACTGCCCTACCTAAACGCAGTCGTAACCGAGGGTCTCCGTCTTTCATACGGTGTCTCGTCAAGAATACCCCGTATCGCGCCGAACGAGAACCTCCTTTACCGCGGTGAGTTCCAGGGACGAGAGATCGAGTATGTCATTCCACCGGGTACGCCTATGGGCATGTCAAATGCCATCAACCACCACAATGAAGATGTATTCCCGGACTCGCACGTATTCAAGCCCGAGAGATGGCTTGATCTTGAGGAGGCTGAGAGACATCGGCTGGAGAATAGTTTGACTTCGTTTTCAAAGGGGAGTAGGCAATGTCTTGGGATGAAGTGAGTTTAATAGTACCACGAAATTTGTTATTCTTGCTAATTGAATTCTGGTGGGACAGTCTGGCGTATTGCAACATGTACGTTGGGCTGGCAACGCTCACGCTGCGCCTTTTCCCACGGACAAAGTTGTACGAGACGGATGTGGATGATATCAAGTATGATCATGACTTGTTGGCACCTGCGCCCAAGCCTGCTAGCAAGGGAGTAAGAGCTATCGTCTCATAATAGGTTCACCGCGTATCAATGATGGTGAGGTGTTCAGTGGATCTTGGAAGGGACTGGTGGTGAACGAGAAGACTAAGGTAAAGCAAGATTGGTGAGCTGCTTTCAACTTTTTTTGGGCTCAAGACTTAATTAGTCGATCTGCCTTCTGCTATATTCGGCGAAGTTTTTTAGTTTGTATTTTCTCAATGACTAGTAACGACGTAAGAATTTGAGATTAGGGAGCAAGATTGAATAACATAAACTCCCACGGTTATTTGTTAGAAAACGGCTTTGGACCAATCGATAAAAACTTCATTTGATATTTTTAGACGACTTCAGCCTCCACAATAGGCTGGGATGCTAGTGGTGATCTCCAATAGTTGCTGTAGTTGGTTGCTCCACAACCAGCAGAAGTCCATCTCGTATCGAGCCCTGTTAAGTGATCTGCCCAATAAGGAGGCTCGGACGTCCAGTAATCAACCCCACCCAGTTGATCTGGCAAGCTACCAGGGAGCTTCAGCTGTACAACTATCTAGGCGAAACGCCTGGACACCATGGAGAATTATCTTCCTTCAAAGCGCCTACGACGCAACACCAAGAGGTGCTACGAATGTACGGGGCTGCCACTCATATTTGTCTAATCGTGACTCGCTAACCCACACTAGGCAGAAGGCGCAAAGTAAAATGTCAATTGGCCTCCGAGGACGTGGCAACTTGCTCTGAGTGCCTTCGAACTGGCGCCCAATGTACTCTCCAAGCACCAGAGACCGAATCAAATGCATCATCGACAACCTTGTCTGATAACGACGGACGCCTCGAGCGCATAGAGCAAATGCTACGCACTCTGATTGATAATCAAGAGTCAAACAAATTGCATCCCAAAAATGAAAATGATTTACAGCAGCCATTGAATTGGGATGACATTCTGAATCAAGACTTATTTTCGGATCAATTTGGCATACCCACGCCATTGGGATTATCGACGCTTCAGGAACAATGTACTAAGCCCCATCCGGTGCAGCTGCCACTGCTTCAATACAAAGACGAGACGGCCAAGCAGATCCTTCTTGAGCTTCTCCCATCACAAGAAGATGCAATCAGTATAACAAGTCATACTGGAGCGTGGGCGATGGAGCTTCCGGACCCTCCCGGGGCAATGTGGAAACTTGGAGACAAGTCGCCGGTTCGCGATGTTCTTGCCGCGGCACAATTCAGTACTATGGGCATAGCGAAAGCGATTTTATTTTTTGCTTTGAGTATTCAGCAACTACCCCCTGATTTCCAGACCAGTCAACTTCAGATAGATGATGTTGATGATCACGTCCGGCGGTATACCCAAGTCGTGGGCACCTTGGTTCTAGCCCATGAAGAGATGTCATGTTCCCCCGAGGGCTTGGAGTGCCTCTTGCTCTTGGGAATGATCCATATCAATGAAGGCGACCTCAAGCAGGCATGGATGAAATTCAGGAGAGCCCTTGACGTCTCCCGACTTCAGGGGTTTCATAAGAGCTATGAGCCCTCCGTACGTCAATCTCAAGAGCTGGCATTTCAACGCCGATTATGGCTGTCATCTGTCATGGGAGATAGCTTCTGCAGTTTGATACTCGGCTTTGAGACTGGAGCTACACAGCCATTCGGCCCGGACTACTCCTGGGATGATCCATTCGCAGATGAAAATGCCAACTTCCAACGTCGCCTATGCATCGTATCGGGCCAGTTGAGTCAAAGAAACCTGTTCGGACTCCAAGATAATCTCGAAGAGGCAAAATCCATAAACACGGCCATTGATGGGCTGCAGAAATCCGTGCCGGACTCATGGTGGCAAAGACCTGATATTCGTGAAGAACAATCTTTGACTTGTGCTCAGGAATACGATCGACTCCTGTCTCATCTGTGGTTCTTTCAACTTCGAATTCTTGCCAACGTTGCATTTTTATTTGTACCGGCACCCGAAGCAAAGCAGTATCGCGATCACTGTCTTGAAGCATCAAAGACGACTCTATACAGATATTTGGGTCTTCGTCAGGCGGGAACCACTCGACTCCACTGCAGAGCAGCTGAAATTGCCGCTTTTATCGCATCGGTGGCTCTAATTCTCAGTCTGAGCAAGGATGGCGACGCTCAAATATCAGATCCATCTAAACCCCTCAATTCCGACGTCGTCCTGTTGGAGCAAATTGTTGACTCTTTGGCGGCTCTCGGTCGGAGTTCCAGCCGAGAAAATTTGGCTCTGAAGAGCGCCGAGCTGCTTGCGAATTTACTGAGAAAACTCAGGGTGGGAGATTCCATCTCAACGCATCCGGGTGAAAAGAGAAAAGCTGTGGAATCTGCGGTTCCCCTTCCTACAACCCGGAGGCAAGTAGGCTTGCATCAGCTATTGCTTGCCTCTGTGAAGAATGCTCTTGGAACCCAGTCAGCCACGCATATTCTTGATATGGATGACACGATATAACTTCATGTAGATGCAAGCAATCCGGTCCGGAGATTTAGAAGTTAATAAGTTGGCAATGTCCACCCTGTCCTGATCTGGAGCCCATCGTCTCGAATTATTTCCAATTGATCATCAACGAATGAACTGGCCCAATCTCTAATCTTCGCCTTCCCAGCGAAGTCTATATTAAGTATCCTCTACTATCACAATACCAGCAAAAAAGCCACAATCAAACATAACCCAAACCTAAGAAACACCCTTAAGCAACTCCCTCCCCTTCTCCACAATAGTCCCATTCAAAACGATAGTCGCATCAACCTCCCCTCCCACAGCAACATACGCAATATAAGCACCCAGTGTACCCACATTAATAGCCCAGTTCTTCCCCATGATAGCAGCCAGTACACCCGTCGCGAACCCATCAGCCAAGACACCTCCAGGACGAACGATAGTCAACTTCCACCACGAATCGGTTTGATCCGCTAACGCGACTGCTTTGGTATCGTGCAGTCCCTTTGACTCTATCAGCCCCGGGACAATAGGAAAAAAAAAACACAAAAATAAAGGATCGATAAGGGAAACAAGTAAAAGACATACCTTTGTCTTTCGCTGCGCATCCAGAAAATACAACTTCCTATCCGGATCCTGTTCCACGAATTTCCCACTAACATGAACATACCGGAACCCCGCTGGTGTTTCCTGCAGACTGCGCCTTTTGATAAAGGCCTCCTGAAAAGCAAGTGGATACTCCACATCTACTTTTTGCGTAGGACTCAGAGAGCCAAGGGCCCTGCGATAGAGGACGTCAATACACTTCACACCATCACCAACAGATATAGTCAAAGTATGACATACCAAATCATAGCCGCAGCGTCCATATGCCGATCAAGTAACTCATCTGGCCATATCGAGAAATCTTTCACGATGACTGTTTCGAGTTTTGGATTTGAGGATAGGTCTTCTGGGAGGGCGCGGCGCACGAATGCGACGACTGTGGTGATTTGGGGATGGGCGAGGCATGCTCGTAGTGCGCCGCCACCGATTGTGCCCGTTGCGCCTGTTAGAAGGACTTTCATTGCGAGTTGGATGTACGTGAAAGGCTTAAAAGAGGCTGAATACAAAATGGGAGCAAGTTCAAGATGCTCGGATTGATCAGAGAAGAAGTGAGGTCTTTTAAAATGCGGTAGCAAGGGGCGTCATTCCGTCGGCCGACTCGGCCGACGCGAATAAGCTCGAGAAGTAGATGCGCCGACGATAAGTATAATTTCCACTGCATTAGAAGTCTTGTAGTTGTTCTGACAGCCTTGATGACAACTAGAGAATCGATTGTTCACTCCATGATTTCCTAATTATACCTGCTACTGCTGCTCGACTCACTCTGGAATATGGAGCACATTCTCAATAACTCTAGCTGGTCTACACACCTAACTCGCCGCAGCCTGCTACAATAAATCAGATCATTGTCATCCTCAACAAGTCATATTCCCTAAAAAAACAAGTCTCCAAGTCCAGGTATATTGGCAGGAAGAATGATACAGAAACAATGCATCGCGAATTTCTAGAAACAGAAACAGAAACAGAAGCGAAGCAACTGGAAGAAAGAAAGAAAGAAAGAAAGAAGGAAACGAACAAAAAAAAACATGGGCGTTGCGTTGCGTATAGCATCATGATGGCGATTTCTCTCCCCGTCCGCCTCTTTTCTACAGATACCCCCTCTTCCACGGGTCCAACCTCACACATAGAGGAACCCCGTTTTCACTCCTCAAATTTGGATATCCTCCGATGGGATTATAACACCACCACCTTATGGTTTCATCTGATAATCATTGACACTGTCGTTTACCGTGCGGACCAATCCAAATACCAGGTTCTTCCGAGCCGCCCCGATAAAAGCCCAATTGCTGGAGAGGCCTATCCAAAGCTGTAATTGAAGCATTTACTGGGGCTTCTTGTTGGCAGCGGCAGGGCCGGCAATGTAGCGGCCAATGTCGGTCGCATCGTAGGCCTGGCGCACGACACCCTTGAATGCCTCCCAGCCCTGGCGAACCTGAGGGGGAGTGCTCTGGTGGGAGATCGAGGCGTCGGCGCGAGCGGTCAGCTGGCGAACAGCCTGCTGGACGAAGGAGCTCTGGGCGTAGCGGGCACGGAAGAACGACAGGTAGACGATCAGCAGAACCCAGCTACCCTTGGAGAAGGTGATAGCGGACAGGACGAGGCGGAGGAGGAGCAGGATCTCAAGAGTGGCGACGACACCCATGCTGGCATCGTAGTACTGCTTGATGAAGCGGCCAATGGTCTCGGCGAGGGGGTTCTGCTTGCCGGCGGGCTTGGAGCCGGAGGTGGGCGAAGCGGGGCTCGCGGCACCGGGAGCTGGGGGCTGCAGGGTCGGGATCAGGTACATGCGAGTGTAAGTCGCAACGTGGAAGACGGAGTAGACGCTGAAGGGGAGGAGAGCGAGAATGAGCTGGCGGGAGTACAGCCAGACAAGAGCCATTCCTATAGGTGACAAGTATATGAGCTTGAGAGTTCCCTGCACGTGCGCAGGCTGCCACATTGCCTTATCCCCAATTTCATGGAGTACTCACCCAGGTACTGCACGTTCTCATCAGAGATGAGCTTGGTCACAATCTGAGGCACACTGCCCGAGACACCCCGGGCGAAGTGGCCCTTGTAAACGACAATTCCATAGGTCACGGCAGCAGAGATGAAGGCCAGGCGGTACGAGATTCGGGCCGCGGAAGAGTAGTAGTTGAAGAAGATGAAGGACAGGGTATAGCGAAAGACGGAGAGGAGCAGGGTGAGGTGGCTGGATTGTAGGTCAGTAATGCTATCTCGAGGTTCTGCGAAGAGTGGTCGTCGGCGATTCCCGTCGGATGGACATACCCAACAAACCAGGCAAACCTGTAGTAGTATTCGGTTAGCACTGCTATCTCAAGCCTTGTATACAATTGCACAGGGGCGAAATGGCAACATACTGGAGGGTCTGGGCCAGAGCCTTCAGCCTCTCGGCCAGAGGCAAGGTCGCGGGAGGAGGAGGAGCCATCGAGACTGCTTTTTTTTTGCCGAGGATCGGGTAGTAGGGAGGAGGTCGGGAGAGAAGAGGAGGTAAAGGGTCAAGGGGTAGCTGTGATTCAGGACAGCAAAAGAGCAGAGAGAGGCGAGTCTCAAGGGTTGTCAGTCGAGTCAGGGAAAAACCAAGTCGAGGGGTGGCTGGGAAGCGGGGATGGAGGAGTTGTGTGTTACCTGTGCTTTCCAGCTTCGGGAGCTAACTGTCGTCTCTCTCCGCCTTGGACGCGGTGACGTCGGGCATTTCGGATGATGCAATGCAGGAGTTTATTTGGGAAACTATAGTGGAACTATAATAGAACTAGATCCGTATGAGATAGACTATAGGAGAGCATAGGCAAACAATTTAAGTGAATAGACTGAACTGCATAAACTACCATTGGAGTATCAACTATCGCAGTCTATCTCTGCACATCAAAGAACAAGGGCCCTATTCTTATCTACCGGCAGATCAGCCACTTTTCCACTTTTCCACAATTCCGCACTTCTTTGGCCGAGGTTTAAGAAGTAAACGGCTCTTGCATTCGGATCTCCTCGGGTCCTCGCATCAAAACTCGACGGGCATCTGCTGGATGGGCGAGGGAAATAAACTAGATAGATTGTTAGGTCTGACCGCTAGTTCTGCACTTTATCGGACAGTACATTTGTTCTCCCCACATGATTATTATGATTCAGTAGTGTGCTCTGTCTGATAAGGTTAGCTTGGGCTGGATTCCCGCGTATCCAAATCCTACTGGTCCGAGTCCGTCATACACTTGCCTAGAACCATTCTAGGTCGAATAACACGCCAAACAAATCACATCGAAAATAATACTCGTTAATACGGAAAGCGTACAATGGTATCCATCGTCGATCCCGTAGCTGGCACTACCTCTTTTATAAAGAATGGATCATATAAGGGTCTCGTCCATAGTCTAGTATAGAAAGGCATGCCGACCGCGGTATCTTGCGTCACCAACCTCTACTACTTAAAGCCAAAATGATAGCCCTTAGATAGGAAAAAAATAGTTCCTTTGAAAATTTTCGTATTGCAAGTTGCTTACAAGAAAGGTAAGAATGAAGTAAAGAATGAAGATGGTGGAAGGCAACTCAAAGTGGACGGACCCGAAAATGAAATTGGCCAGGGGTTACCTACAGGAGGAAGCACGGCTCATGTAGCCGAGAATTCATCATTCAAGACCTTCTATGCCTTACACAGGTGGTCCTGGATACCCGAAATCGACGGGGAGAAGAAGTACTCTCCGCCATGGGGAATCACCCATCGTTCAATAGGGACAGTCCGCTCGTTAATCTCTGGTGGAGGGTGTCGAGGGTCTGGCAGATTCACAGCAGGGACGGGCTCCTTGTATATGATGGGGTCTTCATCATGACGGGAGTGAGGAGCAACCTGGCCAATGATTGGGTCAATTCCTTGAGCGGCTTTACCTCCACATTGGTCGGTTTTATCGTCAGGGCCCTCGGCGGTATTCGCCCATTCTGATTATTGATGTTAGTGTGACATTGTTAGTATGGAAAACGGGAGTCATACCTTTCTGAACGGTGTGGAAACCATTCTTAATGCTGCTCTGGTACGAAACGAACAATAATCCGCGTTCAGTCTGCGACACACCACCGGCCTTTTCCTCGTTCTTGGTCAGGGGACCGTAAGGAATTCCTCGGCGGAGCATAAGATGCTTCTGGTAGAAGGGGTGATCGTCTCGAGGTCCGCATTTACGGATATGCGACGCGAAGGGACAGCGGGTTTGGTTATCAGCATTGTAGTTGAAGTTATCAGTGTGGTTCATCGCCTCCTGCTCCTTCCACTTCTTCTCATACTCATCACCCCATTCTTTCTTTAGAAGCTCAGTGTTCTCATGGGGATCAGCGCTCAGGATATGGCTAGGATCTTTTTCGGGGTAAAGTTCCAGAGGAGCACCTGTGGCCAGTTATATTAGCTCTATCCTATATTTCCCGCATAGTGCTATCATTTGTTTTAAACTTACCATCAGGCCATCGCCCCATAACACGCGATGAGAAGAGGCGAAGTTCTTTCTTTGCATTCTCTGTAAAGCCCTCAGTTGTCACAGATGGGGTATTCCTGCCGCACCACCTGGAGTAGAATATTAGGACCCTTCAGCTTTCTGTAGTTGAAAACGGTGCCGCTTACATGACAAATTCAGGAGTCCTCTGCTCGTAAACGCGGTAAACCATGAAGCTACCTTCCTTGGCCCATCCTGGGGTCTTGGTCTTGTCTTGGTCACATCCGACAAGGATGGTACTAGAGCATAGTCAGAAATCAACGTAACGTTGATGTTTTATCAAAATAGAGATTTTGACTCACCCAGCGGGGATTGGTTTCAAGCCATTAGGCGATTTGTTCTTAGAAAGATCGTCCAAGCCAATGACACTGGGTTGGGAAATACCATCAACCCACCCAAAGCTGTATAATTAATGTTAATAAAATTGACAAGCGGTCCAATAGTAGTAGGAAACTAACTGTTCTCTGTCATCAGGTAGAACGTGACCAGACTGGGAGAAGACTCTCTGAAGGCTTTGATCTTTCCCGCCAACATTGAAAATTTTCTCAATCAATGATTCAATGGTTTTCTTCACAGTCGCCTCGCTATCACCAGCGACAATGAAGACGCCATCAACAGAGCCATTTCGTGGCTTAAACTGATGGTACCAGTCCTGTTGATCATCGAGACCTTGGTGCTTCGCTGGATCTTCACCAGTGCCTGGGTAGGTCATGTCTTGCCATTGGCCATTGTTGAAAAGGTCATCAGTAAAGCCCTCGGCTCCGAGCTATATAAGGTTAAACCCGAACATCCTTCTATAGAATGGGACCAAAAGCTTACCTTGGCCAGACCCTTGGCAGAGAACGAGATGTTGATCCCCGATAGCTTAACAAGACCTTTCAGGGTACCCTCTTCCTTCTTCTTGTAAATGTCTTCTCTCATTCTCTGCGCATCCTGAGCTGTGGTGAGCAATGGAGCGAGTAGAGCTAGATGTTCTTTGAATAGTGCAGGCCGGGTGATGCGAAAGAAATGGAAGGTTTCCCATTTTTTGGGAAGACGGGGCCTAGATCGGGTAATTAGTCTTAAGTGTCTTCGGTGATGGTTATGGCTCATGTTGACATACCAAATATCGCCTTGAATATTCTGTTTGTTGGGCGTTGTCATTTTGCAGCAAGTAATAGAATTGGCTAAACTGTTTGCAGATGGAAGGTACAGCTTAGAAAAGAAAGGTCGAAGAAGCTACATGGGAAGGTATTTAATATCTAGGAAAATATATAGTTACTAACTGACAGGTGACAACGTCATCCACCTGTCACGTTTTCGTGTGATCAAATGTAACCTGCAAGAACACCGATCGATCAATCTTAGAGCGTGGTGGTGTTGGCCAACATGTTGGGCAGTGGAAAATTACATGAGTTGCAGGCAAAATACTAGCTGAAAAGACATGTCACCTCACGAAAGGCAAGGACGATGCAGAAGTAATGTTGTGCTACCTACAATATGCATGTTTTGCTGCCCCACAAATTATCTGCGCATCGACTCCATCGAGAACTAACCTACAAAATGACCAATCAGCGATAGGATAATTATGAATCCACATTCCAAGGTGGTCTACGTGCCCATAAATGTGGCAGGCAGTCGCTCAGCCTCTTGCCCCCCCCCCTCCCCCTCGTCTTGCTCCTTTGGTTACACATAAGATGTGCATATGCATTATCTAGATGCCCAAGTTACACATAGTGCAGTTACTATCGTGTACGAATCGTCATTGAGAGATTAATATGCCCACTTCCAACTAATGACGAAAAATAAAAGGAAAAGTAAATCCTTGTGAGCTGCACATGACGCGTTTTCTTGAGTAATTAATTATGAATCGAAGCATCCATATATCGTATTATTAGCGCTAACAATATGAAGGCTATGAGAGATAATATAAATCAGTTCAGAGATCTAGAAGCTCTGTAGAACGAGGTGAACAGCGAATCTTCGGATCTAACGGGTATCCTGAATAGTAAGAAGCGCGACATCCATGACCGCGCCAGCTCAGACCGCTTTGGTTGCTACATATTAGGCTACCTCTGGATTCGAAACTTGCAGAATTTTTGTCAGAAAAGATGCCGATCGTGGCGTAAATGTGCATCGCTGGAGCAACCTTCCATAGGCAGGCCGACGAATGGTCAAAGGGATGCTTTGGGGGTCATGACCCTAATTCGGTTGCATTTGCATATCTGAATCTGCCTTTCTCAAAAAAGGCTTTCTCTATAGTTATGTCATGAGACAAATTCATCTACTTTGCATCATGGTGAGGGTCGTCCTTAAGAGATCCTCCTATAGCTCCTAAATTGCGATAAGATCATCCTGTACAACCGATAGATTATGCAGCCACTACGCTATTACCATACTTCTGGATCTGTTCACGTGTTATTAATAAATTGTGAGCTGTCAACTCCTTAAGTATGTATGGATTGAGGCATTTATGGGTTCAGACATGGATTCCCTGCTATACGCTGGTTTACGGCAAAGCCGACTCGAATCCGTTCAGAAATAGCTTCAACTCGTTGCATCCACATTCCGCTACTTGAAAATGGGTAAAATGGAAGGGATTGGAATAATGTGACTACCTAGGGTGCCTCGCAAGATATTGCAAGATGACTTAAGGGACTTCAAAGTTCTTCTACCATGTACGTGAGATTGTGGATTTACCAAGCACACCACTAACCGGGTCTATAGTTTTGCTTTGACAGATCTACCGCTCCAGTGGACGTAGTATGACGAATAAAAAAGCAATTATCGAGATCCGTCGGTTTATATGGCTTAAGCGCCCAGCAGGGACTGGAAGACGGGAGTACCCCACAAGGCAGCATACTTGGGGCTATTGGCGACAATATTGAGTGAAAATAAGTAGTATCGATTTATTTGATGTTATTTAAATGGTTTGACATGAATTTACGGAGTAAAGGAGTGGATAGCATAGCCCGACAAGAGAATGATGGGTTGAACCCCTACGTAACATGCTTTGCCAAAGAAAAAAAAAAAAAGGAAACTTCAACTTCCGAAAGAAAAAAAAACACTGGCACTGCCTGTGGAATTCAACCAGTAGATGCGACCAACCCTGCCAAACAATAACTAACACCTCATTAAATCAGCAGTAATTGTGTGCCAGAGAGAAAGAGTGTCATGTCAATTCAGGGATTTGGGTTCGAATTGACATCATCTGGTAAACTCGGCTTTGCTCCATATCCTAACCCGCGAAGGCTCACGCAGGGACGAAAGCCCAGTCACGGTCTCCGTAAGCGGCGCTGCTCCTAGCCAGCATCGATTCAATGTTTCGACTCTGAAGTTGGCATTCACCAGTGGTGGCAGTACCACCCACATAGTAAACACTCACGCATGTGGAATCAAGGGCGCAGATTAGGAGACACTCCGGCTTCGTAAGGCCTGGTCGCACGACTCTGCTGAGGGGCATCCGATTCTTGGCCAAAGTCACGGGGCACTTCTGCTTGAAAGTCCGGTTCCCAATCTTGATAATCTGGTCAGAGCCACCATATCTGCAGTCCTTGACTTGGGGAAGCTGGGCGCTAGTCGCAGCATCGGTTTTGCATTTTTGTAACTGAGTTTGGCATGTCTGCAACTGCTGAGCACTCTTGGTGGAATCATCCTGGCACTGCTGTAACTGCTGACTGGTAGTCGTGGAATCAGTCTTGCATTTCTGCAACTGTTGAGTGTTGGTCACAGCATCGCTCCGACATTGCTGCAGTTGCTGAGCGCCAGTCGCCGCGTTGTTGTTACACTGCTGTAACTGCTGAGCACTAGTGGCAGCATCCTTGTGGAATTGCTCCAATTGCTGGTTCAACTCGGTAATATAGCCATTCTCGGCTTCGCATTTTTGCGCCTGGATCAGCTGTTGTTGAAGATCGGCCTTTTCCTTCTCGCAGTCATTGCATTTCTCGAGTTTCTCCTCAAGGTCTGCCCGGGTGTCCTCGAGTTGCTCCTTGTACTCTAGACATGATCGGATGTCCTCCTGTAGCAGATCTACTTTCTCGTTGAGCGCGGTCTCTGACTCCTTGAGTGCGGTCTCTGATGCCTCGCAGTCCTTAAGATCGGACTCGATGTGGGTGCAATCAGCGCTTTGAACCTCACGACGCAGGAACACGGCAGCACGTCGGGGTTGATATTCGTCCCCATTGGTGTACAGCTGGCATGAGCCAAATGAGTGGATCCAAGTGCTTCCTTTACACTTTTCATTAGTGGCGCATAGAGCAGCACACTCTTCGATAGTGTCGGCCTCCAAGGCAGGCTCGATCAAGTTGGCAGCAACACCAGCCTGTCTGCACACATACTTGAATTTCTCCCCGTTGTCGAGGGTCACGAAGTCTCCATCATGATCATCACAGACGGCTTCAAATTGGGCTTTCGGGCTTAGAGGTTCCGGATCTGGAACTGGCACGTCACGACGCAGGAAGATTCCTGTGCGGCGGGATTGGAGATCCTCTGCACTGGTGAAAAGCTGGCAGGATTGGAAGTTGTGAACCCATGCGCTTCCTTTGCAGTCGTCCCGAGAGGCGCAATGTTCGGCACACTCATCAATCGTTTCCGCAGTCAAGGTAGGTTCGATCGCGTTGGCAGAGTTTCCGGTATGCTTGCAGACATATTGGAATTTGTATCCATTGTCCAGGGTTTTTAAATCTCCGTCTTGAGAGGGCTCGGATGAGCAGATAGCATCGAATTCGTCTTTGGGACTCTGTGCCTCAACTGCCTTGAGGAGGCACAGAGCTTGAACAAGATATTGAACTCTCATAGCTAAGTTACCAGAGAAAATGAGAAAGAAAATGATTGAATATGTTGTTAAGAAGCGTGTGTTTGCAAGCTCAACTTACCCCGTATTATAGCCCCCGTCTACTGAAGAAGTGGGTCACAAGGAGACCTCTTATTTTATTGCATTCTTTGAATGTATGTATTATGCAGGTTCCCAATGATCGGCAGCTGGCTGCATGCATCTGGATGTGAGGATCACAGTGAGAGGAAGGAGGTCTGGCCGTCATGATCCTTGGATAGGGACTCGCCAGCCATGGCTATTTCTTCTTTGACTACTATAAGTAGGAGGCTGAGATAGCAGACTGAACTCATTACATCATGCTGCAGGTCAAAGCATCATTAATGTCCCGGCGCTGTTTCAATAGTATTCAGTCCAGCAAACTGCACTGTTCTGAACCCGCATTTGATGTCTCAGTTCTCTATACTCGAGCCAAGGTTACACTTGGCTGGATGTTGCAGAATAATACAAGATGCCGTCATTTACTACTCAATATTATGGATTTCCATGTTTTTGATGATGAATTGATTTGCCTGATCTAATTCGCACGAAATTTGTGCTACCTCCGGGGGAGCTATCGGGCCAGCTGGTAGCTCTCAGGTGGGAGCCAGTCAAGTGAGAGACTGTTTCATGGGATTGTGGGGCATGCTATTGATTGATCGCCCTCAAATCTGTGTAACTTGACAGAACGCAGATATGTGAACATCAGAAAAAAGTACGGAATTTCCAACGCACGTTGCCCCTAGTTCTTCCCAACCCCCCGGCTCGCCTTCTTGTCTCGGACCTAGTTTTGCATAGCTATGCAGAATTTGAGCTGTTACTTATGTGCTCTTCAATAAAGTAAATACAGTGGGTTTTGCACTGCACTTACGCGTATTAAGCACCCTCCTTCATGCGGGATCTTGTGTTGTGACCGTGAAGGTAGTACAACCTGTGCCCGGACCCGCTAGCCGGATGGGTCAAAAGACCTAGTATGTCAGAACTCTTTTTCTGACATGACCGGGACCGATATAAGTAGCGCACATACATAATTATAATGGGGACAAGGCTCCAAAAGAGGCGGAAATGGCTCCCCAATCAAACATTGATAGGAATTACATTTATTGTGGTACGGTTACGTGTATATAAGAATATTGAAGCTTTTCACACCAGCGGCCAATTAGAACCTTGCATGGCGATCCTTACCATATACTCTGCAGTCGTCCAGTAAGCGGGCGGCTACTGTCTGAGGGCATGCCTGACAGCACTAACGTATAGTAGCATGTATCTAGACTGACCTACATCGGGCAAATACACTCTCAATCGTCATAACAACTATTCAATTTGTCCTGCACCTACCCGAAAGCTAAAGTGTTTCCGTGAAATCCTCATGGAGTTGTAAAGGCTGGTGGGTAGTCAGAGGCATCTGTCAGATATCCCTTCAGCGCCTTGATTGATGGCGAGAAGAAATATTCGCCACCCCTGTGGATAACCCAGCGATCGAGGTCCAGGCGAGCCTCAGTAGGATTCTTACCATCGGGAAGACCGATAGACCGAGGCGGGTGATGATCGAGCTTCTGACCCACAATGGCATCAATACCAGGACCGTGGTCATCGATGAAGTTGGACTTCCGGTCGGGGAAGTAGTGATTGCTCGCCCAGCGAGTAGTCAAGAAGTTGAATCCATTGCGGATATCACTCTGATAGCAGACAAAGAGGAGGCCACGCTCGTTCTCGTCATCAGATCTCTGCGCAGCCTTCTCCTCGGGACTCACTTCACCTCCATATGGAATGCCACGACGAATAATGACTGCATGGTCATGGTCTAGGTCTCCTCGAGGCCGCATCTTGCGGATGTGGGCTGCAAATGGACATTTGTCGTGTTTGTCGACAGGATGGAAATCGAAGTTGTTGGATCTGTAGAGGCTTGGATCTTTGTCATCATGAGGATTTTCATCGACCGGGGTTCCTTGAAATACTCGTTAGCGTGGATCATCTGGGGCCTGACTGACACATACCGTTTCTCCATCTACCCATCAAGTATGCGGCAAGTTTCTCTTTCGGGTTATCAGAGGACGCGGCAAACGGTGCTTTGTGCTTGTTGTCCTCCAGCCACCTTGAGTTCGATTAGTGAGTACAGATTGTTGTGGAACAAAGGTATGTATCAACGTACTTTTCAAACTCAGGGACAAGTTGCTGTAAGTCTCGGAAAACGAGGAAACTACCGTCCTCGGCCCAGTCCGGTTGCCCCATATCATCACCGTCATGTTTGGAAAAGATCAGTCTGCAATCCAGAATATCCCAGGTTAGTTAGGTGAGTTAATGTAGGTAGTATCAGATAATACTGACCCGGACTTTGTCGGTTTAGGATCCTTTTCTTTGATTTGAACCTCGTCTAAGCCTTCGAGGAGCGGCTGGCTGATTCCATCCTCGAAACCGAAGCTGATATTCATAAGCACAATTCCGACCAGCCATGATCATCAGACGATGAGATATTCTTACTGTTCCTTGCCCTTGTCTGGACGAGTACGACCCTGTCTAACCAGAGGAAATTCGAGAACTGGGTCATTGCTGACACGGTAGGTATTGGCATCTCCATAGCCTGGCTCCTTGAGGAAGTGCTCCTTGATACCATTAACCTTTTGAGCAAGATCGTCTTCACGACTTGCTGTAACAAGGAACACCCCATCAATTTGCCGCTGACCCTTCGGACCGAATGGATGGTATTCCTTTCGTAGCTCTTGTGGATCATCCCAACCCTCACCAACCAGATCGGAATACATGCCCTTTGCAAATAGACCACCACGCAGCTGGGTATTTCTGAATATTTTGGAAAGGGATCTGTCCTTTTTAACGCCTGCCTCATCGAAGACAAACTTTCCCATCTGATGGAGTCAGTTAGCTAATATTCGGTTCCCGGTAGGGGGTTCGGTGTTAGCCTACTGCTCCTAATCCGGTTGAGCTGAAGGCAATGTTAACTCCTGGTAACGACTGAATTTTGGTTGGCCGACACTGCTGGGTAGCTTGAGTTTTTGCATCGAGGATCCTCTTCTTCATATCAAGTGCGTCCTGCGCACTTGTTATACCACCCGCTTCCACAAATGACCTGAGCCGCGTCTTGAATTCATCTCCCTTTTTAATCTTGAAGAACAAGAAGGTCTGACATCTCTTGGGTAGACCGGGCCTGAGAAGAGGGATGAGCCCACGAAAATGTTATGCTTGCTTGAACAGCGGGACTCACCAGATGTCGCCCTGGATGTTGGCCTTTCTAGCAACCCAACTCATTGTTTCAGAGGGTAACTTTGTCAATGTCTAGCAACTGGAGGAAAGACCATGAACCTTTAGCAGACCAATTAACGTGAACAGCTGTGGTCGGGGCTGCTTGCGACTTTAAGGATTCCTCAACCGCCTTCGCAATCATCGTATAGGAAAACGGCATGGGCTGGCGGGACCACACAGCCCAGAGGTCCATACATATTCCAGCTATCCACTGGTGACTAGAACGACTGAACTCTTCACGGTGGGCTTATGCCGCCAACACGATATCGTATTGCTGTGATATCATTCGTTACCTCGTCGCCTTGACAGTCAGGGTGCACAGGAATTGATCATCGCTATGCTGCTGGGTGCTCGCATGCAGGGGCTTGCATACATCACCTCGCGTTGTAATTTGCGTACTTTCTTCTGCGGGATCAGAGAAAAAAGAAAGAAGCTTCCAATAAGAAAAGGGTAGTAATCAGACAGACGTCATGGGGGAGCTCAACAATTTTGGTTGTGCTTGCATGCCGTCGACCCGACTTCGAGATAGTCTCTTCTGGCGCTCATTCTGCCACGCACACTATCCGCAACCTTAAATCGGGATCCCTGACTGTGTAGGTTTCTAATGAGAAGCTTAATCTTCTGTCCCTTTGATTATCTTGCCTATTCATAAGTCAAAGCAAAACAAGCATTTTTTGTCCTCTCCCACTTGTGTGTCGTAACATGCCGATGCTACAGTAGCCTATCCAGCCATCAGTATTTTTGGATAGTTCTCGAATAAATTACATCAATTAGTTCCTAAGTCCTAGGCCGTACGGGTATTCCATTATCTACCACCGGTCAGATAAAAAGCAAGGAATGCGCATGCCCCACCGATTAGCAAGTTGAAGAAGCCTCAGCTAGCCACAAATTCTTAATTACAAATTACCGGTCAATGAGAATTTCTTCAACGTTGCACAAGATATGCAACGCAGATCTCATAAGTCAATCGACGCATAGTAGGTTACACCTAGCACTAGCAAGGGCCCAGTCTATTGCGTAACGTCTGTCGCCTATCCCAAGGGTCAGAAAGACAGGTCGTGTTCCAGAGGCGTGGGACCCCGCTAGCCTCCGACCAATCAATAAAATTCAGATGTAATTTGTCTTGAATAAATCGGGAACTGGCACTGCAAAATGCAAACACACTTGTTTCCGTGTTCAATGACAGCCGATCTTGCCTCGATGACACCATGGTTCCAATCTTCCATCCGTATTTGCAGCTACTGTATTCTATGCAACTCCACTGGAGGTTTGAAAGCCAGACTGTCAATGTAATTGTGCATTATTCATTCAAGAGATGGCATTGTGGACTCGGGCACTGATGTTGCGAGGCATGCTCTAATTTGCCTACTTATATGCGACATTTTCCGCCCTGTTCATCAGGCTTCCCAGTACTCTAATACCGAAAGGACCTCATTGCCCCTTTCCACTTTCCTCTTGTGTTCACCCCACCACCAAGATGAAGTTGCAATGGGCTAAACTTCTGTTTGGGGCGTCCATTGGAGGTGTGAATGCTGTGAGCACATTCATGCAGGAGGCGATGTATGGAGAGCGTGTCTCTGGTTACGGTCCAGTTGATGAGCCATTGTGGAAACCTTCTTTCAACGATGAATCGCCTCCGTATCAGGGTCTTCGCATTTCTCGCTCAGATTGGAGCTTGACTTGCAGCAGCTCGAGGAACAATTACCCTTGCGAGAATATCATCGATGGGACTAATACCAGTTCCTGGCGAAGCAACCCCGACCCAAAGGGACATAACATCATAGTCGACCTGAAAAGGCACTTCACCGTCAGCGCCCTTGTTGTCTTGCCTCCAATTGACACAGACACCGACGGGTTGATCACCCAGCATGAAATCTATGTCAGCACCAACAACAAAGACTGGAAGGGTCCGGTCGCATACGGAATGTGGCCTACAACGAACAGACAGCGATTGGCTGCTTTTGAGCCCATTACTGCCCGTTATGTAAAGCTCAACACTAGCTCTGAAGCCACGGAGTCATCCTGGATTGGAATCTCTGAGCTTAACATTTATGCGACGCAATACACTATTCCCCAAGATCCGAAACTTGGTGTCTGGGGTCCAACCCTCAATTTCCCGATCGTGCCTGTTTCTGGTGCCCAAGAGGCCTCCGGTAACATTTTGCTGTGGTCGTCTTGGGATGATGACCAATTCCACTCCACCCCAGGTGGTAAAACAGTCATGACCCAGTGGAACCCGCTGAGCAATGAAGTCTCCAAACGCACTGTCTCCAATACCCAGCATGACATGTTCTGCCCTGGCATTGCCATTGATGGTACTGGCATGATCGTTGTGACCGGCGGTAATGATGCCTCCCAGACCAGCCTTTACGATCAGGCCAAAGATGCTTGGGTACTAGGCCCCGCGATGGCGCTTCGACGTGGATATCAGGCATCTACAACCCTCTCTGATGGGCGCGTTTTTGTCATCGGCGGCTCTTGGGCCGGTGGCTCAAACTTTCCAAAGGATGGAGAAGTCTACGACCCTCTCACCAGAAACTGGACTCTTCTTCCCGGTGCTAAAGTCAAGCCCATGCTGACGCAAGATATGGAGGGACCTTGGAGAGCTGATAACCATGGCTGGCTCTTCGGGTGGAAGAAGCAGAGCGTCTTCCAAGCTGGTCCTAGCAAGCAAATGAACTGGTACTTCATGAGTGGGGATGGCAGTGTGAAGGGAGCTGGAAACCGCTTGGATGACGATGATTCTATGTCTGGCAACGCCGTCATGTTTGACGCCGTGGCCGGTAAGATTCTTACCTTTGGAGGCTCGGAGGACTACGACAAGTCCTGGGCCACAAACCACGCGCACGTTATTACCCTCGGCGAGCCAGGAACTAAGCCGGACGTGAAGCCTGCTGGTGAAGAGGGAACTATGCACAAAGAGCGTGTTTTCCACACCTCTGTCGTTCTTCCGGACGGGAAGGTCTTCATTGCGGGAGGTCAGACTTTTGGCGTTGCTTTCAACGAGGAGAACGTTCAGTTTGCGCCAGAGCTGTACGATCCGGAAACCAACAAATTTACTGAGTTGACCGAGAACAACATCGTTCGTGTCTACCATACTGTGTCGCTTCTGCTCCCTGATGGCCGGGTCCTCACTGGCGGTGGCGGACTTTGCGGCAACTGCTCTGCCAATCACTACGATGGTCAGATCTTCACGCCGCCGTATCTCCTGACTGACAAGGGTGAGCCTCGTCCTCGACCCGAAATCACAGAAAGATTACCTCGCGCTATCCTGGTTGGAAAGAATGTCTTCTTCTCTGCCAACGGCGATATCCGGTCTGCATCCCTAGTCCGTCTCGGTAGTGCCACGCATACTGTCAACACTGACCAGCGTCGTGTTCCTCTTACTCTCAAGCGCAACACACTCCTCCGAAAGTGGTCGGTCGCTATCCCCAATGATCCAGGTATTGTAATCCCTGGATATTGGATGCTGTTCGTCATGGATGCAGATGGAACACCTAGTGTTGCAAAGACGATTTTAATCACGTCTTCTGAAAAGGCTCTTGAAGAGAATGAATGTGAGCAAGGATTCCTTAGAATGTTTTGGGAAAGTTGGAAGCCAACACTGACTTGGCAGCTCCTTCTGGGATAATGCGGTTCGAGTTGGTCCGACGCTTTTTCGGGGCATGAGATAAGAGAAGGTTGTTTGGTGAATGGTTAGTTCAATGTTACTCCTGACTACACTATCGTTGATACCGAGCAACGAATCATGTTAGAGTATTCTGTTACTGGCACGGCAAAGCAGGCCCAATTCGGTTGGTTTCCACTCTGTCTAAAAGTATGAATTTAGCGACCAGAGAACTAGTCTAGATAGATACGCTTTAGCTGCCTCTGTTTTGAAAGATCTTTCTAACGTCTTTGAACGGTCTCTCGAGATACTTTTGTAATTGTTTCTCTAGTTATTTTGTTTCGATTTTAATCAAAAATCTCACTCTGAATTTTAGTCTGGTAATGTTATAGAGACTAGAGCAGGAGCTATCATAATTAGGCTGGGTTTCCTGTGTGAGCTGGTTTTTCGTTGTGCCAGAACAAGAACCTTAAAGACAGTACTATGTAAGAAGTATACTTCTAAATTACTAGAGCTACAGAGTGGTTGGCAATCCATATTTGTCCAGTGTCTAGTTACTTCTATGACTTTTGACTGGTTGAGTGGTTGGTGCTGTTACTGTTAGGTCGCATGGCATCAACAATTAGAGATCTCCCATTACTACGTACTCGTACGCTACTTTCAATTCATCACCTCGACCAATAAACACTCAGAAATCAATAAGTTTAAGTATTCAATTTCAAATACCCCTAATACTGCAATGCAACAAATCATCACACATCAAACACAACCTTACTCATAATAACCCTAATACTTAATTAATCCCGCTCTGCTCCAAACCCTCCTTCAATGCAAGCTCCAGGCCATCCGCCGTCTCCTCGGGCTTACTCAAGAAACCCGAGTGCGATGCATCAACGTGGAAAGTTATCGGGTTACCCAATGTCTGCGCAAAGCCCTCCTGGATAAACAGTGGCAGAGCAGCGTCCTTGTCGCAGAAGAGGTACATAGACGGCATCTCATGCCAGGGCTCAAAGGTAGCTGGCTCCAAGAAGGAGGGCTTGGCGTGAGGCTTTAGCTTAGAGATAGCGGTTGCTTGGGCCTCGGGGGTCATGTCGTGGTAGAAGACTGTTTCTTGCTGGGAAGAGCGGCAGTAGCCATCATCGGGGTCCTGGGTGCGATTTTTAGTAAACGGGATTTCGTGAGGATACTGTCTTTGTAATAGACCAGATAGGAGAATAGTGGAAATACATACGCTCAGAAGCATCCATGGAAGCCAGTTTCCTCCCAGCATATCAATAACAGACTTGCCCTTGGGCGTCACGAAAGCAGCCAACCACACAACCATAATCACACCACCGGTCTGGCCAGCCTGGGACCGTTGGGCGTACCCAAGACCCTCGACGGCTCCTGAGCCGACCATGCCACCATACGAGTGCGTCACCACGACGATTTGACGTCCCTGATCGGCCAACGCCCGGAGCACACCGTTGGTATGGGTGATGTCGGCGTGGAGGCCGGACTTTGTTGGCTCAGCTGCACCAACAGAGGGCAGCGCAATGGCTTCGGAGTCATGTCCGCGCTTGCTCAGAAGAGCACGGATGCCATCGAAGGTGTCGGGAGTGTGCCATGCACCCGGCACGAAGACATAGACGGGGGAGTTCCTGACAGCCATTGTCGCTCAACGTTTATACGTAAGTTTTAACTAGTCGTGATGACTCGGGAGAGCAGAGAGAATTGCAAATCACACAGACAAGTCAGGAGCAGCAGTCGCAAGCAAGTAGCGGTGATGGCGGCAAGTTTAAAGGGGGAGGAGGCATTTAAGCTCGCACGTCAACCGCAGTTCACGCAGACCAGCGACAAGGGCGCCCCACCAAATCTCCGACAAGCTGGCAACTCATTCAAGCCGTTTGAGGCATCGAGCTATCCAGTCCAGTCGAGACGAGGCTATCACGCCTCTCCCCGGGGAGAACAACGTCGCCAATCCTCCAACCCACCTCGTGCCACGTTCAAGTGGAGATAGAGCAAGTCTAGCTCTCCCACAGCTCTCGTGAACCCGCAAGCCAATGAACAAGGCTCCTATCAAGCATCAAAAACGTGTCGATCTGTCGCACCAAATATGCAGCTACAGAGCACCAGGATCTAGCGTTGATCCCGTCCCACCCGGAGGTTCTCCGGGGCCAACGGCGTAGCAGACAGCGGCTCCACATGGCGCCCAGAAAGAAATGATTTGGAGCTCGAGGCCAAGAAAAGCAGGCCTGCCGAATTTATTTCGGTCTCGAATCGACAAGGTTGTTCGAATTCTCGTGCGCTCATTTGCTGAATGAGCTCCTTTCCACTGGAGCTTGCCGGTTTTGACAGGAGTTAAAATGCGCCCCTAACAGCTTCCTGATCGGCAGTTTCTCTTGTGGCTGCAGGGGGAAGGAGCCTGGAAGGGGATTCTCGTTGAAAGGATTCATGAACTTTTTGAATTAATTTCGGTGTTGAAGAACTGCAATATATTGTGTGGGCTTGTGGGCCAGACAGTTCTGCACTTTATTGTTTTTCTTCTTTCCCTGCATGTTTCGGCAGGGGAGCATGCACTAGGTTAAAGTGCTTATTTCGACTTGTTCATTGACCTTGGCTATAAGCTGACTGTAGCATGGTGACCACCAATATTTATGAGAGTCGTCAAGGGGAGTACCGGGCAGGAACCATTTCCATGACGGCTCTGGGTGTGGTTTTTGTCATTCTGCGTTTTTTGGCTCGATGGAAGAAAGGCCTCAGGATTGGCGCTGATGATTATGTGATTCTGCTTTCGTTAGTAAGTCTAACGCCTGATTGTTTCTTCTGAAAGCCCTGGGACTGACCGGAGCACCTCCTTTGATTGTTTCTAGTTATTCCTGTTCGCGACCTGCGCCCTTAACTTGGCGAGTAAGACAGCTCCCTTGGTATAGTCGATGTATCGCGAGTGACTGACATATCCCAGTGATTCACTATGGCATGGGTCGACACGCAGACATATTACCCGATGGAAACATTGTGATAATAGCCAAGGTTCGAATGAATAGAGACAAAACATACACTCCAACCCAGACTGACATTCGCTAGCTGCTCATGTCTTTCGAATGCGTATACTGTACGACAGTAGGAATCATCAAGATCTCCATCCTGCTCATGTATGCTCGCATCTTCCCCACGAGAGGCTTCCGCATTGCCTCGATTATTCTGGGTAGCATCGTCGTCGGGTGGGTCATCGCAATCATCTGCGTGAGTGTGTTTCAGTGTAACCCGATCGCACGGGCCTGGAATACTGCGCTGCCGGGTACTTGCATCAATCTCAAGGGCTCGTTTATCGGGAACGCAGTACCGAATATTTTGACGGATATCGCCATCTTGGCTCTTCCGGTTCACGTTGTCTGGGGTCTGCATGCAACCGTGACGCATCGGCTATCGGTCATTGCCATATTTCTGCTGGGCAGTTTGTTCGTTTCCTCCTTCCCTCGAATATTGACCAGGCTCGAGAGAGCTTGACCAGCGAGGTATACTAACAACCACATCTTTTCCACAGTGTCATCTTCACTAGTGCCTATCGCTTCTCCACACTCTTCGAATTCGAACCCACGGACACTCCCTGGACTCTCGCCAAGGCCTGCACTTGGTGTCTCATTGAGTGTTCCAGCGGCATAATATCGGCCTGCATGCCCACCCTGCGCCCCTTGTTCGTCATGCTCTCCTCAAAGTTCGCAAGCTCGATTAGTACCCGCACACGGACAACTGGGGTACAAGGCTCAGGCCTCAAGAGTTACGACGTGGGTGGCTCGGCCTTGCGTCCATCGGGTGAGATTCTGGGCAAACAAAAGGTGCAGTTGGAGGTTAGCCAGCCGGATGATGCGTCAGGGGATGAGGTTCCCCTGAATACCATTCGGGTCCAGCGCGACGTGACGTGGCAGGAGACAAGCTATGATTCTTCGCGACGATGGAATTGAGAGTGCCCTGTCATGCATCTGTTGATCTGCAGTCGTAATGTATATTAGTTGAATATATGAAGGAAGGAAGCTTCTTGATCGACTTTTGTATAGAGTGAACTGGGATACCTCGTTACGCAACCGAGTCGGTGAAATTTCTCCAGCAAGTTAAGCTCCTCTCCAGCAGGCAATATTTCTTTTAATGTCAATGGCATTGTCGCAAGTGATTAGCAATTCTCCACGAGTAGAGTCAATTTCAAGACCAGGACAATACCCTTGGGAGAAGCTACCTTAGTTATATCTTTCCCTAGGACAATGTTAAATGAAGGAGACGCTTCAGGACCAATTTAAACAATGAAGCTGGTTTCAGATTGACAATTAAGCTGCAGCTCTGATGAACCCTGCCTTGTCTCGCTGCACGGTTCAACTTGAAGCTCGATCTCAATCTATCGCGCGATCAAGCTAGGTAACATAAGCTTCAATAATGCTGATTCATCATAAACAGAAGAATCTGTACCTATTACCAAAGAGGAGCTTGGAGGCGTCATTCAGCACTCTGGCTAACCACCAGGACTGTTGAACCAAGAGTTGTACCTTTTGACTCTCCACAATTCCATCACAAATACAGCCAACCCCATACACCATCAAAACACTCGAAACTCCCAGAAAACCATTGAAAAACAAAAACAATAGAACCCCGCAAAATACATAAACCCCAAATTATTGACCCCAGAATAATACAAACGTGAACTAAACAAGCGAATCAGAAAAACTTTCTCAAAAAAAGCAAAATGCACTTATGCTGCAAGAAGTCGATCAAGCAAAATCCTTCCCAACCGAAAATGATTCTAATCACATGGGGGATAACAAACCACAGCGAACCTCGGCGAGTAGCGCGGGGATAAGGTTTACCTGGCACCTGCACCCGTTAGTCCCCGCGATCCTTGCCATATTGGTCGCCGGCCATCCACTCTCTACATGATAATTGGATTGCAATTCAAGAATCCACCCGAAAACTATCAGCTAGGTTATTGTCTGACATCGCATAGTTCTGTACATTCCAAACTAACATCTCCAGTCAATGGCACGGCCATCCTGGCTATTCAAACAGTGTCATGCTATGCCGACAGGGTCTTTTCAAACCCCGCAAATCCGGTAGGTAGATGATCAAAACTTGCGAAAAGCACATGCCAATCTACCGGAAATACCTCACTAAATCAATGATCACTTTCATGATCATCGTTCATGGCACGATGTGCCGATGGGATCCGGCGGGAGTACAGTCACTGGTATCTATCTACTTTGCAGGTTTCCTTTCACATAGCTTGATTTCATAGGAATGTATAGCCTTGTAAGACAACAGCCGTGGGTCGACTTGACAATTCCGGCCCCGTGAATCCGCGGCACTCGTGCCATCAGCCCTGAATCGTCATCTCTAATCCACCCCCGCCTTGTCGGCCTCGGCCGGTAGGTTTACACATCCGAGGGGTGGTCATCTAGATTTTGAGGCTTGATCCGCTTCCCCATGGGGTGACTCGGGATATACAGTAATGGTGGGTATGCATTGGTGGTCGGGATTTGGTCAATGGCTCATGACATGGATCATACTTTATAGATCATGCATCATGGAGGATGGATTATGAGATTGGGCCGGGATCTTCGTGAATTCCTGGTTTTTATCGGTTGTAGTTTCAAGGGTTGTGGAGTTTCGGCCGATGCGGATCAAGAACTGGTTCATGGCTGGAGTTTAGGTGGATGGACCAAAGACATGACATTGTAATCGCGGGGGTGGCGAGACCTATCCGGAGAAAGTGTTGGTTTAGCTGATAGATTGGAACACAGGCGTAATTCTCTCGTGGATTTCTCAATAATGAGGATTTGAGCAGAGCAATATTGACTCGATAGTTTTCACCCTCTATGTTAGAGCATAGTATACGACAACAAGGATGTATGCACGCCTAGTGCATACAGTCTCACGCCACCCTTAAAGTCCTACAATCTCAAACAACCCCCCTCCAACAAGCAACAGTAGCCGAAACAACTTCCCAAAATTCCCCACCAGAGAGTCACAATCCCTCTAGTATCTACGATCTGGCATCTACATTGAATCTGCTCTGTACTGTCACAAACCCCGACCCTGGACCTGTTCCCTAACATCCCTTCACCTAGCGGCTTGCCAGTGGATCCCCGACACACTCACCCAGCAAATCCCAGATCCCAGTGCACACCACACCTTACCAAACCGTCAAATGTGCCCCATCACCAAGCCCAAATTCCATTTAGCTTAGCGCACCGCGTATGCTCATTTCTCCGTCGCCTCCAAACTCCCCATCCCTAGTTAACTATGAAGAACGAATTACATATTCTGCAGTCATTTTAAAAAGCGCCCCCAACCAAGTAGGAAAAAAAAGTACCATCCATCCCCTCGTGCTACTGCTGACACGGGTCTCCGGGTCCCTACCTGCCTACTCATGCAGGAACGGCCAACTTACCCTGTTAGGGGTAGTCTTAGCCTCTTGGGGGATTAACCCATCCCAAGGCTGCCAGACCGTGTGTTTCAGCGCAGGCGAGCCTATCGGCTGTCGGGCGGGGGGCAGGGCTTGGAAGGGTTCTAGATTGTTTTACCACTTTTTTGGGACGGTCCATTGTGTGGTTGGGTTTTGCGCTAGCGCCTTGTTGGGCTGCTGACCGGGTGGCTTGGAGGCTTGGCTTGGAGAATGTATGACATTGCGTGGATTGTGGACGTGAATAATGGGAAAGGCTGGGGAATGAATAATACAAACTGTATAGTGGTTAGATGGGATGGGCTGGAGATAAGTACTAGCATATACTACTGTAGTACTCTGGACAAAGATAGTGTCGGCGGACTTCGTAGTAAGAACTAATTACTCCGTGGGCAGGGGATCGCGTGAATATCGGGAGTTTGAAGCTCTGTAATTGGTTCGCACTTCTTGTTTCTTGTTTCTTTGATTATTTGCTATATTTTCATTATGTGGGCGCAAGCTAAAGCATTGTATGTGCATAGTGTGCTTACGACCCTGGTTCCTGCAGCCTTCCAAGTATAAGTGTCGTGCGTATTCGCAGAGCAGTACGAAGTATACGAAAGACTAGCGGGTTATATTGTACGGTCGCATGTAATATTCAGTGGGACTATATTATTGAGGCTGGGCCGATTTTGAATCCCCCCTACGTCTTGCGGGCTAACTTGCCGTGTCCGTCGGGGTGGGTGATCGTCATGGACTAGCTGGGCCAGGATTCGATGCATTGGGATGGAAGAAGGTCGATCGAGAGATACTGGTCGGTGGGGGTATCCGCCCATAATGGAGTCTGGATAGATTTCGGTACTTCGTAGGGACCACACAATATGAAACACATATCTCCACCGAGTGTTCCATCTACGTAGATAGAGTCAAGTGCCGAGCAAACTACATACGCAATCAATGGAAGAAGAGGGTCTGAAAAAAAGACTTTTTTTTGTCTTCTCATATTAGGCTTTGTATCGCGTAGATAATGCATGATAATACAATAGTGGTAACATGTGAAGAACTCAAAAATAAGGAAGCAGACATTATAACCTAAACCTCGTGAGCCTGGTCAAACCAAGAACGCAGCTTGTTTGGAGGGAGGGAGTGAGAAGATAGACGATCACTGAGATCATCAAGGGAGCGAGAGAGTGTGTGTAGATACTGTGTCCCGTATCCAATAGAGAAAGTAAGCGGCGACAACGAGGCAAATGAACAAGACCCTGGCCCACACGAGACAGAAAAGAAACCCGTCTCCAGACCCTAGACGCCATGGACCAATTTTCCGCAACACCGATAGCTTGGACAAGAAACGCACGCACGACTTGGCACTGTAGACAGTGACGATGGCAGGGGCAGTAACAGCAGGAGTCGTCGCAGCCTCTTGCCTTCCACGTCAAGGCTTGAGATCTTCCGTAAGACCCCCCAAGCCTGCCACTGTACCCCGAGTCCGGCCCCCTAACCAGTTTTAGTAAGATGGAAACTCTAATATGGTACTCGCTTCGCCCATAGCCTAGCCTCGCCTCACCCTACCCATGCAAGGGTAGGGAACCAGGTGCCTGGCAGGGCCAGCCTCGCGGTCCCACCACAACGGCTATCATGCATGACCCCGTGCAAAGGTTGCAGCCGGATCCCAGTCATGCCCCGGCGAAGTAGGCGGTCTTGGCCCACTGAAGCTCATCGACGGACGCGTATACCGCGCCTCCTGGTGTCCGAAGTGCACATTGCGGTCAGAGGTCGGGCTAGCAGCCATCGGGCTGCGGCGGCCGCTGAAGGTATTTGTTGGGCTGGGCGAGCGCATCATCTGGCGTGGACTAGCTGAACGCATCATCCGGCTTGGGCTGGGCGAGCGCATGTTGTAGTTATAGGGCTCGGGAGTTTTTCCTCCAGCGGAAGTAGTGAGCATCTCGAAGCCCTTGTTGTCGAGGTTGCGGTGGGCGTCTGCAGAGACAAACTCGCGAGGTGAGGAGAATCCGCGTCGACAGACATCGAGCCATCCGGCGAACATGGATGGTCGTGCGAAGAGGATGAAGTTCCAGAATCCCACGAGAGAGAGTAGATAGACTACTGCTAGGAGGGTGGCTTCGTTGGGCCCCAGTGCTGACGCGTATTTTTTGCAATCTTGCTTGCCACCGCCGAGGGCGAGGCAGGCCAGCCATTTGGAAGCTTTGGCCAGATTGGCCTCGGTGGGGTTGGTGTCTCTGTCGAGGTTGATGAAGACGACGGCGAAGAAGATGACGTTTCCGATAATAATGAGGACGAGAGCGACGCCGCGCCATTGGAGTTGGAGGACGCGGCGCACACGGCGGTAGGCCTGTCGTGCGGTGACAGTACGCACGCTGCTGGTGTAACTGGGCAGACCGGAGGAGTTGTCGGTGGTCGAGGCGGATTTGTCGAATAGTGAACGCAGGTAGATGTGCATGCAGTAGGCCATGGTGGCCAGCTGAAGTACTAGGGCTGCAGCCGCAAAGGAGATGAGCGGGTACCAGTAGTCCTGGGAGCCATGTTTGATGTTGATATGGCACATTTCACCGAAGCGGAAAGACACGCCCGTGAGAATCAGCATCACAGTCATTCCAACTATGGGGATACCAAAGCCGGCCAGGAATGCTCCCCACATGAACTTGGGGCCCAGCACGAACTCCCAACACACTTGCAGGTGGAAGGCGAGGGTTCGAATGAAACTCCAAATCACGACGAGCCATCCGCCGAAGAGGAGCAAAGCGCCGGAGAAGGCGCAAGAGAGGTCGGTGTACATATCATTAGGCGTGATGGCATTATAGCATTGCTTGGGTCTGGCTCCAAGGGGGATAATGAATGCGATCTATAGAGATGCAAGTTAGTTATGCTTGTTTTTGCTTTTCCCATACCCGCCCTCTGCTTTAATTTGCGACTCACCTCCATGCAGCAGATACCCAGTGTAAAGCAGATACTCAAGTAGTGACGGTTGGTCCATTTGACAGGGAGAACGGCGTAGGAGACGAGGAGGAAGACGCAAAGAGGGAGAATGGCGACACTGATCCAACTAGCGATACTGACTCGATTTGCGGTATCTGGAGATGCGGTTAGTATCTCAAAGTTTAAGATTCACGAGGTATAGATCACTGACTATCGGCATATCGCCAGTCGGCTAGTGGACAGGGTATACAGCATGATACGGTGGTCCCATTGGGACCTATTCCGGCAATAGGTTCGCAGAATCGTCCATCGGTAACTAATAGAACCCTAGTCAGCACATCTCTATAGATCAATGCCTCGAAAGCAGTGTATTCAACGTACATCCCCCTTTAACTGGGAAAAGGCTCTCCTGGAGGAACGGGCCAGGGCAGTATCCGTTCGTGTTCACCATGATGGGTTAGAGGTCGTGCCAGATCGGCATATTCCTAGGTGACGCAGGGTATCTAACGCGCCAGCGCGACGAGACCGAGCGCGCAAGCCCGTAAAGGAATGTCGAGATGTTAGGTGGGCAGGTCGAAAGCGGGGAGGGAGAAGGAAAAGAGATCCAAGTGGGCACCCCGGTATATACATACTACTCTGGGATTATGACTGACTCGGCTCATAGTCCAGGTCCAGATTTCGATTGGAGAGGGGGCAAGTAACTAACTTGTGGAGAATCGAGGCACGGAGAGAGACAGAGAAGTGGATCCCATGCAGAAAGATGAAAAGTACAGTACGGAGAACGGGATGTAGTTCTTGGTATTTGAGTATTTTAGCGTACCGTACTCCGTACTTGAGCATTGCTATGCAATTGGATACTGCAGTAGTCAGTCCAGTAGTACATAACTTTGTACTCCATCCGGAGTACAGTAAAGGGTAAAGAGCAACAGTCAGACTCTGGCTACAGTGGGTCTACTGTCAGGGACGAATCCAACTGCAGAAACCCCTCCGGCCCGGACATTTGGCGACAATAATCACAATAATAAACCAACTGATTATTGTGCCTCCCTCAGAAAAAGACAAGGCCCATTTCCGGTGCAAGCCCGCTGGAGCCCACGAGCTGACGAGCGGGATAGACTGCGATGGTGGCGGGGAGGCGATTGGAGGGGCAATTTACACACGGTCCCTCGATGAACTCAATTCTGGCGGTGCTTGGCAGGTTGGCAACACTTTTAGCGACTAGGAGAGGCCCGGTAAGACTGACCAGCACCATGCTTACCCCCTGGATTAGTGCATCTGGGGGTCTGTCGGTCGAAGAAAACGGTGGACTGTCGTTGGTTCGGGAGGGGGAGACAACAGAATCAAGTCTGGACTCTCGGCCTCGTCTAGGCCGTGGTTTCATCGGTATGCCATGTGTATGGTAATTACTGTTGAGCTAGAGGCCGGTAACGCGGTATATTGAATACCAGAGTATACGGAGTACTTCCCAACACCTTAGCCATTCTTGGTCCATGGTACGTCCATAGCAGTTCATCAGATGATAAGATGGTAGTTAGGGTTAGGTTGATTGCTCCGTAAACTTTGGAAGCGAAAGCTCCAGTGGGCAATGATGAACGATTCTGAACCATCACAGTATAGATCGGCGCTGGGGACAGGATCATTAGCCGTTGTAGCTCCAGTTGAACCAGAGTTACCAGACAGTAGTGGACACAGCCCCCCAACCAAATTGAACTAATAGTCAAACCAAATACCCAATTCGAATGAATTGAACCGCGAATGCTACGTAAAGTGCTTTAGCTAACCGTTTAAACTTCACTAACGGTAAAGTTCCCACGGTCGCAAATGGTTCTGGAAGACTGCCGAGTAAACTAGACCCGTGGATCGCTAAACCACGTTTAGGCCACGTTCTGATGGCTTCGGCAACATTTGTGTGCCGTGTGGACTGTACCAAGGGCACCGTTACCACTGGCACAGCCAGAGAGGAAGGAGGACGAAGACCATGTGAATCGTCGTATAATTTCCGTATAACATAACCTGGTAGAACTTCCACAGTTACCCTATTTCAGTCTGCAAGTCATATCGGTGGTGGAACATTCAAGGATGACGCCCAGAAACCTGGCTTGATGGCTGTGCGGCCTTGTAAAGTGACGCGCAATGCGACCGTGGGAAACCGTAGGGAAACGGCCATGACGCAGGCAAGGAAAGAAGAGAGTGGAGGGGAAACTTTGTATAGACTAACAAGCGAGCAATAATGGCTTATGGCACAGACCACAATAGTCATCATAGTAATAAGCGCTATGGACAATAGTTTATGTACATTGAACGGGTTGTATAGTATGTCGATGCCTTCGTTGGTTGGCAGTATCCAGGGTAGCGTTAACAATGGCAATGATTACAACAATAATCACAGTGACAATGGCAATCGCAATTTCAATGTCTATATTTTGATCTTCCTTCGATCCAAACCCAAGTGTGTCCCGTTTCTAATTCAGTTCCCGTGTGGATAACTCTAGAGCGAACATGATGTCTTTGCGTCTGTTCTCCGTGCTCCACTTTCAGCCTCGTGGAGATGAAAAGAGGAGGCAATGGCGATGGACCCGGTGGCTTCGAGGGGCATAACCCGATGGCGATGGACCGCTAGCCTCGAGGGGCACACTAACAAACTAGTGCCCCCGGTCTGCCGTTGGTGACTGTAAGGGGCTCGGAGATTTAGAGCCTTTTTGGGTAAACCTCCTGGCTGATCTAACCAAATAGGAGTCTCGTTTAGTTTGCTGGGTTTCTCGAAGGCTGCAGGTACTCATTCCATTGCGAAAAAGCCTACGTAGGACAGGGATTATTTCAGTGGGATGAAAATTTTATAGCCGATGGCAATTCTTCGGTTATTATGTTGATTATCATCCGTGCATATCATCATTAAATCGAGCTTGGAGTGATTATGATTATCTTGTGAATTGCGGAGTACTCCGCGGATATTGTAGAGTACACATTTCCGTACTCCGTACTCCGTACTAAAAAACCGTATGGAGTACAGCATGGGGATGTCGTGACAGTACGATTCTCGTCCTATTCAAAAACCAACAATCACCAATCCAACACGGAAGCACAAAACGCGGCGATCTCTTTATCGCCTCTCGACTCCCGCTATCCCAGGGATTCACTAGCACTAACCTTTTGATTCGACCATCCACTACAGTCAACCTCGCATCCCCAGTCCAGTAATCAGCCCACATAAGCTCTGCAGCTTCCTTCAAAGTTCCACAACGCTGCACAGCAGCAGAGTGGCCAGTGTGCGGTCGTACGGCGCGGGGATCCTCGCGCCAAATCGTCCAATGACCACCGTCAGCCCGCCTCTCACTGTGATCGCCCCCGGTATTCGCTGCGCACGCGACCAATGACAGCGACCGCGGACCTTTTCTGATGTTCAAATCAGCCCATCGTATACATGACAGTTGATCAGTCAACTCTGGACGTTCTGGACTTCTCTACCATTCAGCAAGGATCATCCCCGCTCGCAGGGCTGGGTGCGATAGGACATCTCGTCATCGTGCTGCGCACACAGACCTATCCCATCACGCTTTTAACCCTGGGATCGTGTGACGTTCCAACTTACTGGCTATGGCTATGTCTAAACATAGTACAGATCACAGCGATCAGGGCTGCGGAAACGGTGATCCGAGATTGGATCGAATCAGATGGGGTGTGGAAGCGCGCTGGTCATGTGCTTCTATCATCGATTATCGAGTACTAACTTCATAGGATGTTTCGCGGCATATTGATTATTCGCCTGTGTCACGCTCGTCACACAGGTCACCGATTCTATCGATTCCAGCTAGCCATCTTGCGCATCGCGACCAGTCAGGCTCGTGCGAAGGGCATTTCTCAGTCCTTGGTATACCCTGGATGAATTTGAGGGACCTCATATCTTGAGAGATGACATATCTTGAGAGCCGCAAATCGCGACATCAAACGCAATGGGGAGTCCTACCATGCCCAGTCCTGGGTACTGGCCAATCATTCTAGGAGCTGGACTGCTATTCTCTTTCTGTTTCGGGACACTTACTTCCTCGTGGGGGTCCCGTGTACTTGAAGACGGCATTACTTGCCCGTGGTATTTCGAAATGATTAGATCATGAAGACATAAGATATCTCCAGGCGCGAGCTTATCGACCTGTTTACAGTAATCATTTCAGTCCTCTTTCCAGTCCTCTTTCCAGTCCTCTTTCCAGTCCTCTTTCCAGTCCTCTTTCCAGTCCTCTTTCCAGTCCTCTTTCCAGTCCTCTTTTCAGTCCTCCTTCGAGTTCTCATTTCAGACTCTCAATGGTCAGGAAGATCCTACTCCAGATATGGAGCATCTATCATCAGAGTAATAGCAATAGGGCCGTCACAATGGATTAAGGGACGCTCGCGCTTCATATCTATCCGATCCAACTCCGTAAGCATAGAATATTACCCAGTCCCGATAGTGTCTACGCATGGTCATTTCGGCTTATAAGAAGCTCAAGGACGTAGGTAGACCATTAAGAACTTAAGTTATTATTCAGGTGTTTACACTTCTATAGATAGAATGAAAGATCTTATCCTTCTTAAATCCGAGGGGGTTGTGTGTGCGAACATCCACCGTTATCCGGAGAGCGATGCCCTCCGCTAGTACTCGTAGGAGCTGACCACGGACGAAAAACAGATGGTTCGCCATAGCGAGGGAAACCCTAAGCTAGTCGATCCTGGGGACACCTATGCTAGAAGGGGGAATGTGGCCCAAGGGAGAACCCTATAACTAGCCTAGATAAAAAAAATGTATTCTCCAGGTTAGGTGGAGCGCTCATAGTCTGAGTGACTTAATGATATATTTCTCTCAAGTGGGGGCGCACGACACAATTATTATCTACATAATTGAATCTACGTACGTAGGACACCTCCCAACATCACACCTAGGAGATATCTAAATCGCCTATTTAAAATATGGCTTATAATAGATAGCTCGCAGAAACGTAGAGTCAGGAATTATATAGAGTTTTGGACATTAAACACTAGGGTTCCACGGATTGAGTTGAAACCCCGACAAGAACTTCAACGTCATCTTATCAGCCATAAATTAACACTAGCTCAGTAGATGATATTTCGATCACCGAAAAAAAAACAATAAATCAGTTTTCGAAAAGAGATTTCAAACAGGTGTAATTTAAGTAGATAATGAGGGTCAATAAAGGCCGTTCGACCAAGCTGCTCCATGGGCCACACACATTCTTAGTGCCTACGGTGATTTGTTACTTTGACATGGTTCATAGCTTGTCACAGTATAGGCTAGATAAACATATCAAATGGTTTAAAAACTAAATGTAACTGAATTTCATGTCCTATCGCGTCACGGACTACCATAAACAAGTAGAGCGGACATCATGTTCGATGGACGAGGAATAAAGATTATATAGGCTGCCTATTGCTCTCATCCTGAGATTCAGCCCTTTTTAAACTGCTATAGTACATAATGGATCAATATTTGTTAAAAAAAATAAGCTAATAAATTCATCTATGCAGGGACCTCTGTTAAACTAAATTGAACAACCTAGGACTATATAGCATAATTAAGTAGTGCTTATGAAGGTCGTGAGTAGCTTACAAACTGGTCCTCTAGGCTTTTCTGCCAGTATTTCCATCGGTAACAAATATATCGCCTTTTTGATGCTCACAAGCACAAATCCACTTATAAGGCTCATAACTAGTAGTTAGGAACAAAACAAGAAACCTAATACGTTCTTCATAAAAGAGAGTGACTCATGGATATATGAGTAGGCGGTGTGCAGGTCACGTTACTTTAGTCGGGCATATTTGCACACTTTGAATCTGGATTTCAGGCTTATGTATCTAGGGAAAATAAATTTTATTAGGTCTTAAAATATCATTCACGGGGGCTTGGCGCAGCGGTAGCTAATTTATCCGAATTATTTCATCGCCACTTTCTGCGAAATACATGTGAGTATTAGCTCGACGAAATTCCTCGCTGGGCTCTGCGGCGTACAGGTTCTCGGTCCTATCATTAATGGTCTCGGACTAGCGTTAATCGAGGAGCCAGGGTAAATGATACGCGGTATTAGCGAACATATTACCCTCGCTAGCCTTGATACTTCCTCGGTGTTACGTGTTAGATGAAGTTCTCGATGCGTTTCCTCTCACGCTCGACGAGGAAGACCGCAATCTGACCGGCCAGTTCTACGAGATAGACCCCGCCTACGCGGACATGTTGCGACGCGGATACCAAGTGGACCCGGTCATGAAACGAATTTGGGCTAATACAGAGATGCGGCCCAATTCCTAGGCACGACGCTCGGCGATTAGCACGAGTTCTCACGCGTACTAGTCCCGAACGTTCTATGTAGCTAATCAGGCGCCCTAGGCGCCACTAAGTTAATCCGTGCCACCTTAGTTTATATATATACAACCGCCATATATAGGCTACTAGCCTTGCGTAGCATACTAGGCCTACCCACCGGCACCTACCTAGCCGCTACCGGCCGCGCACGCCCACGAGATGGACGGCTTGCGTGCTCAAATATCCGAGATTCGCGATATGATCGCTCGTATAGCCGATAGCTCGCGCCGGGACGAGCGCAGCCTTCGCAGCACATATTCCGCTGATACTACACGGGCGCCGGAACGCTAGTAGTAGCCACGGGCTCGTAACGCCTCTCGGTCGCGAAGTCGCTATCGCTATTCGTCACGCTCGCGCAGCCGCCATCGGCATCCGTCACGTTCGCGTAGCGACGACCGTCGGGATCGATGACACCGTCGCAGTTCACGCGGAGAACCATCACTGGGCGATAGTAGCAGCGGCGATGGTATGCGCGTACGCATGAACGGAATGACGAGGACAACACGGACTCATCACGTATTACTGACTCAGACTCCCCTCCAGACGACGACATAGACATCGAGGACGCATACGCAGCGTAGGTCATGAACTCGACGGCACCGGTGGCAACCGGGACGGGCCGGGACTACAAATTGTGGAACACGGTCACGCTTAAGGCACGCTTAACCCAGGACCGCGAACCGATTACGATAATCTACGACACCGGCTGTGGCATGACATTGATCGATCGCATAATTGTCACCAACGAGATCACTAGCGCGAAGATCCACACCCTCGCGGCCCCAATCAAAGTCAAGGGCATCGGGTCAAGAAGCCACGTAACATCCGAGTACATTATCGCCGACTGCTACATCGACAGTACTGTACAGGGCGAAGACATCACCGTGCACTTCCGTCGCGAAATGCATGTCGTGGATAACCTTGCGCCCGGTCTTCTGCTTGGCATGGACATCATAACGCCGGAACGGATTAGCCTCAATGTCACTAAGTCGCACCTAATCTTCGGATGCCACGAGAACATGGTCGTTCCAGTCTCTCTATCAGCGCCTGAGACACCGAAGCCACCGCGGGTCCGCGCGAAGCAACGGCAGGTCGTGGCAGCGCATTCCATTGCGGTCATTCCGGTCGAAGTTATGGGCACCGCACCGGCTGGCGAGATGGTCTATATTCCGCAATATAACAAGTCCACACAGCGCTTACAAGAAGTCGGTAGCTTCTACACCCACGCGATTGACCAGGTCGGACGGGCGCCAGAACTTCGTATCGCGGTTCATAACGATTCCGACACGGACTTCATCCTCCAACGTCACACGTACGTCGGGTTCCTGGACCCGCTAGACGAGCGTGATATATATCGCGTGGATGTTAGCCCAACACAAGCACTCGCTTCGTATGCGGACCAAGTCGAAACAGATGATCAGATCCCCTTCACGGACGATGATATTAATAGTGATATCGACCCGAATCCACCCGCCGAAAGCTCGCGCTTACCATAAAGCATTGACCGCACACAATGCGTGGACTAGCACGGCGTTACTATATATGCGGACGATAAAGACTTCGTCACGCAGGTCATCGACATTCTAGAACGACACCAGGGTGTGTTTACGGACAACGGACTTATCTACGTGCCACCCGAGCGGCGTCTGCGTGTGCCACTCAAGGATAATTGGTAATCGCAGAAGTCTCCCACAAAACTCTACCCGCTCTCCGCAAAAGATCGAGCTATCGTTGATGAATGCTTCAACATGCTCCACGCGTAAGGGCGGATGGAATAGAGCGACAGGAGCACCCAGTTTGGCTTTCTAGTATTCGTCGTGTGGTGCACGCTGCAGAATGGTGATAGGAAACCACGAGTAGTGGTCGATTTTCGTGGGCTGAATCGTATCTCTCTACGTGACTCGTACCCGCTACCCCGACAGGAAGACATAATCAGCTTCACGCAGGGCGCAACTCATATATCGGTGTTCGATGCATTGGCCTTCTTCTACCAGTGGGCGGCACATCCAGACGACTGGCACAAACTCGCTGTCAATTTGCATCGCGGACAGGAATTCTTCACAGTGGCCCCGATGGGGTACTGTAATAGTCCCCCGCATGCGCAGCGGCAGGCCGACCGGATCATACGCGCTATCGCTGACTTCGTGCGTGTGTACGTGGACGACTTCGTGCTTCGCTCGATGTCGGCAAAGGATCATCTCCGTCATCTCGATCAATTTCTGACTACGTTGCAAAAGGCGAACGTCACGATCAGCCCCGCCAAGACGTTCATTAGGTTTCCTGGCGTCCGAATACTCGGCAATTTCGTCGACGGCTTAGGCCTTGCGTCGCTAGAAGAACGCGTTCAGGCGATTCGCAACATCAAGGAGCCTCACTCGCTCGTAGATCTCGAGCGTTTCCTTGGTATCACAGGGTATCTGCGCGATAAAATTCCTCGTTACGCCGAGATCGCCGAACCGTTACAGCAACGCAAGACCGAACTCTTGCAAGGCGCCCCGAACGCCGGTTAGCGACGCAAGAACTTCGCACAAGGTACGGCGTACACGCTGACCGACACTGAGCGTATCGCATTTAACACCCTGAAGGATCTTATTTGCCGCCGCGAATCTTTAACCCATCCAGATCCGAAGCGCGATCTATACGTCGACCTTGATGCATCCGCACGCGCCTTCGGAGTCATGGTCTACCATCTGTAGGGCGACAGATGGACGTTACCCTTGCCGCCACCACGTACGCGCGTACAGCCCGTGCTCTACCTCAGCAAACTTACCTCCCCGGCGGAGTCGCGATACTATTCGTCAGAGCAGGAGGTCGCGTGTTTGGTGTGGGCTGTACGCAAAATCCGACATTTGATCGAGAACGCCGAGGCATCGGTAATTATCTACACGGACCACACCTCTACATCGGGCATCGCGAACCACACCCACCTAGGATCGTCGGCCACGGACAAGCTGAACAAGCGCCTGATACGTGCGTCGTAATACCTCAGTCAGTTTGAACTAGACATTCGCCATCGCCCCGGAAAGTCCAACTTGGTGGCGGACGGTCTTTCGCGGTTGCCGACAGCCGCTCCAGACGACCCGACGTCGAACGTGTTACCTACACGATGAAATCTCACGATATACGAAAGACGCGGAACCCCTCTAGCTGCGGAAGATAGCGCTGTTTATAGGAGCACTCGCTCTGAGTCACCAACGCAAGAGCCTCAAGCGTGCGATGCACATACTATTCGATGAGAAGTGCAGATTTTCTACCACGCTTAAGGTGCTGACTTGCCGCTGCGAAGCCATTATACACGCAGAACCCTGGTCGTACTCTGTTTATCCTTGACACTTTTAAGCACGTATTTATGGTCTATCACGCTCGGGACGATTAGTGCGGTGGCTCAAAGACACCTAGAAGTTAGATGTGTAGATCATATGGGACTATAGGCTAATGGCTAACGTAGATTTGTGCTTCGATCTTATGCGAAAAGTCATATCTTTTGCCTGCTTTCGTGCCTGCTTGGTAACCAACACTATGGTGATAGATGATCGTAGATCGAAGGGTCTATGAGTGATGGGTTTACGAATACCACGTGCCGCATTTGCGTAACAAAAGGAATGTCTGAAGCTTTTGGGCGTTTTAATTATAATATGATATCAATGTTGCGGGACCAGAGCGTTCGGACGCTTGCTAATTAATACATGTCGAGAAGAACAAACGCAGAGGCCAATCTCCCAAGGCCCAGTTGTAAAACAATAGCGAATAAAAATGTAGAGATAGACACGAAGACATAACCTGGTATACATAATGGGAGTTTCGCAATCGCAATCGCGCAATCAGTCTCGCGGCCACAATCGGATCCTCTACTGCGCCTCGGGATAGGGCTTCTCTCCAGCATTCTCCACTCCATGCAACGCAGCCTTGGTAAGCCACAAAAGACCTTCTATATGCTTTTGCTGCGAGCGCTTTTCCAACGTGCCTGGTGTGAAGTCAGGAAACTCATGGCGGTGGGAATTCAGGTAGTGAACGCGGAGCTTGGTGGTGCTGGCGTATTTGGTGACGGTCTTGCAATCAGGCCACCGACAGTAAATTTCACCTTTATAAATCACGTCGCACTTCTCATCGATCAGGGGGAGTGAGGATAGGATGTCATGATCGAGTTCAAGTCGAGGTAGTGCCTGGATTTGCTCCGCATGAAGCCCGTAGTAATCTGTCGAACCATCGGAGTTTCGCGGCATGCCCTTGAGAATCTTAGCTGGCAGACTCCCTCGTGCTGCTTTGGGCTTTTTCGGTGCAGGTAGAATTATATCTTGACCTGGTCGCTTCGGGCAAGTGTTATTCTGATGGCGATCGCGGGTATCCTTTCGCGTGAAAGGCTGATCGCAGTGGCCGCAATGGAACTGAGTGCGTTCACCAACGTGGATGCGTCTGTGAGCATAGTAGGTGGTATACTCGGGAAACGCTTTACCGCAGTTTGGTTCAGGGCATTTCCACTTATCAAGAGTGCGAGCCATACCAGGGTCCGTGTTTCGCTGTTTGCTGTGCTTCTGTAGTGCCTGCTTCACGCTCGCATAGTCCATTTTTATAGCCTGTAAGCAAATAAGCTCGCGGCAGAATCGAGCGGTTGAGTGCTCAAGCTGGGCTTCTGCGATGCGAAATCGCTCTTGTGTCTCTGCGTCGAAAGGGTCGTGAGACATAAGTCCCTCGAGGTAAGGATTGATGCGAATGGTCCCATCAAAGACCTTGATTGCCTGCTCGACGTTGACCTGCCAAAAGGAGCGCGGTACTTCAGCGAACACACGGATTGTAATACGGGAAGCATTAGCTCGCAACATCCCCATGAATGAGGCTGGATCCGTAGTCAGTCCGTCCCAGCCATTCATCACGACCAGAAGCTTGCCGTCCGTGGCCTTCGCTGCGTTTATCGCCTGGGCGAAGAATCTATCAACCTCGCCATGAATAGCGAGCGGTAGATTCGACATGTGCGCAAATGTCAAAAAATCTGTCGTGCACCTAATTGGCCCGTAAACAAGCTCATAACAGTTCATGGTGTGGTTGAGACTGTCGCGCAGGGTGGTGTTGACCTTCGCCCGCTCGCCACTCGAAAGCCGGGCGACAAAAACGATGTGTGCCCAATCCTCGGACATTGTGAAAATCGAGGGTGAGTTCTGAACGTGAATAATCTGCGTAGCCACCAGGAATTCGCTTGCGTAGCAATTCACGGACGAAGCTGAACCCAAGGACTCGCGAGTTTCGGCAGTATAGTACCGTGTGGGGCAGGAACGAACGAAAAGTGGGGTTCGTGATCCAATCGGGCGACGCCGCAGCGGTCTCGGCGAGCCAGTACACGCCAGAGGTGAATACAGGTCAGCGAGGGTGTTGTGTGATGAGCCAGAATTGTGTTCATTCCTCTAAAGCTATGCTGGCTAACGTGGAATAAGAAATAACTAATCACGTGTGCCGGCACGTGTGTTGCGCTGTAGGGCCGCAACTACAAGATGTGCTGTAACAATGCCGGCTTGGAAAAAGACAACGTCCTCGTTGCCGATGCGCAAAACATAGGAACGCAAAGGGAATCATGGGAAACGTAATGGAATGCGCCAGAGAAAACCTAGGAAACGGAAAAGAAGACGTGGGCAACGTAAGGCAATGGGCAGGGGAAATTCAGTGTAGTTCGTCCTCTCGTCGTCCTCGTTGCCGATGCGCGAAACATAGGAACGCAAAGGGAATCATGGGAAACGTAATGGAATGCGCCAGAGAAAACCTAGGAAACGGAAAACAAGACGTGGGCAACGTAAGGCAATGGGCAGGGGAAATTCAGTGTAGTTCGTCCTCTCGTCGTCCTCGTTGCCGATGCGCGAAACATAGGAACGCAAAGGGAATCATGGGAAACGTAATGGAATGCGCCAGAGAAAACCTAGGAAACGGAAAAGAAGACGTGGGCAACGTAAGGCAATGGGCAGGGGAAATTCAGTGCAGTTCGTCGCTTTCGTCGTCCTCGTCGTCCTCGTCTTGCCGTGGTTCTGGCTCGGGTCTTTTATTGCGTGGGTTGATCGCTAGGAATGCAGTCATGTCCGCAATCGCTGGGCGCCGAAATTGGCGGTTCGCACCAAGTCGTGGGTATTGCAGAGCAACTAGCGCGTAGTTTGCGAGCGCGGCCGTGTGCCAGCTCTTGACTCGTTCCGACGACAGAAGGTCATGGCAGGACTGCGATGCGTCGGTAAATTTCTTTACCATGTCTCCGAAGGTAGTGCTTGGTAGAGCCATCGCGACCGCCTGACTCTCTGTCCATCCTTGGCTCGCGCAGTGCTTGTTGATCAGTCCCGCAGCCTCGGCAACGTTTTTGAGACGCACGTTGTAGTCGCCCGTCAGGCATCCGGCGCTCTCGCGTCTGAGACCGAAGGTGTCTTCCGGTGAAAGCGTCGGCAAATCCCATTCGGCGGCGCGATCCACTTGTGGAAGACCCATCTTCGTAGCTACGCATGCGTAGATATCGCCGATTAAACCGTTTTGATCGTCGCTCGCCACCTTCGTCGACTTCTTCGGGGTCGATACCGGCGTCTGCGGATCGTTTTTAGCAACGTCTTTTGTAACCTTCGGCGGGTCGTTCGTAGCAACGTCTTTTGTAACCTTCGGCGGATCGTTCGTAGCAACGTTCTTTGCAACTTTCGTCGGACGTCGTGTCGTAGGATCGTGCGCGGTCCATGGTAGCGCGGCCAGATCGTCGTAGCCTGCGAATATGTGGTCCTTCGCGGTATTCACATCGACGGTCCTCGCAGGGTCTGAACATGTCGGGCGAAAACCGGGAACGTCTTCAAGGGGCAGGACGAGGTGTTTCTTTCTATCCCCATGTGGAATAATGACCAGCTTCTTTGGATCCATGCTCATCGTTGGCCACCCGCCGTTCCTCGCCACGATGTTCGCGTAGGCTGCGTCTTTGGTTGCGTCTTCTGGGGCCTCAGATTTATCCGTGAGGGTCGTGCCTGCAGCGGAAGTCATGTTAACATTGGAGGGCCGCGCGACGACGACGTAATCCAAGCCTTCCTGCCAGTCCGGCGGGATCGTGACAATACCGATCTCGACCGTTGCCGCGCCCGAGATGCGTTCTGTGCGGAGGAGGAAGGGAAAGTGATCCCCGAGCTCCGCGCCGAGCAAGAGTGTCCGGCCCGCCATGAGTGGAACCCAGCGAATCCCAAACGCTTCGATAACAACCCCTAAGCCACGCGGTGGTCGAGTTCCGCGCAGAGCGCGTGCGCTCTCAAAATCCTTGGTGTTCGTGTACCATTCACGCCGGGGGAAACAGGTCATGATCGCGTATGCTGTCAGGTCGTCGATCGGGGCGGCGGCCAGCGTGGTGCCCATGATCTCTTTCGGATCGCTCACGCATTTTGCGTCGTCGGCCTCGGAGTCGTCAGCATTCACAATATGATTGCGCGTGCGCTTTTGTAGGACTTCGAGATCCGCCTTGACGCTCTCAGGCGACGAAAAGTCCACCCATAGCCCGTACGCTTTATCCTTATCTGCTTCGTCCGGGTTGGCGCGCTTGCGCTTTCCCGCCATCATGTGGGTTGCGTAGTCGTCGATTTCCTCGTCGGTTTCCTCGTCGGCTTCCTCGTTGTCGGCCTCGTTTCCCGAACTCAGGTATTCCGGGGATAGGAAAAGGCTCGCGATAAACGCGTTAAGAAGGCTGCTGTGGAATGGAGGCAGAGTAGGCGACGAAGACGATGAGGGGGGCTGAAAGTACATGAGGTGAAGGAAGGAAAGGTGAGGGGAAATGGGAAAAGGGTGAGGGGAAAAGGGTGAGGGGAAAACAGATGTGAGGGGAAAATAAGTTTTAGGAAACATGAGGCGCAACCTACGATACCACTACATAATCGCGCGCGTAAGTCATAACAATACGTAAGTCATAATCCGGTCCCCTAGGAGGCCTCGTAGGCCTCAATCATATCCGGACGATGCAGACGCACGTCCTCCTCCGTGTGCCACTCGTCCCACGCCGGGCCTATGCCGCGACGACGAAGCAGGTATTGGGTACGTCGGCCATTGTGAGTGGTTTTCGTGGTTACGATCGTCTCGAATAGTGGCCATTGCGTGTCATCGGATGGCTCGGGCAAGTCGGCGGGCATATCACGCCCGTAATCGTCGACACCATCTGGATGTGGCTCTAGGTGCTTAACCGAAATGACCGAAGGTATTTACGAAGGTGCTTCGCCAGGTCACGAACGTAGAACGATTCCTGAATCTGATGATAGGTTCGTGCAAATCCGAGATGATGGAGCGAGTCGTGATACTCTTCAAAAATGTCTCTCGTCATTATGCGTGGTACGCAGAGACGTTGCGCTTGCGTGGTAGTGTCCACGTGCCACAGGAGCTCGTCGCGGCGTAGGTCCTCGCGGCGTGGCGGTCTCGCATCCCTCGCCGAGGGGGTTCGAATAGCCGTTCAGCGGGGCGACTAAAAGCGTGTCGCGTACCGCGCTCCGGTGCCTAATATAGATCCTGTTAGGATAGAGCGTTGCTCGGCGGTACGTCCCCTATTAGTCGCGCGGCGGGCTGGCCCATGCTAGTCGTTAAAGCCTAAGGTTCCATCGTGTAGGGTATACGAGTCGGTAGACGTAGACGTGAGCGAAACTCTAGAGGACGAGATAGGATTTCGCGAAGCACCGTACGAGGAGGTCCGGGTACTCGAGGGGTTTCGGGCTACTAGATCTCTAGTGGTGGAGTGTCCGCTAGTACTCCCTCCTTTCGTTACATTAGTTATAGGGACTCGGTTATAGTACTCTCCGTGATAGCAAGCTGGGCAATAGAGTTCGCGTTTATAAGCGCGAATTGCTTCAGTGCCTTGCGTAACGCGGGAATATCAACGACCCAATCGGCTGGGTAGGGCGATTGTTGGAGTGATGTAGACCGTGTACGGCCTGAATCCTCTAGGACGACTGGAAATTGTCGAATGAATCGGAGGAGGCGTGGATCCGTGCGTTTTGGCGCGGGATTCCGTGCGAGGAAGGTAGCGAGTTGCGTACCTAGGGTATCCGCACTCATCCGAGCCTACCTACCGTTGGAAACAGTAAGGTAATGGAGGCGCAAACACCTAACGCCGCGAGGGACGTAGCGTTTTATATAGGGGAAAAACGTAACGAGCGGCGCGAGACCGATCGGAGAGTAGATTCGAACGTAATGAAACGTGATGTTAATCGTGATGTAAGGGAGGGGGGGTTGCGAGGTGGCGTTCGGTGCACTAACCGCAGCCCGAGAGCGGGGCGGGGCTGGGTGAGTAACGGACGTCTCGTAATGACAACAAAATGAATGAAGCAGGAAACGTGGAATCCCGGGTTTTACCACAGGGAAACGCAAAGGGGAGCACGGTGACCTGATCATATACGAAAATTTTTCATAGATGGGCTTGCTACTATTGTTGTGTGATAGGCTCTAGGTGGTCCTTAATCCACCACTATCAACGAAAGGGTCGTAAATATATATACGTACGAGTTGTCCCGAGGGAGAGAGTTGAGGTAGGCAGCAATTGGAGGCCGCGGGGCCCAGTCAAGAAAGGAGTGTCCCAACCGCAGGGTAGTACTACAGAAAGAACTGCGATCGCGGTTTTATGTGAGGTTGCGGTCCACTACCAGAAAATGGTCGAAGAGAAAGAAGACTTCATGAATTCGGACCAAACGAGGGTTGTCCCGACTATTTATTGGCAATCAATTGAACTACAAGGATCTTCTCTCCATAAATTGGGGGCTTGGCGCAGCGGTAAGATCCACCATCTCTATTTCGTCTCTCCAACACACACTAATAAGTCCTTCAGGTAGCGCGTGTGATTCCAGTCCACAAGGTCGTCAGTTCAAATCTGGCAGCCCTCATGAACTTTTTAGATTTTTTTAGAAATTTTTAGAAATTTTTTGCATGTCCCATCTTTCTTTCCTCTACGTTTTTTTCTACCTAATATTCTATTTTCGATTAAATGGACCAGAATAATGCTTTCTAATAGGTCCCTAATGAATTATCTTGGCCACATTAAGCTCATCATATGACTGACTCCCTTCGTTGTTGAATCAGTCTTCGACTTGGGCTCCTGTTTCCAAGAATCTATTCATATAATCGTCACTGATTTCCGAAGACGTTGAACAAACAAAAATACTATACAGTCAGGGAACATTTCAGCATTATATTTTACACGAAATTACTATTACAAGAGCTACCACCGCCGTGCTTCTCTCCTTTTTAGCCAGGCCCAAGCTTCATCCCGCTAGTACCCGCAGTCCTCATGAGCTTCCTAGATCTCAACTTGTCTCATTTTTAATCAGATGTCTTGACACTCTAAAGTCAAAAGAGTCTAATTTTTTTTTAGCAAAGTTTATTCAGGTTGGAGAGAGACAGTTTTGAGTTGAAAACTTACAGCCACGTTGCAACATTTAGCGGTGAGGCCGACAGAGGTGCATGCAGCCTTGAAATACTCAGAGTTGGTGTAGTATCCAGCTGAGCAAAAACTAGGGTTAGAAATTCGGCAGAAAGGAAAGCAGCAGTTCGTTTGTTCACTTACACGCGGCCTTGCAACCAAGGTCCACGCCGGCCTTGCAACATCGAGGTTCGTAATTTTTCACGTTTCCAGTAGGGCCAAAGCATAACGGACCGGCTGAGCCTCCATCATTGCCGTTATTATTGTCACCAGGGAGCCCAGGAATCACTCCGGGACCCTCTAAGGGCATAGCTAGAACCGGAGCTATAGCCAGGAATAGAGTAATAAGATTCATGTTGACGATGCAAAGTATAAGAAAATTGGGCTGTTTCTTGACGGAACGCAGGGAAACAGCCCGTTGGAATACTTCTAGTTAATTTGATGCCACATATGTCCTCCGTCTTCAAGTGCTATGGTTATATGTTGCTGGCCGCTATTAATAATGTTAAAATCTGCATGCAGTGAAACATGGCCTCATATGACACTATCGAACTTGTGGCGGGGAAGCTACTGTAGCTATAAAATATCGGTAAACCCTAATTATGATCGGCGATTGATCTTCGCGCCGAAGAACGATCAGGGATCGATGGTCGGTCAAAGATGATCGTAAGCTTAGCTCCTCGTGGAGGTGGAAGGGTTCAGGGTTCGATTGGATTTGATTTCATTTGATTTCATTTGTTCCTCAGAGTTTTTCTCGACATTAGGTCGTATATAGTCCGCTAGCTTGTGTGCGCTGTAACGTTAAGTATGTACACGACATTGGTAGATAGCTTTCAAAATTGTCCCCCCCCCCCCCCCCCCTCTGTGGATATTTTCGAAGCACTCTGGCCTCTTTGGAACCCTCCAAAGAAGCTATTCAAAGTCTGCTAAACGCGGGAGATTCTAATATACCGGGAGAATTTGATATACTGTACAGCTATGAATGTTGTCTGTCTCTCGTATAGGAGTCCCTACAGTTATACTATCCCGCATAGCGAGCGACACACCCGCACGTTCGTGGCTACACTTAATTTCCCCACGGTAATCTTCCATCGCCCAACCTCGCCAATTTTTCCCACATCGTCACCGCCATGCCTACGCTCTCCACTGATATGCGCTTTCCCCACGTAGCGGAAGGTATCCCGAAGCATCACACCGGACTTCTTCCGCAGTCCCCAACATCAACATTCTACAGTACTTACACTCATACACTCAAAAAATCTAGCCTTCTTTTCTCGGCCTACAAATTAGACCAAACAAGTTGAGGAATTCTTATCGAGGAGTAGGAAGTAATTGAATCAAAGTATAAAAAAATAGAAAAAAAGATGGTGAGGGTTGCCAGATTTGAACTGACGACCTTGTGGACTGGAATCACACGCGCTACCTGAAGGATTTATTAGTGTGTGTTGGAGAGATGAAACGTGATGTGGTGAAATCTTACCGCTGCGCCAAACCCCCATGTGTTTTGTTACGTAAGCCCTTATTTGAAATATGGGACTGGAAAGCCCATGCCTTTTATCTGTATGTTTGCTATGCAGTACAACCTTCAAGTATTGAATTCAACATCTTCGATAGCCAGGCTTCGACAGCCCTTTGCAACTATTCAATGATCCATCGTTTTCTCTTATCAACAGTATCCATTAAGCGCTTGGCATTTGTTTCCACACCAGGGACGGTGATGCAACCAACCCGACCATGACGAAAAGTGTCCGAATAGGCCCGACTTTCCGCAAGTTACTCCTCCTGTGAGAAAGTCAAGATAAAGAAGCCCCACTACTTAAGACAAACCTACCTAATTCGAAGAACGTGCGACCCCAATCGCTGATCAAGGTCCTATGAATCAACCCAAACTGGTTTCCACATGGTACGGGCTCGGGAATGATGCAACTCCAGTCCCACTAGAGGAAACTAAACCGAGCGACAACAGTCTGTACAAGGGAAAAACAAGCTCAATTATGGGGTAAATGTAAGTGCGGGCCTTGGACTGCAGACTTTTTTTTTCAGTCTCTAGGGTGATCTATTTACGTTGTAAAAAGCCTAATTATCATCCAAGTTATTAATCTATTTCTTCTTGCCTCTTGAGTTCTTTCTTCCTGCTTGCGTTCTCGCTCGTCAATACACTTCCTCTTCTATTAATTACTAACACTATGAAGTCACATCCCAAAAGAAAGCCAGCCCCTAGTGGACTAGCGTGGAGGATATGATTGATACAATTCGTCGCTCGTTATGTTCGCCAGTGTATGGCGCGAAAATTGGGCTCGAGCTGTTCAATTGATCTGGAATGATCAAGCTGCCTGCCGGGATCCTGGTGACGTCGAGCCCAGATCTATATTTCGCCTGTGCAGCTCAGATGTGTTCGGGAGGTGATGCCATAAAGGGCAAGAGTCATGATAAACTTGTCATTCAATGTTGTCGGATGCCTTCTGTCGACTGACCGAACGCATCGAGAGCCAGCCTAAGAAGAATGGCTGCGCCATTTGAACCGTATACCGGTTCTACGGGCAGCAGATGTTGTGTCTTGAACATATCAATACACTACAGATGACCTCTCAAGTCCCCGCTACCGAGTGCAGGAAACTCTCTTCCCATCCCCATTCCTTCAGCAACTGTTGCACCCGATACTCGGTCGCCCATCCCAGGTCTGCCTCGATTGCACGCAGCAATCGAATCGCCGTGCGACGCTCGCGCGGATCGGTCAGGCACTGGCCCGCGACAAACAGCGGCTGCAAGGAATTGATTCTGACGGCACCGTCCGGCCGCGCCAGCCCAATTCCCAAGATCTCGCGACTGTGGAATCCGATCTCGGCCTCGATGGACCGATACGACTGCAGCCGCAATGTGATGGTGCTCCGCCGGGAAGTTGATTCGTGTGGTTTGTTGATTAACAACAGGATACGAGCCATGTGGTAGTGCTGCATGCTGGATGCGCACATTGGTATGCTGTGCCAGATTTCTTGCAGTGTGGTGAGGTCCTTGGCTTCTTCGACAGGGCGGTAATGCGCGATGCGGGACGGGTCGATCCTCGCGCAAGGCTTGAATGTGTCCGGTAGACCGCTGTACCATGTGTCCAGCTCGGCCTCGAGTCTGTACCATCGTTCAAGCATGACCTGTTGGGAGACACCAAGGGGTCCACTATCTACAGACCGGGTGTCGTTCGTATTGAGGTTGTCACCCGAGCTTATATGATTGACAATCTTCGACATGATCCAAACCAGCGCATTGCAAATTTGGTCTTCCTTCATTACGTCGTTACCCTCGGGGTATCCTGCCTCACCCAAGTTGCTGGGCTGCACAAAGCCCATTTGGTCGAGCAGCAACCCGGCTTCAGTCCACAGCACGATGTCTTCTGTGTTCAGCCTTGTGTGGCATTCATTGATGACTTGATGACTATCATTAGCAAAATGTGCAAGGAATGACTAGGCGGGAAGGATAGTGAACTCACATGCAGCAAGATAATCCTGTCGGGCAAAATTCCAAAACGCCGCCTTGCGCGCTCTGGCGAGACGAGACTTCTGGTACTGATACGGACTGTCTCCATCCGATGAATGGTGCTCCAGTGGCATTATTCCAACCTCAGCGACATCTAGGAGAGACTTGACTCCACTCAAATGACGATTCCATGCCGGACCCGTTGCGTCGAGAAATTCATATACCGACAATATCGCCGTCGCCGCCAAGATTTCATCCGAGTGAACTCCCCGCGATAGTCTACTGTTGGAGACCCGCCGCCGTCGTTTACGCGGATTCTCTGTGTCATCGCAAAGCTCGTTCGCCTGCCACTGTCCAAAGGCTTCTGGCGTGCTTAGTGGAGGCGGAGCCTCTGCATCGGGTTGAAGCTCTTTCATCAACAGCTGGATTGCTTTTTCATAATACTTCGCCCCAAGCCAGGCAAAATCAGTATCTTTGTCGTGCCATACCTCCATGATGGCTTGTCGAGAGCATACGCCGCCCATCTTTGCCTTTGCGCCCTTGACTCGACCTAATTGTTTTGCTGCATATGCGCATGCAGCGTATTTGAGAAGGGGGTTCGATCTCGCGCGCACTGGGACGCAGGATGCAAAATATGTACCGAGGTCAAATAGGTCCATCCTGTGGAGCGTTGTTAACTTGAGATCTAGGGGTTGAAGTTGGGTTGCGCCGTACCATAACCCTGGCCCTTCGGTATAATGCCGTAGCAGAAATGCAACCTCAAAGTCTGTCTCGGCATGACTATCCATATTCTTTTCTACAACAGATCTTGATAACGTGGCCGGGCGTGACGGTAGCGAGGCGCTTCTTTGATCGGGTGTCATGGATGGGTCGATGGGCGGCGATAGCGAGTGTGATGGGTTTAGGAGAAAGTTGATATTGGTGTTATTACTACTGGCGGAAATGGAAATGGATGGCGATGCGGGAGGAGGCATGGCACTGCTTCGCGACCGGTTCGGAGAAGGATATGAGACGCTGTCGGAGACGGAGTGCGCCATGGGGGAATAAGGGAAGCGATCGTGGCTTGCGACTGCAGACAAGGCCTCCAAGCTGTGGGAGTCTGCATCACTAGCCCTGGAGCCACTGCCCCATCGCGCATTGCGGGCCTGAGCCAGCGCGATGGCGCTAGACTCTGCAATCTCGAGATCTTCAGCGTACGGGTCGGAATTATCGACGAATATAACTGTCAAGTGATCAGCCCACATGCGCCTCGGAGATTGAGCTGAATGCAGATAATCTGCATACCGTGTTTCGGAACCTCTAGCCACACACTATCCTTGTCAAACGTGTTTTTATATGAGTAAAACCCCTTCAAATCCCCCCGGCCTTCTGGCGTCTGTTGCTCGCTATTGTTCATCGACGCATTCTGCTGATGGCGAAAGACGATGCCCTCGCTGGGCCGACATTCTCGACCACCTTTGCGACATTGTGCGCAAACCGGTTTCTGCTCGTCACCTGGTTAAATTATGTTAGTCCGGGGGAGTGGGCGCGTGTCGCAGGGGTTGACGGGGGGAGCTGTGTACATTTGAGCTTGCGAGTCCGACATGTCAAGCTGAGGCAAGGATCCTGGTTAGCTAAGAATGGTATTGGCTTTCCAGTTAGAAGGAAGCTGCATCGACTTACCAGCCAGTTCGGGAGCGCATGCCGGGCGTAGGCGTTGGCGCGACATCGGTGGGGGGTGTGGAAGACCCGAAAGGAATGGAAAAAGAAGAAACCTGGAGACTTGCGGGGAGAGCAGGTGACCTCGGGGAAGGAACTCTGGAGTCCGCCCCCACAAGAATCTCTTTCTCTCTCCACTTGGTCATCTCGCATGGACTCTAGTCTACATTACAAATTGACTTGCAATTTAATATTATTGACTCATTGTTATGTTGTCCTCTGGATTGAATCTTCCTTATCTGTACCTGTCAACGTGTCGGTCGTGACGGGCCGGTCGGCCTTCTTTGCGGGTGTCTACTCCGTTCGCGAATCAGTACTCAGTCCTCAACAAAACAGCGCTTCGGCCCCTGAAATCCCCAGGATGAGGAGCCGCCACTGACACAATCTTGCCTTGGTATGATTGGAACGATTTAACCACTGGCCTTCTTAGTGGCTCAGGGTCTGATAGCCATGCCATTAATCTGTCAGGGATTGTGCCCGTTCGCTTTAGGCAAGTATGTACATGTCTTAACACATATCAAAACTAGCATTCGGCATCTCTCACTGGCATTCGAGACCCTATCTAGAGCAACAGTTCACCTATTTGGACCCAAATATGCAAGCTTCGAAGAATCTCAACTCTTCCAGGGACGGCATTCGTGCACAATTTCTCCTTCCATCATACTCAGATTGTGTACCTTCAGATATACCAGGCTTGAGATGGATCATACGTTTCTTCTCTCGAAGCCTATTCTATATTTTACTCAACTAAAGGTGCATCGACCCCGTATCACGCTTAGAGGATGGCAATATCATGGCCGATTCCGACGTTGCCCCGAAAGTAGAAGACAACGACAGCATCTACAGTTGCAGTTCAAAAATCTGAATCTAGAGGCCCAAGAAATGCCCGACAAGATATGCAACATACTCGTTTTTGAAAGGTTTTCTTAAATGATTTCTAAGCAATGTTTTTTGATGGGTTGGGTATCATCTCCTAGCTTATCATTCAACTCATTGACTCCCGAGGTCGTATGCTTCTGGAGCCAGCTAGGGATTCCAAAGTTACGAAATCTCACCGCACTAATCTTATATTTCTCGCGATATAGACAGACAAACAATACCGCGGTCCCAACTGGATCAAGTATGCGGGGGCCGATCACTCGGCCACTTGCCGATGATACATCTTTGTGTGGGGTCGGCGCAATACCCGACAATCCTATAGCCTCGCGCAGGATCACACCCCGCACTATATGGGCAATTTGATCTCGCTAAACACCGGGGAAATGCTTTACCGTCAGCGCTATATTTGTGGTCAAAGCCGGCAATTTTGTGACTCAGGTTATGCTCTCCAGCCCAGGTCCTTTTGCCCTTGGAAACCGATTATTTCTAGATCGTATATTCGCAGACATCATCCACTATGGCCGATACAGAAAGACAAGACTCACCTATTCAGGAGGCGAAACATGACTCAAGTACTCCACAAGTCGACGAGATTGAAAAGGCAAAAGAGCAATCGATTTTCGGTGTAAGGTTTCATTTCGAGCGCGAAGAGACTTCCCACTCCTGACCGTGTTTCTCTAGGCCGATGCAGTTGGATACAAGGAATACCAGGAAGGACTTCATTTGGAGATTTCCCGAAAGGAAGTAAGTCAAGCTTGACAATCAGCGGAGATTTCCCTTAGCACATTCTGATGATTTACTAGAACTCGAAAATCCGATGGAAGATTGACTTGGTCGTTCTCCCCATCTTTCTTATCACTCAAGCCCTACAATTCATGGATAAAACCGCTCTGAACTATGCAAATCTCCTGGGATACCAGACCACTCTTGGTCTGAAGGGTGACCAGTTCAATTACCTGTCTGCGAGTGAGCCAGAGCCTCTTTCCTTCCTTTAGAGGCGTTCACTAACAACCCATTTGTAGTGGTCTACGCTGGCTACTTCTTCGGCCAGTATCCCAGCGGCTGGTTAATTGGGCGATTTCCAGCCCAGCGCGTCCTCGGCGTGAGCTGCTTCTTCTGGGGTTTGATGGTTATCATTCTCACTCAGTGCCGCACATATTCCAGTGCGCTTGCAGTCCGTTTCATTATGGGACTCTTCGAGGCGACTGTTACCCCGGGCCTTACTTTAATGACAGGATTCTGGTATACACGTCAAGAGATCCCCCTTCGCCAATGTATTTGGTATTCCTCCTTAGGATGGGGTGGGATAATTGGCTCGTACATCACTTTTGGAATCACTAAGCTTCCAGCAGATTTCATTCCGGCGCGGTGGGAGCTTATTTTCTACATCCTTGGCTCTGCGACTTGTCTCTGGGCTTTTGTGATTTTCTTTGCGCTGCCAGATTCACCTTCTAGTGCGTTTTTCTTGTCCAAAAAGGAACGAATTCTGGCTGTGAAGCGTGTTGCATCCAACGAGACGGGTATCAAGAATAAGGCCTTCAACAAGAAGCAGGGCTTGGTGGCCCTTGTCGATCCAAAGTCTATTCTTCTTTTTATTTCAGTCTTTGCTGCTGCCATTCCCAACGGTGTCATCAACTCATTTTCTACTATCATCATCAAGGATATGGGATTTACTACGACAAAGACAACCGAGCTCAAATCAGTCGGTGATGCCGTTCTGATCGTCGCTTTGATGATTGGTGGCATAATAACGCTGAATGTTCCAAACTCTCGTCTGCTGACCGCTACTGCTGCCAATATTCTGTGCGCCGTTGCTGCAGGGTGCATGGCATATTTGCCTCGCTCTCATACATGGTCGAGATTAGTATGCTTTTGGCTCACTAATGCGCAGTCGGTTGGGTTCACCGTTTCAATGGTGACAGTCTCTTCTAATATGGCTGGTTATACCCACAGAGCAATGGCCAATGCGATGATCTTGTGAGTGTCATTTTGATGGATGTTATGCACTATTTTTCAGGGATTTCTAACAGAAGATAGTACTGCATATTGCTGGGGTAACTTTGCGGGTCCATTTGTGGTCAAGCCGTCACAGGCACCGGAATACAAAGGTGCTACCATCGGACTACTTGTTGGATATATGATAAAGACCATATGTCATTTAGCTTTACTAGGTATCTTCCAGCATTATCCCATTTCTCATTATGTCTGCTGACAGAGCTAGCGTACCTATTTACGGTGAACCGATATCGCGACTCCCATTATGGACCTGCGGACAAGGCGCAAAGCGACGAGGCTGGAATGCGGGATACAACCGAGTTTGAGAACAAGGATTTCCGCTATGTGTTGTGACATGGTCGGTATGGATTTTCAAATGCAACGAATATCATGTGTTATGATACTTTTGGCTTTCTCATAGAGTGACTCTACCATTGAAACAAACATTGCAGAGGGTGTCCCTCAAACCAAGACTTATTTTCCTTCCATGCCTGTACTATGAGGTCTCTTCCAACCCTCACAACCTCTTCAACTTGCTCTGGACTGCCCCATCCAGCGACTCGACTTCCGAAACAGACCAGGTGAGCGCCGATCTGGATAGCAGTTCGGAACGCCAGCTTATCGGTTAGAGGTCCGTATGCGTCCATCAGGCCTTCGATGGCCCATACTCCATGTTCGGCATTTTTAAAGAGCTTGGTTTCGTATGTCTCGGCAATCATCTGGCCCAGATCCAACGCTCGGCTCCCGATCTGAGCCATTTCCCAATCAATAACGAAAAGTGTTGTTTGTGAGTCGCTGGTCAGCGGCTTGTTGGGCATGAGAACGCTTTGAAATGTTAGAAAATGCCATCGTATATTGGTTAAGTAAGTAGCATGGAGTGAGACTTACTTTCCAGTCCAGAAATCGCCATGGACCACATTGTATTCATCATCGTACTCAGTTCTCTTCAGCTCTTCTGCTGCCGAATCGCGAACTTTCTCGAAAACATCCCGACTGTCTTCCAGAATGGCTGGGAAATTTCCAATGGTATCCAATAGCCAGGTGTAGTTGATGTAGAACTTCAGGTCTTTCAATGCTTGATTCTTGCTCAGAATCTCTCGGGTTTCTGCCTGTTCGGGCTTGGACGCCCAGCTATGGAAAGATCGCAGCCATGATCCTAAGCTATGCCCCAGAGCTCGTGCGGAAGTCTTTGACATATCGCGAGACACTTCCGAAATTAGATATTGCTTCAGATCGACTGAGACTGGCAGGTCTTCGAGGATTTGTGTATTCGTCTCTTTGTCAAAGTGGAAGAGCCGAGGTGTTTTAATTCTGATTTTCTCTGATAACTCGCGGACCTCGAAGCCATCAAGTGCTTTGAGGATGGCCCCTTCAAAGTGCTGTTTGAGAATTAGGTATTTGTCTTTCTCTCTTGGCTGGTGGAAACTTACACATCTCTCCGCATCAAGCTTGAAGCTAGCATTGGAAGACAAGTAGTTCTTGGTATGTTTGATGATGATAGATGGTGGATTTCCAGAGAGAGGAATGCCTCGATAGACGAAATTCGCGGTGCCACCAGATAACCGGCTGAGCGAGGAGCACCTGAAAGAGGTTTGCGCGAGCTCTTGCTCAACCTCATTGCGCACTGTATCTTGCTCAACTGAATCCCCAGCCATATTGGTGTAAGTTATCAGTCAAGTCGAAGCGATACAAACAGACTGATCAAAGCTCGCAACAGGTCCAGCAAACGAGTGTGTACTTTCACCTGGTGAGGAGGGAGAGGAAGATGGTGCACAAACCGCCAAGGCCGCTACAACAATTAGGCGGCTGGTGCGATGGCGGGGTCCCGATCAGGAATGTGGGTATTTTAAACCCCATTGCTTCTCTTTGCTATGGATTCCCAAAATTAAGTTCGAATCACCACGATTGCTTAACCGGTCGATGAAGACCTTGGCCTCCTATTCGAACCTGAGTGCTTGGAAGCGAGCCTAATGAGCCCAGAAATGCGAAAATAAAGAATCTACGCATTAAGATATTACAACTTGCATCATAGAGCCATGATAGAGCCCTTCAATTTCAGCAGAGAAGTTAGATATCCTCAAAAGTCCCCGTCTCGGTGTTCCTGGTCAAGGATCGGAAACTGACAGAGAAAGACTCCAGTTTGATATTCCCCTCCATGCTCCGCACCAAACACAGCAGCTTCTCAAATGCCAAAGACTCCCTAAATTTTCCCTTTGCATCAATACTATCAAGCCCAACAAAAGACGTAAGAATAGATGCATTCTGATCATCCGATCCCCCTCTCACGGGAAAGTCGTTCTCCACACCCCATCCGTAGCTCAATGATTGGATGCCCAAGATGCTATTAAGGCCTTGCTGCTCGAAATTTTGGAGACGTCCCAGAGCCGAATCTCTCTGGGTTGATGAAATATCTGAAGGGAAATAAGCCAGGATTATCTCTGTCACTGGAGATTGCAGAGTTATTGATAAAGATGGAGTGGCCGTAATGTGCTTCGTAAAGAAGCCACGGTTGAGGATTTTCGGCATATCCTTTACGGCTTCCCGACCTAGTCTACGATCTTGTTATTATACAGTCTGATTCAAGCATTCGGTGCATTGATACTTACGTTCTTGCGAACTTCTCATGATCCTCGATTGAATTCCAGTCAAAAAATGCCCAAAGATAGGTCGGGTTCTCAGCCTCGAGGCCCCAATACACCCGAAGTGATCCTCCTGGTGCAGTAATAACATATTTGTATAGCTTGGTCAGGATCTGGCCCTCTGCTGTACTGTCGTTTGTGACATCAAGTGAAGGCTTAACGCCCATGCAGCCGACCTCGGTGACAGTCATATTGATTACTGCCTATGACCCAACTATTATGGTTTAAAGACTTCAAGCCTATCAAAAAGTGGGAAGAATCTTTGTGTTACTGGAAATGTCTACTGCGGGGTGAATTTGTTATTTAAAGGTTAATTCGCGTCTAGGCCTCTCAATTAAGTTGACAGCCCGCATTACTGGTGCCTTGAGCAAGGCAACAATCGACTACTCGACACCACGCAATATAACTTGATTATGGTGCAAATTTATTACAACAATGTTTCTGCCTTGATTTTCAAGGAGAGTGCAATACAATTGTGTCTTTTATCCCCGCTACGACCGCAAGAATGCCAGACCAGCTATATGAACTTCACTTCAATTAAGATACCCCGTATGAATCGATGGGCCATCAAAGCCCTCGATTAGCGGGAGAACATAATTCAAGTCTATTATCTCAGTATTACCCTGACAATTGATAGGTACAAGATCAAACACATTTCCAAGCATTTTCATCCTCGTAAGCACCAGGACCAACATACTTGTTGCGCTTAGGGTACTTGCAGTGCTTGCGACGGTATTCCACCTCGGTGCCGTTAAACTTGGTACCGCGCACAAAGTCTGGAGCGATGCCCTCTTCCACCCATCGCACCATTGCAAGGAGGACATTGTCCTCTGGGTCATTCCCGGCAAAGGTCCCTACACCTTGACCAATAGACCCGGCACCATCACCGGTCGAGCAGTGTCCCATTCCACTGATTGTGAAGAAACGGTAGAATTCGTCCAGCTGCGATGGGCTGAGATTCATGGTGTCAGCAACATGCTTGTAGTACATCTTCGAACTATCAGACGAGATGATTGGGTCTTCCATTCCGTGGTAGTGGAGGACCTTGCCCTTCTTCTGGAATGCCGAGATGTCGCCTTGGAAAGTCGAGACCTGGTACGGATCTTGTGCATCCGCGATCACAGCGTCATTCACAGTCCATGATGCAGGGTCCCAACTAGGGTTGCTGTAAACCACATAGCGGAACCAATCCTCTGCGTAGGAGAATGGCTGGCCGTTGTAGTAAACATAGGCCGCAGTCAGCTCGGATCCAGGCTGCATGCGAGGGTACAAGATGGTGTCGTTGTTTCCATAAAGAGGACTGAATATAGTATTGACAGTTTTTACTTGCGTGCCCGTAAGACATGAGCTTGAGCCAGCACTTGCAGTCGAATTGCAGAGCAGTGTCTCAAAGATGGGTTGGCAGAGATCAGGATCCTCGATGATCCCATCTGCGGCACCATCGAGATCATCGCATTGTCGGAGAATCTCATCGTGAATAGTGATCCACTGAGCATCCGTCACGAATGTGGCTGCGCTGGAATTGCCAGTCGTCGGGAGGAATCTAGCACCCCAGTTGATAAGATTGACCAAGTTGAATGCAGGAGATCCAGCGACCACACCATCAAAGTCATCGGGGAACTTTTGGATAGATTTCCAGCCCTCACGACCACCGGTCGAGCAACCCATATAGTAGGACTTATCAAAACCCTTGGTATAAAACTGCTTGGTAATTTCTTTACCAACAACGACACCGGTGTGAATAGCACGGTAAGCATAGTCCTCAAGCACCTCGGTATTGTGATAGAAGTAGACACCAGTATCGCCGAAGTGACCATTGTTGGTGGCGACAGTAGCGAATCCATAGCCAGCGGCGTAGACCATGTCAGAATATTGAATGCCTATATAGTTAGATTCGAGTTCCAATATTTCCAAAAGTAGATGGGTAGAAACATACAGCCACCGAGACCTCCATTTCCGGTACTCAAGAATCGACCAGAGTAATTGCTAGGTAGCCACGCCTCCATGAAGATCTGACTCTTTGATGAAGTCGTCACATTGAGTGCAACCCGGCAGAATTCGAATGTGCTACTTGTGTCATCTGCGTCTGAAGCGCAGACAGCTGGGACATTTGACATGGAGATGTTCGTCCCAATCGGCACGTGGGTCACACTGTGAATAGTGGCATCTTGGACTTTGATCTGGTGTGCGAAAGACTCGCACTTTGCCTGAAAAGAGCTTCTCTTGTCCACATTACCATGGGCGTAAGCGTTCGCCGTGGCGGCGTACCCCGCAAGAAGCAGCGACAACCGCATGTCAATCGAGGGATAGCTGTTCTCAAGATATCGCACGAACTGGGTTGGCTGGAGAAAACCACGATCGCAAGGCCTTCGTAGGCCTCTTATAGACTGTGCTACTGGTCAACAAGACTATACGCGCAGCGCCACAAACAAATCAAGGATAGTGAAATACATTTTGTGACCGTACTAGCGTCGTTAAACTCCACGGGGCCCCGCATTTCAATGCTTAGCCAGGGGTTCCCCGCTCTTCTAGGCGATTGTGATCGGCAGATATGAAGAGGACTGGTGCCGAATAAATTCAGCCGAGGCTTTTCAGGCTAATTTTACTAGACTTTCCTCGTTGCCGGCATCCTTGCCGTGTATTTTTGGCGTTTCGCGGCCATAAAATCATTACGCATGGTCCATTCGTGGAATATCGCCGCGGAATAACTCAGTGGAGTTTCATAAGTTTGAACCCTCGACCCGACTTCAAAATGATCTCATAAGTCATGCTTTGAAGGATAAGTCAAGAGGTACTGCTTGTGCTATGTGGGAAGATCATCCAAAAGACTCTTGGAGGATCTTTAGAAAGAGAGGAAGTGCAGGTGTATCTGGCTAGTCTTTTCTCTGATATCTTACTTTAGATTTTCGAACTACCACTGTACTTTAACGAAATATATGCTCAAAAATTCAAAACACTTAAAAGAAGGTTGTCGAAAGCTCTCTCCAGCCTACGATCATGTCTTTATATTTGTTCTTTGGATTGGTCAACCCAGAGTGAGTCGGTTCCTAAGAATGATGGCATTCCCTACTCTCAATGGCTTTGAAGGTAGGCTTTATGACGAACTAGAAACCTCGTCATCATTATATACCCGGATTAACTTTCTTTTTAATTTCAAACCTGACATCCTCCTTGGGCGTCTCGATACTAGACTAAACCCTTGCTCAAGGATGCTAGTAATATGGCAGTGGTGACTACTAATCTTGCATGGCCTGCCCTGCTTCCTCTCGTAGGGTCAGAATGACTAGAATATCATGAACCACAAAAGTCAAGATGTTGTCGGTGATGCGCGGTCGGAGAGGATTCGCCAAGTTAATATCAAAGTTTCGGAACAGCTGAGTCCACCCATGCAAGTGTGGATATTTTTGACTCGCATAAACAATTTTGAAAGAGACAGACTTACTTCAAATAGCGTCTTGTGAATAACAAGGGCTCCAATAAGCATGTAATTTCAAGTCATAGTTGGAGGAGTCAAGGGCTGTACTTTCCCAGACACGTCGTGAGACCTGCACGGAATGTGAGATCCGCTTTTTCGTAGTCTTGAATGGTATCCCGATCGGTGAGCTATCTTTCTGGTGGAAAGACATCAACTTCCTCGCTGAAGACGGACTTTTTTTCGTTCAAGGGCCCACATGCAGAAGCCTGGAGGTATGGTTAGCTACAGGGTTGATCGAACGATGGGCCGTTTAGTGTGATCTTGGTAAACTTGCCTACGTCACAGCCGCCATGTAAGAAATTCCCGCAGATTGTGGCGCCTTGTGGCGGAACGGTACGTAGAAACGGTGTCCTGCAAGTATTCGAGTCATTAGCGTGGATGGCCTCTTTGGATGTAATTTCAAGTCTGGAGCTTTGACTATCAAACTCTACCTTGTCCCGTGGCTGAAGTCATTGTCAACTGGAGTGCCAACTCTCCAGATCATGCTTGAGGCCATCAGGAAGCTCTAAACCGGTGGGTGGTTCATTCTCGAAAGGTCTTTCCGAGATTGAGAATTACCTAGTATCCACTAACTAGCTATTGTGGCCTGAAGAAAACTAGCTTAGCTTCGACTGCGTTAACTCGCGCAAATCGCGACTCAAGCTATATGCCGCGGAGCAAGTCATGTGTTGACCGAGTCAAAATCCACTGGACAATTTGAGGGCCTCTCGACAGTCCGGGCATTTGCGAAGGTCTTTCCCTTCTCGAAAAGCTGTGGCGCCTGCTTGGATATCTGGAAGACGCTGCCCAACAAACTGCTAAATACATCCCATTCAATTTTGATCAGGACCTTCGCCAATCGAGTGCGGAAATTGTACCAAAGGTATATGTACTTTACCCTGGGCAATGAGCTTGATCAGGTTGTCTCCGATGCGCTAGTCGAACTTTCACGGAACTCGGATGGTCTGATCAGATTGAGGCCCACAAGAGATCCATTGAATTTGCTTTGTAAATGCCTGGAAATCACGCCTGGTGATATTTATGCTGATAATCGAGATAGCCCAGTATATAACTTGAAAGAGGTGGCCCATCTGCTTGCCTGGATCACCGTTACTGTTGAAGAAAAGTCAGGTGCACATATCACAACCTACGCTCAATGCCATTGGGGACAGACAAAAGCTTTAGTTCAGATAGAGGAGTATCTGGCTCAAACTCTTGGCAACAGTTTTCATCGATGGCCTATAAAATACTATACAAAGCTATTTCCTTGGTGTGAATTAATAATAATTGTTCCTATGATCAAGCCAACTAGGGCTACCTGGCGAAAAGACAATCTGGAACCAGATGGCCTTCATATGGTGTGTGGCTCAAACTCACATAACTTGGCAAATAGGTAGAGCCATGGTTCAGATGAAATTGTAGCTATAGTTCAAATTCTCCGTAGCATTCTGCCGAATTCCAGACTTGTAAAAGTTGCTGTCGTGTTGAAAATTCCACTTCGACGATTTAAGCGATCTAGCCGGAAACACTGTCTATCCTGGTTTGGAATAACGAAAACCTATACCATAAGGGCCTATTCGTCTCAGCCTTGTTTCTGAATATCCACATGCCCCCGTTCGAGAAAAAAAATCCGCGCGTCGGTAGCCTCTAGCCGAATCTTAAGATTATGGGTGCTCTAAGTAGATAAAATACGCGCCAGGCATATTGTCTGTTAGCCATCTGAGCCCCGTAGCCTAGATGAGACTAACTATGACGCAAGATTTTCAGACCCAAAGGCTTTCTTTCCTGACTTGATGTGCTACCCTGTTCTACCCTCTTTGTATGCGAGGGGCATACTTTACCTGAGGACAATCTCATACGAGTTCCCAACGGAGCCGAATTGAGTCCAGGCTCACGTTTCAAACAAGCAAAATCGGCATAGTGTATTTACCTCATACAATTTGAATCGATTCCAGCATTCTTGAAACCCCTCCAACTTTAATCTTTTGATGCCTGATTGTCTTGGCTACGGCAAGCCACATGGGTCTCTGAAACAAATGCCGATCCTTGCCAACTGTTTTACATATTCTTAGCCGCATGATCCCTTTTCCGCAGCCCTCTATTATGCTTAAGTCTAAGGCTCTTAGCATTGTGAGGTAATCTAATCAGATGGGGTAATGAATTCCAGTAGTATCTGGGTGATCGAAAACCCGGTTATAATGCCACTAAATCTCAACCGTCCCTGACTCCCTGAAATTCTTGATCAGATAATGCAGCCCAACGGTTTAGAGAATTTTAGTGCCAACGATCTTTACCATTTTGATCAAATCTCCACCCTTTACTACTCTTTTACAGGACGTCCACGGACCCGAGAGGAGAATTTCTGGTGTGGCTCGGCGAATAGGACTCAAGTATCGGGCATCTCGGGAAGCCGGTGGAACTTCGGCACAGCCATTCCAAGGCTTGATGGTGGAGTCGCGGGTCTTGCATCGACATATCGCCGAGTGATCTAACCGCGCTATGCCTTCTTCGATTCTCAAAGTGGTCCCTGTTTCAAGAAGATTTGATTACTGAAGCATTACTCAAACACTTCTGAAGAAACTCTGAAGAAATCCTCCGCTCTTCACTTCCGAAAGAGCCCTCGCCAAGCTCCACTCGACCAGCGTTCTAGTCTTCTAGACGCTTGGCTCAAGATTTCCAATGCTCCGTCAGCGGCTCATCTACGCCCGACAAGGAAGGTAGCCACTTGACCAAGGGAATTATGACACAATATGGACACGGCCAAGTTCCGGAACCAGGAGGGTGCGAAACAGGCCACACCGAGAGGACATTGAGGAGGGAGGAAGATTAAATACTTCCGAAGCCCTATATCCGGAAGTCTATAGAGGCATATACACACATTTGATCGTTTTTCCCGCATTCGAGAACAATAATGCGGTTCCTTCGCGAGGCAGCTTTGATTGCTGCTGCAGGAAGCTTGGCTTCTGCATCCAGCTTCAAGAATGGATACTACGACTACATCGTCGTCGGAGGCGGGCCTTCCGGTATCATCAGTGCTGAAAGATTCGTCGAGGCAGGCAAGAAGGTCCTACTCCTTGAGCGAGGGACTGGTCCAACTGTGGCAACGGGTGCCAATGATACTCTTTCCTGGAGCAACGAGTTGACGCCGATCGATCTTCCTGGTCTTTCTGCTGATCTCGGTGCCCTTCCCGAGTGGAGCGAGTACATGTGCTCTGACACTGGAGGTTATGCTGCTTGCGTTCTTGGCGGTGGCACGACGGTGAACTACATGGTCTTCGTGCACCCTCCCGAGCACGACTTTGACGACAACAATAACTGGCCGGCGGGATGGAAGTGGAAGGATATCAAGCCTGCTGCAGAGAGGCTCTACAAGCGGAACCCTGGCACGATCTTGCCTTCGACTGATGGCAAGCGCTATGATCAGGGTTCCTACACTGTTCTCTCCAATTTCTTCAACAAGCTCGGCTGGAAGTCGGTTGATATGATCTCTCAGCCCAATGAGAAGCACCAAGTTTACAGTTATCCTTCGTGGAATATCAAAGACTTGGTTCGTGCTGGCCCAATTCGCACTTATCTGCCCATTGCCCAGAGGAGCAAGAACTTCGACCTGCACTTGGGTATCAAGGTGCTCCGCGTCGTGCGCGAGGGCTCCCGGGTCACTGGTATTGAGGTGCAGACCAGCTCTGGCAAGACCGAGATCATCACCCTTGCCCACAACGGCCGTGTTGTCCTCGCTGCTGGTGCTCTCTCCACTCCTCGTCTGCTCTTCAACTCTGGCATTGGCCCCAAGAGCCAGATCGAGACTGCCAAGAACAGTGGCATCGCTGTTCCCGCCGAGAAGGATTGGATCAACCTTCCTGTCGGCCTTGGAATCAAGGACCACCCGATCTTCACCGTCACCGTGCAGACTAACGGCACCTTTGGCATTCCCGACTACGACAGCATCGTGAATGGCAGCGACACCGCCGATATCAACCTCTACAAGCAGGGCAGTGGCCTCCTCACCCAGGGCAAGCATCGCATGATCTTCTTCAGCTCCAACGAGGTGAACGGTCAGACTCGGTATTACCAGGGCTCGTGTGCCCCAGCCGAAGGATCCGTTGTCCAGATCAAGGTTTACATGACCCACGGCCTTACCTCTTCCGGTGTCCTCGGTCTCGACTCGGAGCAGAACACCGTTATCGAGCAGTCTCCCTACATGCAGACTGCAGGTGATCGTCAAGCCATGCGTGCTTTCATCCAGCAGCTGGTCAACGACATCAACGCCCCGTCGTCCGGCTTTGAATTGACCCAGGGCCTGAACACTTCGTCTATCCTTGCCTCCCCCACCGCTGGTGACCATTATGCCTCCTCTGCCAAGATGGGCACTGACGATGGCCGCAAGAACGGTACCTCTGTCGTGGACACTAACGCCAAGGTCTACGGAATGGACAACCTGGTAAGTGCATGCTATCCTCGAATCAACATTTCCTTCATGGGATCATACATACTGACAGGAATCCTACCATCCAGTTCATTGTTGATGGCAGTATTCACCCCGACCTTCCCACTGGTAACATCCAGGCCACTATCATGGTCGTTGCCGAGGCGGCTTCAGCCCGGATTCTTGCCCAGAAATAGATTATCCTATCTTGAGCATCTCGTTGACCGAGATTCGAGAAATGTACAAAAGAAGCTTATAGAAGGGACTCATCCCACTTTTCCCCAAAATTTACTGGTTAAATGAAGATTCTGAAGTGCCACGCAATTCAAAATAAAAGACCTCACCTCCCATGAATCGAACCCCCGACCTTCGTGTTCCTTATATACTTCAGCAAAATGCTCCATCGCGATCCCACGATGCCGAAGGTCATACTCTCCGGGACCATACCTCCTAAACAATCTCCCTCTACACCACTATAATACCTTTAAAATATTTTAGTTTAGATCTAGAATAGAAGATATAAAGGGGATCTATCTATTAAATAGAAAAAAAATAAAAATAAAAGAAGAAATCGGCGAGCGGGGGGTTTAGCCGCTCGCCCACTCTCCCCCTAGGGTGTGCCCGGTCATCCGTGGAGCGATGCTCGACATCGGATACCAGTCAACCATATTTCCCCTCAATTTTCCTTCACAGGGGCACACCCTTGGCCAACCAGGTGGCGACCAACCTGGCTGACCAACTAGGCCATATGAGGGGGGAGATTACCTGGAAGACCTGGAAGTTGGTGATAACCCTCATTTTCTCTACATTAACAGTGGCTTATACAACCGCCAATATCAGCCCTCGCTACCTCTCGCAACTCCTTGGACAGTCCTGAAGGACCTTTGAATAGTTTTCTACAAGCTACAAGCTGATAGACGATTTCAGCTCTACTACTCATCGACGAGAATGTTTTCACCAAGGAAGCATCGACCAAAAAACGCCGAAGCATTACATCTTAAAAGACAAGTTTCACAAAAGGCATCATGGCCAGGGAAATGTAGGGCCGAGCTGCTATGATACATTTGAATTTCCTTCTGCTGCCAGCAAAATAAAAGGACGATAAAAAACAATCAACATGCCAGAGCATCCGTCCCGGGCTTACCAGGCGTCTACGTCAAAGTTCTCCTCGCCAAAGTACGAAACCACAACGGTACGATCCGAGAACTTACGACCAGCAAGCGCCTTCAGGGCACTAGAGGCAGACTCGTTGGCTTCGAATTTCACGTAGATCTTACCAACACCCGCGGCCTGGCGGTTGCCGCTGGAGGGGCGGGGGATCTTCAGACTCAAGACCTTGCCGTACTTGGCGCACTCCTCCTGGACATCTTCCATGATCTCTTCGTAGTCGTCGTTATCGAGAAGTTCGTCCACTGTTACCATGTTCAGAAGCTGAAGGACACGGCCCGTCTCCATATCTTGGGAGGTGGTCTTGGCGAACATGGACATGGCATTGACACCCATGTCGAGACCAGCAGCCTGGGTGGTTCCAATACTGGCGCGGACGACCTTCAGATGACGGTCACCGAGCTCCATGCCGTTGAGACCCTCCACAGCGATGGTGGTAGCTGTGGGGTCGGCGTACTCGCAGAATGCAATCCCCTACAATGAGTTAGAATAAAACGTGGACATGATCTTTTGGAAGGCGACACTTACCCGTGACTCCTCGGTCGAAGCATCCTTGACCAAGACAAAAGACTTGAGTTCACCAAAGGACTTGAGCAGCATAGTAACAGGCTCCTCGGGAATGTACGCGGGGATGTTGGAAACGCAGATCTTGTTGGGTGAATCTGGCACCTCATTGAGAAGCACGCCCTCCTGGTACTCCTGCTCGGCGCTTCCATTGGGAACAATGTAATCCTTGGGTCGGCGAACCTCGAGACCCTTTTCAGTACCTTCCGCCATAGTGATACCATCAAACGCCAGAGCCACAGTCGCGTCATTGGGCGACTTGAACTCCAAAAGGGCAAATGACTGGTCGTCGGCCACCTGTGCAGAGATACAAGGATCGACGCTGTGAATGACATTCAGGCCGTTGAGCTGTAGGTTGAAGAATGACATGATGCTGTCTCCGGTAGCACCGGCGGGGATATTGTAGACGAAGAGACGCTTCGATTGACGGGAGTTGGATGGCTTGAGAGCTGTGGTCTCGGCAGAACCACCGGCAGGCTGGTTCATGAAAGCCTGCAGACGACTGGGATCCATTGGTTGCTGTCGAGGAGCTCCGGGCAGAGGGAACATGCCAGAAAGCTTCGCTTGTTCGGCGGTGACATTCTCGTAACCAGGGGGCTTGATGTCCCATTGCGTCAGGCGACGCTTGCGCTCCAAGATCGACGGCACGTCCGTCAGATCTGGGGTAGGCTCTTTCCTACGTGGTGGTGAGGCGCTGCGCCGTCCACCGCGGTCAACACCGCCACCTCCTCCTCCCCCACCTCGTCTGTCACCACCACGATCTTGTTCTCCACGGTCTCGGCGGTCATCGCGGCCGCCACGTCGGGGTCGTTCGTCGAAAAGGTCTCGTCGGGGTCTGTCATCGAAATCGCGTCGGCGGCGATCACCACGGTCTCCACCTCGCTCTCCACGCTCACCGCGCTCTCCACGTTCACCACGTTCGCCGCGGTCACCGCGGTCCCATTCGCGGTCTTCCCGGCGGCTAGAGTACCGGTCCTCTCGCTCTCGGGCACGATAGTCGCGGCTTGACGAGTATGAATTGGCCTCTGGTTCACGTCGCGCACCACGCGAACCGAAGTGAGGAGAACGGGATCGCCGTCTCTCTCCTCCTCCTCGCTCAGCCCGATCGCCTCTATCACCTCGGTCTCGATCACGTCGCTCGTCGCGCTGGGATGGATTGGTTAGTCGCAATCAGATGATAGCCAAAATTGACACTTACGAAGTGATCGCGGGGACGGCCCGAATCTAGAAAGGTTAGTACAATTAAAAAAGAGGCGACCAAGATTACTAACCTCTGGAGGAATAGGTATCACCGTTCATGTTGAGCTTGGGGGGGTGACGAAGCTATCTTGTGGTAGCTCATCGAAGGGGAAAACTGGAAGCTCCTGCTGGGGGGCGGTATGCCACTTACCGCCTACCAATTCGACCAGTACGGGCAGAAATGCTTCTTATCGGTCGTATCACTTTTCGATAGGCCCTTCAATCGCAAACTTCCTTTCAACAACAAGCATGGCGGGCGCATTTTCAGAGTGGCGCAAACTGCCAATAGGCCTGAATGAGATTTGCATCAATACAACGTTGCGCTGTGGTCAATCTTTTAGGTAATCCCCATTCAATTGTCATACAATCCTTTGGTCGCATAGGCTAACCCCTTGTAAGATGGCAGCATATTCCCGAAAGCAAAGAATGGCGTTGTGTGCTTTACGGCAAGCTGCTATCTCTAAAACAGGACTCATCGGTCCTCTACTATCGAGATTACCGAGCACCCGCTTCGGCCTCTCTCCCAACCCCTCCGATCTCAGAAATTCCCTCTCGAGCGCAATCCGATGCCGAACCCACCGACAACAAGGCGCATGCAGCCAATTCACATGACGACCATGTCCTCCGAATTATAAAACACTATCTCAACCTATCCCTCAACTTGACCGATCTCTACACCCAATGGTCCACTCAGGATCCCAATTTCAAGAAAAAGGCAGCCCAATTCACTGGAATCCGGATATTGCGCCAGGATGCCTGGGAAGCACTCGTATCGTTCATATGCAGCAGCAACAACAATATTTCCCGAATCTCGCAAATGGTGGAAAAGCTATGTATCCATTACGGCCCGTTTATTGCCAAGGTCGGCGAACGCGCATACCATGATTTCCCGACTCCGGAGGCATTGGCGTGCAAAGACGTGGAGAGCAATCTCCGCAGTCTCGGCTTTGGATATCGGGCAAGGTATATCTACCAAACAGCCGTCATGGTCTCTCAAGAGAGAGAGGCAGGGTGGTTAGATAGCCTTTGCAATCCCGAGTCACCGGCATTCGGAATGGAAGCAAAGCCCGGTGATGGGATGAAGCCCGAGGGACGGCAGGGTTACCGTGATGCTCATGAGAAACTCCTTGAGCTACAAGGTGTCGGGCCAAAAGTATCTGATTGCGTGTGCTTGATGGGCCTCGGATGGGGCGAATCAGTACCCGTTGACACCCATGGTAAGCCACCTAGAGACCTTGTCGAGTATCTGTCTAACCTCAAGCAGTATGGCAAATCGCACAGCGAGACTACCGATTTGGCAAAAGCTCCAATAAATCGCTCACTAAAGCGACTTATGACGCTGTGGCCAATCACTTCCGAAAGCTTTGGGGCCAGGAAGCAGGCTGGGCACATAGTGTGCTCTTCACAGCAGACCTACGGTCGTTTGCAGATCGACTTGCAGCAACGAAAAAGGTTGGTGTGTCAGTAAAAGAGGAGGACTCGGAGATCAAGATCAAGACCGAGGTGACAACTGCAGTGGCATTGACAGCGCCTAAAGAAGAAACGGTGGATATTAAGGTCGAGGACTCGGAGGACAAGCCTGCTACGAAGACCAGAGGCAAGAAACGAAAGGACTCGACAGAGGGTATCGTGCTTGCATCTCAGACGACAGAGACCAGGAGAGTGTCCAAGAGACTCCGTCGATAGAAGATTCCTTGATACCCGGGCATACTCTCTGGCCAGAGGCAAACCATGTACATTACAATTGAAAATAGAAGTGTCCAGATGGACTATACTGCCCAGTGAAAATATGATGTAAATGAAAGGAGTTCATTGATGCTATTCTATATTTGTACCGAGTTTAATATGCTAGTTATCAGTATCCTAGAAGCAAAGTCAGCAAGACAGTTTTCTAATATAAATGACAAGCATGTGAAAGCCATTTGACATATTCAGAAGTCCAGTTAGATCATCGAAGACGCATCCGAAAACACGCCTTCTGACATAAGAGGTACCAGAAAAAAGTAAAAAGTGTGTTTTTCATCATTAAGGGGTGGTAGGCGAAGGAAAGCAAAGAGGCAGAGACTGACCGTATGGATGGCGATTGATTGAGCCGGATGATCGAGTGGCGTAAATAGAACAACACAACGGAATCAACCTTAAGGAGCTGCAGGAAACATCAATCCAAACTTGCAACCTCGGGGAAGAAATCCAAGTTGTCGTTGTTTATCAAAAGAAAAGCAAAAGCGGAAAGCGGAACGGTTTTGAGGTCTCGAGGAAAATCTCGCGGAAAAATAAGCGAAGCCGCACCACGTGACCCACACTCCCCCCCTTCACACTTTCACCTCAATCCCAAACTCCACCTTGAAACTTCTCATCCACCTCGACAACCTCCGACCAGCTTTCCGTCGCCGGACCAACCTTCACAGCAAAAATGGGTCGCCTTCACTCCAAGGGCAAGGGCATTTCGTCCTCTGCGCTCCCCTACTCTCGCGCCGCCCCCGCGTGGCTCAAGACCACCCCCGACCAGGTTGTCGACCACATCTGCAAGCTGGCCAAGAAGGGTGCCACCCCTTCCCAGATCGGTGTTGTCCTCCGTGACTCCCACGGTGTTGCCCAGGTCAAGATTGTGACCGGTATGGAATTCCTCTGGCTTGAATGCGCAAGCGAAATGCGAAATACGGACTTGCGAATTTGGAAGAAAAAATGGGAACTAACGTCTTGTCTGTGAATAGGTAACAAGATCCTCCGTATCCTCAAGTCCAACGGTACGACTCCAATCGCCACTCCCCTCATCGCTTCAATCGGATGAAGGACGAGTACAATCGCATGGGAACGTTTCGCAAAAAAATCTCTGGAAACTGAGATGGAAATTTTCACATTGAGATCGTCTCGATACTTCCTCTCCATATATAAACATACTCTGGTTGCAGAAATGCACCAGCAGCTAAGCCTCTGCTTGGTCCTAGAACAAGACTGACAGAGAGATTTTGGAATATACAGGCCTCGCTCCCGAGCTCCCCGAGGACCTTTACTTCCTGATCAAGAAGGTAAGCACATGCTTTTGATTTTTCCCTGCTGCATGAATGCGCCCCCTTGAACTATCCTCGCTAACATCCAATCCTCACAGGCCGTCGCTGTCCGCAAGCACCTCGAGCGCAACCGCAAGGACAAGGACTCCAAGTTCCGCCTCATTCTGATCGAGTCCCGCATCCACCGTCTGTCCCGCTACTACAAGACCGTCGGTGTCCTTCCCCCCACCTGGCGCTACGAGAGCGCCACCGCCTCCACCCTTGTCGCATAAGTTAAGGCGTGGTTGATTGTGGTAAATGGGGATGGAGTTGTGAAGGAAAGCAGTTTCTGGCATACGATGTCGAGGTTACTTTTCATCTACATGTGCTAGATCCGCCCATTCAAAAAAAAGAACTATTACGAGTTATACCCATGTCTTTTTGTTCCTTGATTTGCGCCAAGCAAGAATTTGTAGAAATTGTGGACGGTTATAGGGTAGTAAAAATCAAGGGTATATTGCTCGTGTACGTCGTCAATCTAAACCAAACCCTCATGTACAAATGCAGAATCTATACAATACAACATCGCCATGATCCCCATCCATTGCTTCAATCAGTCCTCACCTCCCTCGCAACGGCATTACAAAGCTCAACCTGCACCCCAGCCCCAAGAAGAATATGAATCCACAGCCGCTGCGTATCACTCAACCGATCATTCTCCGACTTAACCTCCACAAACAAAACACTCTCCTTGTCCGGGTTCCACAAAAACAGATCTGGAATCCCACCACCACGCTGCTGATACTCCTGCGCCATAACCTTGCATATAGTAGCTAGTGCTTCACCACGGAAACACCGCACGATCTCGAGAAGATCGTCTAGCTCGAAGGACCAGTCTATGCCGATAGCGCAGGGCTGGGTGGCGGCTTCGCGGTCGTGGATTCCCCGGATGAGACGCTCGGCGGCGCCGTTGGTGATTTCGACGAGGCGGTGGTTGATTTCTGACGCGCGGGATGGATAGAATACGTCTGTGTGCAGGTCGAGGGGGCATGTTTGGAAGGGGGTTTGGAAAACGTTGGGAACGTAGGTGAAGAGGATGTCGTAGAAGAGGAGGCCGAACTGTAGACTGGTCAGCAATCAATTATGCTAGATCGAATAGGGGAGTATATCATCCATATCTTCGAGTATACGCACCAAAGTCCTCACAATCCCCCCCTCGGAATGATACCCCTTCCACCCATGATCCCGATACCAACTCAAACACATACTCTCAACTCGACACTCCCCACCCTCCCGCTCATCAATCCAAACAGTAGCCTTCCCCTTCTTCGGCCCCTCATCTCTCTCAATGCGAATCCCCTCGATAGTCCGCTCAACAGGCTTACTCAACATGACATGTCCGAAATCATGCTGCTCCCTCTTAACCACCCTCAACGCCTTCTCAAGCTTCGTAATCCGCTTCTGCAGATCATAATGATATATCAAATGGCAAAGAGGATCTTCAAGACCCTCCTCGCACGTCCGCAGCGCAACCCGTTTCCAGAATTTACGCTGGTTCTCCTCATTCCGGGCCTCAGTAGGCGTTAGCGCCCACATGTAATGTTCTTCTAGCAAGGCTTTGCGCTGGTACCAGGCGCCGCGGCGGGCGGCATGGAAGAGGCGCTGGGCGAGGAGTTCGGTGAGGACGTCGTGTTCGCGCTCGTGTTCTTTGAACCGGCCGAGTGGGTGGAGGCTTTTATGGATGATCCTCGTGTATACCCATGCTGGCGAGAAACGACGGAGATACGCGCCCTCGCCGCTTTCATAGATGGAATCTTCCTTGCGCTGCTCTTCGTCGACGAGGGCCCGCCATCGCGGGTGGAACTTGTCAGCCAAGTCGATGATCCGCTGTAGTGACTCCGTAGCTGGAGGACCGTTGAATTCTAGGATATTGTCAATCTCGAATTGCGTTCGAATCGCAGACTCGAATTCCAGCAGTGCGGCTCGGGACGAGAATATGGAATTCGATCGGCACACGATATACTGTGGGAAGTTTCGCCGTGATATCTTTGCCAGGATGATGGTCGTCAGGGACTTTTCTGTCCACTCAGTGGATCGGTAGAATACCAGATGCACACGCTCGAAGAGAGCTCGTGGTCCGGGCGTGAGCCGAATGCACTGCCCTGTGTAATCCAGGATCTTCTGAAGAAAGTGACCATCCCTATTACCAGGTTGGTTCTTGCACGGCTCCTCCTTGAACCCGAGTCCGGTCTGTGATTGACTAGTCTCGCATAGAGCTGCCAGCAGCTCTTTCTTGTTCTTCCCTTGGGCCTTGACTTCCTTCGCGAAACCCTTCAGTTCGTCAAGTAACAGGAGAGACGATGCTTCTTCCAGCGTGGTAATCTCCTGTGTACCGTCGGCGAATCGAAAACAGTTTCCAAAGTCTAGATCCCTTGTCTCTTGGTCCTCGTTCTTGGGTAGTATACGATCTCGCTGGAGATCAGTAGCTACCGCAGACAAGTCCGAGATATCAGAGTAATAGCCCAATCGATTGATACGGTGCCAGGCAGAGGTTTTGCGAAGGAAAAGCCGTACATATCTAGAAAATAAACTGTCAATTTCAATTCATATGGAGATAGCCAATGGGTCATATGGGGTATACACTTACAGATACTGCGACTCATAAGACAAATCCTTCCACTGTTGAAACACCTCCATCTCCGCCTCATTAAACAAGTGCGACTCCTCGTCCAGCACCGTCTCCAATGCCAAATTAAACGCATCCACATAAATCGAACTCTTCCCCTTCTGCCACACTCCATCCCGCAATCTCACATGCAACCCCGGTTCAGCCTCATCCTTCTCAGCTTGACTAGCCTCATAAGCCTTAATCGCGTCCTCGTCGGTCTGAATCGCAGGCAACGAAGTCTCCAATTCCGTCTGACTGCTGGGGATATATGCATCCGGCTCTTCAGCAACGGGTACAGGAGTAGCCGTGTCCACCACACCGGAGGACGGACTCGGACTCGGACTCGGTGGTCGTTTCTCGCTGAGATTGGTTTCGAGATCGGTATCCTTCTCAGACGTCCTTCTGCGCTTCACAGAGCGCTGAGTCTCCCAGTAATGCAGCAGAGACATTCTGGGAAGAGGCCATGGATAATATCCTCGCAGCACAGTCTCATTTAAGATCTCACAGGCCGTAGTGACCGTCGCGTCGAGGGCCTCGCGAGATAACACGAGGTCACGTGTGTAATATGCCTTGATTGGGTGATGTTTGCACTGTTTGGAGTGATTGTGACTGAATCCAAGTGACAGGAAACAAGCAGCCCACGAGTGAGGGGAACTTACATTAACAGAATAAAGCAATGGGAAAGAGAATATAATTCATAGCTCCGCTCTTTAACCCCCGTCATGGCTGATATACCAGTAAGTCCCCACCCCCTTCACCGTCCCCCTCACAGCTCCTGCGGGAAAGACGAGCTTCCAGAAGCTCCACAGCTCGGGCTCAGCACAACCTGGTTCCGAAGAACCAAACCCAGCCTTCTACACGCCTCCAATCCCCTCAAAAGCGCATTACACTACAGTCACCCCGCAGAAACATCTCTCTAACCATCTCTTCCGTTTAAAACCTCCAGTCCGCCCCTGTGCCATCCTCCAATCACCCTACATCCACGACCACACCTTCACATCCCGCGTTACCGCTACACAAACCAACCACAAGCGCCATGGCTGATACAAACGGCGGACCGAATACACCTTCCATGGACTTCTCCAGTGCAGCAGCGACGCAAGTCCGACCTGGCGGTGCTCCGGCTCGGGTATACCTGAATGAGAAGATTGTGCCGTACCTGCTGGAAGGGATGAAGACCGTTACGAGGGAACAGTGAGTGTTCGCATAATGACCATAACTGGATGGAAGGCAGGGAATTCTGACTAGTTGAATGCAGGCCGTCCAATCCGCTCCAGGTCCTAGGGGAATTCTTGATTCAGAAGAGCAAGGAAGTCGAGGGTGATGCGAAGAAAGAGTCGGAGTGAAGGCTATTCAAGGAGGCTCGTGTCTGGTTTTAAGGAGTTCCAAGGCGCTTTCATGGATTGATTTAGTGCTGTAAAGGAGAATGGCTCGGCGGGATTCCTCATGGGAGAAGACACCGTTGTGTATTTGTGTTTTTGGTAGAAAATGTGGGCTTTTCAGCTCCACGAAGCTTGTTTGATACCCCCAATTCCATTTTTCAGGATTAACTAGTGTTTACGGGTGGACTCGTGTGAATTGATGTGATCTTTGTAAGATAAAGACATGTATATCTGGAATGAATAGTTACTTAGCTTATGCGGCAAGTTTAATGTGCTGGAAGTATATCTAGATATATATTTCTAGCACGCGACAGACAGTCTACGCTCTAAAAGATCCCAATCAAATTGCAATAGTACAAATAATTGCTTTTTCCTTGATGAAATTAAAATCGAGCCCAGGCCCGGCTAGTATACAACTTACCAATTCAATTCGAAGATCGCTGATTCCTAAGAAAAGTGAGTATAGTCCAGGGAGGGAGTTAGGATCGAACCAAGTGACTGAATCCAGGAATCCATTGGATATTGAAAGATTTCGGACAAGACAAATTCCCCCTAGAGATATGCCACTAAAAGACAGCATGCATGTCCAAGTCAGCACTTCAAAATATCTTACCTTTGTTCCTGGCCTGGGTCGCCTTCCGGGTTACCGGATATTTAAATCGCCTGTAGTAATTATATCGGCGATACTACATATTGCGAAGACGACGGCCTTGGCGAACAGAATAAAGACGAAGAACGGGGTGAAGGTGTAGAAGGTGGATGGATGAAATGATGAAAGGTGATGATAGGGCGACACAATTGTTTTTTAGAGAGACTTGTCGAATACAGACCGAGCCGTTACTGGAAAAGCTGAAGCTGAAGAGTGTTGTGCATAAGGCGAACAGTTTTGACCGAAGGTGCTGACCCCAAGAGATAGCCGAATTACAGCGATAATTGTTTTTTCTTTTCTTCCTTGCCGCTAGAGTTTTTCCCGAGTTGCGTCGCGAACAGATAAAAAAGAGAGCCACATCATCTTTGCGATCAAGCGATGACGACAAGACTGGGATCGTCCGAAGAGAATAGTTTTGCCGAGTCGGTCGCAGTAGGGCCGATGGCGCTCCGTTTATCGTTCTGAGACGAGGACGTGAAAGAAAAAAAAAGGAAAGCAAAAAAAGGACACAAAATGAGAAACGACGCCCGTGGCCCCGTCGGCTCAAACCCCGCATTAAAACAATTTGAGAAAAGGAAACATATTGGGAAGCAATGGGACATAAGGGGAAGTAGAGGAATAGGGGAGAGATTGGGGGTGATAAAGAAACATTCAGCCATCATAAAGCAGAGATATCAAGGACCGACATCCAAGCTTTGACTTTGCAAGGGAATACATTACCTGCTGCCGTAACGCTCCTCACCACCACGGCCCTCGTAGGAGCGACCACCGCCACCACCGGAGTAGGGCTCACGGGGCTCACGAGGAGGGGCTGCGTCGTAGCTGGGAGGGTTGGCATCGCGATCATAGTAGCCACGGCCCTCACCACCAGCACCGCCTTCGGCACCAGCACTAGGAGCACCACCGCCACGACGGTCATCACCACCACGGCGATCATCGCGGCTGTAACGGTCGCTATAGCGATCGGGGCCACCAGCACCACCGCCACCGCGGTAGCCGTGGTCATCACGAGAATCACGGCGATAATCGCGACCTCCACCGTAGTCCCGGCGATAGCCACCATCTCCACCGCGACCACCACCCTCTCCACCACGGCCATAGTCGCGACCGTAATCGCGGCGGTCGTTGTAAGAGTCGTAGCGGCCATAGCGATAGTAATCATCATCACGGCGACGCCAGTTACCACCGCCGCCACCCATAGGGCCACGGCGATCATCGTAGCGGTCTCCACGACGGGGTGGGCCACGGCCATCGTCTAGAGAAGATCAGCATCTATCAAAGACAAAGGACCGATCAAGAATAAGGACTTACCACGCTTGGGGGGACCGAAGTATTTGCCAGGGGTAGGGGTACGGGGACGGCTGCGACGGGCCTTCTCGATGCTGAGAGTGCGACCCTCGATAACCTCACCCTGAAGGCCTTCCTTGGCAGCGTCGGCCTGCTCACCAGTGCTCATGTTGACGAAACCGAAACCACGCGACTCCTTGGAGTGAGGGTCGACCATGATGGAGCAGTTCTCGACATCGCCGTACTTCTCGAAGAGACGCGAAATGTCGGACTCGGTCAGACGCGGGTGGATACCAGTCACGAACAGGTTGGAGCCGGTGTTCTGGGCGCCCTCCTCCTCTTCTTCCTCCACGAGATGGGCCTTGCGAAGGGGGCCAGGACGGCTGAAAGGGGGTTTATATTAGCGATGAGTCGACAAAAGGTTTGCTGCTAGGCGTATTTACCTGTCCTCAGCTCGGCCGTTGGGGGAACGGCTGCGAGCACGGTCGCCCCGGGGCTCATCGCGAGGGGAGGCGCTACGGTCGCGGTCGTACCGGGGCTCGTCTGTGGAGAAAAACAAATCGGCTGGTTAGAGAGGAGAGGAGAGGTTTCACAGAGATGAAGAGACTTACCAGCGTAACGGCCGTTGTCGTTGTCGTAATCAGCCATGATGGGTTCAGAGAAACAAGGATGGATGGGGAGAAGGGGGAGAAGGAAGGAAGAGAAATCGAAGATAAGAAGTGCTGACGGGGGCGCTAGGCTTTCCGGAAAGGAACAACACACCCGAGAGCTGTAAGACAAACACGAGGGAAGCACAGAAACCACAAAGAAAAGAGCCGACGAGATAAAGGAGAGAATAGAGTATCCGCGAGGAGAGAAAGAGGAAGAAAAGAAAAGGGACGTGGCAATGAAATGTTTGTCACAAGGGGGGAGATGCAAGTTGAACAGCAAACAAGGCGCCAAGGCTCATCTGCAGCTGCGGTAACCAAAGCGACTTGGGCGGTTTTAGTATACTCTTGATACATCCTGGACTATCGCTAGTCATAGTTGTTCTATCTTATAATTTTCTTTACACTAAAAGGCTAGATAGAAAATTACCCTAGATCAGAAAATTGATGAATGGATTTCGATTGCATATTAGACTACTTTGCAGGGAAACCTAAACCCGGGAAAAGATCAGATCTCCGAAAACTCCTGCCTGCGCCTCATGGTCGCTCGTAAAACTAATTTATCCTCATGACTTGGATCACTTGAAACGTCCGCGACGTGTCCGACGGACATCCTTCTGCAACTGGCCTGCATTGGCGGGCGCATTGCTGGAACCCGGCTCAAGTTCGTCGTCTACCAGATCCTTGAGTTCGTCCTCGTCCAATTCACTGAGTTCCTCGCTCATGCCACGCATAACATCCCGTCCGGTCCAGCGCTCCTCGTGAATGGTAGTGCCAATGGGATCAAATGGCTGCATGTACCACTGGATACCGCCCTGTGCCAGGGGCAGCTGCTGGTCTTCTTCGGTCAACACGGGAGTTGGGTGGCGGCGATAGGTTGCGTTGATGTTGGGTTTGGTTTCGTTAGGAGGGATAGCCTCCTCGACGGCAGCGTCCTCAGGTGCGGGTTCCTGAGCAGTCGCGGTGTCGTCCTCGGCTGGGCGAGACTCCACCGATGCTGCGGTTTCCGTCGTGGATACGGCGTGTTCAACGCCCTCCATAGGTTCGGGTTTGGCATCAAGCTCGCCAGCCTCCATCTCGGTCTCACCCTCGAATTCAATAGAATCCCGTCGGGACATGACACTGTGGTCGAGGATCACGTCGAGCTCCTTAAGCTCCTTTTCGAAAGGTTTGCGGTTCAGCTCGCTCTCCTTTCGAATCGCATCCTCCAATGCTGGCTGGATAGACTTGATGATTCGCTTGGCCAGCTTGCGCTTCTCGCGTTGCTCCAGGCTGAGCTCGGGCGCACGTCCACTGATCTGTTCTTGCAGAGCGGCAGTATCACCAGCAGGTGCGACACCGATCTCTGATGTGAACAGGCTAGCCAGGTCTGCAGAGAAAGAAGCAACGGAGGGGTAGAAACGTTCCTCCAGCCGCTTGCGGATTGATTGCATGCCCGCTGCGAAGGTGCCCTTGCCATCCAGACTGTAGTCATGTTAGTGTTAATTTGCGATTCACGTAAGGGAAGATGTGACTTACACTTGCGCTTTCTCAAAGATGGGCCAGAGAAGTGGGAAAATGGGGAAGTAGACGGTGTCAACGATGTGGCGGAGCATCTCCGCATCCTTGAGCTTCTGTCTCTCTCGCTCTTTCACCATAGCACATAGGGTACGAAGTTGGTCAAGGTCTTTGTAGAGTAGGTCGCCAAATTCGATGCGGCGTTGCAGGCGTTTGTGGCCGGTGACGCCCATCGCCACGTAATCTCTGCGTGTCATCTCCATGGAGGAAAAGGTTTCAAGCTGGAGTTGAAGGCGCTTCAGAAGGGCGGCGCCTCGTCTTGCCTCGCGCTTGAGGGTCCAGTACTTGCAAGCCTCCTCCGCGTAGTGCTTGCGGCCGCGGACAGTGAATCGTCCAAGAGCGGCAACAACAGAGTCGAGAACTACCTGGGGGATGACGGGGGCGCCAGAAGGCAACTTCCAGATGGTTTTGGGAACACGTTTGCGTTTGTTGCCGCCGACGGTCAAAGTGATGCGAGGGGTAAGAGTCCGATCTTCTTCCCCATCTTCTGCGTGTGAAGGTCCCAACGACAACGCCGCCGCTTGACTATCACCCCACCGTCTACCCTGCATAGTGTTGCGGTAGTACTCAATCGCATCGGCAGTCGCAGCATCAGTACCATGCTCCAACCGCCACTCTGGAGGTACATGCTTGTCACAAAAGGCTTTAAGAAGATGTGAGTCCATGAGCCCATGTCCTATCTTCATCTTGAGGTACAGCTGAGCACGTCGCGCGCATGACACGTGGAACGCAACGAAGCAGTTCTTGTTACTGCACTGGATTGAAGCTCCCATCTTTTGCTTACAGATGTAGCAAAGCAGCTTCCAGCGACTGCGTGGTACTTTCTCAACATCGGTGACTGGCTCCATCAAAGAAGGGTTTCCGATGGAGACCTCTGGGATCCAGATGGAACAAAGTAGGTGAGCCCATTTCGACGAAGTGGTCTGTTTGAATGCACCCTCGATGTTTGGGCAGAATATGCAGTTGGTGGTTCCGCGGCCCAGAAGCTGACACTTGCGGCAGAGCCATTGACCCTCCGGGATGAAAGGAACACCATAACACTCCTGATGAACGGCCAAGTCACAGCCATCGCAAAAGACAATCGCGTTCGAGTTTTCACAATCGCCATCATCGCAGATGGCGCATTTACTGTCCTGTTCTTCACCCGGGCCAGCAGTTTCGCCATTCACTGCAGCCGCAGAGCTGGAGCGTGGCCGCTGCGTCTGAGGCGGCTTGGGATTTGGCTTCGGGATCCGCTTCTCGAGTGCATGCCACTCTTTCTCGATCTTGGTCATGGTGATCTCGAAGATAGCAGGCTTGATCGGCTCCAGCTGATCTTCTCGACGCTTGGCGTTAAATTCGTCCAGCCATTTCTCGTCCTGCTCATCCATATCATACTCGACGCGCCCGATTGACGCATTAACGTCACCCTCGGTAACGGCAGGCTGGATGATATCCATGTCGTCCTCTTGCGCACCCTCGGCCATACGGATGAAACGCCTATCGTGGCGAATGAACAGATCGCTCTCCTGATAACCAACACTGGCCATAGTTCGGTCGACATAGTTCTGCTGACCAACGCCTTTCTTCTCATAAAAGGTGAATGGATCCTTCTGGCGGAATGACGGCTTCGGCAGAGTCAACTTCTCCCGAGGATTCGGACCCGGTGGAGGGATGACCTTTGGCCTCTGTTGTTGCGCAAGCAGTGCATTGAGGATAGCCTCAGGGCGACGCGGCGGACGTCCAGGTCTACGCTTGAAAGGAATTGGCGAGGCCAAGTCGGCGGAATGAATCATGGGAGTCCCCGAGTTATCCTGGACACTGGCACCTGCAATAGATTCCAGGGTCAGGGAATTGACAGCAGGGTCAACCGTGTCTACCTCCGCCGAGGTGAAAACGGCAAGCCTGCCATCGATGTCTAGATCGGGGTGGAACTCCTCCCAACCCCGCTCCTCGCGCGGTTTGTATCCATCGCCTTGTTGCAGAGCCAGGGCTGCGGCTGTTGACGAGGTGAAACGACCTCGGTTCTCTCTCTTATCTCTCCTTGGACGCGTAACGGAGGGTGGTGTGATGGGCACAGGGGGAGGTGGTGGCGGAGCGAGGGTTGACTGTTCGTCGCGCGCGGGCCGGCTTCGTGAATTAGTGGAATGACGTCGGTGAGAACCAGAAGACTTCTTCTTTGGTGTCGTCTCTTGTTGCTGTTGCTGTTGCTGCTGCGCAGCTTCGAGCTCGACAAATCTTCCACCACCTCCAGGTCCTCCAGGCACGTACTTGCGCTTCTTCAAAGGAGGGCCTTCTGGGGAGTCTACGGCGCTGCGCGAGGATTTCAAGGATGACTTTGGCTGAGATGATCTTGAGGGACGTCCGGGAAGCGAATGTCTAGACATAGGCGCCATCGTTCCCATCAAGCTTGGGAAGCTCTCTGGATGCTGATCGACGTCGGGTGGAATGGCAGTCGACACGTCAGGTCGCTGATCGCGAGGTTCAGGGGTGGCGAGACGCCCGGGGAGAATCGCTTGAAAGAAGTAGAAGGATGGAAGCCCCAGGCGACCGGGTATTAAGAAAGCCGAAGAACAAAAAACGAAGGTCTGCCGGAACCAGTGAAGCTCTGGTGGTTGGAGTTGATTCAAGTGTTTTGTTATCTGGTCCAAGGCGGAGACGTTGCACGCCTCAGGCGCCGAAATTCTTCCAGTTGCGCGGAATTGGCCACAGCTTCCCCGCATGCTCCTTGGGGATCCCCTTTGATCACGTTCCCGAATCTCAATCCTTACAGCTATCCACAACGACGATGAGTGGTGCCGGTGAAGACAGGTATGCTGTAACAACCGAACAGATGGTCTCCCACACCTCCCAGACCTAACTAATCATGTCCGTTCGATCCAGATGGCGCGGGCCAGCTCGCCAGTCATCACAACGCCAGTCAGGCAATGGAAACCGTGACAGAACAGGAGGACAAGGTGGTCCTCGTGGTGGCAATTCATCCTGGGGCTCTCATAGCCCAGCGCAGGACCAGCATGTACCAGTTCGGGGATTCAATGCTGCCGAAGTCAAGAATGTCCTGAAGAAAGGTAAGCCCGAGCGGACCCTGTTTACAGTTAGAGGCAGAAGAGGATGAAGACTGACATTACGGATAATTGTATAGGACCCAATGGTATACCCAACCCTTCCGATGGTATAATTGAGATATCTATTTACAGCGGTCTAACCTCCTCGCTACAGAACCGAAAGCTCCCTTCTACAAGCCCGCTGGCAAGGACACGAACAACCAGCGATCAGGTGGCCCATGGGGCTCGAAATGTACGTTTGCAGCGACTATACCCCAATCGTCTCGGGTGATCTAGTCACTAATCTTGATCAATACAGCAAACACAATGGCAAACGGAAAGGACTTTTTCATCGAGCTCCGCAAGCAAGTCGCCTCTCTCCAGCGTGGAGGTCCTCCCGTCGGCGGTTGATTTTCTTCCAAGTGGAGGACTTTCTTTTCTTCTTTCTCCAAAAAGAATTTCTTATTGCACAGTGAGCCGGTCCATGGATTCGGTTCTTTTGCATGGTTTAGGACGGCGCATCATCGATACCCTACTATGGAGGATTCATGGATATGATGGGAGGACCTGTATGGGAGGATAGCTTGCATTGCTCTCACTGTAATAATCATGAGGGCTGTTTCAAACATTGCATCGGCGTATTTGGTCATGTATTCATAAGCTTGACTTGCTGCTCTCGTGTACAGTAGACCTTCTACAATAGCCGTACAGATACTTCTTGGGGACGATACCCCTGCAAAAATGAGGAGATTTCCCTACGACTTCAGCTTGGAAATATTCGATTCGCTGAGTAGAATGATTTATCTTTAATATACAATATGGGGTATCGCTAATATACAGTCTGAGTATACATAATCTTACACGGACGATCCATCTCGAACCCACCCACTAGGCCCCAGGACTCCACCATCTTCGGCCTGCGGATCAAGAGTCCACTTGCGGAGAGCGCGACAGCTCAAATTAGTCCGCCACCCAGCCTCAAACATCTCGATGCCCGCCCATCCAATCATAGCCGCATTGTCAGTACACAAGTACGGAGGCGGAGCGACAATCTTCATATGTTCAAATCCACGGACATCCAGGAATGATCGCAGAACGTGCATAAGGAACTTGTTAGCTGCGACACCTCCACTCACGACGAGAGTCTTGATCTCCTCTTCATCTTGATGTCTGAGACGGAGAGCCTCGAGGGCGATGATCGTGCGGGACGAAAGATGCTCGAAGCAGACACGCATAGCTTCTCTGCCTAAATCGACCCGTTCTTCATCGGATAAGCAGCCATTCTTATCTTTGATAATTTTGCCAACCATGCTTGCGACAGAGGAGAAACTGAGCTGCAATGCCCTGGTGTTCGCGAATGGTGTCGTGACACTCCATCCCCACTGGCTTTTGCGTTTAACCACCTCCTCCCCGCGGGTCATCGGGGGTCTGTAATCCGCAAAATCGGCCGGACCATTGGGGAAAACGAATTGCTCCAGGGTCTTGCCGTACATGGTCGTTTTGGCCTGCTCAAGCAGAGTCGGGGGTATGATCTCTCGGGCTGCTTTATCCAGTGTCTCGCCCATGGCGATATCGTCGCTAGATGCCATGATTTTGTGGTCCGTGAGGGACTTGGAGTGAACAATGATCGAATGACCCCCGAAACGAGGATGGACAGGAACGGGAATTGCGGTGATGTGACGTTTGGTGAATTCGAGCCTTTAGATTGTTCCAGACATGACACCAGTCGAGGAGTTAACAAATGCGCTTGCATATGGTGGACTCCAACCATGGGAATCTGCCACGCAACAGAAAGGGCTTTCCCCGTATCCAGTCCGACCGACAAGTTGGAACGCATGCCGGGGCCTCTAGTAGCAGAAATAAAGTCCGGCCGCTGGCGGCTTGATCCATCAGCGAGTCTTATTGAATTGACATCGCCATTCGAAACCGGTAGACTCTGGAGAGCCTTATTGATAAGATCGGCGAGGTTCTCTTGATGGGACTCGAGCGCGAGGATCGGGTGAATGCCACGGTGAGCTCGAGAGTCGGCGGTGATATTTTCGAGGAAGTGGATTTTCGCCTGGTCTCCAGTCGATTTATCGCTCTTCTTCTCAACGATCGCGACTGATGTGTCGTCACTGTTGTAAAGAGCTGTGGTTAGAGCATGCGACCGACGAACGGCTTCAGGCTTGTTGGACTTACCATGATGATTCGATCGCGAGAGTAAGTAAGCCCCGTCGGCATCGTAGAAGGCTGCGTGACGCGCTCGTTGCCGACTTGCGTAGAGTCGCAACTGAGCCTCTTGATAAAAACATTGCTGAGCTTGACCCGATCGTCGACGGACGCGCCGGGAGAAAAGATCGGAGATGCACGGACCAAATGAGCCCTGAAAGGATGCCCTAAGCTCGAATACGGCAATGCCTCATTTTTATTAGAAAAGAATCTCCACCCCCATGAATCGAACCCTCGAACTCTGTTTACCATACAAACTCAACCGCGGCCAATATTGACTTCGTCACAATGTTTCATACAATAAATCCCCCATATTTCTACCCACCAGCAGCATTGAAAAGTTATTACAAAATATCATATTATTCTCCTAATTAATCTGATTATAATTATATTAAAATCGAATCAAAAAAAGCATGGAACGTTGATCTGTTGTGGTAATATAAAATTCCGCAGTCATAAAAAGGAAGGAGAAAAACCCCCACGCCGGGCCTACGAGTACTCTTTTCCTCGAACTACGCGAATCAGGCTGGCAAATTCCAGGCCTTGACCGCTAGGCCAGACGCGGGGGTTGCTGATTTTGGGGAGGAAGCTGATGATAACCCTTCTTGCGGATACATTTTGAGCAACGTTTTCACTTTGAATCTCTTGTTCTCGGGATTCGTCTTCATGTCGAGGCTTGGGCTGGATCGATAATACCAGAGCCTCTACCAAGGACTGCTGTAAAAAGATTAATATTGTATTTTTCTCGCTGTATGTCTGTATCATCACATTTTGACCAATGAAGACCACGCGAGTCGAACGTATGAGAGAGTTCAAGTTATCTACAACGTATATGTCCTATCCCACCCAACTGCACAACTTTATAACGACCACATAATTTTGAGTCGCCCAACTCCTCTGACTTGCAAAAATACAGATCCATGGTCTTTAATGCTGACTTAGTGAACTATCAAACCAATGTTGTCTCGCTGCTATCAGTGAAAAGTGCCTTCTTCTGCCCCGATATTTGGAACATCAGATATTCAAAGGTATCCAAGCTCGAGTCCATGGATTCTTGCTTATTAGACATGGCAGATCGCAGTCGACGGTTATAGAAAACTCCTCTCATAAGTCGAAATGGGATGTATTGTTCTTGATACGTCAATGAGAGTGTCGTTTTTATTTCAAACTGTGAACTAGCAAGATAAGACTACTTCCCCGCCGGATATGGCCAATGATATTTAATTTCTTAGATACATCGGAGAAAGTGGAGCCAAGGCCCTCCAAGGAGCGATATGATAAGCCGATTAGCTCACATTCTACCCCAGGGAAGTCCAGGGACTATCCCCCAGATATTCAGTAAGATAATCGCTCATTAGATTTATCCAGGGCTACAATAAGACCCATTTAAGTAACACAAGAACTTTGATAGGTAAGGACTGAATTGGTTAAACTATTTGCTTACACTAAAGATCATAAATCGGAGGCCCGTCAACGTCGTAAGGTATAATCGTCGGCTCAACACATTGAGACACAAATCATCTTCATGGCCCTGGAATAGACCGAGGCTGCATTTGGAGGGAGCTTGAGCTGTCAGGAAGCGGGCACAACACCACCGGATCGGTATTGGTTGAGCTGGCTCAAAGCTGGTCTGCGGCAGGCCTGGTGTGCCATTTTGGAGAATCGATGAAGTCTTCATGAATCAATTCGAGGTTCGTTGGTATTCCCAAGGTCAAGCATTTATCGTGATGGTTGGAGAGTCGTTTCATTGGTGTTCAGGCACACTGAAACACAAGAGACAGTTCACTCGCGGACCATCCATCGTCGCTCTTCTCGGGAAATCTTGGTATGCTTGCCGTAGTATTCATCGGTGTTCTCAATTGGGGTCACGCAGTGGACAGTGGGGGTGCCACTGAACTGAATGCGCTTGTCTGCGGCACTTGGTCGAACCGCCGAGTTCTTCTTGAGGATGCTCTTTGACGAGCACGAGTTGACATAAGAGTAACTTGGAACTTGCAAAGTAGAGAAACGCTTGGTTGCAGGGCTCGCTGGCGAAATTGGAGTACGAGGGGCAACTGGTGACTTCAATGATAGAGAGGGTCGCGCGGTATTGGCAGTAGCGATGCTCAAGGAAAGCTTGGGTTTGGCGGCGGAGCGAAGCATTTTGAATAAAAAATTGACTGAACGGAGGATTGGAATTTGTTTGTTATAAAGATGATAAATGTAGGATTGTTATCGCAGGTTTTCAACTTCGATCAACGAAGAATAAACCTAGATGGAAGTATGAAGAGAGAGAGAGAAAAGACGATTATTGACGTTGTAGACTTAGAAAGATACAATCTGTGGGGGATAGGCAAGTCGAAAAAAAAAGCTCGTTTGGACCAGCCAGAACGAAGCGCGGACGAAAATAGAAAGAGAAGAAAATAGAAAATCTCAAACAACGATGCAGAAACGACGAAGAAGAACTGGTCCCTGAGGTGGATGCGGGCGGCTATATACTGAGTCGCGGGCGGGGGAAGAAAAGCTGGCAGCCAACCATCGCCCGCAGTCTACGCGCCCAGCCTATGCAACACACCGCACAATCACCCCCTCATCACGCATTAGTCCCAACCTTGCGAGGCTGGCTAGATATGTCCAGCCAGTTGCCGTGTCCAATAGTCATTGATTCTGGCTAGTCTCGGACTCAAGAGGATGTGATGAGCCGTGATGGCCTGGTCTGCCCTGCAGCCACACGCACCCATTCTCGCAGACCCCTCAGGCATCAACAGCGGTGGCTGGAAGGCAGAACTCTTTCGACCAGTCCCAAGTCATGAATTTGAATAAGGAAGGAGTAGACATCACCTCGAAAGTGTCCTGCGGCCGGTCCAAAATGCCGAACACACGGCCGGGAGAGCCACCTGCATTACTGTGACTATCTCCGCGTTGTCACTCCCACCAGGTCAAGGAGGGAACCTGACTGGCAGAGGAAAGTCCTCGGTCGCTCGGTATGATTTCAGATTGAAGTCACATTGGATAAGGGTTGCCGATTGGTATATATACTGTTGTAGTACTCCGTAGTGCGTCTTATGATGTGGGACCATTGTCAAACGTCCCTCGGCACATGGCTCCGGTAGCATATATCCACTTAAGCAATAAGGCTGGAGTAATTAGGTTCTTTGAGATGTAGACTTTGTACAAATAGTGTTCAGTCGTACTTTGTGATATGCTTTGTACTGACTCGTGAAGCAAGTTATACATACGGAAACAAAAGTACCGATGCTTTGGCAGTCTGCGTTGATTCGAAGAGGACCTTGGACGACTAGAGAAGGAGGTCTGAGGGGGAAAAAGCAGATTCGGTATGACCAAGGCTATAGCAAAAGTCATCTATGAACAAGGGAAGATTTCTAGTAAATTGATTGATAAGGAGAGACAGTGGCTCCTCGTGGTCGGTAGATAATGCTCAGAATTAAAAAGGTTGGTGCATCTTGACTAGCGCCCGTTTTTAATGAAGACCGAGGGGGAATCGAGCGAGACTGTTGCCCGAAAGGGAGATCTTCGGGACGGCGAGGCTCTCTCCCGCAACATTAATGACAGTATGACTAGTTATGTCGCAGAGTTAGGAAGCAGGCGGAAGAGCCTCTTTCCAAAATCAAACTAGCGTGGTTGTGGACCCGATTGATTAAGTTTAGAAGGCGATGTCAATTAGATGGCTCTACGCCAGGTAGAATATAGTATAGCACGCTAATATTTGACTATGGCTGTAAAAATGACCATTCTACATTCATGAAGAAGTATACTTCCCCTAACTATTTACATTCTTTAACATCGGCCACAATTTCAACCCTTCAAAACCACCGGTAGGACTCTTCCAGCCGTTAAAGCCCAGTACAGCCATCAAGCCAGTTAGTGCGAGGGTTCTGCTCCGAAGTGGGGGGGACTTTTCCCCACGCAAGAGCTTCGTAAGCTTTCAAACCGGGAATACTAATCCCAATCAGGAAGGAGTCTTCTCCGCTTGCTTCTGGAAACCAAAAAAAAGATCATACGAAATATCTCAAACGTGGCAACGATATTACAGCGCGAATCACGAAAAAGAACTCGACGTTGGTCAGAGGAGTATTCCCACACTTGGCAATTTTTTCTGCATCACTAGTCGGCCACCAGAAACAAAGAATATGAGTTGGAGATTTCATTTCAGCTGCTCCTCCTGCCTCCCTGCTTTGCGATTTCATATCCCTCCGAATCCACTTCATCTGTCCGCTACTGAGAGGGACGTACGATGAAATAATCACAAACAAAAGTCCCGACTAGGCTTAAAGAGACACAACTTCTTTCTCGCGTCCTTTGGATCCTTCTCTCTTGCAACATGCGTACCTTTACAATGTCTCGTCAGCCATGTACGGGGCCATGTCACCACAGCGAATGCAGTATACCCAGTCTTTCACTCTCGGATTATGGGCACTACCTCAGCCACCAACTGAATAATCGCATGTTGAGCCTTGGAAATTGGAATCTCCCCTGCTTCGCACTCGCAGATCAATCACGAAACCGCAACTTTGTGGGTCGAGATCACATCTTGAATTCGATGGATGACTACCTACTTCCTCAAGAAACGTCTCTCCCAGCAGATATGAACAGTATCCGCAGTTTTGCCATCTGTGGAGAAAGCGGGATGGGCAAAACCGATTTAGCCATTGAATATGCCTACTCAAGACGAAGCCAATTCGGGGCTGTGTTTTGGCTGCATGCTGGTAGTGCGGCAGAATTGATGACCGACTTTTGTCAAATCCCGGGCTACTTAGGCCTTGCAAATACATATAGCCATCCCACGCCCGAATCAAGGAGGAAACTTGCGAAAGCTTGGTTGAATAATCCCAAGAAAAGCGTGGATTGGGGTGTGAATTGTCGGTGGTTATTAATCTTTGATAATGCCGATGATTTGGATGTTATTGCGGATTATATTCCTCGTGGTGGGAATGGATCCATTTTGATTACGAGTCGGAGTTATGCGGCGAGAGATTATTTCTTTGAGGATGGCCCGGGCATTGATTTGGATCCTCTTTCTACGGGCGAAGCGACTGCCCTTTTACAACGGCTGGTACTAGGGGCGGATGGAAGGTTGAGTCGGACTGATCAGAAAGCCTTGATGAAGATAGCGAGCTTATCTGGAGGTGTGCCTGGAGATATCACGCGAATTGCCGAGTCGATTCAACATAGATCCGTCCCTCTTCGAGAGTGTGCGGATATGTTTGCTCGTGATATGGCCCGCTTAGCACAGGTAAGAGTCTACACCTTTGATATCAGTCGAATGTGGATCTAACCAGACGAAAAAAAAGACATGAAATGACCAGGTGTACTCCTGATTGGAACCGAGCCAACAATAAGCCGGCTCGCTCCTCGATTATGTGACATGACATGCATTTACGATTGTGACGGAGATGAAGTCAGGACATGGTAGCTCCAGCGTTGAATCTTCTTTCATAAGCATTTTTGGCCCGGACGATAATGGGTTCTTGTATTCAATTTGACCATTTAGGATATCCGCTCCCCGCATGGTTGGAGCTTCTATTTCTCCCTGTTCCTTGAGACATGAATATAGACATTTTCAGACAGAAAGTTCTCCATCAGCGTGGATATCCCAAGCGAGTCCACCTCTCCACGAGCAAGACGACAATCACAAAAGAAAACCCCTCATCCCAAAAGAATACTACTCCCACATCGCCCACCCTTCATTATAAGTCTCCATCGGTAAACCAGACATCTTCACCCCCAACTCCTCATAACAAGCAACAACCCCCTCCCAAACAACCTCGTCATCACTCTTCACCCACTCCGGATCATCCACTTCCGTAGGATCAGTACAATCCGTATTTCCACCACTTACAAGCACAAAATCCATCTCATGCAACATGAGCTGCCAATCCTCATTAATCCTATCAGCATTCAACGAATAACCCGTCTGAAACAATTCCGACGGTGCATTCACGGGCCTTTCACCCCCGAAACTAATCCATATAGACGAATTGTTCCAATCATATCGATCCAAGCTAATAAGCATTTCGAATAATGTTCCCATGCGGAGGCCGTGCTTCTGGGGTAAGGCTTTTTGTTGGGTCCAGGTTAAGCCCATCATTCCCGTTGCGTAGGAGAGGTGTCCGATTGTGCGGATTGGCGGGTTGGTTGTTAACATTTGTCGCCAACTTGCTTCGGGTTGGAGATATTTCTTGAGGGGTTTGTGGTTGGAGACGAATGTTATGGATGTGAGGGTTGTTTGTTCGGTTGAAGTGCTGGTGATGTGGGGGAAGAATGAGGGGAATATTTCTGCGAGGAGGTTGTTGTAGATTCGGGGTTTGGTGGGGTCTAGAGTATCATCTGGGAGGAAGAAGAGGGCTTGTTGTAGTGATCGTGAAGATTTGATGAGATTATTCCATGTTTGGCAGACGCGTTGGGCGGTGATTAGTGTGCGCATGTCCATTTGGTGCATTATTGATGTGATGATCTCGGGCAGGGCGAGAGCTCGTGTCGAGGCTGGTTGTTTGGCGGGTAGTTCCATTTTTTGCTTTTGAGAAGGGAGGTTGGTTATGATTCATGAGAAGATAGGAAACTGAATTATAACAAGTCTTTGGCGCGAGCCTACAGACATAATCAGCCGCATCGCTTGCTATGGTGGGGTCTGTTGCTAAGCGGGCACTACTTTTCGTTAGACCCTTTTCTTATCGATTGAACTGATTCAGGGTCCATATCTAACTAACCTCTAAAGTGTACCGAGTATAAGTCTGAAAAAGACACCATCGTGTGATTCAGTAAAAATGCTTATACCTGACTCAAGGCCCAACCAGGCTTGTACAATATTTAGGCCGTCCCCAAGCCACGATTTCCATGTTGAACAAGTCAGATGCAAAAAATCCAAGGCCTACATCCGGATCACACGATCAGTCAACAGCTTAGTAGAATTTGTTAGAGATATCAACCAATAGCGCTGCAGCTGACGGGGATCTACGTGGATTGCAGACAGCCACTCCCGAGACAGCCGGGGTATGTCGAGTGGCTCTTTCAGCTCTTTCCTCACAGAGTACCGTTCACTATTCTTCCCCAAACTGGAACCTAAACTAGATACTAAGATTGACATCTGTGAGATTGGAATCAGAGCATCGTGCTCTTCAAATTATTCCTTACCTACCCCCCGTCAGCGTCGTCATGCCATGGGTATCCTGAAAAACGTCCTCGAGCCCGGTGGTAAGTCAGCCGCCAGTACCGATGAACTTTAGGATGCTCATGTAAATGAATACAGCGATCGCGGCTATATTCACCCTCGGGGCATGGATCAACCGGCGCCATGATCGTCGTTTTGTCAATGACCCTATCTGCGCACCACTCTTGCACGAAGCCGACATTGAGCAAGAACAGGATGGCGAGCCCGGAGAAGACACGGTGACCGAGACATCCGGACGCAAACCTCGACTCTCACTTCAATCCCGCGCACTGGCGCGATATCCATTCCTTCTGGAGATATGGTACTGGCTGCTCATTTACTGGGTGCGCAACTACCCACATTCCATGATACTGTCCAGCATCTGACACGATCTAGATATACCAAGGCGCTCGAGCGATCTCAGCAAGAGTCATCGCCAACAACGAAGCCATCTTCTCCAAGGCCGAGAACCTCGCTATCCAAATCCTCTCCTTCGAGCACCACCTACACATCGACATTGAACTCCCCGTCCAGCGATTCATCCTCACCAAAGCACCCCGGCTAATGGACATTCTCGGGGGTATATACTACTCCCACATCGTTCTCGGTGTCGCATTCTACGTCTACACCTACACCTACCTCCCAACCAACAGATACCAGACTATCCGACGCACCCTAGCCTTGATGAACGTCATCGCCTTCATAATCCTGTCACTCTGGCGATGCGCACCTCCGCGACTCCTCCCGGAAGACTTCGGATTCATCGACGTACTTCATAGAGGAGATTCCGGGTCTGCGTGGACGAGGAATAAATTCCAATTAACCATTGCCGCGATGCCGTCGTTGCATTTTGGTAATTCGGTGTTTATCGCGTTTTGTCTGGGTGTGTATAGTCCGCACGTGTTTCTTCGGGTTGTTGCGATGTTGTGGCCCGTCTTGATGGGGTGGACGGTGATTGCGACCGCGAATCATTTCGTTCTTGATATGGTGGTTGGCGTTGTGGTTGTTGGGTGTGCGTATTGGTTTAATTGGGTGATGTTGATGCTGTTACCGGTTGAGAGGGTGTTGTTTCGTTTGATTAGATTGGAGAAGCCTCGGCAGGGATCTGGTAAGTAGGCAGGTATACCGAGGTGCTTTTTGTTTAGTCTATCGGACTTGGGGATTATGGGATGGGTACTTTGTCGGGTTTCGTTATTGGTATTTCCGGTCGGATTGGAGTGTCACCTCGTGGAGAGATCCCAATTGTGTGGATTGATGCTATTGACAGCTTTATGAAGACCGGAGCAGGCCGTGGTAGATCTGGTGTACCGCAATAGGCAGGTTTAAGCGTCGGTGTATGAGGAGAGGCATGCGGTCTAAACCTCGGGCATTATTCTCTGGGGGTTAATTATGGGGGTAGAATGGTATTAGTTATTTGATTATTATTAAGACCAAGAGCACAGCTCTATTCAACCGATACTATTGCCTAAATCTAGAACCCTTATGCATAACTAGCTACCGTAGTCCTATTATATTATTACCTACAGTATGTACTCCGTAGGATCCCTCCCCCCCCAAGGATCTTTCCCCATTTCAGCCACGGTGAGGAGAGCTGCGGAGAGACCAACGGCGGAGTTAAGCCGAGACTCGGGGTGAAAGAGGGGAAATTGGTCCAATCGTACTAGTGACTCCAGACTGTCTCCAACTTTTTTTGTGGCCTGTCCAGAATTCCAGAATTCCAGAACTTGCGGACCCGTTGCTCCGCACCGATCACGGCGGCACCCGAGAGTTATCGTGGGCGTTTTTTTTTTTTTTTTTCTCTCATACTGGACTGCGAGGACATGTGAAATATGACCGGCTCCGGTTTCACCCTTCCGAAGATCTCGGATGGTCACCTGGACCATAGCTAGTACGCTAGTGATATTAGCACGATAGTTGGAGATATACAGTACACATTATACTCCATATTAATATTACCCCAGGACGATGTACTGTAGGATGATATTGTTTGAATTAATTATTATATTTAGTTACTATACTTATTATTTGATCATTCATGCTGACTGTATCTTTTGGTTCCAGGGGCTCGGTCCATTATTGGCTGGAGTATTTCTTTTTAACCGTGGCTCGTGGTGGCAAAGAAGGCTTCTCCGTAAAATTCCTTTTTTCTGCCACTGGATCTAAGGAGATACTATCTTGGGATAGTAGAGCTGATCTGATCAATTCTATAGATATAAGATGTATAGCTATATAACTAAGAATTCCAGTGCTATAATTCAGTCTTCTATGAAATGCGGAGTACGGGTTTTACGTACGGAGTAGTGTTCGAGTCGGCCGCCCGATCGCGGGTAAATCGCCTCCGAAAAAGGCCTTCAGGTCCCAGGGGGAGGCGGTGAAAAACTCATACTCGCGTGGCCAAAAAACAACTGTAAGTACACTTGGGCAATCAGATTGAAAGTCATCTGACAATTGCTCTCGCAAGTTTACAATTCTTTCATTCTTAGTCTAATCACCAGAAAAAAAAAGAAACCAAAAAAGTCAAATCTTCGTTTGTTTCGGGTTCCTCTCTCTATTATTATCGCGAAATAATCAGCGGCGGGTTCATCATTCCTTTTTGACTCAACCCGGTCCCCGTTTCTCCACCTTCGATCTTCGCCCTTTCTCCCCCTCCCTTTCCCCCAGTTGTTTGTGTGGTGGATTTTCGCTTTCGGGTTGCTCCCTGTTACTTTCACCTTTTGGTCCTACAATCCTGTTCGGTGACACAATGGCGAGCGTCAAGGATACCGTTAAGGAAACGCTGGTCGGCAGCACAGAGGCCCCCGAGCTGTCACACCAGGCCCGCTCCAACTTCTTGCGCCACGCGCAGAAGGATGAAAATGGCGAGTTGTTCATGGCCGAGGATGATTTCATTAATGCCGTTGCTCCTAAGCAGGAGGACTATGTGAGTATCGCCGTTGCATCTTCTTTTCAATCCCTCTCTCTATTGCCTCGTTCTCGTTCCCTCGCATCGAAGTCCGAACACGTCGAGACCTTGACACCTGGCTAACCCACCTCACCAATTCAGCACAAAATCAAGCGCGAGCAATATGGCATCCTCTTCCGAGTGGCAGACCGACGGAGATCCGGCAAGCTGAGCCTGTCCGACTGGGCTACCTTCGAGAACCTCCTTGCGAAGCCCGATGCAGAGTACGAGATTGCGTTCCGCCTGTTCGACCTCGACGGCAGCGGTACCGTGAAATGGGAGACCGTCAAAGGAATGTATAATTTGACCAAGAGTGCCGACAGCATCCCCTTCGACTGGAACTCAGAATGGGCCTCTTTGTATACCGGCCGCACCAAGTCGCGCCACGATATGACCTACCCCCAATTCTCCCAGATGCTGCGCGGCCTGCAGGGCGAGCGCATCCGTCAGGCCTTCCACATCTTCGACAAAGACGGCGATGGCTACATTGAGCCCGAGGACTTCCAGCGCATCATCCTGGAGACCTCCCAGCACAAGCTCTCCGACCACCTGCTCGAGAACCTGCCTACTCTGTGCAACATTTCGACTAGCAACAAGATCTCCTACGCCATCGTCCGCGCTTTCCAGAACATTATGCGCGAGATGGACATTATCGATCTGATCGTCCGTGAGGCCACCCTCAAGAGCGGCGACGGCAAGATCACCCGCTCCGATTTCCTGAACGAGGCCGCCCGTGTCACCCGCTTCTCCCTGTTCACCCCCTTGGAGGCGGACATTCTCTTCCACTTTGCTGGTCTGGATGCGCCCTCCGGCCGTCTGTCCCAAAAGGACTTTGCTAAGGTCATTGACGCCTCATGGCGCATCCCTATCGCAGTCGCGGGCCAGGCGGCAGAGGCGGCAGCCGCAAAGACCAAGAGCTTCCTGCACGGTCTGTTGGAGTCGGCGCACCACTTTGCTCTGGGTAGTTTGGCCGGTGCTTTCGGTGCCTTTATGGTGTACCCTATTGATCTGGTCAAGACCCGTATGCAGAACCAGCGGTCCAGTCTCCCCGGTGAACGCCTCTACAACAACTCCCTCGACTGCGCGAGGAAGGTTATCCGGAACGAGGGTTTCCTTGGCCTGTACTCGGGTGTTATCCCGCAGTTGATCGGTGTCGCCCCGGAGAAGGCTATCAAGCTGACCGTCAACGATCTCGTTCGTGGCACCTTCACGGACAAGGATACTGGCAAGATCTGGTATGCTCATGAGATTCTCGCTGGTGGTACTGCCGGTGCTTGTCAAGTGGTGAGTTTTGAACACAAATATCCATGAATGCTGATCGTTTTTGACGTTAACAATTTCTTTCTTTTCAGGTTTTCACCAATCCTCTGGAGATTGTCAAGATTCGTCTGCAGGTCCAGGGTGAGATTGCCAAGAACGTCGAGGGAGCTCCTCGCCGCTCTGCCCTCTGGATCGTGAAGAACCTCGGTCTCGTGGGTCTATACAAGGGTGCCAGCGCCTGTCTACTTCGTGATGGTAAGAGCAATCACCTATAAATGAGTATTGACAAGGATCTGACAGTCAACAGTGCCTTTCTCCGCCATCTACTTCCCCACATACGCCCACCTGAAGTCCGACTTCTTCGGCGAAACCGCCACCAACAAGCTGGGCGTCGTTCAACTCCTGACTGCCGGTGCCATCGCCGGTATGCCCGCCGCCTACCTGACCACCCCCTGCGACGTGATCAAGACCCGTCTGCAGGTCGAAGCCCGCAAGGGTGAGACGAAATACACCGGTCTGCGCCACTGCGCCACAACGGTGTGGAAGGAGGAAGGTCTCAAGGCCTTCTTCAAGGGTGGTCCAGCCCGTATCCTGCGTTCCTCACCGCAGTTCGGTTTCACCCTGGCCGCCTACGAAGTCCTCCAGAAGATGCTCCCCCTGCCCGGCGCCGAACACGAGGTCTCCCCCACCGGCCAGGTCGAGCCCGGCGTCGGTCTCCAGGGTGCCAAGGCTCCCCTGCCTTACCTCCGCTCAAGGAACGCGCTGAAGCTCATCCTGGATGTGGACCAGAACATCGGCCGAGTGCAGGTCCCTCGCTCCGAGAACTGGCCCAAATTCATGCAGGCTTCTAAGCAGTGATTGTGTGTCCCTGTCCCTGTCTTTGGTTACATAGCGATATGATTTTCAAACTTTCCGGGGTTGCGTGCCTTGATGTTTCTTTTACCATTTGTGTCTCGTCTCCATCCATTTAGCATCAAATGTTTCTTTTCATGTTCCTACTCGGTTTTTCTTTTGTCTTTTTCACGGCCTGTTCATCTTGGGGTGGTTCTCCATGTCTTGCATGGCTCCCCTTTATTTTCGTTTTTCTCATTGAATTCTTCTGTGCTAAAAGAATCCGGGGAGCTTGTGTTGGCTTGGATATTCTTGATCCTGTTCCAGGCTCAGGTTCAGATCCTGCCTACCCCAACTGCATGATTCATCTCTCTCATCCCCGGCGTGGGCTGGGGGTTGCACTGTACTGTATCAAAAAGGATAGATTCTGGGAAGAAAAGGATGGTGAAGGCTATATATAGATTTGGGGTTGGTCGGTTGGTTCCCTGGTTGTGTGGGAGATGTGTGATGCCTGGTCTTGGTTCTTGGATCGTTGTGTGCAGCGCTTGGGTCCTGGTAGGACTTGGGTTTCTGTGTTGTACTTAGATCTAGAGTGATAGATTCGGATTTTCCTGTTCAAAGTTTATTCCCCTTGTTGTTGTAGATGTGAGATGGTTGGAGGGACTGTAGCAGATGTATAAAAGTGTACGTAGGAGGTCATTTGGTGGAATTGTGATGGTAGTCCCTGTCTGGGACTGGTATATACAAGTATAATACATGAGATTGAAGATCCGTTGTCGAGATGATATGTCGAGAGGGTATTGGAAGCTCGCAAGCCAATGCGTAGCTCCAGTTCGTAGGTTGAGAGGAGTGTCCTCGAGAAGCTCTTCACGATCGATAATCCTCGACGCATTACTAGTATAGGCCTCGTAGGTTGAGCTCCTGATCACCCATATTGCACCTCGAGGAAGTCTCTCGACTCCTGAAATTGGTTGCTCAAACATAATTTTGTGATATCCTCTTCCTAGAAGAAGTTCACCTTGCGTGTCGACTGCGTCTTCTTCGTAGTCTCATTATCACCCGCCGTATCAGAGACATTCGAGTCCTTCTTTTCCGGCTCCGGCGTAACCTTCTCCTGTTCCTTCGCAGCCTTTTGTTGCGAATGCCACTGGGCATCCTCCTGCTCAATCTGCCGTAGAACTGCAAGCCACGAAAAAAAGTCAGTATACATCCATATCCACATCTACCAAAACCTCCACAACCATCATTAACATACCATCCTCCCACTCCAACTCCTTCCCCTCATCCCCGGTCCCCAACAACTTCTCCACATCAACCTCCTCCCCCTTTTGCACCCTCTCAATAACCTCCTTCAACAACTCAATCTTGGCATCCGCAGACCGTCGGTACGCCGCATACCCATTCTTCAGCGTCAACAGTCGAATCGCCTGCGACCCGATCAACGTAAACATCACAATGTAAAACGTAGCAGGGTTCCACTCCTTCGATTCGCCGGGCTTGCGCGACTTGCGGTTCCGGATAAACCGTGGTACCATCGCTGTCCAGACAGAGCTATCTGCGATCTTGGGCAGACGCTCGGATGTAGCGTAGGTTCGGGTGCGGGGTGCGCGACATGGGGTCGTGATTGTGTAGGGAGACGGCGATGGGTGGGAGAGGAGGTTGCGCGTTAGGCCTGAGGGCCTTATTCGGAGTGGTAGCCTCATTGTTGTGTGTGGATTGTGAGTGAGTCTTGCTGCTTGTATATCGCTGGAAAGACGCGGGTTCAAAAGTGAAAGATGCTTTGGTGCCTGAGGCTGTAAGGCATATATCCCTGATTCGGTATAGCGTGTACTGTTGCTGCGACAACACGGCCGTTTGGCGGTTCCCACGCAGTCTAGCCGGTGATATCAGCACAGCTCCATTTTGAGAGTCCAATTTCAAGATTCGCAGTCCGACTGTGAACAACCCCCCCGCGCGCCATGGCGGTTACCGTCCTACCACCCAGCTCGATATCCGAGTCCGTCAAACAAGCCGTACGATCAACATCCACATGCTCCGACGCAACCGTGTTGTCCCTCCAAACATTGCTCCGCGGATCGAGTAAGGCGCCCGAGAAGCCTGTACGACGGAATACGAAGACTACGAAAGAACCCGCTCCAACGACAAGTCGCGCGAAGACATCTAGGACGGTTAAGACGCGAACTGGCAATGAGACGGGGTTGTCACTTGTTGACCACGATGGTCCCGCGTTGTCGCCTCAGGAGAAGCTCGTGCTTGCTACGGAGGTGTTCAATGGGACGCTGAAGACATTGACCGACGCGTCGAAGGGGCCGACTAACAAACGTCAAGCTGCTCTACCGGATAACGTCTCGATAAAGTCTGGGAGGACGAATGGGTCGGCCGCGGACAAGGGGGTCGTTTCGGCTGCTGAATGCGCGAGACTAGCTCTCGCGACTCTACGAGCTTTAAAGAACGAACAGAAATCATCGAGCGAATTACCGAATATGCAACTCGAGCAGGGCGCGTGCGTGTTAGCTGGGAAATTGATCTCGCTGGGATTAACCGAGATGGCGTGCAAGGAACTTCGATCTTTGAAGAGGAGGATACAACAACATCTGGATGCGAGACAGGCTGGGAAAAAAGCTGTGTCTACGAGGGATGGCGCGGATGAAGATGCTGGCAAGGAACGGATGTCTGATCTTCTTACGTTTTCGAATATCGCCAATGCGGAGTCGTTGTATGGATTGTTGGTTTCGTACCATGCGAATGCGATGCGACTTCTTGTTGCGGAGAAGAAACCCTCGACTAACGAACGGCTCGTTCCTTTCCTGCAGCTTTCTGATCAGAGCAGTCCCGCATATATCATTCTTGCGGCTATGGAATCTGGGAATTTGAGCAGCGACAAGGCCGCTCTTCAACTACAGCTCCTCTCGAATACGGTGCTGTCTCTATGCGCCAGCAAGTCTTCCTCCACCGATGAATCGACACCCAAAGACGCGTTGAAACCAATCACATCCCTAAATTTACAACTTCTATCTCTCGAAATTCGTTGCTTGGGCTGGAAAACATCTGGCCATGTCTGCGATGAAAACAAGGAAATGATTGACCCGCTCCTGCGCTATCTGGGCGCGTTCTCTCATCGCAGTAAGGAGATTGCCAAGGCTGAATTCGCGGCAATTTACAAGACGATCACCCGGATTCAGGCTTCAATGACGGAAGTCAAGAAACAGCGCCAGGAGTCCAAGGATATGAACTCGGCTGCCAAGATCATGACCATTCTTGGGCAGCTTGCTTTAGATGCTGGGTGTCTTGATGAATCGTTGAAGCTTTTCAACCAAGCGATTATACCACTTTTCAACTCTCAGAGCCTTGCTCTGGCTACTGTTCGGTGCAAAATTGCTTCTGTTCACTTCCAGGGCCTGAAGGGCTCGAAGAAGTTTCTTGATGGGGCTCTCAAGGCTACCGCAGACGCTAGTGTTGCTTTGGGGTTGCAACTACGAGGTAGTGTGAACGATTTGGACGATTTGTTGGTTGAATCTGCCAGGCTGAAGAAGCTTGCTCTGGCTTGGTTTGGTGAGACGATTACCAGATCTGCGGATAGTGATAGCGCGAAGAACGAGATTGCTTCTCAGATTCGTGAATATCTCCAAGCTTTCTTGAGGTTGCTTCGACGATATGTTGGGCGGACACCGGGGGAGGATTGTGACGAGAAGGAAGCTGAGATGTTCAAGGCTCGCATCGCCATGTCTAAGAGCATTATTCTCGCTGGCGTGGATTCGGCTGTTGCTATTGGACGATTGTCGATTATGTCTCAGAGACCGCCGTGGGATGATATGCTGCCCATTCTGACTGATTGTCATCGGCTGCTCACGAGCATCGAAGCTACGGATGGAAATGGATTAGATACATCCCTGACGGAAAGCATTGGTGCTGCACTTGTCAAACTTTCCAACCTTTATTGGTCTCGATACATCAAGGAGAAGGAAGCTGGCCAGGGCTATCGCGAGCTTTTACCCCTCCTGAAGCAGTCGACTCAGCTACTCTCTACTTGCTCGGCCAATCATCGAACGACCGCATTCGCTGCTCTCAAGTTCGAGAGGACTGCTCACCTGTACCTTGATGGTAACAGGTTTGATGACTCTGAGAAAGCATTCAAGTCTTCTATCTCAGAATACGTCGACGCGGGGACTCTTGAGGAAATTTCCAAAGGCAATGCAGGTGCTAGCCCCGGCATGCTTAATCACGACCCTCAGAGCCCTGGTTTCATGCTCAGTCGCGTGCTTTCTGCTTTCTTGAAGATGAAACTCCGAAAGAAGGGATTGAAGTCTTTGTCTGTCTATGATGACGAGGAGCTAGCCCCTGAGCGAAGAGGCATTCTCCTCGAATGGCAAATGGGTCTTCTTTGTGATCTCCATGGATATTGCCCGAGTGAGGATGACTTCCAGTCAATTCTCAGCCCGGTTGTTTCCAGTATTCTCGACATTTACTCCGCTGGACTTCACCCTATCCGACACGGCCGGGTTATCATCTCTGCTCTCCGTTTGTTGCTTGAACATCCCAATGCCATGAATGCCGATCTGATGGCAAGAATTTTGGAAGAAGGGACGGAAGCTCTTAAATGTGACAAGGGAGTCGGTCATGACACAGACTTGGCTCCATTCACGACACATATCACAAACTCTCTACGCGTTATCATTGGCTTCCATCAAGGGAAGATGGATGCAGGTGAACTAGACGACACACTTTCCTCTTGGTCCTCCATGGTTCGCCAGTGCCCCGACTCGAAATCACTGTCTCTTTGCATCGCGGATACCAATTACTGGGTTCTTCAGCTGAAGGCTTTGGTTGACTACACCGAGATACACGGCCTTTGGAAAGCTCAGCTCTCTGCTCTAGAGTTGATTCTTCGCGCAGCAGAGCTTCTTCAATCGGGAGACATCTCGGATGGAATTGTCATCCTTGCTCGCCTAGTGCTGCAACACTGTCGTCTTGGCCATTGTCAAAAGGCTGGGGACTTGCTCGCTCGTGGCGAACAGTATCTCGCCAAGAATCAGGTCTCCTTGCTGGCGACTATTTCTTACAAACTCGCTCGGGTTGAGTATCTGCTTGAGACGGGGGAAATTGAGAAAGCGGCGGCGACTCTTACCGCGGCCAGAATGCTTTACCAAAAGGGTCAGAGCTCGGACGAGCTCAACAATTTAAACGTCTTGTCCAAGATTTCGTGGGAACGGTTGATTGCAGATGCTGCCTTTGTGCAGTCTCGGCTATCTACCGCTCAGGGTTCAATGACTCACGCTTTGTACTTTGCCAAGTTGTCTGTGAGGTTGAATTGCCGAATCTGGGCAAAGGTGGAAAAGCTAGCTCAGAAGAAGCAAGATCGATTACAGCCTTCTAATGCAGCCTCGGATGTCGAGGCTGTCGCTGAGGGTGTGGCTAAGCTTGATCTTTCTCAGAACGGGTCTTCGCCTGATGTATCTCCCAGCTATGTTCAAGGAGCTCCGTTCTGGCCGCATCTCGGGTCTCATCATACCTGTTTGCTGAATCTGGCTACTTTGTCGGCTCATCATGGCTTGTTTCAAGATGCTATCTACTATGGAGAGCAGGCTTTGAAGATTGACAGGACACTGGATGCTAATGTGCGACTCGTTGCTGCTCAAACTCAGCTTGGCTGTTACTGGATTCTTGGTGGTCATTTGAGCGAGGGACAGGATCTTCTTGTCGCGGCTTCTGACTCGTCCAAGCAGCTTCAAACTAGCATTGAGACTGTTTCCCTCCACATGGCTCTTGCTTCTCTGTACCGGGTACAAGGACAGCACGAGAAGGCGCTTCGTCTGCTTCAAGAAGCGGAAAAAGCCATTGCGTCTGTTACCTCTTCTGATACAGTGAGCATCTCTGAAGGTCCGAGTGTTGCAGTCCTCGAGGAGAAGATGGCAAAACTGCAGGTCCGCAGCAGTAGACGCACAGCGTCGACTACTTCTGCTGCTACTGCTGCGCCTGTGCGTCGAACTCGAGCGACTAGCTCAGCTGCTACAACCCGAACCTCGAAGAAGACCTCTACTGCCAAGACACCAATGCCTGAAGTCCAATCCAACTCCCTTCTCCGATTGAAGGGCGACGTCCTTCGGCAGCAAGCCGATTGCCTACGTGCACTTCGTGACTTTGACCGCTCTGCCCAAACCCTCACCGAAGCCCGACAATGCGCAGTTGCCCGCGAGAGCAAAGTCTCCATCGAAATCGGCGAAAGCGAACATCTCCTCGCGGACGCAATCCGCCATTTCGCCAGCCACGCCGTATATTGTGTTCTCCCGGAATCTACAATCTCCCTCCCGTCGCTCACGTCCCCAGTCAAGGGAGGAGAAGAGCCAGCACCGCAACCTGCAAAGCCTACGGCTACAAAGAGAACCCGCGCTCCGGCCAAGACGACGCGTGCCAAGGCGCAGAAGGCTAGCGAGGACTTTTCCATTATGCTTTCTAAAGCGAGCGATTGTCTCAGGAGTGTTTTTGCTGATGCTACTGTTCTTGGGTCGACTCTTGAGAGTCACGCTGCGTCGCGTCTTATGAGTCGGATCTCTATGCTTTCGCATGCTACTACCCCGGGAGGTCCTGCTACTTGGGCGCAGTCGCCTGCGAACATGAATGGTTAGTCAAGATGTGAAAGAACTATTTGAGAATCAAATGCTAATTGATATGTTGTAGAAATCGGTCGTGTTGGGGCATTTGCCCGTGAACGCATGGCTATCGACTTTGACCGGCAACTGGCTGATTTTGCCGATCCACTACTGTGGCCAACTACCTCGCCTACGACCATTGAAATGAACGAAGATATTTGCACCAACTTTGCCGAGAATTATATCGACATTCTGCCAGAGAATTGGAACGTTCTCTCCTTGTCATTGAGCGCAGATCGCACTGAATTTGTCGTCTCCCGGCTACAAAAGAATCGCTCTCCATTCCTACTTCGACTTCCCCTGCGAAGAGGAAACTCTGACGATGATGAAGAAGAGCAGTTCACTTTTGAAGACGGCAAAGAGGAAATGCAGGAGCTTATACAACTGGCCAATCAGAGTGCGCACGCTGCGAAAGCCCAGACTAATAAGCAAATGAAGAAGGAATGGTGGAAGAACCGGGAAGCCCTTGATCGTCGAATGGAGAGTCTGCTTCAAAATATCGAGAACGTCTGGTTTGGTGGGTTCCGTGGGGTTTTCTCGCCCCTCGCACGGGATGGGGATGCCTTTGCTCGATTTGCGAATACTTTCCAAGGTATTCTTGACAAGCATTTGCCCTCTCGTCAGAAGGGAGGTAAGGCTGCCTCGCCCCGTCTTACTCTGCACCAGAATGTCGTGGAATTGTTTATTGGTCTCCGCGATCTGGAAGACCAAGAGGAACCTGAAGATATCCTGATGGATTTGCTTTATTTTGTGGTGGACATTCTTCAATTCCAGGGTGAACGCAATGCCTACGATGAGATCGACTTTGACATGATGGTCGTCGATACTCTTGATGCATTGCGAGGTTACCATGAAGCCGCGCGCGAGGAACTCGCTACTCGCCCCCCTAGTCACACAGTGCTAGTCCTCGACAAAGCCCTGCATCTATTCCCGTGGGAATCTCTTCCTTGCCTGCAAGGCTTCCCCGTTTGTAGAGTCCCATCCCTCGAATGTCTCCGCGAGCGAGTCCTCAATTTCCGTGACTCCCAATCTGGCGCTGTCATCAAGCGTACTTCAGGTTCCTACTTGCTCAATCCGACGGGTGATTTGCGCACGACACAGGAAACCTTTGAAGGGGATTTATCGAAACTCGAGTCCTGGACTGGAATGGTCAATCGCGAACCCTCCGAAGATGAATTCCGCGCCTCCCTGGAGACCAAGGATTTATTCCTGTACTTCGGTCACGGTAGTGGCGCGCAGTATATTCGTGGTCGCACCGTCAAGCGGCTGACCAAGTGCGCTGTCGCGTTCTTGATGGGTTGCAGCAGTGGTACTCTTACCGAAGCTGGCGAGTACGAACCCTACGGCACGCCGATGAATTACCTTCAGGCAGGTAGTCCGGCGCTGGTCGCTACGTTGTGGGACGTGACTGATAAAGATATCGATCGGTTTGCGACGTCTACGTTTGATACGTGGGGTCTCGTGGAGAAGAAGGTGAAGACTTGTCGTGATGGTGATGCTGGTTTGGATACGGCGGTTGCTGGGGCGAGAGCGTCGTGTGTGTTGAAGTATTTGAATGGAGCTGCACCTGTGGTGTATGGAGTTCCGGTGTTTTTGGATTGATCGGAGGGTGGTAGTTGGTTTTTCTGTGTACATTATTTTGTTCGATTGTCTTGTTTCATAGATATGGGCGCTGGGATTTGATCTTTTGTTCTCATATACATACCCATATTCATACATTTTGACCGTTGTTCTGTGATGAGTGTCTGGTAACCAGTCTATCTCTACTTGGATAGTCATCGTAGGTATCCAAACAGCTTGTCCATCCACCATATCCAATCCAAGGATCTTCAATAACAATACTCCAATAACAATACTCTCCCAGAAATGCGGGAACTAAGTCGATAGTTATACCCAACTCCTCACCCGCTAAAAGCGGCAATACAATCCGGCAACAAGTCGAGTGGAGCTTCCCCTCATGCGGGACAAAAAACCCCGCGCAAAAAACGTCAGTTCACTTTCTTCCTATTTATCTTCTTCTTTACCCCCCGTCCATCCCATCTCTCCCATCAAATACCCCTCTCTGCACAATTCTACCCACCATGTCCGGTGTCACTGAAAAGGCTCGCATCGCCTCCTTCGGCGGTAAGCTCCTCAAGCTCAGCCACAATGCCACCACCACTCGCTGCGAAATGTCTTTCAACTTGTACCTGCCGCCCGGTGCTACGGAAAGTTCGGCGGCCAAGGTCCCCGTGTTGATTTATTTGTCTGGATTGACTTGTACGGCGGAGAATTGCTCGGAGAAGGGCTTTTTCCAGCATGGTGCCAGTAAGAAGGGTATTGCTGTGTTGTACCCGGATACTAGCCCTCGTATGTGATCCCCTAGCCTCCTATTGGTCCCTAGTGGTACTGATTGGAGGGAAACTGACGTTTTTGATCGGTTGCTAATCCGTTGATAGGCGGTTTGAACATTGAGGGCGAGAATGATGCTTATGATTTCGGTTCTGGCGCCGGTTTCTACGTTGATGCTACCAAGGCTCCGTATGACCAGGGCTACAATATGTATAGCTATGTCACTGAGGAATTGCCCGAGGTTGTCTTCAAGGCGTTCCCGCAGTTGGATGCTAGCAGGGTTAGCATTACTGGTCACAGTATGGGTGGTCACGGTGCTCTTACTCTGGTGAGTATACTTGTTTCTTCTTTCTCTTTTTTTTTTTTTACGATTTCTGAGAGCATTGCCCTCATACTCCCTCCCTGGCTATCCTCTAATTAACCCATCTAGTTCCTCCGCAACCCCGGCAAATACAAATCCGTCTCGGCCTTTGCCCCGATTACCAACCCCATCAACTGTCCCTGGGGCCAAAAGGCCTTCAACGGCTACTTCGGCGAGGACCAACAGGAGAAGTGGAAGGAGCACGACGCCACGGAACTCCTGAAGAAATGGAACGGTCCCGAGCTGGATATTCTAATTGACGTGGTACGCAGGAAACCCCCCCCCCCCCCTCTCTTAACACCAAGACCTAACACCAAGCTAACGTGTTCATGATTCCAGGGCACCGGCGACAACTTCTACAAGCAGGGCCAACTCCTACCGGAGAACTTCCAAGCCGCCGCCGACGCAGCAGGTCTCAAGGGCGTGAACATTCGGTACCAGCCTGATTACGACCACTCATATTACACTATGGCCACTTTTGCGGATGACCACATCGAGCATGCGGCCAAGTATCTCAAATAGTGTGTGACCTCCTCCTCCTTGTCGTCGTTTTCCTTTATTTTGTCATGGTTATTTCGGGGGTTGTATAGATGGGATATTTATACCTGGGATGGAACGGGCTGCTATACCCGGCATTTCATAGGTGTGAACATGAATTTGAACTCGAATTTGATCATGACTGGCACTACAACGGATTCTGATTCTTGTTGATTTTGATTCAAGTCGGCGCCAACACGTTGTCAAGTCGGTTATTTGAGGGGGCTGATACGCAAAATTGGGGGTGATAGATGTGAGGGATATCGGCTTTGCGATGATAGGAATGAATTGATGTCTTATGTTTATCCTATATGGCTACTTATGAAAGTGTCTGGGTAATCTGTCTCCGTGGATTGGGGAGAAACCCGTTTATTCGTATTTACTTAAGCCAGCTTAAACCATTTAACTACCGATCTCCAGTCCATACCACGATTATGGCTTTCAATATCCGCTATATCTTCAACGGGGTCATGAGAACGACGAACATGAAGAGAAGAAAACACCCATGATGCGATGCGAATGCGCCACAGTGTGAAAAAAAAATAGAACGCAGACACGCTATGTACTCAAGATATTGTAGAAGGGGGGTACGCTTTTTGTTGAGTTCTTGAATTTGATTGCTACTCCAATCCATTTCTTTTTGAAATTCTTTTTTTTTCGTTGATAGTGGGACATGTCGGATGAGAATAATATGGTATCCATGAGAAGAGGGCACAGATGAAAATATAGATGGCATGAATGGGGGGGGGGCTTTTATTTCGACAGCCTGCCCTGGCCTGCCTCGGTGACGGACTTTTCTCGTTCGTCGTACCTCAGGTCAGGTCGGGTCAGATCTGGACGGTGCGAGGACAGACATCACCTCGTTACTCGGTCTCGTCAAAACAGAAATATGATATGGCATGGGGGAATCTAAAAAGCAGGAGAGAAGGAAAATGACGATGGTCGTGGATGATGAGAGAGGAGAGGAGGGGATTATGCGCTCAATCGCTGGATGAATGACTAGATAGTGAAGCGAGGTTAGTATAAGAGATGCTTCGCTTAGATGTTAGAGTTCGCCTTACTGGGAAGAATTGCCGGAACCCCTTCATGTCCAGCTGGCTGAGTGCCGTCAAGAATTCTTCAATCAGGTCACCGCCCATGCCCATGCCGGGCAGCTCCTGAGTCCGCAAGTATTGAACATATTCCATACCCGTCTTAAGGTAGATTGTGCGCTGCAGTGCACCCGCTTCGGCAAGAACTTGCTTAGCAAGAGCATCTTTAGAGTTGAAGGATGGAGTGGTAGGGAGGGCCCAGCACAGGGGCGAGAGACGGCTGATCATGAATCCGCCGAATCCAGGAAGTGCCGTTTGAGTGGATGCGGCACCATTGGTAGCTCCGGGAGCAATATCGGGACCACCCCAGGCGCTACCCATCCTAGAAAGAACGGAGAAGGCCATCTTGGCGGTGGTAAAGTCGTCAATGTCCTTGGCAAAGTGCTCGATGGTGGTAATGACGGTTTCGAAAATGGGTTGGTTTCCTATGAAAGGTCAGGCTTAAACTGGATTGGACAGGAGATCATTGAATGACTTACTCTCGCTAATTATCACAGCTCCAAGGTCATTGTTCAACACGGCGAGCAGGAAGTTCAGGTATTCACGCTTGAGTTCAGCAAGCTGAATCTCATCGTCGGTACCCGTAGTAGGATCCGCGATGCTTGAAAAGACGCGCTGCAGGAAGGGAGTCAAAAGAGTATCAAGAATGCTGTAGATCTCGCTCTTGAATCCGAAGATGACCTGGTCCAAAAGACGCAGGAAAAGGGCCATCTCATCTCGCGAAGAGGTCTGGGTCAGGAGGCCATCGATCCAACGAGGAAGCTGGGGCAAGATGCGGGCACCCAGAACGCCGATCAGCCGGGAGAAGGCAAAGCGAGCGGCAGTCCGGATATTGAACGAGGTTTTGAGAGACTCCAGGGAGACCAAGGTTGCCTCTGCCACTTGACAGAAACACTCGGAGACTTCGGGCGCAGGCAAACTGCCTGGGGGGTTGGTGGTAGGAGCAAGAGTTCCCAAGGCCATGATATCGTGGTGGATCTGCAACAAGGCCCGTTCATCGTTGGACTTGGCAGCTGCAAGATTGCGCTCCATATCGGCGAAAATGGGGTTCACAACCGACTGAATGTAGAGAACCTGCTTATCCACAGGCACGCTGTTGGTCGAGCAGATGACGCCGACAGCCTCGAAGAGGTAGAGTTGGCTATTGAAAACGGCATCTGCGGAGCCCTCATGATCCTCGGACGACATTTCATCGCCATCTTCGCCTTCAGACGGAAGCTCGGCTTGGATGACCAAGAGATCGCCCAAAGCCTCGACAACGGTTTGTGCCACGTTGCCAATGAAGCCCCGTAGCTGCTTCACTAACCGTTGGAAGAGGTACCATGAGCGAGTCTTCACTTTGCGGTTCGTATGGTGGACAAGCTGGAGGAAGCTTTCCAGAACGCCGGGGATGAGCTGTGCATGGTGCTGGAAGAACGAGCTGTAACGAACGCAAATCTCCATGTATTGGAGTTGTGTGGCAGGGTGGGTGAATGATCGGATGTCAGACTCGACCATTCCAAGCATCATCTCAATGAGGCGCATGGCAGCAGGGCCAGTAGGTGCGCCCTTTGCGTACAAACCACCAGCCTTGACAGCCAGGTCACCAAACAAGAACATCTCATGAAGAGCCAGATCCAGGTCACGCCAATCAATCTGGCCGCCAGAGGCACGCAAGTTTTCGAATGTCGTTCCCACCACTTCCGAGATGGCATCAATGTATAGCTGCTCGTCGGCAGAGGCAATAATCTGCTGCAGAACACCCAGCCGCTTACGCAACTCCTGGAACTCTGCCTCGTCGGTCTGTTCATCCTCGTCGCCCCAGTTGGAGGTTTCATCGTACCGCATTTTCGCAACGATCGCCTTCAAGATTGGGAGGAGAATGGCCTTGTTGCGAGCTTCCAAAGAAGGGTCGGCCTTGGAAACCTTTCGGATGTAGGTGAGCATGTCGTTGACACAGGGAATCACAGTCGAGCAGACTTCGTCGTATTCATCGGAGAAGAATCGCAAAATGTGAGGCAGGAAAACCTGAAGAAGATCGTTCGCCTTGTCCTTCACAGCGCCAGAGTCGGTCTCGAGGACCCGCACAATATCCATCACGGTAATATTCACAAGCTTAGCGACAGTTTCGGCCAGATCGGTATCGTACTTGAAGGTAAATCGGTTCTCGCGTAACGGGGGGCTGTTAGAAAGCTGAGTGACGATCGAGTCGAGGTTGAGGAAGATGATCATTTCGATCTTGTCGGCAGGCTTCATCTTCTTGCCAATGATCTCGGTAAAGACATCCACGGCAGCATCCCGAACCCGCTGCTCACCCTCGCGCAATTCCTGCTTCTCCGCCCGGCCCAGCTGCTGGAAGAGAAGGTCCAACATTGTCTGATTCACGACCAGCCCAATGTCAATCCAGCTGACCCAGCTGCCCACGGCCTTCAAGCACATCTCGACCACTGTGTCATCGGCATCCCGCCATGCCGACAAAATCTCCTGCCACGAGCTGGCAATCTTCTGCATGTCCCGTTCTCGGATCAAATCCTTCAGACTGTTCGCCTTGTCCTGCTCTCCACGCGATCTCGAGACCAAAACATCGCCGATCTCCTCGTGGATCGAATTCACCACACGCAAGTAAAAGACGATTCCGAGTGCGTTGTCGCGGGACGAGCTCGCGGAGCTCTTATAGGTGAGGCTGAGAAGGTCATCGAAACAGCTCTCCCAGCCATTGGCGTAGAGTGCGGAAAAGAGAAAAGTGATGGTCTGTGCAATTTTGTTCTGAATGTAAGGTGCATCGGGCTGGGCGGTGCCGTCGGGGCCATAGACATTGCGGAGGTAGTTCATCAATCCATCTCGCACGACGACCAACGAGGGCAGATCGATTAACCCTGTCTGTGCAGCGCTATTGACAATTTCCAAGCTCGCATGTCGCACGATCTCGGGCTGTGGAGGGGACTTGGTGAAGAGGCTGAGGCAGACGGGCCATCCGGAGGGATCGGAGCGGAGTTGGTTGAGGTAGTCAAAGGCTTGTGACTTTAGGGCTTGGTCGGAGGACGGATTCCAGGCGATCTCAATGGCATTTGCTACCTGGAGAGCGGACATTGTCAATACTTTCATTCGGGGTGCGAAAAAAACAAGGACCTCGGAGAGGAGGGGCGGGATGCGGTGACGGTGGACGGTGGGGGGGGTTGGAGGGGTCATGAATGGAGAATTTTGGTAGAGCTGGAAATCGCTGGAAAAACAAATTGTAAATAGCAGACTCACCTGTTCTTCCATCTTCGACCAGCCGAGCTCCGTTTTACTAGAGCGTGGGGGAAGGGAGAAGGAGGGGAGGGGGGAGTGTTCGACGGAGAGGTTGTGTTGGATCAAAATTGTTTTTCAGTGGAGGAAGAGACCATCCATGGTATCGTAATCCAATTTCCGTGCCTGGGTCCGCCCTCGCTTGCACAACGTCGACACTCCTCGAGTATTGGAGATTCGAGGAGGTGAATTCAAAGGGATATTAGAAGTGAATAATGAATGAATACTTGGGAATGTTTAATCTCAGGTTCGGAGGATTGTAAGTATCCTAATAGGGTAAGTGGCAGCGTGTTCTCCGATCGGTACCCAACCACAGCGTCATACTTGGGCTGGCCACAGGAACAATATTCATAAACTGTGGATATAGGCAGATTACCTAGGATAGATATGGTGACTGTTCTCAAGTGATCCACTAGAATAGATATACATGATCTCTAATAGCTTTGAGCTCGTAATAGCACAATTCTTCCCCAGTATGATTCCTATAGGCTGAATAGCTTCCAGAATGGACCCACTTGGACTGGAAGCTGCAAAGAATCGGGAACTGGCATTCACATCCTGACCACGTTTTGGTGTGCATAGTAGGACCGGCTATAGATTCACCAGAAGCTAGACTGATCTTCGATTTGAATCTAGTCGAACAAATTGTCATGACTTGGTTTGTTAATCCATGAAAGTGTCCACATCATGTAATGATATAATACAGTCTCCCCAGTAAACTCTAACAGCTAAGCGATACGAGACGCAGCATAAATACAAATTTCTCATTAATGCATTAAACAAAAAATATACCAAGATCCTTCGAGGAGTACAGATGGGTATTCCTTTTCATTAGGGAGCATCAACCCTTTCCGAGTCCTTTCACTCATCCTGTTATTGCGGAAGAGTCTATCCTTCCAGGACTATGGATGTAAACTCAACACCGCTCGAATCACGCCCCGACTCCATGGTACCGAGGAACATGCTTAGTCTCCCGAATATGTCTTGTTCGAACACCTACAACGATCATCGTAACAGCGGCAAAGACTTCAGGAAGAAACATGAGAAGAATACGAACAGCAAGCGATCCATAAATGGGACTGAGATCTCGTCGCCCGGTAAAAACGTAGACAAGGCCGTAGATAACACGCACGGCGATGAAGATAAGAGCAACAAAGGCACCCTGGATAAGCTATAGAAAAGTCAATACGTGATTAGTCGCGAGAGAGACGAAAAGCTCGATATCTAATCGGGGAGACTTACAGCGGTACCACCATGATACCCAGGAGCGCCCTTTAAACCACTGCTAGGTAGTAAAGAGAATAATGACCAAAGTAGTTGAAAAGCCCAGCACACGGCTGTCAAAACAGTGCCAACCTTCCACTCTGTATAACTTCCTGACTGGGGGATTCCTTCGTAGATATGCAAGGATCCCGTTATCGTGAGGGCGACTGCAACAAGCATAATACTTGTAGTCGCGATAACGACAGACCAGCCGAGCAGGCGACTAGCATTTGGGTTGCGGTAGACTCGTCTGTGACCAAAAGTTGTAAGTCTATGGATCGATTGAAAGTATAGGCATAGATTAGACATACCCTTCGTGAACTAATCCATCGGCAGCGAGAATCAAAGGTGTGATTCCAACACTTTGAATGATGTTGGCAGGCAGTCCATCGCTATCGTAGACACCGAGGATGCCTCCAATAATTCTTGCCAGGCAAAAGACGCTGAGATAGTACCATGGAAGAAAACCGGACCATCGATGCGTATAGAAGATGTAGACGACGATTGGGGCTAATAAAAGATAGACCGCGAGGTCGGCAGGGAAAATTCCGTTCATCTCGGTCGTATTCAATCGTGGACTTGAAATATTAGAAGATTAAATAAATGATAGCAGTTGAAATTAAAAGAACGGTCAAATTTGAATGAATTGACCAGTATAGTATCCATCTCTCGGTGGCATACAACACCATTTGTAGCATCATCATCATGAAGAATTCCCCTTCCCCAAACAATCTATAAAACTTTATTTCCGATTTTGGCATACTGCTCGCTCAGCAGTCAGCACGGATATACCTGCGCCACAGCGGTAGATTTAAATACCACCAGATTTAAAGATGAAGATTGGGGCCTAATTGGGGGCTGAAAAAGCTCGGCCTTAAAGTCTACAAAGATGGTTTAGTGCGGGACAAAGGGGGGAATAATAATTCCTCAGAAAGGGAATCACTTCGAGAAGACCTGAACCAATCAATACCATTTTCCTCTTCACTTTCTCCCCGACGCGTCAGCAGCTAAGCATTTCTTCTCCATTTGCTTATATTTCCAAATGTACACCGACTGTCCGACCCGTTATTAACACCCCCACCTCCCATTAATCAAGCTTTCCCGTCCGATCTGGTTACCGCTCTCGGCATCGTGTGCTGGCTCACCCCCCTGCTGTACGATGGTCTACAGAGGCAAGCCCAGCCCTGGCTGCGCCGTATGCAGGGCTCGAAGACTACTGGTAGGTACATGGGTAGAACTTGCTAGTCTGAGGCTGAACCACTGACTGTCCACAGTGCGATCGCGGCCGGCCCTCGTGTTCCCAATGTCTCCGGGCGAATCGCGAGTGCTCAGGATACCAAGACCTGCAAGCACTCCGCATCCATGATCAAAGTCAAGAAATTGTTGCCAAGGCTCAGGCCCAGGCTCGCCGAAAATCTCCAAAGACATCTCCCAGGACCTCTCCCAAGACCTCTCCAAAGCCCTCCTCGCCAGTCCAATCAGTGATACTCTCAGTGCCCATGCCCGCTGCTATCCCCGCTTCGATGGATGAGTGGGCCATGTCCTACATTTTCAAGCTTTATGTTGGCACTAATCAAAGCCGTGGCTTGCTCGCATACTTACCAAATCTTTTAAGCGATGATCCTTCTCCTGCGCTTCAGGCCACGATCAAAGCCGTAGGGCTGGCTGGCATGTCGAGGGTTCATTCGCTGCCGAAGATGATGTATTCTGCTGGGGTAGAGTATAGTACGGCGTTGATTGCGACAAATCGTGCATTGCAAGATAGCACAGAGGCTAGATCGGATTCTACACTAGCAGCCGTTGTGCTACTCAGCACGTATGAGGTGCGATATTGTCCGTCGCTAGTTTATGAGGTTTGCCCCAGGCTAATCGGGAAATAGATGATCACCTGCCAAAATGCAGCTAGTGGTAGTAATTTCATGAGCAGCTGGTCCAACCATGTCCGAGGGGCAACCAAGCTCCTTGAACTACGAGGCACCGAACAAATGAAATCACATAGTGGCCAGGCCATGTTCGGACTCGTTCGTATGCAGATTGTAAGTATATTGACTACAAATATCTTACTATGCAATCTCAATTCTTACAGAAAAAAAAACTACTCCAGGCATTCAACAACATATTCACCAGAGAAGGGAGCTCCCCTGAGCTCATAGCTCTATCCCGAACAGGAAAACCCCGTCGCGATCCCGACTCGCAGTCAATGGAAGATTTCTACAACATCGTCTCCCAATTAGCCGATCTCTCTATCGAAGGCGACAAGGTCTTCACAGGGGAATATTCATCAGCTGAGTCAGTCTCCTTGATCAATGAAGCACTGCATCTCGACGCCGACCTGGAGTCATGGGCTCTATCCGTAAATCCGATCTGGCGGTGCAAAAGTATCGAAGCACCCGTTGTCAACAACACAAACGATCCTCAACATTACCCCCTCTACTACGGCCGCAGGTACCACGCCTTCCACAACGTGGCACTCGCCTCGATGTGGACATACTTTTACCAAACACGCATCATCGTAAACGGAATCATCCAAGCGACTTGCAACAAACTCCTATGGCAAGATACCGCACATAACTGCCGCCACACTCTCGAACAGTCCATCGCAGTCAGCAAACAAATGCTAGAAGATATGTGCGCCAGTGTACCATATTATTTTACTTCAGGCGAGACGGGCCTTGCTGGATTGATGCGGTTGACATGGCCGTTGTTCGTTGCGGCAGATTGTGCAGTCGCAACGCCCGAGGAGAAGAACTGGCTTCAGCAGACTTTGGAGAAAATCGAGAAAATGACTGGTTCTCAACAGGCTCTTGCAATGTCAAGGTTTTTGAAACAGGGATTTGCAGTCCCGTTTATCCCTGGGAATGCGGGGAGAACGAGGTCTTGGGTCATTCTTCGTGGTAATTGAGGATGAAGCTTATTGTTTAAATACTACGATTTTGTGAGCGTGTTATTCTTCATCGGATAAGAAAGTTGAACATAGCAAGAAAGAGACGAAATAACATCGAGATCAAATATCCACAAAAAACCATAGCTAAAACGCCCCCAACATCCGTCCAATTAATACCAAGCCCTTAACAAAATTAAACCCCATAATACCCTGCACCAATATATTTAGCAAACCTCCAAACAAGCCACATGATCTGCCAGTCATCATACCTCTATCCTCATCCCGAAGACACCCCCATCGGCCTCGCCTGTCCCATCCCATGTTGCCCGTGGGAAGAAGGGTTATTCGCATATCCATCCGCAACAGGTCGCGGCGCATAAGCCGTCTCAGAGCCAGAGGCACCGGCAGCCTTTGCACGATCCGACTGCTTCTTCTTGTTCATGAAGTAGGGGAAGAGAAGGAGGCACATTATGGCGATTGTATGATTCGAGTGGAAAGGGTTGTTTAGTCCCAAGGATGTATTGTTGAGCTAGTATGCTCTAGAATTGGAAGGCGTGGATGGAAGTCGAGTTCTGAGAAAGAAAGATTTGAAAGGCCTAGTAAAACCAGTGAATGGATTCGAAGGTAGTAAATTGATGTTGAAAATTCAATGGTAGTTTCAACCCTTTTATATCCACCATCTCCCTGCAAAAAAAAAAAAAAAAAAAAAACTAAAAACTAAAAATTAAAATAAAACAAGCATCACATCGCATCTAAGGCCCCCTTTTCCACTCGACTCAGCCTTAGCCCTCCATCAAAATGCTTAACAACATCGTCACTCCATGACTCCTGAACCCAATCAACAGATGCGATTTAGGTGAAAAGTCCAGTCTAAACCTAAACGGGTAATCATTTCGGAGTGGACGATCCACTTCTGTAGCCCCCAAACATGGACACTTATTACGGTGGGCGTTTGTGTCAGCCGCAGAGGTGGATTCTTGAACGAGCCAGGTTCGGTCCGTAATAGGTATTCCATGCGATTTGGGGCGGTACGGTTGAAGATTTTACTGTTTGGGGTTAGAGGGATCGTCATGGCTTGGGGTGTTGGTTGCTTATCTCCGAGTGGGAACTCTTCTTACGGACGTAAGCGCTTCGACCATGCTAGAGAGCCAACTACGTCGTCGAGGTGAATTTTGTGAGTAATTAACAGATATGTAAATAGGATTTATTTGTCTAATGTTTTGGTTTATTGGGCTTTTACTTTTGCCATTACGTGGGGGCTGTTTTGTTGGGGAGAATGTGTACTTCCTGGAAGTATATCCTGCGTCGTGCAAGGAAAGATAACCCAAATCATCTAGTCCGTCTTCTTCATCTCACCGATGGATTCGAGCATGCCGAATATGAACTGATCTACACCAGCGCCTATCTAAAAAAGTCCACTCACTCTCAAACCAATATTAACATTCGAATCCAAGTCTATATACAACCACCCCTCTATCCCCGAGCAACCCCCTCCAAAACCTTCTTCTCCATAGCCTCAAATCCCTCAACAGCCTTCCCATACAACTCAAACACCCCCTCCTGATACCCCTCCGCAATCTTCTCCACAAACTCCTCCTCCCTCCACCTCTGCCCAATAAGATTCTCGAACGTCTGGCCCTCCGCCCTCTCAATGCCCCAAACAGCCTTATAAGCCGCACCAAGCGCACACGCATTATCGCCAATATCAAGCTTAAACACGCCCTCGGCGCCGCCGAGGATTTCGCCCGCAATCTTGGCAATTGCTTTGTTCTTGGATCCACCGCCGACGAGGTAGACGCGGCGTGGTTGAGGCGGGAGGCCGTTGCCGGGGCTTTGGGTGAGACCCCGGGAGCGCAGGCGGAGGGAGAGCATTTGGCTTTCGATGATGGCGCGGGCTTCGTCTTGTGGGGTTGTCCAGCCGGTGGTTGTTTCGGTGAGGTCGCCGTTCGCTGGGTTATATGTGAAACGCCACTGGCCGGCGTGGAGGTTTGGTACGATTTCGGGCCGGGGGAAGAAGAGGCCTAGTTTCATGGAGTCGGTGGGGTTTTGCTGGCCCATTGGGGGTGTGGAGAGGGCTGTTTCGTCAAAGTGAGCCCAGGGTTGGGCAGGGGTGTCTTTTAGGTTATCGTTGATTGCGTCACGGACGTGTTCGCGGGCTAGGCCGCCGTTCTTGTAGCAGAGCATAAACATGTATAGCCCGGCGGTGGTCGGGTGGTTGAAGAAGTGAGTGGCCGGATCGGGCATGTAGTTGGGGGTGGACATGAGGAAGGTCGTGGATGTACCCAGGGATACCATGGCATCGGATGGGCGCAATGGCAGCGCGAGGATGGTCGCAGGGTTGTCACCCGTAGCTGGAATGACAGTGCAGTCTGCGCTGAAGCCGAAGCGCTCTCTGTAGTACTGGTGGACTTGTCCCAAATGTAGTCCTCCATCTTCGTAAACCACGCCCAGCTTCTTCTTCAGATCCTCGACATCGAACTTGCCAGAGCACAGATTGAGGATTTCTTCATCATAGGCGCCCTTCTTGATGTTCCACAGGTTCATCCCACACACGTCCGAGATATCAAAGGGCGCAACATGACCGAGGAAAAGCGAGGCAATGAACGACGAGACCAGCGAGATCCTGGCCGTCTTCTGATACACCTCGGGATATTTCCTCGTGAATCGAAGAATCTGAGGACCCGTGAATCTCTGCCAGTAAACCACTTGTTAGCTTCATGAAAAACGCCACTCAACCCTAAAAGAGCCTCTTACGTGGTGTGCTTTGCTTCCCGTCGCCTGAGCAAGCTGCTCGGGACTCCCAAGAAGGACATCAAACTCATCACACTCCTTCTGCGTACTCGAATCCTGCCAATTGGGACTATACGGATGCGAAAAGGCACCCGGCAACTGCTCCTCAAGCGACCTCTTCGCATCAAGCCTCTCCAGCAGACCCTCCGCATCAGCACTCCAATAGACACTACCATGCTGCTGTCCGGCCCCGCTAATACCCTTCACCCGGCTAAAGTCCAGCCCTTGCTTGCGCAGACTCTCCAGCACGGTATCCATGGCCTGCAGCCACAACGCGACCGGGGCGAACACTTCGTGCTCGGCTTCATTAACCATAACGCCCTTTTTAATGGAGAAGCCGGTCGAGTCGGCATCGAAGTCGAACTTGGCGATGTATTCGACTTTGAGCTCCGAGTTGACGACTAGACCTTTCAGCTGTTGGGTTGACAGGTCGAACCCAATGTAGAGGGGGGATTGCGACGCCATTGCGGAGGATGTTGCTGCAACCTGGCGAGGTAGTGCAATAGAATTAAAGCTCGTAAGTCAAAGATGGTTCTGTACTCGGGGATTGACTCGAACAAGTGGTAGAATTGGAGTCCGATGCCAGCAGGGGGTCAGCTGGACTTTATTTCGAGAATATAACTAAGGCGGGGTGAAACTAGAGAAAAAGTAAAGGAAGTCCCAGAATTTATCCAGCTCGGGAAAAAAGAAGGGCGGACAAGAACAACGTGAAAGGGAAGGATGAGTCCGCAATGATGTAAACCGGGCCCCTGCGCGGTCCCACTTACTCTGGAGGGAACAGGCTGTATTCTCTGGTCACCTGGATGTGCTCCGTACACCGAGACCTAAAGAGACTAAGAAAGACTGTCTCTGTCCCTTTCGTGGTCACGAGACGGGGACTCTGATACTAGGGTCTCGATGATCATTAGCTTAAGGATTTCCTATGCATGAATAGTTCGTTAGTGGCTCGTCTAGAACGCGACCGGGTAAATTGGAGGAAGTCTGCTAAATTACTCGGTAGAATTCAGTTTGGTTGCGGCCCCACTTGACTCGAGCCTGAACCATGGGGTACGGAGTAGATGTGGCTACGTTATCTGCAAACAGATGTTGCCAAGGACTCGATTGATATAGGAGGAGATATGAGGTATACATGGCTAAGGATTACTACAGCCCTACAGCCCTATAAGAATAGCTAATATAGTCATACTTGCAGCTCATTCTATTACCCAGATACGATACAATGCAATTGTAATGAGAGTGAAAAGACATGTCATCAGACATCTTTATCCCTGACTTCTGGTATATTTCTATATCCACGCGTCGGTCTATACACAGTACAGAAACTCCGCTCGCTGAATATCGCCCTGGAGGCGAGATGTGTGGGGGGTATCATTGCAGCACCAACAACTGCCAATCAAGAGCTTCCAAAGGTATCCATCTGTTTTTTTTTTCTTTTCGTCTCGTCTGCCACTCCGATCTGAAGTCTATTGCTTCTTCCGAGAAACTGGATCCTCATGGTCGTGATTGTGATTATGATTGGCAACACCGTTACCATTCATATTGGCTTCAGGGTTAGCTCCCGTATCCTGGGAAACAAATTCCTCGGAGAAAGTAAGCTCGGCTTGCTCGACAGGAATAAAGCGAATCTTGATGCGCTTCACACCGCGGACCTTCTCGCCAACGGTCTTGCGAACAGCCTCCTCCACCAGTCGGGACCGAGTAATGGCCCACGCACCGGGAACGGCCATCTCAATATCCATGAGGTAATTCTGTCCCGACTTCATACCCTGGACATCGCGGACAATGACCTGCTCGCCATCCTCAAGGGCCTTCAAAGCCTTGGTGGCAGCAGTTTGCACGGATTGCTTGATATCGTCGTCCACGGTGGTATCTGCCAGCTCCAAGAGCGAGGTGACGGTATTTCCCCAGCCGGCCTTGATGACCATGAGGGAAATCAAGAGACCGCCCACCGGGTCCAGCCAGGTGGCGTCTTGGAAGAGGTAGCTCCCGCCAATGGTGAACAGAGCGACAATGCTTGTGAGGGAATCGACGCGGTGGTGAACAGCGTTGGATGCAAGGACGGACGACTTGCGCTCTTTGGCAACTTTCATTGCTATTTGGCTGTTAGTAAAGGGGGAAATCCAGAATTTGGATTGCCTTGGGAACTGGAATTTCCATGCGACAATGTCCTGGGGAGCAACGTACTTGCATGGTACAACCACTCCTTGATCACGATCGAACCAGCTGCCAACCAGGCCGCGTGGATGCTAGGGCCCAACACCTCGATACCATGGCTATGCGAGTGTCCATGTCCATGCCCAAAGATCCCCACGTGCGCCAGCGTTTCAGCTAGGCCGGGGTAACACTGTGCCAACAGGACCTGGCCAGCATTGAGACCCATAAAGACACCACCGCAAAGCAGCAGGCCACTCACGCCCAGCGCGCCAATGCTTTCCACCTTGCCGTATCCGTTCGGGAAGCGCTCGCTGGGAGGCTTCAGGGACCATGCGACAGTACCCAGGGTCAAAAAGTCGGAGACCAAATCGGTGAGCGCGTGATAGGCGTCGGCGATGAGAGCTTGCGAGTGAAAGACGTAGCCACCAATAAACTTGCCAATGGCCATGCAAAGGTTGGCAAGGAGACCGATACGTGTAATGCGTACACCGGCATCGTTCTTGTTGGTCGAAGTAAGGTATACATTATCGTGGTGATGATGGTGGTGGGAGTGGCCATGGTGGCCGTGACCCCTGGTTTGCGTCATGGGGGGAGTTAAGAGAGCGCGACGGGAGGAACGGAGTTGAACATGGGACTGCCAAACGACGGGACAGGTTTTTAATAAAGGAGCGGAAGAGGTCAGGACACGAGTAGATCCTCGAAGACTGGGGAGACGATTGGAGCGACAGGAAATTCCGCGGATGGAGGAGTGGAGGGAAGGACGAAGCCCGCACCGCAGGGGCTGCGTCAGCGGCATCACGGCCTTGTTTGGGACTATAGGTAATTTGAGGCACGCGAGCACGAACACGAGTGGACAAGGTGTTCTTTTCGGGATGTGTCCATGGCCCTCAAAACTAGGGAATAAGAAAAACAAAACTAAAGACTGGGTGAAATTGAGATAGTGGGAGAAGTAGAGTGGGATGTCATTCGATCGATCATGTAATCCGCCCGGAGATTCCAGATGCGCTGATGTTCTTCAACCAAACTACCAATCGTGAGTTGGTGATTACTCACTTCGACTTACTAGGACGACGTTACGATTGTATATCGTCTGCACATGTTGACTATATTCTTTATTTTATTTCTTATTACGAGAAAATAAAATATTAATTTAACTCATACCCTTTGTTTTAAGCTCATTACGAATCTAAACCCCTTCTGCAGCATCATCGCCGGAACGAGTCAGCCAAGACCAGTTGCTACGCAATCCGCCCACTCGAAAAAGAGGGCCCCAAGCATTACCGAGGATACCAAGATTCATCCAAGAGGGGACCGGAGTCTCCGCCGCTCCTCATTGCCAAGCCTCCAAGTCCCTTGAAGGCCACACCTCCATCAAGCCTCCCCAAACTTCCCCTCCCGAGGATGCGTCCTCAATGACGACGCCTGCAATTCGAATCCCCTTCACGGGCCCATTACCTCCAGCCATCGTCGTCCCACCATCCGCCAGGACCATTGCGGGGGCGATCGACGCCGTGAGCGCCTTCTTCACGGCGTCACCATCCCTGCACCTCCGGGGCATCGACGTGGGTAGAAACACTCAGACCGTCCTCCTAACCGGTGCTGGTATCTCCGTCGCATCAGGGCTGTCCGACTACCGCGGGGACCAGGGTACATATCGTCGAAACAAGTCCTACCGGCCTATCTATTTCCACGAATTCGCGACACGCCATGAGTCGCGCAAGCGATACTGGGCTCGGAGTTTCGTCGGGTGGCCGGGGCTCGTGAAAGCGAAGCCTAATTCAACTCATTGGGCGATTCGAGATCTCGGACTCAAAGGGTATATCAGCTCTGTTGTGACGCAGAATGTCGATTCGTTCCATTCCCTAGCTCACTCGGAACTATCTACGCTTGAATTACATGGGTATCTACGGTCCGTGGTCTGTACGAGCTGTCGCAATCAGTTCTCACGACAAGAGTTCCAGGAATCATTGGAGAGGTTGAACCCGGCATGGGCGGAATTTCTTGCTCGCATGGTCGCCGGCGGTGCTCTTGATACTGATAACCCCGAGGAGCAACGAAGGAAAGGATTGAAACTCAATCCCGACGGTGATGTCGACCTGGCCGAGGCACCTTATTCGACTTTTCGATATCCCTCGTGTCCAACCTGTTTGGAAAAGCCTCCAAGATTGAAAGACGGTACACCAGCCCGTGTCGAGGTCGAGAGCGACGGTGCATGGTTACCGACTTCCACTGCTGGCATTCTAAAGCCAGCGGTGATCATGTTTGGTGAGAATATTGATCCGGCGGTTAAGACTGCGGCGGAAGAAGCCATTGATGATGCTGGGCGCTTGCTGGTGCTGGGCAGCAGTCTTGCCACCTATTCGGCCTGGCGTCTGGTGGAACGAGCATATAAACGAGGCATGCCCATCGGGATTATCAATGTAGGGGGCGTGCGCAATGAAGCCATGCTCTTTGGCCAATTGGGCTCGGGCCTTGAGAAGGAGTTTGGTGCTCATGTTCGCTGCAGCCATCCCGCCCAGGCCATCCTCCCGACCGTGGTCTCGGGCCTACCCAGGAATCACCTGAAATGATAATCACTGTAGACTGGTAGATGAACCTAGCAAGAGAATATAAGAATATATAGAGAGTAACAATCATTTTCTCATTGGGCTGCAAACTATAAAAATAGCAACCCAAACATACACTTGTAAACGCTTGCCGCCAAACTCCCTCTCCAGTACATAAGCGGATGGCCCGTAACTTTTCCCGGCCCACTTCCTTACGCGCGGGGCTCCTCCTTCCATCAGCATGGAGCGTCTCAGGGATCCTGCAGCTCTCCCTTTAAAGTCCTCGCTGGTCTCCCCTGGTTCCTTTCTCTTCAATCCCAATTCAGCTCAACCCTCGGGGGTGCCCGTTTCCCGTCCACCTCAGCGTCGCAATATGGACAAATCCCAGCAGCCTAGTTCGTTCCAGCAGCTGGAAAAGGTATGATCGGCCCTGTGAACCCCCCCCTCCCTGTGGTACTGTGAGGATACTGATTAGATCTGCTTTCTACTTTCTAGCTCGGAGAAGGCACTTATGCCACTGTACGTTTCTCTCTGCCTTCTTGACCGTTTCGCTCCCTCCCCTCCAGCATGGCGATCCTACTCCCCTCTTTTTTAGGCCGCTCTGCGCCGACCACCCCCGCCTCCGTTGGTTCACCGCTGATACAAGATATGATAACAGGTCTTCAAGGGGCGCAATCGCCAGACGGGCGAGATGGTTGCGCTGAAGGAGATCCACCTGGACTCCGAGGAAGGCACTCCGTCAACCGCGATTCGCGAAATCTCTCTGATGAAGGAGCTCAAGCACGAGAGCATCGTCTCCCTCTACGACGTGATCCACACTGAGAACAAGCTTATGCTTGTATTCGAGTTCATGGACCGCGACCTGAAGCGGTACATGGATACCCGCGGAGACCGGGGTCAACTGGATCCAGCCACCATCAAATCGTTCATGCACCAGCTGCTTAAGGGTATTGCCTTCTGCCACGAGAACCGTGTGCTGCACCGTGACCTCAAGCCTCAAAACCTCCTGATCAACAAGAAGGGACAGCTCAAGCTGGGTGATTTCGGTCTGGCCCGCGCCTTCGGTATCCCCGTTAACACCTTCTCCAACGAGGTCGTCACCCTCTGGTACCGAGCCCCGGACGTCCTCCTCGGATCCCGCACCTACAACACCAGCATCGACATCTGGTCCGCCGGCTGCATCATGGCCGAGATGTACACAGGTCGCCCACTGTTCCCGGGTACCGCCAACGAGGACCAACTCGTCAAGATCTTCCGGTTGATGGGAACACCATCCGAGCGCTCCTGGCCCGGAATCTCCCAGCTGCCCGACTACAAGCCCACCTTCCACGTGTACGCTACTCAGGATCTGGGCGTCCTCCTGCCCCAGATTGACCCCCTGGGTCTGGATCTGTTGAACCGCATGCTCCAGTTGCGTCCGGAGATGCGTATCAGTGCAAGCGACGCCCTCCAGCACCCGTGGTTCCATGATCTGCCCCAGGTCCAGGCTCAGTTGCAGCAACAACAGCAACAGCAGCAAATGTCTGGTGGATATGGAGGTATGGTCCCTCCTCAATCAGCTTACTAGATGAGGGTCTCCCCAATTCCGGGGGCTGGTTAGCCGCGATTATTGAAAATTGCGCATAACGAGATGATGAGCTCGATTTAGATAAATTTGGAGAAATGGGAGGGTTCGGCGTTCTTTCTCGATGATGGGTGTTTCTTTTTTTTCGTTTTTCTTCATTATTTTCTTCTCGAAGTTCTAGCATATTCACTTTTAAGTTATCTATCTTTTACATTGTCTTCTTCTCTATTGTTTGATTTGCTTGTCAACTTACATATTCGGGTCATGATTTGCAAGACGGTGGAATGAGTATGTTGCTGGTCCGGTTACAGATTAGTTATGTGGGCTCTTTCTGTGCATTATCTTTGCCTTGATGGCAGAAATATCAAAGTCTTCTTGACGAGTCGAACCGAGTCCAAACTGTTATAAGATATGATCCACGGGCCGTTTTAATATCCTGAGTATCAGCGAATAGGCCACAGTCCACTTAGCAGTCTCTTACTCTTACTTCAACAGCCAATCGCAAAAAGATTGCCATCGGTTTGAGTTCGATAACATACTTCCGTTTTTGTTGACTCTACTTTCACTTCTATTGATTGTACGACGTAGCTTCTCGTTCCCTTTGAACCTGTAGAGCAAAATCAGACGTAAATGTATGACGCATAAGGGAAACTAATGTCGATCTATCTAAGAACCTTTTTCCACGAAGCCAGAACAAGTTTCCAAGGCTCTACTTTTCAACAGCCAAGCCTTTCACCATTAGGGGACTATTCATAATCATCGACCAATTATGCATTGTTACGGTACTTTGCTCGCTCAGCCGGACTTCTTTTCCTGTACGAGTGATCATTTCCTTCTCATAATCGTCCACAGCAACAGCGCGCTGTTCGACGGTAAAGTGACCATGGTTCCAAAAGGACTCAATTGCCTGGCATACATTGTATGCATCCTGCAATGAGTGATTAAGACCCTGACTGCGCTGGAACGTCATCGGATGAGCCGCATCGCCTGCCAGCGTGACTCGCCCCTGACGATTATCCCACTGATGCTCAGGTAGACTGGGATCCCAGTCGCGTAGCTTCGAATACCATACTTCGCTGTCATCAGGCATCCATTCAAAGACACTTCGCCAGGGATCCGCAAACCGACGCGCCAATTCCTTCTGGTGGGCTACATGCTCGCGCATAGTCCGAGTATTCACCTGATCGCGCGCCTCGGGGAACGATATGTAATGGAAAAACGTCCAGTTCTCCGGGTGCTCGACGTCGTCCCCATCGTGCAGACTCAACCAAGCGCAATACCCGTCGGGATGAGGACCAGCCTGGCAAATCGGATGATGCGGCTGCGCGCGGAGGAACAGAGCGTGCTCACGGGTGTGCGTAGTATAACACATTGTCGAGGCGAAATCGATGGGTGTCACTTTCGCAGCTTCTTCGCCGACAAGTAGAGATCGCACCGTGGAATGGGGCCCGTCCGTAGCGACGAGTATGCTACCAGTAACTTCAGTGCCGTCGCTAAATTTGACGGTCAAGACATCGCCAGCAGAAGAGTATTCCATGTCCACCAGTGCCTTGCCCCATTGCACGTCCAGACCCTGGAGCAATAGTGCTCTGAATTTGTCGTGACGGAGGCGGTAGAATTTATCAGACTTGATTTCGGTCAACAGGGCGCCTGTTTTACCGTTGATAAGAGGCACGCGGTCGCTGTTCTCGGTTGTGACGTTGGGATCGACTTGGGCGGTTTTCACTTGAGCTAGAAGTTCGGCCGGTATGAGATGCTGGAGAGGTTCGAAGCCCCAATGTAAACCAACGCTCCAGCTGCGCTTGCGGATTGGGCTATCCTCCTTCTCGAAGATGAGGAATGGAATCCCCGCCTGGAGGAATAACAGTTAGTTATATGGGGGTTTGATTCGGGTGCTCTGTCGAGGGTTATCAAGTACCTTCTTCAACCCATGGGCTAAAGCCAGACCAGTTGCGCCTACAGAAACCAGTATGAGAATTTTGTTGTCTCTATATTTTAGAACATCGTGAATACTTGCCAGTACCAATGATCAACACTTGTTTGCGGTCTTGAAACTCCAACGAGCCTCGGTTCACTGACCCATCGGTCGCGCCGTTAGTGTCCATACGCTCCATCCTTTGAAATGATAACACGCGTAAAACCTGTGGATGTCTCTAGCTTACAGGAAATGTCAATGGCCACTCCTTATATCATGCAGGCCATACTAGGCGGGGTAGATTTAGGCGCTAAGAAGTAGTCGGGATTACTAGCAGTTCACAAGTGGTATTATTAGTTCCGTTTAAGAACACATACGGCAGCCAAATTATTCTCCAGATAGCGAGACAAAGTCTCTGACTCACCCATTTGCCTATCATTCTTAATCTGCTAACACTAGTTGATTTAAAAACTCATTGGACAGAATTAGATCACTAAACGCTAATCAAGTAATCTAGCAGACAGAGGTGGAAAATGGGCTCGTTCTTCATGGACGGTACAGAGCCACACATCCCTGTAGCTCGGAACTGAACTAGTTTAAGACGGGTATTGACTACGTATGAGCCCGAGATAAGACGAAGTAGACATACTTTCAGTACATTCTCTAGATACACGTGCGAATAAGTTCTCGCGTGGTGTTAGGCGTTCTCTCCCAGTTCCGTGACACTTTCGCAGATAACATATACGACCATGTTTCAACAAATAGATGCACTGAAATATTGACCTTTAGGCCCCCTCGTAGAGAAAATAGACGACAAAAAGGATTGAGAGGTGATGGCGGTCAGAATGTTATCGTTTCGATGTGCGGGGTTAGATGAGTCCCTGTTTAGTCTGGCTGATCGACGGTTTGCAACAGCGGCAGTGGTGACTTTTGCTGTGGCACCCGCTCGACTATAGCTTTCAAATTAAATCCGTACTCGAGAGGTGACTAGATTACCGAATGCCTTACCTGTCATCGATCACAACATCGCAGGTGTATTGCCGCAGCGGGAATACTCATTTGGAAATTATGCAAGATCAATGGCTCGCACTATCTGCCCTCGAGACTTGTTCGTTTACTATCAAGCATCCTATAGATAGTGCTATCCATATTATACTAAAACCTCGTAAAAGGGCTTGAAACCCCTTTCGATAAAGAATACCAATAAGAGCGAAATTACTGAATTCAAACGGTGATGGGATGATAATCAACGCAAAGCGGCTCACTTTCTATAACTATATTCCGGTCCTCCAGTCACTAGCTAAACTAAGAGGGAGAGGTCGGTCTTTGGATGAAGTACCTCATAGATCCTCTGCTTTGGGCTTAGAATAGCGAATCTAGCGCAGGGCTTGCTAATTTCATCCGAAGTTAATGGCACCGATGCCTCCCGAATCGCCTAGGGGTCTAGCTAATAGCGCTTCATACTGCTTTATTGAATCCGGAGAATACAGAATGGAAGACAGGAGTCTTGATTAAAAGATAGCCAAAGCTAGATGCGCCTCGTATCGTTTTGCTTCTGACCGTATTCTTTCCCCTCTTCTTCTATTCCCACAAATATAGCCATTAGAAGTAGGCACATATGCAATGATTTAATCTGAGACCTCGTTCTCGTCCTCCACTTTCAGCAATCCTGACTGGCATCTTCCCTACGAAGGACCCTGTACTATTCGATTCTAGCCGGTCTTGCGGAGAAGATACTCTACAACGCCGCTCATTGGTCCAGCTACTCTTGGAATATTAACGGAACCGACCCAACCCCGGATCAGCGAGGAAGAAACACGGTGGTTCGTCATCACTGGACACGAGCTCCCCAAGTGGCAACCTCCCGACTCCATCCGCTCCTCAAACTTTACATCGACCACATCGCTCCCGATCAAACCCCTCATTCAGGATGGAACCCCACCAAGCTTGATGCAGCTCACTTCGCAAACTATCTACAAACAGCATGATAGCATCATCGCAAATAGCATGAGTGGACATGAGATCTACAAACGAAAAGACATGAGATACGTTATACGAGGTAGCCCAACCCACCATGCCGCCCTCGCCGGAACAGCTATCTGCGATTTCCATCACGGAACGTGTCTGCTCGGCCGTCTCGCTGGTTGGCACTTTCGTGATTGTCGCGACGTTTATCGGATCGCGATCGTTTCGGAAGCCGATTAATCGCTTGGTGTTTTATGCCTCTTGGGGCAATATTATGGCTAATATAGCCACGTTGATTTCTCAGTCGGGTATCCATGCTGGCGTGGGTAGTCCGCTTTGTCAATTTCAAGCCTTTTTAATTCAATGGTTAGTATCTCGGTGGTGTCTTTTACCGTTCCCTTTAGATGGTCTTCTCTGATATCTCGTATAGGTTCATGCCGGCAGACGCCCTGTGGACATTCGCAATGGCCTGTAACGTCTACTTGACCTTCTTTCACAAGTATAACTCGGATCAGCTACGCCAGCTAGAGTGGAAGTACATTATCGGCTGTTACGGTTTACCATTTATTCCGGCCTTTATATACTTTTTTATCCACACCCCAGCGCGTGGCCGGGTATACGGCTCGGCGATTGTGAGACTATACTTATACATAATACATAATTTTTCGCTAATTCCCCGTCGCAGCTATGGTGCTGGGTCGCTCGTCCATGGGATTTCCTCCGACTAGCAACCTTCTACGGTCCGGTCTGGTTCGTCATTTCACTCACCTTCGCCATCTATCTACGCGCCGGCTCGGCGATATACCAAAAACGACGGGAACTACGATCACTGGATAATTTCGACTCCCTCGATACAGAGATAGGCACCCATGCCCCATTAGTCAATCTCGCCGGTATCCAGGTAACCAGTGAAATCGCATGTTCTGAGCCAGAACGCCGGTCTGTCGCAGTTCCCAATGTCGATATCCGAGTTCCCGCCCGTAGCTTCTCATCCTCTAATTTCTCTCCGTACTCTGTCACTATTGAGGGTGGCATGGTGGATCCGATTAGCATGTATCAGAACTCAGAAGAACGGCTTTCATCTATTCAGGCTTCGAGCTCGAAGCAAGATCCGAGATTGTCGATGTCTCTGAAAACGTCTCGTTCTGACGGTATGGAGACGTACTCTCAGCGCCGCGGGATTAATAGGGAGGCTACTTCAGCGGCGTGGGCTTATACCAAGTATGCGATGTTATTTTTTATCGCGCTGCTTGTGACGTGGGTAAGTTATCTTCCTCGGGCAATCGCTGCTCAATTTTATCGGGGCTAGTGTAGTGTCTGACATGGCGTTTTGTGGTTAGGTTCCCTCCACCGTGAACAGGGTGTATGCCCTGGCTCGACCCAACGACTTTTCCTTCGGACTGAATTATACATCGAGTTTTGTACTTCCTTTGCAGGGGTTTTGGAATAGTTTGATTTATGTATCGATTTCTTGGCCGGCGTTAAGGACGCTTTGGAGGGATATGCGACTGAGGATGCAGGGGTTACAAAAGTTTACTTGATGACTGAATGATCAAGTATTTATACACTTGAATGATAATGAGAACTGCCATCTTCCTTTTTGTAAAATGCATAGCTCAGGCCGTTTAAAAAGCGGGTCCATATACATTATCCATGTCACGTGATAATCGCGTCGCGGTGCTATCAGGATATCCCAAGACTCCAGATTCCCAAATACCAAAAAACATAAACACAACACTCTCGCCACGCCATACAAATCCGCGCCCCAACACACAATCACTCCGATCATCATATCCTACGCGCACAACACCATGGCAGGGTCTAATTCCCACCCTGCGCCCACCGCAACGACAACAGAAACCCCCGCGCAAACCCCCGGTCTCCGCGCCTCACGCCTACACCAAGTCTTCGACCAAGCTCTAGCGCGCACACTCCGTGCAAACTCATACGCCAATTTCTCGGGCTGTTTCCCGACTCCGGCACGACATGTCCCGGCTAGTTTGGAGAGTGTGTGGAGACAGTTGAATGCGAAGTTGGAGGAGAGTGCCAAGGCGGAGTTTGAGGAGATTCTAGAGGAGAGGGAGGCTGTGAGGCATTTAAATGATTTAGATCGCTTGGTTGCGGATGCGAAAGTGCGGAGGGAGAATGGAAATGGGGAGGGAGGGGGTGAAAATGCGTATGTCTTCTTTCGTCTTCCTTGGATCAGGGTTACCTTTCTGTGGTTAAATGGCTAACGACCAGGTCTTTTTGTAGGCCTCATACACTCGGCGCGGAGGAGCTTTATAAAGCTCATTTGACGCCATACCTACAGGAAGCGCAGGCGACGCTAAATGGCAAGCTCGAGGAGACGCATGCGCAGAATGCAGAGTTGGCGCAGACGGTGCAGGCGCAGAGGCGCGAGATTGAGAAGCTCTTGGCGCATCTTGAATCTGTCGTTACGGATATTGAAGGCGCTGCTACAGCGGCTACGGAGTTTAGCAAAGAGCATCATATTCGTCAGGATGCGATTCAAATGGATCGGGAAGTTCACGCCCGTCCGGGTGTATGAGAGGGCCGTTATTTGTCCTTTCTACTTTTCTGTCTGTTTTATCTACTCGGTCCGTTCATGAGATCAAGGCGCTCATCTCGGTGGGGTCTATCATCCCGTCCTCGACCATGTCCTGGGCCACTGCAATCAACTGCTCAAAGGATGTCGTCTTGATCTGATCCAGCTTGGTTCTCTGACCCTCCAGCGCAGCAGCAATGGCCTCTTTGAACGATCCATCTCGTTCTGCCTCGGTTTCTCTATCCCGACGAGCTAGCGCCGCTGCTCCGCGGTAGTACGTTTGCGCATTACGCAGGAGCGTGGCCCCGTGCTGTGCCGCCACGGCGTGGTTCCAGGGTGCCCGACCCAGTCGCCAGCGCTGCATTTCTGCGTCACCGCGTGCAAGATGAATCTTTGGCAAGTTGTCCGCGTTGGGCAGCTTCGAGGCCGCTGTCAACGAGTCCAGCGCAGTCGAGAGTGATTGCCATCGTACATTACAGCAGAACTTGAAAGTCTCGGGATCCTCGGCCGGTGGTACATCGGCGAATGCCCCGTTCAGCGAAGTCAGTGCCTCGGCTTTGCTGCACAATCCCTCAGGATCGGTGGATACGTCAACCTCAGGACCAAATGCGCGTCCGACCTCCTGCTTGTATGTCTGGGCATCGGTGTGGCCGCCTCGGTAGAGGACGTCGTGGAGCGCGCTGATGAACTTTGCCCGTGCTAGCCCGGCTTCATATTGCCTATCCGATCCCTCGACATAGGCCGGCAGCCGGGTCTCAACCAGTTCGGAGGAGTACTCCTGTACCCAGCCCACCCCGCCAGCACCAGGATTGAACGTCAACAGATTGCATAGAGCCGTCAATGTGTCAAGCTGCGCTACGGCAGAGTCAACCAGCGTGTTCTTCGTCACTGGTTCAACGATAGCAGCCCACTGCTCCTGCGGTTCGCTTTCAGCAGATTCGGCCGGGGCTGTCTGCGGTTCCACGGGCTCTGGCTCGGGTACTTCAGAATCCATCTCCCCAGACTCCATCTGCATAATCTGCTCCTCCATCTCGGTGAACTTCATCTCCTGCAGCGCTAGGCACCGTTGGAACAGCTCCACCGCTTCTTGCAGGTACGTGCTCGCTTGCACGAGCTGATCCTCACTCGGGTGCTTCGAATCCGTCAGAGCCTCGGCAAGACTGTTCAGCACCTGACCGCTGTTGAACAGGGCATCAGCATTGTCCTGCTCCAGATACAGTGCATCCCGGTGCGACTGCAGCGCTACCTCCAGGATCTCGGCCTGTGGAGCGGGTAGTTGAGCTGCCAGCTTAGGATGCTGAGTGATTTCATATTGGATGCGAGCTCTGGTCATCATGTTAGCTACAAGAAATGCAATGTGTATAGATAAGAGGTAAAATAGAGTATATGCTTCCAATGAAACACAATCTCTATGTGATGTGTGAACGTACTTGTTGTAGGCCAGGTCAAAAGCAGCTGGATGTTTCTGCAGTCCTTCATCATAGTTGGCAATGGCCTTCATGAAAAAGCGCATCGACTTGGCTGCGTCTCCAGCTCGCCATTTCTCGCCGGCTTCTTCTAGCTCGACGCCCGCTGGAATTGGTTTCGATGGTTAGCTAGAGAACCTAGAGAGCTTTGCAAGTAAGTTGCTTACCTGCTAGATAGTCATCGGCCGTTACCGGGAGTTGCTAGGTTGCGATGTCAGCCTGCGGGATGCAGTTGTAAGGTTTTGTTGGGTGATTTGGTGAGATGTGTTACCTGCTTCGCGGCACCCTTCTTCTTAGCTTTGGATTCTTTGAGAAAAGCCTTGGGTCTTGGCATGGTGTTTGGTGGGGTGGTTAACCCAAGACGATCTGGATCTTGATTTGCGTCACTGGCGCTGACTCGCGGTCCTCAGAGAGGGGTGTAGTTTGCTTGTTCTTAGTCAGGTTGGTAGGCTGGCTGGCTGGCTTGGGATGTTAAAGAACGGACTGGAGAGTTCGATCGTCAGAGCAGATGGCGAATAAGAGGGGCGTGTTGGGATTGTGCAGCTCCACGGATGATGATGGTAGCTATTTTTCTCTGCCAAGACTCGGGCTGGAGCTGCTTGAGAGAACGTTAAGTTTGGGGGTACATCATCAACCCCGGTGGCATAAAGTAGGAGTGGCGAGAATTAATCGACTTTTGTATAGGACTGCTTCGATAGGTCATACAAACTCCGTAGTGACGATACTTTTCATCTCCGAGACTGATCGATTGTCGTCTGCAAGTGGTCAGCCATTTACCAATATGATCCCTCTGTAAAGTAGCAGCAGTGCTACAAGACTACGAATATACAAAGTACAGTACATATAGAAATAACTCCGATCGAATAAACTCCCCCGGTCGGACTATAGACTGGAAATCCATCCTGGCTGATCCCACGTGGCAAAATCCACCTTGTAAGACTCTCTTTCATACTTCCTCGGTTCATACTCCAGTGGATGTACATCGGTATTGATGGAATAGAAGATAGAACAAAACAAATTGTAGATGGTTGAAATTTTCCTTTTCTCTTTGCATAAGATATGTAGAAAGAATCCAAAATATACATCACATCATGCCATAGATCATCTGCATCAAGTTTCTTTTCTTTTGCCCCTCTCATCATCATGTCGAACTTTCAACCTCCATCACTCTTTCACACTCTCCCAGACCGACTATCCAACCAGCACCCCCCGCTCCCTGCAGAAGGTCGTCTCCATTCTGGTTCTCCCTCCTAGCAGCAGATCCCTTTCCTCCGAATCTCCTCTTTTTTTTCTCTGTCTTTTCTTTTTCTTCTCTCCTCCAACCTCCTTTCCCCACTACCAACGCGACCCACTTCCGCCGTTTCGGCCCTCCTGAGTCGTCTGAGTTCCATCCAGAAACCAACTTGTCCGTGGCTGCACATCGTGTTTCAGTCTCCTCTTTCTCGTTCTCGCTTTCCTCTCTCCCTCCCTTTCTTCCTGCCCGTCTGTTGCAATAGCGAGCTATCCCGACCCACAGGATTGACCGCGAGCGTTGTACGTGACGATCCTTCTACCCGATAATGCGGCCTTGGCTCAGACCAGCCGGAGGCGATCCCTGCTAATCTGCCCATCCTCCAGGGAAAAAACCACCCAACCCCCATCGATTCGGCTCCAGACCAACAGCACCTTAAAAAGACGCGGTCTCCCTCTCCTACCGCAGACATGGCCCGCCATCCGTCTCTTGATTCCGAGCGACCCATCATGTCAAACTCGGTGCGCATTTCTTCTCCCCCTTTACCCCTCTCCAACATCGTCTGATTCCTGGCCCCCCTTTCGTCGCAAGATGACTATACCTGGATAGACCTTAATAACTGACTGTATTTACTTTAGAACCGCACCTCTAAGCGCTTCTCCACCATTAGCGGCAGCCCCTCGCTCGCCAACTCCGAGCGCACCATCGGCAGTCTACCCAGCGGAGACCCCAGAGTCGCCGACATCACCCACCTCGGCGATGGTCTGGAGCGCTTGGAGAACAAGCCCCTGCAGGCGCAGCGCTTTGTGCCCACCGAAGAGAAGACCGACAATCTGAACAAGTTGGCTCTCGGGGCCAAGGTGGAGCGCGCACTGGGACGAAGGATGACCAGCCAGGATGCCGTCATGCGCAAGCCAGTCCTGAGCGAGAAGGCCGCAGCCGCTGCGACTACTTCGTAGACGACTGAGTCTTAAGGAATATGCCATTTCTTCTCGCTCTCGCGCTTGCGCTTGCGCACTCTGGTGATTCTATATAATGCGGCGGTCAACGCTGGTGTCGTTTTCTTCATTACCCTTGCCCTTATATTGTCCATTCTCCCCCAGCGAAACTGTTCCATATGAGGGAACTATCTACGATCGCTTGTTTCTTTTCCTATTGACTCTCAAACCCTCTCATGTCCGATACCATCTCATCCATCATACCCCGTTTCTTTCACTGATCTTCTTCTCTGGCGTTTTCTAAATTTGTTATGAAATCTGCATGACTCCTTTGGGGCTTTCGTTCTGTCTAGTATATCTCATCTTTTCTGAATCCTGCTGCTTTGTGTGTTGGGTTTCTTAATGGCTTCTCTCCATATATCATGAATGCTACCTCGTATTAGAGTCTTTTTGATGCAAGTATCTGCTTTGTCTGCTGTATGCTGTACAATGTTTGCCTAAACCTAGTCACCGACAGCGTTGCCTCGGTTTGGATGACTCAGGCAAACACGTTTGTCTGCGATGGTTGACTACGACCGAATCGGGCGATATCGACGTTGATGAGTTTCCCTCCTCCCTCCCTCCCTTCTTCTCCTCGTCAACTCCCCGAGTCCCAATCTCAGGAAGTCTGACACACAAAGAACAAACCTGTTCTTTGTCAATCGTTTCCTGGTAAGTTCTCATCTCTTAATTCACTTCACTCGTCACTGTTCATCATCAATCTCATCGAATCCGTTCCCTTTGATCTCCCTTTCTGCCGAGCGGTGAGTCCCGTGCCAAGGCCACGCGAAACCCGCACGGAGTCTTCGCAGTCGAAAGCCAGTCGCTTTTTCCTCGAAGGCGAATTCCCCCCCCAAACAGCTTCGTTTCTGTCTCTTCTTCTTCTCCCCCTCTTCTACTCCTCTCATCCCGGTTTATACTCAACCACAATCCTCATTACCCTCTCAATCTCATCCCCTGCTGCCCTTCTCCCCTCTTCCCGGTCTATCCCGCACAAGAGTCATTTTTCCCTCCTCTCGCACACCCCCAAACCTATACTTCCCGCATCACTCTCCGCGTCATCGAAAAGTGTCCTCCGTTTTTTTTGCCCCTTTGATCTCGTACCTTATTCCTTTCTTCCTTTCCTTTCGTGCCTTTCAATTGGGTTGCATTGGTGCTCGGTCCATTTCGCATTGTAAGTACGCCGCCAACGCCTTCTCCACCTTGCCTTTCCATCGGCTGCCGGGATCGTGATGCAAAATGCGAATCCCAGAGCTCCGGAGATATCAAAAACTGACCTCGATCCATAGGTTGAGCGAGCGGAGGAAAAAAAGAATCTCATTTAGATCTCTTATTAACAGCTTCCGATCTCGTTAGAAGCTTCGTTCAGATAGCTCTTCTCGGCTGTTCCCATCCACGATCCCCACCTTCTCACGGCTACTTTAATTTTCGATCTCGTCTCCTCTCCTCTCGGCCTCAACCCTCATCTCTCTCCCACCCCATCTCAAAATGGCCGACATGACCCAGGTTCCCATCAACGGCAACTACGCCGCTCAGCATGGCTTCCCCGAATCCTTCAACCCCGCCCATGCTGCCATGAACACCGCGGCCAACTTCCAGCCTGCGCAGTCCTCCACCCCTACCAGTGCCACCCCCAGCACCGAGCAGCAGCAGAAGAATGAGATCACCAAGGATGAGGTCGGCTGGTTCTTCGTGGAGCAGTACTATACCACTATGAGCCGCAACCCGGACAAGCTCCACCTGTTCTACTCCAAGCGGTCCCAGCTTGTCTTTGGCACCGAGGCCGAGTCTGTCCCCGTTACCGTCGGTACCAAGGTGAGTCAAGTCAACTTTCAGCCCAACATTTACACCCGATGTAGATGCAATGTTCCAATACTGACGCCAATCCTTCTGTGATAGGCCATCAACGACAAGATCAAGGCTCTTGACTTCCAGGACTGCAAGGTTCGCGTCCTGAACGTCGACTCCCAGGCCTCCTTCGACAACATCCTGGTCTCCGTCATCGGCGAGATCTCCAACAAGTCCGAGCCCTCTCGCAAGTTCGTCCAGACTTTCGTCCTGGCTGAGCAGCCCAACGGCTACTACGTTCTCAACGATGTCTTCCGCTACCTTGTTGAGGAAGTTGAGGAGGATGAGGCTGTGACCGAGGAGCCTACCCCCTCTATCCCTGAGGTTCCCCAGCCCACCGAGGCTGCGCCTACCTCCGAGGAGGCCCAGGTCACCGAGGAGGCTGCCGCTTCCAAGGTTGATGAGAAGCTGGAGGAGGTCAATGGCGAGGTTGAGCAGCCTGAGGAGGCCGCCCCCAAGACCAACGGTGCCCCCGCCGAGGAGGTTGAGGAAGCCCCCGTCCCCGTTGTTGAGCCCGAGGCTCTGAAGGAAGACAAGCCTCAGACCCCCGAGCCTTCCCCCCCCCCTGAGCAGAAGGAGGTCCCCGCTGAGAAGGAAACTGCTGCTGCCCCGGCCGCTCCCGTTGCCGCTCCCGCCGCCCCCATCCCGGCTGTCCCCAAGACCTGGGCCAACATTGCCTCCAAGGTCGGTGCTGCCAAGGCTGCCGCTGCCGCTGCTGCCCCGGCTGTCCCTGCTGCTGCTCCTGCGGCTCCCGCTCCTACTCCCGCTGCTGCTGCCCCCAAGGCTGCTGCCGCTGCTCCCTCCACTGATTCGGCCGCCACCACTCCTCGTGCTGCTGTTACTCCTACCCCTGCTACTGAGAAGGATGCTGCCTCCGCCGACGGTGCTGGCTGGCAAACCGCCGGTGCTGATCACAAGAAGACCCAGTCTCGCGCTGGCGAGGACCAGGTCGTTCTGGGTTATATGAAGAATGTTAACGAGAAGGTTGACGCTGGTCTCCTGAAGCAGACCCTTTCCCGCTTCGGCAAGCTGAAGTATTTCGATGTCAACCGCCCCAAGGTTCGTCTTATAATAAAACCCTGCTCCGTCATGGATTCATATCTAACATGTTGCTTTTTAGAACTCTGCCTTTGTTGAGTTTGCCGAGCCTTCCGCGTATGCCGCCGCTGTCGCTGCCAACCCCCACCAGATTGGCACTGAGCAGATCATCCTCGAGGAGCGCCGCCCTCGCCCCAACACCTTCGGCAACGGCTTCCCTGCTGGTCGTGGCCGCGGTGGCCGTGGTGACCGTGGCGGTAGCCAGGGTCGTGGTGGTTTCCAGCGTGATGGCCGTGGTGGCTTCCCTCCCCGCGGTGGCCGCGGTGGAAACGCTGCTGCCAAGGGCCGCAACGGTGCCCCTGCTGCTTAAGCTCTATTCGCCCCATTCAGAATTAAATTAGCTCCTGTGGCGGCGGTGAAAACCACGCCCGAGCTTGGATAATGACGTGAAGTTTCGTCCGAGCTTCGAACTTCGAGCATCAGCTTCCGGCACCCAGCTCGAATATCTTCTCGAGCACCTCGATACGTCTTCGACACGTCTCTCTACGTACACTTTCGATGGATGCCTCTTCCAGAAATTTGTATTACTCCGGATTTTTGATAATTCTTTCTCGTTTTTGGTCTCGACCCCGTCTCGACCTTTTATCCTCTTGTTCTTTCTCCCTTGTTTTCCCCCCATAATGACATGTGTTATGTGACTTCCCCCCTCCACCACCCCCTTTTCTTCCTGTCTCCTGTCACAGTGCATATTAGCGGTTGGGTCCGGGTCGGCTGGAAAAGTTCTGTCTTTCTTTCCCTTCCCTCTCTGGGCACTTTGTCTTTTTTTTGCGATTTATTGTGTTTTCCTGCCATGTTTGTCTTATGCGTGGGCCTTCCCGGCTTCTACGGTCTTAACCATATTGTCTTTTTTTTCTTTGGTGGTGGTCTGGCTTTCGTGTTTCCCTAGTTTCACGATTTCTATGCCCTATATTCTTCCAATGATTCTTTTTTTTCATTTCCAAGTCTTGTGCTTTGATAACTTGCCTTTGTTTTTTCCATCTCACGAGCCGCTGTTCCACCACGAAGACTCTATATCGCATCGTTTATCTAGCATAGCAAGTTGAGGGTTTTGCGGTGTTACACCATCCGGTCTCTTTTATTTTTCTTGTTTCTTTTTCAATCTTTTTCCTATTCTTCTTTGGCCCCCCTTTCTCGTTCCTCGTGTGGATGGGATATGGGTGGATATGTATTTTGCTAGGAAAATGGGCCTTGTAAATGGTATGGGCAATGGATGGAGGGTTTAGGGGGGTTTTTCTGTGTATCTTTCATAGTTATTGAAATCCGTGCAATATCAGATGGTTGTACCAACCCCTGACAGGACCCTCTTGCGCCGTGTGACTTAATTTGAGGAGGTTGCTGGGTCGTAGGCTAGGCGTTAGTGGTAGGACAGTGTTTAGGTATATTATAAAGGAGTGGCAGCTCTGAATGGATGTATTCTATTTTCTCTATGATGCTCTTTCATGGGGAACAATGGAGTGCCTGGATTCCGGGGCAACCCCGAGGGGAGCGAAGATTCTAGACTGCTGGATGCCTGAGAATTTAGGCATACAGTTGATCAGGTGGTAGAGCACTATTTATGATAAAAGTGTCTCTCGCAAGAAATGAGGGGGAAAATGAGGCTCCAGAGATTGGTTGAAAAGTAGACCAGTCAAGAATCAGCACTACGATTACCCAGTAGAGCGATAGTGGCTGCAGGCTGTAACAAGGCGGTGTCGTTGCTGGGGAAAGAGACCGGTGGAAGTCTCTGGATCGCCGTAGAACCGTCGCCCGTCGAATCGCTGAACCCACCAGAATTTTTTGGAATCACAGCCTCTTTCTCCCCATAAGATCTGCGTCCGTCTCAGCAGTTCTTTCTTTTCTCTTCTTCACCTCTCCCCCCATATCTCTGTACGTACTTATCCCCCCTCCGCTCTTCAACTCTCCACATCTACAATCCTCTTCCCATCACTACCATTTGCTCTCTCACTCTGTCCTTTGCTCCTCATCTCCTCTTATCCACTCCCCACCTTTTCTCATCTTCTGGACGAGGACCCTCTCATTTCGACCTTGGGAGCCTTTGCCTGAAGATTTGAAAAAAATCTCACTATCAACCCTATTCTCTTCACTTCTCGCCACCCTCTTTCCTCTACCGATTGAATCTTTCTCTCTTTTCACCACCGTCCACCGATCCGCATTCCTCAATTTCTAACCGCTTCCGCCCCCCTCTTTTACAGAATACCCACCGCCACCATGCCCGAGACTTTCGAGTTCCAGGCTGAGATCTCTCAGCTGCTCTCGCTGATCATCAACACTGTCTACTCTAACAAGGAGATCTTCCTTCGTGAGCTGATCTCCAACGCCTCCGATGCGCTGGACAAGATCCGCTATGAGTCCCTCTCGGACCCCTCCAAGCTGGACTCCCACAAGGATCTCCGCATTGACATTATCCCCGACAAGGAGAACAAGACTCTGACCATCCGTGATACCGGTATTGGTATGACCAAGGCTGTAAGTTGATTTCACTCTTCGATGAGTCACTATTTTCTACAGAATTGGAGGGCTAATATTTTTACTCTTTTCATTCAGGACTTGATCAACAACCTTGGTACAATTGCCCGCTCTGGCACCAAGCAGTTCATGGAGGCCCTCTCCGCCGGTGCTGACATCTCCATGATCGGTCAGTTCGGTGTCGGTTTCTACTCTGCCTACCTGGTTGCCGACAAGGTTACCGTCGTCTCCAAGCACAACGATGACGAGCAGTACATCTGGGAGTCCGCCGCCGGCGGTACCTTCACCCTGACCCAGGACACCGAGGGCGAGCAGCTCGGCCGCGGTTCCAAGATCGTCCTCCACCTGAAGGATGAGCAGATGGACTACCTCAACGAGGCCCGCATCAAGGAGGTTGTTCGCAAGCACTCTGAGTTCATCTCCTACCCCATCTACCTCCACGTCCTGAAGGAGACCGAGAAGGAGGTCCCCGATGAGGATGCTGAGGAGACCAAGGAGGAGGAGGAGGGTGACGAGAAGAAGCCCAAGGTCGAGGAGGTCGATGATGAGGAGGAGGAGAAGAAGGAGAAGAAGACCAAGACCATCAAGGAGTCCAAGATCGAGGAGGAGGAGCTCAACAAGACCAAGCCCATCTGGACTCGCAACCCCGCCGACATCACCCAGGAGGAGTACGCCTCCTTCTACAAGTCGCTCTCCAACGACTGGGAGGACCACCTCGGTGTCAAGCACTTCTCCGTTGAGGGTCAGCTCGAGTTCCGTGCCATCCTCTTCGTCCCCAAGCGTGCTCCCTTCGACCTGTTCGAGACCAAGAAGACCAAGAACAACATCAAGCTCTACGTTCGCCGTGTCTTCATCACTGACGATGCTACCGACCTCATCCCCGAGTGGCTCAGCTTCGTCAAGGGTGTCGTCGACTCCGAGGACCTGCCCCTCAACCTGTCTCGTGAGACCCTCCAGCAGAACAAGATCATGAAGGTCATCAAGAAGAACATTGTCAAGAAGACCCTCGAGCTCTTCCAGGAGATCGCCGAGGACCGTGAGCAGTTCGACAAGTTCTACTCTGCCTTCAGCAAGAACATCAAGCTCGGTATCCACGAGGACGCCCAGAACCGCCCCGCTCTGGCCAAGCTCCTCCGCTACCAGTCCACCAAGTCTGGTGACGAGTCCACCTCCCTTACCGACTACGTTACTCGCATGCCCGAGCACCAGAAGAACGTCTACTACATCACCGGCGAGTCCATCAAGGCCGTCTCCCAGTCTCCCTTCCTGGACACCCTCAAGCAGAAGAACTTTGAGGTTCTCTTCCTGGTTGACCCCATTGATGAGTACGCCTTCACCCAGCTGAAGGAGTTCGACGGCAAGAAGCTCGTCGACATCACCAAGGACTTCGAGCTCGAGGAGACCGACGAGGAGAAGGCCGAGCGTGAGAAGGAGGAGAAGGAGTACGAGGACCTTGCCAAGGCCCTCAAGAACATCCTCGGCGACAAGGTCGAGAAGGTTGTTGTCTCCCACAAGCTCATGGGCGCCCCCTGCGCTATCCGTACCGGCCAGTTCGGTTGGTCCGCCAACATGGAGCGTATCATGAAGGCCCAGGCTCTCCGTGACACCTCCATGTCCTCCTACATGTCCTCCAAGAAGACCTTCGAGATCTCCCCCAAGTCCAGCATCATCAAGGAGCTCAAGAAGAAGGTTGAGGCCGATGGCGAGAACGACCGCACCGTCAAGTCCATCACCCAGCTCCTCTTCGAGACCTCCCTGCTGGTTTCCGGCTTCACCATTGAGGAGCCCGCCAGCTTCGCTGAGCGCATCCACAAGCTCGTCTCCCTCGGTCTGAACATTGACGAGGATGCCGAGACTGTCGATGAGAAGGCCACCGAGGCTGCCGCTCCTGCCGAGGCCACCGGCGAGTCTGCCATGGAGGAGGTTGACTAAATTTAGTCGCTTCTCTCCTTTTTTTATTTTTATCCAGCAAGCAGCTCCCGGGAACCCTGTTCTGAAGCTTTTTCTTCTTTACTTAGCTAAGAATGCGGGTTTTGCCTGCTAAAATCTGTTCCTTTTATTTTGCTGGCCCCCCCCCCCCCCCCCCTTGTATGCGCGTGATATTTTTTTTCAAAGTTCTTACGGGAAATGGGAAACGGGATTATGACCCTTGATGTTCTTTTCTTATGTTCTTAAATCAAGATAAATGATTTACGCTTGACTTTTACATCCTTGTTGGTTCTAGATTAAGATTAGAGTTCTTGAGGCTGTTTTAGTTCTGGGCTTTTCTGTTCTTTTTAGACTTGGACTTTTGTCTGTAGTTTGGATTGAATTTGATAGACCTGCTTTGGACTGATCTTGTAGATTGTAGACATGTTCTACTTCACGGAGTACAACGTAAAACTTTGGGGTCTTTCTAGAGGAATGGAGTAGTAATATCGACCACCAGTTGCTTCCAGTTCCATTCACAGACTAATGATATCCTTCTTTGAAGGCTGTCATAGCCCGAGTTCAATATCACCAATCCCCGAGTCAAATTGATATTAGATAAATCTGACTCTTGTACCCGTCACGTCTGTTTTCTCTCTGTATCTGATGACTCTAGAATCTAATCCTTGGCTTTTAATATTTATCTCGCAGAATAATTCACCTGGAAAGACGCTCTAGGCTATAGAGCCACGAGTAAGGCTTTGCTATGTAATTGAAGTTATACTTGAGATACTGCCTTTCCCTGTAAGAATTCGTTAAGTACAGATTCAATAGTCAGACTGTACTTTCTACACTAGTTATTCATAGTCATATCTATCCCATGAAGACGAGCTGTTTACCCCAGTTTTGTACGTATCTCAACAAGATCTTAGGTACTAGTTCCGATCTACGTACCACAACTACTTCATATACTACATTCTCTCTGCCTCTACGATACTGTAGCACACTCCATAATACATATTACACCTAACCCCCCTCTTTCCCAGTGGCCCACCACGACATCACCCCATAAGATCCACAAATCGTACTGTCGGCTTCACCTCGGGACTACTCTCGGCGATTTACCAGCTCCACATCGGCTTCACCGAGATATTTTCGGGTTTGAACGGGAGGGAAACTGCTAACTTTGGGTGGGCATAGATGTGGACGTGCTATTACTGTGAGTCTGTGTCCGTGCCTCCGTAATCGCTATCAATCTTCCCTGATTCCAAAGTGCAGTAACCCCGCCATTGGAGGGGTACAGGGGTACAGGTACATCTACACCGACATATCCACTTTCACTTGCAGCTAGCCAGCTGTTTTAACCTCCCACCTTTGTCTCAACAACCTCCTCAAGACCTACCAATTCCCTAAATTCAAGAATCACCAATTGAAATCAGTCAAAATGGTCTACACGATCGTCGTTCGTGCGTGAACAACCACCTCCCCCCCCAAAAACCTCCTCCAATACTAATCCCACCCCTCGCCCTAAACACAGACCTCCGCGCAAAACCCGACGAAGAATCCATCTCCAAACTGCACGCAAAACTCCTCGAAGCATCCGCCGTCTACTCAAAGGACAAAGAAACCCTATCCTGGTTCGTCATGCAATCCGTGCACGACAAGCAGGATTTCACTATCGTCGAGCGATACCTGCAGGAGTCGTCGCAGGAGTATCATTTGAGTAATCCTTATTGGAAGACGTTTGATCCTTATGTTATTCCTTTGCTAGAGAGGGAGATGGATTTGAGGAGGTTTGAGGAGTTGTAGGTTCCTGCTGAGGGGAAATGAATTGAATTGTGTCTATGGAAGGGGGATATCGGGGATGTAACTAGCTAGGAATGCTGGATAATACATACTTATTGTTTTTACTGTGTGATTGAGAGTTTATACATTCGTTTGGATGTTTTTAAAGATATTGTATTGTGGTGACTACGCAATGTGGTCTAACCTTATCAATCCCTACTAAAAAAGCAAAGTGTAATCCAGCGCCAAAAACTCCAAACGACCAGAAAAAGAAATACCACCGTAAAACGCCAGTCCGGGTAAAAATGTAGGCGTGATCACTCGAAAGAATAAAGAAGGCCAGCCAGCCAGCACACTTTTCTTCCATCTCCGTCCTCGATCAGCCAAGCCGGTGCATGCCATTTCCCCATGCTCACCCCCCGGCTCGTTATCATGTCGAGAACGAAGACTCAATGCTCAAGAGTCCCGTACCAGTGATCAAACTGCATGTCTGAAAGACTTCGCGTTGGAAGCCCCCAAGACCGAGCTACCCACAATGCGAGACCACCAACAACCCCGACGCTGCCCACTATCTGGACAATAATCCAGCCCCGTCGTCCGATATCGTCGATCCATCCCACAACACCTAGTGGGTCGTGCGGACTCAGGCTGGCGACGCGGTATTCCTTGCTAGGACCTGCACAAGCTCGCATCATGTTCAACCCACTGCCATTCTTGTCGTTGGCTGGAACGTGTAGCCCACAGAAACCGGGCGTCTGTGAGATAGGCACTAACGAGCCATCTACCACGCACTCGCTGAGTCGCTCCGTTAGCCATACGGCGCGATCACCTCGTGCCAGTGCCGCGTATCGCTCCCGCTCATTTTGGAGGCTTCGTTGGAGGTCTGTCGCCCATTGTGCGAGTCGTACTTGGGCCATGCGCTCTTCATGTCGTGTATAGTCTGCGAGACGAGCTAGGGTATAGGTAGGCGGTGATTCACCGAGAGAAGAGATGGACGAGTTCATGGATGCCCCCAATGTAGTTCTCCATCCTACGCCTGGCGAGGTAGCACCAGAAAGTGCATTGGGAGCTGGGGTTGATGACAACGATACAGCAGGTAAATCACCGCACCGTTGGACGAGCTTTTTAGCAGCTGAATGCCGCAGCCAGGCGAGATTATCTCGGTCGAATAGTTTCTGTACGAGTATGTCCAGCTCTGATGGAACGAGAGGCTGTTCGTAGTCTGGACTCATGAGGGTGCTAGCATCCATGACCTCCAGATCGGTGGTTTTCTCGGATGACACGGCGTACGGAGGTTGCGGGTTTTGGTCATCTAGCATCCCGGCTAGCGAGTCGCCGAACATGAATGGCTTGATGCCGGCATCTTGCGCTTGTTGATGGAATCGGTCTTTGAGGGATGTGATATTCTCGGGGGAGAGGGTGTCTGCTTTGGCGACGAGTGGGATGACATTGCTTAGCTCGCAGAGCTTGCGAATACATTCTACGTCCGTTGGCAATGTATCTGTAAAATGTCAGCGTCCGAGCAATGTAGTAAATCGATATCTTGAGCACTTACCATGAGATATCAGATATAATATTGCATCTACCTGGGTACCACCGTTTCCAGCGAGCAGATTTTGAAAATCTACACCTGATCCTGCAACCGCGGCAGTCGCCCTCTGCAGTTGCTGTCGCATATACTGCACAACGGAATCGGTCTGTCCTGCACGACTCAAAGAGGTAGCCGGTGTATCCACAAAGCACAGATTCCGCTCCAGCACGATTTCACCTATGCTTTTGCGCCGTCGGAGCACACGCGAGTCCTCCAGGTCCGACCACCATGAAGGGTACGGCTTGGTGCTAGCGTAGATCTCGGTTGTAGCGGTGGGCATCCCGCGAGTGGGGACGGGCCCGGAGTGGGGTCGCGAGGAACGGCGCCGCTCTAGTGCAGTCATGGAGAGCGAGTCGATAGAGTCAACGTGAACGATATCTTCGCATGTTTGGACAATGGCTTTTATCAAGGAGGTTTTTCCAGTTCCTGCGAGATTCAAATACTGCGTTAACCGGAGTGGACCTTCGCTTCCAGCCAAAAAGAACTCACCTGGCGCTCCAGCTACAAGCACTTTGAATCTACCCATCGCTTTTCCCCGCTCTGTAAATGGCCGTCGACTTGGCATCTTGATGCTGGGCATAATAAACTGCGAAGCTCCGGAGAACCCCAAGCGAGGGGAAGGCCGAGGTCTCTCTTCTTCATCACCTGACCCGATTGCTTGGCTGTTAATTTCATCGGTGATCGAGATATCATCCAGCGGTCGGAGAGACTGGTTGGAGATAGACTTTGGGCTGCTGGGCAGCGACGATGGATCGTCGGGGTGAAATGGAGTCAACGGGCGGGAGACCGTGTCCGAGGAAGGTGGCTGTAGGGATGACTCTCGAGTATCCTCCGAAAAGGGCCTGATTGTAGACCGGCGTCGTGAGCAACGTGACTCTCCCATACTGTCAGATCCCCGCGACGAGCTCCGTGTCCGTTGACTACTATCTGTGTGGAACTCCCGAGACGAGGAGGTTCTAAGCTCCGATCGAGATAGCGTCTCTGCTAGACTGTGCACGCCGTACATGCTTTCTTTGGGATCGCCGACTGCATCTGGAGAGGGGCTGCGTTCTGTATCGGAGGCATGCGGGCTGCGAGATAGGAAGAAGGTTGCGGGGGCGGCAGTGCGGGTATCTAACGACGAGCACGAGGGTGGAGGGTCTGCGGAGGGTTTACGGGAGAAGGCTGACAGGTCGGGAACTGGTCGCATGGTCGAGACATTTGAGGGAAGTTGAAGAGGATGAAGTTGAATCGTAATACTTTCGGCGGGCTATCGCGGGGGGGTTCATATTATGTTGCGTATGTAAGCCATCACATCACGCGGTGCGGAAGGTTGACCAGTGACCAGGGTTCAAGAGCTGACCTAAGTGTGTAAGTGTAATCGAGTATGAAATTGGGTACATAGTATAGGTGTAGGGTTTATCTTGGTAAGTAATTTATGTTTATATAACTAGCTGTTTATTCAGCAGTGATGGCTTCTCTCTCTAGGGGCATTGCTGTTGTATACACAACCATATTCCTTGGGTGGGGAGGATGAGTATAGATAGTATACTGTGTAATCTGCCTATGGACTTAAGGTAGATCTAAATTAAGGTAATAATCATATATGGCATCGAAAGAGTTATTATAAATTGCTGGAGATGTTCAAATCATCCTTCTATCCTCGATACTCGATAATCCTTCACCCTAGCCTCACTTACCACTCACTTATTTCGATGATAGCATATTATTATATTAAGAAGCTTCATGAATCCATAGTTCCGGCCTTCTTCCATCAAGTAAGGCAAGATGGCCGAGTTGGTCTATGGCGCACGGTTCAGGTTTACCTGATCCACAATTCCGTGTCTCGAAAGGGGCGTGGGTTCGAATCCCACTCTTGTCAAAGCATTATCTTTTTGTCTCTTCTCTTTTTGAGCTAGATAAGTTGATCTTATTACAGGATTCTTTTTGGTTTGTTAATGAGATCTTATTAAGGCCTACCTAGTATATCGGTATCGGGCATATAGTTTCATTTTCGTGGAATGACTGGAGCGTGTGTCTCGTTAGAAAGAGTCGGGATCTAGAACTACGCCTTCCACGGAGTGCTATGGTAATATAGACTCTGGCCGGCTAGTCGTTTAGTGATTTGAGTTTTTATTACTCTACCATGTCCATGGAGCTTCAAGTGGGAGGGCTCTATGCTCTGGGCCATCCATATGTATTTATCATTGTCTCTGATGTAACTCAGCATACCGAGGTATATTCGTCCTATGTTGGTGTGAATATATTTCCACAACGTCAAACCCACAAACCCACACACAGTTACTGACCATCCAAATCTTCCCTATTCATACGAAAAGCACACATCCACATACACAGTAAAGCACCATCTTAAATACTAAACCACCCCTATCTACACCGATCACCAAAATACCAAAACCCAACAACAACTTATACCTACCTATTAGCCCAACCAAGCCCGTGATATTGCACACTCCCCACCATTCCTCCATCAAATGGTAAGATGGCCGAGTTGGTCTAAGGCGTCAGGTTAAGGTCCACCTTAGCGTAAATTCCTGATCTCGTTTACGGGGCGTGAGTTCGAATCTCACTCTTATCATATCTTCTTTCCTTTTTACATTTTTTTCCCTTTTCATTTTTGTGTGCTGTGGTTCTGTGGGTAGTGGAGTGGCGATGGCGTCGGCACCTGATGGGGAATCGGGAAGGCGGTGGGTTGGTTTTTTTTTGGGTGGGACCAATCACAGGGGGTGGGTTATGCGATTACGACCTGGGTATAAATTGGAGGGTGATTGAATCCATGTACTCTAAATATCAAGCACAGACAGCACTGTACTATTTTTGGATGTCGAGGTCTACTATAATCAAAGAAATACAATATCAGAGAATAGATAAAATCCGATCAATGCTCAATCCTGTCTTCAATATACTACAAAAACACGAATCCCACAACTTCCGGATTCCAGTCCAGACCCAATGCAGACGGGCTCAGATAGTCTATGTACAGAAAAATCCCCAAACCAACGCAAAAAAGCCAGGCACAAAGCTTACTCAACGTCCAAAAAACCGATCGGGCAAAATAACATGACGAGAAGGGGAAAATAAGAGACTAGAGACAGGATGTGCAGTGCACAGCGATGCAAGTTGATATGTTTGGGATGGTAGTAACTACAGCTTGGCGCGAGGCGCGGATTCCTCCTCCAGAGCTTGCTCGTACAGCTTGTCCAGGAGTTGGCGGTAGACCTTGACGGTCGGGGGGCGCTTGAGCTTAAGACTGGAAGAGTGAGTATATTAGCAAAGTGGCTACAAAAAGGGAGATATAGATAATCCACGGGATCGGGTGACTTACGTTGGGGTCAACAAGTTGTTCTCAACGGTGAACGGCTCCAACTTCAAAGAGACGTTGCGGACACGCTCATATCCAGCAAGACGATGCTTCTTAGCAACGCGCTCGAGATCACGCAGCACCGCACGGCGAATCTTCTCATCTCCCAGAGCCTCCTTAATCGCATCGAGGTCCGTCGCGCCGATAGGACGGCCGAGAACCTTGCTAGCGAAGGGAGCGAACAAGTCGGGCGCAACGCCAAAGATACCAACCAGGAAGGTCTGCATGCTGTCACCGTGGACGTAGGCCTGAGCCAGATAGCCCAGCTCGGACATGAACACACCCTCCAGACGCTCGGGGGAAATGTATTCACCCTGTGCCAGTTTGAGCACGTTCTTGCGTCGGTCGATGATGATGATGCGGCCCATCTCGTCGATCTGGCAGACATCGCCGGTGCGGAACCATCCGTCTTCGGTCATGGCCTTGGAGGTCTCTTCGGGGTTCTTGAAGTACTCGTTGAACATGTTGTTACCGCGCAGGAGCAGCTCACCACGGGGGTAGGGCTTGTCCTCGACGGAGTACTCCATGTCGGGCAGGGAAAGAAGGCAGGCTTCCGTGCAGGGAGCGAGACGACCACAGTTACCCGAAGTGAGATCATCGGTGGACTGTGCAGTACCACAGGCATAGGACTCGGTCAGACCGTAGCCCTGGACGATGTCGGTACCGGTGGCAATCCGCAGGAAGTTGTGCAGACTCGGGTCGAGAGGAGCCGAGCCGGAGACCATGTAGCGGGCACGCTCGAGACCGAGAGCAGCAGCGACCTTCTTGGCCCAGATACGGTCGTAAAGGGCATGCTTGATGGTAGCCTTGGAGGGGTCGGGGTTCTTCAAGTTGGCAGTCTTAGCCGCAATGATGTGACGAGACATAGCACCCTTGAAGCCGGGAGCCTCGACGGTAGCGGCCTTGATCGCAGTACCGAAGCGACTGTATAGACGGGGCACGGACATGAAGCCAGTGGGCTTCAGCAGCTTCAGATCATCGACCAGCTCGACAATGTTGCCGTGGAAGTAGCCAATCCGAGCGCCACCCCAGAAGGCACAGTGCTCGGAGAGACGAGCGTAAATGTGAGCCAGAGGAAGATAAGAGCACATGGTGTCGCCCCGGGCCTGGCCGATGGTAGTCAGACCGGCAGAGGTGGCAGCCACGGCGCTCTTGTGGGTCAGAACAACACCCTTGGGGGGACCGGTAGTACCGGAGGTGTAGTTGATGGTGACAATGTCCGAGGGGGAAGGAGGGTTGTATCCACGCTTGGAGGCCTCTCCCAAAGCCTCGACCTGATCAATGGTATAGATCGACACGTCCTGGCCAGCGGCGATTGACTCCAACAGGGCACGCTTGGAGTGACCAGCCTGGTCACCGCCATCGAGGGGGTCCAGGCTGACAATCATCTTGAGGTTGGGCAGGGCATGCTTGAGCTTGAGGAGGGTGGGAATGTGAGGGAGAGAGGTAACGACACAGCTCAGCTCTGCGTGGTTAATGATATACTCGGTAGCGTCGGGAGCAAGCACATCGTAGATCGAGACTGAGTAGAGGCCCTGAGACATGCAGGCCAAATCTAACAATCAAATGTATTAGCTTCTAGAAGACTCGTAGAATTCCGCTAGAGTTCAACCCCCCCCTACATACCGGTAATCTGCCACTCTGGGCGGTTCTGGCACCAAAGACCAATACCGTACTGGCCCGGACGGTGGCACTCGTGCTTGTTGTGCAGCTCAACCAGACCAGCACCGAATGCAGCGCGGCGCTTCTGGACCTGCTCGTATGTGAGCCACTGATAGCCATCGAAGGTCTTGGTGACTGGGTTGAAGGGACGCCAGCCGAGGCAGTGGTTCTTGGGCTGGCGGTTGGCGGTAGACTCGAACATGTCATGAGCGGTGACGACCTATCCGTGGAATCTCGTATTAGCCCTGCATGTTCCATTCCTCTAGTCCTCGCTTATCGCGACCACCTAATCCACATACCTGAGGATCCAACGTGGCCAACAGCTCTTTCTGCGCATTCCAGGCCCGGTATACCCGGCTGCGACCAGGTTGCTCAGTTCCTGGGATGGCCACGGAGTACGGCGTCCCCTTAGGAGGGGCCTGCTTCAGCTCCTCCGCCTTGGCGAGGTGTGCGGGTTGTGAGAAAAACATGATGAATCAATCTAGACGAGGTAAGAAGCAGATGAAGTATTAGCAGATGCTCGGATGCGGCGGCAAAGCTGGGGAACATGGGGAATGTAATTCATACCTGGTGTTTTGGACGAAAGCAATGGAGCAAGACAAGGAAAGATAAGAGAGTTGATCCCCCAAAGTGAACGAGTCCACTGCGATTAGAAGAGAAGGGACGAAAAGTGTGGGGGGGGAGAGAAAGAAGGGGGGATGGAGACGAGGATCTGGAGTACGGAGAAGATGAAAAGGAAATCCGGAGAGGGCGACCTTTTTCGGTCAAACTTCCATCGCGACAAGTGGAGAGTGGATCAGGTGGGAAAGTACCTCGGCACATTTGTATGGGGTTACCTGTAGTTACAGTGGCAGCCCCATAGTTAAGACAAGTACCGATGCTGAACCCCCTAACCTCAACAGAGTTCATGCAGCCCGATGTCATCGGCCCTCACATGTCGATTTCACATGGGATGAATAATCGCAGACCCGTGGAATTCGATACTTTTTCGTGACAACCACATAGATAGGACCATATGTAGTTTATAAAGTTTTATCATGTTTAATTCATACCACGTTCCACCCTTTACAATTTACGCGGGAAATCCATCTAGTGGAGATGTGTATATCATATATATAAATAATAATGCCCAATTCTATCGGCAAGATAGGCCCGACGAGGTGGTACTGTACAAGACACACAGGCCAAAAAAAACAACCAACAACGCCATGCCCAATGCCCACATGCCACGAAAACAGAGAGCCAAGAATAATAATAAACAATAAAAAAAAGGTTATAGTCAAACGCACGTGCCTCAACCCTCAAAAAAAAGGGTTCAATCAATATTCACACAAAATCAACCACAGATCCAGTACCACACCTTGCCGTACCAGGTAGTCGGCTCAACCGTCTCCCAGTTCTCGCTATCGGCCGATGTTCGGCCCGTGTCCAAGTCGGCCTCGATGGGCTTGACAAAGGCCGGGCGGAAGATCAACTTGTGGCCGCAGTACAGCACAACGAAGAGAATCAGACTCAGGTAGTTGATGAAGAAACTCTGGACGTCGAAGCCGCCAATGAACGAGGTGAAGCCCTGGGTGAGAATGATCAGGCAGTTGAAGAACAGGCCGTACCACGAGAACCACGGCTGCATGATCGCCTTGTACGGCAGGACATCGCGCGAAATGTTGCGCGCCTTGAGCGCCCGCTGGAAGGCCAGGTGGCAGCCGTTCAGAGAGGCCCAGGTGATGAAACCGGCGACACCGGAGATCTGAAGCAACCAGGTGAAAACGGTCGAGCCCGAGTTCGACACGTTGAGGAAGCCGAGCAGACCGAACAGAGCGGTGAAACCGACAGCGTAGTATGGGACACCGCCCTTGGTGGTGCGCTTCATGAAGCGAGGCGCAAAGCCTTCCTGGGCCAGACCGACGATGATACGGCTACCGCTGTACACGTTCGAGTTGGCAGCCGAGAGCACCACGGTCAGGAGAACGGCATTGATAATATCCGGGAGGACATTAACACCCGCACGGCGGGCAGCAACCACGAATGGCGAAGCATTGGCGTTACTGGCGCTGGCACCGCCGGCCTGGCTCTCCACGAGGCCGGGGTCGTCCGAGGGGACCACGATACCGATGAAGAAGATGGTCAGGATAAAGAAGAAGACGATACGGAAGAACGTCTTGCGGATAGCGGAAGGGACAGTCTTGCGCGGGTTCTCGGTCTCACCGGCGGCGATACCGACCAGCTCCGTACCCTGGTAGGAGAAACCTGCTTGAATCAGGCAAGACCAGAAGCCGACAAACTTAGCGAGAGAATCGTCGCCCTTAATCAGGTAAGGAACGAAGGGACCGGGGTGCACCCAGTACCGGAATCCAATATAACCCTCCTTACCCACGCCGGCGTTCATGCAGATAGCGAAGATCATGAAGCCAACCACGGTCAGAACCTTGATGCTAGAGAACCAAAACTCCATTTCACCATAGAAACCGACGGGCATCATATTGAAAATGATAATCAGGACCCAGAAGACGGCGATAAAAATCGCAATCGGAATCGTTTCGTCCCAGAATTGAATAATCAGACCAGTGGCCGTGAGCTCCAGCGCAAATGTCGATGCCCACGAGAACCAGTAGATCCAACCCATGGAGAAACCCAAACTGGGGTCGATCAGGCGAGCAGCGTACGCGGTAAAGGCTCCGGGGATGGGGATATAGGTTGCGATTTCACCCAGCGCGGTCATGACCGAGTAGACGATGGTGCCGACGAAGATATACGCAATCAAGGCGCCGACGGGGCCTGCATTGGCGACGGCCGTACCGCTACCGATGAAGAGACCAGTTCCGATAGTACCACCTGATTGCGATATAAGAATTAGGGGAAAATTCTGCGGCGAGCTCCGAAATTGGCTCTGATTGTTGAAGCGCATAGTATTGACTCACCGATGGCAATCATCTGCAAGTGACGACTCTTCAGCTTGCGCTTCAGATCGGGCAATGGGTTGGACTCGCGACTAGCACCGTGCTTCTCATAGTCGACATCGTACTGGTTGACAGGATCCTGAGGCTGGACCTGCATGATGGGGCCTTCCGACTCCATCTTTCCCTTGTCAGACCAAGCCATCACTGACTGCTTGAGGGGAGAAGCAGATCGCAGAGACTCGAACGCAATGCAGGGTGGTAGGTGAGAGGTAAGAAGGAGAAGTCAAGAGGAGAAAAGAGTCAAGAGTCAGAAGACGGGCGCGATCTCCACCGTGAAGAACGTGTCTGACTCCGGCTTGGCCTTTTTTTGCTGGTGGAGTAACACGCGACGTCAAAGCCCTACTACAGGACGTTCTCCGGATACCCAAGACGGCAAGATCTTAGGTAAAAGAAATCCGTGATGGGAACTGTAGTTAGAGATCTTGGGGAAATAAGCCTTGGCCAGGGCTGAATTGAATGGAAAGTCCAAGACAGTCAAGAGTCAATACTGACTCCGTTCCTCAAGCTTTCTTTTTGTATAATTCCTCAACAGAAAAAATTTTCCTTTTCCCGAAAAACTTCGATGCTCCCGTTGAGTTTTTTTTTTGCCTTTGCCCTGCCATGTGGGCCGCGCCGAAAACTTTTTTTTTGGTGGCGACTATTAGGGGGTATTGGGGGGACTTGGGCCTTCTGGCTTATAGGATTATGACTACTGGCTATGACCAAGTCAATATTCTTGTCCTATCGCTCTAGATATATACGGGCTAGGCCATTCAAGACCTGCTACTGTAATGTAGTACTCCGCGGTCGGGAAAGACTTGGACACTAAAGACCGTCCGGTGCAACTCTGCATGCAGGAAAGGCGCCACCCGCCGATCGGGGCTGTCCCGAAGGGTTTAGCTTGTCGGCCACGCGGCTTTGACTTGATGATAGATGTTCAACTCGGGTATTCCGCACTCTACTTGGTATATATAGATGATTTTATATATATCTCTCTATATTAATGAAAACTTGCACTCTTTATAGAATAAAGAAAACTCACTCTTTTCTCAACTGGCATCACTTTTCCGGTTGTCCACCGTGGAACTTGGCCGGTTCCGTTCCACTCAGCGGCAGCCACTCGACGGGCCAATCAATGCATCCCATCCGATAAGTATGTAAGCGGACTACGATAAGCTAAATATGGGCCCATTATTGCATTTGCAAACAAACCAATCAACGGTAGGATAACTAATATCTATGACAGATCATCTATGATCGGTAGTTAGCCGTTGATATAAAAAAGCCTAACTACAGTATGATTATTGAATCATGGTCAATACTACTGTAAGAGAATGAGCATAGGATATCGTTGGAAGAAGGTTTAATTGTATGAGATCCTCCACGCTCTGAGACTTACAAGTGTATGTACGATACTCAACTACTTTGATCATACTGGCGATGTTGCGATCGAGGGATCCTTATACCAAGAAACATTCCTGGTTCATACGAACTGAATTAGCGGCAATAAGATTCGATCCTAGAAGACAATCTCTAAGCTCTGGAGGGGTTGGTCATGGCTCCAAGGCCAATCTATTTAGATCACCTCTCATCCGACGGTACTTGACCATGATCATGACCTTTTTCAATAGATACAAGCAACAAATACTCAATTATGAAGTAATATTACAAACTTATTTGACAGGCATTAAGGTTATCATCATGCATATCGATACCAGCATAAGACTTGAAGTGATCATTATCGAAGATGAAACAAAGTAACAGCCGCGAGGGGTATCGTGGAAAAAGAAAGAAAAAAAGTACTGCGCTGCATAACAGGTCATTCTTTGACCATTGAGGTCACCACAGAACGAGCTAGGTAAATTTGGATATCTTCATCGCGATAGCTCAATAGCTCAACTACCGGCCTCTGACCGTCAATTTAAACACCGAGATGGGCATTATGCTGAGTCTTCTGCGCACTCTCCCCACTGTGTCGGTGATCCTTGAGATCCATAACGGCGAAGTAAGTAGTCACCACGAAAAGGACCCTAAACACAAAAAAAACACATTAGCCACAATATCCCCATCATGGAATAGAACTCCCATCGCGTTACGACAACGCGATATCTCACACCCCAAAAAAGATTGACTTACCACTCAAAAGCACCAAAAACAGTGACAGCCTGCAAAGCCCGACATCCACCCCAAGTGCAATAAGCCGGCGCCGGCAACTGCGCACCAATCGCAATAAAGCCCGCAAACCAGAAGATCATGGTAATAACCTCCACGGCGGGGATCACGAAGCGATGCGCCAGGCGGGGGAAGTAAATTGGTGCGGCGAGGAGGTAGGGAGTTGCGACGAAGGTCGTCCAGCAGCCCAGGAAGAGGAGGAAGTTTACTGTGTCGGAGAAACTCCACCAGTAGGAGAAGGTGCTGATTACTGTATTGGAGGGGAGTTAGTATAAAGTATGGAATGTGAATATTGAATGGGGGTATGTATAAAATGGTTGAAGTGTAGTGGACTACTGTAGAGTGTAGACAGTCTGGTCAAGTGGGGAGTCAAGGCACGTACCATAGGCGGTCAAAGCGACCACGATCAGGCCGAAGACGATTTGTACAAGACGCACGGCGTAGATCCAAGGCATAGCCATTTTTGAGTAGCTGTGGTTGTATTTGCGATGGGGAGATGGAAGAGTTGGGGGAAAATGGCACGAAGAATCTTTTGGCGACAGTCACTCCTAAAGTCGGGGGTAGGGTGTTACTAAAAAAGAAGCGCAAATACGAAGAAGAGAATGTAGAACAAGGGTAATGGCCAAAGCCACCATCACGAAAAAGTGGGCAGCCACCGGCGTCGCGCCAGCGTCATCGGTGACATCTTGGCACGACCATCAGGTGCTGCTTTGCACCTGACTGGTAGGGCTGACGTGGGTTGTGCTGCTAGTCTGCCCGTGCAGTGAGAGTTGGTTGGACTGGGGATGTTCCTTACTGTTTGAGTTGCAACTTATTTTATTAATTTAAATTGATCGGCGGGTGGAAGCGAAGTGACGTTGTTGGGGATACTTGCTGTGGAAGACGAGAGATTATTGTGAGCAGGGAGAAGTACTACCAAGGTATTTGAGAGCTTATAAAGAAAACAAAAGCTGACTGGATTCCCCCGGCTGGTTTTATTTTTAATCTTTCTTGCTGCCTATGTCCATGGTATACTGCATAATTTCCTCATTCTTCAGACCCTGGCACAGCCACTGTCAATGAAAGTTTTGCTGCGCTGCCTAATGCCCAGCATGTGAAACTCGGTTAGGCGCGCGCCGATCGTAGGGTCTCGGATTTGTCGCAAGTCGCCGAGGATTAGAAGCTATCGAGTGGATCAGGGTAAAAAGCCGACTGGTAGCTATGGAAGGAAACTTGCAGAAAACCATGGATATTCTCAATCAGACCATGGCTGAAATCGAAGAGGCTATACTTCTTTGTTTACTTGGTTGGAGTTTGTGGTTGTTGTGCCTGAAGGTTGAGGCAACTGCAGTGTCATTGGTTGTTCCATCGATGACGTCGTGGCTGAGACCCTACATTGAACCCCTCTAAAATACACTCTCCACACTTAAAAAACAAACTATAAAAGGTCTATAACAGTCTAGAAGTCTATAAGGTATTTACACTGCCTTTCCCAAACCTAGATACCATCTCGTGACATCCTTGGAAAGCCAAACAAGGTATCATGATCACCGTTAGATCGATTGCACGGTAGCCACGCGCTCCATCTCCATGGTAGGAATATCCGTCTGTGCCTCTGGTTCCGCTGTCGATGCCCCCCGTTTCTTTTCTTGGATCGTATTCTCGGCCAGCTTCTTCATGTACTGATCAGACTCGGCCGCGTATTTACACTTTGCCCGCACCGTAGAACCATACTTGTAGAAGAAGAATGGGAACGGCAGGAAAAGGAGCGAGATAAATGCAGGAATAGACGGTGCCCAGTGAATTCCGACACCGTCGTACATCCACGTTGACACAATAGGCAAGACCGCGCCAAAGATCGACCGAAGCACTGCGTTCGCAGCGAGCACGGACGCCGCATAGATAGTATAGGAGTCGATCAGGTAGTTCATGCACCCCATATAGATCAGGATAACGCCCATGCCGAATGGTGCCGTCCCGATGATGCATACAATCCAGTGGATCGAAGTATAGTTTGTCCAGGCAAACCAGAACTGGCTGATTGGGATGGCTATAGCCCCGGGCATACACATGATCAATCGAGTCTCCGGTGGCGCATATCCTCCACATCGACTTTGTACTTTGGTATAATGCAAATTCGCGGGGATAGTGCAGATGATCCCGATGATCATACCAACCATGATACCCAGGAAGGAAAGGCCTCCTACGCCGGGATTCCATCCTCGTACTTCCTCGAAAACGATGGGGAACGCCGCGAAGAACATGTAGAGTGTACCGTATACCAGTGCGACGTAGACTGCCGAGAGCAAGACAATAGGTTCTTTGAAAAGTAGAACCCAAGGCCTGGAGAGTGTTTTCCTCAGTAGTTCAGCGGTCGTTACTGGACCCTTCTCCAGCTCGATTTTACTGCGATAGACCTTGCCCGTAATTTGCGAGAGTCGATTCGCACGCTCTCGCAAGAGCACCGGCGCATATGTCTCTGGAGTCAACAAAGTTGATACTATCCAGACGAATCCAGCAGTCGCAGCGAGAAGACCCTCCACCCAGCGCCAACCAGCCTTCATCCCAAGAAATCCACCAATGATAGGGCCCAAAGAGGGCCCGAGGAAAGGCGCAGCAGCGTAGAGGCTTAGTCCAAGGCCCCGTTGTCTCGCTGAGAAAATATCCGAGATAGTTCCACCACCATTGGTCAATGGAGCAGAGCCAAATGATCCCGCGAAGAAACGCAGGATACACAGTGTCCAAATATTCTGCGCTCCGGCACAACCAGCCAGAAAAGCGGCCATAAAGAGCAAACTGATAAAGAATGAAACCTGCCGACCATAGACTTCGCCAACAGGTGCCCAGAACAATGGACCGATCGCAAAGCCTAACACGTACAAGGAAAGACCGAGTGTCGCAACGGGCGTGCTAACTTGGAAATCAGCAATGATCTCGTGGATACTACCGCTATACGCAGACGATGCCAGGGAGACGATCAAGCTGGCAAAGGCAACCGTGAGGGTAATTGAGATTTTGCGGGCGCCGCTGAAGAGTTGCGGATTGCGGCTGTCGTTGGGTATCCACGCTACCGCGAAAGGATTATCTTCCGTTCCAGACCCGGCATACTCGTAGTCGAGTACATCCTGGGTGATTGCTCCCTTATCGATGAGTAGGTGCCAGAAGGGGATTCGTTTCGGATAGACCGTTAAATTGGGACCTGTACTCCTCCCAGACATATCTACCTCGGTGAAGTAGTTGCCAGCCAAGGAAGAGGATGTATTATAATTTTTGAATAAACGGTTCAATCTTCGTCAATGTCCTATATAGCCAGCGTGAAACAAGCTTGTAGAGCCAGGAATATGGAATGAAAAAAAGCTTGGGTAATGTGGAGGCCGAGGATCTGCCGAGGCGCTCGGCGTGAAAAAGAGGCTGCGAGAGCGAGTGGGGAGTGTCAAGAGAGAAACACTGAGATGTGTTGGGAAAAAAAACATAACTAAGACGCAAACTGCAGGAGTATTTCGTCAGCAATCATAAGAATAAAATTGTGACACAAATCATTTCCTAGCGTGAGAATAATGCGCTTGAAGCGAACGGGAAAATGCTTAGAGCGTCTGTTATCGAAGCGGCCGGTGGGGCGAGACTGGCCGATCTAACCGAGACGATCGGCTTGTGCACCTGGCCGAGATCATTCTGATTATTATGCATATTGATAGGCCAAATATTGGTTTACTGTATGTATCCAGATGTTCTAATAGTTTGCTTAGAATTGCTCCAGAGCTGTTTTGCTTTTTATATAGAACGTGGCGTTTATCCGTGATCCACTATAAAGGTGAATGTATTTGCCTGCTCGAGTGTACTTACTCTTGTTGAACCGTTACCACTTCACATTTAATTGAGGTTCTATTGCCACTACTAGGGGCTCAAGAGTTCAATCGTAGGTTTTGTTCATTATGCTCGCTTTTTACTGGAGCAAATAATGCCCGTTCGCCCTACCCCGTCAGCCATCCTGCCTTCCTAGGTGTTCGTTGATATGACCACTATTTTCCAGCCTCGTGCCTTAAAAGTTGAGGAAAACATGACCCAGAGGTAATAAAGTTATAAATAGTTGAGACTGGCACTCATAGTTCCGATAGATTGGACATTTTAGACGCGTAGATTGTCTATGTTATACATTGTACATTTTTGTAGAGTTCTCAACCCCCCACCACTCTTCAATATCATCGACATAGATCAACCGTATCTATTGTGATAAAGTAAAATGAGACGCATGATGCTGCTGAAATTGGTCTTGATTAGACTGGTTGGAGTAGTCTCACTAGCCCCGTTTCGTCTGACACTAGGGAATTCCATCTTTCGCAACATACATCAATTGCTACGACCACGATTCGTCTGACGTTAACGAGTGTATGGTCATCTAGTTCCCTTTGGGAAGTCAACCAACTCCTTAAATCTCGGAGTTCCTCTTAGATAATTCAACCTTTCCTAGTCGAAGGTGTGAATAGTCATGCGACAAAGACGCGCCGAGGAGTATTGTGACTGGGGTAAAAGCTATGAATAATATTGCAGAACATGGCTGCAGAACTAAGTCGAATCTAATAAGGAAGATATGCTGAATAGCCAACAGAACTAGTCTGTCCATGCTAAAGAGACCGGCTGGTAGCTCGATAGTATAGTTGACTCTTCTTTAGCTTAAAATAGACAAACTATGAAGCTCCATCTCGTCCTCACGGTTTCTTGCAAAATATTGTCATACTGAGAAGGACTCACTAAGTCTTCGGCTATGTACCCATGGCGCACGGTGTCATAACTTGCACCCCCACATTTGGCGTATCGATTCTGTTCCTGACCCACTCCCCACTACTCGTAAAAGGCAAAACTACCGCAGCGAGTAGACAGGTTAGGTTTAACTATGGCCAGATCAAGTATACTTTTATATGCATGTTGAATACAAGAAATTCCAATGTGGGTATTGACAGGTACTGACTGTAGAGAGGCAGCCAGCCTGGTGCAACCACTGGACGGGCCAGACACGAAGCGAATCAGCCCATAGCACAAAAGCCAAGCCAAATCCAGCAAATTTAGGATTCTGTCGCCCGAGAGAAAGAAAGAAAAAAGCAAATTATCTTTTTTATCCGAATTGAGCCAGTATTCGACGAACCAGCTCGTCTTCTTCCGTAAACCTTCGCAATCACGCCATCGAGTCCCCCGCCAGCGTAGTTCGTGCCCCTCCTTCTTCTCCTGTTTATGAGGCCATTGTTGCCCCTGATTTTTCTCCTCTCTTTCAATCTATTTACAATTGATCTAATCATCTCCTCGTACACCAATCTCGTTGCTATCGTCCTCCGTTGGACCTCGCTGTACCCTTTCCCCGGATAATTTTGAAGCTCCGATCACCGGCTTCCCCGCATTTCAGCCATGGCTGATCAAAATCTCCACTTCGAGACCCTTCAGCTTCATGCTGGGTAAGAACAACCTCCTATTTACCATTAATTTTTTATAGTGATGTATGATTAACATTCGCCTCTCCAGTCATGAGCCTGACTCGTCCACCAATTCCCGCGCAGTCCCTATCTACGCCACATCTTCCTACACTTTCAATGACTCCGCCCACGGCGCGAGGCTCTTCGGCCTCAAGGAATTCGGTAACATTTACAGCCGCATCATGAACCCTACCGTCGACGTTTTCGAGAAGCGTATTGCTGCTCTCGAGGGTGGTGTTGCTGCTGTTGCAGCTTCCTCCGGACAAGCCGCCCAGTTCATGGCTATTTCCGCGTTGGCGCATGCTGGCGATAACATTGTCTCCACAAGCAACTTGTACGGTGGCACTTACAACCAGTTCAAGGTTCTTTTCCCGCGTCTGGGAATTACTACTAAGTTTGTCAATGGCGATAAGCCCGAGGATATCGCTGCTGCCATTGATGATCGGACTAAGGCTGTGTATGTCGAGACGATTGGTAACCCCCGCTACAATGTGCCCGACTTCGAGGCCATTGCAAAGGTTGCGCATGAAAAGGGTGTTCCTCTCGTGGTAAGTTCTCAGAGACTGATATCATATCATCACCCAATCTTGATCATACCCCACAAGTAACTAACGCTTCTGTCCATGGCTAGGTTGACAACACCTTCGGTGCCGGCGGCTACTTCGCCCGCCCCATCGACCACGGCGCTGACATTGTCGTCGAAAGCGCAACCAAGTGGATTGGCGGCCACGGCACTACCATTGGCGGTGTAGTCATCGACAGCGGCAAGTTCGACTGGGGCAAGAACGCCGCTCGCTTCCCTCAATTCGTCGAACCCTCCGAGGGCTACCACGGACTCAAGTTCTGGGAGACCTTTGGCCCTATCGCCTTCGCTATCCGCGTTCGTGTCGAGATTCTGCGTGACCTGGGCTCCGCCTTGAACCCCTTCGCAGCCCAACAGTTGATTCTTGGTCTGGAGACGCTGAGTCTGCGCTGCGAGCGCCATGCTACTAATTCCCTTGCCCTAGCCAAGTGGCTTCAGAAGAATGAGAATGTCTCTTGGGTTTCATATCCCGGTCTTGAGGATCACCCGTCGCACGCTACGGCGAAGAAGTATCTGACTCGCGGATTTGGTGGTGTCTTGTCCGTTGGTATTAAGGGTGGTGCGGCGGCTGGAAGCCAGGTTGTTGATGGCTTCAAGTTGATTTCTAATCTTGCCAAGTAAGTTATGCATCAAGGCGTGTTTGATGGTATATCCTAACGATTTTCTTCTAGTGTTGGCGACTCCAAGACTCTGGCCATTCACCCCTGGTCTACTACCCACGAGCAGCTGACTGACCAGGAGAAGCTTGATTCGGGTGTGACCGAGGATGCTATTCGTATCTCAGTCGGCACTGAGCACATCGACGATATCATTGCCGACTTTGAGCAGTCGTTCAACGCATTGAAGGCTGCTTTGCCCGATCGTACTGCGTAAGGGAGGTGTTCGATAGGCACCAGGATTATGATTGGGCGTGCTTTTACAAGGAGTTAGTTATTTACGATTGTATTGACGCAGGAGACCTGTGAGGTTTCCCTTATATCCCAGAGCTGAAAGTCTTTTATGCGTCGTATTTACCAATCAATCAATGATACGATGAGAATCAATTTATGAAGTGCTTGAATTACAAGGTGGGGAGAGTTGCTATAGAAAGTGCTAGAAAATTTATGTTTGGATAAAAGGAGATATTTGATGCAAAAAAAACCGACTAAAAAGAAGAAAAACAGGAGATGCTAAAGCCTAAAGTAATGAAGCGGGCGTAGAAAATATCTCTTTACTCCTCAACGTCTACGCCCAATATCGAAGCGAAGCATCAAGGAGCCGGCATTGCTAAAGCTATAGGCAAGGATACCAGTAATACGAGTCGTCCCTCTATTATAACCCGCAAGAACAAAATACCCAACAGTCCGTCCAATACGAGTACCCATAATCTCATCATATTGTCGGGTTCCGTGTGCCCAATGCCGCGGCTCAGCTGGGGGCCAAGACTCACCAGGATAGAGAATCTGCTTAATATAAGCGTTAGTTTGCCTGTTAGTAACAGTCTCAGCAAAGACATACCTCAAGCCCCCCGCTCATGGTGTCGAGTGAACATAGCAAGCGCGATATCCGAAGTGTGGGGGGTCTGTAGAACCTGCTTTTCGAGTGATTAGTGTCGCGACGATGATATTTGGCGAGATGTACCCATGCCAGGAAGAGTGTCTTACGGAGATTGTGTATTTTTTGTAGTCCCCTGCGACTCGAGGCATTTCACTAAGTGGTGGTAGGATTAGCTGTTATTCGATATTGGAAAGGGTTCCCGAGAGCCGGGCCTCCATCACTTGTATACCATTTCGGCGGAGAAGGTTGCTTGCTTGGGTGTTTTTCGTGACTGGGCATCCGGGCTCGGTAGGGTTATCGATCCATCGGAGTAATTGGGATCCACGATCGCGCAGCCAGGAAGTATCCATGGCGACATCTCGCGGATCAGATTCGAGATCCGTCGAGTTAGTTAGCGAGACTGATGGGTTGCCCTCGTCAGAGTCTGAGGAAGACTGGCCTCCACAGAGGCATGTTAGAAGCGAACAATGGCAAGGCATTGCAAAATTTGAAACCATTCCTGCTAGGAAAACTGTAGAGCGAACAAACGCGTATGTAGGGATTGGATAAACGTTGCCTTTCGTTATTGAGAGTATTCTCAGGTGTGCTTAGAAAGAAAATAGAGGTAGAGGATTCTAAACTTCTTATATACTTTTCTCGAAGGAGGGAAATTTAGTGACTATGTACAAAGGCCAAGTTGGTATATTAAGAGTGAGACAATAGTGCAAAATTAGATTATCAATGTCCTCGTTCGCAAAAAGAACACGCTGAAGTTTCAACAAAGAGGGGCCTTCTTGATGCAATCAACAGCTACACTTGGTGGTTGTTAGCCATGCAAATTTCGAATATAGAAACGCCATTAAAAGAAAGAATCACAATGAATAGACCTAAATTATTATATAGGCTGGGGAAAGGCATTGTTGTGAGGGATTAGGCTATTCAAAGACTAGGAATAAAACGAGTAGAGAATACTAGACTTCCTTGTCGTTCCTCGAAGAGTGTAGTAGTCCCCAAACATCTTACTATTCTCATTGCTGATCTATTTCTAGTACATTAACCTCACTCCTCTAACATGTATGATCATCTATCAATCACGAATTACCGGGTCTATTAATTTCAGCCAAGCTTGCTGCATGTGCCATCAATGCAGCACCCACCCCAGACCCATCCTTGGTAAGAGTAATCCTAACCCTCTGCTCACCCGCGGGTCCAATCTCAGGAACTTCTCTCATTGCACCGCGCATTTCAGCCTCAAATGTCGGATATGACTCTATAACCGAGCCATCGGCTCCGATGTCGATAATATCACCAGGTAGTGGCGTACCATCGGTATCCGGTGTATGTTTCGGGGGCATCCAAGATGGTCTCTTGCAAATCAACCTCACAAAATCCAAAAGGTGGCGTAGAAGAAGAGGCGCGTAGTTGTACAAGTTTTTGAAGCTATATGGTGAAATGGATGTCGCTCGCGAAGGGACTCGTTTCAGGAATTTTCTCGAGGAAGTTTCGAGTCGTCCGCTTTGGATGATCACAGCTGCTAAGGATGCACCAGACAAGCGTGCTGCTCGTCTGGCAATGGCCTCGGCTATCAGTTTGATAGCCTCTGCATCTGTCCTACTGACATCCTTCGCTGATAGCGTGTCTTGGAGCAGTCGAACTGCGTTGTCGATGTCGTTCTTTGAAATCGCAAGATGAGACAGGAGGGAACTGTCGATCCTGTCGCGCCGAAAGAGGCAAGACTCTTCGGCGATAGTCATGTCGAAAGCGCTCGCTCGCAACAGCTTTAGAATTGCTAATCGGAGGAGCTCCCCGAGATACAGTCCAGATACCCTCTTTTCCAGCATTCCAAAGCCGGGATCAACGGATGCAGCGTCTAGTTCATCATCGAGTGGCGTTCGCGGCAACACTTTCATCTCGTCATCCAGGGAACCCCATTCACTGTTGATCACCATAATGCCCTCTGCATTGGCTTTGACCTTCTTGAGTCTCCGCACATTGGACAGCTTTTCCACGTAGGCGGCATTTGTCCCAGTTCCAAAAATGACTGCACCTAGCGTAGATATCCCTTGACCCGAGCTGTATGATCTTGTCAAGAGCGTACCAACGCTGTCATTTGCCAGAACCGTCACTAGAACTGGCAATCCCATTCTATCAATGGCTTCTTGAAGCATGACGCATGGATCACGACCCACGGCTTCTGGTATATCCCAGCCCTTGTCCCAGTGTATGAGACGACCGCCATTGAGAGATTCCTGCTCGCAGGTAAAACTGAATGTAAAGCCCAACTTGTAAGCTGATCGACTGTGGGGATCGAGATGTGCACTGAGAAACTCTGAAATATTTCGTGCAATAAAGTCGAACAGAGGCCGATAGCTTTGATTGACCATGACACTGGACGGAACTTTGTGTTTACTTTGGAGAACGGTGAAAGTAGAATCTCCGTGTAATTCGGCCATGCATATCCTACAGTTGCTGCCACCGAGATCAACAGCCAGAAACTGGCCCTTCTCAGCTCCAGTTGGCACGCTTTGTAGATAGGCGGGTAACTGCCACGGGCGTTCATTTGCAAGACCGTCCTCTAGTAGATGATACCGTCAGCAATTTGTTTCTCATAGCTCAGTCCTGATATTATTTCCTTACTCAACTGGCGAACCAAATGTTTCGTCACTCGCCGCACATGTTCAGAACTGAGGCTGAACTCGCTAGCAATCTGCTCGGCCTGAGCCATCAAGCCCAACCGGTCCCCGTTCACTTTCGTCATGGTCAACAGGGATAGAAGAGTAGAGAACCAAAGACATCCACAAGCCATCCATAATGAGCGACTGAAGTATTCGAGAATAGGAATCGAGAATAGCTGTCCCGTTCACGATGTGGAGCAGTTGAAGACCGACGTTACAGAATTTGTGTTGGTATTATTCATTCGACGGGCAAATTGCCGGTAGACGACCGGTTAATTCGGACTGTTCAGCTCTAGGGACCAAGGCCCGGTCCCCTTAGTGAACTTTAGGTCTTGCAGTAGTTACGCGGTCCACGTCCCGCGCCTCCGGTGATCTTTTGACTTTGCCGGTTTCGCCGAGGGTCCACAATCCGTTTGAGGGGAATGCAGAAGAACGTGCATTTAGTCAGGGCGCTATTCCGTCTGCGGAAGCTGAGGTGATGGATGTGTTAGCTTTGGAACTGAAAACTCGCTGAAAGTTTGTGTTGTGCATCAAAGATGTCCACTCGGTTTCCAGTATATCCCTCGGTCTACGACGGCTAGCGCCCTACTCGGGCATGATCACCTTGCTAGTACAACATGTTTGACGATTAGCATAACTCGAGAAAGATGAGAATGTTGGTTCCTTGGCTCTACAATCCGCACTTGGAAAATCATATTATGAGAGTACATGAACAGTATAATGAGAAAGTTTGGTTGAGAAAATTTGCTGCCTAAATGTACAATAAATTGAATAACTAAGGATCGAAAGTAATTCAAACTGGTGAAAATGGCATAGTCACAGATCGTACGGTCAACGGCTTCAACTGTCCGATACGCGATGACATACTATCCGGAGTCAACTCTCCATCCTCCGGCTCCCTCCACGTCCCATCGTTCGAGGTGGCCAGTGTAAGCGATGGCGGAGTCTCGCTGCTCATTCCCTTTGAAAGAATGGTGCGTTCCACGCCCGTAAAATACTGCCAAACAGTCACTATTAGCATCGTAGTCGACTACATCTTGTAAAGAAGAGGAATCTTACCCTGACAGTTTTCATCTTCAACTCCATCGTAGCATCCTCGTCAACGACAACCATGCTGGATGAGTGTAGTTGCAACGCAGACAATGTGCACAAGTGGCTGATGCCACCCTCAACAGCCTGCTGGATAGCAAGCGCCTTTGAAACCCCAGTTGCGATAATAACCACCTCTCTAGCATCCATGATGGTCTGAACACCTACCGTCAGCGCCATGCGCGGCACAGCGTCAATGTCACCATTGAAGAACCGCGCATTAGCGATGATAGTCTCATGGGCGAGGGACTTGATTCGAGTCCGACTAGCCAGGCTTGATCCAGGCTCATTGAATGCGATATGACCGTCACTGCCTACACCACCAAGGAATAGTTCAATTCCGCCAACGGCTTTGATCTTGGCCTCGTACGCAATGCACTCCTCTGTTAAACTTGTGGCGTTACCGTCGAGGAGGTTGACGTTTTTCACGTCGATATTGATGTGTCGGAAGAAATTGTTGTACATGAAGGAGTGGTAGGACTCGGGGTGATCGCGAGGCAGACCGACATACTCATCCATGTTGAATGTTACGACATGTTGAAATGAGATCTCGCCTCGAGTATATGCGGCAATCAACGCTTGGTATATGGGTAGAGGGCTGCTGCCTGTCGGTAGTCCTAGGACAAATGGCCGCTCTGTTGTGGGACTAAAGGCATTGATTCGTTCTATGAGAGATGAGCATGAAGGTTGAACAGTGTGTTGTGTCAACACTTACTGACAATATACGCGGCGATGTACTGCGCCGCCTGCTCAGGGCGCTCTCGGACAATCAAACGCATGATTTAAGGTTGGTTGTGCAAAAATAGAGGTAGAAAGTTGAACTTGGGGGAAAATTGAAGTCAGATTGCAATGCGGATTGTTAGGGGAAAAGGTAAATGTTTTCTAGAAGGCAAATTAATGTCTCTAATTTCTTGCGACCAATGAGATTAGTAACTTGGAAGTAACATGACTACAACCACGGGTGATCATTCTGCTACGATACAACCGTTTACTCCTTATCCTTCGTCATTAGAAACACCTGGGTCTTCAAGATTGAAATAGGGTCCGGTGATATCGGGGAATCCGGTTAAACCGGTAAAGTGACTGAAAGTCCGGAGAGAGCGGAAATTGTCAACGGCGAACACAAAGAAGATGAGATAGTCTCCACACAGACTCCATTTATTCGGAGCGGATCGGATTCAGAGATATTAAGTTGGATACTGAGATCATCTGATGGGAGGATGGATGTCGTCGAAGTAAAATGCAGAGCAAGTGAGTCCTCGCAATTTGGCGGAGGGCTGAGATCCCACTTGGAGATACAGTGTAGTAGAGTCACCCGTTATCATTTCATTTAATTTCTATACTCAATTTTAAGTCAACTTGAACAGTACACTTGGAATATAGAAATATTGTATATCGATATTATCATGATTGTATTCATAATCCCAAAACATCATCCATATCAGAACATATAGATCTCTCAAACACAAAGATCAATTCAAATCATAACCCCCATTTAAACCCGTCAACAGAAATATCCTCATTCCTCCTTCGCATTAGCAATCTTCTCCTTATACTGCTTGCTTCCAACAAACCACCAAATCAAAATCAAAATAGGTAAACCACCCACCACAACACAGGTATAATTCATATTCTGCGCAGTCAGGGGCATACTATACGGGAAACTGAAGAAGACGATTGCAAAGACCAGCCATCCAACAGTAACACCATTAACGAGCCAGCCCCATTTGCCCATGTGGAAAGTACCCTTGTGCATGTTCAACCGGCCCGTGAGCATATTCGTAGAAATGGGGATGAGATACGCCACGTTGTTAATTGTAACGGCCGCACCAAGCATACTGTTGAATGCGGTGCTGCTGCCGAGATACAGACAGCCTAGGACGGCGTTGGCGGCGGCGACCAGCAATTGGGCGTTGAAGGGGATGCCGAAGCGCTTGCTGACGCGGCCCCAGACGTTGGAGAATGGCATGGCGCTGTCACGGGCGAAGGCCCAGAGGACACGGGAGGTGGAGAGTTGGGAGGATACGACGCAGGGTCCCAGGGCCACGAAGAGGATGAAAGTTAGACCGAATGCGCCACCGGCAGATTGGGTTGCTTGGTGGAATAGTTCGGCTAGTGGGAGGCCGGTGTTGGTGGTTGATAGGGCGGCGTAATCCTGGACGCTGAACATGAGGCCGATCAAGTAGGTTAGGCCAGTGATGAAGGCGATGGATAGAGTGATGGCAATTGCCAGAGGGGCATTTCGAGAGGGCTGTTCCTGTTAGTTATGATGATGAATTTATAATGGGTATTGGGTGACTCACGTTTGGCATTTCCTCGGTGATATGGGTTACACCGTCGAGGCCGCCCAGACTATACAGGGGATTGACAAGGCCGGTGATGAAACAGATACCGTTGTTACTCCAGCCAGTATTGTTGATCCAGGTCTTGAAAACGAAGGTCGTGTTCTGGTAAGAGGGTGCGCATGCAACAACCGTGACAAGAACGACCAGCCAACCGATCTGGAGGTAGAAAAGAGAGAACTTGTTGAGTGCTGGGATGATCTTGTTTCCAAACAGAACCACGGCAGCCGTGAGGACATTCAGGATTTGGTAGATGACGAAAGTCTCCCAGGTCTTGATGGTCATATCAGGGTGGTAAAGTGCATATAGAGCTTGGACTAGTTTGTGTTAGATCGGGATTGCTTTGATCGGATATGATGATGGACATACCGACTTCAGCAAAGATCAGATTCGTAGACGCAGTGGTGAAGATCCCTAAGCCATCATTTAGTTCTAGGGCCCTATTTTTGACCGGAAAAGCTCAACTTACAACCACAGACGGTCAACCATCCAGTAATGAAACTCAAGAAAGCACTGTATTTCTTGGGCGCCACAGCGGCGATCCAATGGTACATTCCACCCTCGGTTGGGTAGCTCGACACGAATTCAGCCAAGGAGGCACCGAGGAAGGATTGCATGATCGTGACGAGAATAAACCCGTAGATGATAGCACCTGGACCACCGGCATTAATCTCAGTGACAATGCCCAATCCAAGACCCGTCCAGGAAATTGTCGTCGTAGATGCAAGGCCGATCAGAGATAGGATACTGAAATGACGCTTCAACTCTTGAGTATGACCTGATAGACGTTAGCACGCGATGGACTTTTATCTTGAGATGTAAAGACATACCCATTTGCGCCAGACGAAGCTCGTCAGCATTCATAGGTGAACCGTCCATTTTGGACTCGACAAGCGAGCTTTCGCTGATAATTTCGCCCATCTTTTTTATGCCCTTGAAGATTGAACCAGCTGTGATAATCTAGCTGAGGGGTAAGCCTTGTAATAATCACACAATCACCGGAGATACGAGGGCACCCGAGTGGGTGTTTATGTATTTATCAGGGTATCTCGATAGAAATCCTGCATATCACTTGACCAGTCGGGCCCCACTGTTTTCTCTACGCGACTTGCGGAGATCAACGGTAAAAGCAGGAGGAATAAGGCTTATCGAAAATGGGGGAAGAGGGTTATTTTTCTTCAAGATAACTCAAGCTATTGGCTGATAGGAAACACCGACTTGTCCGGTCATTTCCCCGGCGACGGGCCGGTGCCGGAGCGCCGATTGGATATTTATTTGGTGGGCTAACTGATTCCGTTCGTTTAGTTAACTTTAGTTGGGTTTTTAGTGACTTTGGTGGCTTTTCTCCGCAATTCAGCCGAGCCGTGGGGAAATAAGTTCCCGACGATAACAGAAATCACCAGACATGGTCAATTTGACTACTGTCCAGGGTATAAATATCGAATTAACAATGGAATGTCACGTCACATGTGTTAATTCTTTCCTGCGACCCCAAGATGCGTGTAAATGCCAATTGGTCTCGAATCGCCAGTCTTGGCCTGCTAGGTGCCAGCCTGGTGCACTCTGCCGAGCTGAGCAAGCAATCCAAGACACTCTTTGACCAGTCAATGACGCTGATGGACGATATCTATGATTCCGATGCTGGTTATTTGAATTATTTTTATTATCCCCTGGCTGCGGATTCACACGAGACCCGATCGAGCGTTTGGTATTCCGTTGGACTGCTCCAACGTAACCAGGGCAGTGATCGCGATGAAGCAATTAAGATCATCAAGAATGTGATTGGTGATCAAGAGAAGAACCAGTCCGTGCTGTGGTACGGTGATTATACCAAGTATCCCGAGCAGCCAACGGTTGCAAGTCCTGCATATGCCCCAGTGGTAAGTCTACATCCCCCTCGTACTCCGCACAGTGACCCCACATACTAATACAGGATAGATCTATAACTCATGGGATCCCAACTGGCGAGGCTTCATCGGCACCGCATTAATTCTCATTTACGAGGAGTTCGGCAATCTTTTACCCGCAGACGTGAAAGATCTTGTCATGGAGAGTCTCTACAACAACACCATCGGCGATAGCTATCGCGTCGGCGGCGTCGATGACGATAACCTCTACCCAGCTTATTCGAATGCCTGGCTGATGCGCACAGTGGCCACCTCCTGGACTGGCCACCATCTGAAGAATGCCAACATGACATCTGCGGGAGACACCGATGCCCAGAAATTCCTCGACCTCTTCGATCGCAATGGCACCTTGTCCGAATTCAACGGTCCCACCTATGCAGGTGTCTCGCTCTACGCGCTGACCATTGCCGCGAAGTACCTTTCCTCGACTACATCCGTTATCGGACGTAATGCCGAGCGAGTCATCCAGGAAATCTGGGGCTACGAATCGCAACTCTGGAATCCGAATATGAGAAACTTTGCCGGGCCCTGGGACCGATCGTACGGTTACGATATGAATAAATACGTCGCTATCATGTCGATCTGGATTTGGTCCCTGGTCGGCAAAGAGCATGTCTGGCAATCCAAGTCTCCAATTTGGACCATGACTCACGCAGATGACTTTGAGATTGCGCCTATCGTCGCTGTCTTGTCGAACTTCCATAAGAAGCTTATCCCGCAATCTGCACTCAACAGATTGACTGCTTTCTCTGGCGAGCATACCTACCACGGACACACTTATGCTCCACCGGCAGACTATGAGCCGCGGAATATCACTACTTGGCTGTCATCTAATCTGACTATCGGCACAGACTCGTTCAACCAGAGCAATGTCGGTGGCTTTTCAAAGGACTCTTCTTCTTTCTCGCCCTCGGTCGTGCAGTGGATTCGTCCCGGTGGCTCTATCGGATACTTTAATCTGTATCCGACCCAGACTGCCTTGCAGGCGGAGGTCAGCCCGTACGCTCTTAACCTGACTTATCCTCTGGGTAACTCCACGAGCACTTTTACATTCGTTCTGGCTGCCAACCCGCTGGGCTCGAAGCGGGATATTTCCGGATTCAAAGATGTCGATGGTCTTCAGATTGAGGTCGTTGGTGGAACGGTTAACCCAGTTCCTGAGATTTCTTTCTGCGGACTTCTTGGTGGGACTTGCGATATTATTCAGTAAGTTGATAACATCTTTCTTTATAGGTGTACGAACCTTGCTAACGATAACAGTAACTTTGAGTTCTGGAATGTCACTTTCTCGATGGATGAGAATAGCTCTGATATCCCCAGTGTTCAGTTCAAGTTTACTCTCCCTTAGACTTGAAGGGATGCTACAGAATACTACGTGTCATATAAGAACACAAGACAATTTAGGCAATTTCAGCTCCTCCCTAACTCTCCTCCAAAGCTATAAAACGATGTAATTGAAGTCTACTGCAGGGGGAGTCATTCTCTTGGTAATAGTCTGCTTCATATATTCTGCATTCTACACAAGCCAGCGGAGGAATTGGTGGAACATAGAGAAACAGAGAACTGACACCCATTCATTAGGCAATTGGTTAATAGTAATACACAATAGACAGTCCGATACTTCATTTGATCTTTCCTGTCAATGAGGCTTGGCGCAAGACTCGGCAGTCTCGTATTGCCAGGCCACCCCCACCTGGCCGCTAACCCACGCGTCGAAAGGTGTTTTGGTGACTTCTAGGCACCAACATGATACATCTCCCGTTCTCTACATCCCGTACAAAGTGTCAACTTACAGAGACCCCTCGAGGGAGAGCCCCGTGAAAGCTTCTAGTTGTGCTGAAACCAATAAAAAATTCACCTCGGCTCAGCTCTTACAATGGGTGTGTTCCAGCTATCTCCGACACAGAAACAATGACACGACTAACAACCGTCTCCAGGTTACTCTGAGGTACATCTAGCTTATGCATTTGACTCGAAGCAAAGTAAAACACCTCTCTAACGGGTTCTAATAGATCTACTGCCATATTTGCGGTGTCAGCTTCAACATCGCGCGACGCCGGAAACCGGGAGAGCCGGATCTGGCTAGCTGGGACTACACCGGCGAACAATGTGACGAGCCAGGAGTCGACGAGGTGGATCTGGACAACTGTACTCAGAACGGCTGCTTTGCAGCGATTAGTTATCCGAAGGATGATGAGCACGACATGCTCGATGATCCGGACTACGTCCCTGGACCGGAGGACGGGGACTACGGCGAGCCTGGTGAATACGATTCAGAGTATGAATCGAGTACATCTGAGGAGGACGATGCGAACATTGGCCCAGATCAAGACAGTAATGAGGAAACTAGTGATCCCGAAGTCGATTGTTACTCAAACTGGTTGGCGAAAACGCTGAATCCGCACGCCAGATTCTCCGGAGAACCCATTGGGAAATTTGGATATTCAAACCAGCGCTGTCGAGACGAACGTGTGTTTCCAATCCAGTCAACAACCTTATCAGACGGGCACGACCCGGAGGAATTGGAGCATATTCCCAGTCGGACCTGCACAGAGGCAAATGCATACTCGGGCTTTGCAATCTCACTCGAAGAGATGAGAGGGTGTCGCACGGCCCAGTGTCTAATCCACAAAAGTGCAATCCGGGAACCGTCGTCACAAATCGAATTCTCTGAGCCCTGGGAGGTTTCTGAAGATTGGCTTTTGTCCGGGTTGTGTGATGGAATGCCGTCTCGCGATTGTAATAACCCATACGTCTGGCCTGCGCGGGGTGGAGTTGACCAGCCACGAGCGGAGAATATTAATTTCGATGTGAGTTGTCTTTCCTCAAGAGCAAGGTCTCAAGATTTTCAACCGTCTATTTAAGAGACTAACCGCTAGTAGCCGGAATGGACAACTCCAAAAGAACTGGCTATGCCGTTCCACCCCTGGTGCTTCGATATCTTCTGCCGTCAATCTAAAGCTCGATTCAACTGCGTCAATATCCCAGGCCTTATCAAGTGGCGCGATGCCGAGTTCTCCTACGAGGCCTTTCACGGGTTCCCCCGCTCAGGAGACGTCCTCGAAGGCCAAGAGCAATTCTGGCAGCACGTCCCAGGCAAAGAATATCTAGCCGCCAACCCGCTTTACGTGCCAGGCCTACGGGACATTTTGCAAAATGCAGACCGAATGGAAGAATACGAACTTCCGAAAAAGAGACCTACTTTATTGCAGGCTGGTTACAACGACGTTTTTGCTTCCCTGCCCCCCGAGATACGTCTGCTAGTAGTCCGTTTCCTGGATGCCAGCGACCTCCATAATCTAAGGGTGGCTTCCAAGGCGTTCGCCAGTCTTCCAAATAGCGTGTGGCGGCAACTTGTCCGCGAGGAGATGCCCTGGCTATGGGAATCCTGCTACGACAGCGAGGAAGCCCACGTTCCTTCTCTCTGGACTACGGTAACGGCGAACGAGCTGATGTTGTTCAAAGAAGAACGAGAGCGTTATTTAGCACAACTGAAGGATAGCACCGCGGTCGATTTTCTGCTTCCATTTCCAGGAAAGGTACCGAACCAGCTGAAGCTACAGGAAGGAAGTCTAAATTGGCACGCGGTTTACACGCAGATCAAGCAAAATTGGAGCAATCTCAGAGGGCTGCGGAATCGACGGCGGATTTGGGAAGATGTGGAAGAGATTATCAATCGGATTGAGAAGTATGACACGGAGATGTCAGGGTAGTTAGACCTCGTTCATTACTAACAGTGAATAATAGCTCCGATATGGAGAACAAAAGTCCGAATGGGATTTTCTACTAACTATATTAAATCTGGCCAGTAGTAAACAATTAAACGGGAGGCATATCCTAAAGAAGACTAATAAGAACAAAAACTAGAAGCAAAAAGATCCAAAGAAAGCATCTAAATAAGCAAGCTTGAATACAATAATGAACCCCTGGTTCCTTAAAACTGTCCTGTCCTATCTAGGTACAGTCACCGCTACCTATGAAAGAAGTGAAACTGAATCTGCAAAACTAAAAGATCCCAAGACACCTCAATAGAGGGTCAAAGGGACAATGGATACAGGGAAGATTTTTTAGGTAAAAAAAAGCCCGCCCTAAACCCCCAAAAACCCAATCCAACCTCCCCTAAAACGCCGACTGGCTTGCTCTCCGATTTTCTCCCAGCTCCATCCGTGTCCCCGGGATGCCGCTATATTCGAGAGCTGCCAGATGCAAGAGTGTGGAATGAAGACATGATGATAGAATGGCAATGAACACATTGAAGAAGAAGAAAGAAAAAGGAACCGGATGAAAATGGTCAATGTGATGGAACTTGATGCTCTCCGTCATCTAGTTACCCTGTCCAGGGGGTGGGGGCTGGGTTGAGGGTGCCTGTGCATTGCCCATCATATAACCCGGTGGGAGGAAAGGCATAGCGGGCATGCCGGGGAAGTTGAAGCCATAGGCAGGGACTGCGGGAGGAACGCCGGGGTTGGGTGCGCCCGACATATCGTGCTGGTCCTGGCCCTGTCCTCCCTGGGAAGGACCACCGAAGCCATCACGGTCGAACCGGCCACGGCCACCACCACCGAAGCGCTGCTGAGGGGGTCCCTGGTCAGGGCCCTGGCCGCGGGAGGAGATAGGTCCACGCTTGCCGCCAGTATCGGTTGCGATGCGTCGGCTAATGGCCTTGGAGGAAACGCCTGCACCAATCTCAATATCCGGCTCTTCGACCACCATGCCCGACTCGATGGATTTTCCACCAGTACCGCCATACTCGGCAGTCAGCATCCACTTGCGATCAGCCTCGGTCAGCCGCTCGATAGGGATCACACTGATACCAGTTTGATAGTCGCTGCAGTCACGAGGACCAAAGCCGACACCCCAGCGGGTGCGCAGTTGCATCTCAGCCTGGCGATAAGACTCCATACCATCGCGAGCAGCGACCGCATCGGGACGGCTGATCATCTTGATAAAGGCGTGGCGCTTGTCGACGTTGACAATGCAGGTTTGAACAACACCGAATCGGCCAAAGAGGGAGCGCAGGTGGGCCTCGGAAGAGGTCACACCACCAACAAACAGCGTGCGGCTGAGAACCTTGATGTTACCCTGGCCGATAGAGTAGTCCCACTCGATGAGCTTGGGACCGGGAGGAGGGAGGTTGGGATCCTTGCGCTGGGGAGAGGGAGACCGGCGGCGACGACCACCGGGTGGGCTGCGCTGGCGGTATTCGCTGGGACCACCCCGACGACCTCCACGGGCATCACGAGGGTCACCCCGACGGCCGGGGGAGTCACCGTTGTATTCACCATAGACGGGGCTGTCGCGACGACGAGGCGGGGATGCGGTGCGACGACGGTCCCAACCGGGAGAACGAGAGCGCCGGCGATAGCCTCCTGGAGAGCGAGGATAGTCACGGTCGCGATCGCGATCACGGTCGTCGCGGTTCTGGGTATCGTGCTGACCCCAACCACCAGGAGCCGCAGGGGCTTGTCCGGGCATCATGGGGAATCCGGGGATAGGAGCAGCAGGGTTAGCACCGCCCATAGGGTTAGACATGTTGAGGAGCTGGAGTGCGGTCGCCCACTGGTCTTGAGGAATGCCCTGGGTCGAAAGGAACTGCAGCAGCTGAAGCTGTTGCGACAGAGCGTTGCCATCAGGCATGGCCGGAGCAGCGTTAGACTGGGCCATCATGGCGGCCAACGGGTTCGGGGCGGCGGCCATGGGGTTGGGAGTGTGGTTCTGGCTGTGGGGTTGAGGAGGCATGGCTGAGTTCTGGGCCATACCAGCCAAAGCAGCATAAGGGTTCGCACCCATTCCAGCGGCAGCGTAAGGGTTCGCAGCTGGGGGAACCGAGGAGGAGTCGGCAGATGAGACCGGTGGGGGGATGGCACCGGCGAGGGCAGCCAAAGGGTTGACAGGAGCTGCAGGGGCAGCGGCAGCGGCAGCGGGAGCTGCAGAGCTCTGCTTGGCCATATCTGCCAGAGCCTTCAGAATACTAGAGGTATCTGGGGCAGCTGCAGCTCCGTTGGTAGCAGGTTGAGGCTGAGAAGGTGGGCCTCCAAGGGGAATGAAACCTGGGGCGGGAGAACCCTCGGGAGTGGTGGATTCCACATCTACACAAGAGAATGATTAGAAAGTGAGGCCAAGGAGGACCGGTATGAAGGTACTCGGTGAATGAAAGACTTACTCTGTGGAGGGGCGTTCAGCTTGTCTCGGAACGAGGCGAGCATGGCAGTGGGAAAGGTGCCACCACGCTCCCAAATGTCGATGAGCTTCTTGATTTTCTCCTACATAGAAAAGTATGAGCAAACGAGTCAACCAGCCAATAAGCAAAGTGCAGATACAATGCAGGGGAGGGAAGCCCCATCCAAGAGACTGTGGTTGGTTCCTGGGAGGAGAGAAAGAGACCAGGATACGGCGGGGGAACTTGGCCCCCAAACGGAGGAGCCCCGCCCAAAAGTCCATGACTTGCATGTCTAGTGCCAGGTATACAGTACGATGGCCTAGGGGATAACTGTGATCAAGAATCACAGGTGTATCTGCAGTATCTTTTGCATTTGAGAGCGTACCTTTTGATCATTGGGGGCATTGTTTATGATGTCGGTCATCAGAACGGGGAGCAGTTCAGTGACTCGATTGACTCCTGCAGCAAATGTTCCATCGGAGGGATTGTTGCCAGGAAGTTGACCAGCCTTGCGTGCAGCTTCTACCCATTGCCGGGTTACAGAGTCTACGACGTACAGGACTCCCAGCTTGTGAGTGCCCGGTGTCTTCTTGAAGTGGGTGTAGATCTTTTGAATCAAGACGGATTCATTCTGTGACCACTGTTAGCGGGAGAGTTCCGATTTGTCGTTTCGCATCATGTGTGTTGGATCTGGGAATGGGCCATATATCAAAGGAGGAGGATCTTTCGTACCTGGACGTTGGCGGTGCACAGTGCGGTGATGCCCTGAATCTTGCTGCCCGATACTCCAGGAGGCTTGAGAGCCAGCATGGATTGGAGATAGCTCTCCAGTTCCGCTACAGCCGTAGACATGGCGAGGAGGATGTGGCGGGTGAAATGTGGTTGAGGTTGTTGGAAAGATTGAAAGTCGGTTGTATCCCGTGACTTTCTCTTTGTTTTGATCTGAATTCCTCGGGGAAGGCTCTAGATGCAGGACGCACTTGCCTGACTGGAAAGCGAACGAGAGGCCAGTACTGGTTGGCTACTTCGAAGAGCAGGAGGTTGTCAGAGAGAGAGAAGTTTGAAAATAAGAGAAATTTTGAAAAGCTCCTAAGGAGATTAAATCTCAGTGTGAATGGAACCGCCTTCTCTCGACACACCCGTTATTCTTCTTATAAGCAGCCCAGTGTTTCTTTTGGGATTTTTTCTTTGTTTTGGTTTCTTGCCCTCGAGGTTTGTTTTCTTTCTTCACACTACAGCACGAGCGTATTCACTGTCGGACCAGAGAACTGCCGCCTACAGCTGAGATACAGCCTAAAGCGAAGGGGAAAGGAGAGTGATTCCAGGTAGCCTGGTGAGTGTACGGTACGAGAGTGTACGAGGTACTGGTACAACCTAAAGCGTACTGTGATGAGAGTAATTTCCCCCCAAAAGTCCCGAGAAATGACGGATTTACAGAGTACGAGTAATCCGTGGATGTTGGTGAGATGAGAGGCGATGGAAATGATGATGGGGGTGGTCGAGAAAAGAGAGAGAGGAGGTGATGATGATGAAAGGAGAAAGGGAAAGGAAGAAAGGGATCACCTGAAAGACTTTTTGCAGGGTTTGCATGGTTTGTTCATTAGGCGCTAACCTTTTCTCAGGCTGGATCACGTGGTTGATTTGACCAGCTCTTGGTCAAACACGTGATATCAGGTGACCATGGTCATGTGACTCTATGCTAAACGTTCTTGATCGTATGGTAGTGACACTGCGTACTACTGTATGGAACAACAATTTTGCCTGTGGCTCCAAGGATCCACCTACTGGAAGTGGATGTCCCTAGTGGATCTCTAGATATCCGATGTTTGAGTTGCTGAGGTCTGGTTCCCCCGGCTACCACTACAAAAGGGGGGCCATTGGGGGAGCTTGAAAACGAAAGCCGTGGATTATTATTATTTTCTCCGTTAAGCACTGCATCCAGCTCAGTCCGCCATGGCCATCACACTTTTTAGATAGGAACAGTGGATACGTCTTCCGGTAGAGAATGGGGCCGGAGAAATTTCCGTTGGTGACCGAGGCTTGGAGGACTACTGTTTTGGTTGTTTAGCCCTTAGCTTCGGGAGTAAAAGTTACAGTCGTTAGAACTTAGAAGAGAGCACGTTGTCTCTTGATACCCGTTCTGCCCCTTGATGCCGCCCGTGGAGCTCCCGATCTCGGTGAACCATTTCAGCAATCTCACGGCTAGATACGGGGAAGCCCACACCACAGACAAGGATGCATAAAGAGGCTCGTGGAGACTGGTTCAGGGAGGTATTCCAGACGGTGTCAGACGGATGATAGAATCACCGGTCGAAGGGGTCGAAGAAAGAGGAGAAACTCATCGAGTCGGAACATACTACTCGAACTGTACCGTGGCAGAGCTGAATGTACGTAATAACCTTACATACGATACATCCGCCTAGGACTAAGATAAACCCGCGATGCCGAGGATCCATTTCGGGGATCCGGATGGCGGCACGGGACAAAAGATGGCGACTTGCCGACGTCACTGCCAGCATCAGTTGGTAATACCAATTCAGTATGTATAGGAGATGTATACTTCTTTGTACACAGGGTACATTCTATAGTACCGGATCCCGATGCTCAGGTAGTTTAGAGAACTGACTTTAAAATATATAGTCAATAGGAACAATAATTACAGTAATCTATGGCCGAGGTGTTCGGAAGAATGATACAACCAAGAATGAGGTCATCAATGGACATGACAGATGGCTGTATATATGGTACGGGTCTATGAACTCAATTGAAAGAATACACTAGCATAACCTGTATATGGTGGAAACTACCCCGATTAAATACTGAAATTCAAGGTAAAATAGTGGTTGTTCTACATAAACTCTCCCATACATGATACGGTGGTCAACTTCACGCCATAACGGAAGCTCTCGGACGGGCAGACTGAAAGTGTAGATCTGCCGGCAGCCCGAACTTTGGCCCCGTTACTCGGTGATACACGACTCGGTCCAGTATTGTTGGGGGAAAATTACCAGCGCTTTTCCCCTTCTTCCCGCACTCCCGCCTTGTGCCCCCCCAGAGAAAACGGGCTCCCGACCGTGACCAATACCGGCCGTATTACCAGCCTGGCAATAATCCGAGAAAAAAAAAAGACCAGAAAATTCCTAGGGAGCTCGGGTCTGATTTCTTCTTCTTCCCTTTCTTTCCCCCGTGTTTCCCTCTTCCTCTTCTTCCCACTCTCCCCCTTCTTCTCATCTTCCCCATATCCTTCTTTTTTGGATATTCACATTTCGTCATGGCCACCTCTCTTCGGATCGGTACTTCCGCTCTGCGGTCTTCTATCGCCAAGCCCGTTCAGACTGCTGCTCTGAACGGCGCTCGCTGCTACTCCTCCGCCAAGGTTAAGGTACGTCGTCGACGACTTGAGTCTGATTGAAGCTCAATTGGCATGCTAACACCTTGGTTACAGTCCTTGAAGGAGACTTTCGCCGACGGTCTGCCCGCCGAGATCGAGAAGGTCAAGAAGCTCCGCAAGTATGTCGACCGCGCTCCTCGTCATATTTCTTCCGAACGCAGGACGTTTTGTCTAACGATATAATTACAGGGAGTTCGGTAACAAGGTTATTGGTGAGGTTACCCTCGACCAGGCCTACGGTGGTGCCCGTGGCATCAAGTCCCTTGTTTGGGAGGTGAGTTTCCCAAGTTCCAAAGGGGGTGGCTCCTTTGGCGCGTACACATACATCAAAGATCGCAAACTAACAATCCCTATTTAGGGCTCCGTCCTCGACTCTGAGGAGGGTATCCGTTTCCGTGGCCACACCGTAAGCTACTTCTCGATCCAATTACGCTTTATCGCATTATAGCTAACGCTCCCTCCCTTCATAGATCCCCGACCTCCAGAAGCTCCTCCCCAAGGCTCCTGGTGGTGAGGAGCCCCTCCCCGAGGGTCTCTTCTGGCTCCTCCTGACTGGCGAGATCCCCTCCGAGGCTCAGGTCCGCGCCCTCTCTGCCGAGTGGGCTGCCCGTTCCGATGTCCCCGCCTTCGTCGAGGAGCTCATCGACCGCTGCCCCAGCACCCTCCACCCCATGGCTCAGTTCTCTCTTGCCGTGACCGCTCTTGAGCACGAGTCCTCCTTCGCCAAGGCTTACGCCAAGGGTGTCAACAAGAAGGAGTACTGGCAGTACACCTTCGAGGACTCGATGGACCTGATCGCCAAGCTCCCCACCATCGCCTCCAAGATCTACCGCAACGTCTTCAAGGACGGCAAGGTTGCCGCTATCCAGAAGGACAAGGATTACTCCTTCAACTTGGCCAACCAGCTCGGATTCGGCGACAACAAGGACTTTGTTGAGCTGATGCGTCTGTACCTGACCATCCACTCCGACCACGAGGGTGGTAACGTCTCTGCCCACACCACTCACCTGGTCGGCTCCGCCCTGAGCTCCCCCATGCTCTCCCTCTCTGCCGGTCTCCAGGGTCTGGCCGGTCCTCTCCACGGTCTCGCCAACCAGGAGGTTCTCCTCTGGCTCACCGAGATGAAGAAGGCCGTCGGCAACGACATCAGCGACCAGTCCATCAAGGACTACCTGTGGTCCACCCTGAACGCCGGCCGTGTTGTCCCCGGTTACGGCCACGCCGTTCTCCGCAAGACTGACCCCCGTTACATGTCCCAGCGCGAGTTTGCTCTCCGCAAGCTGCCCGATGACCCCATGTTCAAGCTGGTCAGCCAGGTCTACAAGATCGCCCCCGGTGTCCTGACCGAGCACGGCAAGACCAAGAACCCCTACCCCAACGTCGATGCCCACTCCGGTGTTCTCCTGCAGTACTACGGCCTGACCGAGGCTAACTACTACACCGTTCTGTTCGGTGTCTCCCGTGCTCTGGGTGTCCTGCCCCAGCTGATCATCGACCGTGCCCTTGGCATGCCCATTGAGCGCCCCAAGTCGTTCAGCACCGAGGCCTACGCCAAGCTGGTTGGTGCTAAGCTGTAAAGTGGAGACTCCACTTTTATAACTTGTACTGATCGGTTGATTTTTTTTGGGAACCTTGACTTTGTTTTTTCTTTTATTCTGAAAATCTTTCGGGAAATCGAGGGAAGGGACCCTATGTATTATTTCTTTTGTCATGGTGATTTTTAATTCTTCATGTTGTATGATAGGACTTGATCGGTTCGAGCGGGCCTTGGAACAGCACTTCCTCCACTAAAACAAAAATAAAACATGGAATTTGGTCACGCCGGATTGTTCAATGAGTTCTTCTCTTTTTTACCTTGATGTCTTCGTGTATGAAAGTATATGATTTTCGAGTATGCGTAAAACCAGGTTTACCAAGGTATGTGTTGTTGGGTGTATTGAATCGGGTACTTTTGTAGATAGTTGAGAAAGAGAGCCTCGAGCTCAAGCCTGCAGATGCACGATAGTGGAGGAATAGGGCCTGGATCGTCATGTATAACCGGATCGATAGTTAGTGAACATGTAGTCAATAAGTCACTATGATTGGAAGCATGCATATTCAACAGTAGATATGGTTCCTTTGTTGATTAGATGGATCATCAGACAAAGTAGTGTTTTGGTCTGACGGCTACTCTGGTAGAATCGAGCACGAATTGTTGGGGGGGGAAGCTGGTTGATTGGGACTTCAACCGTCTCTCACCCGACCCACTCAACCCGAAAAAAAAATATGATAACTGAGAATAATAATAGGAAGGGAGGGAGAGTCAATTGATAAATGTAAAAGAGAGAAATAGAATATGAATTTATCGGAGGTATAATGTAGGATTTTGAATTGTATAGAATCGGAATATTCTTTCTCGCTGGTATGATCGGAGGAATAGAATTGGTAGATTCATTCGCCGACCAGCGGATGGAGGAATATTCCGATTTGGAGGTTGGAATTTGGTAGTAGCCAAGGCCGATCATTTGAGTGCCGAGTATAGTACTGCTGCTACAGGTTCACTACTACGGAGCGCTCCGTAGGTTATTATCGTTAGTAGTGTTGTTATTATTCTATCGGTATGGGAGGTACCCAGTACCCGATGGTCTGAGCGGAGACTGGGCCAGATGGAAGTACACAGTACGGTCCAGACTGAAGGGCAAGTATAGGTATTAATTATAGTATAGAATGGAATATAGAATAGAATAGTTATAGTAAAAGTCATGAGAAGAGTAAATAGTACCTAATAGTCAGTTAAATAATAATTGTAGTAATGTTCAAATACTCCGTAAATAGTTGTGTTGATCGGAGTCTGGAGTGTTTCCTCCGCAGCAGTACCCGAGCCTACTTGGTACACTTCAGCATTCCCCGTGCTGACTTCTCCTATAAGACTATTTGGCACTTTCCCCCCCTCGCCCAGAAACTTTCTTTCTACAACTACTTTCCAAACTTTCCTCCCCTCCTCTTCATCCTTTCTCTTTCTCTCGCGACGAAGCCCCCTACATCCCTTGGTCAGGGCCCCTTTCAGCACATCCTCTCTCACAAGATGTCTACCGCTACCCCCGACAAGGCCGCCGCGCCTAAGCTCGAGAAGAAGCCCGTCAAGTTCAGCAACCTGCTGCTTGGTGCGGGTCTGAACCTGTTCGAGGTCACTACGTTGGGTCAGGTAAATATAATCACTCCTCCTACTTCCCCGAGTTTCACCTGTGTTGCTCTGAACTGGCCTCGGTCAAAACAAAAAACAACGACCACCCTCCCGGCGATCATTACCGCCATGCACAATCTACCCTTTACAAGAACAAATCATGCTGACATTAATCTCTTCTCTCCGTTCTAGCCGCTGGAAGTGATCAAGACAACCATGGCCGCCAACCGGGGCGACAGCTTCGCCGGTGCTATGGGTCGGATTTGGGGCCGTGGCGGGATCCTCGGTTGTACGTGACACCTTTCCATCTCCCCCTCTCCAGTTTCCTCCGATACACGCACTATTACTAGTGTGGGGGAATTTCCCCAAGCCAAGAAATCTATCCAATCGTGGCGCATACACTATGCAGTCGCGAATCAGCAATTGAGACTAACTCCTTTTCTTCCTTTCTCTAGACTATCAGGGACTCATTCCGTGGGCCTGGATTGAGGCCTCCACCAAGGGCGCCGTTCTCCTCTTCGTCGCCTCCGAAGCCGAGTACTACGCCCGCTCCTTCGGTGCGAACGACTTCTTCGGTGGTATCGCTGGTGGTATGACCGGTGGTGTCGCCCAGGCCTATGCCACCATGGGTTTCTGTACCTGCATGAAGACCGTGGAGATCACCAAGCACAAGATGGCCGCTGCCGGTGTTAAGCCCCAAAGCACCTTTGCCACTTTCATGGATATCTACCGCAAGGAGGGTATCCGCGGTATCAACCGTGGTGTCAACGCCGTCGCCATTCGTCAGACTACTAACTGGGGTTCCCGCTTCGGTCTGTCTCGTCTGGCTGAGTCCGCTATCCGCAAGGTCGCCGGCAAGGACGACAGCCAGAAGCTGTCTGCTTGGGAGAAGGTTCTTGCTTCGAGTCTCGGTGGTGGTCTGTCTGCTTGGAACCAGCCTATTGAGGTTATTCGGGTTGAGATGCAGAGCAAGACTCCTGACCCCAACCGCCCGAAGAACCTGACTGTCGGCAAGACTTTCAAGTACATTTACGATTCCAATGGCATCAAGGGCCTTTACCGTGGTGTTGCGCCCCGTATTGGTCTGGGCATTTGGCAGACTGTCTGCATGGTTGCTCTTGGTGACATGTAAGTTTTTGACTCTCCCTTTTCATGTGATACCTCGGACTAACCACTCAATTTCTACAGGGCAAAGGAAGCTGTTGAGAAGCTGACTGGCGATACCGTCACCGCGAAGCACTAGAGGAGGTTTGAAATACCCTTCTACTATGCAGTAGTCCGGAGAAAGAAACAATATGCGGACTACGTCGCTCCATCCACATTCCATAATTTCGTCTGCTCTCCTTTCCCCCTCCCCACTTATTCTATTTACTGGGGGTAAGGACCAGATTCGATCGATACCCATGAAATTCATTTGCAATTGTGTCTGTGATACTCTTCAACGAGAGCGCGCCCCTTTCTACGTCCGCATCTCAAATTCCTCTGGTTACTTGCTGGTCTTTGTAGTTTACTCTAAACTTCTTTTGTCCTTTTTTCTTTGAGCTCGTGCCTTGTTGCTTTTGTTACTTGTCTTATGTCCGGCAAGAGAATAGACTTAGAAATAGTCGGGTACAGGGTCACCCGCCACTGAACAATTCAATCTCAAATTCCATCTGAATATATCTTTTCCTTTCAACTAAGATCTATCCTACTTTCACTTCCAGTACTTACTTCCCCATAGCCCTGTCAATCACCCTTCCGAGTTTACTGTGCATTCCCCACCAAACAAGAACCACCCAGCTTCCCCCATATGCCCCCCCCCCCCCCCCTTCGGAACCACCCCGTGCAAAAAAAAAGGAACAACCCGGCCTTCGCAAGGAATTATCCCGAGCCTAAGCCTGAGCCTGAGCCTTGAATTTTACCCTTAATAGCCAAGACCATCCAAACCCACCCTAAACATCCGATCTCGGGATACCCAGCAGTGCGGCTATCGGCTCTTTCACAAGCTCCCGCATCACCACTCTAAACAGTAGTACATGTAGTGGTGTGTTACGGAGGAATTCCTTTCCTAGTTTAATTTACTTGAAGAATAATAGACTACTGTAGGCTTGAAATCGCTGTTCGCTCCTTTCATCCGTGTTGCGCTAGTATTGTAATATTCCTTCCCGGTTGCGGCGCTGCCATGTTGCTCCGTTTGACCTCGGCTATACAGAAGTACTGTATGCAGTGACTTTGCTGTTGGATCTTGTGGGTAGGGCGGCCCGCTGATGATTTTGCTTATATGGATAGTGTCTGCTTGTGGTATTGGTATTATTTAGTGTCAGGACTTGGTGTTTGGTGGTTTCATGTGCTATTGTTTTTCTCTTTTGGCATATGATCTTGTGATATACTGCGTCATGTGGTTTGGTGGCTGGGGGATATTCATATGAAGATTGGATTTGGCTTGTGATTAAGCTTGACTGGTTAGTTGATTGCTGGCCATTTCCCTGGCTTTATCTGGGATGTTTGAGCATATATTGGGATGATTATTGAAGTGTTATAGAGTGGTATTTATTAGGTAGGTGTCCTGGATGCTCCTGAGATTCTTGATGGAGTGGATTGCCATACATCTACCTCACCAAAGTCTTATTCTGGTGAGACTAGTATTTCAAAGCTTGCGGCTGAAATATATCACTTAAATGATTATTTTAGGAGGTACTATACTCTTGCAGAATCATGAAGAAAAACCGTATAGGGAGAAGATGTCTAGGGCAATCCAAGACTGGCTGGGGCACAGTAGAGACTGCACTATAGGCCCCATCCTCTTAGGTAAATCTCGAAAGAGGCATTTAATCATTGGTGAAAGGACCAGGCTCGGTTTATTGAACCCGAGACTGAAGATTGTCATTGGGCAAGCCACACTTTTGTGTAGGGTTGGGGATTTTTGCCTAAAAGAGCTTATTGGCTGCCATTGCTCTCTTTATAACGCCCACAGATAAGTTTCTTTGTTGATATATAGAAAGTGCTTAAGAATGTGTTGATATCAACTTCTAAAAGTCTGTGGTACAATAAGAAAAGCAACAGCTAGAAAAGGAAGCTGCCAACGTGAACATACTAATCTTACAAATATACGAAGCAAGTCACGTCACCTACACTCAATACCACAGGCAAACGAGTCAGATAAAACTGAATAAGGTACAATTGTTTGTATTACAGTCAACTACACCCTGAACAACAAAGGAGATATTGGCAAAGAATCTAGGCACAGGTGATCACATCAAATCCAAACGAGGAAAACACGCTTTTCCCTCGATCTAGGGCTGTATGGTATACAAGGGGGTTTAAACGGTCAGGCCGAGGTCCTCAGCGTAGGGAAGCTGGAAGACGTCACCGACGCTGACGAGGGTGGCCTTGCCGGTGAGGAAGGACTTGGCAACCTGGAAGAAAGAGTTAGTATTGAAAGAAAAAAAGTGATAAACGGGATAAACGGGATTGACATACCTCCTTGACCTGCTGCTCAGTGACCTTCTCGATGGCCTGGGCAATCTCGCCAATCTGGTAGGGCTTGGCACCGTGGATCAGACCAGAGCCGGTAGCCTCGAGGCCGGTCTCGAGAGTCTGGACGGACTCCAGAGCACGGAACTTGGCCAGAGCGGCGGCCTTCTTGATGTCCTCGCTGGAGACCTCGCCGGCGGCGGCCTTCTTGAGAGCATCGACGACGTTCTTGCTGGCGGCACCAACCTGCTCAGCCTGGCCGGAGAGAGTGACGGTGAAGAGACCAGCGTCAGAGTAGGCGAGGTTCTTGGTGGACACGTTGAGCTGGTTGAAGCCCTTGGTGGCCTGGGACAGGAGAGAGAAACCGGGAGTCCACTTGATGGTGGACTCGCCGCCGAGCAGAGCGGCGAGAACGGAAGCCTCGGCCTTGTAACCGGCGGTGCCGAAGGCGCTGGAGCCGGGGAAGGCGATCACAACGGCGTTACCGGTCTTGGAGGCGATGCGCTGCTCACCACCGAAGTACTTGCTGGCCTCGGAGGGCTGAACCTTGTACTGGCCGGCGGTGGTGCCGGTGGGGAGGTCCTTGAAGAACTGACCGACCCACTTGTTGACATCGGCGGAGTTGGGGCCGGTGGCAACGAGAGCAACGTTGGACTTGGCGTAGGCGTCCTTGGCGAACTCAGCCAGGGCATCGGCAGAGAGGTACTTCTCGTAGGGGGAAGAAGGAGAGGGGGTGACGGGGGAGCCCAGGCCACGGTGGAAAGCGACACCGTGAGCGGCATCAAGAGCAACGTTCTCGGGGTTGGCGAAAGCGGCCTGCTGGTTGTACTTGAGGAGGTAGCTGACGACCTCGCTCAGCTCGTGGTCTAGACAAGAAAGAAAAAAAAAATCATGTTAGTATCAAAGGTTTCCCCAAGTATAACTTCGGCTGCCATTCTGCCAATATCTTCTTATCCTGTTTTCGCAATTGCCATCGCCAATGGGGCTGGATCCAACTCACCAGCGAACTTGGGTTGGCTGGCAACCTCGGCCAACAGCTCTGTGAAGTATGGGAGGTCGTTGGCCAGGAACTTGGCACGGAGAACGACGTTTTCGCGCGAGTGTGTCGACGAGATCTCACCGCCCAGCAGCTCAACCTCACGAGTGATCCGCAGTGCCGAACGCTTGAGAGTAGTCTGTTCAATTGGTTAACGTTAGCATTGGGAGAAGAGCCCTGGAGATGATCGAATTGGGATGGGGGTCCGGGGATCGGCTTGCGGTTGATACCACCACAACGAACCTTGAAAGCGAACTTCTCGAGGGCATCGGCGAAGCCGGGGAAGGGCTGGTAACGAGAACCAGCCTTGGCGACAAGGGCCAGAGTACCGGTAGGGCCAGCAACCTCACGGTTGGCAACCTTCACGCCGGCGGCCTCGGTGACATCGTACTGGAAAGACGGGTTGGCAGCAGAGGCCATGGCCCGACGGCCGGCGGAGAGCGCACGCGGCGCATTTCGGCTGAGGGAGGACCGCGACAGCATTGTGCACCGGGAGCAATTGGAGGAGGAGAGAAGATAAATAGAAACCCAGAAGGGTTGAGGAGGGGAGGACAATTGAAGGGAGGGGGGTTCTCGGATGGGGGAGGAGAGGGAAGCAGTCGGGTTACGAAAAGCTTCAAGATGTCGGGGCGGGTTGATTACTCCGCTGCTGATTGGCTGAAGTGACGAGTCGGACGGAACCGGAATATCTTTTCTGCCCTGCTTGTATATGGTGATATTTTGGTGATGGTAGAACTATTTATGAATATAGAGATTAACAAATGATTGGAATCAACTAATTGAGCTAGTTTTGTAATGCTATGATCATTGAATCCTCTCATCCGTTCTGTGGCGTTGTATATTCTCATTATATTCTCATCCTTAATTCCCCGATGTTCATCCTGGTCACCTGACCCATATCACGTGACTGATAAGCAAAAAGTTGCTCGTCAAGTTACTTCGACAGCAGCACAGCACTTCCACCCCTCCTCCCCATGAATCTTTTGCGGTGACCTCAATCGCCTCTCGTGAGGACTGGAGGACGGCCACATTTGCATCTGCGCCATGACGATGTCGCAGGTTCGCGTTTACCCCGCTCAGCCCCTCATACGATCAGCACTGACGCATAAGTTGCATAGTACGCCGCGGAGCTCTGCGCGCTCCTTATCGAGGACCAGTTTGGCGAGCTTTTCGCGGTGAGTGAAATCCGGCTCTACGATGATGGATTTTCAGCTGCGCGGAGCAAAATTCTGGACAGCAGCATTGAAAACCAACCCGTTTCATGAAGATCCAGAACTGATGAGAGATTCAACGTTTCACAGCGAATCTTCACAACCCTCCAGCGCTATGAGCGGCTGCCACTGCCCCGTCTCAAGTTCTACTCCCGCTTGACCGATCGCCAGCTACACCATGGATTGGTGGCTATGATCCAACACCACCTCGTCTACCACTTTACCTCCCTCGAAGACGGCAACACCTACTATGCCGCGAACCCGCAGGCTGCGTACTATCTCGTGCGCTCCGGCAAGATCATTCAGTTGGTCGAGAGTCGACTCGGCGAATATGCAGCTCGAGTTATGGAAACCATCTTGTACCTGGGGCATGCGCCCATCACACACCTCGAAACGCTCCCCGATCTGCGATATCTGAAGTCCGAGACCACAAATGGCGTTGTCAAGGATGAGGAGCAGGAGGAGCAACAGGTTGAAGAGCAGGAGGAAGAAGCTCAAGACTTTGACCAGCAAGCGGAAGAAGAAACCAATGGTACCAATGGGAACCATGCTGAAGAGGTCCACCAGAAACCGGCACCACTGCACTCCACCCTAAAAGCACTTGCGTCGCATGGTTACATTCTACGGGTTAAAGATGCGCACTTCCAAAGCCCCGAAGACAACTACATCGAGGCTCACAAGGCGGCTTCAAATCGATCCGATATCAAGCTTCTCAAGGGAAAGAGGCTGACAGAGGAATTGCTTCTAAAGACCGAAGAAATCCTTAGGGAACGCACAGACGGCGATCTCTCAGAAGCTTGGATGGTTAATGGCATGCCTCGCGGTGTGAAGAGAAAGTTTGCCAATGGCACCTCCGAGTCCGCGAGCAAGTGGCCTCAAACGGACCAGAACGGCGCAAATGGTAACCATGCAGACGAAGATGAGGAGAACGACTGGTCCGAGGATGAAGATGGGTTTGACAATATCCCGATGGAGGTGAGCATTCGCTTTTTTCCCCCACGGCACTCTATCCTAAAGCTAACTGGCATTCCCAGCCTGGACTGGTCCTTCGAGTCAACTACGAAAAGCTAGACGTGGCTCTACGAAACGCCCGCTTCGTCGAAATGGCCGAGCACAACGCTCTCCCCGCCACAGCAGAGGTTTACGAAACTCTCCTCCGTCGCATCGAATACGTCACCAAACGCTGTCGCGACACCACCGAGATCCCCCGCGAAGGCGAGGAAGGCGAACAATTCTCCCTCCCAATCGAGACATACAAGATCGTCAACGACGTCGATCCCACCCTAGATCTATCATCCTGTATGGGCCCCTTACACCCAGCCTCGGAGCCTCTAAACCGCCGGGGCAAGCGGCCCCTCGAGAACGGAGTAAACGGCGACCACCACGACGACGAAGAAGACAACGCCGACAACGAAATCAGCCGCGCCTACGAGATAAACCAACACCTCCAACTCCTCGAACAAGCCCCGCACAACCTCGCCTCCCACGTCAGACTATCCGACGGCATCAAATGGCGCGTCGGCTTCCGCGGTCTAGCCCGCAAACTGCGACACCTCGAACTAGAACGACTAGTGGAAATGCGCTACGGCGACGTCGCCCTCCGCGTCCTCCGCGTCCTCCACGCAAAGGGCAAACTCGACGAAAAACGTCTCCAGGAAATATCTCTCCTCCCCTTCAAAGACCTCCGTCAAACCCTCGCCAGCATGCAAACGGGCGGCTTCGTGGATCTCCAAGAAGTCCCCAAAGACGCGCAGCGTCAGCCGTCCAAGACCATCTTCCTCTGGTACTTTGATCCGGATCGTGTGTGCAGCAGTGTCCTCGAGGACACGTACAAGGCTATGTCGCGCACACTGCAGCGGATTAAATTCGAGCGCAATCTTCGGCGGGATTTCTTGGATAAGACGGAGCGTAGTGATGTCAAGGGTAATGAGGAGAAGTGGTTGAGTGAGGGGGAATTGGAGCAGTTGCAGCGGTGGAGGGATATGGAGGCTATTCTGTTAGGCGTTGTTTCTCGCTTGGATGATATGGTTGCTGTATTCCGGGACTTTTGAGGCAGGCAAAGCAAACAATAAGCAAAGTTGTGTGTCTTTGGGAGTTCGTTTTCCTATCTCTTCTTGTGCATATGTAACCGGTTTTTTTTCATGAGCGATGAGATTTATTGGTGGGTATCGAGATATGTGATTATTCTGACATCGTATGTTTGAGGGTGTCATTCTGTGCCATCTTATTTCTTGTATTCTATGCTTGGTAGGGTCTTGATCTGCTATGAGGATTCTCGTTCTGAAGCATTGCCTACGTAGCATCCTAGAATAGTAACGCCTGATATTAGTTGGAACCCTACGCAGTCTACTGCAAGATCTTATATCAAATCGATCATGGATTATATTGCCCGAGCCCAGATCATAAATACAACTGCACATGTGGCAACATGATCATATGAAAACACATCTCACACGAACAACGATCACCTTTAGACACATATATCACATATCACGTCTATCTGAATATATTTCAAGACAAGACTCGACAAGATGGCAGAAAAAATGCCAAAGTAAAAAGATACTTCCAAAAGTAAACCGGCCTCCCGAGAAAAACCAAATCAACACCAACGCTATCAAACCACCGAAAAATACCCCCAAAAGCGAAAAAGATATAGATCATTACACATCTGCAAGAAGAAGAAGAAAAAAAAGAGCCGCCACAAATAAACCCTGGTTGATCTGGCCCAGATTCACCTTTCTTTCCTGAGTAGAGAAAACGAGGTATGCAGGGAGAAACAAAAAGAAAATGAACAAGAAATGAATAAAATGAAACAAAATTTCCCAATCCCGCCCCTAAAATCATGGTCTTTTGGTGTACAATTTGGTCATGGTCATGATGGACTCTTGTTTGAGGAGTCTGGACCCGTGCCATTGGTGGTGATAGTGGTGGCAGTGTCGGTGGTCGTGGGTGACGTTTTGTCGGCCACCGCACCTGTAGGTGAGGAGCTGGTCGGCGTGTCGTTGAGATTAACACCGGCAAGCTTGGCCTCGGCATCGGCCAATTTTGATGCAGTCTCGTCGAGGGTCTTTTTCAAGGCCTTGATGTAGTCAATAGCCATCTCCACAGCGCTGGCCTTGCTAATGGCCTGGTTCGCCGGCTTCTCCTTCTCCTTGTCGCCTGGCTTGGCACCGGATGCAGCAGCCTCTTTAGCTTGTCGAATCTGAATAAACTCGGGTGGAATGAGAGACTCGATCTCCTTCAGAGCATTGTTAATGCGATTCCGGCGTCCCTGCTCTGCAAGCTTGTGGTTGGTTCGCTTGGAGCTCAGATTCTCAGCGAGTGTCTCAGGGTAGGAGACTCCTGAGGGCAGAGTGCCGTCCAGAATGTGCTGATAGTTGGACTTGGAAGCTAGGTAGAGCGCGTCTTGAGACAAACCTGTCGGAGAAAATATTGTTAGTACCGCAATGGATTTCAAAGGATATAAAGGGATTTCCTTGGGAATGGAAGATGATGAGGGAGGCAATCAACTTACTGTCACTACCTCGCATCAAAGGTTGAATGCTTGGACTAATCTTCGGACGCAACAGCGGGCTGGCATGTGTGGAGCTGACACTAGGTCGCTTCCGACTAGATATCGACGCCCGAGATGGATCAGACCTCTTGGGCACCGGCCCACTCGGTGAGGGCATCGCCATGGTGCGTGGACTGGGTGCAATCGACATGGGTGTACGGTCGGCCGCCGGGGTAGATCGGGGCTCGATCAATGGGGTCCCATGGGCTGAGATGACTGGGCTGGCAGTGCTGTGTGCACTCGTATCGATCCGGTTAATCTTAGGGCGTGGCTGCAGAGCTGGCTGGGCTGCCTCTGGGAGAGAAATATCCTCCATCATCTCGTCTGGAATCTCCAACTGGGCCTGACCCATTAACTGATCCGAAGGCTCTTGCGTATGTTGAGATCGCTGAATGCGCATGAGCGTAGCCGGCGTGGCTGCCGTGCCCGGCAATTGCTGAGAGGACTGGTGGGGGAGAATGGCGGGGGACTTGCGAGGTGGAGGAACGGCGGGTGGTGGCATCAATGAGTCGGGCAAGGGTTCGGGGGAGACGGAGTCCTGACCAGATCCCTCGTTACTACTTTCCTGGAGGGAGCGCACATCATGGTTTGGCGGTTTGTTCAGCTCCTGGGCCATGCGATTGTAGAGATCCTCCGAGCTGGGTGCATGTTGTTTGCCCCGAGTGCGCTGCGTCTGCGTCGTCTGTGCACGGATATGAGGAGACTGGCGGGCTTTAGTCGCGCGCCCGGCAAGTCGAGAGGAAGCAGCTGAAGGTCGCCGGCGGGTCTTGCGGATGATGCTGGGAGAAGGTGGAGCAGATGTTCCGGGAAGAGGGTTGACCTCCGCAGTAGTGGGGACGAAGCCCACATCCGAGACCTGGCGCGCATGGAATTGGTAGCCATTACTAGAGGTGTGAGCATTTTGCGCTTCCAGCGCGGGCGACGTCAGAGGAGTGAAGTATTCGCCGGGGATGGTGTATTCAGGGAGTCGGAATTGGTTTTCCAAGGGAGTCATGGCGGGGGACACCAGGGGAGTGTACAAGGCCTGGTCGTGGGAAAAAGAAACAGGTGTCAGTTCGGGTTTACATGGTTAGGCTAAAATTGACGGTTTGCAGAGACATACCTGTTCCTCGTTGATGCGCGAGTAGCGATCGTACATATCAGAGTGGTCATCCACGCGCTGCGGGTACCGGGGAGCATTGCCGTGCAGCTCCATACTGTTGGGAGTGGGAGGAATCATCTGTTGGCCTTGTTGCAGATAATGTTGAGCCGAGGGACCCTGTTGCGACATTGCGTGCTGCTGTTGATGCGATGTGTCCTGGGCGCAGAAACCGGGAGTCATGGTGGGCGTGGAGTACGGGATAGGACCCGGCTGGGATTGCATAGAGGCCTGCATGGCGCCGTGGCCGTTAAAGTCCATTGCGAGACCTTCCATTGGGCTTGTGAACTGATGCGACCGGGGATCTGAAGCCATGGACTGGTCGGGGCCTGTCGTAGTAGGAGGCACTATGGAATGTTGCTGGTCCTGCAACTGCTGCTGTGCTGGTCCGTGCCCGTCGAGGTCGGTAAATTGCATATTGAACTCGAGGAAGTTGGAGAATTCATCTTCGCCGGGGGCCGTGATAAGCTGATTCTCGTGGATCTGCTCCGGCCAAGTCATGGCCGGTTGATGATCCATGGTGGATGGAAAGAGAGAGAGACCTTTTGGTCTATCCTTAATCCAATGCCACGAGAAGGGAGATATCAAGAGAAGGACGGAGATGGGGGGGGGGGTCCTTTTTTCTCCTTGGTGGTTGGCCGGACTGAGTCGACAGACTGGATTGGCCGGATTGGCTGGGATGATTGCGAGTGGAGCGGGGTTCAAGTTGCAGGAACACTACGCCCTTATCTGTAGTTCTCCGTGATCCTCTTCTCCGACCGTCAATCTCTCAATAGATCAGCAGGAAATAACGAAGGACGTAGTTGAAGGGAAGGAAAGGAAGAGAAAGTGAGAGTGAGAGAGTGAGAGGGTGGAGGAGGTGGAGGAGGGGGGGGGGGGGAAGAGGAACAGGAAGGTGAAAGTGTGGGAAGTGGGCGAGAGGGTGGAGTGTACGGAGAAGACTGGGAAACTGAGATGAGGCCGGGCGGAGACGGTACGTTCATTCAGTCCAGGACTTTCTAGTATTATTCTCTAGACTCTAGAAGACGAGATGGTCCTTCTGTTCTTAACTCTACAACGTATAGACTTTTGGGATGAGACTTGAAAGTACCTAGGAAGTACTTAGAAGACACTTTAGAAGACTAGAAACATTATTAGGGCCATTCCGGCTTGTTGTAGCGAGCCGTTAACTCGACTTGTCGCCTAGTGAAGGGTTAGTCTCGTACCCTAGGAGACTAGGACACCTTTCCGAGGGAGACGAACACACTTAGTTAATAGCCAGAGTCACTTGGTTACCTCAAAAGTCAGTAACATTGTAGCCTGCTAAGTTTTTTTTTAATGAGAATTCCCCCGAGAAAAGTCCCCCCGAAGTACCCAGTCCGTACCAGACTTACTAGTACTAAGTGTACTACTGTACTAAAGTGTACTACTGTATACCCATGCCCCGGTCATTTCAGCCGGGGGGCCATTCCAACTTCCGCCCTGCTCTTAGCCTGTTAGCCTGCTAGCCTGCTTGCGCATTTTCTGGCGCTAGAGGCGGTCGATTAGCCGATGCAGGGCTGGTCATCTTTTGAGTTGGTGGCGCTCTAGAAGAACGCCCCGTTCTACAGTTCCATCTCATATGATCTTCGTAGAAATAACCATTCTAGAATACGAATAATCGCATTGACGCCGTAGAATATTCTACCACCTGTCTTTTTTTGCCTCCCCGGCCCTGGATCTTCCCCAAAAGGAATAAGATTAACGTGACAAGATTCATCCACAGTGGAGCCCGTCCAAAGACTCGCAGACCTCGCAGGGACCACCTCAGAAGAAAAATAATCCCGAGATCGGCTTGGCAGATTACTTCCACGTCTATCCTGTTGGCTTATCTAATCATATACGGCGTCTTCTCTAAAATATACCCAAGTCATACATTTTCTGCCTCAGGCCACAATCAGCTGACCTACAGCTCTCTAATACCAACTGGACCTCAAGATACGAACTAACTAACCCAGCTAACCCTCCAATTCAAGCTCATCCTCCCACGGGCAAAATACCCAACCGGCAAACACACAATGCCCGTCCTCCTAGCCCTCCTCTGGCTCTGCCACCTAGCCACCGCCTCCCTAACAATCTCCATCCCCCCATCCACCCACCTCCCAAACCCCCATGTCCTCCCCGCAACAACCCGTGCAACTCTCACCACCCTCCCCGCCGCCGGCGCCGGCGACCGCGATCCCACCCACATCCTAACCACCTCCCTCACTCGCGGTTCTACGCTGGTCTTCCGTGACATCCCCGCCGGTCACCCCGAATCGTACCTGCTCGACATTCGCGCCGGCGAGTACGTGTTTGCCCCGTACCGCGTGGATATCGCGGCCGACGGCTCGGTGCTTGGTGTTTGGGAGACATTCCGTGGTAACCCCTGGGATAATCGTGGCGCGGAGAAATATGTCGTTGATGTTGCGGGTAAGAAGGCGGCGGATGTTGTGGTTGAGGCGAAAGTTCTTGGACGAAAGGGTTTCTACGAGGAGCGGGCTAAGTGTGAGTGATATCAATCTTGATACCGCCTATTTTAGCTCCAGATTGGGTTAGAGTATCTCTCTTGAGATCAATTGGCTAATATGCTTTGATTGGAATATAGTCTCGCCCTTGAGCCTGGTCAAGAACCCGATGATTCTTATGGCTATCGTGGCACTCGCCATGACCTTTGGAATGCCCAAGCTTATGGAGAACAGTACGTGCATCGACCCTTAATTCTCGACCGGGCCTCTACCACTACGGTAGATGCTGGGTTCGGAATATCTTTTATCTTATAACTAACCATCCCCGCTCCCATTTACAGTGGACCCCGAGATGCGCGCCGAATTCGAACAGCAATCCCGTGCCTCCCCTCTGACTGGTGCTACCACCAATGCCATGACTGGCGGTGGCTTTGATCTTGCCGGATGGATGGCCGGCACCGCGCCCAGCCCCATGGCCAGTGCTGAAGGGGCTCGCGAGGGTGCGACGGGTCGAGAGGCCGCTGGCTCTGCGCGGAAGCGTGGTTAGCCAGCTTGTATCGGTGTTTAATATGTCAAGTTCTTGTAGATTAAAATTTAATCAGATCTTCGAATTTGAATGATAGATGATCTAGCATATCTGATGATCTAGCATTGCCCGTAGCTATAAGACTATCCCAGAGGAAACACATGATCCATTATGTACGTCGTGTCACAGACCCATGCCAAAGAGCAAAAAGCAAAGAAGCAAAAGCAAAACCAATCCTTCTCGGGCGTTCAAAGTCAAAATCCATGTACATCATAAAAACGTAAAATAAGGGGGATCCCGGGATAAGGAGCGTATCAAAACATCAAAAAAAAAGAAAACAACCCCCATAGACAACGCCCAGGTGGATCATAACTAGAAATCACCTCCACCAAAATCATCACCACCACCACCACCCCAATCTCCACCCCCATTATCATAGTTATCATTATGATCCCCCAAATCCTCCACCGCATCCGCAATCAACAACCCACCTAACAATCCACCTCCGACACCCAACGCCGCCGCCCCCGCAGTCCCCATTCCCCCAGACTTTCGCGGCGGCTGTTGCGCGTAATACCCACCCTGCTGGGGATATCCCCCTCCATAACCACCGCCATATCCGGCCTGTGGATATCCATACCCCTGCTGGGGCGGGTAACCACCACCCCCGTAATACTGTCCGGGAGGGGGTCCCTGTTGTTGCGGGTACGAGGCATATTGCTGCTGAGGCGGGGGCCGTGAGGAGCTCGAGCTCTTGCCCATGAGTTTACTCAGGAAACCGCCCTTGCTGCGCTTTTGTTCTGGCATGGGACTTTGTGATTGGGGGAGGGGACTTTGCGAGGGACCGCCGTAGCTGGGCTGTCCTTGGCCAGAGGATGGGTTGCTGTAGTAGTCTGTTGCTGCGCCGCGATCGCCACTTTGGCCGCGGGCTCGGGAGTCCTCTTCGGCTTGGAGTTGGGCGGCTAGACGGGCGTCCTCGTCGATGGTGTTGGAGGGGGTGCTGTCCTTGGTGCTGTTTACGGGATTGTAGGGATTGTTCGAGGCCATAGGTTGCTTTCTGTCGCTTGGGAGGGCTTCGGCGGGCAGTTCAATGGGTGGGGGGCCCGCGGGGGGGCCAGAAGGTGGTGGTGCTTCGGGGCGCTCCCATTGTGATTTGCCCGTGGCGATGTTGATGTAGAACCTGGACAGGGGAGGATGGGTTAGAGTTCTGTGGGTGTTGTGACTAGTTGGAAAAAGCACTGGTACTCACCATGTCTGATAGCGCTCGTCGTACTGGGCTTTCCACCCCTCCGGTACTGTCGGCGGGGGCGGGCCGGGAGGCGGGGCGTAGGAGGACATGAGTCGAGTAGGAATGTGAGGATGGAGATGAGTTTGAGTTTGCAGAGAGAGTTGAGAGAGGAATGAGCAAGGTTTGTAAGACGGGATAGGTGGGATTACAAAGGGGGGTTCGGTTAGAAGAGAGAAAGCCAAGAGGCCAACTTCCGACGCAGGTGTTATATACGGAGACCCTGGCCTCAGCGGGGCCCGGAACGAATGCGCCGCGGGGAGGCACTACTACGCAATAGAGGGGCTGCGCCACCGTGGCAGTGTTATATCATCGTCATTGGCAGGCACCATCATATTCACTATTCTAACACATTTATACAATTTGGAATTAGGATTATTTTTGGGGTCTGCATTGATACCTACGGTAGCGATGCTTATATACCCTTCTAGAATCTACTTATTCTAGAATCCTTCCTAATGTGAAAGTCTCTTCTTGGCTTGATCTCCACTAGCCTTATTCTAGGGAACTGTGTATATCTAAAGTACTCTGAACCCCACTCCAAGAGGACCCTATCATTTACCCATTAGACAGCTACTCTAGTCTAGACTTTTATATGCTAATTAATTCCACGCCAGCCTCGATGAGATAAGATCTCACTATGTTCATCCCATCCCTAACCTATCCCGGGACTATATAGTTTAACTCCCGTGAGCTTATATACCCAGCGAATACTTGATAAAGAGACCAACTCTCATAAAACTGTGATTAACAGGTGGTATTACATAACTCATGGAACCAGTCCATCCGCTAAAACGAGTCAAAAATAACCATACAGCAATAAAAACAGCACCCAGATCCATCAGAGGTCATCGGCTTCCAGATTCGCATCGACATCTCGGCTATCAGGCCACCAATAATCCTCATCTGATTCTTCATCCAAGACCTTCGGAATCGGAGAAGGCGAAAGAGAAAGCTGACGAAGCATTGACTGGTCTAATAGCTCACAGTCGGAGTCCATCGTTGAGTCGCCGGTAGCCGCGGTCACGGACGCAGTCGCAGGAGTAGCAGAACTGGTAGTAACCAGCTCAGAATCGGAATCCATGGTCAGATCGATGACCGATTCCTCAAGCCTCGTGATAACGTGAGGATTCTTCCTTTGCTTCTTCAGCTTGTCTTTCTTCTTTTTCTTCTTCCGAGCTGGACTAGAAGCGTGGCCCTCCTTGTCAATACCGCCAAAGTCGATCCGGTTATCCCGCTTTCTTTTTTGCAAGTTATCCCCTCCATTTGGTAGACTAGAGGCTCCGGATCTCCAGCGGCGCGAGTGACGGGCGCGGGCAAGATTGAACTGGCATTGGAGTTCTCGGCGTGAGCCTGCATCTAATCCGAGTCGCTCATTAACAGGTGGTCCAGCAAACTGCCGTAGTTGGTACTCGGTCGACAACGGGGTCCGCTTGAGCTTATCCAGAGTTGTCGTCTCAGGAAGACCCCGAGCCCAAGGCGCATAGGGACCATCATACTTCGGTCCCTGAACTGGGCCAAAGATCGGATCCATGGTCAACTTGCCGGAGGCAATAAGCTCTTTAGCGAGAGGCACCCCGAGCAATTCGGTACATGGCGGCTCCGGGGCATACTTAAAGTCGAAGTTAACGACTTCATCTTCCGTGTGTTCACAAAATAGAACATGAACGCCACCGCTATAGTCTCCAAGAAGGAGCTGTGACTTGTCCGCAGAGAACGCTCCACTCGTAATACCGTCATTTAGGTGTACCGTATTCGCGACTAGGGCATCTTGCGTTGAGCGACGAATATCCCATTGTTTGAGATACCCATCGGAGCCGCCGGTGTAGAACTGGTCGATCGTTGTGCCCCAGAGCGCCACCCGCACACCGAAATCCGTGTATTCTCGAGAATATCGAGGATTGAGGGAATTTAGGGAGTTACCGTGCGAAAGCTTATGAATAGGTCTCGAATCTTTACGAGAATCCCAAACATATGTGCTTCCGTCCGTGCAGCTTGCAGTGATGTATGTTGAGTCCATTGGGCAGAACGTCACCTCGTTCATGTCTACCGCCGAGCAGGCGCACTTGCCAGTGACGACCACCTTGCCGCCGGACTCAATGTCATAGAGTTGAACCACCGATTTGGATCGCAGTGGAAGGTTCATCGACTGGCTGTAGGCACTTCCTATCGCGAACCGTCGCATGGAGGGATGCCATTTCACATCAAAGATGTTTTGCGAGTCTGGACTGAGCTTGCGTCGCTCAATAGAAGATTCAGTCACCATCCACATGCCGAGGTGGCCAAGGAGTGGGACTTTGTATTGATCTTTAACGTATTCGCCCATTCCCCCGACTAGGTAATTTTTCGTCGCCTCACTCTGTCCCCACGCCAAGGTCGTCGGTTCAAGGACGATGTTCGCTTTCTGGCGAGGATCGCGGTGAATTTCTAGAGGCTTGGGAGTCGGAGTTTTATCGAACAAATTCCACAAGCCAAATGAATGCGTCGTCCCCGTAGCCACTAGATGGGGCATGAATTTTGAAACAGACATGACTTGTACATTGGAATCATGCCGCAGTGTTTTGACGCAAGTAGGGGTATCGGGAGAAGTGAGAGGATCCGTGTTCCATATCTTCACCGTATGGTCGAAGCTTGCAGTATAGAGCTGCCGATGGACCCATTCAATAGTGGAGACGGTTGGGAAAAGACGTTCGTCTGCCGTGGCTGTATTTGATTCCCGGCGAATATGGTGATCGGGCAGCTCATACAGGCAATTCCGTGCAAGGTCACCAAACAGCAAGTTATTGCTACGGTTGTACTCATCAGACTGTGCAGTAGCCCCAGTAGCAAACTTCGTACCGTCCGGTGACCACACCAGGGTGCTCACGTCGTTGGAAGCGCCCTTCCACGTCTTCCGGAGCTTCAGGTTTGAGCTCACTGTCGCACGCAGAAGCTCATGATCGGGTCTCGCGCCTCGTAGTTCTCGAGTCCACAAGAGTTTTGAAAGGTTGGCTTTACGTCGCTGTTCATCCTCGACCTGGATACCGACAGGAAAGTCCTGTAATGATGGACGTCCTGGCGAGGACTGACGTTGCTGCGTGGACGAACGTGGAGAGGCAGGAGGTGGTGGAGACTCGGAGACGGCAGGAGTATCCTCTCTCTCAGACTGATGTGGAGAATCATGAGAACCCGCTTGGTGCCTGGAGAGCGTCTTGAGATTGTAGGTCGCAGGTTCTGCCCGAGACCGAGTAGATCGCCGTCTAGATGGGGATATGGGTTGAGCCAGAGGCTTTGGAGTCGGAGACCTTGAAGATTGAGATGATGGTGAAGACGGTCTGTACTCAGACGAGGACATCGATGGCTGAGAGTCTGAAGGCTGTGGCGGGGCCGGTTCGGTGAGTTTGTTGGACGCTTGTTTAGTGACTTGGGTGGCTGGCCCTGTCTTCTCGCTCTGACTTCGATTTGCGTTCAAGAGTGCCACGCTTCTTCGCAAGTCCCCTTGTCGAGTAGAGGTTGGGACTGGGGCCTTAGTGGGTTTCTCGCGAGAGATGGGAGGGGCTATTTTTGGTGCGACTCGAGGAGCAAGAAGCTTCTTAGGAGGTCCAGTGGTATTCCCTAAAGTAGGGGTTTCCCGAGCCGGCACGGTGCCATTCACAGAAGTAGGAGATCCCTGAGGAGGCGCAATAGTATTGACCGGAGCGGGAATTTCCTTGAGGGGTTCCGTGTTCCTCGTTGGAGCAGGAGTTGCTGGAGGAGCGGGCGGAGCAGAAGAGGGGGAAGTGAAGCCATTTGATAAAGCGATATCAGTCGGTTTGGGTTTCGCGAAAGTCGGCGTGGCAATATATTGCTCCTCCGCCACCTCACTTTGAGGAACCCATCCCAATTCAGTCTGTCCGAAGGTCGTATGGCCATGCGTCACGAAGCTAACCGCATGGTCTGACCGCAGTCCATTGGATGGTTCAGCCTGACCATAGGTATATTGTTTGTAAAGGTGCTCCGCCAGAGACTCGAGGCCAGGTTCCTTCGAAAAGTCCAAGGTAAAGGCTGGAGTTGTACTTCGAGGCGTGCCTCGCGTGAAATAGAGTGAAAGGTGCGACATTGCAGCTGTTGTTCGTCCGTCTCACTTCCAAAACTTCCAGGACAGCGTGGGGTCGAGGTATCTAGAAAGAAGGCATTCTTTCTGACCTATATCGGGACGAGATGGAGGAATTGCGCGCTTAAATCGGTGGGAGATGATAGTGCGAGATAGACATGCCATCCGCAAAGTGGTTTGAATAGGGTATCGATATGGTGGCGCTATGCCAAGCGCCCAGCAGAGGTCACGATTCACACGTCGAAGAGGTCGCAATGATATCGCAATCCGATCTCTAGCGGGACAGGATGAGACTCGGAGTCCCCTAGGTTGACTGGTGCATTTGGCAATGAGGCGACTTCGTGGGAAGCGGAAAGCGGGAGAAGGCGATGAGACCGATGTGAGGGGAGGCAAGACTGCATTTGCGATTATTAGCAGAGACACCAAGACACTGCGACATAAGTACTTCAAAACATACATTGGGATACTGTGCCAAACAACCCCTCCGCAGTACGGGCCTCGAAAGACGACGCTTGCGAACAAAGAACGAGTCGCGAAAACGCGCTACGCGGAGACGCCAACTGCGGGCGGTGAGGGCCAAATGTACGGGAGGGTGGAGCATCCCCGCTCTAGTGAGGTACATAGTGGACTCCCTCTATAAACATTGATTATCGATGTAAATAAATTCAGACTGAGTATAAGAGATAATAAATACATGGGCAATGAATTAGAAAACTATCTAAATATCACTTTGCAATCTCATTATTGGTTCTTTGCAGACGAAAAAAGAAAGGCATTGTATATGTACAGAAACTGTCGGGAGTACCCGACGGCTGATCTTGGTCGAGTAGAGGGATATCGAGAGAGGCACCTATCTCTCACTTAGGCGCAAATAACGTAATAAAGGGAGAGATTACCATCTCATAAGCAGCTCCCTTCTTACTATGTAGTATAGTTGCAAGACGCGAGTATAGCGATGATCGCTAGTTTCTAAGGTTCGTTCGAGGAAAGGCCTAATATATGTCTCTCCCTCAAACCGAGACCGAGGTAGGTAGGCATCGCATTGGCACGGCCATTTACTTGCGAATAGAGCGGCCCTTGCGCACAGACACCATGGCGTCGTAGAGCACATCCTTGAAGGCGAAGAGGAAGGCGGCGGTGATGGCACTCTGAGTCACCTTGGGACCAATTCCTAAAGTTTACAATGTTAGCATCTACTTGATTGGTTCATTAGTCCGAAAGGAAACTTACCCTTGTACAGACCGGTGTATCCCTCCTCCCGGATAATCTTCTTAAGGCTGCCATTCAGGCTCTCCTTAGGGCCATCCTTGCTGGCCACGTGCATGCGGCTCTTGACGGTGATATAAGGGTATGTGATGCTGGTGGCCAGGATCTTGCCCAACGCACCCAGATAGAAAGCATCCTTAGGAGTCATACGCCGACGGCGCTCGACAATATTCTTCAGTTGCTCGAAAATGGTATACTGAAGGATGGGGTTGATCACCAGGATCAAGGCCGGCAGGACACCGGCGAACAGGGCCTTAGGGCCCTCCTCCTTCAGAAGAGTCATCAAAGTGCTGAAGGTTGAGGCCTTGGCCTTCTTGGGTGCGCCGGGTAGGCTCTCATCAGACTCAGACTTGCGAGCTGTCATGCGGGTGTTGATGACCCAGATAGGGTTGGTCAACATGACGGTAGCACTGCCCGCGATGGCACCAGCAATCATGGACTCCACGGTCGTGAGCTTCTTCGAGGCACGGCCGGACTGGATTGCGCCCTTCTCGAAGGCGGCACGGGTCCACTCATACCAGTAATAGTATACGAAGTTGGTGACACTGATTCCGAACAGGGCGGACTCCAGGCCGGAGTAGAGACCGGAGATACCCTCACGTTGAACGATGCGACGCACCGCGTCGAGGGTTGTGGAGTGCGCGCGCTTGGATTCGACCTGGGCTCTCGTGGATAGCGTGATCAGAGGGTATCTGCCGAGGGTGGATCTTAGCAAAACAGGAATGACCCATGGGGTAGAAATCGCGGGGTATTATCAATCGTACGTCATGACCATCGATAGAATACCACCTCCTGCACCTGCCAGCGCATGAGCAATGTTATCGCTCTGCTGCACGACCGCAGAAGGCGCGGGCTTGGGCTGTTGCTGAGGTTGAGACATGGTGAAGGGTGGAGGTCGGTTTGCGGAAGGGCGGGAAGTGGTTGAATCGTTGAGTCAAGACCCGAAGGTGAGGCGAGAGAGAGAGAGACAGACGGGAAGGGAAAGAAAAAGGCAGATAGTCACAGCCCAGGAAAAGGAGCGGATCGGTTTGAAGAAAAGGGTTTCCAGGAGAAGAGCGCGATAATGATTCGGCTTGGGCGAGGGAGAGAGAGAGAGTTCATGACGTTTTGCCGAGTGCTGTGCCTCGGCTCCTGCACAACTCCACAAAGGGTCGATTATTCCGAGCCGCCTAGGGTAGTAAGACGACACAAATGATGGGGACTCGGATATGCGACTCGACTCCTTTCCACATGGAGCATAGCGAATTCGGTTGGTCCGCCGAGAAACTCGGGGCGTGTATTGGACGCTAGGTGGGCTATTGGAAATTAAAATCTTCATGATAGTCCGGGGGGTTTTTTAGCAGGTGCTTTGGCATGTGATCCCCTTGCTCCCTTTCCTGGCCTCCTAGATATAACAAGGATAAAGATCTATTAGTACACTATTCACTTACACGGTATTAGAGTAAAGTTAAGTAGAAGCTTTTGCAGTAAATAAGGAGCTACGAAACTTGCAAGGTATGTTCCTTTGGTCCTATATAGGGATCATCAGTTCATAGACCTCTCCAACCACAATTACTAGTACAACTACGGAGATCAATAGGCCAAGTAAAGAGGGACAACAAGACATTCTCAAGGGATGGAGTCATACAAGGAGGCTTTAAACATGAAACACAGAAAGATAAAAAACCCAATGAGGTTTTCGCCATTAATCCATTCTGAAGAGATGAATCCAACCTACAAGAAAGAACAAGAGAGAATGAAGGGCCAAGAAGAAAATAGATGCGGCCAGGAATAAGAAGAAACAAAGGAGAAGAAAAAAGAGAAACACCAGCGGTAATCACAAAGCAAAACGAAGAATGACAAAACGCAGAGCCATCTAAAGCACAGGTAAGAAAAGGGAGGGAAGAGTCAAGGGCAACACCCAGATTGGCACTCGCAAAAGACGAATGAGACGAGCTTCCCCCTTCCCAAATTTCTCGGGGCTGTCTGGACTCGATGGCTAGCTTTCAGTCAACGGTCGAGCGGGTGGGTAAAAAGACAAGCCTGGCTGCCGATGAGATTATCACGCCGCTTGGAAACCCTCATCCATGAATGTAACATTGCGCCAGATGGAAGTACCGCCTTGTACACTGGGTTCCATGGTCGTCTAGCAGCAGCCGCCTGCGGATCCAGACTGGACGCCCTGGCCCTGACCAACCTGCACGGTGGGCTTGTTGTTGACAGTGGCCGTTCCCATGCGCTCCTTGATCTGTCGGGCCATCGTCAAGAATGCCTGCTCGACGTTGGATGCGTTCTTGGCGGAGGTCTCGAGGAAGGGAATTCCAAGGCTGTCGGCAAACTCCTATGGAAGAGAAAACAAAAACTGTCAGTCACGAGCCCGACAAAACCACAACACGTCACCAGGTCATCTCCAGCGTCCTCTACTCAAGCAAATAAAATAGCAACCCAAGGCTATCGGTCTCCATGGAGAAAAGCTTACCTTCGCGACGGTGTACTCCACGACCTTCTTGTCCTCCATATCGCTCTTGTTGCCAACAAGGAGCTTGTTGACACCCTCGGTAGCATATCGGTCAATCTCCTGAAGCCACTGCTTAACGTTGTTGAAGGAGTCCATGTCGGTCACATCATAAACGACACAAATACCGTGGGCACCACGATAGTAAGAGGAGGTGATGGTACGGAAGCGTTCCTGGCCAGCAGTGTCCCACTGGAAAAAAGGCGAAGGCCGGGTTAGCTTGCGTGCATCCAGGCGCCATACGCGCTCAAGAGTTTAGAAGAGGGTTTCGTACAATCTGAAGTTTCACGGTCTTGCCATCGAGCTCGATAGTCCGGATTTTCTGTCCACCCGTCAGCATCAACAGTCCCCCGGTTACCACGACACAGCCCCGCAAAAAGCAATAGATCCACATACGAAGTCGACACCAATAGTCGAGATGTAGCTTTCGGTGTAGGTGTCGTCGGCGAAACGGAGCAGCAAGCAAGACTTTCCAACACCGGAGTCTCCGATGAGGAGGAGCTTGAAGAGATAATCGTATCTATTTTGGTTAGGTCATGCAGATCGGCGAGATGGGGGATCGTTGGGTGCGATGAAGCGGCCAACGCTGCGGATAAGACTCTGCATAGTGAAGAAGCGTCAGTTAAGTTCCCCAGTCAACTAGTACTCGGGGGATGGCCAGAGACGAGTCCGCGACCATCGGCGATGGAGACAGAGCAGGAGGTTTCCCCAAAATAGACCAAATGGACGGGAGCGGAGACTTACCACTCGGGGTTCATGATGGGCTAGCAGTGAACGGACGAGGGAAGGCAGTCAAAGAGAAGCGGAGGCGAACACAGACGAGAGTCGAGCAAGAGATGGAATCGAAGGGTGTTCGGGGTCGGTGTTGGGGGGGGGGGGGTTCTTTGGAGGGGACTGAATGATGAACGCCTGAAATGATAGGAGGTGCAGGAGGCCAGATGCACCTGATGCGCAGCTTTGTTTCAGCGGTCACCGCCACCACCGCCCGATCTAGTCAGCTACAGTTAATCATGTAATTAACGTCTAGTATAGTTAATTTGATTAAGTCTACCATTAGATTTGCCTACAATATTTGATTTTCAATATATATCATTTGAACTTGAGACTATTCCAATATCCAAATATACTTTCTCTTCCTTGTATTTCTACTGCTCAACTCTACTCGCCAAAGTAATACTACAAACTATGACGGAGTGCGTCACTCGATGTGGCTGATCCCGTGATCCTCCTGTAGCCTCGTGGGAGTTACTCCTGGCAGGTGACCGCCACACGTTACCAAGGTGAGATCTTGGAAAATGACTGTCACATTGAGCTCAATTATCTCTTTCTTATTTTTTTTCTAACCAAATGATACGATGACCACCACCAACCCTCCTCAACTATGGGTCTTATGCAGCGGCTCAGGGAATCATTAGTCAGTCCTATTCAGTTCTTCCCTTACGCGTATCCGTGGGCCTTCAGCCACTCCAGAACCAGAGCCTCATCTCGCTCCTTGTAGGATGCGTTCGTCCGGATATTGTCCTGGACAATGACGAGGGCACGGTCATACGCGGCCGTGTCCTTGCCCTTGAAGAACTCGGAAATGTCATCGCCAATCGCGTGGTCAGCGAACTTGGACAGACCCATACGAATGAACCGCTCGAACACAACGTTGTTCGAGGAAAGGCGAGCAGAGACCGAAGCCCAGTTCGTCTTGATGTACTCCCACAGCAGGTGGCGCACCTTGGAGTTGGCGGCCAGAGCCACCGCACCGCTGTGGAGGTCCTGAATGGCCACCTTGTCCGAGAAGACAAAGTCCAGGTAGTCCGTGACCAGGGCCGCGTCCTTGGTGCGGCCCATGGAGGCCAGGCAGATCTCCTTGCCGTCCACAGAGTCCGTCCGCAGGTACTCCTCCTTCACGGCATCGTACTCCTTGCGACCACCCTCAGACACGTTCAGGCTGAAGATCGCGGCGCGCAGGTTGGTGTGGATGGCGGTCTTATCTTGACCGGTTGCCCAGAGATCGAATCGGCGCTTGGCCTCGGCGACGATGCTAAAAGAATAGTTGTAAGCAAGCAGGAACGATGGGGCAGGGTTTCCATCCAAGCAGGGCAAAAGAGAGAGAAGGCTTACTTTTCGTGGCCAGCGTTACCCGCCATGGCGATCAAAAGCTTACGAAGCTGGATGATAAGATAGTCCTCGTTGGCCTGGAACTCCCAGCCAATGCGCTCAGCCGCTGGGGCAGCCAGGCTCCGAGTGAACTTCTTGAGGCCCTCGGCAACCTGCTCATTCTGCGAGAAGACAGAGCGGAGGTTGGCGAGGGAGGAAGACACCTGGGACCAAACCCTGTGAATTTGATGATCAGTAACTGCAGTGGCATGGTGTAAAACCGGGGAAGGGTTGGTTTCCTTACAGGTAGTTTTCCTCTCCCTTGAAACCCTCGAGGAGAGACAGCAAGGCGGGAGTGTTGCCATCGCCAGAGACAGCAAGGGCAGTCGCATCACCAAGCAGACCAATCTTGTCCTCGGTGCTTAGGAGATCAAGAGACTGACCCAGCTTTTCCAAACGCGCAGGGGGGTAGTTGGTGCGGTAGAATCCAGCCAGATCCTTGTTTATCTTGTAGAAGCCGTCGGCGCCGATGTCTCCCACGGTGTCAGATTTCTGAGTGAGAGCCCGGGTGTCCACGGTAGCCAGGTTCTCGCCGGACTTGATACCGAGAGGAATCCACCAAGTGGTCTCATCCTCCTCAGGCTTGGCATCACCAGTGGACAGGAATCGGCTTTGACGGACGCTGACCTGACCGGGCTCCTCGGCAACGGTCACAACGGGGAACCCGATCTTGCGAATCCAGGGGTCCTTTTGTACTAGTTAAGCATGCTTGCATAGAATAAAGGATGGTTATTCGGATCATTAATTTGACTTACCATGAACTTGTGCACGTCCTGACCGGAAGCCTTGCTCAAAGCAGACCACAGATCGTTAGTAGTGGCGTTGCCTAAGGAAAAGTCAGCTGTAAGCCCCCTCAACGAATTTTGAACTCAAAATTCTTACCATATGCGTGAGACTTGAGGTAGTCAGCCACACCGCGAAGGAAGGTCTCGCGGCCAAGGTGGACACTAAGCATGCGAATAACAGAGCTACCCTTCAGGTAACTGATGTGATCAAAGATCTGGTCCACCTCGAGAGCATTTCGGACGGGGACCTCAATGGGGTGAGAAGCACGGAGCGAGTCGAGGTGGAAAGCTTGTTGGACACCCTCAGCCTGTGACAATGTCAATCGTGGTCTTTGGAGAAAAGAAGGGTTTACCTCGATTACTACGTACAACGAACTGAGACCAGATGTTCCAGTCTGCAAGACTTGGTTAGTTACTGCCTCACATAATTTTTTGTCAATTGTTCGCTTGGACTCACCAGGATAGAAGTGGTCGACAGCCAACCAACCAACCCAAGTGGCGAAGCCCTCGTTGAGCCAAAGCTCATTCCACCAGTCCATGGTGACGAGGTTGCCGAACCACTGATGGGCCAACTCTGTAATATCAAGCTATGTCAGAACAATGACCTTCACTATGATAACATCACACAGGCGGAGAAGTCTTACCGTGCGCAACGACATAGGCAATACGGTTCTTATACCGGTTGTCCGATTTGCCCTCATCGAAAAGAACGGCAGTCGTCCGGTAGGTCACGAGACCCCAGTTCTCCATGGCTCCCATGGCCTAGAATCAATCTTCAGTCAGCCGGCTATTAATCCAAGTTGGTGAATGTCTCGAAACTTACAAACTCGTGCACTGCCAAGAGATCAGCCTTGGGCAGAGGGTATTCAATCTCGAAGATCTCCGAGAAATAGTCAACGGTCCGGTGGGCACATTCAAGTGCAAAGCGGGCCTGGTCCTTAAGACCACGAGTAGTGTAGACACGCACGGGAATGCTCTTTCCCTGGTACTTGCGCTCGGTCATCGCCTCGACATATTCGAAGTCACCAATGGCCCACGCCAGGAGCTATGAGATGAATAGTGTGTTAGCAAACAGCACCACACCTTTCAAGGCCTGGCAGGGCTGGGGGTTCTACTCACGTAAGTGCTCATGACGGGGGTCTTCTCAAAGGTGACGAATTTGAGGCCGGAGTTGCTACCTTCCCGCTCGGACTTAACAGGCATGTTGCTAAGCGCCGTTTGGCCCTTGGGGATTTCAATCTCAAAGTCGAAGGTGGCCTTCAAGTTCGGCTCGTCGAAGCAAGGGAAGGCCCGGCGAGCATCGCAGGACTCGAACTGAGTGCTAAGCATATAGTAGAAATCTCCTTCCTTGGGAGTATCGGCAGCGGGCTCACCGACAGGCTTGTACTTGGAGCGGTAGAAACCAGCCATGGCGTTGTTCATGGTTCCGGTGAAGTTGATGGACAGCACAACATCCGATGGAGTTAGTTCCTCGGCGAACTTCAGAGTCACACGCTCTGACTTCTTATCGTAGCTGATGTCGGTGGTCTTGGCCACTGAAGCTCCTAAGACGAGAAAAAAAAGTCGTCAGCCCAGTTCCATCCGAGTTGTTCGCCAACTGTATAGTTGGTAAGAATAGTCTAACCATCCTTGCCTAGCACCTCAGCACTCTGCACATCGATTTCCTTCGAGTTCAGGACGACCTCCTTTGTAGCACGAGTGATTTTGGCGTCGACCTTCACCACACCCTTGTAGCCCCACGAGCCACTGAACTGCAAATCGAAGAGGGAAACATGATAGTTGATAGGCTTGGCACTATAGCTTCGGATTAGCACGGTTGAATGCATTTTGGTACACAGTAAACTGGGATGCCTGGGGGAGGTCATGGTTGACTGCTTGTGTCTTTCCCCCTCAGTCGGCATCACTCACACGTCAGGAAGAGTCTCTCTGTCGGTGGACGCCATCATGCGAGCTTCAGCAGAACAGTGTCTTATGGGCGATAAACCGAAAGATACTCTGGGGGCAGGTATCGGAAGTCGAGAGCGTAAACGAGGGGTTTGATGGGATGATATTGAAGAGAAAACAGAGGCGGATGTGGAAGCAGAAGAGGAAGAAGCAGAAGCGAAAGAGAAAGAGGAGGGGGAGGGGCGGAGAGTGACTTGACGGCCGTGGATTGCAACGCCTGCGCGTTTTGACGCCGCAATGGATCTTCTCCCCCACATCGGCGTCTTTAGCGACGGCTAGTGTCGGACTCGGGTTGGCTGGGATATTATGCGACGTGAATGGTCTTTCGTTTCTTCACCATCCCTTGGTTGAGCCGGTCCGAAGAGGTTTCGACAGACGGAGCTCCGGCGGAGCTTGGACCCTCTTTGGCGGCTAATTCGTGCCGCGCCTTTGACACTATCTTTCTCTTCTCTCCACCCACTTTCAGTTCCATTCTTTGGACCTTTGCGAATCGTCGCCATGGCCGACTCGGATGAGGAATATGTGGGGAGCGTCACCGACGATGAAGATGATCTCCAGGTGACTCGGACGGACCAGACTCAGCCACGAAAGAGAAAGCAACGTGGAGCGGCGGAATGGGAGCTGTCTCGTACTTGGGAGACTCTGGTTGAGGGCGCCGATGGAACCATCAGCTCGACAGTTGAAGGACTGCTCGAGGCGAGCAAGCGCAAGAGGTCAGATTCGTTCAGCAAGAGTTCCGATTCCTTTGGTACTAACTTTCTTTTACGGCGGGTAGGCTGCTCAAAGATACTACGCCTCTACAACGAGGTATCATACGACATCTCATTCTTATCCTCGACCTCTCACAATCCATGTCCGAAAAAGACCTTCGGCCAACACGATACCTCCTGACTCTACGATATGCCCAAGAATTTGTGCGGGAATTCTTTGAGCAAAACCCCATCTCGCAACTTGGTGTTCTGGGACTTCGAGACGGACTCGCGGTTCGAGTTAGCGATATCAGTGGCAATCCAACAGAACACTTGACCGCGATCCAGGAGCTCAAGACTCAGGATCCAAAGGGCCTCCCTAGTCTACAGAATGGCTTGGAAATGGCCCGCGGTGCTCTCTTGTACGTCTCATCTTACTCACACCCTTATCTCTTGTGAAAATTACCAGCTAGGCTAACCAGCATATTCGTATAGCCACACACCTAGCCATGGTACTAGGGAAGTCCTCGTCATCTTCGGCTCCCTTCTCTCCTCCGACCCCGGCGATATCCACCAAACTATCAACACCCTGGTCACCGACAAAGTCCGTGTCCGGATCGTCGGTCTTGCCGCTCAAGTCGCCATCTGTCAAGAGCTATGCAGCCGGACAAATCGAGGCGATGAAACGGCATATGGAGTCGCGCTCAACGAGCAACATTTCCGGGAGCTCCTGATGGACGTGACGACGCCACTAGCAACCCAGAAGCAATCGGCGAGCTCGCTCCTAATGATGGGCTTCCCCTCACGTACCGTGGAACCCACCCCTTCCCTATGTGCATGCCACTCGAGGCCCTCTCGAGGTGGCTATCTGTGTTCGCGCTGCGGGAGCAAAGTGTGCAGTCTGCCCGCCGAGTGTCCGTCCTGTGGCCTCACGCTAATTCTTTCAACCCACCTTGCGCGCTCCTACCACCACTTGTTCCCTTTGATGAACTGGGTGGAGGTACCCTGGCGCCGTGCCTCGAGCACCGCCTGCTTTGCTTGTGGACTTCCCTTCCCAGCGGTACCACCAGAGGATCAGTGGTCGGTAACGGAGAATCATGCTAAAGGCATGAGTGTCAGCAGTCGCTACCAGTGCACAGCATGCCAGAACCACTTCTGCATTGACTGTGATCTTTTTGCGCATGAGGTCGTTCACAATTGCCCCGGATGCCAAAGTCACAGCGTCCAGGCGGTCTCCGAGGGGATGGATACTACTACTTGAATTTTTTTTTAAAAAAAAAAGATTGCATCGCATGGATCGGCGTTGAAGGATTTTATAAGGCATGGAAGTGGAGTTTTTGTGTACCATATTTTAGCAACTTGACTATCAAGAAATTTTCACCAGACTACCTATTTTCTTTGATCTGTAACAAATAACGACAATGTATATTGTTCACTACATAGTATACTTCTCGAGCCTCGGCTAAAATGTGAACAAAGAGCTCTGACACTTTGGCCCCACGTCTTCTCCGCCTCCGCATCGGCGGTTCTTCACCAGTCGCATGTTTACTGCATCCCACCTCGTACTCGACACAACCTCACTCTCTCACAATGGCCGAATCACAATCACCCAGCTCATTCGAGAAGCTCAAGGCATACCCTTTCACCTCCGATCCAGAGTTCGCGAATGGCCTCGCAATCATCCTGGGCCACGCCGGCACGCCAGCCTCGGAGATGGAGATGAGCCGAGACGATGATCTCGTCTTGCAGGCCAAATGCTTCTTTTTCTCGCGGTATGGATTCCCAATACCCTTCGTACTATGATCAATTGACTGATATTCTGTCCGTGACGTGCAGAAAGGAAAAGATCACGCCTCCCATCGATTTCACAGCCTACAAAGCTTGGTTAGCTGCGGAATCGTCTAAGTCGAACCCCGCGACAGCTGTACCGGAACAATCAAACGAATCCTCTACAGAAACTGCTTCTGTTGCGACTACTGAATCATCGGCCCTCCCAGAGCCTGCCTATCCAACCTCGTTTGCACATATCGTGGAACTCATCACGACCGGTAAACCAGTTCCCGGCATACAGCAGATCCCGGACACAGTCTTGGAGGGGCATGACATCTCAAGTGAAAGGCCGCGCCGAAGGAAGCCTTGGGAGAAGGATGTCGAAGAAACGACATCCCTTCAGGGTGAAATGGCCAGCAACGCTGCTTGACCGATCAGCACTACAGAGCTGTTACGATTGTCTGGAGAGAACTACAGAATACCCGGGAGGATTCAAGATTTGATAGAAAGAATATATGGGATTGGCATAATAGAGATACTGTCCTCAGAAGATGAATACACACAGCAATGGCCAAGTGGCTGAGCAATATCAATGTTGAACAGAGTTGGTAACGGTAAAAGATGAAGGCCGTCGGGATAAGAAAGAGAATGATAGATCCATCTTGGACTTCGCATGATAAAAGCATAGGGAACTCAAATAAAAGAGGAAACAGAACCAGAAAAACAAAAAGGTTTGCGCAGCATCGCCACCAAACAACTTGTCCGTACTTGAATGAGATCATCATGGGCAGATCGACGCCCAAGGGCGTGGTGTTATTTTTTGTTGGACCGCATTCATCATTTGCCGAAAACGAAGTCCTTGGGCACCTGGACACCGAAGAAGGACAAGTGAAATGGATAGATAAGCAGGCAGGATAAACTGTCGAGATTGAAGCCACGGAAATAATAAAAGTTGGGACCATGCATCAAAGTCGCCTGGTAGCATCTGACTGGTAGAAGGCAGCCAGCTGCTCTCGGGGACTGAGAGCGAATGTGAACGTAATTCATACAAGCATAATCCATGTAATACTATTGCTGTCGATTCTTTTGGAGTTTTTTTTTTTCTTGGGTTGATCGTTGGTTTGTTGTAGTGCTCGTCGTTGCAACTTCTCCTCGTCTTGGGTACGGTCATTTGATGAACGCAGAATGCCAACCGCGTTCAACTTTAGAGCTTGTTGGGCAGATCAACGGTAAGGAGAGTAGCCTGGGCTCCATTGATTGCCCCGACCGAATCGACCATTGTTGTTCGAGTTTGTAGTGGAGAATCTCTCTTCGTTGAAATGACTGAAGCGGCCAACTTGCATGCCGGTCCCAGGGCCAGGCCGTGTAGTATGGGAAGGGTTGCAACAAAGCATCGCAACTCGGGATCCGAATTTGGAGCCTCGGAGAGAAACCATATGCTTCCTGTTCCGATGCGAAGCTGTCAGTATCGTACCAACAAGAGAGGCACGTTCAGAAATTACCGAATGTGACTGGCCACAAGCTCACGCTGGTGAGCTGCAGCATTCATCAGGACCCACTGAATCAGATAGTTGCCGTACTGATCTCCCGCAACTAGATGTCCTGCTTAGTACAGCCGACACAGAAGAGAACAAGCGCTTTTAACTCACTGTCAATCAACGGCATCCGGGGTCGGTCAGAACGACCAGTGCATACACAGGAGAGATAGCGGTCCAAGAACTCCGCGCCACCAATCTTCAGACATTTCTCGACGATTTTCGACGCAAACTGATTCATGCTGTAATCCACGGCGTGGTGGAGTACATGCTCAACCGCACGGCTTTTGTCGTGGGGAGCGCCATGCTCACATATGTGCTGGATGCACCAGTTGCCGAATTGACCATGAGCAAGTAGATCAACTTTTTCCAGAACTTCTTCAATCGCAGGCCGCTATTGAGGACCTTAGCATTTTCGTCTTTCTCGACATGAAGCCATGATCTCTTACCTTTTCTTCCTCGATGCAGTTTTCGAAGATATTTTGCACCACCAGGCTCCCTGTTTCACCCAGTGCAACTTCGTGCCACATCCCCTCCAGCGCCTCATTCACCTTGGCCATGATTTGGGGAGGCTCGCTACTCCATCGAAGCTCGAAGAGTTTCTGCCAAACATGGCAGGCATACCGATGAATGACCGTCTCCGGAATTCTGCGGAGAAGTTCATGCACCATGACAGTTTTGTGATCCTCCGGGACACAATCAAACGCCTTTTGAATGACGTGGCAACCAAAGGAATCCATACTCAGGCTGAGGGTGTTGCCTCTGATCGCATTCGCGATAGCGACAACTTGATCGGGTGTTCCGTGCTCGAAGCATCGCTGAACAAGGAAGTTTCCAAAGCGGTTGACCATCAGAGGGTACGCCTGGCTGACAATGGCCTCGATGATGTCAAACTTTTGCTCCGATGTGCCCACTTTCAACTTTTGTTGTAGGAAAATGGATGCTTGTTGGTCATTGTTGCATACAATTTTGTCCACAATGTATTTCCAGTCACAAGAGACATTCTTGTCGAGGAGGCGTCTATAATTGAGTGGTTCGAGAGGAGAAACGTAGGTGTGCATGGAGCTTTCACCAGTGCTCTAGAAGAATGGTTAGCACATATTCCATCATGTACATTGGGGAGGTGAGATGGATCTTACTGAAGTATTTGTCCACAGGGAACTATTCACGCTACCAGTTGTGAACTCAGAAGCGGTTGGAGAGAGGGTAGTTGCACCTGATCGGGCAGGATATGATGATACCGGATAGATTCCAATCGGTTGGAAGACGCTGGGTGATCCAGTGGGTGGCGATCCCGGAGACTTGGGGGTGGCATCACTTGGAGTCCCGGAGGCCAAGGTTCCCCAGGGCGTATTCTGAGCGGGAAAGATGGGGCCAGCTCGGCCTGCCTGGGTGAGGGAACGGCGAGGTCCGGGATTTGTGTTTTGGAAGAATCGGGATTGTTCACCTGGGGGCCGGGGATAAAAGCCATATCCACCGTTTGAAGGACCAGAAATAATTCTGTGAGGCTGGAAGCCTCCTTGCGGAGCCCCGAACCCAGTAGGGTACATTGGTGCAGTACCCCAAAAACGACCAGAGTCCTGATTCACCGGAGGGGAGGGTCCTGGCAGAGCCTCTCCATAAGTCTTGTCAAGAGAGTGGTCTTGGGTGTTCATCCCGAACGACGACTGCCCATTCTGGTTCCAAAGCCCGCGGCCACGATTGTACGCCCCAGCCGACAACGCATCGGAGATATCGGATTGAGAGTCGTCTTGTGCGTTCCATGTGTCTTGAAATTGGCCGACTGTGGGATTTGAGGCATTGAATGCATTCTGCAGGTTGCTGATAGTCTGTTCAGTAATATCACGCCCGCCAAAGTCTGCCTCGGATGGAGGGCCTAGAGCCTGGTCCAACGTGTGCTTGATCACACGGTTCTGGGCAAGTTCTTGCTCTTGCATAGCAATCTTGGAATTTGCCGCGAGCAGTTCCTTCTTGAGTCGAAGAAGCTCGGCCAACTTGTCATCCTGCGTGAGACTGTTGACTGTTTCTGCCGACCCCGCTGCTGGCAATGTGTCGCTGGACTGGGGAATTTGAGATGAACGGAAAGAAGAGTGATCAGACTCTGGGTGGGATACCCGGGCCGATTCAGGAGATATCTTTGCCAGGATCTTCTCCAAATGTGAAGGTTGTCCAACGCTAGATTCAACTTTGACGTGTCCCAACTTTGGCTTCTAGGATTGTCAGACTGTGCGCAGGCCCTTTGATCTCGTTGGGACATCGTTTCAGACTCACCTTGATAGACGGCATATCAGAATCTTCGCCAGGTGCTTTGAGTGTGAGTCCATACTTCGGCACTTCGTCAAGATCAGAGTGACTGTGGCGGTTGCTCGAATGCTGGTAGCCCTCAGTGTTAGACATACTGATCAGCTGTTGTAGGGCTGGCAAAACTTACAGAGAGATCACGTCCAAATGAAAAATTTCGCAAGTCCCTGCCCCCATCCTGAGAAATAAACCTTTCTTCTTTGGTGATGCGAGAGAGCACGGAAGGCCCAGCGAGGGTGGCCATTATGCTGATCACTGTGATGAAGGGAAAGGATCAAGTGTAGATCAGACCACGAGACAGACTTGCAACCAAGAGCGTAAAATGAAATGGGATAGCACGAATATTCACCAGATGATAGGAAACATAGGATAGATGAAGAGATGGGAAAGAGGAGGGAATGATGAGGGAAGAGAAAGGTGGGGAGGAGGGTTGTCAAGGAAGAGAGAAAGGGAAGGAGATTTCCCGAACAGGAAGGTACGTCGTGATCACGTCGGATTACGACACCCTCCGACAAGGCCTGGCCTAAAATGGATGCGATAGTGATAGCTCCAGATCAAAAAGGGAAATCAAAAGGGAATTTGGTTTTCTTCTCCTTCCTGGTTTTTGCTCTCTCTCTCCTTGCCCCTTGTATCGTTCCATCCATGCTTGCCTATATTTCCATGGCCCGCTCTGAACATAGGGCAAGACCTCTACATGGGATCAACTTGGTATGAGCCAGGCGATATCCGCCAAGACCAGTCAAAGTGACCGGCAGCGTAGACTCCAGCCACGCTTTCCCAACGAGAGCGATTTCCTAGAACCACATACTCCGGCTGCCCTGACCCGGTGATGGTTGGAACCAAACGAGCCGCTTGCCGCAATCCATCCAAGTCAGTGCCCCAAACAACCAGCTCCAGTCGTTCTTCCGGGAAGGGTCGAAGGAAGACCGCTCCTGTGCCTGGCTCTCCATAGAAGTATTCTTGTTTAAACCCAGGAAGCGCCGATGAAGAACGGCTCGTTGATATGACAAGACGACCTTGGTGAATGCGAATCGGGTATGATTCCATCGCGGTTGATGGCAAATCTTGGCCAATAGCAAGCGTAATTACATTGCCAGGTTGATGCTCTGCACTGGTGCCTGAGCAATCCTCAAGAATCTCGGAATCTGCTGCAAAGTACTGGAAGAAATTGCGACTGATTTGCAAAGCGACTTGCTCCACTCCAGGAGAACATCTCCGAATGGCGAGCTTTCCTTGAGTGCGGACAATGCCATCGAGTGCACCAAGCTGGCGGCCATATCTTTGATATTCTGCCTTCCAAATTGAGTCATGGGAGATACTCCACTGCCCTTCGGCATCTCTTACGAACCAGCTTTCCGTACTTTGAGTGGGATCTACCTGGAAGGTCCCGTTCATTTTGTCAAGCACGATTGCTTCAGGCAGCTCGGCCTGAGAATAAATCGCTAACAAGTGAAATCGACGAATGTTGCGAGTGGTAATGTGCCATGTCTTCCTGTCTAGAGAGCGAGCGACTCGAAACTTACCGTTCACGTCCGGTGTGTAGAGCTGGTCGACCTGGATCCCAGCTTTAGATCCCAATACCCCGGACGCTGGAACCGTAATGGTGAAGGTTTGTGGCAATGCCCTCGCCAGGCTAGACTGATTGACCATAGTTCGATAGAAATCTTTCAGGTACTCGGTCGTCATCACGCCGTCGTACCAGTGTCCCTTGCCCGGCAGCTCTTGGTACTCAGAGGGCCACTGAGTGTGACCTAAGAGCTCGTGCATCAGGCGTCCATGATATGCAGGTACATTATCGTCGTCTCCTCCGTGTTGTTGTGCGACGGGAATACCAGCCAGATTACCCACTAACAACTCATGTTTATAGGTTGACCGCGATCTGGAGAGAACCGACGAAAGCGAGGGCTCTGAGTCATGCCACATCGTATATGGAACATAATCTGAACAGCTTAGTTTCGGTCTTTACAACATGGAAGAGAGTCACTGCCAGTCATACTTTCGATCGATGTATATCCGGAGACAGGCGCTACAGCAGAGACGTTGTCTGGGAAATGGGTGGAAAAGTACCATGCACCCTGACCTATTCAACATCAGCAATCGACGGCAATCTTTCAGCGTATGAGACGTAGATCTACCTCCGTTGGAGTGACCGGCCACAATCAGTTTATCCAAAGCAGCAGGGGGGCCATCCCAAGCAGTTCGTTTCACCCAGTTCGCAATGGCGGACATCGCAGCCTGGATGTCAGCGGCACCCCAATAGTCTAAATCCAACCATCGGTTTAGTCACCGGTACTAAGTTCGAAACACAGACAAGGCAAAGACTCACGCCAGTCATCTCCACTCCACGGAGTGACACCGCTTGGGATCAGAATCCAAGCACAGGTCCCGTACGTTGCATCTAGCATACCTCGCGCTTGGGGTGAATCTGCTTCAAGTCCAGCCCCATGGAGAACCAGAATCACCGGAGCGGGTAGCGAGATATTACAAGACTTTGTAGGTGGAGCTCGCAGAATAGCATAAGAAACTATCCCTGCCGGGTGTAGGTAAGTCATACGAAGTGGGTCTGACAACGGTCGTTGTTCAAGATTAATGTTGAAACATATAACACGCGAACTCTTGCCTGCGGTCTGATATGTTACCTCTACAGAGAATTGAGGTTCACGGCCTGCCTCGACCAAGACAGTAAAAATCAGAGGCCGAGATTGGTGCCCAGCAATCCGCAGTGGGCCTTGCATAGAGACACGATGTGCCGTCTAGATCGAAGAGTGGCGTCAGCAGACTTACGAGGCATACTATGGTAAGATGATGGAAGAGTCCAACCTTCAATGCGCAGATGGACTTGATTTCCACCAACTGCTCTTCGTTGTTCTGTACATTGATCGAAGCCCATGGGCTCCCAATTCTTCCGTTAACCAATTCGGAAACCAGCAGGCTGTCTTGGTCCAACGTGATGGGCTCTTGGCCTCTCAGCTCGGCATGGAAAATGACTTCGACGGCATTTCTAAGTCCCCCGAGGGCCCGTACATCGCGTGTCAGCCGCAACTCCAATGTATGATGGCCTGGTGTTAGTTTGATCAAGCTGGGAGCCCGGTGGTACCGAAACATATCCCCACCGAAATACGACTCGCCGTCCACCAAGAATTCCAACAGACCATCCCCGAAAAGGGCAATAGTCTGTGGTTGAGATCCCTTGATCTCCAGTACCCCACGAGCCCATGCTTGATACTGTAATGCTGACCAGCCATAGACCGATTGCATGAATGCCCAATTCACGGCTGGAAAGCTCACGTTTAGCGCCGCCTGGACTTGACCGCCAGAGGATCTTGATATATTTGCATGCGTGGTGCTCCATTGAACAGAACCATTCGTCCCAAGGGCACTGTTGAAGGTGGAATTGGGGTCATATGGTAAATTGTGGAATCCACCGTCATACTCCAAGGGATCTGCTCCCCAGATGGCCTCTGCGCGAGGGAGGGTTGTTATTTCTCTATCCGCCTACTCTATTTCTTTGGTCGCGACCTACTGACCTCTTGTACCGAGCCTAAATGGCCCTAGAATGTCCCATGTCTCCGATATCACCACCTCTGGCAGCGCGGGTCTGAGTGGACTCTGGCTAACAGCACCGTCTGAGACAAGCTTCCAGCTAGTCCCCGCTTGCTGGGCGCAAGATGCTGGAACTAACGTGGGCGATAGTAGGATCAGTCCCAGGGCAACTGGCAGGAAATTGGGAAGCATGTTAGACGCATATACGCCAATCTCTCCGACCAGATCGAAGTATGAGAAATTGTTAGATCTTCAGATACTGTAACATTGGACCCTGAGTAGTCCGGAGGACTATCGGCCCGTCCCTCCGTTGCTGAATTGCGGGATGCCAGTGGAGAAAAGACCCGGCGGTGGTCAGTGCGGTATGGTACCGTACAGTCAGTGTTACAGTATTCATATTGTATAAGAGTCACGTGATTTGGTGTTCAATGTCTTAATCGTACATCTCGAAGGATCAAACAAGAGAGATCTCACAAGATCAGAGTTGAAGGTACAGATATAGCCATTCTGTACATGCAATTTCCTGTGTGGAGTCGGCTTTCTATTTCCTTTAGCTACCGTTCTACAAGCACAACGGAGGACTCCGAGGGTACAGTATCACACGGATACGGCGTATGGTCACAGCCGGTGGCGGTCGCACGCTGTCGGCCTCGATTCCATGGACTCTCCCGATGGGGCCAGTTTAGTTACCCTAACCTTCAATCTGCCCAGTTCGTACCTGGCCGCCCCTTTTTCTGGATTATTGCCTTCGGCATCTGGGCAATTATCCGTGCTTGTTATACGCCGTTACAAGGCTTGGCCCCGTTTCGCTTCCGGCAGCGTGTGTCCTCCGTTCTCAACGCTCATTCGTCCGAAGAGATTCGTCATCGCCAAACCGTCTTCCCTGCATTCTGGCCAGACGCCCTCTGTAGGTGAAACCAACCCCCCGTCCGACTCGACTACTTGACTTTGTAGTCTGCTCTATACTTTGGTAAGTCCAATGGTTGCCCCCGACGCGCGAAAGAGCCCCATGCTAGAGAACCGAGGGGAAGTGAAGGAGTTAACGCCTCCCCCAAGCGAAAGCCTAGACGAGTCCGCGACGACAATGGCTACAACGACAGTCACCGGTCATGGGCGGCGGGCTTCTATGCGACAACCCGAATTGCAAGTACCGAACAAACCCTCGTCCTCTCAACACACGAGTAGCCCCATCGACAAGTTCCCTCCCTACGAAGATTCCTTGGACGCCGCCGTGGGGTCAGCGGCACCCGCAACCCGTCCGCATCGAAGCCCCTCCGTGAAATATGCCCCAAACGAACACTGGGAGCCACGAAAAACTGCATTTTACTCGCGAGATCACCCCAATGGAGCTTTGAGGAATCCCAAACACCGACCCCGAAAGAGCATCAGCGAGGCCATTACCACCATTCGTAACCGCAACGGCAGTATGAGCGCGAATGCGCAGGAACTCGCGGAAGCCCTCAAAGCTCCGGTGTCATATCGATTGATTGTACGTTGACCAGGAGGGAGAATAGCAGGATAGGTGTTTCCTCAGACTGTTCTGCCATGTCCCACCCCCCGCTCCAAAGACTTTCTGGCTAATGTTCGGTAACCAATTCAGGGTCTCTGTCTGATTTGGTACCTGACCTCTGCGCTCACGAATACGTCCTCAAAATCTATCCTGAATGCCCTGCCAATGCCCATCACGTTGACGATCATTCAATTCGCGTTCGTTTCGTTTTGGTGTCTATTGCTCGTGTATCTTTCGACAGTGATTCCGTGGCTACGTCAAAGTGTGCCGGTTCTCAAACATGGCATTCGGTATCCTTCTCGGGACGTGATTTCCACCGCGTTGCCTCTGGCTGTCTTCCAACTGGCTGGCCATATTCTGAGCTCCATGGCTACCTCTCAGATCCCCGTTTCCTTGGTCCATACAATTAAGGGCCTATCGCCCTTATTTACGGTTCTGGCTTACCGAGTCTTGTTCCGCATTCGGTACGCCCGGGCAACCTACCTCTCACTAGTCCCTCTCACCGTTGGTGTCATGCTTGCATGCTCCACTGGGATCTCTACGAACTTTTTCGGAATCCTCTGTGCTCTTCTGGCTGCTCTGGTGTTTGTCTCCCAGAACATCTTCTCCAAGAAGCTCTTCAACGAGGCCGAGCGTGTTGAGGCCGAGGCTGCCAATCCAGCCCGGCGTAAGCTGGACAAGCTTAACCTGCTCTGCTATTGCTCCGGGCTGGCCTTTTTCCTCACATTGCCCATCTGGTTTGTGAGTGAAGGATACCCTCTCATCTCCGACTTCATCCATGACGGTTCTATTTCACTGTCTGAAAAACAAGGGTCGCTGGACCACGGTGCCCTCGTGATTGAGTTCGTCTTCAACGGCGTCTCGCACTTTGCACAGAACATTCTGGCATTTGTGCTTCTCTCCATGGTGTCACCCGTCTCGTACTCGGTCGCCTCCTTGGTGAAGCGTGTGTTTGTGATTGTCGCTGCGATTGTGTGGTTCGGCAGCTCAACTACACCCATCCAAGCTGTTGGAATTGGCCTCACCTTTGTCGGTCTCTATCTCTACGATCGCAACAGTCACGACGACGTGGCTGACCAGCGCGCAAATGCGGATCACTTCCGTGCGCGCGAGGCCATTCTACCCATGAATGTCCGACACTCGAGCAAGCCGTGGGACTCGAATGGCTATGCATTCCCCGGTGCGAGGTCGTTTGAGACATCAACCGGGAACACCTCCCATGCGACCAACTCCTCTAAGAAACAGGATGATGGCCCTGGGCGCGTTCGACCTCGAGGAGCAAGCGTGAATCGCACCTGGCTACCCGGGACGAAGCAGGAGTCAACATGGCAGCCCGCCGATTCTACCGCTGCCGCATAGATAGCCATCTGCACCTGTCTCTTTTATCTCATTTCTCGTTTTTCTCTTTCTTCCCCTCTGGCTTCCATGTTTGTATTTTTCCCCTTACGGGGGCTTTGGGCAACACTGGTGTATTATATCAAGGCGTTTCAGGTGGATTCTTGCTTTACCCTCTCTGGGAAGATAGATCACTGGTTGGCTGGAATTCCCTGCCGACTTGTGTAGTGAATCTTATCTCCTGTTTGGGTGCCAACATAGACGGGGCGAAGGGAATGAAGGAAGGATAACCGAGTGATGTAGGTTGTATATGATTTCAATCTACCTATGAAACTAGTGATTATGAAAGAATCGAGCCAATTTCTAACACGGCATCTGCGTTTGCATCGTATTCAATTATCCAAGGTCCACCGTCAGTGTCGCGTCGTATTCATGTCGGTCGGTATGTAGCTACCGTCGGTAAAGAACATGTCATAATAGGGAAGAACCCTTGACTGCTCCAGTTCGGTGCAAGTCTGCTATAGGACTATGTTGCAGAGGAAACTGGGACTGAGCGCCCGGACTCCTACAATAAATCATGCCCAGAATGAGATGATTTCCGGTAAGGTCGGGGCGCGGTCGACGGCTTTTTAAGGGGAAAATTCCGGAGACGAGGTTTATCCGCGTAACCGAGCCAATGGCTACCGGCGCATTTGGGATTTGTGAGGCCAACATCTTAGTCAGCTCCCGGATGGTCAGCAGCATTATGTAACCCAGCAGATTCCGAACTCTGAACGTCAAGCTCCTTCCTCAACCCCCTCGTCCACCCCCATCGCAATTCCCCCTCCCTCCCCTCTCTCCTTCATCGTCTCTCTCACAATCATGCGGCCGCAGCTGTTTCGTGCGGCCGCCCGGTCTCTCCGGGTGCCCAGGGCCCGTGCCTTCGCGACGACAGCCCCTCGCGCGGCCGAGGTGGAATTGACCATTGGTACGTCCGAGATCCCTCCAATCACGCATTGATGATGCTGTATACTGACCAGACCGTGTAGATGGCAAGAAGGTGTCTGTTGAAGGTAATCTCCGCTCAATTTCCATCCATTGGACAGCTACTCACATCCTCCGAAGCCGGCTCGGCTCTCATCCAGGCTTGCGAGAAAGCAGGTGCCACTATCCCCAGGTACGAATGCTCCCATCCACCGACAAAGCTGGCTAGTGATCGTGACTGACATTTTTTCTAGATACTGCTATCACGAGTACGTGTCCAATTCCCTACGGCCCGAATCCTCCGGTTACGGTTAATGCTAACATTAGACGTGAAGGAAACTATTGATTGCAGGAAACTGTACGTGTTCACAGTCTGATTCAACTACGGACCAGCTTGATCAGTCATGCTAATTGGAGTGAATCTATCTAGGCCGTATGTGTCTCGTCGAAGTTGAGCGCGCCCCCAAGCCCGTTGCCTCTTGCGCCTGGCCCGTTCAGCCCGGCATGGTGGTCAAGACGAATTCGCCTCTGGTCCACAAAGCGAGAGAGGGTGTGATGGAGTTCCTTTTGGCCAACCACCCCCTCGACTGCCCTGTCTGTGACCAGGGAGGAGAGTGTGATCTCCAGGACCAGTCAATGCGTTACGGTGCTGACCGTGGTCGGTTCCACGAGGTCAGCGGTAAGCGTGCGGTGGAGGACAAGAACATCGGCCCCCTGGTTAAGACCTCGATGAACCGTTGCATTCACTGCACTCGCTGCGTGCGGTTCATGAACGATGTGGCTGGCGCTCCCGAATTGGGAACTTCTGGCCGTGGTAACGACATGCAGATCGGAACCTACCTGGAGCAGAACCTCAACTCGGAATTGTCTGGAAACGTTATCGACCTTTGCCCCGTCGGTGCCCTGACCTCCAAGCCCTATGCTTTCCGTGCCCGTCCCTGGGAGCTCAAGCACACCGAATCCATCGACGTCCTTGACGCCCTCGGCTCCAACATCCGAATTGATAGCCGTGGTCTGGAAGTGATGCGCGTTACCCCCCGACTCAACGACGACATCAACGAGGAATGGCTCAACGACAAGTCGCGCTTCGCCTGTGATGGATTGAAGACTCAGCGACTCACCACCCCTTTGATCCGTCGCGATGGCAAGTTCGTTCCCTCCACCTGGGAGCAGGCTCTGGCAGAGATCGCCGAGGCCCAGCAGAAGCTGCAGCTCCAGCCCAATGAGTTCAAGGCCGTCGCCGGTCACCTGGTTGACACCGAATCTCTCGTTGCCATGAAGGACATGGCTAACAAGCTGGGTTCCGACAACCTCGCCCTGGATCAGCCCGGCGGCAGCGCTCCTATCGCCCACGGTATCGATGTTCGCTCCAACTACCTGTTCAACTCCAAGATTTACGGTATTGAGGAGGCCGACGCCATTCTTCTGGTTGCTACCAACCCCCGCCACGAGGCTTCCGTTCTCAACGCCCGCATTCGCAAGCAGTACCTGCGCTCCGACCTGGAGATCGGTCTCGTCGGCGAGGAGTTCGAGAGCACCTTTGAGTACCAGAACCTGGGTGTCGATGTTTCTGCCCTGAAGACTGCCCTGTCCGGCGAGTTCGGCAAGAAGCTGGCTGGCGCTAGCCGCCCCATGATTATTGTCGGTAGTGCCGCGGCTGAGCACGCTGATGCGAAGGCCATCTTCGAGACCGTTGGTGGCTTCGTCGAGAAGCACTCCAGCAACTTCAACACCCCCGAGTGGCAAGGTTACAACGTTCTGCAGCGTGCTGCTTCTCGCGCCGGTGCTTACGAGGTCGGCTTCACTGCCCCCTCTCCCGAGGTTGCGCAGACCACCCCCAAGATGGTCTGGCTCCTCGGCGCCGATGAGGTTGCGCAGAGCGAGATCCCTAAGGATGCCTTCGTCGTCTACCAGGGCCACCACGGTGACCGCGGTGCCCAGCTCGCCGATGTCGTTCTCCCCGGTGCTGCTTACACCGAGAAGTCCGCCACTTACATCAACACCGAGGGACGCGTGCAGGTCACTCGGGCCGCCACGTCCCTGCCCGGCGCTGCCCGTGACGACTGGAAGATCATCCGTGCTACCAGCGAGTTCCTTGGCGTTCCCCTTCCCTACGACGACATTGAGGCCCTCCGTGACCGCATGGAGGAGATCAGCCCTGTGATGCGCCGCTACGACGTCGTTGAGCCCACATCTGTCAGCTCCTTGAGCAAGGTCCAGCTGGCTGATCAGAACAAGGGCTCCTCGGCCACTGGAGCTCCTTTCCAGAAGGTCATTGAGGACTTCTACTTCACCGACTCTATCTCCAGAAGGTATGTTTCTTTCATCGCTTTGCTCTTTGTTGTCTATGTACATATTCCACTAACATTTATCTAGCTCCCCTACCATGGCCCGCTGCTCGGCCGCCAAGGCTACCGGCAACCCCGAGACCAACTTCATGGCCGCCGGAGAGATGTCTCCCCAGGCCCTGTACGGCTAAACGTAGCCAGGACCTCGTTGCCTCTGACTTAACCCCATGAGCCGCCGATCGAAATTCTTGTGTTTTCTCTAATGGTTGCAGGCGTTGTCATTTTGTATCACATTAAACTTCCCTTTGATGTACCGTTTCCTTTCCACCTTCTGTTTTCTCTATCATCTTGAACGCCGCTTCGTCCGGGTTCCGTGGTTGACGTCTTCTCGGCCACTCTCCGGCATAACCTGGGATTAAATCGGTTGGGGTTGACTTGTACATAAAAAGCTTGAGACCCTTACAAAATTTCAGTCCCCTCACGGAGATGATGATATTAAGTTGTAGCTAGCGTGTTTGTAGAGGGATTTTCAGATATATACAAGAGGAAGTGCACCACCCTGTTGGGAGAAGCGTGCTTCTGGAGTAGGTTTTTGCGAGGATATATTCAACTAGGGAGACGGCATAATTGATATCTGCTAGTGCTTGCTTAATCGTCCCAGTCCATCAAAAGAGTACAGTAGCAGATGCTCAAAGTTCATCATCGTCCGTTTCACCCGCCGTCTCTTCTCCCGCCGCACTGAGCTCTGGCTGAGGCTCCGGTTTCGCCTGTGCCGAGGGTCCTCGTCGGGTAAATGGTAACTCTCGACGCGGAGGTGCTGCCTCCTTCGGCAGTGCCTCTCGTTCCGAAGGCTTTACGGTAGCTCGCTGTGGTACAGATCGTTGTGAAGTAGCTGGGGCTTCATCCTCGTCGTCGGTTGTGGTATTACCCTCTTCATCCTCGAGTGGTTGCGGTGTGGCCCTTTCTTCGTCTTCTGTTTCTTGATCATATCGTGCTTTAACGTCGGCTTCTTTACGATCAACGTCCATCTGCTCGAAACCATCGTCTGATTCGTCCTCGTCATCCGCTGTCTCTGCTGCACGGCGTTTTGCAGATGGATGAGTTCCCGGTGCTTCACCGGGTCTCCCGCTGGCTGCTTGGATCTCGGCGACTGAGTCGTTTGGGACAAAATGTTAACACTCATTTCGTTTTTTGGGGGGTATGTAGTGATTGGGTTTACCTTTCGCGGGGTCAGCGGTTGCTGATGCTAGCAATCGCTGCTGATTCCGGATCTTAAGCTTCTTCTCATTCAGAAGCTGTGCAAAGTTGGTCACCAGTTGGTTCTCGTGCTGGGTCTTGGCCTGCATGAGGTCTGCTAGTTGTTGCGTCAGTTTGGTGATGGTGTCTTCGGCCTCTCGGTAGCGGTCCGTGAGGCTCGTCACTTGGCTGTGCAAAGTATCGGCTCTGGCAGTTGCGATACTAGTCCACTCGAAGAGTGCAATCTCTTGGTCTTCATCATGTTTTAGGACTAGAGACCCAAGCCTTTGCTGTAACGGTATCAGATAATGAGAGATAGACGGCTCAAGGCCCTCGGGGGCAGTTAGGGGAGGGGGAGTGGTTTCGTACTGTGATATCTTGGACTCTTTTCCGAATGGTGATGACTATTTGTTGATCATCGCCCCCCGCGCCTGAGATATTAGCGGAAGCTTCGATCCCGGTAGACCAGGACGAGTTCTCGGCAGAGACTGGCTGCCTCAGGACGTGAGCAATGATGTAGGCCCATTCGTCATCGGACCCTTGGTAGTTTTTGCCGCGTAGGGCCTGGAGACGAGATTGTTGGACTGTTTCCAGGGCGTTAGCTCTTCATTCATCGTCCAAAGAGGGTAATATAAGACTGTACTAGACGTGGCATAAGGGTTCTCGCCCTCCGTTGCGGTGAGCGATAGATCCAGAGGAGCCTGGCCAGTCTGGGAGACGTGGACCAGTACGTAAGAATGCGGCTCGTCCGACCGAGGAATTCGGAGAACCTGGGGGGCGGACATGTTAGGGATTACACGAGGAGGAATCGTCCTTGAAATTGTCTCAGATGGATTTAGTTCAACGAGGATGTGCTGAAATCTCAAGGGCGTTAATATTGTGGAAGTAGTTTCATAGCTGATGGTGAATGTTCCCGAAGAGCCGCGTTGCACCAAGGCAGCAGGGCGTGGCGGAGATCCACCCAAGGTACACACTACTATACGTCGCCGAGCAACTGTAAAGTCCTAACTTGTCTCCAGTAGTACTAACTCCTAGTTACTAGCCGACCATAGTGCTCCGTAGTTGGTCCATTATTCAATATTTTACCACAGCCAGCTAATTAGTTCTAGTGATCATCATCCTGACCGTTGAGAGATGTGTAGGGCTGCTAGTGATCCTCAATACCTGACCGTGGAGTATATATAGAGTAGTATACTTTGATAGACCTCTACCATAAATACTCTCCAAAGTACATACCTACTCCTTGGTATATAGACTATTCCGTGCTCCAAAATATACTACTGAAAATTCCCAACACCACTGTACTATCTATCTCTCATCAAACGGCGAGCGGACAAACGACTATGGAGTATTCCAGGCTAAACTAAACGCACGACCCCCCTGACCGAGAATTGTGGATGTCGTGTGGCTATAGGGTGGCTCCCGTGGCTCTAGTTCCTTCAATAGTCAGGCAGTCCTCTCGTCGTGAGAATAGCCATGAGGAGTAAGAGACTAAGAGAGAGAGAGAGAGTCATAAATTACTTAACGAGGACTCCATTTTTTCCGCTAGTTAGATAATTTCGAACAATTATTGAGTTGGCCCTAGCCTAGGTCTGAGGAAATTCAGGCCACTCAGGCAGCCCCCCGGCACGTTCCCTTCCTCCACGAGGAATCTCCCCAACCCTCCCCTCAAATTCCAGCCTCCACCATCACCATCACTACCACCTTTACCACGACTACCCTCACATACCTCGCTTTGCTCTCACCTTCAGCATCTCCACGAACCTCTCCGACATCCTTCCCATATTGTTTCCCGCTCGTCGTCGCTCTATATTGTTCTCGTGTCCGCACCGCTCAGCCCGGCCCGGCCCCCCCTAACCCCCTCGCACGCGACGAACCCTCGCAAGCCTACGACTACCCACCAGCCTTGTTTCACACTACACCATACTTCCGACACAGGCAACCACTAAATTTTTCGGTCACCTGGACATCTTGGCCCGTCACGGAATGATGTCCATGGTTCCTAGTCCTCACCAAGTGTCAATGTCAGTGTCGTGAAGCTCGGCGTCTCACTTCCTGATCCACCGACATTGCTGTACTTGCTACGACGTGTAGGAGTTATTATCGCATTTTGTCAAAGATTTTTTGTATGCGCAGCTCTGTCATGGAGTTCCCGACTGCTCAAGGACGACCGCATGGGACGGAGGAAATAATTGAATGCTGGGATGACGACGATGACCTACAATTCAATGATGGTCTCCAATTCCGTGCCGCATCCAGCACGGGCTCTGTGGCCAATTCCTCATTCCGTCCCTCTGGCCATCGCGACTCTATTTCCTCTCGCCGATCCGCTCGCTCCGACCTCGATTCAAATGCCGGCGATGAAGACTGGCAAGTCCTTTTACACGACAACGATGAATTCTCCAAGGAAGAGGCACTTGCCTCCGCCAAACATGCCGGCATCCCTATTCCCTCGGATATACCCAGCTCGGCCCTCATTGGGGGTGCCATTAAACGCCTCTCTGCTCGGAAATCAAAGCGAACGTTTGTGGACGATTGGTCAGACGATGTTGAGCTTCCTGGACCCGGCGCGGTCCTGGAGCTAAAGACTCCACAGGACAACGCGTTCCCAGATACATTACGACAAATTAGTTCCGCAGCCACAAGCCCCGTGAAATCGACCGCCTCCCCTTCCTGGAATGACGACATCTCGACTCGTCTTCAAGCAGCGTTCTCGCCTCTAGAGCGCTTTCAGGATGAGAACAACTACCCGATGAACCACGATGTTCCTACGATTAAAGCCCCTGCACCCCGTTCTCCCAAAAGAGAGCCCCGTGGGTTTGGCTGGATTCAGCCATGCAGAGAATCGGGAGATGGATGATTTTGACGAAGACCTCGAATTACCTCCCGACCACCAACCACTCCAGTTAAGTCATCGAAAGGATCGTGCCGAGGTCTCTAGTCCCATCATGGATGACTTTGATCTCGAGTGGTCCGAAGGCAGCATTGGGGTCCGAGTTGGTGGGACGGCGCGAGACGGTCGATCAATTCCAAGCTCCTCTATATCAATCGCAAGTCCGAGTGTGTCAAGTTGTCTCACCGTAGAAAGTGAGGAAGATGGTTTGGACGGTGTCTTGTTTCCCGAGGGTCCTTTGGATTTTACGGCATCTCTCAAGCGGAGACAAGAGGCCCAGGCGATAGAAAGCCCCATCAGGAATGAGGGTATCCAAAAGGCACCAGCGTCACCGGATGCTGATGACTTTTTCTCGGGTCTCGAGGTTGACCAAGGTAGAGCCTTTGTCTCCGGGAAAATGGCACTTAATCCCAACGTCAAGTGCAAGACAGAATGGCCAACAAGCCCAACTCGTCGACCGGCTACCACACTTACATTCACCAATGCAACCGGAGGCTCCCCTCGTACTCGCATTCCTCGTCTGTCTGGCCATGAACGAACCCATTCAACTCATCTGGAAACCGTCTCGGAAAGCGGCGCACCGCTTTCCAAGTTTCGAAGATCGCAGTCCCGACTTGGACATTCATCGCAATCGTCCGTTTCAAGTTTACCCGCCACCAGCACCAAATCACCATCGCCAACCCCAAGTACTTCGTCCCGGCGGATGCTAGGTTCCCGAACCACTAAGGAAAGCTCCAGTGTCGCGGAGAGTAAGGGCCCTTCCAGACAACTTCGAACGAAACGGTCATTACCATCCATCCGAGGGACTTCGGCTACTTCTACGCTGGCTGCGCAACGGACACCAACCCATCCGGATGGCTCTATTCGTGGCCCCCTCAATAGACCTAAAACGCCCGTTGAACGGACGGCCGCACTCGACGGACGAGCCTCGGTTCGCAGAGCCCAGGCACCATTCCTTTCCGGTGCATCAGAAAGGAAGCCCCAAAATGCCGGGGTGAAAACGTATCGGTCCTCTCGACGCACCAATTCGGACAGCTCTAGTGATCTCTTGAGTCCACAGAGCACATTTTCCCGGCTATCGCGTCCCTCTCGCCCAGAGAGTCTCCGATTGAGTCTGGGTGACTCTGGTACCGAGACCACCGGGTCGACAACCAAGCGGACTCTGACCAAACCGACCAAGCGACGTAATTTTGGGGATGGCACCGAGCTAGAATCATTTGACGACCTACCTACCTCCGCGTCGACCGAGAGTAAATTCACGAAAAACCCAGCCGGGCGAGGAGCCCCGCGATCTATACGCTCTCGGCTCAGCCAGAGCCGTATCACTCCCCCTATTGACTCACCTACTCAATCCACGCCCCCCTCGGTCTCCAAGCCGTTGAACCCTACTCCGAGATTCGCTCGCGATACTAATGCATCCCGCAATGCTCGAGAGCAGCGAATTGCGTCCATGAACTCTCGAACCCGAGACACGCCCCCTCTCTCTGTGAACTCGAATTGGAAACCCCACCCGGTTGTTTCTCGCATCTCACCCAGCGCGGCGCCTGTACGAAGCCGCAAGACCAAACCCGTGACCAAGTCCTCATCCAAACCCCACCTGATCAAACCTCTAGGGTCCGGTGTGCAAGATGCCAAATGTAAGAGCCCGAGATCCTCCCTTGAGAATCGAGATTGTAAACTAACGTTGTTGTCTAGCCGTGCGAGGTATGCGGTACAACCCATCGACTTTCCGATGGGAAGGAAACGAAAACTTAGTCCAGGATTTCGATGTTGCAACTGCTCCCAAATCACCGAAGCCTGCACCAGCTCTAATCACTAATGTGGGTCCTTTGCACAATGTCCAGGCCGTTGGGGGTATGGTCTTTGATCCACAGCGCATGTGTTGGCTCAAGGCCTCCGCCCTTGAGTCTGGAGTCCACGGCGGTGCGGTACCCGAGGATGAGGAGGATGTCTTTGCTGGATTGGATGACCTGGATGACGATAAGACTGCTGGGCCTACGCGGCGAAACTCGGGCCCTGTGGATGACTTGTCTTCCCATGCCCCTGGTGGGGAAGATGCCAGCGCGGGAGAGTCTTCCGACGACTGCCCTATTACGGAGGAGTTTGACGTTGGTCCAGAGTTTATTCGACGACAGAGAGCCGAAGAGGAGAAGTGGAGACGCAAGGTGGCTAAATGGGTTGGTCCTGCTCGCGGTGATCGAGAGCATCACTGGCGATGGGCCATTCGCGATCTGGTGGCCGAAGATACCGGCCATGTTTTCGGATAGGGAGGAAGAGGAGAGAAAGTGGCCCGATCTAATGTGCCCAAGAGATCTCGATGTACCATCATTGAAAGTATTCATTGTCCTCTTATGAACGAGGGCAAGGCGCACTCTCTTGGGGTTGGGCATGGATACACATGAACTTATGACGCGAAGGCAATATTCTTGTCTTCATTGGCCGTGATGAAATTGGCCAAACGACTTTTTACGGCAGTGGCGGTGGCGGGTTTAGTTGTCCCTATGTCTTTTGTTTTTAGGGACAAAAGTGTTGTCGTTGACGTGTTTGACATTGTGTGAAATCCTGTAACTATACTACTATTTCTACTGCTACTCGCACTCGCATTCCTGGATTTTATCTCCGAGTGTACATACTTTATACATACCACCTGCAGTTGCACCTAATGATGATGAGCGCATTTCGTTCTTTTGATCTTTTCCTCTCTCCTCCCATGGCCCGTCGTACCGTCTCTACGCCCTTCCTCCCCTCTAATCTCCTCTCATTCTAGCCTCACCTCTTTGATTTCTCACTGGGCCAATCCTCCATATGGCCAGCTTCTTTTTGCATCCGATCAACAGGGAACATCCATGTCGGTTCCTAGTCCTCTCGGGGTAAACACTTTCGTTTCAACCCCCCGTCCCTCTGGTCTTTCCCTTTCTTCTTTCCTCTTCGGTCATCACTTCGCCTCTCTTCAAGCAAGCTCATCCTAGGCAGTTCTAAAACACCTCGGACTCGGGCGCTTCCCCTCTCTTTCTAGAGCAAGGTGTTCGCCCTTTCTTTCCCTTCGGAAACATGCACGGCTCGCGATCATGATCGGGAAGCAGCAGAGTGACACCGGGTGATAGATTGTCTAACGCGCAAAGGCTTCGAGCATCCCCCTTTCCGGTTCACGACTGGGCCAGACACTGTCATTGCTGCGAGGGTCCGGTGCCAAGTCCTTCGAACACGGTGTCTCACCTGTCGCGGACTAGCCAAACGCAGGCAATCCTGCCATCCCGCATGCTGCATTGATTGCCCGCCAACGACGTCCAATCCACTTTGGCCCTGACATCGACGCCACGTCAAGGTCACGCCTAACTGCCACGGATCTCCCTGACAGCTCACGATCTGGAAAGGCGAAGAGGAGGCGTGTGGGACAGCAGTACTGACCAGGATAATGCGCTTACTGGCAACCCCCTCCCGCGCGCGATTCCACGCCCCCCTGCTCGTCTCTGCTTCAGCCCATTCATGCCCATCTTTCACCCGCGCTAGGCTCCTCAAGGTCGCGAAATGGGCCCCCAAGACGCTGGAAACTTCTCAAATCCCCAATCCATGTTCCTTACGGCAACGGTTACGTGCATGTTTGGACTTTTGCCGGAGCAATCTCCAGCCCGACTTTGTTTGACGGAGAGCAAACCTGCAGAAACAAAGCCCTGCACGAAAAGAGAAAGACCAAAAAAAAACAGATTGTCCTCTAACTCGCCTCTCCAAAACGCCCCCCGGGATCGAGTTGTTCCGCCGCAAGTCGCAAGTTCCGAGTCGCGAGTCGGAGGTCGCAAGTCGGGGAGGTCCCAATTGTCCCCCCGGTGTTTGTCGGTGACATAGAGGCCGATCCTCAACCTCCCCTCCCTATAGGTGGCCTCGAATAGCCCAACGTGGCTCCTCCATGAGGCAAAAATGGTGGCGCCGGGCATCGAGGCAGGAATCCGTATCACCATTGCTTGTGTATGTGCTGTCGTAGGCCTTCAATTGCCTCGGCGGGTCGGAAAGAATTCGACCACGAACCCTAGTCGTTTTGCTTTGCTTTGCTTTAGCCTTTCCTTTCTTTTTTTTGGCTCTCGCTTTATTTTGGGTGGGAATTTGGACCCATGCCACCTCTCTTCCCTGCAAGCTTGGGTCATACCCTACTGCCTGTACCTTACAGAGCTCTGCTCGACTTGTCTGGCTCCTTTGTTTCCTTTTTTTTGTGGAATATTGGCTGTTGGTCTTCCAGGGATTACCTCTGTTGCTTCTAGCCACTCTGCTTCGACATGGTCTCGTGCGCTTCCTTGGGCATCTGTCATGTCCTGCAAGCTTCGTCTGGGGTTTGGTGGATTCTTTATAATACAAATGTCGCGCCCTTTGATGTCGTCCATGGCTTTGTGAATTCTTTTCGGCCTCTTCTAAGACGTGTCTTTCAACTCTCTCGATTGGCTTTCCCTTACTGCAGTTGCGCTGTCGAGACCGAAGGCACGCCCTTTTTGCTTCTGCTCTCATCTTTGTCGCGGTCACCATTCCTTTAAATTGTATCCTTCTTGGAGATCCTGGCCTGGCTTCTACCTGGACGTGAGAAGCGAGTAGCTTAACTAGATCGAGCATAACACACCATGAGCGGTTTCTCTAGGCGCAGCGAGGGAAACGACAACTATCTCATGAACCCATCAATGGCAGTTCCCGGCACTTACAGTCACCCAGATAGCCATGAGTATGGTGGAGGAGGATCTGGCACATATCACTTTCCCCAGCATTCCTTCAATCCATACGGAAATCAATTCAGCCCTCCGTATGGGCAGCAGTCGAATCTCTCCCCAGGAATGCAGCATCTACAGTATGCATCGGAGCACACTATCCCCTCGATGTCTACCACGGAGGATATGAGACTTCACCATCCTCCCCCGCAGTACATTACTCAGCCCCGCTATCTACAATCTCCAAGATACCTGCCGCCGCGTGACGCTCTTGGTGAGACGGATATCGAGAGCCAAGAGTCCCGAAACGAGGGCACAATGCTCTCAGAGCCCGTGGTGCCTGCCCTCGATGGATTCCCAGATGTGAAAGAATTCGATCAGCTCATGCAGAGGTTTGTGGATTCCACATTTACACCCACGGGGCTTTTTTTTTATTTCAATGGTGCTAATATTTGATTCCTTGCCAGCTATGTGGACGACCTCTCCGTGAAGAAGCAGGACAAGGCATTGATTCACGCCAAAAGAGCGCGAAACATTCAAACTGTGTTGATTGATCCCAAGGATACTGCAGTCGAGTCTGCTCAATTTCGGTTGGTTTTTCTTCTTGAACGTGCAATCAGTAGTACTAATTGAATTCAGGTTTTGGGTCAAGAAAATGTTCAAGCTTCAAGCAGTCGGCATTGGAACGGCAGATGTAAGGTTTCCCCCCAGTCCGGTTGCCAATACAGCTCTAACGAGACATCCTAGTGCCGAAAAATGATTTGTCATGAAGGAAAGCCTGTGGCAATTCGGGAGAAATTGTTCAAGATTCTCACCAAGGCGCATCAACAATGCCAGCATGGTGGTCGTGACAAGACTTCTGCACAAGTCCGACGGATATACTCATGGTGAGTGCCTCTCACTAGCATCATATGACCATTTTAAAGCATGGCGGCTGAACATTCTAACCTTTCTGTCAGGGTTCCCAAAGAATTGATCTCTCGATTCGTCAAGATATGTCCGACTTGCCAGGTCCGACGTGGGGGGTCTCGTCTGACGCCGCCAAATTCCCGTCGAGGCTCACCCCGACTTGAGATGGTGCCCCGATCTCCTAAGCTCCCATCACCTCCGATCGTCAAACGGGAATCATCATATGGGGCGCAGCCAGAATACATTAACCAGTTCCACGGTCACAACGGGTGGATAGACAGCCCTCAGAGTCTCCAGGGCCGTTCTTCCTTGAACTCCGGAGTTCGATCCTTCCCTGGGCCGATGAACGGCCTCTCCCACTCAATATCCGGGGGTATGGATCCATTTTCAGCTGATATGTCGGTGCCACCATCTCAACTGAGTTATACGACGGAATATGTCCCGTCCCACGGGACCCCAAGTCAACGGGGCTTTTGATCATCACCCCAGGAGCCATGGTAACTCACAGGGTTACCAGGATCGAGTATAAAACGCTCTGGTTCCGTGTTTTGATCTTGTTCATCTTGGTTCTAAACTTGCCGGCCTGGTCTTGCAAAAGCGATATGTTTATTCTACAATGTCCTGAGGAGTGAATACCAGCCCCTCAAAAAAAACTCATACTGCTCGGTCCAAAAAAATAGGTGACAAGAAGTCGATGGAGAGAGGGGATTATGACAAAAGCTGATATGAAGCAGTAGACATGGTTATTATAGTATAGTACGGAGATAATTCAAAACTTTACAATCAATGAAACTTAACGGCTTGAATAATGACAAATCGAATTAACAATAGTTACGCTATTGATATAGACAGGAAAACCTTGCTGGAATGTAGCCGCGGTCTGACTGGCATTCGAAAATAAACAGGTGAGCAAAGATTGACAACGATGGTTACAAATACGAATGAATGGAACAAGCCAGATAGTGTCAAAATCGCCCCCTAAATACGTTTCTAGAAAGCAGTTCCCTGCGGGCGGCATCCTCAGTCATGTAAACATCCATTGCTCCTCTCCTCTTATTCCTCTTTATTCTCTCTGATCTGTCATTATCAAACGGCCAACAGTGCCATGCCAACCAACTCGTTAACATAGGCCCTTGCCCCGTGCCATGGGGGCGTCGGGTAGTTGAGTAACTCGAGGTCATACTCCCGTAGGGGAGTGTGGAACATGGCCACAAGGGGGACTGGCACCAAGTAGCCTGAAAGCGTCATCAATTCATAGACTGACTCCGAATCGATTGTCCGGAGCGGTGCTTTATAGAGCTAGGGACATGATCGTATCGTGTATTATCTGGGGAGGCGGGGAAGCTTCCAAGCTGCGTCCGAAAAACACCTAGGAACAACGAATCCACGTGAAAAAGATCCACCGACACGTGTACCCTCCCATCGGGGGTGGCAGAGAGTCTTCTGCTCTTCTCATAGGCTTGTGAGACCCTTTTTAGACGGGAAGGGAGAACTTCTTGCCCTTCAGAACCCTGGTTCAAGTCAGTTAGCAAGCCTAGCACATAGTCAAATATAGAAAACTCTAAGCCGCTTACTTGTTGTAGTAGATATAGAAAAAGTCCGAGTACAGCAGAGTCTGAACAATGCCGGCCACGATGGGGACTGGCTGGAAGGATCGCTGGAAGGAAGCCTCGGTGAAGTATCGGTAGATCCAGTTGGGAATATAAAGAGCGCGGTACACGCCCAGGGCAAACAGATAGTGTGTGGTGATCGTGTCCGCTTCTCCGGTGCGCTGCAACATGAACAGTTGGGGCAGAATTGCGACCGACTCCAACCAAATCGAGAAAGTCCAAAGAATCTAAATATCATTAGTCGAATCTCCTGGGTTTTGTGCTATCCCCGCAAAAATTTGGCAGCAAAATTGACACTGGCGCATTGGCACGAACCTCGGAGAGTCGATAGTCGTGGGGGAACAGCAATGCCAGGATCACGCTGATTCCAAGCAGGTACTGGACCTTGAAGGTATCGATATTTGGATCATGAGTGGGTTTGTAATCGTTCAGCATGAGATAGATGATGTAGGCAGATGAGCCGATGAAAAGCAGCTTGAATGTGGTAAGGTACAGCGAATCGGTAAAGGTCCAGAACAAATCTAGAGATCAAGGGATTGATTCCCACGCGTTAGAATTGATCGACTAGACAGGGAATAGAATTGGTATATATGGACACTCACCCAGATAGCGTGTGACAAAGACCAGGAAGTAAAGCGCTTGCGACTTGAAGGACAATCCGGAACAGCTCTGCGATGACGTTAGGTATGAACGCGAAAGCGCGGACTTTGGGCAAGATATACGCTGGATGACTTCATCTTCTGGAGAAGAATGAAGATAGATGCCAGGTGGGAGAAATCGGCTGCTTGAATTTAGTATGTCTCCAACATCGCGGTGGTCGCGCTGGTGGGTTGGCTTGGCTCACCTAGTAGCCGGAAGATATTCATTGTGAAGAAGGTTGGAGCGGTAGCTCAGAGAGAAAGAAACGAGGGATTGTACAAGCTGGATATTTGAATCCGAACTGTGATGAGGAAAAAGACAATAGGAAAGAGGGAGAGGGGGGGGGGAGTTGTGGAAGGGAGGAAGGGAGGGTGAAAGAAGGGTTTCGATCGCGAATCGCGGAATCGGGAGGGAGTTGTTGACACGAAAACCAGAAGCCAAGCGGGCCGCCGATCATCACGGGAGCCAAGACTTTTTGGTACAGAAAGGTGGGTTTCATATACTTCAACCTCGTTTTATGATCATTTGAAATAATTTAATATTAGAATAAATACGATTGTGATCATAAGAGAGAGAGCGAGAGAAATAAATTCAGTATTGAAATACTGCAATATTGTACATATCCATGCCATGCCATGTCCCCATGATAATTCCCACCAGCCCTTTCCCAGGTAATAACAATAATATACTCCACCCATATGAAACCCATTTGAAGAAGAAACGGACAATAACAAGATCGGAGAAGCAAGGTCAGAATAAAACGCCACCCCCAATGCTGCTCTCCTCAGCCATGCGTTGTAGATGGCCCTCCGCCAACTCGCTCTTGAGAGCACAGATGGAACTCTCTCGATCCAGTCGATCCCAGTCGCGCAAGCCGGCTCGTTTAGATCTTTGAGTCTCCATCACCTGTTCAAGGAGCTTTTCTCGATCGGTTTCGAGCTGAAGAAGACGCTTTTCCGTTGCGGGATCCAGCGTCGACGGGAAGACCCTCCCGCCAGGGGTAATTGAGCTCAACCCAGCAAGATGACTCGGACCCTTCGGTCCTGCCGGTGGATTGGCAGATGCCACACTGTGTTGTCGAGCACCTACATGTCGATAGTGACCTCCTCCAACTCCTGTTGCGGGCGACGAAAAGGAGGCTCGTGGTCCAGAGGGCACGCCATGGGCCGCTGGCGCGGCGGGCGGTCCACGGCGCGCCATAGAAGACCCACCCCATGGGCCGTCTCTCGAACCGGGCCCCCGACGAGGCCGGGTGGGCGCAGACAACAAAGACATATTGTGAGGGCCTCTATTAGGCCCAGGAGCGGCCACCTTTGGCCCCTGTGAGGGCCCCGAGGGCGGGGGTTGATGGATCCCAGAGCTCCTTGGTTGCGTAGGGATGTTGCCAGGTGATCGACCACCGCTTAGTTGACCTTGATCCGTGGGTGCCTTTTCCAAATTACGAGTATAGTCATCCTGCGGCTTTCGGGGACCTAGGGTCTCCGATTCACGATGGGGATCTCGATACGGGGATCGGCCCTGGGGTCCTAGTGGTGGTCGAAGAGAGGGTGATTGCCGAATAGGTGATCGGCTGCGACTGCGAATAGAGGTGGCACCGGTTCGGTCGGGATGTACGGAGGGAGAAGAGCGTCTAGACGTGGCGCTAGATTCGGGTGCTGCCACAATGTGGGCCGGTGATACTTGTCTGGACCGTGACGAGGGTCGCTCTCTCTTATCAGCATTCTGTTCTCGGCGAGGGGCGTCGGCGGAACTCTGTGAGCGGAATACTAGTGTCGGTTGGGCATCCGTAGAGATAGCATGTGCAGGTCTGTTGTTGTCGGGAAGAGGAGGAGATGTGTGTCTAGTGGGTCGAAGATCTTGACTCCCCGGAGTAGGATCCCGGGTCCGTCGTGGGCTGCCGCGACCTCGAGATAGATCGCGCGGCCTGCCTGCAGGAGATCGAGACCGCCAGGAAGGAGGAGGCGATCGGGGTCGATCATCTCTTCGGGGCGAAAAGCGTCGTGGGGGAGACCGCCGCCTACCATAAGACCCTGGTCCATACCCTCTACCCTGGAATGGAGGCGTTCGGGAGCGGCGTCGATACTCGGGTGAGCGACTGCGGGGACGTCCATATGCTCGATTTGAGGGTACCCAGGTGTCAGCCCGCGGACGTGAGCGATTTCGTGGTGGGGAGCGTCGACGGCCTTCGTATCCTCGAGAGGGCGATCGGCCTGGCCGTTCGGCCGGTCGATAACTTTCTCCCCCGCGGCGGTCGTCAAATCTATAATGCGGTGATGAGAAAACGTCATGGTATGATAGTAGAGATGCTAGTCACTCACCTCCTGCGATCCCAATCCATCACTGCGTGATAAGACGATCAAAGAAGCATTCGAAAGAGAAATTGTAACGCGACCATTCGCGGCGAGAGCGCCAGCGGAGGCTAAACCGCTTGAGGACGGAGACAACGCACCGGAAGGAAAAGAGAAGGCGGTGAGTCCCGTGCTTCTACAGTATTGTAGAACATACTGTACTACTACTAGATTACTAGCTATCATGTCCATGAGTTATTCTTATCTTTGGAGATTTTCACGAGTTGAACATATGGACTATCGACCTTGCCTTTTGGAATGATCCTCGCAGGACAGGAGACATCTACCTCTAATGTTTAGGTTGAAAGGCTGATAAAAGCATGTCCAGGTCAGTGGAGTTGCCGCAGAGGCATAGATGATGGATGGAATTATTGATTTCATAGAAGTACAAAGGGCAACCAGAAGGAAACAGGTCGCCTCAACGTTTGCCTCGCCGCTCTTCTTCCTTGCGTAATCTCTTTCGACTCTCCTGTGCAATCATGTCGCTAAGATCCTCCTGGAATCCCCACTGGGGCTGATTCTGCTGCTGCCGTTGTGTCTCATAGAGATCCTGGAGACGTTCCTTGCTGAGCCCGTCCCCAGACTGGAGCGCGTCCAAATCAACCGACACCTCCACATCGCCAGGCTTCTTTCGCTTCCGGTTTTGGTCATCCACGCCTAGAACGGGATGAGTGCCGGCTGACGAAGCGAGGTCGTAGGCTCGATCTCCGCCAAAGAATCCTGAGACGTTGGTCTGTTTCTCGGGGATCACCTGGTATGCACTGCGAGGATGAACGGACTCCTCGGTTTCGGTTCCACGGTGATGTTTGCGGACGTCAAATTCACCAGATACACTTTCCGGGGCTCCGAATTCGGATGGCATCGCGGAAGCCATGCCACTGGGAGTGTCTAAGCCGCTTGGAGAGTGAACACCCGTTTCTCGCTCCTCGTCATCCGCATCCTCCTCCTCAGATCCCTCCTCCTCGTCTTCTTCTTCCTCGTCACTTTCCTCTTCCCCTTCGGATGCCTGTAGTTCACCCCAAAGATCCTTCTCGACGGGTTCTCCTTGTTGCGCATTTTGCTGGGGTTGTAGCACACCAAAGATATCACCTCCGTAAAGTGGCCGGTTATGCTCGTCGACGGGCGGTTTTCCATAGCCACCGGGATGATAACCCCACATTGCACCTGGTGGTGGAGGTGCATTAAGGCCCGGGATTTTTAAAGCAGGATATGATGGAGGAGGTCCGAACCGTTGCTGGTTGATAAGCCACGGGGGAGGCGCCCCGGGGGGCATGTTGAGGGCCTCTTTTAGTTCATCACTTAGCTCGCCGGGGCGTAAATGTCTAAGGTTGGTCTCGTGCTCCTTTCCTTCATAGTAAATTTCGCCGTATCGGGTCAGCTCAGGCTTGGTTTGGAAGCGGAAAAAGGCCTCGTAGAGTTTCTGGTAGTCGATGTCTAACCGGCCCATCTTAGGCTGAACCCTCTCCCGCTGCTTCTGTTTCAAGGTGGATTGTTCCTGCTTTTCCAATGCAGCATCGCGCATTTCAGCAATGCCCGTCTCCTGGATGAACTTGGGAAGAGCAAAGGGGGCTTTTTCCACTCCTCGTTTCGACGACAAATATTCACGCTTGAGAGACCAGTGCGTCGGAACGGGAACCACATTGCGATGGGCTTTGATGTGGACCAAAAGCCGTGGATCGGTGGCCGAAGTGTCTGTCCATTCCACAATGTCGGGTTTGGAGACCTGGGCCTTGAGTTCAGCCACAGACAATTTGTTCAGCTCCTTTCGCTTCTTCTTGGACAGTTTCGGCTCGAACTCTTGCTCCTCGTCGGGAATCTCGTCCTCGTCGTCAAAGTAGACTTCTGGCTTCTCGACCTCTTTGGTTGTAGCATTTTCCCCGGGCCCTTCGTCAAACCTGCTCGCGAGACCTTTGTACATCTCCCAGAGAGGGTCATCTGGCACAGGAACAACGGGAATGGCTGAAGGCTCCGGTACATCCTGGGTTGGAGCGGTAGGAGGAGATGCCTGCTTATCAGCCTCTCCATTTTCCTCGACGGTTGTACTGGGAGTCTGGAAAATGTGAGCGTCTTTCTGGATGGTGAGAGGCGATCGACTCACCTCAGCCTTCAGGGCCTTTTTGCGAGCTCTCCGGAGCTGATTCTTGCTGGGCTTCGTGGCAGACGGCATTGCGACGACTGGGCGACCTTGATTCAAAGAATAGGATGCGTCCCTGAGCCGATAATGTGTGTTCGATACGGATGTCGCGCGACGGGCGTCGGACTGGAGAAGTTGCGGGAAGATGATCAAGGATCGCCAAGCTGCCGAAGGCGAGGCGGTGATTGGCTCCAGCGACAGACCGCCCTGGCGCATTCTCTAGCTTATGATCCCATAATTATTGGATTATCTTTGGATTCACAAGTTCACAAGATATACTCTTCTGTTGAATATCAATTGACCCCTTTTTTAGGGACTCATATATCATGCTTTCGGATCAAGTCTTTTCAATGACTAAAGGGACAAGCACACTAGCAGGTCCCCGATAACACAACATTGATGCTTAATAGACAAAGGTTATTCCTGGCAGGGTTTTATCCCTACTAGCTTGAGATAACTCTGATACATAATGCAAAGTGGAAAGGGATTTGAGCGTAGCATTGAGGTTATTTCCAACCATGTTTACTAATATTAGGCAAGTCCTCGAAATGTGGCATTAACCCAATCAACTCAAGAAACGGATTCGGATGGGGCAAAAAAAAGACCAACTGCGATGCTAATAAAGTGGGTAATTCTATGATACATTTTGGGGTGGTACATGGGGTATGAACCATCGTCAAATCACCAAGGGCTGACCTAGTGACTATCGTCGAGATATGAGAACCATGTTCACTGGGTTACGAGGTTATTACCCCAGTCCTGAGATGAGACGTAGGCAGTTGTCTCCCTCTTCCGGTCATTCTGTAGAGTATCCAGTGATAGATGGAGAAAGAGACATCTATTTCTTCTTCTTGGCAGACCTCGATTCTGGGGAAGGGAAAAAAATGTCAGCGGAAACGTGGAACCGTTTAGTTCGCCAAAGATCAGTGAGCCTTACCAGCAGCGGTCCTCTTCTTCTTAGGTCGACCCTTTCCTCGTAATTTGGCACTGCACGGATCAATCAGTATGAAGTGGTAAGATCAAAATGTATGGGTCCACGGACATTTGAATGGCCTCTTCTCGATCATCCTCTGCCTCGTCAAACGTCGTCAAGCCGAGGGGCTTGTAGGTATTCTGGAGATCTCGGAAGGAGACCGTCTTCTTCGGATACCATGCTGCAAGTGCTGGGCCACGGAGACGTTGCCGCAAGATCTTATTGCCGAGTCGGAGTCGTTGCGGATTGAAGTTCAAGGAGAAGATGCGACATTGTGTCTGGTCCTTGGGTCAGTACAGATTTCCTTCGGGCAGGGTGGAGAAAAAGAAGGGTGAGATACCTTCACCAGATCGAGTATTCGGGATTGCGACATCGCCGCGGCTCGGTCACGTCCCTTTGTTGGCTCGCAGATAGACGATGAGATCTGGCGGACTGCGGAAAGAAGCATCCAAGTTGCGGCTTCGCGGTCGGGTCACGTGTACACGACGACTTCGCAGGACCCACTTTGTTCCTCCACGCCGACTTTCGCGCTTTTGCAGCTTCGGCGACTTCGAGTTCACAGCTCGTGCTGGGGCAAAAGATCACCGAGAGCTAAGCAATGGGGACTAAGCGATCAAACACGGGTCCCGGGGCAACCCATATTGCCAGTCAGTCTTCAAAACGAACCAAGGTGTGTCTCTCGTTGATATGCAATTACTTTTGCGGTATCTTTCTGCTTGCTTTCCCATTGGTGCTACGTTATATCTTGCTATTGAAACTTGAACTAACAGACTCTTCGATGGAGATTGACCATTCACAAACGAGGGATATGGCCGCTACAAATTGTCCGACCTTAATGAGGAAAACCGACACCAATTCCCGTCTATCTTCTTTGAAATGTTTAATTCGAGAGGTCATGGCCGATGCTGAGGTCGCGACGGCTAATTCCGAGGTCATGGAGGCCCTTTCAAGGCTAGACGATACACTCCAATCTCTCCCAACGTTTTCACATTCGCCCACAAGCGGCGTAGAGGCTTCTCGAACACAGAAAACCAATGGTCTCTCACCGTTCTCGAAGGAGAGCGAACCTCCATTGCCTTCTCCACCTCATATCCTCGATGATCAACTGCAGAAGGCGGTATTTACGCACTCTGCGTGTAACGGCGATAGCAACTCAAATTATGACCGACTGGAGATACTGGGTGATGCCTATATCGAATTAATCGCAACGAGATTGGTTTGGCAGAAGTTCCCAGGCATACCGGCGGGTCGGATATCTCAAATTCGTGAACTTTTGGTCAAGAACGATACGCTTGCAGGCTTTGCGGAGGCATATGGCTTTGATCGTAAAGCCTTGGTTCCCGCGAATTACTCGGATCAGCCCAAACGATGGACCAAGACCAAGGGCGATATCTTCGAGGCCTACGTAGCTGCGGTCATCCTCTCTCGTCCCGCGGGTGGTGGATATGAGCTTGCAGAACAATGGCTGACTAGCTTATGGCTGCCAAAGCTTAGCGGTCTCGGCCATCAGAAAGCCAGCTTGCGCTCAAAGGAGGCTCTAGCACAGCAAATTATGGCCAGGGACGTCAAGCTAGAGTACCTCGAGGAGCGTCAATCGATTCAGAAAAAAGGTACTGGTACCCAAACGTTTTTCATTGGGGTATATCTCACGGGTTGGGGATGGACCAAGAGACACCTCGGATCAGGACAGGGTTCAAGCAAGGTAGCAGCGGGTGATGAAGCAGCACGGAATGCTCTACTTAACACATCCCTGATCACAGAAATAACCGCTCAGAAACGGAAGCATCTCTCATAGGAGGGATAAAGTCTTTGCTCTACATTCACGAGTCGGCCTTGTCTCTTAGGAACTCTTGTTAGGCGCTAGCGATTCTAAAGATACCCTGGGTTTGAATTCATAAATACATGACATGTTTTGGAAAAGTCACATATTGGAAAAGTCACATACTACTGTACTACTGTAACGTCGCTATCTCTTCTAATCTCGGTCCATGCTGCCTTCTTGAAGTCGAGGTTGAATTACGCTGAGGCCCCTAATGGCCCCCACTACTTGACCCCACAAGAAACCCCCTTGATCTCACGTTCTATCGTTTACACGAAACTTCACTCCGCTCTAGCCATGAATGCGCCTGATATGATACCAGAGATATGGTCTCTGATCTTCCAATTTGTAAGCTTCATACTAGGTTCTTTTCGGATGCATGCTCCACAATCTAACTTATCCTGGAAATGCCGTACAGTTGACCACCAGGAATGATCTCAGAAATGTGTGCAGTGTGTGCCGATCATTTGATTCAATTGCAACCCCTTTCTTGTACCGGTCACTTATTTTCCGTGACTCGCCCTTCGATGGAAGTCACTGGTCTAAGTTTCCCGATAATGATGAAGTGGTTACACAAGATGCGGCCGATGATCTTTCATTTGGCCTCTTGTATAGACTTCTGGATAACCGCAATGATTGATTACGCGGGTTTGTAAGTGAAATCATTTTTGATGAAATGCACGACATGGGAATAGTAGATCGTGTTTGGCGAAAGCTACAGCCGCCTAACGATATTGTCGCTACCTTTGTAAATGGACTGCCCAATTTAGAGGCCATGCAGTAGGTTGGAAACTGACCTTTATAATACTTCTCTACACGGTTGATCGGCCGGTGCTAAAATTCGAATATAGGTTCCAGGACAGGCTTCCAATGAAAGATAGCTTTGTGAATGCCCTTCTCAGTCATAAAAAATCACCGAAGCTTCACCTCCTAGGAGAAGACGGCAGAACCAGGGTCAACATCAAGACGCCCTTTGTGCAGACACTGCATACTTCTGTTGATACCCGAGCTAGAGCTCCCAGAAACCGCCCGCGGGCAGACAGATCCGGGGGTTACGCGTGGGAGCCGGAGAAATTGGCTTTACGAGCTTTTCAGTGCCTTTCCGAATCTTGAAGAACTATCAGTATCTGTCAATTGGCTGCGAGGAGGCTGTGCGATGGGTGGCCTGCCCTCTCCCACTAGGATACTAGGGCTTGTCCTATACGAAGATACAACATTCCCACCGCTTAAAAGCCTTTCACTGAATGGTTATCCTATCGAGGGAGATGAAGTAGCTCTTTGGCGAGATAGGTTCCCCTGGGACAGACTACATTCCCTTAGTCTTGGGGTCCAGCTACAACTATTTACCCTGTAGCTTTTCGAGCTAGCCATGGGAAAGGTGGTTAATTTGAAAGAATTTCATATTACTATCTACAATTGTTTGAACTCGTCTGCCGAACTTAATGCCTTTTTGTGCTCATTTGATACCCTGGAAAGACTGACCGCCAAAGGAGCAATCCCTTCATTAACTTCGGTGATTCATCAGTCCAATCTCAAGCATATTTGCTTACATACGATCAAACCCCCTGATAGGAAAAGAGATACTCTGGACGTGGAACAGATAAAACACTTAGATCAGCATTGCCCCGAGCTTACAACCCTGGAAATTGATTTGGATCCGAATGGCACATGGGTAATTCGTGACCAGGATCCTTGCCGCTACTGAAGTTTTAATCTTTGTCTGTTTAGCCCGATTATATTGTAAGTGTCATAGCAAACGGCTTCAAAAATCTTCATCGACTTTGCATTCATGTCGGAGTAGGTATCGCTCATGCGAAAGATCATCATTCGATGGAGGATGAGTTTAGGTAAGTTTTGACAGAGTAGAAAGCACAAGAAGTTGCAAAGCGGTTCTTTGAGCTCAGAGGATTGTCCGTTCTGGAGATAATTACGCTTAAAACGGGCGAAAGCCTGCGTTAGTTTCCGCAATAGCGTCCAGGGTATACCCGTGCAGAGGAACACTGTGCAAATATATTTGAAGTCATGCTCCACTTAGAGATAATAGCGAGTGTCACGGGCCAGTGCCCGATATAGGTCACGTGTATCACGAGACCTTGGCATGTTGACGTGGGGAACGCACGGGATAAACTTCTTCTCCTTAAGCTTTTTGTAAACAGCATGTTGGCCTAGTCAGATTGAATCAAGTCTTACTTCAGCCCCTTCACATACAAAAAGCTTCTTTCTACACCTAGAAGTATCATTGGTCATTGGAAAGTCCTAGGAAAACGACCTAGGCACTCATTGGAAATACCCCTGAATCCCCAGCGATTCAGCGACGAACACCTATTAGAACGGAATCCTCGCGCATAAACTCTTAGCGCTCGAGACGTATTGGAAAGTCCTAGAAGACCTCAATTCCTAGGCATATTAGATCATTGGCACATTGGAAGCGGAAGGTAGACGAAAAGCGACCGAAGCATTACCGGCACGCTACACAACCCCTGGCAGCTATGCAGCACCAGGAATCGACGAGCCCTCCTGGGTGGGCGCAAACGCTACTGCAACAGATAGCACAGACCCAGGCTATGCAGAACGAAGAACGGGAGCGGCACTACCAACAGGAAGCTGCTCAAGAAGAACGGATGCGTCGCCTGGAAGCAATGCTAGAGCGCCAAGTCTCACTGGCCACAAAGACAACCGCGACGAACGAAGGACAGGCGACACCAGCGCGATCGGCTACCGAATCGGTGCCGATCTCCCCACGAACAGAGATCATTCACCGACCGAAGCCCCGTCTCCCAGACCCAAAGTTATTCGGGGGAAGCACGAGCGATTGGCCAACCTGGCGAATTTCGATTGAGAACAAGCTTAGCGTAGACGGCGAAGCTATTGGTTCTCCCCAGGACCAATTCATATATGTCTTCTCTAGACTAGAGAAGCTTGCATGGAAGAACACCGGAACCTTTGTGAAACTCCGCCGAGACACTGGCGAACCACAGGCCTTGCTCGACTACCTCGAGAATATCTACGGAGACCCGAATGTCAAAGCACGCGCAGCCAGGCGACTCCACCAGATTCGGCAACCGGAAGACATGAGCTTTTCTAGGTTCCTGCCACGGCTAGAAAAGGAATTCGCTGATGCAGACGCTCTTGATTGGCCTAATGAGGCTAAGCGACAGATTCTTCTTAGCGCACTCAATAAGACAATGACGAATTCGTTAATGAATCGGGGTATCCCCGCTACCTTTTCGGACCTGATTTCTCGGCTTCACGAGATTAGCTCCGATATGGATGCCCTTGACATCACAAGAACGGAACGAGCACGCAAGTCGCATACGCCTGGACAGAATGACGACGAAATGGATTGGACGCCTACTGTGTCGGTAAACCGAACCGAAACCTACACGAAACACCACCGATCCAGGACTGGAGTGCCGAAGCAGGCTCAATGGGTTAGCCAGGACGTACTAGAGCAGCGGCGGGCCGATAGGAAGTGCCTACGATGTGGAAAGGTCGGCCACTTTATCGGGACGTGCACACTACTACCAGCACAACGGCCTAGTAGTGCACGGATTGCGTCCGCTTCGAGCAAGAAGGGAAAGGAGCGTACGGTCAAAGTGAAGAAATCGAAGCCTGTGAGCGACCAAGATTCAGTCACAACAGCCTCTGACGACGAAGATGTGACTACTGAGGATGGATCGGGAAAAGAATAGCTCCTGTTCTGAGCCGCGAGCAGGAGCAAAAGGGGGGTCGAAAAGCTACTGGAACGTGAGACATTACCGTTCATAGTCGATGCTAGAGTGAATGGAATCCAATTTACACAAGCTCTCGTCGATAGCGGTTGCCGCTGTTATGCAACAGTAAATGAGTCCTTAGTCCAGTTATTCGACCTCCCGCGCATCAAGATACAGCCACGAATCCTCGACGGAGTTATACCGAATCAGTACCGAATCACCCACGCCACCCACTTCGACCTTGATATCCACGGCCATCAACAAGGCCGTGTGTTCGCCTATATTATCGGACCACAAAGTGATAGTATGATACTAGGAGACCCATGGTTACACGACGTGAACGGGCGATATTCAGCAAGAAGAGGATACCTAGATATTTTCACAAGGTCTGGGGAGCGGACGAGGTGCTGGAATCGCACAGATCGCACTATTGGGCCTATTGGGGTGAGGGCACTACGTGTTGCCCAAGCCGAGGCACTATCTATCCGGCAACTCATACAGAGCGTATCGGATATGAATCGCCTGCGAATCGGTAGGGTTTCGCTAGACGACATCGAGAGAGCACTTCGTCCTAAGAAGCATATCGACCCAAAGGACAAGCTACCAAAACACTACTGGCGGTGGATAGCGGTTTTTAGCCAACAACTTGCTGATCAGCTACCACCACACCGGCCTGGGGTCGATCACAAGATCCCTTTGAAACGCGACCGAAACGGCGTCGAAGAGCCACCACCTTATGGTCCTCTTTATGGCATGAACAAGGAAGAACTCCTTTACCTACGGAAAACGTTAACAGACCTACTCGGGAAGAACTTTATACGTGTGAGCCAATCGCCCGCGGCGGCACCGATCTTGCTAGTCAGAAAGCCAGGTGGAGGCGTACGCTTCTGTGTTGATTACCGAGGGTTGAATGAGCGAACAGTGAAAGATCGCTACCCTCTACCACTAATTCGAGAGACATTGCGGAATATAGGCCAAGCCCGCTGGTTCACGAAGCTTGACATTATCGCGGCCTTCCATAAGATTCGTATTCACCCTGGAGAAGAATGGAAGACGGCATTTCGGACGCGATACGGGCTCTACGAGTGGAACGTGACGCCCTTTGGGTTAACCGGCGCACCAGCAACGTTCCAGAGGTATATCAATCAGACGCTACGAGAGTACCTTGACGACTTTGTGTCAGCATACGTCGACGACATAATAATTTACACCAACGGAACGCTAGCGGATCACCGCCGAAAAGTCGGCGATGTGCTACAGAAGCTAATGGATGCTGGGCTACAATGTGACATTGCGAAGTCGGAGTTCGAACAGGACTCAGTGAAATACCTTGGCTTCGTCGTCGAAGCTGGAAAGGGGATTCACGTTGACCCAAAGAAGGTGGAAGCTATCAGAGCATGGGAGAGACCGAAGTCTATACGGGATGTGCGAAGCTTTATTGGGTTTGCGAACTTCTACCGGCCATTTATACCAGGATTCGCCGACCTTTCGGCACCGTTAACACGGCTAATGAAGAAAGACGCTATATTCAAATGGAACGACGATTGCCAACAGGCCTTCGCGGAACTAAAAGAGCTATTCATAAACGCACCAATCTTGGCACATTTCGAAGAGGATCGCCAAACAGTCGTGGAAACTGATGCCTCCGGCTGGGCAACTGGCGCGGTTCTATCGCAATATGGACCGGACGGGCAGCTATGGCCATGCGCCTATCTATCTCAGAAGCTATCTCCAGCAGAATCAAACTACGAGATCCACGATAAGGAGCTTTTAGCGATTATACGTGCTCTACGCGAATGGAGACCCGAGCTGAAAATGGTGCCTCGATTCACTATCGTGACGGACCATAAGAACCTTCGATACTTCGGAAAAGCACAACATCTTAACGAACGGCAGATGCGATGGGCAGATCTCTTAACAGAGTTTAACTTTGACCTCCGTTATCGCCCTGGCAAGCTTGCGGTGAGGCCGGATGCACTATCACGACGGAGTCAAGATATGCCTAAGAGTATCACTGACGAAAGGCTATCGAACCGCTTCCGAGTCCTACTCAAAAGGGTCAAGATCAAAACGGGACGACTAGACCCTCAACCAGCCGAAGATCGACCTAGCGAGGAGGTCGATTTCGAGAAGGATATACCCCTCTTCGAAGAAGAAGAGCTTCAGGCAGAATGGAAAAGGGCGAGGGCGTCCGACTCGATCTACCAACGAATCTCCCACGCTTTGCTAACAGGGGAGCGCCGAATCGCTACCGAGACAAACATCAAGACAAGCCTATCGGAGTGCCATTTAGACGATCGGGGGGTGCTCCATTTTAGACAACGGATCTGGATTCCCGATAATGAGGTCTTACGCACGGGGATTATACAGAAGGTCCACGATTCACACGTCACGGCGCATCCTGGGCGAGACGCTACCTATTCGATACTGTCTCGACGGTTCTTCTGGCCAGGAGCAGCAAAGGATGTACGACGCTTTCTGCGTAATTGCACAATCTGCGGACGGAGCTCAGTATGGCGAGACACGAAGCATGGACTATTAAAGCCACTACCGATTCCACAGCGAATCTGGGCCGAGATATCAGTGGACTTTATCACCGGGCTGCCACCCTCCGGCCCTACAGGAGCGACGAATTGTATGGTTATAACTGACCGGTTGACGAAGAGCGTGGTTCTGATCGGAATGAAGAATACGACGGCAGAAGATGTAGCGGAGGTGTTCCTCACACACTTCTATATGCATCATGGGGTGCCACTAACGATTGTGAGCGACCGTGGCCCCCAATTTGTGAGTTCTTTCTGGGAAAGGGTATGCGAAAGGCTATCGATTCAACGCCGATTATCCACCGCTTTTCACCCCCAGACCGACGGCGCAACAGAGCGTGCTAATCAGGAGATCGAACGAATTCTACGTGTGTTCACGACGTACGCACAGGATAACTGGAAGGATCTACTGCCAATAGTTGCTGTGGCAATTAATAATCGTGACGCTGCTTCAACCGGAATCTCGCCATTCTTCTTCACCCACGGCTATCACGTCGACCCGATTGGTATCGATGAAGCAGGGCAACTAGAAGACGCCCTAACACCACCACGAAAGGCAGGCGAAACGTTCGTGAATCGCCTTCGGGAAGCCACCGATTGGGCCCAGGCCGCCATGGCTTCTGCACAGGCCCTTCAAGAAGAACAAGCGAACCGGCGCCGACAGGCCGCGCCTGTCTATAAGAAGGATGACTGGGTCTGGTTAAACCTTCGGAATGTACGCACTCAACGACCGTCAAAGAAGTTAGATTGGCTGCACGCTCGATACCGAGTAGTAGACGTTCCGTCACCGTTCACAGTCCGACTAGATGTGCCCACTGGTATACACCCAGTGTTCCATATTGAGTTAGTTCGTCCGGCAGCGACGGATCCATTCCCATCTCAGCTAGTGGACGATCTACAGCCACCGCCATTACTGGTTGCTGGAGAGGAGGAATACGAGGTTGAGCAGATCTTAGCTGTCCGACGGAGGAAGATTAGGCGAGGATATCGTGACGAAGTACTAGTGAAGTGGAGAGGATGGGCAGAGCAGACGTGGGAAACACTAGATTCAGTGCGGGATTGCAGCGCCCTAGATACCTTTGAGGAGCAGCACGGCACTGTTTCGGACGTGATTCGTCAGCAAATCGGCACCGAAGCCCATATCGTCGTGCCCCTAACGAGACTAAGACTAGGAGGGGGTATTGTCACGGGCCAGTGCCCGATATAGGTCACGTGTATCACGAGACCTTGGCATGTTGACGTGGGGAACGCACGGGATAAACTTCTTCTCCTTAAGCTTTTTGTAAACAGCATGTTGGCCTAGTCAGATTGAATCAAGTCTTACTTCAGCCCCTTCACAGCGAGTCTTATGTGATTGAATTTTGTTCAAAATGAACCATACTTAATTTTCGAACCTAGTACGTCCACGTTATAGGTATATTTTTTTTCACGTAAGACCTCTTCGGGGATTTAGTCCCTCTTTTCTTAAGATAGGCCCTTAGTCGAATAGGACTATATTAGCCAGTGAAGAAGAGGGAGGCTTAGTTACTATAGCATATCTAAACTTATAGCATACTCCCTAGAGCTCAAAATAACTATCTCTTAGCGAAATCGATTTCTTACGATATCTCCGGATCTAGGGCTTATAAAGCTCTAACGGTACGTTTAAATTTAATCTAACCCTACGCCCTATCGATTAATACCGGTTTTGACCCGGTACGACTGTGATAGTAGTGGTAGTTAACCTAAATAGTATTTTATTACCCTAGAATCGCGGGTTCTATAGTATAGATTCTACGCTAAGACCTCTCTTTCTAGGGGAACGCTGTTATGATATCCTGATATTGAGGTTATTCGCAGACTGATGCCCCAGGCCGCACGAGGCCTGGGCGTTCTGCCAAGAGGGTGCCGACCCGGCGGTCAGTCGACAGCTCCTCGGTGGCGTATCTAAAGGGCTACCCTGTCGGTAGGCCACGTTGGCTGGTTACACAACCTTTCAGCTCATGCACGCTCATACCGTGGTTACCCCTCTTCTAGTTCCCTGTTTTGTATGAGAGACTGTATATAAATTTGGGACCTTGAGGAGTAGGTTCAGACTCCTCAAGAAACAGTCTTGCCACGAATTTCACTAGGTGCTTCCAACCTTACCTGATCAACAGGTTTTCTACCCTGCAAGTAGTTATCTTTACAATTCTGTTTCTTCCTCTTTGATCACCTAAGGAAGGATGTCACCTCGAACTCGTTCGACGCCCGCCGGCGAAACAGAGCCGAATCTCCCACGGACTATCGAAGATTCGCAGACTGTTATCGAGGGAACCCCTTCTAACGAGGACGTTGACGCAGCGCTCGCGGCGATTCAGGAACGCGTTAGAAAGCTCCAAAAAATCAAGGAGCTTAACGAGTAAGCTACGAACCTCATGTCAGCCCTCGGCGAATCTATGCCGGATACCCACCGAGGACAAAGCGAATCTCCTAATTGGCACAAGGAAATCAAATTCGAAAACGTGCCAACCTTCGAACTCGAATACAACCTTCAGAAGCGGCATGAGTGGCTCCTCGACCTACAACAGATGTTCGCAGGAGCCCCAAAGAAATACTATAGCGACGAAAGAAAGATCATCGGCGCTGTATGCCATATGTGCCAAACCTATAGGCAGAGGTGGTACCGAACCTGTACCGAAAAAAGGGAGGTTGAACGCCGAAACGTCACCAATGACTGGCTCTTCTTCCAGGAGTGGACCCTAAGCCTTATCAAAAACGCGTCTAGTCTCATAATGGCTATCGCAAAGGAAAAGGAAAATATCCACCAGAGAAAGGACGAGGACCCTAGAGAGTTCCACGCCCGTCTCGATACCCTTGAGCAGTACTTTGAGAGAGCGAGTGAGAAAGAAAGGGCCCGATCCTTCTTCGTTAAACTATAACACTCCCTTCAGCTTCGAATCCAGGACCATGTACGAGAACTTCCCGAGACACGTGAGGAAGTTGTTAACACGGCAAACCATTACTGGGACCTCATGAAAACAAATTCGGACCGGGGAAACACAAACGAAACTAAGCCGAATCATCTCCGAAAGCGTAAGGCTCCTCCGGATGAACCCTAGGGACCGGAAAAGAAAACCTACAAGAACCGTCAAAACAATCGGAGACGTCAAGAGTCCTTAACGAACAACAACCTAAACCCTATCGGAAGGGATGGAAAACGCAATGTGTGCTATATCTGCGGAAGCGATACGCATTACTCTCCTGACTGCCCCGACCGAAAGGACCCTAAGGAAAAGCTAAAGGTCCAGATAGCAATAACCGCGGGAAACGACAGCGAGACGGAGTAGATCCCTATTCTTCGTCTCAAAAGCCTACCGTGGGGACCAGAACTCGTTTCTATATACCGATTACCATCCGAAACACTCTCGAAACCTATGCGGATCTTGACAGTGGAGCTGAAGTTGACCTCGTTAGCTTCGAATTCGTCAGGAAGTATAGGCTCTAGCCAGCAAAGCTTACCGAACCGATAATCCGCGCAATTAACCGACGAAACACTCCGATATATGGTGTGTGGTCAGTCCCCCTGAAGGCTACCGATTCTCGAGGGATTACCCGCCGATTCACACGCCCTTGTGTCGCTATTGATCGCGACCCCCGCCTTACTGGTAGTCCAGTACTCCTCTCAATGACGATAATACACGACGAGGATATATATCTCGCGGGCCGCCTTAGGCGATGGTGGTTCGGGAACGGATCCTTTGAAGTTTTAACACCGAAACGCTTCGCGAGGGCCGCACAAAGGCATGCGTACGTCTTCGCCGTGGTAAAAATGCCTGAGGAAATATGGCTGCCAGTCGATGGAAACGATACCGAACCTCCGTCGAAACCTTATCTATAATATCCCGAACTAGAACCCTTCCACGAATTCTTCTCCTCTGAAAACGCACAAGCACTACCCCCTTCAAGTGCACACGACCACGCCATCGACCTACTCTCCGACACCTAGGTGCCCTTTGGACCAATCTACCCACTTTCTCAGAAAGAACTTACTGAACTACGCCGTTACCTCGACGAAAACCTTAAGAATGGTCGTATCCGCGAATCAAAGAGTCCCGCCGGAGCCCTAATCCTCTTCGTTCCAAAATCGGACGGAAGTCTACGCCTTTGTGTTGACTACCGGGGACTCAACAAGGTTTCGGTGAAGAACCGGTACCCTTTACCCTTGATTTCGGAGATCCTTGACCGTCTCTCGGGTGCAAAATATTTCAGCAAGATCGATATCAAAGATGCTTACTACCGCATCCGCATAAAGGAGGGCGATGAGTGGAAGACTGCCTTCCGAACCCGATACGGCCACTACGAATACACCGTTATGCCCTTCGGCCTAACTAATGCACCCGTAACTTTCCAAAATTACATTTATACCGCCCTTCACGACGTTCTCGATATCTTTGCGGTAGCGTATCTTGACGATGTCCTTATCTTTTCGACCGACCGCCAATCCCATACAGAACACCTACACCAGGTTATCTCCCGTCTCCAAAAGGCAGGACTGTATGCAAAACCTAGTAAGTGCCTCTTCTACTAGGACGAGGTCGAATTCCTTGGATTTATCATCTCTACCCAAGGCGTTTCGATGGACCCTCAGCGGGTATCCGATATCGTTTCGTGGGAGCTTCCACGAACATACCGAGATATCCAGGTCTTCCTAGGATTTTGTAACTTCTACCGGCGCTTCATCCGTAACTACTCCGAGATTGCACTTCCCCTAACGGCCTTGCTAAAGGGAAGTAAGAACGGCCGAAAACTAGGGAGTGTGAAGCTAGACCTTCGCGAAAAGCTAGCGTTCCGCCGCCTAATCGCTGCCTTCCAGTTAGCTCCCCTTCTTCGCTATTTCGACCCTTCGAGGCAAATTCGGATCGAGACCGATGCGTCAAACGGTGCGATGGCTGGGATCCTCTCCCAACCAGATGATAATGAAGTCTGGCACCTAGTGGCCTTCTGGTCGAGGAAATTCACCGAGGCAGAGGTCAACTATGGAACGCCGGATCAGGAGCTATTCGCTATCGTATACTCGTTTAAACACTGGCGACACTACCTTAAGGGAAGTACACATCTAATCGAGGTCTTTTCAGATCACTCAAACCTCTAATCCTTTATGAAGCAGCCAAAGCTAAATGGTAGACAGGCGAGATGGTGCCTATCTCTTACACCTTTTGATTTTATTATCAAACATCGCGCTAGGAAGACCAACCCTACGGATGGACCATCTAGGCGTTAGCTGCCTAAAGCCCCCAAGGTTGACCTGATTACGCCGTTGTGCTAACGAATGGCCGGCGAATCGCAGGCGACTGATCACCGCTCTGTCAGGGTCTAGTCGCTGACTGTGAGAGATCTCACTTTGGGTATCCCCTGTTTCGAAGAAAACGAGTAGGGTGATGAATCGATTGGAAGAATCGATTGGGAGGAGCTAGGCCGTTCGCGGTTAGTCCTCCCTACGCAAGTGCAGACCGCTTGTGCTTCCGAGAAGGCCTACTCCGCTGAAGCGTGTGAGGACCTAAAGGAATTGATCGGGCGTCTTCAAGACGAAGACCTCGAGACCTAGCGCCGAAAAGCTGCCGTAGAGCAGGCGAAACGCGGTTTCATGGGCTAGAAGATCGGACACGATAAGCTCCTCCGATATAAAGACCGAGTGTATGTCCCTGCGGGGAGTAACCTACGGCAAGAGTTAGTGAGCATTTACCACGACGACCCTATTACAGGCCATTTCGGCCGAACCAGGACCCTTGAACTGGTTAAACGTAAATATCACTAGCCGAATCTGCACCGAGACGTTGTCGAATACGTGCAGAATTGCCAGGTATGTCAAGGAGTAGTAGCACGAAGGCATAAGCCCTACGGCGAATTACAACCACTCCCTATCCCGTCTAGACCCTTCGTGGAAATTTTAATGGACTTTGTGACTGGCCTGCCACCGGTGACCCTTAACGAAAAGACTGTGGATGTAATCCTTGTTATCGTCGATAGGTTCACGAAATGGTCGCTATTCCTCCCCGTATCTACCACGATCACGGCGGGAGAACTCGCAGAACTAGTCCATAACGAGGTCGAATTACGTTTCGGCCCTCCCGACGGGATTGTTTCCGATCGAGGATCAGTTTTCATAAGCAAGTTCTGGTCAAAGCTATGTTACATTACCCAAGTGCGCCTAAGGCTTTCAACGGCGTTTCACCCCTAAACCGATGGCCAAACGGAACGCGTTAACTAAACACTTGAGCACTACCTACGATGTTTCATCGGTGACGAATAGCCTAGCTGGCCAAAGCTGCTCAAATCTGCCGAATTTACGTGTAATAACGCTGTCAATGCCACAACCGGTGTCTTACCCTTTCAAGCACTTCTTGGTTACTCACCAGACTTCCGTTAACGAATCGAGGACGATCCGGCATTGAGGGAGGTACCCGCGGTATCCGCACGAGTAGAGAAGCTTGAAAAACTCCGCATAAAGCTAAAGACCCACTGGCGAAATGCAGTCGAAACTATAGCGAAACACTATAATAAGAATCACAAACCCCTAACACTGAAGAAAGGATCGCTCGTCGGCCTCTCAACAAAGAACTTGAAGCTAAAGGGAAGCAAGAAGTTAACCCCGCGCTTCATCGGGCCCTTCCGGGTTATTGAGACGATTGGTCAGTAGGCCTACCGCCTAAGTCTACCCGAACAATACAGCCGAATCCACAACGTCTTTCATATATCCCTTCTTGAACCATGGCAGAAGACCCACATTACTACTACCGAATCAATGCCGTTACCATAGCTCGAGGATAGCGAAGAATACGAGGTAGAGGAGGTCCGCGATGAACGAAAGATCTCTAACGAAACCCACTTCCTCGTGAAATGGAAAGGATGGCCCTCTGAATATAACCAATGGGTATCCCACGAAGATATGGAGAACGCTACAGAAGTAATATAATCCTATAGGAAGCGACAAAAGGGGAAACGCTCTGAATTCAATACCGGAAGAAACCAGCGAAAACCCCTCGAACCGCAGACTAAAACAAGAAGATTTCCTCGCAATAAGAAACTGTAAGGTCAGCCACGAAGCTGGGTTCCACCGGAAACAAGACGCGAGCGTCAAACATCAGCACCCACAGCAACAAAGCCGCCACTAAGGAACGCAACGAACCACCAGCGAAACCATAACGAAACTACCTAGCCTCGCTAGGTAAAGGAAGGGCAAAAGGCAACTCTAGATCCGCTCTAGGGACAGAGGGAAATCAATCATTGTCCGCTCCTCTAACTTATCTCCGCCGATGGAGGCATTATCATCCGCATCCGAATCAAGGTTATCCTGGGCCTCGCGAACCGCCTCCGAAATGCCATCGAAAAAGGCCCGTTTTCCGATTGTCCAAGTGATGTATCCCTCGTCGCCGGGAAGTAGGCGAAGGAGTCGCTTAGAGAAGCGCTCTGCCTTCTCCCTAGCAGTATTAAAGGGACTAGGGGGCAGGACAACAGGAAGCCCAGTCCGACGGACCGCGAGAAGCGCATCGTATTCGTCTTGGGTTTGCTACCGAAACACTAGTTAGAACGCGCCGAAACCCGCGACCTATGGATCCTACCTTGATATTGGTCTTAGTCCCGGTTAACTTGTACTGCTTGCGGTGAGCCTGCTCCGAAACGTCGAAGCAATGCGCCAGATCCCTTATCAATTCGGCGACCTTTCGGCGGAGCTCCGAGGGATAGGGCTAGTCCAGGAAATTATCCGGGTCGTCCGGGTCTATCTACGATGTCCAGAATAGGTCCCGGGCCTATGCAAACGCGGTACTCATATCCTGATAATCCCCCAACATAGCGGTTGCAGCCTGTGGAATCATTAGCCTATACCCTTAAGGAAACTTGGCGAAACCCACAGGAATACACGTCGAAGCGCGAGAGGAAC